ACATGTGCACTTTCGTCTTCTATAGCCTACTCCGTAGTGATTATTGTCTCGTTGCTTTCTCTGGCTGCTCTAAACTAACACTTGTCTCGGTGGGACGAAGAAGCAGTAGACCCACATTGAGTATCCGACCCGGGTTCTGATCGAGGTGATTCCGGCCGTGAAAATTAGGAGCAGGACTACTCCGTAGGTAGGGGGAAAACCGTCAGTGGTATGCACCATGCAGGGTCTTCCGCTGTTTGTTTTGTTTTGTTTTCTTTTTCTGGATTTTCCCGTCGCAATTGATAGCTCCATCTCGTATTCTTGTGCCTATTACGGAGACGGAGGTGGATGGGATAGAGCTCCACAAGTGGCATACGGTGTACTCCGTACTCCGTATATGATCTCGGCGCAAATCTTTTCAGAATGAGCCAAATATGTCGGACGGATTCTTTCTCCCCCTTGTGAGCTTACTCGACACTTTCCCTTGGGGTACAGCAGTAGGTCGCAAAATCTACCTTTCAGGGATCGGGGTGAGTTTCTGTTGGGGCGATCGATCGACAGAGTGGGTCGATGCTCTCGATTAGGGAAACAGTCTTTTAAAGATTCTAGTCAATCTGGCCGTGTACCGGCTCCCGAGGAGATGTGCAATCATGCACTACCTGGTAGGCTGATGTTTAATCTCTACCCATGCAAAGATCGTGTTGAGCGTATCTCTGGGACTAGCTAAGCTAGTCTATAGTCTGTATCCTTTTTCTTGGGTCGGTCAAGCAGCGCTCTTACCATACCTAATTAGAAACTTTGTGTTTACATAGGTAGTATCTATGTACTCCATACCATATTGTCCATCCAGAATTTAGACTCCAATCGCCAGCTAAAATCCACAATGCCCCATGCGTTTATAATTAGCCCAGCTTGTCCTCCATCGATGATTGATCGGATACGACAGCCGGCCACTAAGCTAGTGGAGCCATGCACGTAACTTGGCTCAGGTAGCACCCGTAGCTTGCGGCGCTAGCGGACTGATTTGAAAAAGCGTCGATAGACGATGGACCAGCTGGGGCCCTCTAAGAGCGGGCTTGGACCAAGTATGTGGTTAGTGGCACGAAAGCGCGAGATAGCTGCTTATCTAGTATCTAGCATCTACAGCGTCAAATGGAATTCCATCTCACGAGTCACGACACATACGCAAACCTTGGTTCTGGGATTTTGTGTAGATCACTGGGTTGGCTGCGGGTTTTTCCCCGTGTGAATCTCAGCCCTTATTTACCTAGCAAATCCGACTATTTTTTGTGCTATCCGTGGTACTGGGTCAATAGATCTGGGCGGACTAGTTTGTGAGTCGGTCTTGGGGCGACTTAGTGGGCTCGGCATTTGCTTTGTCTCGGCATTTGGGTTGGCTCACGGAGTTAGGGATCTGCTTTTTTCTTCTTGCCTTTCCTTTCTTTGGGGATCCGTATAGGCAATGCATGGGTGGATGGAGTGTTGAAGGTCTTGCTTTACTGGTACGCTGTCGAGAAGTGTTGAATATTGAGCTAATTTTGCGTCAGGAGGTTCTATCCATCCAGGATGATACATGTTATATTTCATGTCCGTTTGTGGGTGGTTTGCGTTTGGTTTGGTCTGGGCTGGGCCCGTACGTACATACATGTACATATGTAGGTATGTATATGTGGTGAAACGTACATTGGGTTTGCAATTGTTTTACTTTTGTCTGATCCTGCTCAAGTAGGGGCCCGTATGTACAGTATCGACGTATGTAGGCCAATGCTCGATTTTCCGCATACATGAGAACACAGCAAGGCTTGCATTCCGCAGTGGTCACACTGCAGCGATAGCTAAGATCGAGGGCGAACTCTTCCGTGAGATAGGTATCTAAGGGGATGCAGGACCAGGATTGGTCTCTTTGCTTTAATCGAGAGAAGTTTGCTAGGGAAATACTATACAGAAACAGAAGCAATCCAATAACAACGAGTACGTACATACCTAAGATACATACAGGACAAACTCGCATACCGTACATACGCCTAGGTATGTTCGTATGCATTACATCTGAGAATTCTGACCTACAGTTTGGTTCGACGATCCTTCCAGCCCAACAATCTCGATCCAACTACTGATTCTGGTCCCATAGCCTAATAGTGATGCGAGACCAGGATCTGAGAATTGCTGGAACGAGTGGAAACGGAACCACCGATCCAGCTGGAAGGGCTCCTCACCTGAATCGGTATAGTGTCAGCTCCTTTGGCCCCTTGTGATTCAGACAGGAACACGAGGGGATCCAACCTTACTGGTCGATGGCTTGCATGGCTCTTCCTTAGCGTGATGGAGCTTCCATTCCTTGGGGCAATCTGCATGCACACCGAGGTTGGTTATGCGTGGATTGGTTGGGCAACATTCTCTACGTCAAGTGTAGGGGAAGCCTTAACTTACGCTTAGGATCACGCTACGTGTGTAGGTAGAAATTTCGATCCTTGATGCGTCGTCACCGGTAGGATTCCAAATTGTCTAGTTAGTCGGGGAAAACCTCCGTACTAACTATTTGGCTACTAGAATCTCTTACCGAATTTAGATAGAACAAGCGAATTATATGGAGTGGTTAGTTTTGCGTTCCTGTGTTAAGAGTGGAGAATGCGATTCTCCGACCGAAATATCGTGTACTCCATATTGTGGTTTAATTTGGTACCTAGCTAGGATAGGGCGGTTGGGTTTGGGTTGGGGGTGGGCTCCTCTCCAGCCTCCCTCTCCTCTTCCCTTTCTCCTGTCTCAAATTCTCAACTCACATTTCCTATTGCTTTCTGCAGGGCCTCAAACTCGAGTCAGGTTCATGGCGATGAACCAATGATAAGTCACACAAAAAGAAGATCTCATGCAGCCATCTCAGATCTGAACCATGAAAAGGGCAACCAGAAAATCGAAGACCAGTCGTCGCAGCAACTCCACCGTGGCTTGATTGAGTGGATGGAAGCTAGGGCCGCGATCGCCGGCTGAGAGATCCAATCCCTGTTGGGAATGCCCTATATCCAATGACCGCCAGCAGAGTGGGGCAGCGAACACGGATGGAAAAAACCCAGCGGCCCGAAATGGGTCAGATGGACCAGCGATTTGTCGTCTAGTCTTTGGGATTTGATTTACTTTTTCTTCCGTCTTTTTTTTTGGGGTCGATTGTCGACCAAAACAGGTTTTTTGACGTCAACTTCAATCCGTGCATGCGTGTGTTTGGCCTGTCTGGTCTGCCCGCGTGTTGTTGAGACGACAATGAACGGATGGCCCGGCCTTGAGATCGTCGGCAAACACCCTTGAGATCGCCGATCTCGCAAGATCGTCCCCTGATCGGTAGACGATGGCGGCAGTGCATCTGAACCTTCTATCTTATGATGTAGCTGCTTGAAGTTTCGAGGTCGAAATAATGTGGGGTTTGCTGTCAGTCGTCTCTACTCTACTCCGTATCCTATAATGAAATTTCTCGTGGATTCAATGACTAGTAGCTGCCTAGTAGTGTTTTTTTTTTCTCTCATCCACCTTATCCGGCTCCAATGGAAGATATTTGAGAATGGGTCTCGAATGACTGACAATAATGAATCCTACTAATTAAGGAGAGTAGAGTCTACAGTCTAGGCAATAGTGGCCAGTGCCCCTGCATTCTATGCAAGGGACCAATGACAGCTGTCATTGACCGCAGTTTGCGCCGGCAAATATGGAGTATATTCCGCAATTTTCGTCGACTGTCGTTCTCGTATAGCTGTTAGTGCGCGTTTTGTTATTTTACTCTGACCCCCGGTCAAAGTTCATATGTGTAAGGCACCAAATGGCAACCAGATTGCCTATCAGGCTGCAAAATTACACAGCACGATCGGTGGAGTCCAGTTGAGATCTGGACCGTACCGCCAGATGCATTTCCTCATTGCTGGCGGTGTTTCTTCGGAGTACCATTACTGGTACAGGTAACAGGTACAGTCACAAGTACAGGTATATACATACCTTACATACAATGACATACGTGTAAGCTGTGTAAGCGCCTTGGTTTTGAGTTTACCCTACTTTAGGAGGGCAATAAAATAATTATCTACCCCTCCTATGCATCGGATCGGAGGAGTAGCTGCAGGGTGATGTGGCAATGCAGATAATTAAGCATGCATTGTGAGTCTTGGCGAAGTTGGCCTGGTTGCCTGCTGAAAATTCCCTCCGGGGTAGTGATAAGCAAACATTGATGATCGGGCAAGCAGACAAGACCAGTTAGAAAAAGGGGACAGAGATAACCCTTGCATCAGGACTTGTTCGGTGCGGGGTATCAGGATCGCAGTGCGGCAATCTTAGATGGGTGGAAAGCCTCTTTAGTCTCAGGTCGAAGTATCAAGTCCATAATCAGTCTAATAGTGAGGCTCATCGTGAGGCTAACATTGCATACATGTGCTCTGTAAAGCGGTTGCCAATCACAGGTCATATCTGGTTGACGTATATCGGGGGATCTCTGTCCGTATATGGGAAAGGGGATTAAACTCGTCAATTTAATAGAGTGCTCGGCGTTATGCATCTACGTTGGACTGGGAGGTGTCATATTGAAATTTGGAAGACCGTTGGATCGAGATGATGGGTCATGGAGTACAGGCTGCTTTAGGAAGGGCTTTCTTTTGACTTCAATTCCAGAAGTATTTGATATAAACCCGAACAATTCTGCGAGTTGCTATTCATAAGTATTTGTCATTCAACGATCTGGCTTGATATTTGGTCGGCCAACCTCATCCAATATACCTATTGCGCTGATCAGATGATTGAGACTCATTCGAGCGCATCCATACAGACGCTTGCTGTGGAACTAATGGCAATATTTGATTCAATACTGCGCAATATAAAGGATATTCCAGCGATTTATTGAATGATGTGATAACAGTACAGTCAGAAGCTCGATTGGACCGGAGACCCAAGACATAGCGAAAGATACTTGCTGCACACATCTGGAGTATTCCGTTCCTTGGGCAGATACGATGGAGATGTCCGTACGATAAGATAAGAACTCCTTATCGATAACGGAACGAATCATGTGGGATCACGTGCGGGGAAGCTTTCCCCTCCACCTGGCACGACTGACGTGCCTTCTGCTCCATCATCATCGTCTATTTGAAAGCTGGTCTTATCAGCGATCTAAGTGAGCCTTTACGTCGTGCTTTTTCACACGACTCAGCTCTATTCATCATCACATTCATTGTCCATTCCTCCATAATCGAACCCTGGGCAAACTTTCATTGTCTTAGCAAATCTCACTACTACCCAAATCCCTACGCGTGCTAAACGCACCTTTACCCCGCAATTTAAGATGGCGGTTCCCATCAGCGAAATCCCCACCGTTTCCCTCCTTTACAGGCTTCGGCGCTTGATCCCAGCCTCCTCTCCCTGCGCGTCGCCCTCGAAAACCTTCAACGACACCATCTCGCTTATCCGAAATGACATCACCAAATTGCACGACGTCGATTGCATCGTCAATGCGGCAAACGAGACATTGCGTGGAGGCAGTGGGGTTGACGGTGCTATTCATCGTGCTGCAGGCCCAGACCTGTTGAGGGAGTGTCGCACCCTGGACGGTTGCGACACCGGCGATGCCAAGATCACCTCGGCCTACAATCTCCCCTGCAAGAAGGTCATCCATGCCGTTGGCCCCATCTACGAGCTCGAGAGGCGAAGTGGTCCGAATCAGCCGGAAGCTCTCCTGCGAAGCTGCTACCGGCGCAGTCTGGAGTTGGCGGTGGAGCATAACATGAAGAGCATTGCGTTTTCGGCTCTGAGCACTGGCGCATATGGATATCCAAAGAGAGAGGCGGCCCGCACTGCTCTTGATGAGACGCGAAAGTTCCTGGAAAGACCGGGCAACATTGGACAGCTGGAACGGATCGTTTTCTGTAACTTCGAAGCTGCCGATGAGGCCGCTTACGAGCAAAACATTCCGTAAGTTCCGTCGTCTGACCTTGTTATGATGTGACTCTGCTGACCTCTATTCAGAACTTTCTTCCCCCCCGTAGGCCAGGACGTGCCCCGTTCCAGTGGTCAGGAATCTGGTCCACAAGCACAAGTTGACGGTGAGTCTTCGCCGTCACCCGAGTTGCTTGCAGCTAAGCTTCCTGACCCACCTACCGTGGACCCTGCCTTGGAAGGACAACCCGAAACTAAGAAAGTCAAGGTTGATACAGGTCATAGGGGAAGGCCCTCCGAGGACATAACGATGAAGTCGGATGAAAGGAGCGAAGATGACTGGGAGGAGATTAACCGGTCTGATGATGGTCGGACGGAGAAATTAGATGACGAGCCTGTCGAGGTGGACCGGCCTCCATCAGTCACTGATGTTCAGAGTGTCCAGTCGAGTGGAATCATCGATAGCGTCCAGTCTCAGTCCACAGAGAGTCTGATTGGCAAGGACTGGTAATTGATCTGGCTGCATGGCTGTTATGAATTAATGTCTTGGTTGGCGTTCTTTATGGGTTTTTCCACATTGTGGATGGTGTTTGATACTCTTCTTTCTCACTTTTGCCTTGATTGATGTTGAGCACAACAGTGCGTTTCTTCTGAACAAGTATGACTACATCCACATAGCACTAGAGATTGTGTTTCCCTATTTCAGTCAACCTTTTCTCTCCTCGATCTTGTCCTATGTATTAGCGTAATTCCATCGATAAACCTGTCTATTGGACTGGCAATGTATATTTTCGTCTCCCCTCTTTAGAGTTTTCATCTCCATATTGTTATAGATCATCAGGACCAACTAGCGCTCAAATTCGAATCACGTTCCGTCAAACCAAGATATTTCACCCAACGGTTCGGATAAAGATTTCAGTATTTGTCAATAACCATTCAAGAGGCGCCAAGAATTCCACGCAAACCTGAACACAACGTCTAAATCTCCACATTTCAGTATCTAAAAGGGTTGCGTGGAAGAGCTCACCTCGACCATCATTGACCGTAGTGGGTCGCTCTTCTTCGGCTACAGACGATAACATGTGAGTTCTTGTCATAGAAACAATTCGGACGTCTTCCATTCGTGCAGACCACCTATTTATTAATAATGGTCCCTGTTAGCCGCGATGCCAGTCAATCATATTCGGTAGCATCGACCTAGACACATGCATATCTCATATTATCGGCCATGACAACCAATCCGAGACTCCGAGGTAGCATGCAACCTGACTTCCAGTCCGAATGCAACGGAGTGGTCATGGCTCTTATCGATCAAATCAGCTTCAAAGACGGCTGCCAATCCATGTGGATCCGACAAAGATTTCCCCTTGCGGATTAGCGCGCCTTGTATACCTAGAGTGAATCCAACGAACCCGGCCGTCCAGTTGTCACGATGGTGAATGTCGCCAATGACGGCGCAATGTTGTCAGAGGGCGCTATGCGGAATGTACCCTTTGGTTTGGTTATAAAAGGGTCGGCGTCTTCGTCCTTCGGGACAGGCTGTGTTCAACATTACGACTGTCTCTTTGTGTTCTACCTACTCCGTACTTCTATCGCTTTCTATACGTCTGATAGAGAAACACTATGGGTGACTATAAGGATCCTGCTGTCGCTGCTGCCGCACCTCCTTCGGCAGATGCACCAGCTTCCAAACAAGACCCCGAGACCACCAGCCCTCCAGGCGCAATTCTGTACCGCCAACTTCGACAGAAGCCTTTGAACATCGTGGGCGGCCGAGGCAGTTATCTCCTGACCGATGACGGACGAGAGATCCTGGATGCGACCTGTGGCGCGGCCGTGTCTTGTCTCGGCCACAGCGATGAACGCGTCCATGCCGCCATCCTCGAGCAACTGCAGAAGATCCCTTACTGTTACTCCTTGTATTTCACTAATAGTGCGGCGGAGCAGCTTGCTAGGTTCTTGGTTGACTCGACGGGCGGGAAGATGAGCCGCGCATCTATTTTCTGCTCAGGTGGGCTGCTCCTCGTTTAGTTCTATCAAGTCAATTTGATGATGTTCGAATATGATAGGAAATGACACTGACAAGTTGCTAGGAACTGAGGCCGTCGAAGCGGCCGCCAAAATGGCCATTCAATACTTCACCGAGCTACCGGTACCTCAGCGGCAGCGCGTCAAATTCATCTCTCGAAAGCAGTCTTACCACGGAAACACGCTGGGATCTTTGGCTATCGGACACCATGTCGCCCGTCGGGGGATCTACGAGAGCTTTCTCTCCAAGAACGTCACCCATGTCTCGCAGTGCTATCCGTACCGTGACATGAAGGCCGACGAAAGTGTCGAAGCCTACGTCGCTCGTTTAGCGCAGGAACTGGATGACGAATTCCACAGACTAGGCCCCGACACTGTCTGTGCCTTCGTGGCTGAGACGATGGCAGGCGCTGTAAGTTTATGAATATAATGCTTGTCCCCAGTTTGTATGGCTAATTGATTGCCGGGGAAAATCAAAGACTCTCGGATGCGTCCCGCCATTACCAGGATACCTGAAGGCAATGAAACAAGTCTGCGATCGACACGGCGCCCTCTTCATCCTCGACGAGGTCATGTCTGGCATGGGTCGCACCGGCACTCTACACGCCTGGGAACAGGAGGACGTGGTCCCTGATCTTCAGACCATCGCGAAGGGCCTCGGGGCCGGCTACGCCCCGGTCGCAGGGCTCCTGTTCAACAAACGTGTCGTTGACGTACTGACGCAGGGAACGGGCTCGTTTGCCCACAGCCAGACATACCAGGGTCATCCGGTCTCTTGCGCGGCCGCATTCAAAGTTCAAACTATCATCCAGGAAGATAATCTGCTAGCGAATGTGCGCGCGATGGGCGAGTATCTCGGCCAGCTCCTGAATGAAAAGCTGGGAAGTCATCCGCATGTGGGTGATATTCGGGGTCGAGGGCTGTTCTGGGCTGTAAGTCTTTCTGACATCTAGTTGACGAGACAGAGGACGTGCTGACTAGTTCGTGCAGATCGAATTCGTGGAGGACAAAAGCACGAAGAAGCCATTCCCGCCATCTAGAGCAGTTGCGTGGAACGTCCATGAGACTGGGTTGAAGCCTGAGCATAGCATCTCGTTCATTCCTGGGAATGGGGGAGTTGATGGCAAGAATGGAGATCATGTTGTTTTGGCGCCGCCGTATAACACGACAAAGGAAGAGATAGAGTTGATTGTTGAAAGGACAGCGCGTGTTGTTAAGGATGTGTTGGGCTGAGTGTTCAAAGCTTGGGATGGATGTGCTTTTTTTGTTATTTGACTTTCATATATCAATCTAATGACTTGTAGATGTATGGAGTTTTGGTAGCCCTACAGAAACTACGTTTACCTCCAGAGATAGAAAGACTCTCCAAACAAATTTCATAGGTTGTAGCTTATCTCCTAGATACCAAAAAAAGGCACACCATCCTCGAAAATAACCAATCAGCTACCCTTCTCACTCTGCAACTAGCCCGATTCTTATACATCTAACACTCTCCTCCAAAGTGCTCATCAGAAGAGCGAGCCAAATACCCAAGATTAACGGCCCTTGCAATCAACCACACCCCCACAGCACTGATCCTCACTGCTCTTCCAAATACAGTTATTCTCTTCCGCCTTCACATCACACGGCACCTCAGTAAAGTCGAACGGCACACACGCCTGCTTATCATTCTCGAAGAAAGTCAACGCAGGCGTATTAGACGGACAAGCCGGTCCCAACCCATAGTCGAATCCACCCAGACAGTACTTTCCACACGGCCACTTGGTCATGGAGAACTTGCCCGCCTGCGCGAACACGTCCGTCTTGCCAACATGCGCGCCGTTCATGGCTGCGTTCAACCACCGGTTGGGCAGCGCTCCCGTGCGTGGATTTCCGTGGATATCCTTGATGAAGACCTGGTCTGAGGGGCTTATGGGTTCGCCGGCCTTGCAGGCTTCGTCTTTGCAGAGCTTGAAGCGTCCGGACTTCAGAGCCATGCTTTCGGCTTCTGTGATGAACCAGCTGCCGCCGAAGCCGAGGCGGTGGCCGTTTTCGCCGGTGAAGGTGTAGCATTTTCCTGGGGCGTTGGTTAGCTAAGATAGATGAAGTTTTATCTTCGGAGGATTGAAGTGTAGATCTAGGGAGGAAATGGAATGGGGATGGACTGGGGTCAAGACATACCGGTCTGCAGGCCCGAATCACACTTCACAACCTCACAAGTTCCATGCTTTCCCTCCTTTGTGCCCTTGGGACAAACACACTCTCCATTCACCAACACCTTTCCGTTCTGGCACACCGGCTCCGCAGCCTTACAGACGACTCCGTCGTAGACCTCGCCCTGCGGACAACAGATGTACCCGGTGTCCTTCGAGCCGGCCAGATCATGTCCGGTGGCGCAGCAGTCAAACGCCGTGTCCGGGGACCCGACGAGTCTCTGTCCGGACAGGCAGCATCCCGCGAACTTTTTGTCGCCGCTGAGGCTGAGCTTTTTGTTGCCGGCTTGGTCATCGCAGTCGATGGAGGTCTTGAAGCCGTCCTCCGTCCAGGTGATCGAGTTGCCGACGATGGTCCAGGTGCCAGAGATTTCCTTGACGGGGATGTTAGTCGTGTAGGTCTTTGCGGTGGCCAAGGGGCCGGTTGCCAGGAGGATGGTGGTTGCGAGGGAGAGAGTGAGGGATTTCATTTTGGATGAGGGACCCGATTGAGAGATCGCAAGGAAGATGGATTGTTTGATGCCGAAGAAGATGATGGTGATGGAATAATGGGAGTCGATGAGGTGCCTTTTGCCCTCTTTTATATCCTGTTCGAAGACAAAAGTCCCTCAGGTCGGGTCGGATCGGTGTTGTTGCTTTACGCAAAGCTCGTTCTCAATCGAATGATGATGCTCTTTGCACATGCCATTCCCAGTTCAACCCTGTCCGTCGGGCTTCAGCCATATCCAATAGAAGTCGTTATCTTCGCAACGAATGCGAGCTGAAGTCAGTCCCCGAACTTCATGGCTGGCTGGCTGGGATGCGATGTTGGACCCCGATAAATTCTCTGTTGGTCTCGACGCCTCCATGTGGAGATCCTGGGAGTTCAGCGACTATGTGGAGTTGGGTAGACGCAGCCTAGCAAACTGCATGCTGTAGGCGCATGCCGCACGGCCTGAAGGCAACTGGCTCTGTCGAACCGACATGTTCGTGGGAGAAGCGACATTTTGTGCTGGACCCGAAGAAAATGTTACATGCTTTGAGGTATGCACGGCATGGCACAGACATTCGGACTCTCCGGACTTATCTTTGATGCATGTGTCTTTTGCAAATGAATTATTAGGCAGCCAGTAGGGGTTTGGACGTGATGACACGGACTCAAGTGCTAGATCTAGGCCCTGGATTTTATGGATAAGGGGAGAATGTTGTTTCTTTGTCGGATTCATCTTTCATTTCCATGAGAGCTGTCAGCATGCAAATCACTTAATTCCAGTCCCAGTCCTCAAGCCAAGGACGTGGCTCCTCGTTCCAGCCAAATCTCCCACTGGCTCTCGGCCTTAGAGACGCATGCCCCGACACTTCTCCCAAAAGAGTTATCACTTACTAACGCAGAGTAGGAAACGCATGCATGAACTGCGTCTTAGGAAACCGGCCCGCCAGAATCCCGACAGCTCGTTGGCAAATCGAACGTTGGTGATCCCGAACCTGCAGGTGTGGAGAAGCCATTTACCTAAGACAAACTGATAAACAGGTTCGGCATTCAGCTCAGCTGCGCCGACACATGGCGTAGATTTGTTTGTGTTTGCTTTTTGATGAACTCTGTGGAGAGCTGGCTGGCTGCATGAGCTGTTATTTTGGGTAATGAGCTACAGCTTTTGCATGTTCAGTTCTGTTGTGGAAGAGGTGGCTAGCTAATTGAGTGGTATTTTTGACGTCAGTGAGTGTGATTGTCTGCAGGGATCAATCATGCTAGAGGATAGGTGTTTGACGTGCTTTACGAAGTACGTCGGTGTACCCGGAGGTAAAGCCGAGACCTGAATGCTCTACCTTTGAACAACCCTTGACTATTGTTGACATGCCTTGACTTTACGCTCTCCAGCCCCAACGTTCATGAGTCTTTATTTTCTACAATATACAATCTCGAAGTCGTGCTTGTTTCCTACTTGCCGTTCTCGCTAGCCATGCCAACCAGCGCTAGTCCATCGAACCAAGTTAGTTTGATCTTCGCATCCCTCATTCCTTATTCCATTAGCGCTGACTTGTCCACTCCATTTCCCCACCTTCGATCATCCCACCGCCGCAAAACTAATTCTGTACTCAGATCAACTTCATAATCTGCATTGTATGTGCATCTGCACGACTCCGCCTAACCACCGGAACGCGAACCCATAAACATTTAAAACTAAAACTAAACAAATAAACCCCGAATACCAAACAAAACTGAAATACCCACAATGCAACCCCCCATCGAAGTCGACCCCGACGAAACCGACTACCCCTCCACCGACTCCACCAGCACCTCTCTAGCCTCGTCCATCCTCCAGTACGAATACCGCCATGGCCGACGATACGCGCACGCCTCGTCCTCCTCACACTCCATCCCCGCAACCGGCGGAACGTATTACTTCCCCAACGACCAGCCCGAGCAAGACCGTCTGGACATGATCCACCACGTCTTCTACCGACTCCTCGGCGACCGGCTCTTCCTCGCACCGATCGACCTGACAGGAAAACGCGTCCTCGATATCGGCACCGGCACAGGGACCTGGGCGCTCGACGTCGGCGACGCATACCCGGGCGCCGAGGCCGTCGTGGGCGTCGATATCAGCCCCATCCAGCCGGCGTGGGTGCCGCCCAACGTGAAGTTCTACGTAGATGATGTGGAGAAGCCCTGGGTGGAGAATACGCCCTATGATTTCATTCACTGTAGGTATATGGCGGGGTCGATAAGGGACTGGGCCCGTTTGGTACGGCAGTGTTTTGAGAATTTGGCCCCGGGAGGGTGGATTGAGTTTCATGAGACGGAGAATACGTTGTACTCGGATGATGGGAGTCTGAAGGGGGATGAGAGCTACATGGTGAGGATGATGGAGGGGTTGATGCGTGCGTGCGATATGATCGGGCAGACGATGGACCCGGCGCCGAGTATTCGAAGGTGGGTGGAGGAGGCCGGGTTTGTGAATGTGAGTGTCGAGAGGATTAAGTTGCCTGTGGGCAGCTGGCCAAAGGATCCGAGGCTGAAGGAGTGCGGGAGTCTGATGAGGGTCAATTTCGTTGAGGGCGTCGATGCCTTCACGGCGGCGCTGTTTCCGGAGATCCTGGGATGGGAGAAGGAGCAAGTGCAGGCGTTGAATGCGGGCGTCAGGAGAGAGGCGTTGGATGGGAATGTTCATGCCATATTCGATCTGTTGGTCGTGAAGGCGCAGAAGCCGTAGCTCTGATGATGATGACGATAATGATTGATGATCTACATGCGAGAACCGGTGTACGTACACTACTGATGATGATGATGATTAAAAATATTCAATTGGGACTGCAACAGCATATCGTAGATCTCATTAAAGCATAACAAATACCCAGACACTGATGGAATAAACACCCAGCGCAGAGATGAATCTGGAGGAAGATGAAAAAGAGGGGGGGGGTTTATACTCCCCGCCAGAGCACATGATACGACACCCCCGAAGCCAGGCCACCAACCCGCCATACAAAGCAAAGCAACTCAACTCCATCATCCCATCAAGGTCAAGCCTGATAAGTCCACACATACCCCCAAGGCAACAGCTCCGCGATGTTCATAACCTTCAACGCTTTCTCCCCGCCCTCCTCCGCGTCCGCCTGATCCACGACAACCCCAATCCCCGGCCACAAGTCCGCCAACACCTGCCGGCATCGACCACACGGACTCAGCACCTTTCCGCTATTATCGACCGCCACGATCGTTGTTAACATTGTTTCCGTACTCAATCCGATTCCGACGCCGGCGGCCGCTGCGGCGCCCAGCACGACCAGTTCGGCACACGGGCCGCCCGTGAAGTGGTAGACGTTGAGGCCCGTGTGGATTCGCCCGTTGGAATCCATCGCTGCGCTAGCGACGGAGTGGGTATCGGACTGAGGGACCGAGGTGATGAGTTTGGTTGCTGTTTTGAGGAGAATGGTTGCGTTGGAGGACATTTTGGTAAGTTTGTGGATTTTCTCTTTTTCTCTTTTTCTTTTTGGGATCAAAATGGTCTGTGATTCATGCAGAGAAAGAGGGAGAGAGTGAGGAGAGAGAGATTATGATGTCAATGGGGAGAGAGAGAGCCGGGATGCACTGGGTTATGTACATGCGTTGTACGACGTTGTGGTACGTGTCTCGACGCAAGACCCGAACATCTGGACGAGTGGAGATACTCGGGGTCCTATTTGGGCTCTCCGGGGGGGGGGGCGCGTCCAATCCGCTCGTGCCGCGGTCGAGATGAAGGCAGGTACCCGGATGTAGAGGGAGAAGCGTGCAGGTTAACCGATGTCCCTATAACAGGAATGAAGTTTTTTAACCCTCTTAACGCCTCTACTTCAGATGCACAGTCTAGTAGAAACGTTGCGATTGGACGTCTAGCGAGATCGGGGCCATGGGAGCTCAGGGAATAGGCTCTTGTCGAAGCCGACCGTCAAAATCGTAATCTACTGAAGATGGGCAATGTGCACAAGAAAACACACCAACGAATGTGGACATTACCCACTCTTTCCAGCCATATCCAATTACCAAAATACATTTAATGTGATAGACCTAGTAACTCGAAATGCAGCCCGGGTGGTTCTAATTATGGTAAGTCGAAGTAAAACAAAGACAGCCACCTGACGTTCCGGACTGTGAACAACGCTCCTACCACTGTAGAGACCTCGAATAGGTTCGCAGTCGATACAACTATAGGCAAAGAGAGAGAGAGAGACTTGTAGAGTAGGATAAGTTTTTTTCCCTTTTTTTTGAAAAAAATAATCTTTAGCGAGTATCATAGTATCTAAAGTATTGTACTTTTACTAAAAGGGAATTATGTATAAAACTCTATATTTCTCGTAAAAAGGAAAACAAAGTACTATATATTATGTAGACTGGTTAGTTCATCGATCATACGCCATCCCTAACACATACACAGATTATTATTTATGGTTACCGTACATAAATCAACGAACTATCATACACCGTATATCTGAATATCCTCATGGAGTGGGTCCTCAGGCAATCGGCGAAATCCTTCAGTTGACGAATCAACACGACGATGAATGCGAGCCGAACGCGAGCTGAATACGAGAACTACTAGATTGGGACTACGATCTGCCCTGTATTACCTGTCAAGATACGCGCACACTAGGTAGCAGCTTTTTTGTCATCTGCCATAACAAGCCCTTGCTCTATATAAAGATTGCAAGGATACCCCTCTCATGGACTCTCATATTCATTATTTCCAAAGCTGTGCAAGATGTTGATATCCTACTCATGTCTTACTGTTTTTGTACTGGCCCTTGTGCCCCAGATTGCCTCTTCGGCGAACATTAGCAGCACCTTCGAATGGAGCCATGGCCTCCCTCTGCTGAAGCTTCCATACGGGACATGGCGAGCTCATCAATACAATCCCGAAGCAGATGTAAGCATCACCGCACTTGCTACCCCACGGGCACTAATAGTTTAGGTTTATGTGTTTCGCAACGTCCGATACGCTGCTCCGCCGCTTGGTGAACTACGTTGGTCCAAACCAGCACCTCCTAAATTCGTTTCTGGAATCCAAGACGGCTCGTACGGCCATAATTGCATTCCGGCTCCGATTCCAGACCAGTTCTTCATGCCAGGTGTAGAGAATCTGACCAAGAATTCCGCTGAGGGTAAGTTCTTCCGCCAGAATAAGGTAGTGCTAGCCAGCTTACAAGCCTTAGATTGTCTCTTTCTCGATGTTTACGTACCCGGAAAGGTATTCAGGCAACGCCAGGAATTGGTCCCAGTGGTCGTTTGGATTCATGGCGGAGCGTAAGGACACCCGACCTGCCCCTTTCTTATCAAGCTTACTCAAACTGATGTAATGTATAGATATGTTAGCGGCTCCAAGGACCAAGCAATAGGGGAGGGATACTACGACGGTACGGGCCTTATCCAGCAGGCTGATGACAACCTGATTGTTGTAACGATTAATTACCGTCTGGGAGCTTTCGGCTTCCTTGCCGGAGAACCTCTGCTCTCCCAAGGGGTCTTCAACGCTGGTCTACATGATCAGCGAGCTGCTCTTGCCTGGGTACAGGCATACATTCAGCGTCTGGGGGGCGACCCTGACAATGTCTCCGCCTGGGGTCAGTCTGGTGGCGGAGGATCTCTGATGTATCATTTGATTGCGGAAGGTGGGAACAGTGATCCCTTATTCCGGAGGGCGATACTCCAGAGTCCTTCCTTTGGAGTCAACGCAAACCACGAAGTCATTTATAAGCGTTTCCGGGACTTTGCTGCAGCTGCAAAATGTCCAACTGAGGGGGAAGATTCACTCCGCTGCTTGCGCTTAGCAAATACCACGATTTTAACCAGCGCAAATGAGGAGGTGTATCTCGGCGAGTCGTCACCCGTCCCAGACGGTGAATATATCCGATATCCTGCCCTATTCGAGTACGCCAAGGGTAAGTACAGAATTTCCTTGGACTGATTTGACGTTCATACGATCAGTTCCGCTTCAGAAGAAATTAACACGGTTTAGGAAACACCTGGAAAAATATCGAGTCGGTGATTGTGAGCCACGTAATAGACGAGGCAAGCCTCGGCCTTCCCGACCCTATCCCAAAGGGCCAGGTTGAGGCGTTTGTTTCCAATAATCTACCGGCAAACGCTACCGAACAAACCAAGAAAATAGCCAGCCTCTACGAATCACTCTATGCCAACTCAACCGAGAAGGAAATGCTCTGGGCATTATACAACGACCTTCTCTACACTTGCAACCTACGCGCTGTTCTGAAGACCTTTCCAAGCTCCGCTTGGGCGTTTCAGTTCAGTTTCCTCGATGGCGTCGTAAACGGAAAGCATGGAAGCGATATGCCCGCGACGTGGTATAACAAGAACCTCCAGAACAGGGCAGAGCCCCTGTTTGAGGAGTTCCAGCGGTATATAACCAACCATGCACGAACTGGGAACCCGAATACGCCCAGAAGCAAGAATCATGAGCTTGCCTACTGGCCCGAGGTTAGGGGGCTAGAGGAGGATGTGGTGGGAAATGTGCTCAACATGAGCAACTGGGGATTTGACGTTATACATGATGGACAGATGCGGAAAAGTTTCTGCGATGCTTGGACCGAGGCGCTTGTGGAGGCTGTCGAGTCTGACCATTGAGTTATTTCCGAGTGGACTTGGGATCTTCCACGCTGTCGGTTATTTCTATTGTTCAAGTGGCAGGTAGTGTTAGCCAATTATGGTCAGCTTTTCAATATTACATGGGGGTTTCACTTGGAATATGCAAGATTATAACGTATACAACTCATTATCTAACGAAAAGCTCGAATTCGGGACAGGTTCTTGTTCTGGTCGAGACCCATTGATAAGATCGCATGCTAAAGTAGATGGGCAATGTGCACAAGAAAACACACCGACGACTGGGGACACACTGGTCTAATGCCAAAGGCTAAGTGGCTTTACATGCGCTAAAATCTAGACAAGAAGATGAAAACTGGAGCAGATACCTCCAAAACGGAGGAGAGATCCTGCTGAAGTCCGACCAAGGAGTGAGCTTTTCTGTGTGGCATAGATCGCGTATCCGCCTTGCCGTGGGTCATTGTGCCTTGTCTAGCACCGGGGCAAAATGACTTTTCATCCGCAGGGATCTTCCATAGAGCAGAAACACCAAGGGTATTGGGACCAGGACGGCAGCAACACAGCCCAGCAGTGTGCCAGCCCATTGGATTCCCATACCGGCGAACATCTGCCGGGAGAAGAGTGGGAACCCTGCTGCCACCAGGGAGCGGCAGAAAGTGTTTGCTGCTAACGCTGAGGCGGCGCTGCAATAATTAGCCGAGACAAAGTAAAAAGGAAGAAAGGAGTGGTGTGGTACGTTACTAACAAAGCAAGATACGTATCGATCAGGTAGTTGAACAACTGGATGAAGATAATGAGCAGGCCGGCGCCTGTGAAGAGGCCGCTGAGCGTCGGCGCGATCCAGTGGATGCTGCGCGTGAACCCAGTCCAACCGAGCCAGAAGAGCCCTGCTGAGAAGAGCACACCGCCGACGACAACAGGGGGCAGCCGCCACTCTGGGACCGGGATGTTGTTATTGGCCTGTAGTTTGGCGTTCTAGTCCTTGCTCACGTAGAGCATGTAGAGTGTTGCAATGAGTAGACCGACGACGATGGCGAGCAGTGGAAGCCCACCGGTGCCGGCTGACATGCCGTAAACGCCCTGGAAGCTGCTGGTGTAGGCAGAAAGGAAGCAGTAGAGTAGGCCATAGATAAAGCTGAGGTAGATCGTCACGGCCATTATCAGGGGTTCTTTGAAGAGCATCTGCAGGGGCCGGCCTAGGTTGTTAACAACCAGGTCGTGCAGGTCGATTTCAATCTGCTCCTGCTTGGCATGAAAACCCCAATTGCCAGTAGTGCGGCGCAGATTGATGGCTTTGGAGACAAGGATAACGGGTGAATAGGTTTCTTTAAGGAACAGCAGGTTGAGGATAAATGCTGCATATCCCATGAAGGAGGGTATGTAGGCGGTCCAGCGCCAGCCGAGGTACGACTCGTCAATGAACTCGCCAATACACGGTGCGATCAACGGGCCCAGGAAGACTGTGTTCGCGAAGAGGGCGATAGCTATACCACGCGTACGGTTGTCGTACATATCAGCGAAGATAGCGGCGACGTTAATGAGCGGGCTGCTGCCGAAGACGCCGCCGAAGAAACGGCAGATCATCAAGGTCTGGAGATCCTTGGACACGGCGACCGCAGTGTTGAAAATGCCGAAGCCCAGCATGGCCACAACTATGGGGAGGCGGCGACCATGACGCTCTGAGAAAGGCGCCCAGACTAAGGGGCCGCACGCGTAGCCGGCGATGTAGAGTGAGCTGGCCAGGGCAGCCACTTCGGCACCGACGCCAAAGTGTTTGGCCACCTGGGCCATGGACGGGCTGAAGACGGCGGAGTCGAAGGTCGAGCTGACGCAGGTGAAGGCGAGGATGAAACTGACGTAGAGTCTAGAGAGTCAGGGTGCTGTCTGCCACTTGGATCAAGGGGCAAGAAGTGACATACCTGGTCCTCATCGGCAAGTTCTGGGGAAAAGCTGGGTCGTCTGGGCCGTCAAAGTCGACGACATAGTTCTCACGGCTCGGTAGCTGGGGTGGATGCGGCCTACCTCGCCCAAATGGCATTAACTGGGCTGCTGCGCCCGAGGGAAGGCTGCGTTCCACGTCGACCTCGACCCCTTGGGGGTCAAGATCGTGGAGCTGCAGGTCGGCGCTGCTCATATCAGATGGCTCCGTTCGAACTGACTGTGTCTTGAAAGCAGGTCTAGCAGACAGGTCGACTCTTCGGTCTCTTCTCGCCAATGCGTGAGAGCTGGGGTTCTGTGTCAGTTTGGTGTATGCTGCCGACCTGCGCTTACTCGCTGCAGCGGGTTCTGCAAGCTAGGCTTTACTACGAAATAGTGTGAGCATCTCCAAGGAAGCAAAACTGCAGGGTATCAGAATCCCTTGCCGATCTATCCGTCTCGCAAGCCACGGTGGTGATAAGTCGCCAAGGGAATCCCCACCGAGTGTCTGGAGTCGAGGGACTCACCGCGTGAGAGAAAGAGGCAGCTTCGTGTGCCGATGTAGCCGATGACAGGGCCATGGGACCCACGAATCTTGTACATTGATGGCCCAGCGTGGCCTTCGTCGGGCATAAGCAGGGTTGACTACCAAGACCGCTAACATGCCTCTAGATTGAGTGAGTGTTTCAGTCATGCAGGCCAGAGAATGTAAATGGCTGATCCAGGCCCCCATTCCCTCGGATAACCAGTCCACGACGGGCATGGAGCAGGGTGTCTTCGTCGCCGACTCGTTTAGCTCGTTTTTGTCCGACTGGAAGATTCAGCGAAGCGATGACAAGGGGCGTTCCAATCCACCTCTGTTCCACCTTCGATCCATTTCCACTTGCGAGCCGGAATACTTTGTTCTGGAAGAATTATACTGGACGGAGGAAGCGGAACCTCATCAAAAACGTTTCCACTACCATGGCTCTATCTGGCTTGACAGGTAGAAAGAAGTATAAGAGATCATGGCTGGCATGATCGTTGCTTTTGCATCTCGACTGAGCCATCCATTTCCCACCTGGCAGTATGCACCCTACTTTCTTTACAGCAGGACTTCTTTTCCTCCAAGCGGCCCTCGCTGCGCCGCACCACCCAAGAAGCTACCATTCAAAGCCAGCTTCCACCGTTTTCCAGCTCGAGCGCAACGGGAGCTGGTTTGAAAACCTCGCTGTACGGTCCGACGGTAGGCTCCTCGCCACACGCATCGATGCCCCTGAACTCTGGTCCATCGAGCCGAACATCAACAGCAGCCATCCAGGGCACGGCTCTCTCCTCGTCACCTTCCCCGGCGCCATGAGCACACTCGGCATCACAGAAATTGATTCTGATGTCTTCGCTGTCGTCGCCGGAAACATCTCCCTCCCGAACATCATCCCAACCCCCGGCTCCTTCGTCATCTGGACGGTTGACCTCACCCAAAAAGCCCCCTCGACCCAGGTCCTAGCACATATGCCGTCCGGGGAATTCCTGGACGGAATGACCAAGTTTAGCGACGATTTCCTCCTGATATCGGACGCTTCTAAGGGGGTAATCTGGCGCCTCAACGTGAGGACGGGCGAATACTCTGTGGCCCTATCGTTTGCCTCGATGGTCCCGGCCGCCGGGCAGCCCGTGATGGTAGGCGTGAATGGGCTCAAAGTGCTAGGGAACTATGTCTACTACACCAGCACCAGTCAGGAAATCTATGCGCGTATCCCGACCGATAATAATGCGACGGCCGTGGGCTCAGCCGAGATCATCACTAGCGGATTTACCTTTGATGGCTTTGCACTGATGGCTGATGGGACGGCATACCTCACGACGAACCCGCAGAATGAGGTGATCAAGGTCTCATCTGAGGGACGTGTCCGGTTGCTCGCAGGGAACCAGTTCATGCTGGCAGTGGGCGGACCGACTGCTGCTGCCTTGGACAAGGAGCGTTCGGTCCTGTATGTGGCGACCAGTGGTGCCCAGTTCGCGCCAGTTATGGGACGCATGGAACCTGCGAAGATTGTGGCCATTGATTTGTAGCTTGTTCGCCGTATCATAGTGTCCTTGATGTCTTTCTATCAAAACCGAAAGTTTTGCCCTGGGCGCTGTTCCAGTTTAGATAGGATGTTCAAAATGGACCGGAGAGTTTGAATGTGACTATATACAATTATGAATGATCAACAGGTAGAGCATTTCAAGACCCTCAAATAACGTTATTTATGCCTTGTACTATACAGACTTTACTTGACACTCACATTTGTTGCGTATGTGCTTGGTGGTTGAGATTCTAGAAATCAGCACGTTATATTATGCACAGAGGTAATCCGCTCCCTTACATGCCCATTTGCTCGCTTTTAACGTGTGGGTGACTAATCATGGTTCCTGGTCAACCTTCGATAGGCATCTCCGGGCGAAGAAGGTTGAAGAGCGAATGCAGTGAAGAAAAGTGGGATCCGTCGAGTACTTGCCATAATTCCGCATCGCCTCCCTGTTCCACCCAGTCCGCTTGGCATCATGACCAGAGCGGACCCACGGCGGTCTTGGCTCTTGGATGATCCATTTTATCGACGGGCTGTGGATGCTGTACGGAACAACATCTAACAGAGTTTCAAACAAATCCGTGCCATCTAGATTTGCATGAAGACCCGCCAGCAGACCGTCGGATGCCCGAAGGGCCGGTTGTCGAGGTGCAGCAGCATTTCCCATGGTCAGCATGCCGAGAGCGAGACTGAGAGCTATAAAACGCCTGGCGCGCACTTTGAAATTCCTGCTCTGCCTCACATCTACTACACTCTCTTCTCATCATGCGCAACCTCTTCGGCCGCCGCCCATCGACCAGCAAAGTCGCCTTTGTTGCCGGCGCTAACGGCATCAGTGGCAGCGCGATTGTCGAGCACCTGGTCAAGCAGTCGTACAGGGAATGGTATGTTATCTTACCTACCTACCATCTTAGCAGGCACATTTCACTCATTAGTACTGAAGGGCGGAGATTATCATCACGTCGAGAAGCCCGATCAAGACTACCTACACCGACCCGAGGGTGCGGTTTGTGGCCATCGACTTCCTCGAACCAGCCGAGGCTATTGTCGAAAAGATCAAGGAGCTGTGCAAGGGTGTAACTCATGCCTTCTTCACCTCGTACATCCACAACAATGATTTCTCAAAGCTGCACGAAAAGAACGGCCCTCTGTTCCGCAACTTTCTTGAAGCAGTAGATCTTGCTTGTCCCAAACTGCAGCACGTGGTGTTACAGACCGGAGGAAAGGTAAGTTTGTATACCTATTCCGAGTTCTTTCTGAAAAGACGAGAGTACATTTTGACCGCTGGCAGCACTACGGATTCCAATACAGGGACATCAAAACCCCCCTTGTGGAGGACATGGCTCGCTACGAAGGACCCGAGAACATCTTCTACTACGAGCAGGAAGATGACCTCTTCCCCGTCCAGAAGCGCCGCGGCACATGGAGCTACAACATTATTCGCCCCATGGCCATTATCGGCTACAGCTGCCAATGTGCGTCCGGCTCCCTACCTCCCTGGCTTCATTTTGTCTAATATCCCAACCCCTTACAGACCTCGGCATCAACGAAACTCTCCCGATAGCCCAGTACTTCCTCATCCACCGAGAGCTCGGTGTGGCCCCCCGCTGGCCCGGCAACTTGGACAGCTACCACCGCGTCGAGAATCAGTCGTTCGCCCCGGGCATTGCGGACCTCACTATCTGGGCTGCCACCCAGTCCCACTGCAAGAACGAGGCCTTTAACCACGTCAACGGGGACGTGATCGTGTGGAAGTTCCTGTGGCACCTGCTGGCCCAGTACTTCCAGGTTCCGATGAACAAGTTCGAGGCACCCACGGAGGCAACGCAGCCGATCGACGTGGCCGAGTGGGCCAAGGACAAGAAGCCCGTCTGGGAGCGCATTGTGGCCAAGTACGGTGGTGACGCCGAGGCCTTCCAGTTGGACGCCTTCGAGCTGATGAACTGGTACATCTCGCCCTCGTTGCAGAAGGCCCCCTTTATCAGCACGGTTACCAAGGCGCGTCAGTTTGGCTGGGACCGCAGCGACGATACATACCAAGCTTGGTTGGATACCATGCGCGCATATGAGAATGCTGGTGTACTGCCAATTATTTCTTGAGCGTTGGACTGGATTCGTTTGACATTCGCGAGATTAAAAAATGTTGTATGGAAGGAGTCGAAACAAAGAGTAGGCTAGAATTTTCGCTTGACTGGTTTGCATTTTTTGCCTTTTGATTATGGCTTGTTCTCTTAGTCAATCTACATTCTGCTCTGCACACTCCTAGAAGGGTCTATGACTATATAGCCTAACATAGAACAGCACTGCCCTGTCTCCTCACCTCCACGCGTTTGAGCAAATCATACCCTCGCTTCACCATACTACTGACATGTTCGTCGACTGGTCAGCGTCAGCATTCCGACGCCAACCTGAGCCTCTTGGTTCTTGTTTCTTAACACTTTAATCCGTCCTTTTCTTTATTTTCCGCTGCAGTCAAGAGGAAGGCAGCAATACGATTCATAAGCTACGTTGCGGTCTAGCAAGACAGAATTAAAACGCAAGATCATCAAGACATCATTCCGGTAAAAAGGATAAGTGTGGAGTGACTGCATATTATGTCTGAAATCTCTGTTTCTGTTTGCTCACCGATGTCCAGAGCCTCAAGGACAGGGCGTGCAAATACAAAATACCTACTAACGGCCTTGGTCCGGCTCCAAGTGAGAAATATTTTTATCATCCAGAGGTATTATCTTCTTCACGGCTTCTTTCACCTTCTTCGAGTGACCTATCCTCTTATTCTCCCCATTCGCTTGGGTACTATTTACGGTCGCAGTTGGTAATATGTTTATCTGTATCTGTCGGGGCAGAAATCAACTGAAGATCCCGCTTGTCGCCTGTATTGGGCGTATCGGGCTTAACCTCTCCGACAGGCTTCTCAACATCGACGCTCGGAGCGAGGGCCGGCTTCTTTAATAGTGGCTCCCCCGCTGCCGGCTTGGCTGTATCTGCCCGTTCAGGTGCATCCGTAGGGTTGCTTTCTACCGGCGTGTGGCCAGCCCGGTCTGGTTCGGCCGAATGGTGGTCACCATTGGTCTGTTTTGGTGCATCGCCCGGGACGCAACGCAGATCACCTGCCTTTATGGCTATTATTGATATATCCGTTAAAGCCGTCTCTTGGCGCAAGCGAGGCCTCTCGACTTTCCAAAAGGAGTGTGTGTGGATGGGGCAGGTATGGTAGAATCATGTTCTTAACTCCTCCGTCTGTTGGTCCTGCAACATGTTTCAAGAAAGGCCAGTCATCATTCCATTTCCATACAAGACTGTGTGTTTTGCTGATTAGCCCCACTAAGGATGTAAATTTGCTCTGTATGATTGTGCCATCGTAACTGGTTCGGGGATGTACCTGGTGCTCCTGGACTTGTACGTAAGTTGTATACCTAGATTTCCGCGGTGATGAGTGGAACTAGTTATAACATGCCAAGAACGCGGCCCGACAGACTGGGCCCTTAGGAGACTGTTTCACGGACCCAATCTTGGTGAAGACCGTGGTAATCGTTTCTTTCAGGTACAAAAAAGAAAGAAGGAAAGCCCCTGGTGGGGCTCGAACCCACAGCCTTAAGATCTCAATATAGCTGAATAGATAGTTAGTAACGTGTTTGCTGTAAAGGGGTCCTTGGGAGTACTTGCAAGTCTTACGCGCTACCGATTGCGCCACAAGGGCCACTTGTGTTCATGTATACAGTAATTTGCGAAATGAGCCTGCCCCCCAAAATACTCTTGGTGATTTATAAATGCCAAGATTTAGTAGTACATATATGGTTAATATAGTCTTGGCATTTTATATAAAGCTTTACATATATTGAAATGAATCGCAAAACAATGGGCGTCGAATGCTGGCCACAAGCTAAATTGTTTCCTTTTTTGCAAAATTTCTCTCTCATTTATAATCAATGTACCGCCGTTAGCAAAAGCAAAAGCAATAGAATTCCAAAAAATAAGTATATTAAAATCTTGTTTACTTTATAATAATACAATCTCTTGTCTTAGAGAAATCTGATTGAAAATATCAAGAATAATAGTCTAAATATTACTGCTAGCGAATAAAATTCTTTTAGATATGCTTATTAAGTTACTAATATAAAGAATTATTACAAAATTATCAACAATCGATAAATCTTAAACTCTTTTTTGTACATTTTGAGACACTTCTTCAAGAACAATAAAGTTAATCAGCTGCTCCATAGCCCGTTCTGTAGTAGGCGCATGGTAGAGTACAGTTGTTGAACTGGGCTCTTTCAGGATATTGGCTAGTCTTTTATTGGTACTGCGGACATCAACTGCCACGTAGACTGCGCCAATGTTGAGGACACCGAGTATAGCGGCAATTGTGTCTACCCCCTGGTCGGGGAACACGCAGACGGGCTTCGAGGAGGCTGCCCCGGCAGTCAATAACGCCACGTTCCATGGTAATGTGGTGATATCCAAAGATAATAAGCTATGAATCAGAACTCATACTAGGACTAGCGCTAAAGGCATCCTCTGTCTCTAGGTTGTGGTGGGATTTGTAAGTTAAATCAAGTTCCCTCTTAACTTCTGCCAGGCCTTTAATACCTGGAGTCACTCTCAACTCAAACGCGAATTTCTCGGTAGGGCCTTATATGGGTTGACAATCTTCCTTATTGGCATCGAAAATCGAACGCAGTATTGCATAGCGTTATACCGCTGCCTCGAGGCACCTTTCAAGCTGAGGCACATCGAGCCTGTCTGGAAATGCGTAAGATACGGGACAGTTTAGAACAGTGTCGTCAGCCAACAATGAGACAAGAAATACAGTCGTAATTGGCCCAAAAGAAGTTACTCTATGCGTAGGGTAGCCGGGTGAGGGCGCTTCTTGCCCACCATGTCCAGGGCAACAACGAAGGCTGATGACAAGCTAAGCTGATCACCTCTAACAGAATCTGAATAAGCCATCCGATCCAAAGATGCACTTGACTCCGAAGTATCGTCTGCCTGTGAACTGTTGTATGATACCTCGTGGATTCTTCAGATACCAATTCCGGTGCGTTATTATCTGCGGATTGTTTAGCCCAGTCTTGAGGGACCGGAGCTGGAGCACATTGGGCTTTAGCTTCTGGAGCCTCGGCCTCGGCCTGTTTGTCTTTTTGAGACACAGGTCTTCAACCACTTCAGTGCATATCTGCTTGACAGAGGAACCTCCCACAATCTTCAAGATCAGGACCTCATGACCAACCTCTGCGAATATCCAGTTGCGAAATTCCAGAGCCACCAAAGAATCACTACCAAGATTAATTACCGGAGCTTCTGTATAGATATCCCCAAAAAATAACTATCCATTGCTGTCAGCTACAACAAGCGCATTCTCCACGCCGGAAGCACTGCCTACCTTGAGCGAGGACACCAGACACGTCAGAATGGCCTCTTCCGTAATTTGGAGCGCATCATCACGCCCACGGGCTTCGGCGACCTTTTCCTTCCAAGCCTTCTGAACATTGTTTCCAGAGCCCCTAACTTTTAGGGATGAACCAGCACGTGTGAGGAGGTGTGGGAATCGCAGGTTCTTATGCCAGAACGCGTTGTTTTCGGAGTTGATCTCCAATCCCGTTACGATCTCCGGAGACTCGTCGCTACTACCGACAAGGATCGCCTCAGCTAGAAGATGGTGGAGATCGCGCTCTGAAGCGGGCATGTAGTCCAGCTTTCGCAGAGTGGTCTCCATTGCGCTAGTCTCTTCACCATCTGCCGTCTTTTGTATAACATCGATGCCGATGACCTTTCCAATGTCAGTAACCGATGCTGCAAGGTTCCGGGCATGCCTATGGGAAGCCAAACGACCATGAACTAAACAGAAATCAGCTCACTACACGATAATCAACTCTGAACTTTCAGCTTACGTTGTTTGCAGCAGCATAGTTGGGCTTTGTCGGCCAGTCACAGCGGAAATCGATGAGAACAAGATGAAGAAGTCAAGGTCGTCATTGAGGAAAACCTCGTCCAGATTCATGGAGCTGTCAGCCTTGGGCTTCAGAGTCTTTTGGAAGCTGTCGTAAGACTTGTCAGCAAACAGGCTATTAGATAACACTATTGCATCGTTGGCAACGGCACAAATAGGAGGCATATTTTCGAGAATGCGAGCGCGGAGCTCCACGAGCTGTTGCTTGTTGGTAACATCTGCTGCCTTGATGGCAATATTGGCGCCTTGCTTCTGTAACTCATCATTCCAAAGAGCTTCTTTATCAGGGTTTCTGTGACTATCAGCGAAACTTCATTCAACCGTAGCTCTCGGCAAATGTACGTACCGACTCGTAACGACAATATGCCGCGCACCATTAACGACCATCCAGCGGCACATGGGCTGACCGATCTGCCCAGTAAGACCCACCAGAACATAAGTTCTATCCTGGGAAACAGTTTGCTATACTCAATGGGTCTTTGCGTCACTATAATAGCCTGGTCACCTGTCCAGTCAACGACAGAGGTGATCGCATGGTTCTTGTTTCCATCGGTGACCAAAGCAGAGGCCTTGACAACGCTAGCACTTTCCAGTTCTCCCACCGGCGACGAGGGAAGACTTTTCACATGAGCCAGAGCTTCAAGAAGTACTTCATGTGGATCAAGGCCATCAGTATCGAGATCACTGAAAGAAACCACGGCAGCGTTAGTGGGAAGAACATGCTTGATGACGGAAAGCTTGCGTGTGTTAGTGTTAAGTCCCATGTTAATCGGAACCTTCGCTTTGGGGGGGGTATCGATGATTGCAATTCCTTCCATGAGGCATGAGGAACAACCTTGATGTGGTTACTGGAACGGCTAGCACAAGATGACTCCGTTTGGTAGTCGATGAATGCAAAGCTCTTACTGGCGATACACTTACGCCTATTCAGAGCGGCCATAAGAGGCCCGCCAGATCCGTAGAGCAGCGTAGTGTATCCAGAGGGCATCGACCGTTCGACAACACGTGCCCTAACGTCATTCAGCAAGGTAATGAGTACCGAGAGATCCATTGCATCGTCAACATCTTCGCCATCAAGTTGGATGGCCAACATACGGGGCACTGTAATGATGGAAGAGTTGGAGTCCGACAGTGCCATGAGTCGCCTTCCCTCTTGCGTGCGGCCAACACAGCAGAAGAGATCTTTCTCGTGGTAGTTGGGCAAGGTAGGCTCTACAGAACAACATTCCACTCTCAATGATATCAACTCTGAACCCGTAGGAAACTCAACAAGATTTGGATGGCGGAGAAGTCCTTCTTCAGCCCAATACACAATTTCATTAGCATTGTGGAGCGAGCGAACAAGGGTGACAGGCTGTGCCCCAACAAGAGGTTGGGTTTCCACCTTGCGCTTCAGAGCATTGATACGGTCGTTGCGCTTCTTGTCGGGGGGGAGTCTGGGAATAAAGACTTTGCCTTGCTCAGCCGCGAGCTCCGGTTCAACATTCCACACAAGACGAACCCTTGAACTATCTTCTTTGATTGAGGCGCCTCCAACAAGTCGAAGCAAGCTCTCTGCAATGAAATTTGTGCCATCGTCAAGGGGGGATTGTAGACCTGGGACGTTCGCACAAGTCCAATCGTGCCATTTTGATAAGGGCTTTCACAGCTTGCTTAACCCAAAGAATCCTCTTAGATCGCTCCAGCAGCAGCTGTAATTTTTCAAATGTAGCAGTGCCAAGCTGTTCGATCACGGGGTAGCCCAGTTCAGTCAGACTAAGAACAATCTCAAAATTGTCAATGAGCGGATCGTTCAGGTCCGCAAGAGACTCGACAGCAATCATCTGTCTATCCCAGACGGGCAATAGCTTGGTCTGGATATCTTGAATGAGATTGGCTATCCCGGGTGGAACCACCCAACATAACAAGTTTTCCACTCATAGCGATGTTTGATACTGATGCAAGTGGGGATCTCAAGAACCTAATGCGATCGTCTACTGATTGCGACAAGATGACAGAAAATGTGTGCTTCTCTGGCACGTTGTCGAGCGCCATGGGCTCTACCCCAGAAAATCCAGTTTTCTGGAGGAAGCCGTTTGTTTCTTCGCGATTAGTATTCGTTAATTGAGGGTCGAAAGAACCGTCTTCTTTGGGCACTGGGGGTGGAGCCGACAACAAGAAGAAGGGAAAACGAAGTTGGTCTCCAGTTGTAGCCATCATCAGGAGAAAGCCTCCTGGTGTAAGCAGGCTTCGGATCGTCATCAGCGCCGTTCTCTGTTTCGTGAAGAACCTGTGAGCAATGACCAAGTCGAAAGAGCCGGGAGCGATATCGTCTGTCTCTCCAACTCCGTGATCAACGTCGAAAGGTTTGAAATCAACTCTCAGATTATCCGCAGATAAGTGTGTTTTGACCTCCCCATTAGCGTCCGCAGACCCATCCACAATAGTATATGAATTCAAAGCATGTCTGAGCTCTTGACATACAGAGGAAGAGGTATGATTCCTGAAACAAGATCGGGGAAGACCCTGCGGCTGATGCTCCGAGAATATGTCGAGAGTAGGGTCCATGGAGGGTTGCAAAAGTGGTTGCGGTGCCCAGCACTATTGAGGATGTTGCTGTGGTTGAGGTCGCTCGAGCCAAGGTGAAGGAGTATTTTGGAAAGAGTGGTAGAAAGCACAGGGCCATCGAAGCCCGAGGGAAGCCATGGAGTTTATCAAGTTTGACAGGGTTCGTAATTATACATAAGACAGGTACAGTCTACGCGTGTAGGACTAGTTCAAAACGACATCCATGTGTTTCCGTAACTAAGCCCGATATATCTCCTCGGAGCAGTATCAATCGCTTTCCTAGGTGATGAAGCCGGTCTCGAAGTTTATTGTAAGTAATTTCCATGTTGCGCAAATCCTTGTTTGATGCTCATATTTCCTTCAATGGCCTGTATCATGGCGGAGGATGTCCTCGGAAGGCGCATGTTGCGGGAAGGCGCACTCCCTTCTATATTGCGGGGGAATGATTGAAGACGCTGCTTATCTCACCAAGTCGTACGATGAAGCTTTCGATATGAGGGTTTTGTCTCATGATGTAATTATCTTACAATCTGGTGATGTAAGGAGTAGGTTGCACGTTATTTCGACTCTTCACCGTCTTTTCGGACAGATCTCTTATTTGCATATATTTAAAGAAATGCCAACTGTCGCAAAACTGTCGCCGTGAGAATAGTTCGCACCACAATTAAAGTGCTCGAGATGCCCGGTATAATGAGTCCTCCTATATTGCTCTGCTTTGCAATCATCGGCATGGCAGTTTCCGTGGCTGCCGAATCCACGACATCGTCAGATCACAACCGATCAGAGAATGTTATCGGTAACTACTACAACCAGTACAGTATCTCTGATCCCCAATATAGGTTTAGCAATAGCTAACATTATGTAGCTGGATCTATTCCGATGGTGTTTACGACCTTACGAGATCCGATGTCATGAATGTGACGGAACCCAAGCGACTCACCAACATGCTGGGATCTCGCAAGACGGCTATTATAGAGCCATCAAGAACCGCGCTGGTGATGATCGATATGCAGAGTGACCGGTTCAGTCCTGAGGAGTGGCGTTTCGGGTAGGCTGACGATAATGTGTTAGACTTTTTCCTGCATCCTGCTCTCGCGCCGGACGCAACAGCAGGTAGGAACATTGTTAATACAACGGTCAACACGGTGAAGTCGTTCCGTGAAGCCAATATGAAAACCTTATGGGTCAATGTAAGTGTCTGGAATTTCATCTCCATCTGTGCCGATAATTAATCATTAGGGAAAAGTGGGGAATTGATGACTTCGATCTCTTGACGATGCCACCGCCTCTCTTGAGTGATTTCAGCAACGGGTCTAATTCGATGTCCAGTCTGTATTTCCCTGGAGTCACTAAATCTACTTGCTGGACTGACATAAGAGTAGGCACATTCGGCAGCGACATGGGAGAAATCGACGGCATTAGGCCTGGTAGGCTGTTGTGGCGAGGGGCCTGGAATAGTCGGTTGTATGGGCCGCTGGATCGCCTTTACACAGAGGGTGCCAAGCTGGGGACCGATCTTTGGTTTCACAAAAGTAGAGCATCAGGAACTATCGACCTTCGCCTTGCAATATTTCTGACATTTTATTAGATCGACAGAGCGGTCTCTGGGGAGCCCAGACACCGCTGGGCCTCTGGCTTCAGGAGAATCAGATCACTACGCTATTCCTCGGCGGAGTCAATATAGACCAGTGTGTGGTAAGTCATGGTAAATTCCTCATTATAATGTAAACCTATCTAACACATATACAGTGGGGAACCCTTGTTGATGCGTCCTACAGAGGGCTTGATGTTATACTCGTCCCTGACCTTTCAGCGACAACTAGTCCCTTTTAGTAAGTATGCAATTGAGATATTAATGCGACAACAAACTCTGACCCTCAAACAGCGCAACACAGATGGTCTACTACAATACGGACTGTAAGACTTCCTCGGCCTTGGAAACACATTTTCTAACAATGCAATCCAGCAAGGGGCTTCTTGGCCAATTCCACTCAAATTCTAGAGAGCTTGGCAAAATGTGCACCTGATGTCCAGGGATTAATTATCCTATTCTAGTTTTTTGTTGGTGATTACCCCGCCGCACGGCCTTTGTCGATCAAGGGATGAGTAGGCAGAGTTGCGGGGGCTTGGTTCAGGGACGATCTACTTGTTCAGCTCATAGTGAAGCTCTACCTAGAGTCCCGGGGCTATATTTAGAACAACAAAATCTGTTCGTTACTCGTAATATTGTCTATGTATCTGCTATACCCATATAATATCAATCAATATAAATATAAGCGCCGCAAAAGCTCAGCCAACACCAGAGTATAAATAAGAAGTTCAAACATTGCGAATCCGATAAATTTCAAATCGCCTGCATTGCTCGCTAATTCCGATTGAATCGAACCAAAGAAAACCAAACAAATTCAGACAAATTGACCCAGTAGAGAAAAGGAAAGACATGTAATCAAGGAAATGTGAGAGATAAACTAAAGAAAGACAGGCTCAAGGCTATATATGATGCAAATGATCGACAGAGAATTGTGAATCACGCTGAAATAACAAGACCTCGCTGAGAGAAAGACATAAACAATAGTTCAAACCGAGATAAACACAGAAGAAAGGAGGCTCAAGGAGTGAAGCACGAGTCAAATGACAAAACAAGGAGAATTAAGTAGTGTGGTTTTGTGTGGAGAGGATTAGAAACTGAAAAGCCCGCTTCGTTTCTTTCCAAGAGGGTACACAACCAAGGCGGCGAGAAAGAGCCCGACCGTGAAGCCGATGGCTACCTGCACCATTCCGTATCCAATGTCAAAGACGACACCATGGAATTGGTCCTGTGAGGTAGGACCCTGGGTCATATTCTTGGCGGCATCCATGAAGCCCTGGGTGCCGTTCGAAACGACGGCGTAGGGCGAGTTTTGGGAGGTGATTTGCTCGGCCGATGCGATCCCCGAGATTAACGATCCGCTGGCAGCCAGCCCAGATGGAACCAGAACGAAGATGGCGGGCAGCATCGCGGCCGCGGCGAATCCGTGTCGTAGTCGGCTATAAAGATTGCCCAGGATCCCGATGACAAAGGCTCCCAGGGCGTTGGAAACCTGGGTGCTGGAGGCGAAGCGCTTCGCGCCAAAGTAATTCGTCACGTAGCCGGCAAATGCGATGACCAGCATCATAGGCACTTGCTTCCATTTCGCCTGGTTGACAAGTGCAAGGCACAAGGTAAAGCATATGACAAACGGGAAACGCTGAAGGTATTCATTGGTAATCGGACTGGCTGGGCACGTGTATTCAGCAGATGCATCCCCGTCCAACAGGCCGTAGACCGCAGTGCCGATGGTGATTCCAAATCCGAGAAATAGGGAGTAGATGATGGCGTAGACCATGCGCACAGACCCGGCAACGATGCTTCGTGACTGCAGCTCCAAACTAGCGCAGAGAACCATGTATCCAGGCAAGATGAGAGCGATCGATGATTGGGCCAATGCCGAGAAACAGAAAAGACGGTCTCCATTGTATCGAATGCTACCGAAAGCCCGAGCCAAGAAGGAAGTCAACACTGCGGCAGAGATCTCGAAGACGTTCGAGTACAGGTCCGACCGCGGAGACAAGACGAGCTGCAGGGTCCCAAGCAGGCAACCAAGCAGGAAGGCGATGGGCATGTCGATGGGGCGCGCGTTGAATGCAAACGGACCAACAGATGCGCTGGCACAGCCATGCACCAGAATCAGAAGCCAGATCGGGTATTTGTTCTTTTTCTTCATGATCTCGTCTAGCCGTTGAATGGCCTCTTCGATGCCAATAACGTCATGAATGACCTCTTTATACACAGCATGCACGTCGGATAGTTTTCCCAAGTCAATTCCCTGGGGAGATCGTACCACTTTGACCTCGGTGGTGTGAGTGGATGCGTCATCGAAGGAAATAATCATGCAGCCCGGGATATACAGGAATTGACCGTCGATCTCCAGGACACGAGCGGTCATCTTCATGTACTCCTCAAGTCGGTGGGTAGGTGCCCCGTACTTCATCAGGGCACGACACAGCCGAATTAGGTATCGCTGGCGAGACAACAGCTCGGCAATGTGGACAGTGACGCGGATTTCGTCCTCCAGCTGGGGTTTGCCCATCCTTTTCGGAGCCAGCGGCACGGTCCCGCTGCTGCGCGAGCGGGTAAGCTTCGAAATAGGGGAGCTCTTCGCCGTGGATCCCGACAGTGAAGTCATGGACTGATTCGGCGATTTTTCATACCACTTTCGGGGCTTCTGGGGCTTCCAGCTGGGGTCTGGGGACAAACCTCGTCCGCTGAGGTCGCCAGAGCTGCTCTGCCGCGAGTGGCCATATCGACCTCGTGGGGGAAAGTGGCTCACGGGCTGGTCGTAGAGCTTGAGAAGCGAAGAGAGGATGCCTCCCCGATAGTGGGTCGGCCGTTCAACGTAAGCGTCAGGGTCCCTCTCCTCCATGGGAGTGACTTGGCCGGAACGGAATCCGGGTGAGGGGGCTCGGATCCGAGTGATAAAGTTGAGATCTTTGCGAGTCATTTGTCGCACAAGTTGATGGGCTTCGGCGGTGCGTGTTGAGGGTCGTCCGTCTAGTGGGGCGTATTCATCGTCGTCGGAGAAGTTGTACTGTTTTTCAGGGAGACCGATCATGGGAATTTCATCCCCATCTTCTTCCAAGGGAAGGGCCGCCTCCGTGGGGGTTGACGCGATCGATGACGGCAGACTGGACCAAGGGCTTGGTTTGGGAGATTTGGAAGAGCGACCTAGGAGGGAGGCAAGTCTTTGAGCTCTCTCCTGAGCCGAGTGAATGGCTCTCCCCTTCTCATAACTGACCTCATCATCGCCGACGAGACCCGGGGAGCTCGCTCGCGAGTGGATCGTTAAACCCGTGGCACCTACCGGTGAACTAGTACTGATATCGACCAAGGGCAACGATTGGGTGTCGTGGGGAGCTCTCTCTGCCGGAGGAATGCTGGCAATGGGCAACGGCCTCTGTGGCAGCAGCGATGAACCCCTTCCATCGAACAAGGTCTCTGACGTTGGTCCTGAGGGACATGCGGTAAGCCCCGCCTCGCTCACACTGAACTTGACGCGATTCGCGCTTTTAAGAATGCCTGCATTCCTCTGCTTGCCCTGATGTGGACTGGCGTCCATTGACCGTTCCTGCAAGATCTCATTGGGGGTCACCACGGGTGAGACACGCGGCCCTACAGAGGATCTGTTGTAAGGAGGTCCCGATACATCAGTAACGCTCGAGCGCCGGGACGAGGACATTGGTAGATCAAAATAGCCTCCAGCCATTTTCCTTTGTGTGGTACCTCCCCGAATTCTTTACGAAACTGATAGAGATGGTCTGAGTCTGAACAGAGGGACAATATCCCTTGAGACACTTCTGTCTATTCTTTTCCCCTTTCCTTGTTTTTCCTGAGTAGATTTTACTCCGTAAAGTTTGTGAGTGGCGGTCTAAGGATTCAGTTAGATAAGAAATTGCATCATTAGGAGACTCAGTAGATTGACTTATGAAGTCAAGAAAACGTACTTGTAGGATGTCTGCCAGGGGTAAAAGACGGGCACGGACGTGAAATGTAGCGGTACCTTTGGAATCAATCCACGACGGATGAAGCTGATCGTTGTTTGGAAGGAAGGGGGTGAAGGTCCCGCTACAAAGAATGGTGGTACGTCACCGATGCATAGTCAAAAGAGAGGCGCAAATCAGGGCGTTCAGGGAAAATGTCCTAACGGCAAAAACAAGCAAGAGGAATCGAAGGCGCCGGGGAGGATATGATGCAAGAGAGGGTAGAAGATAGGACAGTATAAGAGGAGTTCTAAATTGTCCGATGAATGAAAGCAGCAGCGAGTACACCCAGGGGAAGATCAATCACCAAGCTTAGAGCACAATATTGATCATATGAAAGGAAAGAGCAATTGAACAAATTCTGCGCGGACTTTTCGCGTCGGTTTGTGTAGCAAAAAAGCGCTCGGAGGAATAAAGATTAGATATTAAATAAACGTCCCACAGTTGACAAGTGCGATTATGACGGTTAGGACCTGGGATAAGGGATATAAAAAGGACCAAAAGGAGAGGAGAGGATGATTTGTATCGAACCGGGGTCCATTGCCACCATGATAAATCACCGGAAAGGTCGAAAGGCGTGACGAATCTGGCAGATGAATCACAGACCCCCAGGGCCCAGGCAGGGAAGTTCGAAAATATTGTGAGTTTAGAAATCAAATAGATCGTTCCAGTTTTCAGGGCCCCGACCAATGGCTGTGGTTTCAGAGGATCCAGAATAGAATATGATGATAAAAACTTTTCGGAAAAGAGGGTGACACCCAACCCCAGGGGGGACTAGAACGGCATTCAGGCATAAGCAGGACTGCTTTTTTTGCGACTATCTTGGATTGCGGCCACGGTCGTCGACGGAAGCGGATCCACGGGCTCCACGATTCGGTGCCACAGTGCCTAGAAAACAGGGTGACATTGGCTGGCAAGAACCGAAGGGAAAGCAAGAAAAATAAGGGCGATAACAGCTAGTAGCTGTGATTTCCCTTTTTTTTTTTTTTTTTTTTCTTTTTTTTTCTTTTTTTTCCTTTGTTTTCCGAGCGGGAGCTTTCTCCTATCCTTGATTTTTTGATTTGACGTTTGGCCTCTTGTCCGACACATTTTTCTTAGCAACTTTTTTTCCTATCTTCTCTCCACCATGAAGCTTCACTGTCTTTCGAATTTTCCGCCCTGCAATAGTCAAGAAATTAGTTCATTTAGCTATGCAGTCGCACATCGAAAGAAATAACAATATAATGTTGGGCTGAATTGTCGAACATACCCCACCAGGTGGAACAGCCTGGATCATCCTTCTGGAACCTCTCAAGCCGCAAGAACAATGGACCCCATTGATAGATGCGAAGAGAAGGGACGAATGCGGTTCCAGAGTCCGCCGTCACCACTTAGAAAAAATCCTTTTCTTGCTTTTTCCTTATTCCTTCTTCCTTTTTTTTCCCTTTCGTGCATTTCTAAATTTTCTTTTTTTCTTTATCTCGGAGGCAAAAACCGTAGTGGATCCACAAAGCCCCGAAGGAACAAGTTTATTATGGATTCCATGATAGCGATTCTTCTCTTAGCGCCCGAGCCGGACCGTGGACCGGAGGACCCAGGGACAAGCGAGAGGGAGTCAGAGAGACAACAAGGGGACCCACGAACGATCGGTCGGTCTGGACGCGGATCCCGTAGGTTTTTTTCGCAAGGAGGGATGGGATTGCGCGAATAGGAGACGTTATCGTCAGCACGTCAGGTCTCTCGGCAACCCGATGGCAGTGAAGGTCAAAGCCGATAGGGTGGTTACGGGTCATCGGTCTCTCTCACCCCCCCTGAGCGATAGACGGAGTGTCCATGCATGACGAAAGCTTAGACTAGATCGAAGTGATTCCTTGTTCCCAGCACGCCATCATCGTCATTGACAGGGAAAAGGGGAGGCGAAGGGTGGGTATGTTCGAGCGTTGGCTAGATAGCTGATAGCTGCTAGCAGGGTCAGCGAAATGCATTACGAAGCTTCTGGCGGGCTCTGGAATCCCGGGATCGTCGTCACATGAGACGAATAAGTCATGCATGGACCAGAGAGGAGGAAAGTATTAGCCAGGCAGAACAATACATAGATAGAACAATGACAGATAAAGAAACAGAGGGAAGTGGGGAGCGGAAGAAAGGGAGGAGGGGCAAAAAGCGAAGAAAAAGAGGTGAAGGTGATGTTGGCAGTTGGTCTTGGACTGCTGCAACTGCAAGTCACGCCTACAGATTACGAATCCCTCCCTTTGGCTAGTCGCCCCTGGGTGCAGCGCGATGGTCCCTGATGATCAGCGCCAAATGACTGACTATAGCCTAAACTGTGAGGGATTGACCGTTGATCCGGTGGACTCCATGCAAGACGCACTGGGCACCCGAAGGTCTGTCCGTTTTGTTTTTCTCTTCTTTTTTTCGAGAACTGCATGTCCCCCCTTTAATTGGGCTGCATGGCAATTTTTGATATGAGCTCTGATAGCTGCCCAACTGTACACTAGCCTAGTATATTAATTCAATCAATTGTCTAGGCAACCTGTTTCATACTATCGACAAGTCCGTAGGTCCGCAGGTAGTCCGTAGTGAAACGGCCTGCCTCGTGGCTGGACTTTGTTTCAGAGCTCGGGATTATCAAGACATAACTGATAGGTATGAGAGCTTGGAATGCTTCTGGGGGTTTCAGGCAACAACTCCTTACATTTGTTTAGCATTGCTGTCGGTCATGTCAGATCCACTTTTACACAGCCCTGGGTCACTGATCCATACTCATTCCGTATTGTCCGGCTACCGGGAAATGACTAGAAAGACTATTGTGTGTGTATATGATTTTCATGATTGACACGAATAGTGCGACCGATCCACCGAGAAATATTCTTAGAAACCGACAGAACATCAACCGTCTTCTGAGCTTGATCTTCCACATACTCCATGATCCTCCTGGCTCAGTCACTGCGAAAGGTCATTTCGTCTCAAACATGTGCAATTTCCACCTCGTCGCCTGTACTCCGTATGTCTGACACCCTTCTCTCCATGATGTCAGTGCTCACTTGCTCCCAGATTTCCCAGATATCGCAAGCGGGGTGTTACACAGGCGCTTTTCTCGCCCCGTCATATCTCCCAGCCCATCTGCTGGGCTCGATCTGGATGCAATAGGGAAGGGGAGGTTCGAATTGAAACCCGGGGGGGTTCTGTACGATGCGAGCCAGTCAGACCTGGGACTCCGTCTCATATCCGGTGAGCGGAAGGGTCAATAATCACACACGCGGTCAACCCAGCCCTGTGTCATCATTCATCATCCCCATCATAACCCAATTTGCTAGCCGGGGTCCGTGTCACCCAACGGGATCCGATTCATTTCCCTGCGCGACTTCGAGAGGATGCTGGTACGACACCCAATGGTGCAGGGACCAATACCTAATTATCGATCCGAGAGCTGAGGCAGAGGCGCCTGCAAAGAACCTCCCGTCACACCGGGGAGAATGGCATGCCGAGCCGGGACGCGGATGTATGTGCCCTTCTCGGGTGTGATGGTCAGGAAGCGGATGAGAGATTCTGTCATGTTTTGACTGTGGGGTCTGGGGGATCACGGAGTATCTTGTGCCCCATTTCCTTTGTTGGTGAGGATGACTACGCCATCCTATAGTAGCTGTCAGGGTCAGATATTCAGCGTCCAGAGCCATGGAAAGAAGGAGCCTTAGTCATCGGCCGATCCGAGCTTCTGCTATTTCGGGAACGAGTGGGTCCGAGCTTATTTTCCTCGCCGGACGGCCTGAGGCAGGAGGGATGGCCGGTTGCGATCTTAGCAACGGGCGTTGAGCGAGGGCAGTCTGCCATACAACTTGCTATGCACACAAACTAAAGTAGAGTAGAACCAACCTTCTGGTCAAGTTTTGATTGGGGTAACATCGTCTCAACCCACCAACAACCCCAAAAGATGTTTCCTTCTTCATTCACATTTCGCGCATCATCAGTCAGAATCAGAGAAGCTGGCTCAATGACTCAATTGAAGCCAGCCAATCGTACTAATGGCCTTATCAGCACCCCGGCATCCGAAAGTAGGTCTTTCCTTTTTTTTTTTTTTTTTCTTTTAGAATAGTACTCCGTAGACTAGGCGCCATAAGGCCAAATTCTCGTTTAAACCACAGGTCAACCGGGCGCGGAACCCAGTTCCTCAAGGGGTCGATCCACTCTAACCGCACAACGACGCTGAATCCTTCGGAACTAGATAACCGTAGCCTCTGGCTCCCAAGCTTCTAGATCTGTTCTGCCCCAGTTATATTGTCGGTCATGTGGCTGGCAAAAGATATCTAGTTTTTTTTTTTTTTTTTTTTTTTTTTTTCTGTCTCTCTGGATTTTGCCCCTCCCCCCTCTTTCTAATTCTGGTTTCTCAACGGATTGCTCACTACGTTGATTAAAATTTGATAATGAGAATCAGGAGTGAAGCTCACTAGTTCTTAGCGCTGGCCAGCCACTCACTGATTTTTCTAGTCCAATATCAAGTGGTCCATGCAGCAGGTAGGTACGGACACCACATGCTCCGTATCTCAGCAATCACATGGCCTTGCAGGTTCTTCGACATGAATGATTGGGCGTGGCTCACTCATTCTCGATCCGGCCGGTCTGTCCAACCCTCCTTCTTCGTGCTTTTATGGTCTGTGTCCCCCTTGTTTGTGCTGATAACGCTAGCTGGTCCTGAGTCTCGTTCCCCAGTAGTTAGTTACAGTTCTAGGTGTTAGAAATCATGGAAAGAAATCAATCAGCTTCTGAAACCGGGGCTATCTTGCAGAGATTGCACCGACTGATCTTGGCCTATAGTACTTCTGACTATCGCTTGTTTTCTCCCTCTGGACTCTAAGTCGGTGGAACTTTTGGGTTGGAAAAAGAAATCCCCCGATCCACCACCCATCACCTACGGAGATTAATTTGAAAATAATGTATCCACGGGCAAATAAGACAGCAAAAAATGAAGAGCTGCAGCATGCAAAACTGCAGACTGAAGATCCGTGCACTGAACAATTCATGCAAGTCTATCGTGCTCCATCGTTAGGTGCCCAAGTCCGAGATACCTACTTACTACTGTAGTTACCCACCACCTAGGGACGTATGCTGCATGCTGGTATCCAATCCAATCGGGACAGGCGATACGCTTGAAATCATCCTGAACAAGCACCGACCTATCGTGCCCCTTATCCAGCAAGAAGCATTTCTTCTTTCCTTCACCGAACCGGCCATTTTATTCCCACGTGGTGCAGATGAACAGACTAGATGGTGCAATCTGCCAAAAACAGGTTTCTCCCCAATCGCCCAGCTAACAACTGCGAACCAATTCCCTTTGCAATGTACAATCATGGAATGAAGTCATGATCATCGCCGTTGATGCAATATCCAATTCAAATATTCCTACCCAATTGAGCTTGGTTGATACTGACGCTGACAAGTAATTACTACCTTGTTCGCGCCTTTCTTCGTATATTCATCCCGCGAGTTAAACACCACATCATATCAGTTCCGTTGCATCGCATCACATCGCATTATCGCATTGGATAGGATAAGCCTCGTCTTATCAGCCCTGAACACGCGGGACTTTCCGTTCCCTGTGGATCGATAAGCGTGCATGTCGACTAAACTGGTAGTAGATACATAGGTAGATACGACAATGTCTACCTCAGGTTAGGTACTGATTGGCACTGGAGTAGTCGAGAGTCGAGAGCCATAGCGCTTACATATTCCATTCGTTTGTCTGTCTGTCTCTTCCTATCTCCCGTCCTAGTTGCATATCTACCTACCTTCTAGCTACTTACCCTACATGCCTAAAGCAGTCGATCTCATGGATGGCCACTTCATCGGACAATTAGCAACGGAGTGGCTATTCATTGCATATCCTGGTTTACTTCTCTTGTCTCATGCCTCATGCCCGCCTATCTGTCCGTACGGAGTACTCCTCAGAACGGACATGCATGGCAGATGGCGGTCAAGATCCCATTCGCCACTGATGGTGATAGGCTGGGTTTACTATACCCTCAGAAATCGATCCACATATTTGTGACGTGGAAAGGTCACTTGGTTTTGGTTACGTTATAGTTATATATTATAGTGTGGAAAACTAAATTGCTGTAGTAGGAACAATCCTCTCAAAGAGCAGGCGGATCAATCCGAAGAGAGGGAAACAGTGCTTATGTCTGATAGACAAGTAGTCTGGGTGAAAGAAAGAAACAAGATCTACTAAAGAATGTCTGTCTGTCTAGCTGCTTTATCTGCCGCTGTAAAATTGAATTTGGAATCGGAATCAATCCCTAGCTATTGCATCGCAGTCCATAATACCGGTGGTGGTAGCGCAACAACAAACTGATCCAAGTCCCAGCCAGGAGAAACACCCCAACTCCATTGCTTGCATGCTGCCTGAATTGAACGAACAAACAAACCCAAAGCATTCCCGGGCCGACAACGAAAGGTCAGGCCCGAGAAAGTCGGAAATCAAAGACAAAAAAAAAAGTACATGATCAGTGAACGAGGTATTTACATGTTTCCCTTGTTCAACATATAAGCTCATAGCGTATCTTATCCTCGTCGTTCGACTCGGCTGAGGGCCCCGAGGATCACGCCGATGTCCTCTCGAGCGCGTGGCCGAAGGCTGAGGTCTTTTTGCTCTCCTTGCTCTTCCAAGGCAAGTCTTCCTAGTGATTTTCTGGCTTCGCGCTCGTCTAATCGCTCGGCGCATATGCGCAGGATCCGCGACGATACATTGTCGGACATAGCCCGATATAGCTCGATATCATGGATGCCAGCCGCGAACGAATCCAAGGTCGGTGCAAGACCAGACGTAATACGGGACAAACGCGTAGAGATGGTTGAGGGGTTGGTTGGAGGTAGAGTAGTGGCGTTCGAAGGTGACTCTGCTTCTTCGGACTGCGCGGTTGAATGTCGCTTTGTGGCATCGGGGTCTATCAAGGCATAGAGTTTGAGTTGAGAAGGCTCAAGGAGTGAAATATCGATCGAGTCGGGCTGAGGCGACTGCTTCTGGTGCCCAGGTTTATTGGAGTCAGATTCTGTTTGCGACGACGGCTGCTCGGTGTGCCCATTTGTTGCAGTATCCGGTTGGCTTGGGGGTTGCTTAATCGGTGGGATAGGCGACGGTCGAAGGAGTGCACTCAGAGAATGCTTCTGCTTTTGTAGCCTTTGATTATTGTTAGCAACCTAGCTTCACTATCATCAGTAATCAGCTCATCAATTCTTACTTCGAGATTTGCTCCTCCAATTCCTTGATCTTCTCTGTGTTCTGCACATTCTTTGGGTTCGGCTTCTTGACCACGACCGATGGAGGGTTGATGTCTTCCCGCGAGAACCAGTTCGATAGCTCGGAATTAGTGGAAAATTCCTTCAGAATCTCCTCCTGAATCACACGCGCTGCTAATTGTCAGTCACAGGAACCATCAAGTTTTATTGATGTAGCCTACCCGCCAAATGCACGCTAGCATCCTCAGCGCCCGACCCAGTAAGCTTCTCTCCCAACGCGCGAGTTGCACACCAAGTCAAAAGTTGACGCATCCTCCTCGGCTCTGGTAGACCATCACTGGCAATGTGCTTGTAGAAGTCTGCTGTGCCAACTTCCTTGTGCGGTAAAGCTATAAGCCGTTAGCATCGCGCGTTGAAATGCTTGATCCGGAAATTTCTCACCATTCGAAACCCCAGAATCGATAAGCGAACTAGCTCGTCGCCCTCTCATCCCTAAACTGCTTCGCCTGTTTCCTTTCCCTGCCTTTGTCTGCCCCCTCATTTCCTTATTCCGTTGAATAACCGGCGTGTCGGCCGCAGGGAGTGCAATTGTTGCCGTCCCAGCCTTCGGAGGCTCCGGGGACACGAATCCGTTTCGCCGCTCGGCCTCCTCATTCGATTTGCTCGGTCGTCCTCTCCGTTTCTTTTTCTCCTTCTCCTTGGGTGCTGGCTCAGTACGATCACGATTGCGCGTTGAGCGCGTATCATTTGCCGGCTGAGGCTGCTGTAGTGGTTGTGGTTGCGGTTGTGCGTGGGTTTGCGTTTGCGTTTGAGATTGAACTTCAGGCTCAGGCGCCGGGGCTTTCGCCTTCCCTCTCGTCGACCGCTTCGCTCGAGGTTCCGTCGTGTGATTCGTGTCGGCAGGAGCTTCAGGCTTCTCTGCAGGTCGCTTTTTCGGCGGGCGACCTCTCTTCGGTGACGGCTGCGGTGCAGATTCTTCAGTGACATGCTCTGGAATGGCGGCCACCGTGGGTTTTGATTTCTTGGGCGGTAGACGTGTGAATTGAAAATCATCGTCGTCCTCGCTGAAAGAATCTGCAGTAGCGACCGAATATAACCATTAGCGAGTACTCTTGACAGCGCATTCAAGGCGCAAGCCGAAGATTTCGAGTTCTAAACTCGTAGTACGGTTTAAAAATGGTAAAATCCCGGGAAACTCACTCTTTCTTTTCCCGCGCGTTGACGTTTCCTCGGCCTTCTCCTGACTGTTCAAACTCAGTCGCGCACTCGACCTCGTGCCTTTCCGACCCGCTTTGCCAGACGTGGCGGATGACGCAGGACGCGCCTGCGCCTGGGAAGTTGCCATGTCGATGGTTCTTAGGGGGTCGCGATATTTCGTTCTCGCTGTAGGGGTGGCCACAACAGTGACGGTCATGTCAAGACCAAGAGAAGGTGGGGCGAGGAGGGGCGTATATGGAAGTGAAAACGCGGACGAAGCTCGAGCAGATGCTTAAGCTGACTTAACAGCGCCTTATCACAGCGATGACCCTTTTGCTGGTCGAGAATAATGGCGGTGCTGCAGAGGGCGGTCTGTTGCGAACGATCCGGCTGGCTTTATCTTCTCGAGCTCTCTTCCCTCAGCAAGTCCACATTCGCGGCACGCTCAGCAATCGAGATATCCCAATATAATCAATCAATCCGCGCCGTTGCGAATTTTCTCAAATGTGCTTCTCATCCGACTGGCGCGGGTGGATGGATGTCGCGCGGTCGCAGTTGACTAGGGAAGCTCGGTTCCGCGAATTCGGTCAACGGAGATTGGGGGGGATTTTCAGGACGTGTAGTCGGTCTTCGGGGAGGCGCGTCCAACAACCAGACACAATTGGGAATTGAGGCGTGTGATAATTAGAATAGACACATAGGTCTTTGGCGGGATTAAGTGGACGCTCCTTGCGCAGCAGGGCTCTCAGACCGGCGTTGTCGGGGTCGATGGGGGGTTTACTCTTGCAAGTCGCCGCAGCACGCGGTTGTTTTGGTCGTGGCGCGTGGGGGGATGGCGCGCTAAGCCCTTTTGGGGGTGACACTCCTCCGCCTTCATCCTCGCGACGTATTGTCGGTATGGGATTATCACGATTAAGATATCAAGCATAAGGATGTGTGGTAGGTTATCATGTGTCAAAATTACATTTGGCCTTTGATTTGCCTCAATATGTCCAATGGCTATCTAACATGCACCTCTCCGCCCGCTGGCGCTCATGGTCCAGATTTATCACAAAAGTTACAACAATGATAGCTCAATCGCTAAGGATGAAAGGCTCCTGGCCTTCTTCAAATCAAATCAAATCACGAAACGCCCTAAAAATGACAAGTCACCCCGACCGGGAGCGAACTGTGTTTATGGAAACCCGTCGCCTTCGAATGGTGGAGCCAGACTACCTTCGATTCTGCGTTTAGCGGCTTGAATCTCTTCAGCGGTGAGATTCTCGCGCTTCTTAGGCATGTCAGGCTCGAACTGAGGGATGTCTGGACTGTGGCCCACAGACATACCCACTCGGATCTAGAAAACAAAGAAGCTTCTGTTAGCGAACCTTGTGCGTCTCGTTCAGCAAGGGGGTGCGGTGCTTACCAAAGTTTCCAAAGGTCCTTTCGAGTTGTCCACAAGGTCAGTATCGAATCTCATTGCCCCTTCCTCGAAAAGGACAAGGAGAGTACTTCCACCAAATTTGAAGTATCCAAGCTCTTCACCGCGAGAAACCTTGTCTCCAGCCTGTCGGGTAATCACAGTGCTACCAACCATCATGGCCCCAACGCAGACCACCATCACACGGCCATGTGCGACCGAATCAATCGGCACTAAGATCCGCACATTCTCGCCGTACACATCCAGTGCAGAACGGATGGCCATAGGGTTGACGGTGTAGTATTCACCTTCAATGGTCTTCGGTGTTCCCATGACACCATCAACTGGAATGTGGAAACGATGGTAGTCCTGAGGTGCAAGACGGAAAACGCCCAATGCTCCGTTCTTGTACCGATGGGCATCCTCGGGATAGGCATTTCCGAGGAGGCGCTCGATAGAGAACTCCCGCCCCTTGACCCAGATGCTAGTTGCATCACTCATGCGGTCAAAAACGACCGATCGGCAATCAGCCGGAGAGACCACAACCCTAGGCTCGTTGGGGGCCGAACAAGGGCGAGCCTCTGGCTTGAGTTGACGGTAGAAGAACTCGTTGAAATTCTTGAACTGATCTAAGGGTAGCAGAACCTCGGACAAATCCAGTTGATGGAAGTTGATGAAGTCTTGAATCTGGCTTGCCGAATCCGGGTCGTCGTATTTTTTGCCTTGCTTGATACTGAGAGACTTCAAGATCTTACGAACTGTTGTAAGTTGTTAGCTTTTTCTCTTCCTTTTTCAGCCGATTCGCATATCCAGAGGGCCATACTTCGCTTCTTCTCCATATCTCGGCTCTTCAGCCCCTTATACAGCAGACGAATACCAAGACGAACGTAGACACTCATCCGCTCCTCGTTGATCTGTCCTGTGATCCGATCTTGAACGAGAATATTTGCGGAATTGGCTCCTAGCTTATAACCTCCGTAGGAAATCTTTGTGATAACCTTGGTGTACCACTTGCGCTGTGCTTGACTTGAGGTCACAAAGCCGCCCATCACCAGGTTGTCGACCTGACGCCAGTCTCGACTCGCACAAGTGGCAATGTGGGTAATGATATCCGCGTCGGAGCGTTTCGAGAGTCGCGGCTGGTGGCACAGCGGACATTCGCGGATTTCAATCACATGCTCCTCACCTCGTTCATCGCCTAGATCATCTGGGTGAAGATCCTCTTCATTCAAGGCGAGCTGGTCTTCACTAGACAAGGTAGGTACGGACGTCGATTGAGGATCAGTGTTGGCAGGTAAGGCAGAAGCGGTTTCCAAATCATCGTCACCACTCGACGGGTCCTCGCTTTCCTGGCTGCCCGTGGAGGAGGTCGGCACGAGCTTCTTAATGTTAAGGCCTGAACGAGAGTTCTGCAGGGCCTGGAGGGTGTCCTCCAGACATATCACCACTTGATCAAACGTTAGGTCCATGGTCTCGGAACTCTCATTTTCCTCGCTGAAACGTTCGAAGAAGCTGTCAATGGTAGACTCTTTCAACGTTGAGCCGAGAGTGTCGAGCATTGTCGTAAGCTCGACTTTGTCGATGCGACCACTATCATCGGCGTCATACTGCCGAAGCATCAACCTCCAAAATTGTTGACGCAGAGCGCGATAAGGCATGTATTTAGCCTTCACAATGAGCTCCGGGGAATGTTTGTCCTCCCATCGCTCTTTGTTTTTCAGCGTCAGTGGGATGCGATACAATTGAAGCCCTTCTGACTCAAGGGGCGCGATTGCGCTATTATTTGTCGCGGTCGGGGCAGAGGAAATATTACTTCCCGAGCCCTCCTCGACGGCCAACGTAGGAAGAGACGTCGACAGCTCTTGGCTCGAGTGCACTGACTGACCCGACAGAGACGCAGTGCTACTCCGAGACCTCCCTTTATTGGACAGCTTCGACAAGCTATTAGTTGATGGGGACGGACTAATATCAATCTTAATTCCAGCCGTGTTTTCAGTTTCAGAGGTCTCAGACCCTGTTGGGTCAAGAGTAGGGTCCAAAAATTTGTAAAGACCCGTTTCCAAATCGGCCTCGGGGGCCGACTGGATCAACGTTTGAAGTGGAAAGCCAGCGGAAGCGACAAAGTCGTTGCCGGAGAACTTGTCCCTGTCCATCACAGTAAAGCTGATTGTATAAGACTGTTCGTGTTTCATGACTTGGAACACCATTTTCTCGTGGTATACTGGGTTTAGGTTGTGACGTATGACGGGTGTCCGGAGGGTCTTTCTTCCCAACGAGGTCACAACGAACGGGTCCATATCAAAGGAAGTACGGGTCACTGGTAGACATAATTCATAAGCTTGACTCTTGGGGATTGGGGTGATGAAGAAGCGGGGGCTGTAAACTCATACCATTTCGTTCCGGTGGAAGATCCGTTACTCTGACAATCTCCATGAATACAATTCCCTGGACCCCGTTTCCAGCGCCAGAAAACTGGTACGCTCGAGCTGCTAATGATTTGCGTTTGAGTCGTGCCAGCCGCAATCTTCTCCGCCGTTTCTCCACGACCTCGGGTTTCGCGGGATCGTCGGTCTCATCCGATGTTTCTTCATCTCTGTCGGCGTCGTCCAACACGATGGAAGGAATCTGCGGATAGTCTTCGTCGTCCTCGCTGGTACACACCACACTCTTGAATTTCTGGTAGATCTCATCGGGGGATGCGGAGGGGTTCGAGGGGTCGATAAGCGAGAATTGCAGAAGAATCTCTCCAGACACGGTGCTGTCCTTCTTCTTGACCCTTTTAGATTTCAGGGTATACCATTTCGGCTTCAGAGAAATGTCAGTCTGCGCAAGTCCCGTAATCTTCCAACCATGCAGTCAGGACCTACCAGCTGTTGTACCTCCCCGGGAGAAAAGATCTCTTCCAGGGGAATGTCAAACTCGCCCATGTAGTCCTTCCCAAATCTGTCATGATCCCAACAAATACATTCTAGCAGCGGCACCCCGACAACGGGCATTTCGAATACAACGTTCCATTCTGGGTTCAAGGTCTTTGGTATCGTGGGGGTTGATTGTCGCGCATCTCCGAGGGTAACGATGAGGTACTAAGCGGATAACGCCGGAAGTCAGTCACAGTTGTTGGAGGACGAGTTGAGGGGGTGCAGGTGTAACTCACCGGATCGCTAGTACCGTTTCTATCTTTTGCCGCGAGATTGCGCCCCTGTTGCAACGAGACGATTCGGGTCAGTTACAGGGAACAACCGGCAAAGCTTGACGTAATCTCGGCCGCAGAGGCAAAACATCACTCACCCGTAACACGTTAACCTTGAGAACGAGAGGGGGTTTTGAATCCGGGAACCTCATCGGACTTGTGCTCCGACTCTGACCGGGGGTCGAGGCATTGCTCCGAGTGCTCAGGTGAGAGGTCAGGCGTTGAGGAATCGGTAGCCGCACCATAATGGCCGTTCGGGAGGTGCGGGGGCTCAAACAGTGAGGCCGAAGACGGGACACGTCGCGTCAACACCGACGATTCGAGGCTCGAAAGGATAGAAAGGACAGAAGGATCGACAAGCGAGGGTTCGGCGGGTTAATTGGGCGGTTTGGATGGTATAAAGGACGGGGGAGGGCGTTGGGGATGCAGCTCTCCAACGACAGAGGTGTCGCGGTGAGGTTGTCGGTTTCCAGTGCCGGGTTGATCTACAATCCGCCCGGGTCGATCGAATTACGACACTCGGAGCCACAACAACGTACCGGACACGCTGCTCAGGATTTGAAACCCAGTGGCAACTGATGCGATCGGGACTGGGAGCGGAGAGGATGGAGAAGGAGAAATAACCACAAGGTGCAGGGTAAGAGAAAACAAGTACAGAATGGGAGGAAAACAAGTCGGGGGGGAAAAGGAGAGGCGACACGAACAACCGGGCGAGCGAAAGAAGAAAGGAAATAACAAGCTCACAATCCCGGGCGACGGACTGATGGGGCGGAGGGGGGAAGATTGGACCGATTACTAGTTTACGAGGTTCTTAACTCTCAAGAAGGTCAGCAATAATGGCAGCAAGAAGACTACTGTACTAATTTGGGGGGGGGAGGATTTAAATTAAATCCAGCCGGGAGGCTCCGCTATCACTATATTTATATCCTGGCATGTACAGTAAGTACCAAGATGCATGATGTGATTCTGATGACCCTCGTTCTTGATCCACGATCAATCCAAGTACATTAAATGAATACATAAACCTCCTAACGGCAATAAAATCCACGGAACCCTTCGGCTACGGGCCTTGGCGGTCATGGCCATGGCATTTCCCCAACAAGACGACGTCAGGCTAGAACTTGACAGAAAGGTGGTCTTGTCTTTGATCCACTGGCGACTCCACCGACTGACTTCTGGAGAGGGAAAAGTGGCTGCCTAGGCACTACTTGCCGATTTCTTTTCTCTTCTGGCCGTTTTGTACCACAGTCCCCGATGTGGCTCAGCAATGACCTTTGAGGATGAAGAAGAGGGGGAATTCCATTGACCATCATTGGTGCTCGGATGGATATCATCTGAACCACCCATGCATCCATGGATACAATGTCTCCGGTAGGGGATGGCATGGATGGAAGTATGGAGTAACTTCAATGGACTTTCACCGCCTCCCCCCTGACTGAACCAGAGCTTTTCTGAATTAAATCCCGCATTCCTCCTCAATAATCCGTGTTCCTGACTTCTTCTCTCATTTCTCAGTTGTTTGTTTCTTTTTTTTTTGTTTCTTTTTTATTCTCCGCGTTTCTGAAACCTGCCACTGTGGCACGGAGGAAGGGGGGCCATCTGCTTCTAATTCCATCATCCCTGGTGCTGCACTGCGAACTGCACCGTGCATATCATCCAAGTGGGCATTTAGCCTGCAGGAGTGCTGCATTGCTCCCAAACCAGTCACTCCCGCTAATTCAAACCATTAAATTCCAGGATGCTCCGTCGCGGTGGCTCCGAGCTAAATCGGAAATTTTGCCTTCTTATTGATGGACGATGTCTCAGCCTCCTCCGGTCTGCTTTCGTCCGCCGGGGGAATCAATTGACTGCTTACCACTAGACAGTAGTAGCAGGGAGTACCGAGGAGATACCACAAGATTCCTAGAGATTATCCCAACGTTTCCTGCTAGTATGCCGGTCTAGCTAAGTCTGCTAGTCATGCATACACCGTAGACTCGGGGTTATCATGCACGTTGGTTTTTAACTCCATGAATTGCGGCCGGTCGTGCCCCGCCATGAGCTTTGGGTGTTGGAAATCGGTTGGGAAGTTGACGCTATATTTTCGGTCCGAGACTTTCTCGCCCCTCCTCATCTTTCGCGTTCTTTTCGTCGGCGATGGTGGCAAGTGCAACGTCTCCAGAGTAGATGAGGGGAATTTAGGCCGAGATCAGGATTATTTACCCCGCCCTCGCCAGATGAATCCGCCATCCTGTTCCCATGGGCTTATGCCTATGGTAGTATCCATTCTACGGAGTAAGATTGGATCAATCAACCTCGGCCTTGTGCTCGTTGGCTATCGTTCCATTGCCTTCATTGGTCTACATATACGGTATCGGGCTATTCTGACGCAAAATTTATTCTGTTCTAACAGTCTTGAGGACTTGACGTTTGCCTTCTTCTCAATGAATGGTTTGCCGCAGAGCCCGCTCGATCTGGCGCTTTGAATGCCCCGTGTCAGATGTCTGTAAGCTAGTGACAGATGGATCATCTAGCTAAGATTAGTGGCTTGGTACCCTGGCTTTTCTAATCTCTGCTTATCGGAGGAGATGATCGATATTAATTAATTAGAACGGCCAACGCTCAGTCCTCGGTCCGCTTGGAGCCGGGATACAAGCGCTGCCAAGTTATCTATCCATTGCTGCGAGACCTTGCGTGGGGTGCACATAGTAGAGGGGATATGGTAAACAGGCCTGGGATCATTGAAACGGAATAATCGTCATTTTGTGTTAAGCAATAGATCTCCTACATTACAGAGGCTCTAAAGTTGACTTCATGTGTTGCTATTCTAGCTTGTTTATCCTTCTCCTTGTTTTTGTCCCTCACGCCAAGGTTCGTGAAATATATCTACGTGAGCGGGCGTTGATAGACACATGTACTCGGCCTGCTGAGACGGTGTAATACCGAAGAAGCTAGAGATATCAGGGCTCTTCGGAGGGAATCTAGGGCCCTTATTGACCACGCCCTGAAATAGTTTTCTTGCGTTGCTTTTGGTTATTCGTACTATGGTAGTGTCCCGTTCGTGTTTACGGAGCAGTAGAGATGCTATAAGGCGGTGAGTAATCGGAGTGCTACCCAGTACTGCCGTACTAAACCACACCGCCTCCTAGAGTTTGCTGTTAGAATCACGTGATATTAGTGATAGGAGTAAACGAGATGTGTCCCTCTCAACTCCATTGTGAGCTTCGGTCGGATTGCAGACTACTTAGTACACTGACACCTAATAGCTGAAGGCCGACAATCTAGTCGCAAGTTTCTTCTTAAATCTTCCGTCCCATGTTCAACTTATCACCTTCTCTCTTTTCTCACGTATACCCGTGTGGAGTATGGGGGACGACTAGCACACCTATCACCCTTTAACTCGGAGCGTTGCTTCAAACCCACCCCTTCGTAGACATGAAGAATCTCCTCACCTTCGAGTCACTACACCGTAGAAAACCCAGTCCCTACTCCGTACTTGACCCTTATTGTCGATCATCAGACCTAACCATACAGAGCCCGGCGGCAAGTCATGCCACCTGCTGACTAAACTGCCAATATTGGGGGGTTGCAGCAATCAGCTTGTAAAGTTCCTGATTGTCGCATCTCGTCGTGATCATTTGTCTCTTCAAACCATCCCCTCCCGCATTTTCACCTTGCCTTACTATTTGATTATTATTCCTGCTGCTGCGGGCTCGCTGTTCCAGTGGAGACCAGCCTTTCCGTGCATTGTCCACACCACCGCTGGTTCCATGGGCCCGATTGCTGCCTCTCTTTCCGATTGTTAAATATTAGATGAACTAGTAGCCCACCTCCACTCTTCGCCTCCTTCGCCGCGCTCTCCATGAGTCTGACAAACCCGCCATCGTCCGGTCCATTCACTGCATCGTCCAGGCCCGCAGCGGCCACCGTCAGCCAGAGTCTGTCTTTGAAAAAGAGCCTACAGACCGCTGTCGATGGTAATACCGATTAATATCATCATTATTCCCCCCACCCCATCACCTACCCAGTGACTGTCACTGTCTCTTTGCCACTTAAATTGATCTCTTACATTCTTTTCTTATTTTGTTAAACATTTTTGCCCTGTCTAGACCCGTCACTATGTGTTCTGGTGGATAAGGGGGTTTTATCCGCAGTCTATCTCAAATAATTCCGGAGGACACTTCCACGGTGACCGCCGGGTACTACGACGGCCCTTTCTATCTGTTTTTCTTTCATCATGTTTGGAAGGAATTTCCCGTTCTTTAATTCCATCGGCGGGTTTTATCCACGTGGTAATGGCTTTTCCCTCTGAATTGGCCGTGGGTCATTGGCTTGAATGGTTGTCATATTCGTTCTGTCTTCCTTCGGCTTTTCTTTCCCCTTCGTGCCTCTTCATTCCCCCTCTCCTATCACGGATGCGTTCTTACACTCAAATGCTTGGTCGGAAGAACGAGAATGGATCCGGTGGCTAACGTTATTCCGGTCTTGAAGACAATATAGATCCGAGAAAGTCGACCGGCTATACTAGCAAAGTCCGTGTGCGCGATAAATACCATATTGTGGGATTTATCAGTAGCGGTACCTATGGCCGTGTTTACAAGGCCGTTGGGAAAAATGGACAGAAAGGCGAATTTGCAATTAAAAAGTTGGTTGACATGGATTCTCACACTATCTCATTGGCTTCCGATGGCTGACCACTCATAGGTTCAAACCGGATAAAGAGGGCGAAATTATCCAGTACACGGGCCTCTCTCAGTCGGCAATCCGGGAGATGTCCCTGTGCTCTGAACTAGACCACCCTAATGTCGTGCAGCTAGAAGAGATCATCTTGGAAGACAAGTGCATCTTCATGGTCTTCGAATACACAGAACATGATCTGCTTCAGATTATCCATCACCACACCCAGCCTCAAAGGCATGCTATTCCGGCGCCGATGGTCAGGTCCATCCTGTTCCAATTGCTCAATGGCTTACTTTACCTTCATACGAATTGGGTCCTGCACCGAGACCTGAAACCAGCAAATATCTTGGTCACGTCAAAGGGTGCCATTCGTGTCGGAGATCTCGGACTTGCACGTCTGTTCTACAAACCCCTAAACTCTCTATTCTCCGGCGACAAAGTCGTTGTTACAATTTGGTATCGTGCTCCCGAACTGCTAATGGGCAGCCGACATTACACCCCTGCCGTCGACCTATGGGCTGTGGGATGCATATTTGCCGAGCTGCTCTCCCTCCGCCCTATTTTCAAGGGCGAGGAAGCAAAAATGGACAGCAAAAAGACGGTACCGTTTCAGCGGAACCAGATGATGAAGATCATCGAAATCATGGGCTTGCCCACAAAAGACGCCTGGCCGGGTATCGTATCGATGCCTGAATACTCCCAGCTGCAGTCCCTCGCAATGTCCCGCGCACCAGGCCATCTGCCTCGCTCGTCGAACTTGGAGGGCTGGTATCAGAACTGTTTGAAGAATGGCGGATACTCTTCCGCCTCGAATGCCGGGACCCCTGGCGCGGATGGATACGACCTGCTGTCGCGCCTGCTGGAGTATGATCCCACCAAGAGAATCACGGCCCGTGAGGCCCTTGAACATCCGTTTTTCCAGAACGGTGGGCCTATCCCGGCTAATTGCTTCGAGGGATTCGAGGGTAAATATCCCCACCGTCGTGTTACGCAGGACGACAATGATATCCGATCGGGCAGCTTGCCCGGTACGAAACGGAGTGGGCTACCGGATGATAGTCTGATGGGGAGAGCTGCGAAGCGGCTCAAAGAGTAGTAGGGGATTGTTCGCGTTGCATATTGTCCTTGTGTTACTTTTTTTCGGCAAGTATATATGTTTTGGGTGTTGATAGAGCTTAGCATTGCTTTTGCATTGGGTGATGGCGTTTCGAATCTACTCGAATCGGTGATGGTACCTCTTGTTATAAATAATCATTCAAAGAAATACACATATTGCAAGGCCATTGAGTTGATATACCTAACATGACCTTTGGTTCATAGATAAAGTAGTATGGCATGTGTGAAATATATCAATTTATATTAGTGCATATTGGAAGCCCGTGTCCTGATTCCCACCATACGCGCCCAGGTTAAAGCAGATTCCGTCCTTGTCGTGTTCCCTAATTCCCAACCCTTATCCAATGTACAAAAAAAAATCAATAGCCTAGGTAAAAGTTAGGCCAAACGATAGTTGGAAAGATTGGAGACTTCGTATACGTACCACTTTGCTCCCGTCTGTTGCCGTCATCTTCGTTATCGTTATTATCGTCCCCCTTGGACATAGAAGCCTGTCCAGCTGCATCCCGCATTGGCTGCTCATCCCCACGGAGCTTTTCGAAATAGGACTTGATATCGTCCGCGCCAACTGCAGTTCCTGACTCCGCGAACGGCTTCAGGAACTCCTTCACCTTGTCTCGCAGATGGTTGTAGACCATGGCGCCCTCGATGGCTCGAACACGATCGATGTTGTTGAGAGCAGCTTCGCCGCGATCATAAATGCTGCCGGTGCCGGTGCTGCCCCCGCCGTTGGCTTCGTCACCTATCTCCGAGAGAGGTGGCTCGTAGGTCTCTTCCTCCTCTCGGAGTTGAGGATGGTGGGCGAGGTTAGGGTAGCATTCGGGGCAGCGGCAGAAGTGGTCGCGGAAATCTTCCTTGAGAAAAAGGGAGAAGACGCCGGATGGGGTAGAGGATGGGAGGAGCTCGTGCTTGTGCTTGTCCTTTGCAGGTTCGGGTTGTGCAGGTTCGGCCTCTGGTTGTGGCTCTGCCTCTGGCTTTTCCTCCTGCTTTGGCTCGTCCTTCGTTTCTGCGGGTGTCTCATGGATGTCTTCTTTAGTGCGCTTTGACGTAGGCTCGCTTTCAACTACCTCGTCCTCCGCTTTCCGCTTCTTCGAGTTCGCAGATTGTTCCTCTTGATTTTCAGACGTGGTCGACGTCTCCGGAGCTGGCTCAGTATCTGCTTCTGCCTTGGTCAAACCACCCTCCTTGTAGACAGGCGGCAAGAACCCAGTTGTACTGGCATACTTCTTCAACCACGGATTCGACTCAACGCACTTGAAGCAAATAAACGTCTCAAAGTCATCCTCCAAAGGAAATCCCGGAGGCAACGGAATCTCATCCTCCTCGTTCTCCTCATCCGCCTGTTCACTGCCATCGCCTTTCTTCTTCAACTCCTCATACCATGTCCGCGGTAACCCGATCATACATTCTGGATGCCACCAGTCCTCACCACATCCGCCCGTCTCGGCGCTGCCGAGACCCAGGCACTGGAACATCGTGCCGCGCTCCTGATCCGCATTGTAGTCTTCGCCGCACCCGCAGAACTTGTTCTGGAAGTTATGGTTGTATTTGTTATCTGGATGCGCATTTTCCGAGTGAACGCCTTTCTTGCCGGTTTGGGGGTCTTCGCGCAACGTGCAGGGCGAGGTCGACGGGACGCGCGTGGTTCCGCAATCGCAGACGAAGTTTCGTTTGTTGAACAGCTCGACGAGCGTGTGTTCGCCGTGGCAGGAGATGGAGCAGGAATAGCAGACGCCTGCGGCGGTGTGTGGTGCGGAGGGGTCCGAGGGGGGAGGGTTGCAGGTGAGGCAGGCGAAGAGACTCTGTCGGAGGGGTCCTAGGGCTTGTGTGCAGGTGTCGAACGACTTGGAGAGTAGGTTGTGTTAGCTTTGGGGCTTGTGACTGATTGGCGTGTGGTTGCTCACATAAGGGAGGACCTCGCGGGCGTCGGCTTCTAGGCGCATTTGACTCTCGAGAAACCTGGGGGTAGAAACGGATTAGCTGACTGTAATGACATTTGCAAAGGTCGCTGTAGATGCGCCTTTCTATCGAATATGATTTCAATGCTCACTCTCGTGCGGTCTGCGAATTCTGCGAACCGAAGCTTTCGCGCCTTTGGCCGGCATCTTGTCCGTTCAGCGCCTGCGCGGCATTGGTGGGAGGACCGACGGAATCAGGGTTGGTCGTCATTGTAAATGATTTGTTAAGAGAGCGATTCTTTTACCAGGCGTTTATGAAAAGAAGATGAAATGGAAGCCTGGTCAATGGACGAATCCCCTGGCGACGTCAGGTAACGTTGCGCTCAGTTCCCCAGAGCTAACGCGGCGCGACGCACCTTAAGTGTTTGCTCTGTTTGCATCGAATAACCACGAACTGAAAGTTTAAGATGTTTCGTTCATGGCGAACAACACTGCGAGCGATCAAGGGAGAGGCTTAATTATTTTCCATCGTGAAATAAGGGGTCTTGTAGCGATGTCATTTTGGAGTGCCCTGAATCCCACATGATTCCCAACAGGAATTGTGGTGACTACGCGGAATGACGGGTCGACATGCTGAAGATGATTGCACATGTACTCCATACCACAGGAATGACTAGTAGTATATGAGGAAAATAGAGCTGAAGCCCTCGAAATCTAGTCATCTCTAGCACTCTGTGACTCTGAGCATGGAGCGTGGGTAAATTGACGCTTTCGCTAAACCACCTTTCCCAATCGGGGTTTAATTGAACCTCAACGCGTCGAACCGCGCGACGCGTATTTTACGCGCCTCAGCCCTTCGCCAAGAATCGAAGTCTCCCTCTCTCCCAGGAAACGAAAAAGACGCCCACACAGCAACACCCGTGGGATCAGTTTGGCCTGTCTATTCTCCCACCCCAGCTAATCACATTGAACCCTGCACACCATGAGGTATGTGCAAATATCTCGATGGCCTGGAATGCCTTTCAAGGCGTTTCTCTTGTCCTTTTTTCGCCTTCATACTAATTCTTTTTGCGCAGTTCACCACTCCGCCCCAGCAATTCCGCCGCAAACCGCGGGCTTGGAAGCCTGAATCGACGAAAGAGATCCAGAGAACCCGATGATGATGCTTCTTCAGTCGCTCCTCCCTCCAGTCGTAAGTTCATTGACCTGCGTTAGAAGATTGCTGGCTTTTGACTGACTCCTGTAGCTCCCCCTTCCTCCCCTCCTATGCTCCCCTTTGATGATGATGACGACCGAGACGAAGAAGCCGAGATGTTGGGAGACATTGACGACATTGAAGAGATGGCGGAAGACGAGGGAGGAATTGATCTGTTCGATGACAACTTCGAAAGAGATTACAGGAGTACTGCCGACGACCGCTACCGAGGACAGTACATCGATGACGATGATGTCGAACATGAAGAGCTTGACCTGGGTGCCCGTCGCGAGCTGGAATCTCGTATGAACCGCAGAGATCGCGAATTCGAGCGCCGCCGCCGTATGCCTGCAGCGTTCCTGCAGGACGATGATGGTGATATTGACCTCGCTCGCCAACCTCGTCGACGGAGGCACCAGTACGACGAGGACCGAGACGACATTGAGATGGGCGACACTGCCATGGAGGAACTCTCTCTGGACGAGATGATGGACGTCAAGGCCACTAATGTCACCGACTGGGTTCTTCAGCCTCAAGTGCTTCGCTCCATCTACACACAGTTCAAGGCTTTCCTGACCGAATACACCGATGCCACTGGTGGTTCCGTGTACGGAAACAAGATCAAGACTCTTGGTGAGGTTAACTCTGCATCTCTCGAGGTGTCATACACCCACCTGAGTACTTCCAAGGCGGCACTTTCATATTTCCTGGCGAACGAACCTACTGAGGTGCTCAAGGTTTTCGACCAAGTCGCTCTTGACGTTACCTTGTTCCACTACCCGCAGTACCACGATATTCATAACGAGATCCACGTCCGCATCACAGATCTTCCGGTCACTTACACGCTACGCCAACTGCGCCAGCAGCATCTTAACTGCCTCATTCGGGTCACCGGAGTCGTCACACGTCGCACCGGTGTGTTTCCTCAGCTGAAATATGTCATGTTCACCTGTGCCAAGTGTAACATGACACTGGGTCCCTTCCAGCAAGAAGCTAGCCAGGAAGTGAAGATCTCCTACTGCCAGAACTGTCAATCTAAGGGCCCGTTCTCTGTCAACTCGGAGAAGACCGTCTACCGTAACTACCAGAAGTTGACCTTGCAGGAGTCTCCTGGCTCTGTTCCTGCCGGTCGTCTGCCTCGTCAACGAGAAGTCGTACTCCTGGCTGATCTGATCGACTCGGCCAAGCCTGGAGACGAAGTTGAGGTGACGGGTATCTACCGCAACAGCTACGACGCCCAACTGAACAACAAGAACGGATTCCCTGTCTTTGCAACGATCATTGAGGCGAACCATGTTGTCAAGTCTCACGACCAGCTGGCTGGTTTCCACTTGACCGAGGAGGATGAGCGCGAGATCCGAGCCTTGTCAAGGGACCCTGAGATCGTCGACAAGATCGTGCGATCCATCGCCCCTAGTATCTATGGTCACTTGGATGTGAAGACTGCAGTCGCCCTGTCCCTCTTTGGTGGTGTTAGCAAGCAGGCGCAAGGCAAGATGAACATTCGTGGTGATATCAACGTCCTTTTGCTCGGTGACCCTGGTACGGCCAAGTCACAGGTCCTGAAGTACGTTGAGAAGACCGCCCACCGAGCTGTCTTCGCCACTGGTCAAGGTGCCAGTGCCGTCGGTCTCACAGCCAGCGTGCGTCGTGATCCTTTGACCAGCGAATGGACTCTCGAAGGCGGTGCTCTCGTGCTGGCGGACCGCGGTACCTGCCTCATTGATGAATTCGACAAAATGAACGACCAGGACCGTACCTCTATCCACGAAGCTATGGAACAGCAGACAATCTCCATCTCCAAGGCTGGTATCGTTACCACCCTGCAAGCCCGCTGCGCCGTTGTCGCCGCCGCAAACCCGATCGGTGGCCGCTACAACAGTACGGCGCCCTTCTCCGCTAACGTCGAGCTTACCGAGCCCATCTTGTCTCGTTTTGATATCCTCTGCGTTGTCCGCGACTTGGTCGAGCCCACCGAAGACGAACGCTTGGCCAACTTCGTCGTGGAATCCCACCACCGCGCAAACCCTGCTCGCCCTACCCGAGATGAGAAGGGCAACCTCATCAACGCCAAAGGACAGATGGTCGACGAAGAAGGCTACCGCATCAACGATAAGGGTGAACGCCTTCCTCCGACCCAAGAGGAAATCCAGGAGCGCGAAAACGTCAAGAGGAAGGAGGCAGAGGAGAAGGAGGGCGAGATTCCTCAGGAACTTCTTCGGAAATACATCCTCTATGCTCGCGAGCACTGCCACCCCAAGCTTTACCAAATCGACCAGGATAAGATTGCGCGTCTGTTCGCAGACATGAGGCGCGAGTCTTTGGCAACGGGTGCCTACCCTATCACCGTACGTTCTATACCGTCCCTTGCTCATGCGTTTGACTAATGAATAAACTAGGTCCGTCACCTGGAAGCCATCATGCGTATCGCCGAATCTTTCTGCAAGATGCGTCTATCGGAGTACTGTTCTTCGCAGGACATCGACCGCGCCATCGCCGTCACGGTGGACTCGTTCATCGGCAGCCAGAAAGTCAGCTGCAAGAAGGCTCTATCTCGGGCATTCGCCAAGTACGTTCCATTCCATTCCTTCTCCGCTCTATCAACACCTGTTGAAATGTGTACTAATAACTTCCCGAAAAATAGATACACACTCTCCCGCCCTAAACCCCAATCGCACCGCAAAGCCGGCATTGCCGCCCCCGATCCATTCAACTTTCGGACCACCTCTAGAGTGCGGTAGAAACGTTCTGCCGATCTTTGTTTTCTAGAGAGATGGCTATTCTTGTTTCTTTTTCTTTTCTTATCATGACATGATTTGTTTCGAAGTTATTCAAAGCAAAACAGGAATGAATCAACTTCAGTTCAGTTCTTGAACTCGAAAGTTGTTCGTTCAAGATTAATATCGTCGGGCTTTTATCTCATGGGGGTTTACGGGGTTCGGGGGCGTCGCATGAGTTTATTGAATTGTTTGTTCTGGATATACTCCGTCCGTCTGGATATGATACTGATACCTACCTACCTACCTTACCTTATCTATGGACATGATTGATTTGATTGATCGGTGTGTGGTGTGCCCTGCTTCGCTTTCGGTTCTTCTTCCTTGATTCAAGGTCTTTTTTTTTAATGAATAAGACGTGCAAAGATACATACATAAATACATTAACACATATCTCTATTTACCTATCTACCTAGCTAATTACTGCACCTGCTTCGTGTCCATATACCTTGTTATCTATATGTTTCCGTCTCTGCTAGATGCCCCACTAGAGACAACCGCAACCTGCGAATTGTCGTTGATTAGGTACTAAGCAGAAACACGGAATCTGAATGATGGGAGTAGAGAGGAGTGAACAGAACCTACCTTATATGCGTATGTATGCACGGCAATTGGGGACGTGCCTTCTACAAGTAGGCAGGTAGGTGTGCATATACTTAGGTGTAGTCTCCATATCCAGGATGCAGAGAAAGTTCAAGACCAAGACCACTGAATGTCAAGTAAGGTTAGGTGGGAATGTATCAATGTATCAAGGATAGTTAGTGTCCACCTGTGGAGAAGTTACAGGAAACCGATGAGCTAGATAGGTAACTAACCATTAGGTAGGTATGATCTGCTGCAGGTACAGGGGTACAAAGAGGGCAATCTCTGCGGAGTAAATACTAACCCACCCAAGTGATGACGAGGATTGTTACGGTATAATAAGATGTCAAAAGTACAAACAAGGCAATAATATGGATATTTCACTTAATATCTCGATAAGACTTGAACGACTAAGTAGAAACAGTAAAAGTCATGCATGCCCGACTAACTCTCATGTCCGATTCCCAGCCTCAAATGTAAAAGATAAAAAGACCATGGAACGCCTGCCTTTTTGCATCCTGCACTGCCTGCATGTAGGAGAAATCAAATCAAATAAAAGAGTCAAGGGAATCAAAGGCAAGAGGAGGGGAGAGAAAACAGTGTCGGCCAGTTGAGACCATAGGGCGGGTTTGTCTTCGACCGGCAATTATCTATCAATGCCAGTGAATGTAGTCAGCCATGCCAACCATCGAAGACGTAGACGGTATGGTGCTCCGCGTGTCATCCTGGAGATCATTAAAATAGCCTTGCCAGGATCTGGTTCAGATAACGTGCCCTCCGAGGACAAGTAAAGATTGTCTTGTTTTTCTCTCGTGTACGTATTCTTCTCTCCAGGAGTCGATTGTAAAGAGCCAAGAGTTGCAAGTTACAACAAACGCGACAAGAAATTGAATCATTCAATCGTCGCTGACCCGTCTCTCCGGGCGAGGCTTTCTCAAGCTCTTCATGCGATTGAGAAACCCACCGCCGTTGTTCTGCCGGTCATCGAAGCTGCCGTTATTCCGTTCATTGGTGTTCCACCGCTCGAGACCAGGGCTCTGCTTCGGGCTGCTGGATGAACGAGTGCGGCCGACCTCACGCGATTCCTCAATCCGAACACCCTTCTTGTCCCATGCGTCATCATAGTCCTGGAAAAACGGGTTCTTCTCATTGGCGCGGATCGTTCCCGAGTTGCCGGCCGGGGCAGTGTAGGTATCTTCGGGAGTTACGACGCGGCCGCTCGGAGCTCGGTTCATTCCACGAAGTCGCTGAGCCAGACTCTTCTTGCGCTGCAGTCCGCCACCGCCGCCCTGGTTCTCATTCTCGCTAGCTCGGCGTTGCATGGCGGACCGACTGGCGGGAGCTCCGTCGAGGAAAGTGCTGGTTCCTAGGCCCATGGATTGGGCTCCGTGGACCGGCTCGATGCGTGACTTGGGGTCAAAGCTGACACCTTCGGTTCTGCGGTCAGCACCGCTGGTGGCGAAATCATTGTACCCTTCTTCAGTCCGACCGTGGAAAAGGTTCAGATCGATGTTCTGGTTCAGGGGTCCGGCGCCTCCCAAGGCCATGTTCGTGGAGTCCTTCGGGAAAGCTTGCATGGGAGCGGTGCGCAGTCCCTTGCGGTTGCGGTTCGGGTTGCAAGCATCGAACGGCCCGTCATGATGGAACACTGCGAAAGGAGAATTACATTAGTGATGGTTCCAATCTACCGATTTCGGGACAAACTCACTTCCGGTGCCGTAGATGCTTGTCACATCCAGCTTGTCGATAATATCAAGCTGGTAGTTGTTCTTCTTGGAGCGAGACTTGGGATCCTTCTTGGAGTCGCCTCTCTCACTCCTTTCCTTTTCCCGTCGTCGTCGCTCCCGCCGTCTCTTTTCATCATCGACATCGATGAGTTTCGGTGTGCGATCCATCACGGACGATTCCGAGTTACGACGCGGGCGTCTCTCACGGTCGCGCGGCCTTGAGCTGGAGGAGCCAGAAGGCTTCGAAGGACGGACCGGGTCGGCAAAGATGTCCAAAGGATCCTTTTGACGGCGGTCGGGGCGTTCTCTCGAAGCTGGGGGAGGGCGAACACTGGCACCGTTCACCTGGGGCTTGGTCGGAGGGGGCGGAGCAGGTCGGTAACCAGTCGGCTGAGGAGCAGAGCCCAAGGAGAGGTTTTCCTGTAGCAATGAATCGCCATGGTTAGAGATTCCGATTCAATAAAATGTCAACTTGTAACAGAGCTAAACATACGAAGAGATCGCGAGTGTTTCCTGTGATGTCCTGTCTTTCGTTCGGGAACGTCATGCTACCCACGGGCGCAGACTGAGGCGACGAGGGATCAACGTCGTCCAAGAAAGGATTGGTCGAGGTCGGTCGCTCCGGACGGCCTCCTGATGTGATGGAGCTGGATGGCGACAACGCACGGTTGCGAAACGGATTATTGGAGCCCAAGTTGACTGGTAATTGCGGCGACACTTGACGGACCGGGGACACTATTCGAAATGACAGGCCAAATGTTAGAGATATTTGAGAAAGAAAAAACGACAGCTGGGGACGGCTGGCGAAGCACGGCCTCAAATACACGATGATAAGAGCATCATGCTCAAACCAAGGGGGCAAGAGGCCCCGCCGGACGTGAAACGCGCACGAGATAAGGGAAGGTGACGCACCTGGCGGGCCCAGCGACACGCCGGGTGGGTAAGGATATGAAAGAACTGGCGGACGTTGCGAAGTATTCATCTTGGAAGTCCACGCAATGCGGCAGGGAAGAGGATGAGAAGGAGGGCGATGATAGGGAGTTAGAAGAAGAGCATAAAACCGGGGCGGAGGCAGAATAGGAGCACGGAGATCCAAGAGCCAGTGCGAAACTCCTTAGCAGCGAGGGCCTAGGCTACCGCTGAAACAGCGATGGCGCGGAAACCGGTCAGGGGAGTGACGATTGGAGGGGTGGAATTGCAGGAGCTTGGAAATGGAGTATGCAGGATGGCTCGGGAGGTGCTGGTTGGCCGTTGGAACGGTTGATGCGACGATGTTTCGAGTTTATCTTTTGATCCTGGAGGTTAAAGAGAAAGCCAACGGGAGGATCAAAGAGGACAAAAGAAATGAGGAGGGGGAGAGAGAGAGAAAGCGGAAGGGAGAAAGAAGGAAGAATGGATTGATTGACAGGAAAGAGAGGGAAAGCGGAAGAGAAAGCGGCCCCTTGGAGGCGAGAGAGAGAAAGGATCGTCGGGGGGGAAAAGTAAAAGGGGGGGAAAGGAAAAGGAAAGAAGTGGGTGAGTCGGGTTCTTCTGATTGAACCGTTTAATTAGAGGGAGTGGAGATAGACAAGATGGCAAATATGGATGCTGGAGGATAATTAAACCACCGACTGGTCCGCGAGAATATTAATGCAGAGAGGAGAAGAAAGAGAAGAAAGGATGAACGGGATGAAAGAAAGAAGATGCAGGGAATTGATAATCAGGGGACGGAAGATAACTAAGTTGACTACGGAGTAAAAGGCGCAGGATCGGACATCCACGAGAGAGAGAAAGAAGAAAGCAAAGAAAGGGGCAGGTGTTAATAATCCCCCAATAATTAAAAATAACCAGTTAAGTTACATTAACTCAACCCGTTGCTTACGGAGACCAACCGTCGTGCATCCAAATGGATCATTTCCTTCCTCGGGGGTTTTCACTCGCGATCGACGTGCATCCACGCAAGATAGGGAGTGTATTGATCCTGATCTGGATAGGATAGGAATCGATCAATTATTGACTCGACTCGAAAGAACCTAGGTACTCCTAGGTATGCCGGTAGGGCACATGCAAGCAGGAACCATGACAGCCCGACCCAACTCCACCTCGACCGGTCCCTGCGACACTTTACCCCGGAATGGCCAACTCAAGCTTGTGCAGAATCTACCTGATTCTCCGTATGAGGAACATCGTGAGCAATGAGCACACACAAACCCTCGAACTAATACTCCGTACGTCATCTCACATCTACATAACTCCGGAAGAATCCCCAAGGTACTCTACTGCCACCCCGTGCCCTCCAGAGGTACTCAAATCTAGCCCGTGCTATTTAAGGAGACACGCCCTACCGAACTTGCCTTGCCTCCCCGGAAAATGTCTAGAGCACGAAGCACACAAGAAAAAGCAAAGAAAAAAAGAAAAATCCCCCCCAACGACGTCAGCTGCACATTCCACCTGTCGTGTACGTTGGATTTACCACCGTCAGGAATGCCGACCGGGCCTGTTAGCAACTTCACATCTTTTTGTCATCTCTAGAGTGCGGTGCATGTGCCGAGTATCCCGACCGCCCTGATCGACACTCTCCTTTTATCTCTGCTTCCCTTTCCTCAATGTCAATCCCAACGCAACCCCGTCGATCCCCCTCCAATGATCCCTCAGTTTGGTGTGGTCCCTGACCCTACGGAGTGCTACTCCGGTGTACTTGGTTCGGTCCCCTTCTTGGCAACTGGAGTTCCAAATGGACCCAAATCCGAAGCAAACCAACCCCTCGGTCCTTGCTTACGTACCTCGATGGCTCCTACCGGGGAATGTCGCACGCTGCGTGGCAGATACCTGCTTTGAGCGAGCCATTGATGTCCTTGCGTGCCGGCGTTGGTGATTTTGATCGCTTATCAGGGCTGCCTTGCCGGTGACATCATGTCTAACATTCCTGAGATCAGGGAATCGACGCCATTCACAAAGTGAGGAGGAAAGATAGGAAAGGAAACAGGTTCGATTGATTGATTTCGTCGTCATCCATTTCAACTATTAATAATACACAGCAGGTTATTCTTTTCGCATCACGCTCCCAACCACCCTGATAATGCAAGATTTTAAAGAGAGAAAAAAAAGAAGAAAATTTGTAATGGAACTGGAGATGCAGTTGATTAGTTTCCATGTCCCTTCTTACCATGTCCGCGCTTGGTTTCGGCCAGACCCAAGCACTCGGCCATGTTGAAGAAAATGTCAATCGAGTTGTACACGCCTCCAAACAATTCTTGGCATGGGCCCTGGGCAAACACGGGCACGTCGGTCAGCGAGTGCACCCCTTGGTTCGCGTCCACGGGCAACGTGCCGTTGACCAGGTATCCGGTCACCGCATCCTTATAGTTGGCAAAGTTGCCCTTGCTTCCGGGCTGCTCAACGGCGGGGAGTCGGGGCCCGTCCTTGTGCACCTCGTAGTTCTCCCGGTGATCGGGGAACGCGACCACTCCCGAATGCAAGGTGTATCGCGGATCCCACCGTGCCGGGAAATGCACTCCCTCCGAGTACCGCAGCGCGTTGGGTCCGCCCACCGTGTACTGCGACAGACCCGAGCTCTCGTAGTAGCCGATGGCTCTGCGCTTGGCCCGGTCGTCCTCCTGCGCGTTCATGTACTTGGTGTCCACGGCGCCCGTGACGTCGAATCCGTGTCCATGGTCGGCGGTCACGACGATCAAAGTGTCCTCGAGCTCGCCCAGAGCCTCGAGCTTCTGAATGGTGGCCTTGACGGTGTCATCCAGCTCCAGCAGTTCTCCCAGCGACCGGTCGTAGTCGAGAGTGTGCATCTGCTTGTCGATACTGGCGGCCTCGGACATGAGGAACCAGCCGTCATCCGAATGCCGGGCATTCAGCACGTCGATCGCCTTGAGGGTCATGTCCTTGAGGCCGGGAAGATCCTCCGCATCGCGGCTAGACCCGTCGGGGTAGTTGCTCTGGTTCTGGAGGTTGGACTGGTAGACGTTGCGGTCCAGCCAGGTGGGCAGGTTGTTGGTCGCGAAAACGCCCAGTGCCCGGGTGTCGTTGGGGGCTTTGTGCAGAGCCGTGTTGTTCCAGCTGACGCTGTATCCCTTCTCGGCGAACAAGTCGTAGTAGTCGCGAGCGGCTTCTTCGCTCTTCAGGAAAGCCTCTGCACCGGCGCCGAAGAGGACGTCAGGGCCGTTCCACTCCTCCCAGTCGAAATCGGTCAGTCCCTCGTAGAAGGAGCTGATAACGTGCTCATACTCTCCACGGTCGCTGGTGTGAGCGGATAGAGCGGCCGGCGTGGCATCGGCAAGGAAGGCAGTTGAGACGATACCAACGCCAGCATTGGGGTGTCGGCGACGGAAGATCTCGGTGATGATCTCAAACTTGGGGTCATCAAAGGGGTCCTCGGAAGAGTCCACATAGACGTTCAGGGCGTTGACAGTGGTCTTGTGACCAGAGTACAAGGCCGTTGCCGAGTTGGCGGAGTCGGTGATGAACGAATCCATGGAGTGAGTCATTTGGTGACCCAGCACGGGGAACTTGTCCAGCGCCATCTTGGTCATATACTTGCCGTTGATGCTCTTATGAGCGATCAGACGAGCGGCGGTGATCATGTTGGTGGTCATGCCGTCCCCAACGAAGAGAACGACGTTCTTGGCACGACGCTTCTTGGAGACGTCACGAACATGCCAGTTCGCGACGGTCTGCTCCTTGCCATAGTAGGTCAGAGTGGCCTCGTACTCGCCGGGCTCATACAGCGCAACTCTTCTGTAGGCCTTGGAGGTCACGTTGACGAGAGAGGCCTTGCCGGCATCCTCAGCGAAGAGGTCTATACGGGTCAGCGCGAACTGCATTGCAATGAACCTGACTTAATTCTCCGTGACTTACCCTCGTACCAGGTAAAGTTCCATCTCTCAAGCTTTGCCTCGTCGATGTCGAAGTATTCGTCCACTGGCACGGCCTTGTGGCCCTTCTTCGCGATGGTGAACTTGAAGTTGGGGTCGGGCTCACCCTTGCGGGCTTCGGAGCCATTGACGGGCGAGTGGACCTCCAGACGAATATCAAAGTGCTGTCCGGGAAGGAAGTCGGCCCTTTGAGAGAGTTGAATTGTTAGCCTTGTCCAATAGTCACATGCATCATGCTAACAAAGTAATGGACAAAACTCACTGATCAGGAGGGAAGACACATCCCAGAGAAGGACAACCACCCAGACGCTGATAGGTCTGCGCAACAGCGTAAGACGCGAACAGCGCCAAACCAGAGATCTTAAAAGACCTCATCTTGAACGAGCTCTGAGGTGTTCCAAAAGACCGGTACGGACTCCTAGGAAGGTATGAAACCGGGACCTGCAGCTGTGGGAAGATCAGTGCCAAACACGGTGCGAACGGCGCCTATTTATGGTCTTCTAGCATGCGGTGCCAGCCAAGACGAGAAAATAAGATGATCGCACAGGCAAGTTCCCCTCTTACTTGCTTTCCCCCCCAAAATGCTATCCTGGACACCGCGCAATGCAACTCTCCCCCTGTCCCGCGCTTCTTGGCGCATGCCACCACCGCAACCACAGCCTGATGAATCGGCTGCCGCACGGGCAAATCGGAGACTCGGTTTGGATACACGTGCGGAGGCTAGCCGTTCGCTGAGAAGCTTGGATCCCTGTCCCTGGTGCTTCGCCAAGCCTGGGCGTCTTGGCGTTGTCCGCCACGCCAAGGGCACGTGGTGGCCCTCGTGCGCGACAATGGGCACGTCAGATGATTGTGAGCGCAGATAGGTCGGACTCCGGAGATTTGCTGTCTGTATGTGGCATGGCGTGGTCTGGAGGATTCCTTGATCGAGTCAGGAACCATTATCGGGGTTGCATCACGTCGGAAGCGATTCCGGAACATGGTTGGGCTGGATGTCTTGTTGCCCCTACTGAGCTTGCACGAACATCTAGCGATCGAACCACCAGGAGGTGCGTAGTCTGTTGGTCTGATATCTCTCTAAAACTAGGCAGCCACACTGTAGACGGCCTCTAAACGTGGTCACTGAATTCCAGAAAGTACAACGACAAATTCCTTCCACCAAACCATGACAGATCCTACCAGAGTCAAGATACAAATGAACCCCAATCTAAAAAGCCTACTGTCTTAGATACACACGCTGTAAGCCAGATCGAACACCATGCGCGCAATTCTCAAATTACTCCGACGTCATTCCCTCAAAACGTTTCGTCTTGAGACCTAAATAAACCCAGCTAAGGCATTCATTCCCAGCCCTACGAGGACCAAAAGTCAAAATTGTCACCAAGAAAACGCCACGAGGTAGCCCAGGTCTAACCAATGACCTGCTGCTACACATGCATGCACGCAGATATAGCCTGGCAGATTAGAGGACGTTATTAGCTAGTGCAGAAATAGAAAACTCGCCGCGCTAATCGAAATGCTCGGGTCTTCTATTGGACTGTATAGTCACTTTTCCAGGAGTTTCCTTCATGTGGACAGGATCTTACTTCTGTACGGCGAATGAAACGCTGGACCTTGTCCTGTTTTGTAGAGTTCAAGCATGGAAGGAGGGAAAGTCTCACCGGGTGCAGTATATTTACCTGAATATTAAACTTTCCACTGTGCCTGAAAATATATGGAGCAAGCTTGTAACTGGGAACCTTGTACCAAAGCTTACATTCTAGTTGAACTTGCATGTCCAGTTTATCGTTGTGTGTTAGAGTTTCAGAGTTTTGTCACACATTTTGTTCGGTATCAATCAAGATCTTGTGAAAGGGAATCCTCGTGTCCCTGCGATAGACCGGAAGATGAGTTAATAGAGTGGGCATTGGAGCATAGATATTTATAGGTTTTCAGCTTTCGACTTGGCGCACTGTCGGGTAACTAGAAGATAATATCGGCTTCATTTGCTGCCATGCGAAAGAGAAATTGTTTCTAGCCTAAACGTTGCTATTGTGAGAGCCCAAGTTAGTGTGAGCTTCTCACCAGCCGCCTAGAATAGAAGTACTTATACTCTGAAAATTGGTCAAGATATCTCGGCGATTGCACCATATTTTATATCAGTCAACATAAATGGGATGTAACCAAAAATAATCACTAATCAATAATCTTTCGGGAGGCTGCCAAGTTCGAGAGGAATAGTGATCAAGCCCTACCTATCAGATGTCCCAACCCCGATGTATTAGTGATCATTCCTCCCACTGCCGAGGCCGTCAGACCGGTAGACAGTACTAATACTCAGGTATAGGGCATAGAATCTACGATTGCATAATTTTTGAGTGGGCCCCCTAGGGGGGCTGAGAATTCTTTGCTATCTTACTTTGCAGATTCGATAAGTGTATTTAAACCTATTCATGGTCGTGTAGCCAATATGAAAGACCAATTTTAGTGACGACAATCTTTTCAAAACGGTGTGCGCATAGCTACGTTCACACCATGGGGGATGCTAAGGAAAGCTCAGATTATTTAACGGCAGAAGCTGAAGGTAAGGTCTTCTTTTTTGGTCTTCACCTACGCGTTAAAGAGGAGCTGACAAGGGACTAGCCGATGAAGCTACTTTTCAGCAACCTTCATCGTCTGGTACCTCAACCAACGGCAACCTTTCCAAACCTTACTCGAACATCGTTCGCCTGGATGGACACGCCGATCCTCTTGATCCGCAGAACTGGCCAGTGATTAAGAAGTAAATAAGCCTCGACCTAGTCGCGGATAGGAGCCTGACATCCCAGCTAACCATGTCGCTTGAACCTAATGTAGGATCTACACTGCCGTCCTCCTCGGTCTGGCAACTATGATAGCTGCTCTCACTAGTAGCATCTTCTCCATGGCCATCCCGCCCCTAATGGTAATTTATGGCATCTCCCGCGAAGTAGGGACACTCGGGGTCTCATTATATGTCTTGGGTTTCGCGACAGGGCCTATTATCTGGGCCCCCTTCTCTGAGATCAAAGGCCGTCGGGCACCTTTCTTACTGGCTATGTTTGGATTCACTGTGTTTGCCTTCGCAACAGCCGTATCGAAGGACTTGCAATCAATCTTTATCTGCCGCTTCTTTACCGGCTTCTTTGGCGCTGGCCCTTTGACGCTCTCTGGAGCCGTCTATGGCGATATCCTCGCGCCCCAGATCCGTGGAGCCGGGATGGTTGGCTTCTGTCTGATGGTCTTCGTGGGCCCGCTTCTCGCCCCTACCATCGGCGGCTTCATCATAATGAACGACAGCCTAGGCTGGCGATGGACGCAATACATCCCCGGGATCCTCGGCGGCGCTTCTTTCATTTCGCTTCTCCTTTTCCACGACGAGTCATACGTCCCCGTTCTTCTCTCTCAAAAAGCAGCGCGTCTCCGCCACGAAACAAAAGACTGGTCTATCCACGCCGAGCACGACGAACTTGACATCAGCCTCAACAGCATCTTCCACAACTACCTCGCCCTCCCCTTGAAAATGCTCGCTCTCGACCCCATCATTCTCTGCATGTGCACCTTCGGCGCCTTCGTCTACGGCCTCCTCTACCTCTTCCTCACAGCCTACCCTATCATATTCCAGCAAATCCACGGCATGACACCCGGCGTCGGCGGCCTCCCTTTCATCGGCGTCGTCGTGGGCCAGCTCCTCGCGGGCGTCGTTATGTTCCTGGGCTCGCCTAGAATGGCCCGCCAGATCAAGGCGAATGGTGGACAAATGGTGCCGGAGTGGTTGTTGCCCATGGCTATACCAGGTTCTGTGGCTTTCTCGGCGGGACTGTTCTGGCTCGGTTGGACTGGGTATCGGAGTGATTTTCACTGGATCGTACCGACTGCTTCGGGACTGCTGACTGGGTTCGGGCTCTTGGGGATGTTTTTGCCGTCGATTGCTTATGTGTCTGAGGCGAGGAGGAAGAGGTGAGTTTATTCATATCCAAAACTCACGTAGGCCATGATAGGTTATTGGAGACTGACGGGTTGGATCTGGATAGGGCCGCGTCGGCTATTGCAGCACATACGTTCCTTCGGTCTCTGGCGGGTGCTGTATTTCCGCTTTTTGCGACTTACATGGTATGTTGAGGGTTGGTCTTGTATACGAGGCCTATGTGCTGATTTGAGTTGATTTAGTTTGACGGTCTCGGTGTCGAATGGGCTTGTACTCTGCTAGGATGCGTTGCGGCGCTGCTCATCCCTATGCCGATCATATTCTATGTTTACGGTGAGAGGATTAGGGCGCGGAGTAAGCTTTCGCTTTGATAGTCGTCTATGGGGAAGTTGGTATCCTGGGGAGTTCATGATAAGAGCAGAAACAATATAGAATAAGGGGTCTTCATTCAAGTGTTGGAATGTCGTGGTTGCAGAAGATGATCATAGATATAGATATTGTCAATTTAGAATTAAGACTATCAGTATATACTCGTTTTAGACTTCTGGATTTGGGGACGAATGATTTAGTGCGGGTAGCGTGTAGCCTAGAAAACACTTCCTGGGCTGCGCAGTAAGTTAAAATTTTCAATGAACATACCTAGCAAGATGCCGAGAAAAGGAATGAAAGAGAAAAACAAACCTGTGGCTACTGCCAAATGCTTTCTAGCATTAAACCAGATTCCAATCGAACTGCCGTAACGCACGACCCCGCTGCGGCTGAGCCAGCACACAACCAGCCTCGCTTCACAGCAAGCCTAAACAAAGCAGACATGGCCGCAAGACACCTCTAAAGAGATTTGCACCGCTTGGTACACAATGGGCCGCTCTAAGCTCGGTGAATTCCGTGCAAAGATTTCGCACCGATGGGATCGATTCCGCCATAGAGAGCCACGTTCCGATGATGGTTCCACAGCATCGAAACGCACGCGAAGCGAAACGAATGAGCTCGCAGGGCAAGATCCAAAGAAGAGTGATACAACGCCTATTGTCAGCGAAGACCACTGCAACGAAGCCACGCCTCAGGACCTCTCGACGAAGCGAAGGCCGATATCATCCAACAAAACCCCAAGCCAAGCCGATGATGCCAGAAGTGAGGGTACAACGCCAGAATCGGCTTTAATCCGACCGTCAACGGAGGAGCATCGGGATGAGAAAATAACTCACGATCTTTGGAAAGAAGCTTTTGAGTCGTTATTGCCGGCAACACAAGCCCAACTTCAGAAGCTAGGCTACGAACCGGATTATTCAAAGACGCCGCGTGCACAAGATCTGGACATCCTCGTCCAAGATCTCCAGGAAAAGCTGGATATCTGCGAACAAGAGGGCTGGAAATGCAAGACAGAACATCATGAATATATCGTGCGAGACTACGCGGCGAAATGCGCCACTTGGATACAGTTTATTGGGATCTTGTCGTTCCATTCGCGCCTTCGCAAGCTGCAGGCCCATGGGGTCTGATCAAGGCATTTTTGAAAGTAAGTTTGACTTCAGTTTCAAGCAGTCGCAGCTGTTGTAGACACATGCGTCCCACAAAGCTTCTCGAGGGGTGGTTCGAGCGACCTGTCGCCGATGAAGATTGCCTTTAAGAGACAAGGTCAACTTGCTGACTTAGTATATAGATCCCTGTCAAGTTCGCCGAGCAAATGCTCGCTTTACTAGGGACAGTAGAGCGAATTCTGCAGATCACACATAGTGGAAAAGTATACGAGTCTATCTATGCGACAGAAACCGGTGAAGTTGTAGAGGCGCTACGCCAAAACCTTGTCAAAGTATATCAGGCAGTCCTGGAATTGTGAAGTCACGCCATAGATATGTTTTCAAAGTCGACCTGGACAAGAACTCTGACAGGGGTATTTGACAAAACCTCAGAATTGTTCTCGGAATTGGCCGCGAAGGAAGAAGAGCTTGCTAGGACTGCCCACGCGTGCGAGAGTCAACGTGGCGCCCTGATTGATGGCGAGATGCTGAAACACTTACAGGCCATTCAAGGCTGTCTGCCTCGTATAGAGACCCAAGTCACAGCGTGCTTGGAGAGACTTTCTGAGGCCAAGGCTTTGGAAATCTTAGACTGGATCTCTCAGGTCAAACATGGGGCACATCATAGCACTGCACGAGGCAAGCGGACGCCGGGGACTGGGGAGTGGCTGCTACAACATCGCGCCTTAAGAGACTGGCAGGAGAGCAGTTCTACGGCAGTACTTTGGTCGCGAGGATCTCGTAAGTTCTCTCCTACGCAGTGTCGTTTCTTCTGCTACCTCTTCCTTCAATTCGCATTGTTTGCTTGACACTGACGCTGGCCAAGCGGGCGTGGGAAAAACCGTGCTTACTTCGAGAGTCATTGACCATATTCAAGACACTCTTGCAGCTACCTCCAACGACGAGGCATTTGCCTTTTTCTACTGCGACAAGAACGAGGATGCACGAACTCGTCCTCTAGTCGTGGCGCAAAGCTACGTTCGCCAACTGTCCTCTTCTGCGAAAAGCAGTTCAGGTTTTGTCCAGTCTAAGCTTCGGAAAAGTCATAATGAGCTACGTCTTCGTGGGGAAGTTTTCAATATTGAGCATTGCAGAACTTCCTTAATTGATTCTCTTAATCTCTACCCATGAACTACCTTAGTTTTGGATGCCTTTGATGAATGTGACCCTACATCGCGCGAAGATTTGATAGAGCTGTTTGAGGATTTGCTTTCCGCCAGCAAAAAACCTGTCAAGCTCTTCATTGCAAGTCGCCCTGACGGTGATATAAGGCGTGTATTCCGCTCGCGTCCAAACATAGAGATTCAGGCAACGGATAACCGCGACAACATCCATGCATACATTTGCCAAAGTTTGCCAAAGCTAGTTACAAAGAATAGTGCAATCGAGGGGCTCGAGCTGGAAATTACAGGAGCTCTCTTAGAGGGATGCCAGGGAATGTAAGCATATGCCTCAATTCGTGCATAAAGGTCCATGATGATGCTAATTGTGCGTGGTTAGGTTCCAATGGGTTTTCCTGCAGCTTCAGCAGCTCGGAACATGTATTAGCCGCGAGGCTATTACTGGACAGCCTGGGAAAACTTCCCAGAACACTCGATAAAATGTATGATCAGTTGTACGAGGAGATAAGCAACGGCATGCCCCATGATATGATTCTAGCACAACGGGCTGTCATGTGGGTTTTGGCCGCACGGGAACCCCTTCCACGAGAAGACCTCCCCGAGGCCATCCGTATCAATCCCGACCTTGATAGTGCGGAGATGTGTACCGTGATCACCGAAGACGCATTGCTTTCATTGTGCCGCAATCTGCTCGTCATTGATTCAGAACAAAACGTGTGGCGAGTGTCGCACCTGTCCGTCGCAGAATACTTCAAATCCCGTCACGGCTGGACTGATGGCGTGATCAATACGATGGTAAGCAAAGCTTGTCTGCTATTCCTGTTGAGTGAGACGCATTATCTCGAAGACCCCCAATTTCGTGAGAGCTCTGCCATCAAGCGTCGCCGTCGGAAACCCAATAGAACCAAATACAAGCGACCGCTCCTATACTATGTCACTTATCGTTGACCAGAGCATGTTCTGGCATCAGAGCAGAACAGCGCGTTAGAAGACGACCTATCGCCTGTCAGTGCGCCCTTAGAAAGATTTCTTGGTGCCCCACAGTCCAGCAACGCGCAATACCGGAAATGGGCTTGGGGGCGGCATTTGGACCCTGTTGAAAATTCTATTCTGGCTGTCTGTGAATACGGATTCAATAGGGTATTGAGCGAATGGTGGAAAAAGACCGAGCTGGACCATACCTTAATTAACTCTAACCATCAGACCTATATGACGGTTGCCGCAAGAGCGGGTAATGTCGCCATCCTACGGCTTCTCCTACAGAAAGGAGGCACCACCGGCATACAAGGCAGCCCATACATTTACTCCACCCCACTGATAGAAGCAGCTTCTAGAGGACACGTTGGTGCGGCCAGAACTTTGCTGGGGGAAGGGAACGCGGTTGAAAACTTACAGGTCAGAAAGAATGGGCCCGACTCGTGCGCTTTGGATTCAGCTTTGTCAAGACACAGTCCCAATGTGCTCAGTATGGTGCGTTTTATGGTCACTGAAGGCCAGGCGGACGTGAACATGCAGCTGAGACATAGTGGATATGGCAGTGTTTTGGCCAGATCCGCTGGGTTTGGGTTGCTGGAGGTCACGAGATACTTGCTAGAAGAGGGCGGTGCTGATGTAGATCTGATTCTGCAACATGGGAACTATGGTAGCGCTCTCGCATGCGCTGTATCGCATGGGCGCGATCATTTTCTCCGTGGAGAGTTGTTGGATTACCTGGTGAGGGTTCGACGAGCAAATGTGGACCTGCCCCTTCAGACCGGCCGTTATGGGAGTGCATTGGCCGCTGCCGCCAGTAAGGGTGAGATGGACTTTGTTGAGTATCTGATCGAGATCGGTGAAGCCGACGTCAACATGCCGCTTCAAGCAGGTTACTACGGGAGTGCATTGGCCGCTGCCGTCACTGAAGGACACTTGGATTGTGTTTGCTATCTGATCGAAACCGGAAAGGCTGATGTCAATATGCCACTCCCCAGATTTCCCTTGCGGCAGTGCGCTGGCCATCGCAGCGTACATGGCTAACGAAAGACCCAAGGACGGCTTTGCAAAGACTCACGTGCGGATTGACATTGTACGAGTCCTGCTTGAAGCGGGAGCTTTGGTTGCTCTTGATCTTGGAAACGGGGAAACTGCAGATGCTCTTGAGGCCTTCAACGAGGGTTTCAACGGGGCAACGATTTATGGCGAGGATATCAGTGACGGTAACGGAGATGATTTATATGATGAGGATCTTGAGGATCTCGAAAAATCACTTCCTCGTAGACTTGTTAGGCTACGTAAGAAGTTGAAGGAGCATAGTGTTCTACACCATGTGCAAGAGACCAGAGATTATTGAAGGTAGAGCTTCTTCTTTGAAAAGCCAAAGATTGAACAGAGAATAGTTAACTGGAGTCTTGAATAGTGACAAAGAGTTTACTGACGTTAATACCAAGCAGCTATTGTTCGGTATTAAACGATATGGACACATTCTCTTATTCCCCCTGTGTTTCTCTTTCTCTCTCTCTTTTCCCATACCAGGGCTAGCCACCATAAAAGGAATATAGAATTCTAAACATTTGCTACTGCCTAGTTGACTGATAGAGTATCTAGGGCTTATGGTGCTGCACAGGCCGTGCTCTCAGTGGGCACCACTAGCTGCTTATCATCTAATTATTACTATCCTGCTCCGTCGCATTGGCTCGAGCAGTATAGAACCTTTGTATCTGGCTATACCTCATAGCTTGCATGAAATTCCTATGTAGTAGTCCTTTAGAAATGATCGGTATACCTACTGGGTGTAGACTGTAGTGTGAAAGTAGGTAGCCATAGCCTTGTACTATCTGAAGCTGGGATAGCTTGTTTGAATGCGAAGGGTAGTTTAGCTTTCCCTTCACGGAGACATAGGCCTCGTGAAAGAAAACTGCCTAAATCGATTGATATACCCAATCATGGCATCATTCTCCTTTACCAATAGTGTCCCTCAGCTGGGCGTCGCCCTCGTTCGTGTGTCGCCACTTGTCATCTAGTCTGCGTTTTTCACGTTCAGTTGGGCGCAGGCCATCTCGCTCGGCGCCTTCCTGCATCCCTCGCTGCAGGAGGATCCTCCCCCTCCTTTGCCAGCGTTATTGTGCACTTTCGCGGTCACGGTGGCGACAATCACAAAGGGGTTGAAGTGATGATGTTACATCCCTTGTGAATTGCTGTTTGTCAATGTGTTGAAATTCACGTATCAGTTATACATAATTCTTTAGCGAAAAACATATATTGCTCCCTATATGTAAGCTAGCTAGCTAGATGCACTTTCTTTCGCCCGTTATTTGTCTACAGTAAAAGACTTTCGTTGTCAGCCATCGGTCAGTTGGAAAGGGGAAGCAGTGATTTGTTCCGTATGGCTCTACAGGATGACTGGTTAAAACCAAATTATCACCACACTTCCAAAATAAATCACAGTATATAGAATCCTTAATTCATGCCTATGCTGAATGTGCATCTTTCACTACTGATTCAAAGCTAAATACAGAAAGAGTCCACCAGGATTTCCCCCAACCACACCACCATCCGTCAAATATACTTCCATTCACCAATGCAACCGTGGAAAGGCACCCTGATAGGTGAGCAGCAAAGCCTGACGAGGTTAGTATAGCATTCATCTCAGGGCACATGTCAAAGGCATACCAGTAGAAGTATAGAAGCCCAAAGAGTAGCTTAGATATCGTTGTTGCCGCCGGAGATGCAATGATCAAAGTTCAAGTGGACACCACAGTAGGCATTTGCTTTGAAGCTGTTCTTGGGGCCGACCTTCAGCCATCCAGCATAGGTGCCACCATGCGTAATGCGCAAACATTCAGTATGACAGAGGCGTCCATTGTCAACCTTGTGGATGTATTTGTTGATCGCACCGGCAATGGTTTTCTGTTGGGAAGTCGTGTCGCAGTGGCGGCCTGTCGCATAAAACTCGTATCTGATATCCCGATAGGTACCATCAATAACACCACAGTTATGGCTATCCGAGAGGTCCTTGATTATCTGTCCCATTGACTTTGCCCAACCGACCGCATAGCTTGCAATGTTGAGACAGGCACTTGCCGTCATGATATAGGTACAGACATCTGCCGGACGACGCGTCTCAAGATCAACTTCGGTGATATTGCCAGTTGGGTCCATTAGGAGGGACTGAGCATACTCAGGATACTCGATACCATTCTCATCGGCAAGATTAATTTGGTGCCACCGGTCTGGTAGAGGCTGGCCTTTGATAGAAGAAAGCGATGGCGATCCAACAGCCAAGATTGGTAAAGATAAGGCGATTGCCGAGACTGCAGTCCTCATAAGCAACATAGTACTGGTAGGCGTTGAAAAAGATCAAACTGTATATGATAAATGAGGGAAAGTATCGAAAGATCAATTCAGGAAGCGTTTGTGTAGGCATTGGAGAGAATTGCTGTTTCTTGAGACCTACTCTCAGAATTTCGGGAATCCGCAACCTATTTATCCTTGAAGCACAAGCTTCTTTCTGTGGGAATTTGTATGGGCGGGGATAAGAATAAGTGGCATGAAAGATCAAGGGCAAAATCCGAAATGAGGCAAGTGGTAGACTAAGAAGGGACTTGACTAGGAAAAGAGAAGAAAAAAAAAGGAAATAGTACCCCTCTCGAAAAACTTTTTTGGTGGAGTGACAGGGATGTTGAACTAAATAAGTTCTCTATATCTGAGGGATTTTATGCTAGCTCACTGAAGCCATAATTGAGTCCCATAGTGCCGTTTGGACAATCTTCCCTGGACGTAGATGGTTGATTAATACGACCTACTGTAAGTTTATGCCGGCTGCAACTAGGGGTAATTACTACACCAGTGAATACATGTTTCCACAGGCATCCTATTCCGTAGAGCCATGTCCTCTCACGTACGACAGACAGGGGGATAGTTATTTGGTGGTAAATACTTGTACTCCGTATTTACCTAAATTAAATTAGCTGGGGAGTCCTTCAGATCCGTGCGGCTATCCATGTTGAAAGACTGATATAATGTGGCTAAAGTGACATTATCTGATTTCTACTGTCTTAAAACCGTGTATGGATATATTCTAACAAGCGGCAGTAATGACATTCTAAGAAATCGATCTTCAGTAGAAGCTACCCTGATTGAAATATTACTGAGAATAAACCACCTAGGTGACCTACCCTGATTCACCGCAGTAGTAGTTTATTAGTACACCGCTAAGGTGCTTTAGGCTAGTATAGGGGCCCACCGTGGCCGTCCGTTGATAGCTGGCAGAAGGCTCTCTAAGACTTGAGCTACGTAGTATAAAGCGCTTAATTAGTTAAACTTATTTAGGGTCGCAGCTCGGAGGGGCCAGGATTTAGTACGAAAGGGACAGAAATCCAGAGTTCTCTCTCTGATCTTCTCTGAGATCTCCTGATCCGTTCGCACTAAATTCTGCCCCCCTCCGAACTAGAAAGCCCACTTCAGGGTCCAGGGAGGACGTACAAACGAAGTCACCGCGGTCCACCGGATCAGCATGTGATGTGAAAGCATAATTGGTTGGATACCCAGTCAAACCAGTCCAGCAAGCTGCCTGCGTGCCTCAATTGTTTCGGAGATGTACACGGATGAGTTGAGACATGCAGTCAGGGCCCAAGACTAGAAGCAATGCGGGGACTGTTTTGCGAGGATGTACGGTACCATCTAAGATTAGGTAGGCTCTGCACTAATTCCCGTAACCTGGCAGGTTCGAGTTAAGACAACTGGGTCGCATTTCGGAGGGGTTTCAGAGAAACTTATAGAAGCTTGAAGAGGGCTAATATATCCTAGGCAAAGGCTAGAGCTTTATTGGTCTACATTCAATTTAACGCCAGGATGAGATTCCATGTTGCTGCCTGCATTAGTATGGGATTGGATTGTCTTGAATTCCTCTATTTTGCTACAGGCGACCATAAGAACACGAAATACGCAACAGTTATAGATTCAACATTAGTGATATATTGCGAAATTATGGAATAGAATAGACATCCAAAGAAAATAATGAAAGATCATAAAGAAAGTGTTTAAATGTTAATGATCTAGTCTGAAGGAGCTTCGGCCAATATATAGACTATATATAGGTAAAGTACTAAACTTGTTGCGGTCTTGGACAGGTGTTTGAGCCCCGGAAGGGCCAACAATTCCATTATAGTTTTTATAATTCTAACTAATTTGGTTGTACGAATGGATAGTATATAAATATCGAAGAACTCTATCAAATTTACTACAAAGAAACGAGAATTTATATCTAAATCCCCGCGGATCTCTAGGTACAGATCAAGCTTTAGAACCTGAAACCCGCTACAAATTTTGAAAATCTAAAATAAAACCTGTATCTATATGACGCATGGCAGGTTCGGGCTTTGGGTTCCACGTTGAATTGCCATGTCTACACAGAGTACTATCTGACAGATCTCACCCTTCTTCACATTCCTTTCGACTGGAAAACGGAAGAACAGAAAGGAGAATTGAAGGCTCACAGGCACCATGAGTTTGCTCGTTCATGATCTAGGGCTTTTGCGGAGGGCATGCGACCGCTGTCACGGCCAGAAGCTACGATACCGCCGGAAGAACAACAGTGAGCCTTGTGTCCGCTGTCAGAGAGCAGGCGTTGGGTGTACCCCAAGGCCTGTGAGATCTAGACATCTCCCACGGGCACACACAACGCAGCAGCCAGCAGGCATATCGAGTTCTGAACCGACATAATCCCCAGATAAACCCGAGCCTTCACGACCAGGTGTTGGACTTCCAAGAGCTAACACCTCAGCAAAGAAGATCCACCAGAGCAGACGAACAAAGACGTGTCAGATCATTTGCCTCTCTCCCCTAGACTTTTCCGCGGACTTGGACTTGGGATTGGACTTTGCGTCGCCGCAGTCGGAATTCAGCAATCCCCTGGATGCGCGCTATTTGCAATCCGGCATGGGTCTAGGGCTTATTCAGAATCATCCGCAGAGTCAGCCCTTCCTTTCGGAGCCACGGAGCTGTATGAGTGGGCAATTTGAACCGAAATATCAGAATGGACTTCACGCCGCATCACAAAGCTCGTATTTCCGACCCTCCTCCACATCCACATTACTGCCCTATTCCACACAACCGACCGCCTACTCTCAACATCGCTTGTTCCTAACCAGGACTGTGGCTCCCCAAATCATCAACGGCCTGCCACAGGAAGCGAGCGACCTTATGAACTTCGACCATGAGGACAGGACGAACAGCAGCAGTGAAGACACACCAGCGGACTCTTGGTACGGGCAATTTATCTCGAGTCGGCCACCATCCAACAGCAGTGGCACCCAGAGGCCATATTCGCAACAAACTTCCAAACCAACAGGAGACATGACCTCGTGGGTTCGTAAATTGTCGGACATAAATGTGGAGCTGCATCAGCACCAATTTAATCTCAGTTGTGAGTCGGGAACTCAAGGGGTCGGGATGACACAACCGGGGCAAATGAAACTACTAGCGGAAAAGGCTCATCTATATGCCTCGAAATTAGACCAAGGACCGAAAGGTACCCTAAAGCTTACCATAACGTTTAGGAGAATATGGAAAAGTGGAACTCAGTGTCGAGGTCGTGAGACTATTGGCTGCGTAGAGCGCGCAAATGATTCCCAAGGCCTCGGGAGAACGTGAAGAACGTTCAGCCATCTTACTCTCACATTCCCTGCAGTCACAATAGCATCGGTTCTACTTCCTGGGCATTTTCCTCTCATGATGTTGTCTGATCTAGCTTACGTGCTACCGTGCCTTCAAAATCGCCTGTTTCCCTTTATCCCCTTCATCTGACTAATCTTTCCATACCTACTATGTTATTTAATCCGTGATGCAGGAGGTGGACCATGCGGACTATGCGCTATTGCCCTTTTCGGTCGTGGGGATTGGAATCGGGCCTCCGGGTGAGTCTTCCAGTCTCGCAGTCAAGACCTCGACCCCAGTTTCGGTAACCAGCAAGGTGTGTTCTCCATGGATATTAGCATTGTGCCCTGTACGTAATATGTATGCTGTACTCACCAAATTGAGCCGTCCGTTTGCCATCCACCGTGACGTTAGTCCAGTCATCGGGCCAATAAATTTCCCGAGGTTTTCCCAGCGTCAGAATGGGCTCGATGGTGAAAGTCATTCCAGGTTTGCACACTCCGGGCACCTTACTCTTTCCATAATGAGGGATCCATGGCGGGGGGTGGAATTCGGTGTTGATACCATGTCCACCCCAGGTCGCTTGGACGCCACAGTTTCGAAAGTTTGCATGCTCCTCAATGACCTTGCCAAAATCTCGGAGGAGGGCGCCAGGCTTCACGAGTTCGATTGCCATATCCAAGCACTCTCGGGTCGTTTCCACCACCCGGACTGAGTCAGGATCGGCCTTAGCTCGATCGCCCACATAGTACGTTTCGTTCAGATCAGCGTGATATCCCCCGTGATATAAGGAGATGTCGAGATTCAGGATATCGCCATCAAGAAGGATCCGCTGATCTGGAATACCGTGACAAACCACCTCGTTCGGGGACGTACACAGCGATTTGGGGAAATGGTTATAGTTCAAGGGCGAGGGATAGGCCTGTCTGTGTTAGAAACATATAAATATATAATTTTATATGTATATGTATGTATTTATCATCGCGATGGGCGTAACACCTACATCCCGTTCGACGCAAGCCTTGTGGCAGACCTCGTCTAGGTAATCGGCCGTAATGCCCGGCCGGAGCTTTGCTGCGGTGATGTCTAATACCTCCCGAGCTAAACGGCACACCCTCCGCATGGCCCCCTGGCCCTCGGCATCGAGAATATCAATCTGCATCCGGTTCAAGCGCCGTTCCCCCTTCGGGATGCCAGTCTCAGACCAGTCAGGGCATCTGATAGACTTAGGAAGGGTACGCATCGGAGACAGCGGATAGACCGGTCGAACCGACCCGGTGAAGGAGAAGGTCGGGAAAGGATTGTAAAGTCCGGTAACTGGGTCAGGTTCAGATACGACCTTCGGCGGAATTATTGTGCGGAAGATACCATCCTGTGTCTTGCCTTGAGCCGTTTTGTGGACGGTCTTGTGTTCGGCCTATCTCACGAGCTCAGTCAGAAATCAGATTCCAGTCTCAAACAAATAAGGAGACCCACCCAATTCTTCTTAAAACAATCCTGGGAGCAGAAATAGCCATCTTTCATACCCAGCTTCAAACAGGTCGGACACTGCAAGGCTTCCGCATCATTGTCACAGTCGACTCCGAGACACTTTCTCTTCGAGGGCAGCTCGGGGGCGATGTCGCCCATGGTACTGGCTGGGCTTGGTTCCTGGAATATGGAATGCAATGATCTAACGGTGATTAGGAGGGACGAAGATATATGGCTCCGTTTAGTTTTCTCTAGTCAGGAGTCGGTCCACAAAGAAGGGTTCGATCGTCATAGAACCAGCCTCACTTGACTGGAGGAAATTCGTAATCAGCAAAAGGGGCATTTCATTCAATGAGGGAGGGGAGAGACGCCATAGTCAATTAGGCAACGCCGCCGAATGTAACGGAAGGGCACGTGGGGAAGGAAAGCTGGTTGATCATCCAAACCGTCACGCACGAAGATCCGGGCACAACACCCAGTGGAGTTCAGGTGGGCCCGGCCCGAATTACTTACTACATAGGGACGCAAAGCAATACTCCGTAGACGTCAAATACTGTCCACAAGCTGAACCATTTTCTTTTTCCGCAAAACTTCCTCCTCATTTATAATCAATATATCATCATAAAAAAAACATAAGCAATAAAATCTTAAAAAATAACTATATCAAAATCTTATTCATTCTATAACAATACAATCTCTCGTCCCAAAGAGGCCCAGTCAGAAACATTAAAAATAATAATCTAAATGTTGTTATTAGTGAGTGAAATTCTCTTAAACATTTTGAATAAATCATTAATATAAAAAAGTATTATAAAATTATTAACTATCAATAATTTTTAAATTCTTTTCTCTACATTTTGAAACATTTCTTCAAAAATAATAAAATTAATCGGCTGCTCCATGGCCCGTTCTGCAGTAGCCGCATGGTAGAGTACAGTTGTTGAACTGGGCTCTTTCAGCATGTCAGACTTTGTAGGATCTTACGGGGTAGAGACTACAGTCGTGACTGGCATGCATAGCTAATGAGTGTCTGCCCAACGTGGGGCAATCAAGTGATTTTTGTCAACTCTTGAAATCCCTTATCCAACTTGTCTCGGGATTTCTACCTATTCAACAGGTTCTTGTATGGCCCAGGCAGGATAAACACCCAAGAGTCTTATACCTATACGGTTACGCCTGGTGCCGCCGCTTATATATCAATGGTGAGTTGGTATTTCATATCTTGTATAGTCACTAATCTTGTAGGAAATCCAGACTTCCCAAGTAGAGGTATTAGATGAGGGCCCGAGGTTTTTCGGCGTTGTTCTTAATAACAAAGTAGAAGTTGTATACGGCACAGAAAAGACGCAAATGGTTTACTGGGAAAATAGCTATGTTACGGTTTCGGAAACTGACAACACCGGCAAAGAAAGAAAAACGCGTTTAACTGAGACCAATTCTGGCAAAGGAATGCTGAAGCCAGGCATTACTTTGTATCACTTCAGGGAAAGTCAAAGTCTTGGATACTTAAATATATAGCTCCTTGGCCAACTCGAAAGTGGAGCGAGAGAATGGAAAGAAATGAAATTCCGATCTTGGCACTAGTATGCTCAGCTTTCCCGTCCACATGACTCCTCGAGTCTGGGCATCCCTACAACAAGCTTTGGATTCTGGCACAGCTTTCGCGATACACTTAGCTGTCCTGAGCACATGAATACAGTTGTTATGGATGAAGAAGGCACCTGGGCACATCTATTCTTCTCTGGCAATCGCCCTGATCTACTCAAGAACAAAGGATCCAATGGCGAAGAAAAGTTCCGACCTTTCTGTACGGAAACTGAAGATTGGAAATTAGGAGAACTAGTTGACAAATCCAGGCCGACAGACGCGAGCAACATACAGGTGTTTTGGATTCGGATCAACGGGCGCAGAAAATATGTAGGCAAAGTTGTATGTCTACACAACCATTGTACGCTTTGTCTGAACTAATGGTATGTTGGTTTCCTGATTATACTGAGGAACAAGCCACGATGCAGCTTCATCGTCTCGGAGTATCAAGTCTTCGGATCCCAGAAGTGATAGACGATGCCGTGCGCGAATTTGATAGATTTTTTCGAGAGGCTCGGGCATATAACCATCTTGACCTATTCTGTGGCAGACGTGAGAGGATATATTTCCCGCAGTTCTTTGACGTGGTCACCGATCTGTCAAGGTCCAGGTTCTCTTCTGGATATGTGCACCGTCGAGCAGTTGTGCTGGAAGCTATTAAACCGGGCTTGTGCTCTCGACGTATTCTCGGTGAGGATGCCTGTCAGTTGCCTGAGAGCTTCTCTAGTATCCTTGATAAGCTACCACTAAGTTTATTTGAGCGCGAGTGGTATTATTCCTTGCTAAAGGACAGGCTTCGTCGCCTGAATGCCATACATTGGATTGGATTAACTCACGGAGATATTAAGAACTGCCATTTTCGACTTCCTGATGATATCTATGATACAATTTTGTATGACTTCTCTACATCGTACACGTTCTCTGAAAAACTTCCTTTCCGGGTAAACTCAGGCAAACCTCGACCTTTAAGACTTATTTCACAGGGTGAGCGTGAGCGTGTTGGCCTCCATATTCACCAACGGTAAGAGACATAACAAATATCTTACATAAAAACTAACATATATTCAGAACTGCTTCACGAGATCTTCGTTCCCATCTCATAAAAGCAGGTTCGGAAATATCTGTTGACAAGACCCTGTGTCAGTCTCTGGACGAAAAGAAGGAATTGCTAAAATTAATCATACTAAAAACTTGCAGTCGTCCAGATTGTCAATACCCATCAATCATTTCAAATATTTCAGAGCTACATAACTAACTACGCTAGATTTTTCAATGCCTACTTTGAATTCGGTTTTTCCTTTTCTGGAAAAGGTTTGTCCAAAGTCTGACCCATGTTGGAATATTCGTAGAGGCAGACTTTTGCATTATTATAAACCATTTTGGGCAGTCTCCCACAAGGAGGGAAACCGGCCTGCATCAATTACGTTTGATGGAGAAACTCTATTTGAAATGATGGAAATGAATGATAAATCCCACTTCATACTTTGCTTAGTGCCGAAGTCGTGGATTGTATCATTAAGGACGAATCATAATTCGATTTTGGATAACACAGGACTTTATGACAAGCTTCGACAGGTTTGCTCACTTCTGTCATTGACTGAAAGCCCTGGGTATGTTATTGGGCGTGGCGAATTTCTGGCAGCATGTGAAAGGGAAAGCATTAAGAAGAACGATACTGTATAATGAAAGATAGAACAGGCACCTATTAGCCAAGTGAGGGTTTCACTAAGCGCAAAATCGGCGATTCTCCAGAACAGTTAAAGATATGACCCCCAATCTCCCAACAGCTTCCTAGAAACTCATCAATAATCCAACTTGTCGCATCAGTCGCATCATCCAAAGCATAATTATATCCATAGTCGTATCCATAGTCTCGTTGGTATATATTCGAAGAGCGATAAACGAATAAAAGGTATTATCATCGGATAACACTAACACTTCGAATACATGAAGATGCGTGACGAGTCAATAGTACCACAAAGAAGTAAATAATAACAATTGAGACTAGTTCATAGTAATTAAGCGTGTGTAAAGCAAGAAAACTCGGATCTGTGTAGACTTGTGTTTTCCTTTTACCAGCTATATCTGAACGATTGGACGATTGTCCGCAATGATGACTCACTGTGATAAGAGAGGGTAGCGAAGTACAGAGTAAAGAAAGATCAGTCTAACAGTAAAAATACCTCAACGAGTTGGCAGTCGAACAACCATTGTAAAGCGGATAGGAAGGCAGCTTTATAGACCATGCACCTTGATGTGAAGGGTTATACGGAGTGTAAGACAGGTGGAGAGGAGGTGGGTCGTCATTGTACTATGGCATCGTGGTTCCTTGGCAACCTCCAACTCTTTAGCTCCGTCGCTTGAGCTTTGTTCCCCAACAACCTGAACGTTTGTCAGTCGCAGACTCACTTTCTGCTCTACCACCATCTCACAGCATCCCTATCTTGAACTCAAGCCTCGTATATCGTGAAGATGGATCAACAGCCACCCTCCGAGCAGCCCCAACAACCTCCTGCGACCCTAACGAATCCTCGCTTCACCCTAGAACTCGAATTCGTCTCCTCCCTCGCGAATCCGTACTACTTGTCGCATCTTGCAGTCAACTATCCTAACCTGCTGGGTATATCTAGAACCAGCGAGGAAAGCGATCTCAACAACGATACCGTCGATCCTGAAGCGCAGGCATTCGCAGCCTACCTTGCCTACCTCTACTCCTACTGGAAAACCCCGGAATATGCTCAATTCCTGACTCATCCGGGTGCAACCTTGCGTGCGCTACGACTTCTTCAGGAAGATACCTTCCGTCGAGATATTATCCGACCGGACGTGATTGAGGGTTTGGCGGGCGTTGGCCTCGGCATCAATCAGGATGGCGCGACCGCGGAGGCCGGGGACCAACAGGAGGGGGATCAAGCCCAAGAAACTCAGGAAAATCAAGGACAGGCAGGAGAAAAGACAGTGAAAACATGATGGAGGTGGCATATCTTTCAAAGCAGCCGATTTGACGGTGGTTGCCCTTGCGCCTTTAGTCCTCGGGCCTTTCTGTCTACGGAGTTCGCTATGGCTGGGCGCCTGCCAGAAAAGGAAATCGTTGCGGGCAGAATTTTGGGATCTACACTTTGGGGCAGTAGGGCTCTTCGGCTCAATTTTGTATCCTTGCTCGGGGAGAAAGTGAAGTTGAACGCGTCGATTCCGTTGGCTCGCCGCGATCTTCGGCGTCATGTGTCACCGAGGCTTCCTTTCTTCTGCGATCGTCCACGGCATCGGCTATGGGTGCTTGGGAACCACAAAGAGCATGACGGTTTAACCCCAAAACCATACGAATCTCACAGAGACCTACACGTACGCCCTTTCGAACTCGAGCCATCACGAGCCCTATCTCAACGCCTATTCGGAATGCGGGGGATGATCTATATCGATGGTTGAATTGGTGGAGATCGGCACATGAGAGACCAAGAGCATGGATACACACACCATTACTAGAGATAAAGCTGGGGATATGTTTGGCGATCGGTGTTCATGCAAGTGCTCTCGTTACTGGGCAGCGCATTGGACAGAGAGTCTAGTCACTTTTCACCGATGACGTCCTCGGTGGTTGGGATTGATGTGGCTTTTTCCTGTTCTTCCTACTCCTGTACTCCTGTAGGATATAGTTGATGCAAGGAAATGAAATTAATATGAATTGAGACATCTAGTGGTAGTAATAACCGTAGCAGCGATCCCAATAATGTCGCTCCACCGACCGAGATTTCGTGTCTTGTTGATCGCCAAGTCTGACGGGGGGCGGACAGGCTGATTTTCCCGACGGGAGACTTCGCCGGAACGTCCAGAGCACCGAAGTCCAGGTCTTCCCTCCTCCCTTATCCAGCCTCCGTCACTCCTTGTGCAGTCCACCCACTTTGCACAACTGGCAAACCGTGATTCCCATGGGTTGACCCCGCTCCCCGTGGCAATCCTAACTGACCGACTGACCCGGAGATTCTGTATTTTCGTTCTCTCCTTGTCTCTTCAGTCTTCACCCTCCACTCTGCCCGAATACGACTCGGTGACATCAGATCGCATTCCATGCCACGGAGTTAAGCCGATGATCGGGATCTTCTAAATTTACTCACACAGTCGCTCGCCCCTGCCTTGTTCCGGTAGTTGCGATTCAACCATCTTTCCCACATTACGAAGACTTGGAGCCTTCTCCGGCTATTTAGCCAATGGAGGGCGTACGCCAAAAATGCCGGCCGAAACACCAGGTCCTGATTCTCAAGTGCTACCCTCAGTATCAGAAAGGTGTACAGCATGTCAAACCGAACTCGAGCGAACTCTCGTACCTGCTCTACTATGCCAGCACTCGCCGAAGCAAGTTGACCAAGGTCGGTGCCTTTCTCGAGAAACGGGCCGCCCGGGATGTGTGGCGCCGTAAAATTGGGTAAGTGGAAGGAAGTCGATGTGAATTATCATTGAGTTCAAGTCGGGGTCGATCGGGTCTGTGTTGGATGAGGTAGCTGACACGATACGGTTTGCAGGAACGTGCAGGTTACGCTTCAAATCCTCAGCGCGCTGATCGAGAAAGTACCCCGCGATTTGCCCATCTACGCACGATCGGTCATGACGGTAATCGAAACGGTCCTACGCTCCAACGATATAACGATGGTTGAGGATTCCATCGAGACTTTTGAGATGTTTTGTTCCCACCAGGACATGGCCGCTTTATCCGCGGAACAGGACTTTGCCAGCCAATACCGAGAGGTTGTGCGCACGTACGCGAGTTTCGCAGACATCGAGACGACGTCCCAGGCGCGAGATGCCTCGAGCCCTCAATTAGCGATTCGATGGAGAAATGCCGGACTACGAGCAATTAAAGGCGTGATCAGCTCGGAAGCGGGACTAGCTGCAGATGGCGGAGACTCGTTGAAGATTATACTGCCGGTCATTTTGCAGAACCTCTACAATGGGGAGGATGATCTGCTCCTGACGTTGGAGAACAAGCTTCTTGAGTCGGAGAAGGCAGAAGCTGATCTTACGATGCGCCCACGCCGAGTTAGCACCGCAACTGTCGAAAACGTCGATGCTGTGGATGGGGATCCGACATTAGCGGCTCGGACCACGGCGGATATGGACAGACAAGCGGAGATGGACGTGCGGTTGCTTGCCCTTAGTTGCCTGGAACGCATAATCGTCACTGGAAGCGGCCGTGGTCAAATCCGAGTTACCACCCAGGTTGTGTTGGATTTCATTCTGCGCAAAGGGAAGACGGATAACCGTGGAATGTCGCTGAATACTAGGGATACCTGGGAAACATCTTTGATTGAGCTTGTCGCCAAATGGTGCCCAGTTCAGGTCCGGTTTATCATCTTGGCCGCTGCCATGGAACTTCTGCTGGGCCTCAAGCCGACTGAGGGCTCTCTAGATGGCCCTTTCACGATTATGTACATGATTGACCGATTATTGAAATCGCCGGTGAACATGATCGGTCTCAGTGTCATTGACGTTTTGCTCGGTCTCATGCAATACATGTCCTTCTTGCTCTCACCATCGAGGACCGAGAAGATGACTGATGAGACCTCTGATGAGAAACAGAACGGCCATTCTGAGAACATGGGTGAACCGTCGGACAAGAAACAAGAACTTCTCAGTTTGCTCCAGAATTGCATTGGCGACCTTACGACGCACATATACTATGGTGATCAGGTTGTCGATATGATAAGGGCCATTCTCACTCGTCTTCGGCCTGCCAGCTCCAACGAGCAAACTGCAAACTCGTCATTCCCAACCCAGCTCGATGGTTTTGGGCCAGGTGCTGGCTCTCCTGGATCCCCTGGAGAAGGCAAGCACATCATGTTCTTCTCGCCCAGCGCAAAGATCACCGCTCTCAAGGCCATCAAAAATGTTCTTCTGGTCGCAAATTCCAAGAAACCTGCGGAAGCAGCTGGTGTGGAATCGAGACATCGTGTCGGCAGCTACGTATGGGAAGGAACACAGTGGCTGCTGTGCGAGCCAAACAGGACCGTACGCTATGCCTACGTCGATGCGTTCCTGGCTTGGTTGCGAATGGAAACCAACCAGGACGATCTGAAGGTTAAGGAGAAGCCTGCCAAACACAGTCAATCCCCGAAGCGCGAGTTGACCGACATTGCCGAAAAGCCTGGAAAGCGAACTGTCAGCTCAAACACGGGTCAGAGAGAGAGAGCTCTAATAATGGCACAATCTAACTTCCTCCGTTTGCTTCACTTGACAATATACGACATTGCCCTTCAATGTCCACAGGAGAAATCTGAAATCATGCTTCTCCACCTTCTTCTGGTTAGCCTCGTTGATAAACTTGGCGTGAATGCTGCGAGATATGGGCTTCCAATGGTCCTAAAACTCCAGGATGACCTGACTACAGTGGATAGTCTAAGCTCCGGCATTGCCCAGGTCAATATCGCTAGCTTGGTGTATGGGTATCTGTGGGCGTTGACTGAGAAGTTCGACCTGGAGAATTGTCGCGTTGGAGGCGAAATCATGAATGAAATTGTCAAGAGACAGAAACATGGTGTTTGGGTGGAGCAGATCCGTCTTCCGCCAGCCAGTCTCAACGACATACTCCAAGACCGGACCTCTCAGCGGGCGAATATCGGCATGGAGCAGGTTAAGGAACTGACACCGTTCGGTTATGGTATTGAGGAACTCGTCAACCGCCTCGAGGAAGCTTATAACGAGTTCATTCTATCGGCGACTCATAGTCCACCCAGCTCCCCTGGACGGAACTTCACTACCCCTATACTGGCGCAGGTCTCCTCTGCTGGGCCTGCCCAAAAGGCCACCCTACTTCCATCAACCGTCAAGGAGCAGATGTTGTCAGCATGGTCAAGGGAGTCCTGTCTGGCAGCTGCCGAGAAAGAGAAAGCTGAAGCACTGTCCATCAGCGGCTCGAAGTCGGGGACCATGGCGATGCGCAGTCAAATCTACCACAATGGCCATGGCGACAGCTCTCCTTCTACGGCTTCGCCGGCATCCGCTCATCACGGTATCTCGGGCGCAGCAGCAGGTCTGCCAAACGTCCGACGAACCAGTGCACCCAACTCGTCAGGCTCCCAGCTCAACGGCTCAAACCGCGAGTCTCCAGTTCACGTGAACGAGCTCAGGCGGGTTCTTTCGGTTAACAACGAAGGCCAACGCAGACTTAGTCCGCTACGTGGCCGCTTGGATACCGCTAACAGCAGTGTTATCTCTTCAAGCAGTGAGAGCATGGTCAGCGGATTTTCTTTGTCTGAAATTGACGGCGAGGGATCCTCAGTGAGACCTCAGTCCATCAAGAACGGGCATTTGGGTCTAGAAGGCGATGGCATTGAAACACCTAAGGCCTCGGCTTTGACGTACGGCTCGGAGAATGGTCGGTCCCAGTATTCCTTCCATTCTTGCGAGACCGGCCCTGATGTCATTCCACCTGTGCCGCCGATTCCACCATCTCTTTCAATCCCCGGAATCCCCGGTGGTTTCCCCAATGAGTCTCAACGCTCTTTAGCATCGGCCGAGCGGCCATCAACGGCCCCTGGGCGGCCCCGCAGGAAGTCCAGTGCCAGCGCGAAAACGGGAGCCCATGCTACATCTGGCAGATCCCTCAGCAGACACAAAAGTCGATCTAGCACAGGTCTCGCGGCTGCTGCTGATGGCGTCGAAAACCCCAAAACCAATGGTCGGGATTATGCCGACACCACCAGAAACGATGTGCAAAAGCTGCTTGGCGGTTTCTTGTCCCCCATGGATGCTGAGAGTAGAAAGCCCGTGGGCAGATCACGAACTGGTCGACGCAGTGCCACCGGAGGAATCGGACGGCCTCCCTACTGATCAAGTTTGACTGCTTTTTCTTTTCGCTTCTTATTATCTCCCTCGGTAATGCCCGATGACCTTTATTATCATTTATTGATGCTTATGCACATATCTATTTATTCTGCCTCTTACTTTGATTTCAATCTTTCGGCTTTCCATTCCCTATATTGCCCCCATTTCCTATGTTTTAGAACTTATCTCCATCCTTTGCCACTTCACCGATCCTTCTCTTTGTTTCAATTGTTGATAGAGCTGTACTGCGTACACATTTATCTTTCTCAAGCTGTGCTTCTTTCACTGTTTCCTCAGCGCCTCGCCCGAGTGTGTTTTCATTCTACATGTTTTGAAATTCTACCATTGTTCAAATATTTATTCTTGTTTCTCAATGGCGATGACTACATGTATCTAGTGGTAGCAGTAATCCACAAGTTAACAATATATACCATTCTGTACGGAGTGTCCTTGCTTCCTTTTTACTCTAGTTATACCTACATTAAGATCATAGAAAGTACAGACTACTGAGACTCTCATCCCTAGAGCCCAATCTGCCGAACGGATCCCCAATCTAAAGATCCTCTCTCTCGACTGTAATAACATCACCGACTTCCACCGGTGCAAAGTACTCCGTAAACAACCTCGTCAGCACCTCCTCCGACAACTGCATATGTCCCCCAGGAACAGTCTTGAACTCCAACGCCCCCTTCTCATCCAACTCCCTCAACCCCAACCAATCCTGCTTGTAGATCTCCCGTTCCCGCAACGGCGTCACCTCCCCAGACGTGGCATTCACCTCCGCAAACCACGCACTCTCCTTCGGGTGCACCATCTGATCCTCCTCGAACAGGTACATCGCGAAGCGATTCAACCGCGCCAGATTCTCCTTATACGTCACATTTTTCAATTCCCGCTCATTGTTCACGTCCGCCAGGAAATTGCTATGTTCGAGATACGCCTCCAGCTCCTCGGGGTCGCGGAAGTATTGCGCCGGCACGAGCCGCTCCTGCACGAACTTCGACCACCGACCCCACCGGAGCAGCGCCTCGCCACCGCGGCAGAAATAGTCGCTTGCGCCGCAGGCCTGGAACTCGGCGATGCCGTTGTGTTGGCTGCCCAGCGTGACGAGGTTGTGGACGGGCGGGTCGTTGCAGCGTTCGACGTAGGCGCGCAGGAACTGGCCGCCTTGCGAGAACCCGAGCGCGTTGATCCCCGGTGCCGTGCGGAGGATGTTGTCGGCCTGCAGCTGGGCGCAGACCGTGTCGACTTGCAGGTTCACGTCCCCGATGAAGCTGGCTTGGCGGTCGCCGGCGCCGCTGTCGGCGAGGTGGATTAGGTGCACGTAGGTTCCGGGGTTGGTGGTGTCGGCGAGCGCCGCGACTTCTTTCATGCCGTCGCGCTGGAAGTCATCGCCGAGGCCGTGCCAGATGACGAGTGGGAGGGGGGCGAGCTCGCGGGTGGTTGGGAGGGAGGAGGTGAGGATGGGGAGGAGGGTGAGGGTTGGTAAGAGGTGACGCATTGGGATGAGTGGGTTGGGTGTATGGGGTTTGGAATGATGAGTTTGATTGCTGAGAGATGAGGTGATTATATGTTAACAGTGATGAGGGTTGTGGTGATGAGGAGAGATGATGATGGTTGTTGTTGTGATGTAGAGAGCTTGGGTGAGATCACGTTGTCTGGGCATGTGATCGTCGGGCGGCTGTTGTACCTGACGGGGGAGTTGTGCTACGGCTCGGCGATAAGATAGGAAGGTACGTGTAGGTAGTGTGGTCCTCCGGGGTAACTCAGGGGAAACGGTTGCACAAGCTTAAAATTTACCGATGTCAGGCGACTGTTTCTTGTAATGAAGACTATGATATAGTGACAGCAGAAAGATCCCTCGTTGAGCATGTTCAACTTAGGAAAGAAATTCGGGTCGGTTCCATACTACCAATACGGATTCCCACATTACGCAGAATATACTTATCCTTTGGTTTCAGCGAGTCCAATACCATGTGAGTACAATCCACCTCTATTGGCAGCTTTAAGAATGGATATTTCTTGAGTCCAGTACAAATAGCAAAGGCTTTTTACATTGTAGTGAATCAGGTGTCTGGAAAATATAATGTTATAGCCACCGATGAGCCTTATCCGACATTTTTGTATACTATTGCATGGAGAGATTGGTGACGGTGTTATATGACACCCAAGGTTCGAGAAAAAAAAGAAGTAGGATCAATGATTGTAAAGAACTAGGTAAAAGTAGAATCGAAATTCCTACTTCAATGAGAGCGTATCGGATGATGATGTCCGTTTGGTATAGAACCGCTCAATACTAGGCTGGTTGTCCCGATAACCTACGGTCGGTACCAACAATTCTGCCTGCTTGTCGCCTTGCCCGAAGGTATTTTGATCATATTGGAGGAAGCCTTCGAGCAGGGCAGCCGGCGAATGAAGCATGGTCCTTGGCTTTTGGATCAAGAAGGCATTACCATACCTGTAGTTTGGTCTTTGAGTTTGGAGCATGATTTGGTTTTGAGCGTCCGAATCTTGCGATAAGTCGATGTGAGTCATGAGAGAGGATTTGAACTGACTAGAGCCTATGTCCGCTGCATTTAGCTTTCTGGCTGAGCTGTTTGGAACTGATGTATTAGGATCCGTATTCCATGACGATCGCATTGCGTTATCGCCAAGCACAACTGGTTGTCCAAAAATCTTCGTCGGTGATGTGGGTGGGTCCAACTCTTCAGGAGAGGACAGAGTGATATTAGTTCCATGAGATTTAAGCAATATTGGGCTGTTGTTCTCCTCGCGATGAGTCGGTCCGTGTAGAGCTCGTATATCATGAAATGATCCGAGGGCTTGATCATTGCAACCAGCATTCGAAGGCACCTGATTCTCTTCCAGATGATGTGTTGTCCTACGTAGATAGCAATTCAACCCCTTCATTGTTTTCGGGGAGAATATGGAATCGTGGTAGGAACTTCCCTGTCGTTCCTGGTTAAACTCATTGGCGGATCTGTTCACCCTGTTGGTGGCATGCAGCCTCCGCTCATTCTCGGCAATCATCTGATCGACCTGATCATCAAGGGTGAATCTCCTTCTGTTAAACAATGATTGAAACCCACTAGCGGAGCTATCGTTCTGGTTACTGTGTGATGAGTTTTGCTCAACAGCTGACACTTCGTCGGCAGAAGTTTTCTTTACAACATCTGGGATTCCATTCTGCGGTCCAGAGCTTGTATCCATAACAGCTTTACGGCACAATGGCGATTGATCTGGGTTGCTGAGAACCTCGGAGCCCTGCCCAAGAATGCTTCCTTCGCCGTTTCGAACGCTGGATAAATACGCTGTTTCGGGCTTTCCCGCGCATGCTGATTCATGATCCAAAAGCATCGACTGAGATGATTTGTTTGCTTGAAGACTACTGCTTTCCGAAGGCAAGCTCTCCGCCGGCACTTTGCGCCCGTTAATTGTGATGTTGAGGTTTTTGATCGTTCTCAGTTCGGATGGTGTATCTCTCCCACCACCAGTCTTGTGGAACGGCGGTTCTGTCCAGGACACAATGTTCTCAGAATCCGCCAGTCTTTTCCGATCGGCCTCTGTAAGCTTTCTTCTTTTTCCAAATTTCTCAATCTCCTCAGCTCGTGTGAATGCGACCTCGAGAGGTTTGGTGACAGCGACCGCGGCCCAATCTTTCTCATTCAATAGCTGGTGCTTGATGCGGTCTAATCGGCTGACTGGCTGCGACTGTCGAGAGGATTCGAGGGGTGGATCTCCGTATTGATGGGATGGTAAATGCAAACGCCTAGCACTAGACTGAGACCTCTGATTAGCGGGAGCACAGCATCAATTGCTAGAGTACGCTCACTGCTTGAGTCGGGTCATCATTGCAAGTTATTTCCGCCTGTTCTTCGTCCACCTCCCTGGCAACTGTTGAGCTTGGCAAGCAGGAGAATGGGGACCAATTCGAATCTTTGGTTATCTTGGATCGGAACTGTTGAGTGTCTCTCCTTCGATTCTTAGAGTTTGCATTGCGACTATTGTTGGAATGTCTGTGAAGATGGCCTCCTGTCCAATTCATGACCGTTTCTAAATCAAAGAAGACTCAACGGGACAATTAGAAGAGGTTTCGGATGATCGGGATCCTCGAGAGGTTCTCTGCTCGTGACAATGGAAGTGTCATGTGATTGTCCTAATAAGGTACGACACCACGGCCTCCAAGAGTACTCAATATATGGCACCAATGTCGTAGCAAGAGCGACACAATGTTACTCGAAGCCTGAGAGAGACCTAATGGCGTATGTTATGGCGTTGCGTGACACTGGAAGAGTAAGATGCTGATACTATCCGACCAAAGTAAGCGATCGCTTATTCTCATAATGGCCTACAATCGGCAAACGTCGTTATCCAGGTGTCTAGAAGCCTGAAGGAAGCTACCTAGCTTTGGGGGCCCTAGGTCTTGGTTCCTGGCGATTGCCCAACGTAGATAATCATAAGATGGCATTGGGCGACATTGGCAGTTAGGCAAGCGATCAGAGTTGTATGTACTGTACATGAAACTCCCCAGTAGGGATCACATTGATGGATGAGAGAACATGCTTTCAACATCATGTTTCTTCCTGGTTTCGTCTATCGTTGATTCCTTCCAGCATCTCGACCTTCGACGCCGAATCTATAGGGCTTAGACTGCGCACCATGTAGTAGTTAACTACGGAGTACTAACTACGTAACCATGGGGCTTGCTATCGGCGTTGGTCGAGTACGGCTCGGGCCGGACAGTGGTCCAAGCTAAGGTGACTAATGTTTTCAGGTTCTGGTTCAACGCCTGCGGCCCGAGAATGCAAACAGTATAAACTGTGAAACCATCACGTGAGCCTCGCTTACACAAAAGCCTTTCGCACTGGACAAATCCCCTTTCTTCTTTTCTCTTCCCTCTCAGCAACACTTGGTCCCCTGACCACAGCCTGCCATCCCGGAGTTGCCGCGAGCCACTCATTGTGGCCAGTGACTGGGATCAAGTTGGATCTTGCCTTGATGCAGGCAGAGCCAAATTACGATTGGCAGAAGGCTGAAACCGGTGTTTGCTCCTTAATAATCATGGTAAGTCTATTTTTGATTTTCAGTTTATTTTCTTTTTTTCGACATCCCACGGGTCTTGGCATCTTTATGATGAACATAATACCAATAAGCATAGTTCACCTGAGGTCTTCGGATCGTTGAACGACAACTGTATACCATCTTTCACCTTTGTCTGATATATCACCTGCCTGTCTCGTGTACTTGTCACCTGTTTTCGCTTGATTGATCATCCGGAATTTTTACGCTGACATTTGCATTGAAGAATATATAGGTCGGGCAATTCGGCGAAAGAGAGAAAATTGAAAACCAAAAACCGGAAAAATTTAGATTGAACCCAAAAAATAATCAAAATGAAATGAATTAAAAACAAACCCCTCCAAACTCCCGATTAAACTCCAGCCCCTCGAGAAAATCCCGAGACGTTCGACGGAGACTGCCAAAATGCATTGCTGCCCAACTTGGGCTTCCCGTCATGGATCTTCTCATATCCACCCTGGTAAGACACGAACCATTCGTGCACATGTGTAGATAAATGCAGCCCCTTTTCCCTCCTGAAACTCGGACAGCGTGGTCCAGGGTACTTTTGCGCATTTTCCCCTCTCGCGACGCATCGCTGGACAACATGAGGCGCATGTAGATGAAGTATCATAATTCAAAACTCCCCCTCCATCCGACGCTTGCATGCAGAAGGGGATGAGGAGACATGTTCCCCGAGACGTAGGAGAATTGACGTGTTGCGCTCGTAGCCAAAGGATGGGACGGCGCCAAAAGGGTGCACTTCACGAGGGAAGCGGGGCAGGCCGCACTAGCGGGCGCTGATTGACGGGGCGGATCAACGGGGCTTCTCAGTGGTTGCCAGCCCCATCGGGGGGCTGCGGGTTTGCATCATCTGGGCCTGCCGGTGATGCAAGCCCGCAGCCCGCGCCCGGGACATCGCGACCAGTCAGGGGGCGCCGGGGGGTGGGCCGCGCCTCACCGCTAGATGTGTTTGCGAGTGATACATCCACTCGCTGCCACGTCAAGGCCAGCGGACGAGTATCGATTGGGGATTATTGGCCGAGAGACGCAAACAACACCACCTCCGGTCGCACCACCATCACCGCCATGTCTTGCAGGATCAAATCATCGTGCTAGATGCCAATCCCGGCTGCAGCAAAATGCAAGCCCGGCACACGCTTGGACTCCCCTCGGTCGGCCTTGCCCCCCCACGCCTCATCTCCGGCTTGATGCTGAGAAAAAAGACTCTAAAAGGGCGCCCTTTCCCCTCTGGATCTCATTCTTCTCGATCTCTTCAATTCATCTCATTCTCTTCAATTCATCTCATTCTCATCATCTCAATCCGAAACAAACCCCAGCCTCCATCATCCCAAGATACCCAGATCTGCCTCCACCCTTCCATTCCATTTCCTTCCATCATCCTTCTACTCTTGACTCTGCTCCACTTGTTGCTAGATTTGTCACAGTCAAATCTGCTGCTCCACTTGACTACTGCCCTATTTGCTACTACCTGCCGTCTTCCACTTACTACTACTTAAGGCTTCTCGTCTTCTCTCTTTTTTCTTCATTTTCTCCGAGTCCAACCCCGTGGATCGTGGAAAGATTTCATACTCCCTTGGCTTCAAAAGAAAAGAAAGACCTCGTTGCCCGTTGGAACTCAGTCCATATCCTGGATAGGATTTGCCTTGCTGTTTTCTTTTTCTCTTTATTCGACTTTTCGAATATCGATAGATCACAGGTAGTTCCCTTGCTTTTCTTTGCTTTCGCTCTGTGCCTTTCTTGCTTTTGTGCATGTTTCCTTTCATTGCTTTCTGCGTCTCGACACTCGACCTTTCCTGGATGAATTATTGCCGACTGCTTGCCGATTTGAACACCATGGAACCTTGGACAACCGGATTTTTTGATCTATTAATGGATTCACCGTTTCTTGACGGTTTCATTGCATGATACCCCTGGAGAAAAGCCGTCCACAGCAACCGCTGTGTGACTTCGGACACTTCTGAGTGTTGTTTAATGATGCACACTCATCGATATTCTTTGGACCACCTTCACCTGGACTCGTGTTGCTCCCTTTTACTTCCTCCAAGCCTGGAGTGCAAGTTGGATTTTGGCCTTTGAGAAACCTGGATACCATAGAACCATGCCGGACGGATTCCAAATGGATGCCTTTTTTTAATGATACCACTCTGGAGAACCAATGCTTTTGATACCCTGGACACAAATGATGATATGAACTAAGCCAAAATGTGATACCCGACGAACTCCTGGACTTACGAAAAAGAACTCCGTTGATCCTGACCCTTCTCGCCTCGACATCAATTCCTTGTAGTCTTCGGGACTAAACACCTGGATGAGAGATACCATTGGTATCTGAGGCCTTGTACGGATCCCCTTTCGGCGAGTAGCTTCTAGCTAAGCGTTGTGGACCTGATCTCGCTTGTATTGCTACCCCAATCTCCCCTGGCCAATTTTGCTTCTATTTCCCTGGACCTCGAACTTGCCTTAATGCACCTGGATTTGCAAGCCCTTGCGTTACCTCTCTTGGACGACTATTGTGGTTGGTACATTCTTTGAACCCTTGGGCGTTTTCCTCGTGAAGCTAACAGTCCTCAGGACCCTCCTTCCGGCCTTTGACGCATTGTTATTTTGTGTTTTATTGTGATGACAAAAATTTAAAAAAAAGTTTGCCTACTGACTTGTAAATCTTCTAGTGCTTTTTCTTCTTCCAGCCCAGCTGGCTTCAAGAATATAATGTCCCCAAAGATCAAGAACGACCCTGAAGTTTCTTTGTCTCAGTCCGCTCTTCACAACATGGATCAGATGTCTCAACCCAGGCACAACCAATTAGTCCAAGGAATCTCAAACATGGCCCCCAGAGTGATCCCGGATGATGAACTTTCGAGCCAGGATAACTTCTCCCTGTGTTCGAGCACACACCAGAGCCATGGAACTCCCGGACTCAAGTCGTGGTCCGTGAATGATGTTGATGGACTTGACGCTGGTGTCATGTCCTCAGTTAAACCAGAATCCCCGGAAGTACAAATGCTGTCTTTCTCATTGTCCCAGCAACTCATGCCTTCCACCGTGGGGCCAAGTGATGTGATGTATCACACTGGTCCCGAATTCCCAGGTCTCCAGGATTTGGGAGACCAGAGTGAACTGGATTTCTCACATGCCCAGGATTTCAACACCCACTACTCCTCACTAGTGGATTTCAGTGCGTTTGACAATGATGTCGGAGCCCAAACTGGTTCCCAGTCCTGCACTTCCGATGATGCCCACTCAGTTAGCCACAGCTCTCACACCGATGATGCATGGAACTCCCTCGTGGCAGATACCAGAAACTACCCCGGATCATCCATGGACCACTTCACTTCCAACATGTTCCACCCAGTCCCCGTTTCCCCTCCCTTGACGGAAGCAAGCAATGATGTTTCTGTTACCTCTTCCTGCTCCCACACCGGATACCCATCTTTCATGTCTCATGACGACGCCATCCTCAAGGATGTAACTTCAACCCCCGTTGGCAGCCAGGGAATTAACCTCGGAGATCCATTGTTCCCCCTCACCCCGCCTCTCAATGAGCAAGACCCTAACAGGTCAGTCCTCCTCAACTTGTCCGGTTTCGTTTCGCCAACTGAAACTGACACGATGTTCAACAGGACTATCCGACCTTCAAAGAGTGCGCGTAGGCCAGCTTTGCAAACTCCCCCGTCTCAGTCCCAGGTCAAACAGGATGCCGAGTTTTTCCCACCTCTTCCCGTCAAGGAACCCCTTCGTCAAAGATCCAAGGAAGGTGCCGAGTTGCGGAATCCCCGGGACCACTACTACTACTCTCTCCCAACCCACAGTGATGGAAAATACTACTGCCCATACGCCATTGGAGACAAGCCCTGCAACCACCCCCCTACCACCCAGAAATGCGCCTATCAGTAAGTTGGAACAACCCAAATGTATTTGCTTTCTGGATTTCAAACTAACCTTGATGACCAGTAAATACCTGGACTCCCACCTGAAGCCCTACCGCTGCAAGGTTCCCGCCTGTATGGATGCCCAGTTGCAGTTCTCTTCTAATGCCTGCCTGTTCCGTCACGAGCGTGAGGCCCACGGATTCCACGGCCATGGCGACAACCCCCACCTTTGCTTGTTTGAAGGATGTGACCGATCCGTTCCCGGATATGGATTCCCCCGCCGCTGGAACCTCTTTGACCACATGAGGCGTGTTCATGATTACGCTTCCTCGGAGCGCCCCAGCTCGCCGGATGCTTCCCCTACCACCGGGCAAGCCTCCAAGAAGAAGGAAGCCGCCGGACGCAAGAGAAGAGTTGCCGGTGTTTCTGGCGCTCAAACTATGAAGCGGACTCGCTCCACTCAGTCCCAGTCCAACCCCTTGAAGGCTGTCCAGCAGACCTCTGCCCACCACGGTCAGAGACTGCAGAACGCGGAGCGAAACTACTACAACTGCCGTTCCCGTCTTCTCGAAGAACTGAGCAACATCATACCCCAGGATTCTTCCATGCACGAGAAGGTCAATGCCAGCCTTCAGGAGCTGATCACCCTGGGCCTGAACTACCGCCACATTGAAGCTAGCCAGGCTGCTGCTCAGATGACCCACGGCCTTTCAGCGTAAATCACATGCCAGCAAGTTTCGGTTTTAGAGTCTTTCCAGACTTTCGACCGCTCGGATGGATCTTTTCTTTTAAATCGATTTTCATGATCACAGACGTGAGAATCTGATATCCTTTCTTGATGATGTGTGAAAGAGTCATGGAAACAGTCTATGAACTTTCTCAGGGCCACCACTGGATTAACTTTTCTATTTCAAGGACGTTTCATTCTTCCAGGGCTTACCAGGAACACCCATCACAAACAATCATGATGTGTCTTCGCGACCATCATCCCTCCGCGGACTACCTGAAGACGAATGGGGCAATGCATGGGCTATTGCGGACCATCGTTAATTCCAACAGACCCGGAGCCAAGCTTCTTGTTTGTTGACGCTTGTGAGGAGCAGCGGTTTATCCAAAACATCGTGCTGCGATAGATGGCTTTTTCAAGCTTTTCTTTTCTTCTTTTCTTTTGATTTCACGTTCATGTTAAAAGGTTGCTTTGTCTTTCTTGCTACAACCTCCTTTGATTTGTATAAACATTTTTGTATTTTGGAGATATTTTGTGTTTGTTTTTCGTCTTTCTTGTCTCACCAGATCTTCAACAAGACCACCTTCCAAGGACATGCTTACTGCACAGTCCAAGAACATTCGTGGCCCGAGACAAGAAATGACAATCAAAAACAGATGAAAAACGGATGGGAACAGGACACTCGTGTACATGGGTTAGGGGTTGGGAATATCAGGGCATTATCTAGAGGACTTTGGGGTTATTTTGGCTTTTGGTTTGGTTTGGTTTATTTCATGTTGATATCCTGTTTGCTTTTTTCTTGTGTACAGAAGTGGCTGTTTGGGCTGCCATTTTTTCTTCTTTTTGTTGATATCACCTTCCAGCCTTTTTATGATGGTTGGCTACCTTTTTCGGTTTTGGATATAGTCTTTTCTGTTGGAAAATATCTTGGCTTATGGACATTTTTATTTTTTATCATTATCTTTTGGTTCTTTTTGTGGGATCTAGGTTTAAGTGGGATCTTTTCTCTTTGATGAATATGCCTGTGTAGTATATACTTTAAAAGTTTGATGTGGTCTTTTCACTAAAGTCTTGTCTTCTCTCTTTTATTAGGTGAGGATTTGTAGGAGTCAATGGTTGTAGATCTGATATTGACGTGTTCTCGATTTGATGTTCGCCTGAGAACAGAGATAGCTCATCATTCGTAATTGTCTACCTGAGTACCTGGTAACTAGTTGGTTGATCTCCCGATCAACTGCCATGCAGACCTCTATATTTATATCTATAAATGTAGGCTCGTTACATGCACCCCTTCCTTTGCGCTAAACGATGCTGAAAATATCCACTAAATGCATACCAGAGATGGCACGGTAAGGTAGAAGAACCACAACTCTCAGCACCAGACTCCGCATTCAAAAGCCTCACAAACGCGTCCCCGCCCTGCCCCGACCCAATCCCCCCCGCTGCATTCGCCATATGCCCTGACGTTATAGCGCCCTATTCAACGAAATCCACTGTCTCCGCAATCTCTGCAATCGCGGCAATGCCGGTATCACGCCAGCGCCGACTAACTCATCCGTTGTGCACGAGGTCGCCGTATGCGCTGAGATGAATATCGGGGTTGAGACTTCCTGGACAGGGATTTTAATTCGTCTTGCGTCTTTTGCTAAGGCTATTTCTGCAGATGGCGGAGACTATTGATGATGTTTGTTTATCCATGTCGTAAAGGGCGGATGAGGATGTTGATATTGGTTGCTTGGTGCGGTTGAATTTTCACGCGTGGGGTTATCGTCCACGTTGATGTAGTGAGGGATCCGGCCTTGCTACCGGCTGCGGTGGAGGAGGTGGTGGAGGGGATGTGTGTTGCTGCGGATGAGGACGCCAGGGTCGAGGGCTTATTGTCTGTTTCGGAAACAGATGGATAAGGGATATAAGGGATATCGGTGAGAGCGCTCCAGATGTCGGCAACGGGAGGCTCTGCGTCGGCCCAGGAGACGATGAATAGAAGCTTGTCCCAGCGGCTGTGCGTGCTGGGTCCTTGATATTGGAAGATTAGGTTCTGGAGGATTTCGGGAGGGTAGTGTTCCGTGGTTTCTGTGGGGATGGTTGTCGCTGTCGACTCATTCGTCTCTGTTTTGTCGCCGTGTTCTTCCTGGCGATGAACACGCGCTTCGTTGTTCGCGACGCATTGCTCAACCGGTGTGCCGGCGAGAACCTATCCCCGAATCCAATCTGTCAGCTACCATCCCCGATCCTAGCCTCACCAGGGCTATATCCCCGACAGTTAGAAACATACCACACAGCGTGTCATCCATAGCGCTTTCGCCTCACACCACAGCTGATACCGATATCTCTTGATATAGTCCAATCCATCTAGAATCACGAAGCTGTCTTTACCGAGAAGTCATTTCGCCCGGGTGTACGCGACGCCGCGCGCCTCTTTTTCGGTGCGCGCGTGGTCGTATGCGGCTCTTGGGTGGGACGCACCGTACGTTGGGACGATGTTGATCTTGTATCGCGGTTTGGAGGCGGGGATGCTGGTTTGGATGGATTGGAGCGCGGAAGCGAGTTACTGGGCGCGATGGGCGAGGCCTGAGCAGGGGAAGCCGGTGAGGATTATGAGCTGGTTGGCTTAGGCTGAAGGTCAGTGAGGTTCAATGATTGAAGAGTAAGGGACAAGGGCGAGAGCGTACCGGCATGGTGTTGGAGCTGGTCGTAGAGGGGCATTGGCGATGATGATCACAATGGTGGGGGGTAGTTGATGTTCCCATCGGGTCTAGCGCCGGGCCCAGGCCGGGAGTCACATGAGATCACGTGGCGGGTCCTCAGCCTCGGCAGCCGGAGAGTTCCTTACCAGACTCTGTACGACGATACGGGCGGTGTACCTGCGTCAGGGCGCAATCCCCGCGTGGAGATGGTGGAGGTACGCCTGTGTTACAATATTACCGGACCGGGTAATTGTCGGCCTCGCGGGAGAAATTTCCTTCTGGAAGAAAGGAAAGAAAGGAAAAAAAATCGTTGATTGCATCTTTTTCTTTTCCCCTTCGGCAAGGAAAGATTGTGATTATTGATGTGATAGACCGACGGAAGGGGGAATTGTCGATCATCTACTTAGGATCTCCGGATTCATTACCCCCTGAGTTTAAAGGGACAAAAGTACGGCGATTGTCGGCTCTTGTGTCTTATTTACTTGCATCTGTTCGCCTGCAGTTTGCAGTTCGCTTCTCCTCAATCCTTCGCAAAGGTTAAATTAAATTGCATCGGCGTCATCCATTCGCTTTACTGGACGTCATCGGTTTGCATTCCACCCCACGTGTTGTCTACGATATCGTAGTCCTCTTTCCTATCTTTCTTCTCTCTCATTTTTTCCCTTCTCTCTCCTCCCACTTTCTCCACGCCGTCTCTCTCTCCATCACGCCATACTTTTTAAATTACCCGCCGTCGAAAACCGCGACTCCACCGGATTCCGATCAGACCATTCCTATCTATGAAGTTTTCTTCCGCACGGTCTCCGTCTTCGATATAGACCTTTTCTTTTTCTTCCTTTCCTCCGACATAGACCGATAGACAGCGACAGCGACAGCGACAGCAACAACAGACGAGGCTAATTTTACGATATCACGTATACCCACTCTATTCTACACTCCGCCACGCTACACTCCAACAGCGATAAGAAGAAAGAAAAAAAAATCCATCCCACCATGAACGTGAACATGAATCTCAACATGGACTCAAATCCTCATCCCTTCAACCAACCCGCCTCATCCACAGCACCATACGCAACGATACCCTCAGCGACAGCGCCAACGACCGCAACGCACCCTCCTTCAAACCCGCTCCTCTTCTCCTCATCCACCTCCGCCCGCACCACCACCGCCGTCAGCACCACAAACCCAACCCTAAACCCCAACCCGCATCACGCGCCCGCCGATCCCCTGCATCACCTGCAGCAGCAACCACACACAGCAGAGACTGGGTCTTCGGGCCTTGCGCCCGCTGCAGCAGCGGCGGTGGCAGAGTGCCAGACCTCGGCTCCTGCCTTGCAACACTCCACGAGTCATTATCCGCATCAGATCGAGGGAGCCGGCGGGCCGACCGCTACGGCGCCGTTCTTGAGGGACTTTAGTCTTGTTGCGGAGGCGGCGAAACGGGCGCAGATGTCGGTTGTTATGAGGGATTTGGAGAGCGTCACGCTATGATGTACTCGCTCGCTCTTTAGAGGGGAGGGGTGGTCGTGGAGGATACTGTGCTGTGCTGTCAGGGTGTGCTTTGCAGCGTTGCATGAGTATAAGTATGGGTATGGATGGGTAGATGGTTCCGGGTTAGGGAGATAAGGGGAAGAGAGAGAATGGACTGATGGATGACGCAAATTGAAACAAACGGATGGAAGGAAAGAAGGGAGGGAAAAGGGGTGGTGGTTATTGGATAGAAGAAGACGAAGAAGAAGAACCCCTGGATATGGGCACTTTTTGGGCTTTGATTTCTTGTTTGATACACGGGTTTTTTCTTTTTTTTTTTTAATTTCACCGTAGCGAGTGGGGTGGGAAACGGCGTTTAATTCTTAATCCAAGTTCCTTGTTTGAGATCACAGTTTCTTTTGGTTGGATGTGTTGCGTTGCTTTTGCTTCACACTTATTACCTAGATTATCTCCGCTCGGTTTGCTTGCTATGTTATACCTTGCTCGATGCAGACAATCAATTCTCTTGAACCAATAAGCGGACCAGGGGGATCGTTCGAATCGAGGAAGATCCTAATAATCAGATTGCCAGGTCTTTCTATCTGCCCTCATCCAGGATATGTACATCGTACTGAGTTATGGAGTATGTACTGTACATCATAGGCACTGTCCCTACAAAATAACCCACCAGCCAGTCAGGACCGTTTCAATATTCTACTACTACTGCGGACACACCCCAAAGCCTGTACAAAGTAATACAACTACTGTAAGTGGTACAAAGTAAACAGGAACTACTCGAGACCAACATGCGCAGTATATTAAAAATGACTTCATCTCGCCGCTTTCCTGTACTACAATAGTTAGTTCACGAGCCGGCTACCGGGCGGAAATTAAAAACTTCCCCCTCCCCTCCCCTCCACTCTTCAAATATCCGAGACAAAACGGACACTAACTACGCTGTACTATCCAAGTTTTCCAGTTTCTAGTTTCTACTCAGGAACTGCTACTGGCTAAGCACGTGCTAAGGTTAATTAATAGAGTAAGTGAGAGCGACGCACCCCGTAATTCATTTCTAGGCGTTAGCATAGCATCAAACAGGGAGATAATAGGAGAGGAAGATATGACCTCAGGTTTCCATATGTGTATGCCCAGGAAATGTAAGCAAGTAGGAAAGAGAAAAGGAAAGAAAGCAAGCACCGCCGCCCAGGGCGCTAAACGGGCCCCGAATCCACCTATTAAAATTGCCTTGACACGGACAAAACTCAAGAGGCAAAAACATACTGCACTAACCGCTAGACCCCTGCTCTAGAAGACACCCTAGACAGAGGGGGAGAAGGTGATCGATTGATTTTCCCACGAACCCCCAAGACAATAAGACATTTGCTAGTTAGTGGTTAGCAACGTGGCTATAACTACAAGTCCTACGGAGTTGGAGTACAGTGTACAGAAACTAAGGCTAGAGTATCTCGTGGCTAACGGCTAGCCAGAGACGATGCTCATGATGCTCAGATGCTGGCGATGCTGGTGCTGATGCTAAATTTATTCCCCCACGCCACCCTCAAGCAAGACATCTCCTCTGGCGCGTACCTGGAACGTGTCTCGTGAACTTGCCTGGGGACTCGTCAGGTGTGACCCTGTCACAGAAACGGACCCCTACTTTTGGGCTCGGATCCCCGTAGGAAAGTCAACGGCGCGAACTTGTCTTACATACTTCCTACCTTTTACCCCGTTGGGTTGGTGACGCTGCGCTTGGCCAAGACTAGTCCATTGGAATGAAGCTGTCTATGGCGGAATAGGACTAGCCGGGGAGGAATTGGTTGGTTGGCGATTATCTATCTGTCTTAGTGACGATGTTAGAGGGGGGTTTGATTGGTTGGGGATTTGATGGTTTACTATATAGGTACTGTAGTATCTATTTGGCTATTATTGACTACTTAATCTGGAGTCTGGAGGGGTATCAATATAGATCATGTCTTGGTTTCAGACGGCGCTTTTACGATGGGTTGAGGTGAGACATTCGACTCCGTATGTACGATGTATGTTTCAATTGCTCTATCTGACAGGTGCCATGTGACATGATAATCAGGGGTAAAAATGAAGATCCAAATAAAGACCAAGAAAAGACCACATGGGAGGATAGTAAGCTGACTAAGAAAGAGTAACAGCAACAGTAACTATGTAACAGAAACGCAAGTACAGGCGCAAAACAAATAGAACACATGCAGAATGTGGGTAAAATGTCGATCAAGCAGAACAAGAAAAAGAAAACCCCAAACACCCAAGCTAATGCGACAAATGACAGCGGGTCTAAGGAGGGAATCAAGTATGATGTAAGATACGCCGAAAGTTGGAACAAACAAGGAGGGACTTTTTGGCTGTGGTGGATATTAGACTGGAAGAAAGATAAAATCAAAATAAGGAATGGAAAAGGCCTCCGTGTGTATAGTGCAATGATGTCGAATAGAAACTCCGATGGCAAAATGCTGTTGTTTTCATGTCGAGATAGATAGTAGTTTTTGTTTGTTTGAATCTTTGTTCGGTCCCATGGTGTGGTGGAATATTATTGTGGTGTATTTTGAGCCCAGAATTTTCGTATGGGCGATGGTTCTTCGGTCCAATTCAAAAGCCATTTACATCTGGGTCGACGATCCGATCAAATTCGGCTGCGAAATGCTGGCTCCCTGGCCCGGTCGAAAGCGCTTCTTCTGCGAGAGACCCAACCGAGTCGACAGTCTTCGAGTGAGCGACCGCGACGGAGGCGTCCAATTGTCCACGGAAAAGGTCGACATGGGACGGGGGCGAGGCGGTTCCATCGCCATGGGGCTCTCGGCGCCGGACAGCGACGAGCCCGCGCTCGATCCCGGCCCCGAGCTGCCGCCAACGCTGGTATCCAGCATGAAGGTCGACTGGCGGTGCCGGCTCTTCAGCTTCTCGCGCGGCTCCAGCTGCAGCGAGAAGTCCTCCTTGATGTCATCCAGCGCGTGCGACATGCGGCGCAGCAGCTTGGGCTTTTCGGCGATCGACGGTTCGCGCTGCTCCAGGCCGTACACTTGTAGAGGGGTCGAGTCGGGCGTGTCTTTCAACGGGGTAGCATAGTATCGGGGTAGGCGGACCTTCTCTGCGCGGCGGCGAGGGATAGAGGGGAACCACGCCTTGGGGTGAGGGCTTTGGGCGATAGGGCTGCCGCTGGAGGAAGAGGAGGCGGATAGAGATTCGGTGGGTGAGGTCAACATCTTGGTTTTTAGGCTGTTCGTTCCGTTTCTGTTGTACAAGATATGGGTTGTGATTGATCGCTTTTTCCTTTCTTTTTTGCTTTTTTCGTCAAGAAAGGCTCAATTTGTCAGAGCGAATGTTGTATGCGTATATTTTGTACAAGGTGGATTAATCCGATATTATTAGAATCCCGCGCGATATGTATAAACGGAATATAAGGTATAGTATAGACACAGGTCAACGAGGGTCTGGTCTTGATCTTGGCCTTGATCTTGGATGTTCAGGCAAGGTAGCGAGCGATAGAGCGAAAAAGGAAATGAAAAAAATATTAGTAGGTTAGCAGCAGAAAGGATTTCTCAGTCCAAGTCCGACCGAGTCAGACAGTTCGTCCCATCTCGGTGTAGGATGGGGATGGGGGGTAAGAAATAATTATAGCACGGATGCCAAAAGAGACTAAAAGGAGACAAAGTGGAACTCCGGAGCATCATGGATTCAACTGGTCCAGTACTGGATCGGTATTACATCCACCTCAATTGGTATCCGAGCTGTCTCCATCCATCGGAACAACAGCCTCCTTTCCTCGTATTTCCAGAGTTCCACTGGACAAAGAACGGGGGGGAGGAGAAAGGGTGGCTCTCTCCCCTTTCATTTCCTCTCTTGATCTCTTACGGAGTGTTCTCCATCTCCAGCTCCATCGGTTCATCGGAATGGCCTCAGATCTCAGTTTTACAATTACGATTCCAAGTCATTGGATTTGATCTGCTCGAGAGAGTTTACTGGGGCGGCAAACACTGAGCAAACATTGGCACGGCCTACCCGGCGGTTGATAATGTCGTTACGGCAGAGTATATCGATCCCCATCTATAAATACATATCTACCTGAAACATGCATAGGCGCTGGGCGATGTCGGATGCTTTCCACGGTAGCGACCGAGTTGCGTCTATTGCGTGCGTATGACATTATGCCTTACTGCGTATGCCCACTGACTCGTCGGGATATTATGAAAGATGAATAAACGAGGCTGGGTGATAATAAGCTATGAGCACCAAAGCTGAGGAGAAAAAAAAGAAAAGCAAAAGTGGTCCAAGAGATCCATTCCACAAGGTCCACGGGCGGACTCATTGGCGTCGACGAAAACCCAAGGGAATGATGGAATGATGGGAATTCATTGTCTCATTTTACCCACGGAATGGGTCATTTTCCCGTGGTGTGATGCACCCCATACATCCGGCTTGTATGATGATACATCACGATACCACATCTTGGTACCACATTTGCCTTTGTGGTGGGGATGTGGGAATAACTTCCTTTATTCCTTTTACTTGCCCATAACTAGGTAACTAGATTCATAAAGAGTAATCAGCAATCCTAACAAATGAAATGAATGACCGCCAAGAACCCAACCTGTAAATCATGACACCACACACATCGGACGATCCGTCTCCTTGTCCCTGCATCTCCAATTGTTTCATTGCTTCTTTATTAATTCTCCCTCTTCCACTCTTCCAAGGCAGCTTTACTCACTCTGCCACCCCCTCCTCTTTCTCTTTCCGCCCGAACAAACTGGAAATAAAAACTGGGCTGATCCGAAATAAAACCAATCTGTGTGTAACCGACCTGCCGCGCACTAACGGCCCCCTAAGGACCTTAGCGCCCTCCTGCAGAACCAGCCACATTTGCGCTTGGCCTGCAAGGTGAAACAAAACCCTCGCGTTGGACTAATCAGATTGATTATTCTCTTTTCTAGCGCCCCTTAGGGAAGGGAAGGGAAGGGAAAGGAAAAAGGCCCCCCCCCCCAGCAATATGTTGTTTTTCTTTTCTTTTTCTTTCTGATCCGCACTGCCCCCCACAGCCTCAAGGGAACAACACTATCCCGATGTATAGCACTAGAACTAGCAACTAATACTATGGGACAGACGGGATCGAATTCCAATGCTACGGAGTACATGTGCGCGACCCGGCGCAGAGATTGGTTGGTTCGTTCTGATGGTGTCTAAGATGCGGCTGGCTTAAGGCTTTAAAGTTTACGGCTTGCTCTTCTTCCTTTTTTCCCCCTCTCTCTCTGCAGTCCACTCGGGACAAATAGTTCCAACAGCGGCTATTACGGAGTAGTTAGGATTGAGGATTGAGTCAGGGATCCCTAGATCACGGAATATGCCGATATGCTACACCGCATGCAGAGGAAGGGAAACTAGCAGGGCGTTGGCTGGGTGATTCTCCGATTTGCAGATATTTTCTGATCCTGTATCCGTCCCTACCTACCTACTGTTTAGTGTTTACACCGAGTACACCGTACGGACTACGGACTACGACTACGCCCAACAGGATGGACTAAAAAAAAAAAAACACCTGCCGTCTGGTCATGCATGGGCGGCAATGGGGATCCGCTGCGTTTGCCGATCCCGGCACCTTATGCTTATTGGCAGATATTAATACTCCGTGGCTTGCTGGGAGTATGGGGTAAGCGATCTGATTAGTACTTTTTGATTATTATTAGTGATAGCCTGGGGGCATCTGCATGTTGAATGTTGATGCCTGTTTTGTTCTGTTTTGTCTTGATCAGTTTTTGTTCCGATGGTTGGAAGATTTTTCTCCATCCATCCACAGGAGGCTGAGCTGTGGCCCGTGAGTGGTACTGCTCCATAGGTAAGGTAACTTGTCCGGCCGAGATCTAAACCAGTCCACACACCGCACGCAGCCTCGCGATCTTCTCTAACCATGGGTCGGAGCAACAAACGTACTGCCACACGCAATGCATCCGAGAAAACAAATCAACAAAACATGAACGAACATCCAGAGCGAATTGGCAATCCGATGCTTTTGAAATCTTCACCCCGCTGTGTGTGTGTGACGTTCATTCTAGAATATTCTCACCTCCTTCCTCGTCATCTGGGTTCGTCATCGGCGCTTGAGCCACAGGCTGCGATTCCCCACCTGATCGGCCTCGACGATTGACATGACAGCTGTCGATGGAACGACTCACGGACGGTCGGATTAGGTAGCAGCGTTAAGGTCAATTGATTACGACCTTGTCAATGATGGCCACGTCAAATTCCAGAGGTCAAACCATTCTGGTCGAGTGCTCTCCGGTCCTGATTGGGTCGTCTTGTCTGGTCGTTGGCGCCGGAAGAACCGATCGCAGAAACTCGTCGAATGATCTCATTCTATCCTTCGGTACTTGCTGCGTCGCCTTCCATGATTGAGCGGATCCTCGCCGTCAACCGGGGCGACACGTTCATTCCTTCCGAAATCAGACGCTCTATTCGAACGACAACCTGCACGCTAGTAGGTGGGTGGCCAATTTCTTCGCCGTCCGCGTGGCAGACGGGCAGCATCCGATGAACTACATTGCGTTCCGCTCGCTGTCTCGTCGGTTTCGGTGGGATGGTGGCGGACGTACAGCCCCATGGTTCGCATATTGTGTCTAGTTCGAAACGGTCGGAAGAGGTTCGCGTCTATCGATTGAGGCTGGTTGATCTTGCGTGCACCGTCGCTGAAGGAAATGAGGTGATGCATGTCTGGTGGCAAAGATACTAATTCCGCGCGTCTTGTTCGTTGGGGATTGTTCCCTCGGATTTGCGAAGTCTGGCACTTTGCTGGTGTCCTGGAATTCCCTGGTCTATGCGCTTGATTTCAAGTTGCCGAACCCGTGATGGCCGTGGAATCGCCTCACGAGACTTGTTTTTCGTTTGCGTAAGTTGAATGAGATGGAAAAAGGATTGACAGGACGGATAATTTGGGCTCGGTTCGAGTGATGCCCAGTAGCCCAGTATCTCGATCCAATATTGAACAGAATTATGACAAGACAGCCACTTATTTACCGGTAAGTGGCTTGACGGGAAGTTGTGAGGGTCACCGAACGCATCAAGATGAACTTTTTCAAGTTGATCAGCGACTTCATCTGGCTGATCAACATAAAGGATAAATCTCATCTAGTTAGCTCATCTCCATCACTCTATCGAGTCCTAGACTCCCAGAATACATCTTTTATAGTGTACTGCGATCAGCAACCTATCCAAAGCCCTCGCTATCGCAGACTCAACACTGCTGGTAACAGACACCCTCATACGCTGGGCAAAAAAGAACTCCACCATGTTAGGTAAACGGTTGCAAATAGATATATTGCGCTCAATTACTGGGGCGTTGGCACCCTGCGGTGTTGGAAATCTACACAGTACTCGTTGGGTTTTCAAGGATGGTGAGATTGACTTACGGGTGTTAAATACAGTACGGAGTAGATGCGAACTATATTAAAGGTTCATGCTTGCTAGCTCTCTCGCTTTTCGAGGCTCTGCGCTAAACCCTCATGTATCTCATCTTATTCCCATATGAAAAGCAAAGTAAACGAGGTTGAATATACGGATGTCGAAAAAGTTCTCCCCCTTTTGTCCCCCCGAAGATCGCAAACACACCCCGGCTCAAAAGATCAGAGAACCCCATCTCACCATACCTCGGTTTTGGCAACTGAATCAACATGACATATCCATCTACTCCGTATTCTACCTGTCACTGTGTGCCGCAAGGCTAGAACACAAAAACCAGGAAACCTACCTCAAGGTCCGTGATCCCTTGGCAAGTCTTATTCTGGGAAGTTTTCCAGGCATGATCCCTGTCGCTTGGCGTGGACTAGCTACTTACGGGGTACATCCACTCCGTATTTGTGGCGGAGTTGACTTCCCTTACCTATCCCGTACGGTCGAAGTGGATATGGGGATATGACGTAGGGAGTGTGGAGTAGAGTGCGGAGAAATATGGATGATTTATTCATTAGTTCGGGGTGAGTCTGCAAGGGGTGATGATTAGTTGGCTACGGTGTAGGCGTGTATTCTATAGTTGTCTGTATTTATGATCTGTCTGTTTGTTCGGGTGGATTATTGCTAACTAATGTTGACGAGGTTGATAGGTGGTTAGGGGTCAGGGGTCTCAGGGAGCTGTCTGTGGGTGTGAAGGAAGGGGTGCATAAATAGTTAGCTAGCTAGTCTAAGAGGATTTAAATCATTGTGGGATAGTTACATGTTGCATCTGGTTATCAGATATTGTGGGGATGCAGAGCCACGGAGTTCTCATCAGCGGAAGTTTAAATATCAAAGTCTACGGAGTACAGTCGGCTACTGTCATGGCCATGATGTATCAGATAGGATCTGTAAGACAAGCAGAAAATTCCGCACCATATGGCTGTATTATGCTCGAAATGATATTTGTAAAGACAACATTGACTCAAACTCTCAAACTCCGTAACATATGGTATATAGACACATAAATATCTGGTTCATATTCGTCCAGTACTGAAACATCAAACATCCAAATTCATTCAACGCGCGTGCTATGCATACATCGTAGCTCATCATATATGATCACATAAGGAATTGTAGGTTGACATCTGGGGAAATGTTAGTAAGGAATACATCTGACATGGTAGATGATAGTGCTTACCCAAGGGATGACTGCAGCTCAGCTGCGGCTTTTGCGTATATTTCCCTTCCAACTCCGATCGAATCGAGTTCAGCAGTTGCAGGTAGCTCTGGTTCGGCTGTTGCGTCCATGATTTGATGAACGCCCAACTCAGCGCTCCGCGAGCTTCTCCGTCCTGGAATGTATCCGCGCTGGTTTTTGTTAGTAGAGGGGCGCTTAGAATTAAGCAAGTAGACTTACGATGTCTGCGTGTCCTTTGACCCCGAAAACATGACCACATCCGCTGGAGAGGTCTTGGTCATCACCGTGCGCTGTCGGGCGGAGTCGCCAATGGCTGCCTTTTTGAAGAACCCAATAGCCGTCTGCGCCATGCTACCCAGATCGCCTTTGCCGTACGAGAGGAAAGCACTGAATAGGTCTTGCGCTGCCTCTTTGGCCAGGTTGGGCTCTTTCAGAATACCCTGTGTCGAGTACACATAGGGTAAATCGAGGGCAGTACCGGAGTGACACGAATCGAAGATGGCGGTTAATCGGACACCAGGTCTAAGAGGACGGACCCTAGGGAATCATAAGTAAATTGAAAGAGTGACAGAGGGGATTCTCGTACATGATAGCATGCATATCATCATCCACAATGTGTCCAGCAGTACGGTAATCCAGAGGATATATGACATCGTCGTAGCCTTGGTCGCGTTAGCACAATTTACATCTCATCGGGAGCGAAGCTTACCATCCTCCTCGTCTCCGTCGAGATCTGGGGTTCGTCCACCGTGACCTAGATGATACGATTAATTTTAAATTCCGACCGATCAATGCCGGGGACTTACCTGAGAAATGAATGAACAGCGAATCATTCGGCTGAGCATCCTTCACCAGCCACTGCATCGCGCGCAGGATATTGGCCTTGGTCGGCACACTCATGGCGTTTTTCTGATCATCGGTCAAAATGACCATGTCCTCCCTCCGGTAGCCGAATTTCTCGTGCAAGAAGTTCGACATGTTGGCGACATCGTTGATACAGCCGCGCAGCGCGTTCGGTTGCCCGAAATAGTTGATCCCGATCAGAAGCGCTTTCCGGCGCCCCGTACATGTGGAGTACTGGAATCGGTAGTTGGACGGAGCTCCCCGACCAAAGTGCTGCGCCTCCTGCGGCGGACGCGGAGGCATGTGCCATGATTGCGAGCGGCCTGTTTCGGGTATCGTCAGCGAGGACAATTGCGTAATTTTTCACCTGGAAATCAAGGAGAGAATGGGCTTACTGTGACCCTGGTATTGCCCATAAGGCGATGAGGATTGCGGAGGTGGGGTTGGCGTGTGGGTGGGACCGTATGGACCAGGCGAGGGATAATGTGAAGGGGGTGGATAGTGATTGTACTGTTGAGGAGGTGGCGGGCCTGACGGGGGGTATTGCGGGGGGCTTGAAGAAGTCAGTCAATGCCGCGCAGACAAGCGAAAAGGAATGGGTAAGCTGACTAGTATCCTTGGTGCGGGGGAGGCCAATATCCAGGCTGCTGGCGAGGGTAGTCCCCATGCCACCCCTGCGGAGGGGGAGGAGCGGAATGAGGGTAGTACATTAATCGATCGATCGAACAAGCGACGAGATTATAATTGAGGGGCTGTTGCGGGGTTCAATGAGATCAGACAGTTGCCAAGTCCTGTCTCCACGAGAGAGGATCAAGTAAGAAGAAGGGTGATCGAGATGGGGTGTGAGCAGAGCCAATAGATACCTCTCGATGACCTGCTACCGGTGCGGAGAGTAAGGTAGAAGAGGACAAGAGAAGGGGAAGGGAAGAAAAGGAAGATGGAAGGAAGACGGCGCAAAGAGAGATTTTAAAGAGATGAAGATCCCCAGGCACTGGGGCGACAGGGCTGGCTGATACGTGCGCTTCGGGAGGGGAGTCGGTGGGGCCGACACGAGGCTTAGGGCACCGGCGGTCAAGCATGAAGAACCGTTCTTTCCTGTGTATGTTGCAATTTCAATCTTGATTATGGTGATTCTCCATGGTCCATTGCTTGGCTCGGTGTCTATCTAAACTATGATTCCCTGCCGGTCTCCCTCTGTTTTTTTACCCATCACTGTCAACTTCTATCGTGAGTCTCCCAGCCCTACGGTCGCTGCCCCCAAGATTCCTGCCTATTAATGGGAGACGCTAAGCCCGTCCGTTCCGTTAGTTTCCCCTCGAAACCAGTTGGAGCCTTTAAGCATGACCGAGTCCACGAATCCCGTCGGCTGCCGCGAGCAAGGATATGCTGGATAACACATCATGGCCCATGGATCCGTCCGTCGCAATCCACCAGTAGGGCAGGCGCTTGCCCGGGATTGGCAAGTTTCTAGAAGGTTCCTCTAGGCACCAGCATATCTCATTGGACTCTTGGCGTGCAGGGGATCCATTGGGCTGAGTCGGCTGAGAATGGAACAATGACGATATCCTCATATCCGGGGCAAAAGTGGATGGAGTCCTCCCCTTCACGGATATTCGGCAGCTCTTTTGTCCACTCGTCGATCATGTGCCCGGTGCGCCCTGTTGTGCCGTGGGTTTTTCTGATCCAGTGATCGGGCAACGGTTATGGCATCTCCTTACTTACTCACTCTGGAGGCTGGAAATAGGTCTCCTGAGTCAGGTGATGTGGTTCTTGAGAGTAGCCGTTACACCGATGACTAACGAGTCATGCCATGGAGTGGCTGGGGGGAGGAAATCGCCGCTTATCACGCGTGTGGTCAAACACTCATGAGCAATAATAGCATGCCGAATCACCATCGGCAAATATGGAATCACCGGAATTGGGTCATTATAAATGCGCCGCACAGAAGGGATCATGTAAGGGAGAGACGGAGGAAGAAAAAGAAGAAAGTTGAGAGCGAAATAGTGGCAAGAGAATATGACTTGTCATGTTATATATCACTGCAGCCTGGCGACGGATGATTACTCCGTAGGCGGGTCTGAAATATGGAGCCTCATCTATCAAGGCACTTGTGAGAAATCTTTTCCAAGACATCGACTCTTTTCAACTCCGTACTCCGTAGGGGTCTCCTTGGTGAACCGAAGATACTAGACCAAACCCAACCGTCCCAACGTGACAGCCTCGTACCGCAATCAATGTGACGGACAGGGATTGCTGCATCACCCGCATCACCTCTACATGGAAACTAGGATCCAGACGCGCCCATTCTGTGGGTAGCTCATGCGGAGCCCGGTTTTAACGCGTTCCGATGATCGGCTAGGATTGTCGTTTATCTCGTCTCGTGGCAGAGGGCAGCCGTATAACGTCCGAGAGCGACATGAAGATGACCGATTATATTTGTCACCATGGAACCCCGCAGGACCGGGATACCCAAGTGCTTATTTCCATCCAGTTCGGACCATTTGTGATTGGCGTCAACCTTTCACAGAAAACGCAACTGGGAACCGGGATTCGAGCTGTTGTACCCAAATGCGGCTAATACCTTAGGCCGTCCATCACGCTCTTGTCATCATTAGTTGAGCTCCGTGTAGCTGTGAGCTACTCCAGATCGCGCGTGACGTATACAGCAACACCTTAAAATGTCAAGTACGGACAAAAAACGACTGGTATGCTGGGCATTCACGCATTCCTCGAGTGTTTTGCTTTCTGCAGCGCTTTGAGCTTGCGAGCCTTGTAAATGACCCCTGGTCCTGGTTCGGGGGCAGTGCAAGGCGGGGTTGATCATTAGTACCCAGAATGCCTATCACCATGCTTATCTTGTAGGTCACATTTGAGCACTGGCACTGGCATTCATCATTGGCCGGTTGCTGCTTTAGGTCAACCGAGTCATATAGGACTGATCGGAAATCCAAGGCAGGAATAGCACGCGAGTTGACGTGAGCCAATGTACGGTGTAAATGATCAGCGGTGCTCGGGGATAAAGTGACCAGTGACCACACCGACTCCAAAACAGTATGCAGCCGATCTCAGGATATACGGACAACAGTTGTGGCCGATAAGATCGCTCGAGCTATGGCATCGATCGCATCACGCCGTCAGCCTCATCGGAAGTTGGTGCCTGAGGCGCTGATAGGCTGCAAGATGGTACGCCACGGAACAAGAATTTGGAGTCATGACAGCAACTAGAGCCGCACGGTCTCAGTCCTGAGCCCACGGACTGTTAGTGCAAGATCTCGTACAATCGGATCGCCGTCGTCATCATGCGCGTCGCAATTTAAGCTTACGAGGGGGCATGTCCCTGCGTGGTTTTGACTATTGAGGGCCTAGAGTCTGAGAAAGACTGAGACACGAGGCTCAACAAGGGATATTACGCGACCGGTAACTGGAAAGATTTCCTAATAATGAATGCGACAAAGAGACTAAGAGAGTAAGATTAAGTCCTCGGCTGCGACCCCAAAATTAGTGGCCAAATTTGCGGCTTGGCCGGGGTCCTTTATGGCCGCCCGCCACGCCAAGAGCCTCATTTTACGGGCTTTGGCGTGTCGGTGAAGCGACTGCGAGTAAGCGACTGAAGCCTAGTCCGTGGGTTTTGCCTCTGGGGCTCGTTTATTTGATTTTATTCTTATCTTTATTTTTGTCTTTGGTTGACGAGTGCTGTCTTGGGCTGGTCTCAGCCGGATTGTGAATCACTGTAATTATTTTTAGGATCGCTAAATCTCCCGGTGGCACAAAATGTGTTGGTTGGCCGACAGCCTCGTGCTGAAGTGAATCAGTGGGAAATTCCAAGGGTCAAGCGTACTTACTTTGTTGGGGGGAGTTTTGAGGCTCTGAGGCTCTTGGGCTTGCCTTCCGCGCCGCCCGCGGACTCCCTCGAAACCCACTAAAAAGTTCCCAGTCACCACTAAGAAAGGGGGGCCAAAAACGATCATCATCAGCATCATCAGACTGCACGGCGTGCGGGCCCCTCGTGGCTTAGCTAGTTTTCCCTAGAATTCTGGATTAAACACGCGCCGATTTAGACCAATCGCATTACTTTTGTCGTGTGCTGCAATCCCGCAATCTAGGTTCTCATTCCTTGTCCGCTTCTTTTGTCTTTCTAAACATTCTCAGAAGAGCCGCACCCACCTAGGGGTACTAAAACATGCCTCCCTTTCCGGCCACATTCACCACTAGCCTCATGGATTCATTCAATTTCTGGTCCGGGTGTTTTCCCTTTGGGCACTAAATGTTTTTGTGTGGATCCATGTGTCTCCATCTTTTTACTGCTTTTTCCATTTTAGTCTTCCGGGAGGCAAAGACTGAGCGCAACCGCTTACTGTTTTGCCTGACCATATAACCTCTTTTCCGACTCCCAACTCAGGATTCCCTTCTCAGATGTTTTGGAGAATTACACAGCACTACCTCGGTCATGACGGTCGTGACCAAGAATCTGGATACTATCCCCTACGATGTTTTCTACCAGGTAGCTTCGACATTGGACTGTCATGATTTCATCCACCTGAGTCGCGTGAACCGATCGCTCAATGCTTTGATGCAAAGTGAATCAATTGCGCGAAAAACGATTGAGGTGAGTTCTCTTCCTAAGTTGGTCCATCACGTTCGCTCTTTTTTCTCTCTCTCTTTCCATTTCGTGTTTTGTTTCTGTGTCTGCCACATACTGACCAAATCTAGAACAACCTCCTCCAAACCAAAGAAGGCCAAGAAGCCAAACAAACCAAAAACTATCGCCGAGCAGTTGGGCGTTTGTTTGACATCAAAGAAGCGTTCGCCACGGCCCAACCGTACTCAGTCTCGGTGTTGGGTTACGGCAGCGCATTCCTGTACAGCGGCGGTTCCCTTTGTTACATCTACAACGACGAAATCCGCGCCTTGGATGTACACGGCGGCAGCCGGATCGAACAGGTGCTGAACCTCTACAGCGTTCTTTCCCGCGCCATCCCTGGATGCAATCCGACAGAGGACACGACGCAAATATCCCTGATGCAATACGGATACGGGGTGCTTGCTTTTCTTGTAGAAGTTGTAGAGCGACGCGAATCCTGGCTACTAGCCGTGGACATGCGGCGAAAGCGCGACTGCGGGAAAGGCGGGCGACTGCGGCTCCGGACACAGCTTCAATCCACACGGCGGCTCTTCGTTCGTCACGACGACGCCTATCTTTACTACGGCACTCACTCGGCGTTGGGTTACCACGGATATCCGCAATGGGCGGTCAGCTGCGTCGATCTGACAACCGGGCACCATGTCACCGAGAAACCGATCGAGTTGGACAATTTCGCCGGGTACGAGATTGGGCAAACGGTTTGCTTTGGAGTCCATGAGAAGCATCTCTACGCCGTATCGACGCAGGTGGACTTTGAGGAGGAAGAGGTCGACTGGACATCTTTCTACGTCTGGGTGTGTTTGTCGCCGAGCAGGAATACGGGCCCCGTGACTCTTAACCGAACTTGGCGGCGACAGCATCGCGAGGGTCCAATCAACGACACCTGGTCTGATCTCTCGCTGCGACATGACGAGTCGACGAATAAACTCATGGTTTTGGAGTGTCGGCGTGAGTGGCGTGACGGTGGCAGCGAAAACTGTCGCACGTATTACGTGCAGCCTCTCCCGTCGCCCGCTGAGATCCGCCAGAGTAAGCGGCAGGGAGGCAACGCAGGACAGCTTTCAGCCCCCGCCCCATTGCCCGACGAACCGTTGACCAAAACCCTGGATTCTTCCAACAAGCCCAATTACGAGCGGCCGCGAAAACGTCTACGCCGACATTTCCACCAGGAATACCAATTAGGGGCATCCGGCAGCGGCAGCGGTGCCAGCCCAACTCCACGTCAGGACTTCATCCTTGCAAAAACAAAGTTTCGCACATACAATATCTCAGCCTCGAGTTTTGTCGATCTAGTTAATGATCCGAGCCCTCCGTCGGGCGGTTGCTTCGTACCGCACGACCGACTGCGTTTGCGCGTGGCTTCGCGCAAACGGAAATGTCCTATTGACGAGGACGGAGACGAAGGCTCCAAGGGACTTTTGTACAAACCAGAACTAGCCTCGCCGGACGGTACTCCCCTGGAGAATAGCGAAGAGCGTTTTGCATCTCGCGGGATATCTCTATGGCCTCCGGATGATGCTCCACCGGAGCTTAACAAACTCCTATGCCCATCCAAAAGAGCAGGAAAGATACATGCGGTTTCAGATGAGCGGTCGATACTCTACTCCGTGGACCAAGAAGGCCTAGGCCCCGGTAATCAGGCAATCATTCTGATCAACTTCGATCCGGCCCTTCGGCTGTCGGGTCTGCAAAAGTTGGAGATGCCTGACCAGCTCAAAGCTCAGAAGACCCAAACAGGCGTTGACATTGAGCGACCTCAACTAGCCGATATCGGATGTGAACGTCTAATGCCTCATACAACATTCGCCGGGCAAAGGGCAAACCAGGCTTTGCCATCTGTCCGGGAGGAGCCGGCTATGTATCTCAGTATCCGACGTGGATATTGGCTTCGATGACATGGACCTCGTCAGCCTTGCTTTTACTTTCTATTTGATGACTTGTATTTGGAGGAAACATGAGATAAATGACCCAAATAGCCGATATAAAAATTCCAAAATTTCGGAACCTAACCTCTTTGCTTTTCTCACGGAGTAACTTAATTAGGTCTAACTTGACATGAGTCGTACCATGTGGTACACACGAAGGGTAGGACCGAAGCCCTGACTGAGATTCCGGCTGTCAAAACTAAACGGAATAGCACCAATGACAAAGGTCCGATTCCATAAGCAAGGAAGATCAATCGGTCTTCGGAATAATTCTGCGTCTCTTAGTCACGTCACACGCTTCTCCCTTGTTTGAGCCGTTCACACGACCAATTATTAGAAATTAGACTTGTCCTGCAGGTTGAGTCTCGTAAGCACTACTCTGTACGGAGTACATACGCTCGCCTTTCCCCAGCCTTGCCATTCCCACCCTCTTATTGAATCAAAGGAATCAATAAAACAAGAAAGTACCGGCGGAGTAAGTACTCCACAAGTTCCTATTCCTTCTTACCCCAGTGTCCTAATTACATCAACCAAATAATGACCAGCAATCTTCGACATTCTACGGAGTCTTCCCTCTTACATCCGCAAACCTACATATCACATCCAGATAAGCCAGACCTGCATCAGCCCACCTCATCTCATATCTCACTGCCATAAGTTGCAAGAACTCCGTACTTTTCCCAACCACCTACCTAATCGATGTATGTAGCCCAACTAAATAAGCCTAATCCTTACCTCATCCCTACCTCCGTCGGAGGAACTAACTATCCACCTTCCCCGATGTTTCCGTATGCATGGCCAACTCACCCGCCTCATCTCTCCTCCTCTTTTCTTGCGTATACTATACGCCAAACGCCCCAGCCTTCTTCACCGCGTCAGATCTGTGCGTAACCTGTATCCTGCAGCTTGAATTGACATATCAGCAAACTATCCTACTCGAGCGCAGTTTGTACTACGTATCTACGGTGTACGATCTGCTCACTCCCCTCCCAACAAACAACATCAAACGGTCAAACCAACCCCGCTCGTGTCTGTGTCCGTGTCCCCGACCGTGTATCCACAATTATACGAGCTGACACAGGCCACTACACTAATTCACTACCTACCTACCTAGTGATATGACTGACGTGACCTGACTAAGTTACGTAGCTAACTAATTAATTTGTTGGTTGGTTGGTTGGTTGGTTAGTTAGCTATCGGACCGACCAGCGACCTGACTGGGAAATGACTCCTTACCCGTCTTACGTACAGGCCAAGACCGTCGGGTCTACTATAGTGTTCGGAGTCGGTTTGCTCCTCATTCTTCCGGGTTATGGGTACAGTAGAGGTAGCTGGTTTGCTATCTGCTGACTGAGTGTAGAGTGGGCTGCAATTTGCCATTGCTGTGTTGGGATGTATGTATGTACATGTACAGTACTGCACAGTATGTTGAGCTAGACTTCTTTCTAGCAAATTTTTTCTGGCGTTGGAAGGGGCCATAGCTCCTTCTTTCTGCATTTCTTTTTCTCGATTTGGTCTTTGCTATTTGAAGAGTCGGGAAGGAGGGGAGGCGTGGAGGAGGGATTTGTTGAATGATCGATGGTCACGGGTGGATCTGGATTTTTCTTTTCTTTTCTTTTCTTTTCTTTTTCTTTTTCTTTTTCTTTTTCTTTTTCTTTTTCTTTTTTTTTTTTTTTTTGCTTTTAACTGGTATGGAATGGAATGGTGTGAGGGTAGAGCTTCTGCAATTGTTTCACCTTGCTATATATTGTAATCTCTGTGGCTTGGGGAGTACGCTGTGTCTTATTGTAGTCGTTCGCCGTCTATTCAGATGCTCTTTACAGTTTATGTATGTAGAGAGTCTCATATTGTCTTGGTATGTGTTGAGTATTTAGAAAATGTTGATTGATATAGCTAGAAATTCCAAGAATTCATTCAGACCGATCGATGGTAACTATCGGTTTTAGAATCCCGATTCTAGATTGACACTGGAAAACTCGAGAAGTGCCAGCTTCATGTAGGTACTATAAATAGAACTAGCCTTTCCATGCCTTGACTGGAACCATGTAAGAGGGTGATTTGCCCTACTAGTCAGGTAAATGACCGCTTACTATGCATACTAGGCTAGCACCTCCAGGGCCGCAGACAACCTTCCCTCAACTCGACCAGTGAGATGCACCGTCGACGTGCGTCCAAGCACGTGGTCCGTGCAAAATAACCTGTGTTTCTAAGAATTTTCTCAGTATAATGGCATGCAGCTACTCTATACGTAATGGACTTCCCTGACGAGCGGGGTTTCCATTTCATCTGGATTGGCACCTATCATGTGACTTCTGTCATCATTTCTCGCAAGGCTTCGCCCGGATTGAGAACGCAAACACTTCTGTCATTGGTATTCATGGTATTCATGATGGAGAATTTTCGCTCAACCCAGCAGAGCCTGAGCAATGACCTTGTCTCGTCTATATCGAATATTCTCGACTCAGAAGGCGTTCCAAACCTGCTTTGGGGCAACTATCTGCTCACTGTTTATGGAGTACCCACGGTAGTGGATGTCAGTCCTTTTTTTTCTTGGATTTTGGCGTTTATACTAATATCAAACATGGGGTTAGCTTTTGTTATACCAGATGATCTTATCCAGATCGCTTTCTCTTCACTCATGAGGGCTGGCTTTTCAACTTGTAGCCCAAACGAGGGTTGTCAGCATTCAGATAATCCACGTGTCCCGCCAGCTTCTAAACACCTGCATATTGATGATGAGCTTGCGACCTCGCTCTACCGGAAATCCGATGTGCTTTGGGAACAAGAAAGTCACATGTACTTGTCTGAGAACAATTCAGATGTCATGATTGCGTCGGACAATCGACTCCCGTTGGCGTCCCTCGGTCGTGGCCAAGGACGCTTTTTATCGCAGACTTGTACTGTGAAGATCCCTTGCGCTGTCAGATACTGCGAAGCTCTGGTCCTGCTGCTTTGTCGGGACTACGACACTGCCTATGAGACATACTGGATGGCTATTCTGAGCTATATGCTAGAGTTTGTTGATGGTACAGATCTCTTGGATGAAACTATGCTGCAAGAACGCTACAGAAAGTTTTATCATGTTCTTAAATTGGGAGATCCTGCGATGTTCTCAATATTTGATGAGTTTCGATTGAATTTGATTGAAGAGCGTCGTCTTCCGGTGAAAAATATTTGAAAAATGAATCGAATGTCGCTATTTCTTGCTACTAACGGACGCAATGAGACAAAGAGTAGGCCTCATTACCACGGGGTCACTACACTTCAAATGTCTTGTCACAATCAAACCCTTCCGACTGGGAGAAGTAATATCCTCTTTGATTCGAGGTTACTGCTTTCCCGGTCTTCGCGTCTTGAAAGTCACAATTGAAATGTGTATGCCCAAAAGCCCAAAGTTTGACAGCCCGATTTTCCCAACACGGCTCGGCCGAAAGGTCGCTCATGAATGCCGAGGAGATCTTGCTGTTAGCATGTCTGGGATCGGCAACCTTATCGTCGATTGATGGGCAGAAATGGGTAAACACGACCACTTTGCGCTCAGGCTCGGTGCGCGAGATGTGATCGATTTGCTGGTTTAGCCATGCTACATCGGCAGCGTGCGCTTCTTGATGGGCTTCGATTGTCCAGTCATCGATGAGGTAGAAGTCATTCAGACCGAAACTGACGCTTTCCTTTTGTGCTTGGGCCACCTGCGAGAACAAAGTACATCCAAGGATGGTGGTGGCTGGTGAGATGTCATAACGGGTTTGGTCCAGAATAACAAGTTCACCGAGCTCTTCGCCGCGTCCTCGAATGTGGTCCATTCTCTTTTTGAACCGGCTGATGGTGGACTTTGTCTCTGGCCAGCTGATGTTATACGCTTCGTGATTGCCCAGCACCAGAAAGACAATGCGGAAGGCTTTTAACTGTCTGCGGAGGAATTCGTACAGCCCCTCATCTTTGGCGTAGCCAATATCGCCCAGTAGCGCTAGATACGGCGCCTTGGGGTTGATTTCGAAGACATCGTATGCAGCAGGAGATTCTAAGTGAAGGTCTGAGATGATCTGGATCTTCATATTTGCTGGTAAGATGCAACGTGTGTGGGTCCTCTAGAGGTGGATCGTAGGATCCTTATATAGGCGTCGTCTACTGGAGGTCTCCGCCCGAGAGAGGGAGGATCCCGCCAGATTGGGCGCTAAGCTACATACAGTAATGTAAGCGAGCGGAGCTCGCTGCTACGGGCTTTCGGAGACTATAACGACCTGCAATTCTGTCTAAGACAGATCAATTTGGAAGATTAGGATAGACATTTAATTATAGTGGGAAGAAATAACCCTCAACAATTTGTCTTATCAGCAGACCTGATTCCACCTAATTATAGCCGGATATTAGTGTGGTGAACATGGAAAATTAAATTGCTGCGGTGATATCTGACACAATGTGGCTGCTGCAATTCGTTCTTCAAGACCTGACCACGACAGCTGCCAGATCACGCCAAATATCGTATTTCTTATCAAGTTGTTGCAAGAACGCCGTCAATGTCGTATCCGACGTAGGTTCCGGAATGTCACGGCGTAGAGAAGCATCCAAATGATTCCAAGCAAGCGACAGCTGAGTCGCCGAGTTGTCGATAGAGGCTGCTCGAGCGCTGCGAAGAAATTGTTGAACAAAGGCACGCGGGTTGCGACCCTGCTTGACGTCGCTTAGTCCATAGGTCATGTTCATCAGCTTCTTCAACCCTTCACGAGGACGCGGCTTGAAACGGTCAATCAGCGCTTGAAACCAGCCATCCTCAAGGGAGCGTTCGCGCAAATCATCCTTTTCCGTGGTAGTAAGCTCGATAGTAAACCAGTCATGCGCCGTGCCTCTCAAGCAACTGTAAATATTGGCCTTCACAGTGTCTTCGTCCATGGATCGAGTCACGTCACGCATTCGCTCAACGAAGATATACACATCTTTGTAGTATAGCTGGGGTTCTTGATTCTGAACATCTTTATCTGATGCCTCAGGAAGAAAAAATCCCATATCTTTGCTACTCCAAGCGACATGTTGAGCCGCGGGCTGGTTGGAATGAAGATGATGGGAATGGTGAGAAATACCACTTCTTGGTTCAGGTGAGGCAGGCGGGGTGGGCGAAGGATCTTGATCGCTAGCATCTCGATCTTGAAGAACCGCTTCTAAGTCCAGTAGTCGCTCATTAACCTGAGCTTGGTATTCTTGGAGCAATTTGATAACGTCATGCAAGTTCATTTGAGGGTTCTCTTGTGCTCCAGAATGTTGGGGGCCATTTACAGCTCGACCTGGAGCATGAGCGTGGCCAGATGGACTCTCTGGTGCGGCTTGAGCGAAACTTTGCGCGGGACTGACTGAGCCCATTGTTTTTACTTGTGTCTTCAAAAGAGACAGATTGAGGAAGACTGGAGCAAAAGCTGTTGGAGCTGTCGCATGTGTGGAGCGGCTTTCTCTGCACCGGATAGTCGCATATTAGTAGTTTGTTTTTTGACTGCCCGGTTAAAGTCTGAGGTGGCACGGTATGTTCTCGCCGATGGTTGTGATTGGTCTGGTATGATCTAAAGTCCTGCACACGCGTATCTATGAGGTTATTGTCGGAGCTTGATGCCGCGCTGTTCCTTGAAGCGTTATTGGCCCCCTGGTTCTTTTAGGCCCACTTGTATCGAATTAGTTTGTACGCAGTGATGATTAAAACGTGAATAAGAATGTCTTCAAATGACTTCAAACTTGATAAGTATCCTGACATGAAATGTATACTAATTGGAGTCATCATCCTTACGTTGAGTTTTGATTTTGCACTTGACACAGAAGTATAGTATACACTCCAGCCGTACATGAAAGGTCTCAGACCAAACTTGTGCCAGAGAGTGCCAAGCCCCCACGAAATAGATTCTGTTAGGTATTGACCTGGACCTTCAAGTAGAGCCAGACCTCGGCACAAGTATGAGACAGATCGCGGATTCGTTAGCTTTAACTCCGTTATAATTTGGAGCTGCCCTCGACTAACTCCGTTGCGGAACATGCAATTGGTAGTGTTGCTATGACGAAGGGAGCTAACAATGAGCTTAACTGGTAGATCAGGACTCTTTATTCGCCGCACGTGTGCAAATTGTTCGAGAGATCATTTAGCATGACTGGTCCTCCGGACTTAATAAGTTAACTCCGTCCTAGGCGTGTCAGGCTTGCAATCGGTAACACCAGGAGAAAGTAGTATGGGATAGTAATAAAGAGGTTTCTCGCTCCCTCCTTGAATCTGCAATTTTTTTTTTTCAATCACGTGTCTTATAGTCTTGAGGCTTTCTCAGTCAGTCACAAGTCTACTGGAATTCTCGTTGACCAGTACTAACTTTCCGGATAGATGGAATATGCATGGTAAGACTCTCCGCAAACACCTTGGCGGCATCGAGCCAACTGCCTTCCAAAAATTGCTCAACATTCAATTGCTGACCTGCGGTGAATTATGACACAGACCGGGGGATTCGGGCCTCAAGGTCTCAAAGGTGATACTGGGTACCATGGGATACGGCGCCCCAGAATGGCAGGGTTGGATGCTGAATGAAGAAGAATCTCTTCCACTTATTGAACACGCTTACAAGAAAGGCATCAGAACCTGGGATACTGTAAGAAGAGAAATTCGGGTGCAAACACGCGAGTTCTAACCGTTTTTGACTAGGCCGATATGTACTCCCATGGCAAATCCGAAGAGATCGTGGGAAAAGCTCTGAAGAAATACAACATCCCCCGTTCCCGGGTGGTCATCTTAACCAAATGTTTCTTTGGTGTGGACGATGAGGGAAACTTTCCACCCCCTCTCTCGACCGGGAGACAGAACGCGGGTGACTTCTTGCGTCGGTCTTTCTCGCAGACACGTCCTGGAGGCCGTTGATGCCAGTGTTGAGCGATTTGGAACTTATATTGACGCTCAAGGCTTTGATGCTTCCCTCGAATGGTGTATCGATATAGTCGGAGCACGGGCCAGAGGCCATTTCGGCACGCAGGCCTGAGTGTTCAAGATTTAGAAGATTGACCTTCTTCTAACTAGTAGTATTCCTGCCGCCATTCCGCTCAAACTCCCCTCGTGGTGCGCGACTTCAACCCTTTTTTCCCATTATCGATACAGAAACCCCTTGGAAAAGAATGCCCATATCAGATATTGGCCCGTCATAACTCAACAGCACCTGCACCACCTGCGTTATCTAGCGCTATAGCATCGCTGTCCCATATTCAGGTATCATGAACCAAAACCCCTCTGTATCTCATTTTTCCCTCCCGAAGAGTCTCCATCGCCTTCTCGATTCCATCCTGACTCAATGGGAATGTCATCACAATAGGTCTGATGCGGTGACGGGCAGCAAATTGTAACATCTCGTGCTGGCTACCTCGAGCTGCAGGTAGACTGCCTTGGATCCGCAAAGCCTTCATGACTAGGGGCAGATAGGGGAACTTCATCTCCTCCATATCTACCGTAAGAGCATAGATGGTTCCTCCCGGAGCCATGATCTGGAAAATAGATTCCCAATTTGGCTGCTTGGCTGACGTGACAAGGAGGTGATCCAGAGGTTCCATCGGGGGAGGGGAATCCGTGAAAGCATGGAACTCGCTGGCCCCGAGAGCCAGTGCTTCATCTCGTTTAGACTGTGTTCCTGACAACACCGCCACTTGACAGCCCATCTTTGCAGCGAATTGAATGGCAAGATGTCCTAATCCACCTACCCCAATCACACCCACACGCTCGGTCGGTGCAACTTGGAATTTATGCAGTGGCGAAAACACTGCACTTCCGGCACACATCAAGGGAGCTGCATCAGCATTGGATATTTCGTCCGGGATTTTGTAGAGAAAGTCTTCCGGCCAGATAGCCGCCCGAGCAAAGGATCCTTGGTCGGTACTGGATTCGCCATAGATCTTTCTTTGATCGCAGTATAGTTCTTCTCCACGCAGACAATACTTGCATTGACGGCAACTACCATGTCCATATCCCCAGCCCACACGGTCTCCTCTGTTTTCACAAAACTTAGTTAGAGCATTATCAATGCGCATAGGGAAAGCTCAATGGAATCAAGAAAAGGAGAAAGTCAAACGCAAGCCTACATCTTGATAGAGACAACTTTGGTGCCGATTGCTTCAACAAGACCAGCCCCTTCGTGCCCGAGGACAATATCAGCATGCCTGTAGTGCTCGTCGGTCCCACAAAGACCAGAGTGAGTAATTTTGACGAGAACCTCATTCTCAGTAGGCTCGAGACATTGAGTACGACGTTCCACAATCTCCCCATTCTCAGAGCCTTTGAAAACAGTGTATTCCAGCATTTTGAAGAAGGATTAATAAAGTGTTGTGCCACTTGAATATAACGATAGATGGCTAAGTATGCCAAATTCCTTAATGACCATGGGAGCGTAGGCATTGTGCTGTCATATTGAATGATAGTTATAATAGACAACGGTGGCGTAAGAATTCTAGATATTGTCCTAGAATTGGCCAATCACACCAAAGCTTCGCTGGGTGAATTTCTCGCTCTCTTGCCTCTTCGGTGGGCCGCTATGATCTCGGCCACATGAATCTTTTACAGCTAGTTTGCCTGATTTGCCAATTCTAAATCATGCTATGAAACATAACGTCACCTTGATCGGACTCGATTGGTCAATTCCGCAGCAAGATTTGCCGTCGGCAATCCAAAGGCCCAAACATCTCTATAAGACACTCCAGTAGCCATCTCATTGTGTTTATTCCTGTATTACTTTCTCACATTGTTATTATTCCGTCGCAAAGTATTCAGTCGCAGCACAGTCTACACATTCTTTATCTCAACATGTCCACTCTCCAGGAGAAGAACAAAGCCGTGGTGCAGAAGTACTTTGAGGAGTACTGGGGCAAAGGCAACGTCGACGTCGTGGACGAGGTTTGTGCTGACAATTTCGTCATCGATTATCCTATGCATGGCCCTCGTCGTGGTAAAGAAGCGGCCAAGAAAATGCTACTTGAGTTTCGAGAGGTAAGAGAACAGGAGGAACCCTCGGGAGACAGACCTGACCAGACTAATATTTTCATTGTCAATAGGCGTTCCCGGGTATTTCCTTCCACGCCTACAAGTTCCCCCTGATTGCTGAGGGTGACTACGTGGTAGGCCGCTGGATTGGGGGCGGCAAGCACACCGGCCGGGAATTTGATGACCTTGCAGTTGGCAAGCTCGACAAGCCAAATACCGGAAGAGAGGTTTATTTCTCGGGTACAACTATTTTCACTTTGGAAAATGGAAAGATTGTGGATGAAATTGGCGAAGAGCAAGCTCTAACAGCTCTGCAGCAGCTAGGGCTAGTTCCGCCTCCTAATCCAGGCAAAGAGATCAAGTATGATGCGGAGGGTAATCATATTTGAGGGTGAGAGGCCTTGAAGGCAAATGTGTCTTCGCAATGTCTTGTCATTAGTCTACTAGTTTGCTTCCTAGCTGTCTTGATGGAATGGCTTATAATCTATTGTTGATATTGTTGCTTCGTCCGAGCAACTTTGGCACTAGCTGTCCATCTGTAGCCCGTAACTTAATTCTCTAGTGTATCACTAACCACCATGCTTCTTTGAAATTGAGTTTATTGATCATCGTATATTTTCATGCCGTCCATTTGGCCATTAATCTCCTGAACAATGGACTTGTGTAGGACCTGAGAACGGCGTCCCGGAGTATCTGGGTTCCTGGGAAGCCCATCCTGGGATTTAGAGGTTCCCAGTTCCCGCGGAAACGGTACCGGTCGACATCATCCCTTGGCCACCTCCGATCAACATACAACGCGCTCAAGTCTACACCAGGTTCATTGCTCCATTTATCGGATCTGTAATTTGAAAGTTTCCCAAGTCATGTTCTCGTCGCTTTTGCGATATTTTCCCCAGCTCGGGAGGAGATGGAAACCCCTCAGTTTCTCTAACCCGAACTTCGTCCGCATACCTGAAGCGCAGAAAATTGAAGAAGAGACTCTGCCAGACTATGTCGTTTCGCACTCTTATCCAATCCGAATCGGGGAAGTTATCAAGGAGCGATATCAGGTCATTGGCAAACTAGGATTTGGATCTACCTCGACTGCATGGCTCGCACGGGATATGGAGTAAGCCCTCTCATGACTTTCAAAGACAGTTTTTCAGATATACTTATGTTCTAGAAATTCAGTCACCGCCGTTATGTCATGCTCAAAATATTCGTCCAGACCTCATTCATGGGTCAACAAGTGGATAACGAGCTCTCCATATATAGGCACATAGAGCAATCTCCAACCGCCCATGCCGGTCGCGATGTCATAAGAACGTTACTTGATGCATTCGATATCGACGGGCCTCAGGACAAGCATCGATGCCTTGTGCATCCCCCACTATGGGAAAGCGTTCTAGCCTTCTTACGCCGCAATCCAGTCGAAAGACTACCCTCCGCAGTTCTCGCAGTCGTTCTTCATCGTCTTTTCTTAGCCTTAGATTATCTTCATACAGAGTGCCAGGTCGCACACACTGGTTTGTAACCTAATATACCTACCACTTCTTTCTGTACACCTGCAATTTACTTACTATCCTCCCTATCAGATATCAAGGCCGATAACATCATGTTCGGTATCAAGGATGATTCAGTCTTCACTGATTTTGAGGAGAACGAACTTCAACGACCTGCTCCGCGGAAAGAATTGAACACAGACGGAAGGATAATCTACGCCTCCCAGGAACTCAAGATACCAAAAAAGGTTGCAGCCCCAGTCCTTTGTGATTTCGGCTCAGCCGTACATGGTAATGAACACCACTCGGTTTTCATCCAACCTAAGATCTACCGAGCACCTGAAGTGATTCTTGGGGTTCCTTGGACGTATAGTGCCGATATCTGGAATGTGGGTTGCATGGTAAGATGAACCGTCCTCGGAATTGGAATTTGTCAGTCTGAGAAGCGCAACGCGCTAATCGTCCAGTTTTAGATCTGGGATATTTACGAAGGCGGTTCCTTATTTACAGGCGAGGACCCCGAGTTTGAGAGATATCGGAGTCGAGCACATCTTGCGGAGATGATCAACCTTCTTGGTCCTCCACCTTCTAGTCTTCTTTCTCAAGGGCTGCTAACAGACAAATTCTTCTCAAAGGAAGGCAAGTTATTCTTGACTCAGATTACCCAGGAGCTTTGAGGTCCAAACCCACTAACTATATGGCTTTAGGTAGTTTCCTCGCTCCAGATTTATTGATTGATCGGGTCCCGTTTGAGGAGAGGGAGACCACCCTTGAGGGCAAAGGGGAGCGAGAGGCCTTTTTACGTTTCATGCGGAAAATGCTGCAGTGGGAGCCTGAGAAGCGTAGCTCCGCTAAGGAATTAGCGGAGGATGAATGGATCCATAGCCATATGTAGAGCAATTTTCCATGTTCAGCGGTCTTACTCTGTACGATAGAATGTGAAGATATAAACAACAATCTTATCAACCAGCATCCTTCTATTTAGCTGCAAATTTCAGGCTTGAGATATCCTCTCAGGTTATCAAGCAGGGGACGGTCGATACTCCTATTTAGATACGGTTGGCAAAACAATGTTTGTGTCTAGTTAGCACAAACAATTGACGGCATGCCTATCACTGGCCGATTTGAGACAGGGATAATACAAGGCATTTCTAAGTAGCGCCGCTAAGTCACCAGCAATCGAAAGTAATAGGTTGGAGGTGACTGAAAGGTTACAGGGCATCTGTTCCATCGGAGGAAGAGATTCACCTATTTTAGCTCTAATCCTTCTTACTAAATCCTGGCCCCCTCTTTGATAGTCTACTTGTGATTGACACGTCAGACATAGCTACGTCAATAAGATTGGAAGCCTACCAGTCGCAGGTACATCGAATCGTGATTAGATTATTGAAGTGCTAGATGATCAGGCCTCCCGATTTTGATTCTGACGCAATAAGTATTTCTCCGGGCATTGGAGCGTGACTTGGATACCCCGGTAAATCAGCCAGGGTGTAAGACCGGGGTTAAAGTTATAACTAATCGACTCCACCCCCTAACTACCCCAGGTTTTTCCGGACATTGAGAGTACCCCCCTTTTTGGTATTTCGGAAGTCAGAATTGCAGTCCCTGTAAAGTAATGAATATCATTCGACTGATTTGATACTTTTACCAAGCTCGCGTTCTCTCTGATACGTCCATTCAAACGAACTATGCTGATTTTCGCCCGTTCCCATCCTCATCTTCGACACGAAGCCTCGCTCACTCGGTTGCGTCTCAGGCTACCGAGTCGTACCCCAGTGACCTACCAACCCACTCAAACCAAAAATTTCCGAACAAAACAAGATGCTGCTCCTCGTGGTACAGCTCTGAGACCGATGGTCCGAAAACTCCAAAGACCCATTGCATCGCTGTTGAATTGGTTTTCACGCTCTCAAACCCGACGACCATACATCACCCAACTGTGCCTTACACCGCTGATATTCTGTCTGGGTGACTTTTCCGCACAAATGATAGGAGATGATGATTTCGACTATCATCGCTCGCTGCGGAGTGTCATCATCGGTCTTGTGATCGCGATTCCTAGTCACGAATGGTTCCTGTTCTTAGGGCGACGGTTCAATTACAGCTCACCCTCTCTGTCTCTGGGAGCAAAGGTAGCTGTCAATCAAACCGTTTACACTCCGCTGTTCAATGTTTATTTCTTTGCGTTTCATGGACTCCTCGCCGGGGAGGGGCTTTGGGGTGCAATTGAAAGAGTAAAAGAAAAAGCATCTATCAGTATTCCCAGGAGTTTTCTATTTTGGCCTTTGGTGACCGCATTCAACTTTTCATATATCAAACCCCAGTCTCGGTCGATTGTGACATCGATATTCTCTGTTTTTTGGCAGTCATACTTGAGTTGGCTGAATAGTTCTGCTAGAGATGGAAAAGGAAGCATAAGGGCAACTAGAGCTGTTTAGTGATACTAGCTAGAAAGAATATCTTGGTCAATATGGGGATAGAATAAGTCCGAATGCTTTGGCATTCTTGATATCCTATTCTGGCGTCCGATAGGTATTTGAAGACGTATTGAAAACCTGTGCTGGGCGTTCTCTTAAGAATTCGGGGCGTCCCTATAACCGACCCCTACATTTAAGTGTTATATCTGGATGCCTAAGCGCAGGGATCGGTTAGTGTTCCCCGCCATCAAATTCTCGCTTAGGTACGGAGTACCCCCTATATACGGTGTAGCTACGCCTCGCGAGCTTTTTCTACCCTTAGCCATCTACAACCTCGCAGCGCTTCATCTATTTTATTTTATTTTTCATGTTTTTCATTCTTCGGAAATCAGTCATTTCCGCTTAGTTGAGGTCCTGTATTCAGTCGCTACGGAGTCGCTATGCCAGACGAAGAGCAGCATGAAGCCTCGATGAGAAACGCTGCTCGACCCGACAATGCGGAACCCAAAGATCAAAGCACCGCCAAGGAGGTCCGACTGCTCGATCGCTTCACATGGGCTAATTTCACCTGCACCCAGTCTACCGGTGGCGTGGCCATTCTCTTGTCCGAAACCCCCCATCGATTTCGCGGGCTGCAGACCGCCGGTGTTGTAGTCTTCATCCTCAATCTAGTTCTGTTTGTCCTCTTCTCCACAGCCATGATCTGTCGGTTCGTGCAGAGACCTTCCAACATACGTAAATCTGTCACCAAGCCCCCCGAAGCCTACTTTACAGGTTCATTATGGCTCTCAATGGCGACCATCATCATGTGCATGCAGCGTTTCGCTATCCCTCACGCCGGTCCTTGGATCATCGTCGCCGTCCGGGTTCTCTTCTGGACCTATGCTGCTATCACTCTCACGTATAACATCATCATCTTCGTCGTCATGTTTATCATTTGCCCCCTCAAGCCTGGTAGCATGAGTCCGCCAATGTTTCTGATGATTTATAACGCCATGCTGACCGGCACTGTCGCGTCGGCTATTGCAGCAAATCAGCCCCCCTCACAACGAATGGCCATCATCGTTGCCGGCATTGCGTTTCAGGGTCTTGGGTGGATGCTGTGCCTTTTGTTTCTTCCGCTCTTCGTGAGCAATATGCTTATCAACGGCCTTGGGCCGGCAAACCAGAGACCCGGACTCTTCATATCCGTGGGTTCATCAGGATACACCATTGTGGCGCTCATTGGATGCGCCAGGGCGATTCCCGACGGATATGGATACTTTGCAAAGCACCCTACTGCTTCAGAAACCCTGGACATTATGGCATTGTGGATTGGTATCTTCCTGTGGCTTTTCACGTTCTGGCTTTTTGCGATTGCACTGGTCGCTCATTTGCCTATTTTGATTTCCAAACGCGGCAATGGTATGTCGCAGCAGATGAGCTTCACACTTCCTTGGTGGGCTATTGTTTTCCCGAATGTTGGCTTCACAATTGCTACGATTCATATTGGCGAGGAGCTGGAATCTAATGCCATAGCTTGGGTGGCAACTGTCATGACTGTGTTGGTCTTTGCGGCATGGCTCATGGACTTATACTTGCATCTAAAGTCTATATTTCAAAGGCGCATCATGTAATAGATTTTGGATGATAGACCAAATGTTTTGTGTTAGAGCACCTTCAATTTCTTGTGCTCATCATATATCATTTGCTATTACAGTGGCAATACGTGGGCATGTTCTACACGAGGTCGTACTGTAGAATAGAGCATCCTTGGCTGGGACGATAGAATAGTGGTGTTCCAATATATGGTAATATAGTAAAGAAAGAATGACGGGTCAGAAATCCTCGAATTAGGATAGGCGATCTTAACATCGAACATGAACCCAGTGAACAGATTTCGCTCAATGGACAACGGAAGGGCTCAATAGACGCAAGAAGGGAAGATTCGTTATACTATACAAAGAATTGAATCATGGGCTTCTGAGGTCGCAAGATATTTCAAGTAGTAATAGGCGAATACACTAGGGTTCCTTTCGTCAGAAGTCCATAGATATCCGGCATATCGCAAACAAGGATAATATATGAATACCGGAGACCAACATAAAATGGTACGTTACGGAATGCCAATCAAACGTCGCCGATATCTACTCTACATGGCTTTATGCTACTTAGAGACACTCCATGAGCAAGCCACTTTCGCCTTTTAGGTATGCGCAAGAAGGATAGTGTTGATTAGGAAATTACGGTACATTACCGAATATAACCTGATGGAACCAGATCGATAGCAATATTGCAGAGGAACCCAAACTCTGACACCAGGTTGGAAAAAGCCAAACAAAGCCGAAACCCTGGATCTATAGCTTATGCTATTTAGAAGCAGGCTGCGATGGAACCAGATCGATAGCATAGATTCCAAACCATAGGCGAGCCCCTGGGTTTAGAGGGTACTGCAGAAGAACCCAATCTGTCACACCAGATCGGCAGCATAGGTCCCCAAGAAAATAAGCAAAGTATCTCGAGACATTGACTCTCAAAGTATCCAATCTGATATCTCAAGATCGGCAACGGCGACATCATAGTTGATCTTTCCCGAGGGAGGCAGAGCCAAGCCCCAGATGTTCAGAACCTTAGGACCGAAAGGAATAGAATCATACGATGGATACCCATCAATATCGGCATCCCATGGTCTGAATTCCCCGTCGACATAGCTTTTTAAGATAACATTAGCCGAGAAAAGGATAGTAAGGTGGAGATTAGATTACAGCTCTTTTAGCTTTCGATCCCAGTATAGATTCTTGAGGCCGCTGGAAGCGACCCTGACTCCCGCGAAAAGTATTTCGCTATACAAAGAGTGAGTTAATGGGAATTCAAATTAGATCATAGAATGTTCGGATTGGGCAGTTACTTATATGCCTCTTCAAAAGCAGCTCGAATCTCCCGTCTTTCTTCCTGGCCAAGATCCCAAAAAAGTCCGTCTGGCTGATATCTCCCATGCTTACCGACGTGACAAAGTCCATTACCGAGACGGATTCCAGGAACTGCAGTGTAAGCCAGATACTGGATATTACCACGCGGAACAAAGAAAGAATCGCTGGCTTGTATTTCCTGTAGGGTTCCGATCAGTTTCGATGTATGCTTTGAAGCAATTTGGTAAAGGAGCTTATAGGCATCCGTTTCAAGTCTCATGCCGAGGGAGACCTGTTCCGATGCTTGCTCCTGTCGGTCAGATGGAGAAAGAAACTCGGTTCCCTGGTAGGGAATTTGCATTTCAACCTGCACGAATCCTCTCTCTCCCGGAGATTGGGCGTTGTGACATGCGAATATTGCTCCAGCTGTGGGTAATTCGAGATACTCTTTTGCCTCTGCTTCGTCGTAAGAGTCGCAATTTTCGTGTATTTTCTGCGTTAAGATCCACGTAGAAGTGGAGGGAGAAGTGAAATTGATAGGCTTAGAAAGCCAGAGTTTATCTGGAAAATAAATAGCGGGGGGCATTGTCGGATGTCGTCTTTTCCTGATAAGACGAGAAGAGAAAGACTGGAGGGGAGATGAAAAGGAGGGAAGAGACGGTGAGAAGAGAAGAAGGACAGGGTCACACCCCTATTAGACTCTCGCTTCGTCCATGGTTTCACTTCCTACTCCGAGGCCACCATCATCAGTTCATCATAACGAAAATTCAGAAGACTGGGCTACCTTAATTTCGAAGACATCGTCGAAAGCGAGTTTCAACCCCGCAAATGGACGAACTTCAGCGTACCATGCCTGTACGAGAAAATGCTGTCATGGAAGAGGAGATCAAAGTCCATGGGTCGTGGCCTCGAGAGGTAAGGTACCCAATGCTGTGATCAGGAAAGCTTTCTAGTAGAGCTCTTCTGAGATAGCAAACGTGAATTGAATTATTGATGTGCAGCACGCGCCTTGTGCGTTTATAGAGGCGAAACTGGGCCGATTGGGGAGGCAAGTGGGCTATATACTTCGCCTGGATGGCCCGGAGCCTTGGAGAGAGCCATATGGACTAGGCGGTGATGTTCCACAGGGACCAGTCTGCGTCAGATCAAATTGCAAGGGCTGGGTGTAAGAATGACGTGGAAGTTGTCGAGAAGAGTGAATGAATCCAAGGCTCACTTCAGGTCACCTGCTCCAACCTTCTATTCCCCCTCCCTCTTTCTTCCCTTCATTTCTTTCTCTCTCTCTCTCCTCCTCTCCCTTTTGCTTTCAACTGAAACACTCTCCGTAATTGTCGATTTCTCAAGCCTGTTGCCCAGATGATTGTCTGAATGAGCGATCAATCTACTTTAGATATCTTACTGAAAGTGAAAAACTCCATTCAAAAGAACAATGAGGATTGATATTTCACGTTCTCAAGAATAGTGAAAGAATTAATAATAGCTATACTACGTCTTCGAATCACCGAGGTCTATGCACTTAAAAACAAAAAAATAACGCGTGAAAGTGTTCTGTGAAGCAAATGTTGCTTGCTACGGCAAAGAATCGTACTATATCTGCTGGCGCGAGTAATTCTGCAGTTAGTCTTTTATCAAAAAAGACAGACTGAAGGACAAAAGCTTTCTAGAAGCTTATTTGAACAAGAAGACTAAGAAACACCATCAGAAACCAATTCACGGACGTTATTTATGTTGTACGTGTCTTTTTATTGAAGATGTTTACATTGGCTAACCCTAGAGAATGTCAATTAGGTAGCTAAAAAAGAAATCAAAAAAACAGATCATAATTGTTATCTTTTTATCGTGCACTCTCAATCTCGAACTGCGTCTTCTGAACATTTACGAGCAAAGCGACACTAATAATTCAGCTTTTCACTCTTAGCTAAAGTCTTATATAAATCATCCGGCCCATCTGAACCCGATCGATACTAAATATAGGATTTTTAACCTTACTATTATGGAAGATTGCATCGTAGGGATATATCGATCGCTGGTTAGACAGTCATTAAAAGAAAAAAGACACACGCGGTTGATTTCATGATAGATCTATATAAAATAAGTGAATATAAATATGGCCGAGCACAGATGGGCCCAATATCACAAGAAGCGCGAGGATAAGAAGAAGAGATTTCGCAAGTTGAAACGCTTGCACACTAAACAGTTTACGGACACAGATTATATGCAAACTTAGAATAAGGCCGTCAAGGTCTTGGAGAATATCAATCAGGCAGTCTGTGGATTGAAATTGAAAAGTGCTAAGCCAGAATTATATAGGTTTTTTTCTCTAGGCCCGCGATCAAATTATAGATTTTTATTTGAGGTAACTGATTGCCAAAGAGACGAGCAAGTCGGATCCGATTTTAATATAGGGTCTCAAATCTCTAGGAGTCAGGAATGCCCATGCAACAACGGCCATGAATCCTTTTTCTAAGTATGCATGCCTTGATATCCCTCTTGCTTGGGTCTAAACCTCAGCAGCCTCAAGGATCTCAATTGAAAAAGTGAAGGTAAACATTAGAGTTCCAGGGGCAAGCCATTAAAATGTTGAGAACCTCAGAACCGAGAATTTAAAGTTAGGGGTAGGCCCGCAGAACCCAGAATGAATCCACAACATACCAAGTTGGTATTTATAGAAAAGGCATACCTTGTAACAACACAAAATATAATTAAATAGAGAAATAGTTCGTAGATCAATTCATTCCCAAACTATTCTCTAGTCCCAACAAACTTAAGCCAAAACAGCGGAAGTTTGGAGATGGGGACGGTGATCGACCGACGGGAGTCGGGTCGGTCTAGATGGGTCGACTCATTTTTGGGTTCTTTGGAATTTTCTTTGGAGATCTCTTCGATCTTAAGATATGGATCAAAGGGTGTATTTGTTGCAGAAGAATGGCTGATACTGTTGCTAATTGGGCTGTTATTCTGTCTAATTAGGTGTCGTTTTATCATAGCTTGTGTTAGTTGTATGTAATAGATCAGTAAGTCAACGCCGCTCGATGTCATAGACATCTGGATATATGTAAGCATGTACTTGGTCCCAGGAAAGAGGGAGTGACAAATAGGAACAAAGAAAAAGAAATATAGACATCGTAAATCGCATCACTTCACATCAAATCCAATAACAGGAAGCTGAACAACCTCAATAACCACCATCTATAAGTTCAACCCCTCTATCACATTTAAAATGTTTTCCCGTTTCTCCGGATCATTGATCAGATCATCCCAGATCTGATCTTCGAATGACCGTGCCTTCAAGGATGATTCCGTACTGCTCTCGTCTCGAGCCTTACCCGCTATATTATCGAGCATCTCTTGTCCCTCCTCAGTCATGTTCATGTTATCGGCTGCTTCGGCGAAGATATTCGTGCCGTTGGGACGAAGCACGCCGCGGAGGGTGTTGGTTATGAGACCGGCGAGCGGCACTTGCGCTGTCATGGTGAGGTTCTTCATGACGTTCGTGTAGTACGGAACTTCCGTGCCCTCGTAGAATACCGTCTTGCCGACCGTGTCGAGGGTGAGGGTCCCATCCCGGATGGATTCGAGCTGGGTGGCGAGTACGCTGCGGAGATTTTTGATCAACACGCGAAGGTCAAGCATTCCGTGCACTGGGGTCGAGTGGTTGCCTGGTCGGAGGATGAGGTTGTCGAGGGTGGCGTTGCCGATGACGAGGTCACCAGATTTGACGTCAAGAGTTGTTGTGCCCTGGGGAATAATTAGTGGTGTATTTGGTGGTCGAGGGGAAAGGATGATACTTACAATTTCGAGCGTTAGGACGGAGGGGTTAGGTAGGGTTGCGTTGGCGATGAGATTAGTTCCGTCTTCTCGAGGAGGGAGCAGGAGCTGGGTGTCTTTAATAGCGAAGCCTTCGAAGGAATTCAGGGCTGCAGGCTGCGTTAGTATTGATATCCAGCATGATCTGACACGACGACTTACTATTTTGAGGGATATCCTTGTCCATCGTCACGTGGTTCTTGATCTGTCCTAGATAGGCGGTGGTCTTGCCCCATACCGATAGCGGACCATGCTTCATGAACACAACGTTGTGCACGTACTGCGTCCACTCGGCGACATTCAAAGGAGTGAACTGCTTGTCTACTCCCAGCGTCGTGTTGCCGCTGATCACGTAGTCTTTGAGATACAACTTTCCCCAGGTGCCATTTCCGGGCGAGTCACGGTTGAACAGATCCAAAGTCATCGGATCAATGCGCACTGGGACCCCCAGAGGAAGCTTCAGTGCCGACTCAATCGTGAGCTGTACTGATTCAGGTCGTGGGTGCATGACATCGGCCTTGACGAGGAGCAGCGTTGAATTATCCACGACTCGCTGCGCAATGGCGGGGATGATGACAAGGAAGCTATTGCTTGTTAGTTTTCGTACATGGCAATGGGAGGAAAAGGTCCATACAATATGGGTAGAAATATGATGAGAAAGATGATACTGAAGAAGGTATAGCAACACCAGAACCGAGCCCAGTGGCGTCGGAGATTCTGTGTGGGTGTCCTCTTGACCTTCTCTAAGGTGATCGTATCGGCTGTCTCGATATGCTCAAGGTCATACCCCTCACCATTCTCAGGTAGAGGCCCGCGATGGATTCCCACCGCGTTTTTGGCGTCTTTAGAATTCAGATAGGTCTTCTTCTCGTCCATGGCTGGTGAAATGCCCTGTTTCGGACCACAGGAGTTGATATTAACCAGCAATTCACTCAAGCGATGCAAGCGACCGACTTGGAGGTATATCGAATATTAATATTAGATATTAGCTCAAAGAGGTGTGAGCGCAGGTGCAGCTGCATATGCAATCAGGAGAATTGATAAGAGAGAGAGAAAAAGATTTGATCAATCGATCTCTCAACCGATCAATATTGAGATGCATGAAACAATTGATTAATTGGCATCATCCCGTCATTTTGCAGATAACCGAACACACACAACGTCCATGGCCTCTCGTGGGCACCATTTTCCGGGCCTCGGAGATTCCACCCCTTTGGGCTCAGACGATCTCACCCTCAGCGACCCTCGAGCCCGTCGCCAGACACTCCGCATAGATCGACGCAGCAACGCCGTCGATCCCTAGCGAGGGGGTGGGCCGGACCAATAACGGCGACTCATTGCCACTCGCAGGAGTTCACATGCGGAGGCAATAGGATGAGGATCGACAGCGACTATTGAGGAACCGCGGTTGTTTAGGGGGAGCGACTCAAGCTTCGCACCAGGAAAAAGGGTCCACTTGCCCTTTGGTCAGAAAAGTTGGGGCACGGAATCATTGCCTCATTGAGATGCGGGGGTGAACGGTAAATGACGAAGGATGACCACTGGGATTGTCTGGATTACGGCGACTTTTTGTCGTTCTTGTTTCGGCGTTGATCTTGGTTTTTTGGGATGTGAGATGATGAAGAAGCGAGGTTGATGGTTATGGGCAAGAGGTGCTGCAAGGGCGCGTGATTCACTCCAACCCTACTTTTCCCTCGACGATTGCCACCATCTATCAATAGTCTCTATCTGCTATTTTTGCTATAATACGTCACTCTTGGAAGAGAAACACAATTCAATCATCTCGTATACACCATGTCTTTCTACGACGAGAAAAAGTCCCCCGACGAAATCACCCAATCCCCCACCAACACCTCCACCAAATCTCCCCTCCCGGACGACTTCGAGAAGCTCGAGAAACTCGAAATCCTCCCTCAAATCCTCCAAGAGGGCATTTTATTCGCTGGATCAGGATCCGCGCTCCTCCTTCAAGCCGCCTACCCAGGTATCAAAAACCGCATCAGCGACAGCCAAAACAATGCCGGCGACAGCGGCTCTCTGGCCAAAGAACTCAGCGACGCCCTGCAAGCCACCCTCAGCTACATCGCCTGCCTCGTGTTAGGCACGGAGAAGGAGAAAAAGACCCTCCTCGACCTCTTGCAGCGCGGTCAGCCGCCCTTCCGTGCCAGCGAGACCTATACCTCGCACCCGCCCACCCAGCTCTGGGTCTCTGCCACGCTCTACGCCACTGCGACGGACTTTTACCAGCGTATCTACGGGCGCGTCAACTACCGCACCGCTGAGAAGGCCTACGCCGAGTTCACCCTGCTCATGCACGCATTGGGCATGCCGACGGGGACGTGGCCCGAGACTCGCCAGGCGTTTTGGAAGTACTGGGATGACCAGATTGAGCAGTTGACGGTGACTGCGGATGCACATCGTTTTGCGAAGGATTTGTTCGCTCGTTCGGACCTGCCTCGCTGGGTGACTATGTTGAAGCCGCTGATGCGCGTCGCGACTATCGAGATGCTCCCGCCGCGTCTCCGAGAGGCGTACGGGCTTAAATCGACGATGTCGACGAGGGGGTTGTATCGTACAGCGATGGGCTTCTCAGTAGCTATTTATCCCGCGCTGCCGAAGGGGACGAGGTCGTATGCGTTGCAGTATTATTTGGAGGACCTACGAAAGCATTTGAATGTTGTTTAGTTTGTTTTATCATAGTGTTTCTTTTTGGTTTGTTTTTCGGTTGTCTAGCTAGCGGCTGAATTGTGGTTTTTCCAATGTTCATATTCTCATTCGTATACATATGCAATGCCAGTCATGTCATTTCATCCATCTGCCTCTCTGCCTGTCTTCTTGTTTGATTCGATTGTAGAAAAAGAAATCACATCAGAGAACCCAACAATCCACCCAGAAGTTTCGAGATATTCGAGACGAGCTAGTTCGTTAGTTCCAAAAGCTGACCCTCAAACCAAAGAACAAAACTTACAGGAGTCGCATCTTCAATCAGCGTCGTAGTGTCATTCACAAAGCTCGGCGTCAACAGCGTGTCGGCATTGTCGACCAGACCCTGCAGCTTGTCGATGTTCTTGCTGGACAGCAACTTCTGCAGATTCTTGGGCGTGTCGCCGCCCAAGAGCACCGCACCGCCTTTGACGATGGTCTGCAGATCTTCCAGCGTGTCCTGGCTGAGTAATTCCTTCAACCCGTCGATCAGCTGCGGAAGTTCAGAGAGAAGGCCGCCGGTGGACTGAGGAGCCGGTGCGGCCACCGGGTTGGGGTTGGGGTTCGCGATGGCCAAGGGGGCAGCAAAAATGAGGTACTTGAAGAGACGCATTTTGAAAGCGGACTGACTGATACGCTGGTTGTCTGAGATGACTGAAGTTTGGCTGTTGGCCTTGAAACGTAGGCAATTATTTAGGCTGTAGAAGGTCTTGACAGCCAAGTTGGTCTTATAAGTAGGAGATAAGTCGGGTTCACGAAATTAAGATCCGTATTAAGGATGACCCCGCCTTGTCTCTGAATGATTGCTTTTATTTCTGCTATCAATTATAGTTTTTGCCATTTCTCTCGTCTTTCTCGGTCTAGTTGCTAGTGAGAGCACCCTAGCACGCAGGATCCCGCAAGGTCGAGGCCACATTCCAGTCCAACTGACCGCCGGCAGGGCAGTCCAGATCGCTCCATTCTCATTCGACAGGTGTTAGAGTGCCTCTGCTACAGTCTGGCCTCCGAGATCTTCGATTTCCTCCCTTGATTTGAACAATTCCGTCATTTTCTCCCCCGCTGCCGTTGTTCCAACGCTAGCCACGACTCCAGCAGCTCACCCGAGGCTTATGGGGCGCGTCCGTGTTGGTTTCCCCCATGAAAACGAGGAAGCGGGGGAGAGTGGAAGGATTCAATCCGGGGTAAGACAGAGATAAAAAAAAGCGACCATGTGAATCTGACCTCGTATCTCCCGTCCTCAGTATCTCCAGCTTTCTACTCCGTAGTCCGAACTAAACCCCTTCTCACCCGAGAGGTGGACTGCGGCTTCAGACCCCGCATGAACTAGGGCTCGCTAAGTCCCCTTCTCAGGTACTGCGGCTGTCGATCTTCTCCAGCGTCTTCACCTCGCGCCCAATCAGGCCGGGGTGGAGGGCCTTTGCACCTCGGAACAACCGTGTACATGTGAATCGCCTCCCGAGCTTGTTTTTTGGTCGTTCCTGTCCGCCCCTGGCATTGGTTTCTGGCGATCCACTTGCGATATAGAAGTCTGCGTTGGCCAATTGATGGGCATTGTAAAACAGGGCACGCAATGCATACCGGATCGGGTAATGTGTCAGTCTGATCCCTCTATCTCTCTCTCTCCGTGTCTGTCTGTAGTACGTTTTTCATCTTCATATGATCCCGACAAGGTAGGTTTTCACATCCCGGCCATGCTGACGTCCAACATCTTGATTAAATTATATTAATGTCTCACTTGTTACACCTCCACTCAAAGCTTGTCTGCTTTCCTTTGGCTGTTTTGTCCCCGAATTATGTAGCCATTTCCGTAATTCGACGGGGATGGGATTAGGACCCTGGCCAGGAAGCCGATGCCCGACTTTTCCCCTCAGTAAGACAGACAAATCGCTCCGATATTCGTCATAGGCATAGGCATGAACTTGGACGTAGACGTAACCGTAGACGTGATCCCATTCATTCAATCAGTAATTCATTTCCAAAGGAACAACCCCTCTCTCCTCCTCGTTAGCGTATCTGCAATCCCTCTCTGCCGATCCCCTTCAATGCACGTAAGATCGTATCTTTGTTCGGTGACAGTGTCCACCCTTACAACGCCAACGCCACGCCCAGCACACCCAACGCCCCCATCCCTCCCACGACGAGTCCCGTCGGCTTCGCTCCACCCACTGCAGCCCCCGAGGAAGTCGCCGACGCGGCACTCCCTCCGCCCGTGCTCGACGCATCCGCACTGGCCGGCTCTGTCTGCGCGGCTGCCTTCTTCGGCGGCGCCGTCAGCGCCCCCTCTGCGATTTGGCTCTTCACGACAGATAGGTAGCTCTTCACGTCGGTGGGGAGGGTGTTGTACCAGTCTGGCGTCTTGCCGGCTTTGAAGTCGCTGGCGAGAGAGGCGCGTTGGGCCGGTACGACTAGTGCGGCGAGCGCGGTTGGGGGCAGCGCCGATACGATCTGGGGGATTAGAGATCGGGGAGGAGGGTCGATGTTGTCGAGGTTGGCGGTTTGGGTTGGGATGTTGAGGGAGAGGGAGTGGCTGTTTTGTGGTTAGTATGTACTTCTGTGGGGTTTGTAGGTAGGACGTAGGGATGGATGGATGGATGTACATGGCATTTCCCAGCGAAGACCAGTTCACTTCGTCGCCGGTAGGATTGGCTCGTTTCTCGTGCTCGTGCTCGTTCTCAACGACAGCTGCCCAGGCCGTGGTAGAAAGGGCGGCGAGGATCCAGGCGAATTTCATGGTGATAGATGGTGGGAAGACGCTGGAAGATGGAATTGAAGGATAGAGAGAGAAATTAGATGGACAGCTGAAAAGTAAAAGTAGATGTAAGGATGTCTAGATTCTTAAGGGGAAAGTTTGTACCAGCAAGTACTAAGTCGCTATGCTCTTCCCGAGATCCGATGTGGAGAGTCCGTGAGCAGGAGTGGTGCTGATCGTCATGTCCCCCGGGAGTAACAGGCGCTGGGCCAAAAACTGGGTTGAATTGATTCCCATGTGCTTTATGATTGCTGATTACCGGTGACTTGTGTCGGACTTTGTGTCAGAATTATGATTATGTCGAGTTGCATTATTCGGTTGACAATGATGTCTTAGGGCTGGACGATCCTGCTGTCTACTTCTTCGGCATAACTGTTCAAATTCTCCTACATTAACGTTTTCTCGACTAATTATCATATCTGGCAATTGATAAATTATCTTTCTCTCGCGATACTAAGATCAATTCCTAGGTACACCCTCCCTTGCGACGGATCCTTACCCACGACTCTTCACATCTCCAAATCCACAGTAGACACAATTTGTGTCGGTCTTTAAATTATAATACTGCGTAAAGAAAAAAAATATCAAGAAAGGAAACAAAGAATAAATAGAAAGACAAGGGCGAGAGCGACCCCGAAGGGATAAGATAACATCCAGAAGAGGATTCAACTCTTAAGTCTTAACCACTCGACCACCTTGTCTAAATTTGTGGGCTACCTAAGATTTTGCATTCTTCATTTTGACGGAACATTACCACTTATAGGGTGGGTTAGTTTATGTCTTCAAACTATATAAGAGTGGTCATAAAAACAGGCGATTGTTGTACCCGGTATAATCAGACCCCTTCTGATGCTTCTGAAGTAATATTGTTTTTCCAACTTTCGCGCAAAATACTCATTCGACTCCAGCGTCCGCCGCCCTTCTATTATTCCAGTCCCTTTGCATAGACCTTCGACAAGTCTGGGCTTGGGGTGAGTCCATATGGCGCGTCAATGTAGAAGCGAGCTATTCAAGATTCCCAGACCCTGGTCTTAGGCACTGGACTGGACGCATTATCTACCACGACTCGCACCATCCTTTTTCTCTTGCCGTATCCCAATAAGCGGAATCAATAGGCAAAGATCAGAAAGCGACTGTCCTGTGCTCCATGATATGCTGCAGCTTCTTCTTCTCCTTCTTTCAACCCTTATGAAAACATTCAATAAAAGCGTCGTTGACAACTGTCGATGGTTAAGGCGAGACATCGACCAGAAATGATATTTCCTTTTTGCATGGTCGGACGTGGCCTTGGTTTTTGGATCATTCGGTCATATTACCATTCTGGGTTGGATTCTTCGAGGCCTGAAGTTCAAATAAGTGTCCGTTAGCGGTAAAGATGGGAGGAGAAGATGGTATAGATGTAGACGATAGTCTTGGAAGGGCCTTGCACTTCTCATCTGACGACGATGATCGGGCTCTCATATCATAGTGACAAAGGCAGGGGGTCTCTTCGTGTGTGTGCGTGTCTATTGCGCACGGTCAGTATTTGGCTTATCAGCAGAAGAAGATGACTTCGCGAATCCCGAGGACATGATACCTCGGAGCACTAGAGTTGGCGGTCGAGATGGAGCGCCTGATTTCCCTCTGTTACGCGAGTCGACCCTCGACCGTTATCCGTACACCCTGTTGAGATCTAGGGGGAAGTTTATTCTGCCATACTTGATACTCTTGGGTTGAAGCATGCTGGCAAGGATATCCGGAAAATGTGGCCATGACTAATGAGCAGTATCACCCTGAGGCATTTCGACGCGTAGCTAAGATGCAGCAAACATGTGGGTATGGTTTATAGAGATGCTGGTGGGTATCTGGAGATTGAATTCGGTTGCTGATTGAGGTATGCGATGAAGAATCGGCCGTGATGGAGGGATTGGATGGGAATAGCCCAGGGACTCGTAGCTAGAGCGACGTTGGAAGCTTTACGAAGAAGGCGCTGATCATCAAAGCAAAGTTCCCAGCGCTGAGTCGTAGACGGTGCCTGGTTGTCACCATGCAAGCAACAACGATACCAAGATATACTGTCAACTGTAGACCAGAAACCTACGATTGGCCTACAAGTAGAACAAAAGATCCGCAAGAAATCAAAATCAAATTTGGCGATTTGGATATCGATATTGTACAACGCCATAACAATCATAAATCATTCTCATCAAAGAAGACAGAATTCAACCCTCCAAGCACAGCTCAGCGAGTCCCGAAAAGAAACGAAACGAAACAAACCATCCAGGCCATCCAGCCGATGAATCAACTTAAGAAGCCCGTCTCTCCATATCAGCCTCCGCGCCTCGCTGCTGCACCTTGCCCTGGTCATGCATCGCCTCCCACTTCTGCTCCTCCGTACGATCGCCCTTCGCAGCAGCAGCAACCTTGCCGAGGCCGCCCTGCGCGCGATCCTTCATGCCCTCGCCCCAGTCCTTCAGCTGGCCCTCGGCTTCAGCGGCCTTGCCGCGCGAGTTCTGCTCCACGCCCTCGCGTCGCAGACCCTCGTAGCCGGTCAGGTTGCCGAGCGACTCCTTCGCCGACCCGACGGTCTGGTCCCAGGTGCCGTTGTTGCGCTTCGGGTTGTCCGTGGCAGTCGCACCAGTGTTGGGGTCGGCTGTCACGGAGCCTACTTTGGCGGTTGTGTGGCTGGCTTCGTGCTCCTGGGCGGCTTGGGCTTTGGTTTCTTCGCCTTCGGCCTGTGAGGAGAGTTGTGTTAGCTTTAGTTTGCTGGGTGAGGGGGTGGGAGGGTGTATTAGATGGGGATATGTATGTACCTTGGTGGAGGAGTTGCCGGTCACGGTGCCCACGGCGCGCTGGGCGAGGCCAGTGGCAGAGTCGACATAGGACTTGAGAGTGGAGGGGTTTTCGGAAGACATGGTGATGGTGTTTTGATAGAAGTTTGCTGTAGAAAAATAAAGTAGATGGATTCTTGTTTGTAGACTTGTTTGTAGATAATCAGATTGTTTGTTGATGGAGTCTGGGGAAGTTGAAGTCGTTGGGGTCTTTATATCCAACCCCTCGTGCCTGAGTGAACAGCCTATGACGTCATTCATGTGATAGCCGCCCCTGAGCCATGACGCACTTGCATGACGCAGGTTGAGTACGCAGTACGTCATGGCCACGATATCCGGGTTTGCTTGGACTTTTGGATGTCAATTAAATGAAGAAAGGTAGTGGAATCTTCCATTGTGGCGCTCTGGCGCTAAATCTGCGCTCTAGCTGAGTCTTAAATCATAGCGTGCTATATCGCTGAAACAAAGCAATCGATGAGCCGATAAACAAATGCAGTCAAATAAAATCAGAACGAATCGTCGATGTACTCGGTATAGTGTACGTCCATCACCAATGACATATGCCTCCTTCACTGTCGGCGGCCGTCCATGTCCCTGACAGTCCCACCACTTCTAAATTGCCGTCGTGGTTTTCGCCTACTTTGCTAAGCGAGGCGAAGGTCTCGGCCGGGCGATCGCTCAACAGACGCCGCGCCCACGCGTCAATGGCTGGCTCGCCCGTTTCGTCACGAGCTTGCTTCAAGAATGGAATGAGCGCGGTTCCTCCTGTGCCTCGGAGCTTCTTGCTATCGAGCTTGCCGTTGGCGTTCCGTGCGTTGGCCAGGTTCATAGCCGGTGCGTTTCGTCGCGGGCTGGACGCCCGCGGGGCTCGTGGCTTCGAGTCTCGCGAGGGAATGATGATATATCGTGATACCATCTGGATGTGCTTGTCGCGGAGGGTTCGCAGCATAGAGAGACATCCATCGTATGCGATGCACAGCGCCTTGTCAGACTCTCGATCTTCCACGTACTCTCTGATGTTGGCCACGGCGTTCACATGTTCCAGGAACCGACGGTGCGGTCCAGGCATGTATGACCGCATTTCCTGAATGAACCCGTGCCGAGGAGCGCCGGGAATTCCCTCTTTTTCGTCATCCGTCTTCTTTGGGCGACCCTCCCCGGTCGGACGGTGCTCGATTCCAAGAACAATATCGAAGAATTGGATGAGAGAGCTCTGTGCGTTGCTTCCACCACCGTACTGGCGATAATCAATCTTTCCCGTTCCATTGTCATACAAGAGGCCGTTGGGAAGACCAGCATCGGCCATGTTCTTACTCCCGGCGAGATAGGGCCGGATGCGATGGTAGAACACGTAAGGATCGCAGTGTTCGTACATCCGTTCCAGTAGGGTGCCGACCTCGTCAATAATCTCTGCAAGCCTTTGCAAGCACTCGGTCACAACCACGGTGTTTCCACCGCGGGCGGCGGTGATTGCTTGCAGCATCAACGGGATGGCTGGACCACCGCGAGCCTCAATAGCCACAGATATCAAGTAGAACCATTGTTCATCCAAGGAACCAGTAAATGAATTCACACAAGCCAGGTTGTGAAGGTCGTCCAGCGGCTCGTCCGGGAAGATGGGCTTGTAGTTCCAGAGGCATACCCCGGCATATGTTGCCACGGGAGGGAGTTCAAGGTGTTCGCATACTTCGAAGAGGGGCACTGTAAGCTGGGGCGGAATTTTCTAGGAACCATTAGTAAAAGGGTGTGATCAATTGAGTGGTTGAGCCAATCACGTACCTCGGCCGGCTTGTTGCCACCCCAGACATATCCATGCAGAATGAAGCCCAACACAACATACGCCCGCCTCCACTCGCTCTCCGAGGCTAGATAAGCAGTAGACAGCATCGGCATGCGGTCTACCACCTCACGAATTCTCCTACTTAGGAGCAGGGACTGCATGTTCAGCACCGTCCATTCCCATTTTGTGTAGTAAGGGTCTGGCAAGATATCCAGAGGGATCTCGGACGGAAGAAAGCCATGACTTGGAGAAATTCCATAGTCGGCTAGAGCTGGGACTGGGGGAAGCATTGTGACTGAACAGAAGACCTCAATATGCGATGTATATCCAAGATCCCAAGACCGACGACGTCCAAACCCGTCCCGTAAATAATGCTCAGCACCTCACGTGCCGCAAGATGATGTCGTTCAAAATCGTACGTCACTCAGGACAATGTCGCCGGCCACTGAGCCTAAATGGGATTGGCACCTGGCCCTGGAATGTACTCAACCGGGACAGAGCCTGATGAAAATGAACGTTCCTGCGTGCCGAAAGGCAATCGATCCCCTTGGCTCCGGTCGTATGACACAAGACAAAGGTGCCTATCGAATCAAATCTTCACAACCAAGCAGGCGACAGCCGGAGTAAAGTTGAATAGCAACGTGATTATAGTGTTTTCGGGGTATGACAAACAAGCCAGGGGCCTTGACAAACACGAGGTCTTGATCTGAGGACACTCAAGGCATAAGAAGAAGGCTCAGAGTTGCGGTGACGTGAAAACTTAATCTTATGCAAGGAATAAAGAGAGAATATCCCGGCTGATGGCCGAGGTTGGCAAATCCCAAAATTGATGTTGGTGAAAACGAAAGGAGAAAGAGACACGAAACGAGGACAGGGAAGAGGGAGGGAAAAAAGGAAGCGAAAACCACTCAGCCGATCAAACCGATTGTCGGTTTGTCCGGCACGAGAAGAATAGGGAGTCCTGCCAGAATGCGGCACAACCACGGAGATTAACCGGGTAAAAGAGTGAATTAATCAGCCAGGAAAGCAGTTTCTGGCATTCTGGGTGTCATCCGACAGTTGCTGGAACCGGGATTTTGCGACCAGGGGCAGCATTCTCCGTTATCGTCGTGGTCAATCACCGCAGGGAAAGAAGAGTTGACTAAGGACCGGTGGGCCAGCCAGTGACTATAGAGCACGGAATAGATGGCAAAGGCATCATATTTGGGTGGCAGCGACTAGGGCTGTCATTGGACTAATGTGACTGAGGCGCAATGGACAGGAAATGATGGTGGTGGTTGGGTTTGGAGTACATTTCCAAGAGATTCATGGCGAAGTGATATACGAATCCATGGATGGAGGTTCCAGAAGCCGTTACATACTTCGAGTTCGATCTCAAGCTTGATCTTGACAACTGCACCAGCGGCAACATTGGGTGCAGGCGAAAGGGGTGGTCAGGGAGGCAAACTAGCGTGAGTGCTAGACAATGAACCGGAACTCTGGCAGACTGAGCCTTGGGTGCGGTTTCGGGGGTTAAGCGAGCAGGAGACAAGCTAAAAGGGTCTTCTCGCTTCACTCGCGCCACCCCGTTACCCCGTTCGGGTCTGCGGTGAGTTGCAAGGGCCGTGGAGTTGCCGTCAGCTTATTTGGACCTGTCTTTTTATTTTTTTATCTTATCACCTTGGCCATGAACGGATGGGGTACTCCGGATTTCTAAAATTTCTGTACATGCGCACACTACAGTTACAATTATTACCTAGGTACTCCGTAGTAATCCAAGAGTTGAAAGAGAACAATAAACATTCAATCTATTCCTATGATCAATCACATTCTCTGTACAGACTAAGCACTTGTCCGCTTATTGTTACACATCCAACGCCATCCCGTGGTAGATATCTCCAAGTAAAATCGAAATGGAACAGACTGCGCCGTCAAACGATCGACTCCCATTACTTTTGGCAGTCTCTCGAAATTACAAAATATAGCCACAAAAAACAATACCAAGCCAGTCAAGAGGTTTACGAAATTAGTGCTGGCTCCATTCGATCGTGTTCAGATCGATTCCCTCTTGCACCAGTTCCCACAAGGGACTCAGCTCGCGCAGGAAGTGAACGCGGGCTTGCACCGCCTTGAGGACGTAGTCAATTTCACTGTCCGTGGTGAATCGGCCAATTCCGAATCGAATACTGCTGTGGGCACTCTCGTCGCTGCTGCCCAGCGCACGAAGAACGTAACTAGGCTCCAGAGAGGCGGACGTGCAGGCACTGCCGGACGACAGAGCAATGTCCTTCAGGGCCATCAGGAGAGATTCACCCTCAATGTAGGCAAAGGAGATGTTGACGCAACCGGGATAGTGGTGCTCGGGGTCTCCGTTAAGAGCGGTGTGCTCCATCGACAGAAGACCGTCCGACAGACGCTTAGACAGACGTTCGATGTGCTTGTTATCATACTGCAGACAATGGTTAGCGATCACAGTCTTCGATCCCATCTGATAAAACATGGTCCCGACAAAACCTCGACTCATTACCCCTGCTACGTACATCAGCAGTGAGGGGAACACGTCAAAGCGTGCAGCTACACCCAATCACCCTCAGAAAGTTGAGAAGAAATAAAGCGTTTAATCATCGCCGGGAACACGGAACCAAGACAAAACAAAAAAAAAGCGAGAATTAGCTTACCTCCATATCCTGGTAGGCGATCCGACAGGCCTCGCCGAAGCCGACGACGAGATGAGGCGCGATGGTGCCACTGCGCAGACCACGCTCCTGGCCACCTCCGGAGATGATGGGCTCGAGACGGACCCTAGGTCTGCGGCGCACGTAACAGGCACCAATTCCCTTGGGGCCGTAGATCTTGTGGCTGGAGATGGACATCAAATCCACGTTCAGCTTGTTGACGTCCAAGGGGATCTTGCCCACAGCCTGAGCACCATCGGTGTGGAAGAAGACCTTCTTGGAGCGGCAGAGCTTTCCGATTTCGGCCATGGGCTGGATGACACCAATCTCGTTGTTGACGGCCATGATACTGACCAGAGCCGTGTCGGGACGGATGGCCGCTTCGAGGTCCTCCATGCGAATCAATCCGTTGCTCTGTACAGGCAGATATGTGACGTCGAATCCCTCATCCTGAAGATGTCGGCAGCTGTCCAGCACACACTTGTGCTCCGTCTGAGTGGTGATGATGTGCTTCTTCTTGCCGGAGCGACCGAAGAACCGGGCCACACCCTTGATGCTCATGTTGTTACTCTCGGTCGCGCCGCTAGTGAAGATGATCTCCTTCGGATCAGCACCGATCAGCTTCGCGATATTCTCACGCGCTTGCTCGACCGCCTTCTCCGACTCCCAGCCGTATGCATGAGTTCTCGAGTGGGGATTGCCGTAAATTCCGGTGAGGTAGGGAAGCATGGCATCGAGGACACGCGGGTCCGTGGGTGTCGTAGCCTGCATATCGAGGTAGATGGGTCGCGTTCCTTGATCCATGACGGTGGCCTGCTTCAGGATGCCGGCCGTCGGGCTCATCGACGCATCGCCGGAGACTCCAGAACCGGGGAGTTCCACTTTCTGGGGTGCCACACCCGTCTGCTTCATGAACTCCTTCTGCTCCTGCTTGATGGCTGTATCGACGGAGACCTGGGCATTTCCAGCCTTGGTCTCGGAGACGTAGGTGCGTCGGGACGGGGTGGCGAGCGCTCGCCGCGGGAAAGTCGAGGAAAGGGAACCATGCTGCGTCAACGAGAGTCGACGAGCGTAGGCTCGGGATGCCTGTCTCAAGGCAGCGGGGGTCACACTAGACATAATGAAGATGCAACTGCAACTGAACCATACAAGATGAAAGGGACAGTTGATAAGCAGATGATGACAGCGAAGGGAGGGTAAGACGGGGCGAGTGGGAAAAAAGTTTGGATCCGGTTATATCATCATTGCCGAGCCCGCTAAACCCGATCGGATTTATCTGATAGTCCGCTCGGAGTTCGGCTTTTTCCTCATTCTTCCAGTAAACATTTCCTGGGGAATCATAATTCATTCGAAAGATTCCTTTTGATTTTGAGACACCGTTGTGTTCTTTGATGTTGAACACGAACATATGTTGAGATTGATCCATCTGTCCAGTCCAACATTCATGAATTCATCTACTCCATCGGTGGACCCCGTAATATATTTCCCCGATCGGCATCGAGCGCTCATTATTTCCAAGCACTCTGGCTTGTCAGATCTTGAGAAATCGAATATATCCTTGCCAGATCCAAACATGCAGTCCAGCATGCTCCCCATCTCGGCCAATATAAATACGGGGAAATAGGCTGTGTCTCCGGCTTCTGAATGCCTAGTGCCAGGCTAAGAAACGCCAGTCAGATTGACCCGATCGAGCATAGTTGAACCGGAAGGAAAGGAAAGGAAAAGCAAGGAAGCGACGGAAACGGTCAGCGTCAGACTGGACTATTGAACTAACAATTTAGTCTAGTGCTGGATACTCTGGTGCCTAACGACCGTCCATGGGAGAGATTCCGGGACTCCTCCCACTTGCCCTGCCTTACGCCACATCGACTACCTCTAGTTCCAGGTGATTCAATTCTACTTATTTCATCATATAAAGTATCAAACAGTATTGGAGTAGGAAAGTAGCATTCTCCATTCCCTTGTTTACCAAACTACTACGGAGCACTGGTGTTTACACACATTCCTTCCCGGCAACCAAACACGCTCAGCCACAGGCGTAGGGCGTCTTATGTCATAGCTGAGCCACGCCGAGCAAGACGAACTGCAGTCTAACCGTCACCGGTTGGTCCTCAAAACCCTTGGGCAGGCCCCGATCGAATCACTGTCGCAGCGAACAAAAGAGCGCTTTCCCCCCCCACCTCTGCTCGCGTTTGCCTCTTCGTTTCCTGTATCATTCTTCTTCTCTGCATTCTCTCCCCCCTCTAAGACCTCTAAATCACCTTTTCGTGCACTTCTGACCAAGTCGTTGCCAACCCCACTACTTCCGCATAACTTCCGGGCACCCGCAACGACTTCAAGATGAGTTTGAAGGGCTTTCAGAAGAGCCTGGTTCGGGCGCCACAGACCTTCAAGTCCCGCTTCAATATTGGTGAAAATACCAAGGACATGGTCTACAGTGACGCCGAGCGCCGATTTCAGGAACTTGAGACAGAGACGAAAAAGCTCCACGATGAATCGAAGAAATATTTTGACGCCATTAATGGTATGATCCGGCCTTCTGCGGGTTATTGCTAGATGCACGCTGTGTCGGCTAACTTTACCCCACCACTCTCTGTAGGCATGTTAAACCACCAGATCGAATTCTCCAAAGCAATGACCGAATTATACAAACCCATCTCCGGCCGTGCTTCCGACCCCAGCTCGTACACGATCGAAGGCAATCCGGAAGGTATCCAGGCCTGCGAGGAATACGAGGCAATCGTTCGCGATCTTCAGGAGTCACTAGCGCCCGAATTGGAAATGATCGAAAGCCGGATCATCAGCCCGGCAGATCAATTGCTCGAGGTGATTAAGGTTATTCGGAAGGTCGCGGTCAAGCGGGATCACAAGAAGTTGGACTACGACCGACATCGCAACTCCCTGAAGAAGCTCCAGGACAAGAAGGACAAATCGCTCAAGGACGAAAAGGCACTCTACAAGGCGGAAAACGACGTCGAGCAAGCCACGCAGGAATACAACTACTACAATGACTTGATGAAGGACGAGCTACCCAAGTTGTTCGCCCTCGAGGCCGAGTTCATTCGCCCGCTCTTCCAGTCCTTCTACTACATGCAACTGAATGTCTTCTACACGCTGCACGAGAAAATGCAAGGGATAAACATTGGATACTTCGATCTCACGCTGGATGTTGAGGAGGCATTCGAAAAGAAGCGAGGCGACGTGAAGGAGCGCGCCGAGGAGCTCACCATTGTTCATTTCAAGACCAAGGGCCTGGGTCGACAGAACTCGAAATTCGGCCCCAAAGACAAAATGGCGAACGAGAACAAGGAGCGCTTTGCTCCGCGACAGAAGGACCCCGAAGCTGGTGTCGACAACCCTCCGCCCCCCTACACCTCCGCCGCCAGCACCGGCAGCAGCTTCATCGCCGCCGCCAAGTCAAAGCCCGCTCCTCCCCCTCCCAAGCCCAAGCCAGCTCGGTTTGCCGCACAAGTCGAGACAGTCACAGCACTGTACGACTACGAAGCACAGGCGCATGGAGACCTCAGCTTCTCCGCGGGTGATGTCATTGAAATTGTCCAAAGGACGGACAACCAAAACGAATGGTGGAGTGGCCGTGTTGACGGCCGCGAGGGGCAATTTCCAGGTATGCTTAGTCCAAACTACAGCCATTTTTTACAGATACTAATTTCCATCTAGCAAACTACGTTCAACTCAATTAGTTTCTCAGTTGGTTCTACTTATATATCATTCTTAATGTCGTTCACGCGGATTTTGCCTCTGTTCTGTCGGGAGTCGTGGGAATATACCACAAATTCTTCCACATTGACATACCTCGCATGAGTTGTCAGTTTTGCGTCTTTTTTTTTTTTTTTTTACTGCTTTTCTATTCGCATCTTTCTGGTGTCATAGAGCTTTTTTGGCCTGCTCATTGTCTGTTCACTTATTCTCCTGTATATATTTTGCTCGATTCTTTTCTAATCCAATCCACGGGTTGAAAGCAGCATCTACTGTCTTTTGCGTAGTTGTCTCACCTAGTTGGGTATCACTCATGTCATTTGACTCTTTTGTCTTCGTACTCATTCACTAAATGTAGGTGCTTAGATGTCCGAGCTGCAAGTTGATGGGGAGACCGTTTGCCTATCCCTCTTTGACCATTTTATGCAATAATGGAAGGCCTTTTTCCCTTCCAAATACAGTCAAATTGACATCATGTGATCTCAAATTGGAACTCCTCACAAACTTTCTTATTGATCACCCGAATGAGAAATTTCGACTTTACATGAGTCGATCCTATCATGTCTAGCTGATCAAGTCGGATTTGGAAAAGAACATGCTACAATATAAGTTGTGGTTCAACGTTCAAAACGGATATATTATATGAGAACGAGCTAAGGCTTAAATCATTTCATAACAGGGTTCTGCCTCTGATCGCTCAACCATCCAACTTAGGCTTGGAGATTGTCCGAAGGTCCAGCACCGTTTTCACATGGTCATACTTGACCTCCGAACCCTGCACCCAAGCCAGAAGGTTCGCCGTCTTCAGTGCATTCTTGATCTGTCGACCGTTAAGCTCAATCTCTGCCATGCTGTCGAGCTGCTCGTCCGTGAACTCCACCGTGTTACGGCCCAGGAACTGCGTCCAGATGTGCCGTCTCGACGCCTGGTCGAGTTCCTTGTATACAAGCGAGACGTGAATCCGGGACTCGAAGGCAGCGTCGATGCGTTCGGCGCGGTTCGTGGTCAGGAAGAGGATTCCCTCGTAGTACTCGAGCATGCGCAGGAAAATCGACACTAGCTCGTTCCGCTCCAGATCAGTGGAGTTGCGCTCTTCCATGAACACGTCTGCCTCGTCGAGAAGGAGCACGGCGCCCCATTTGGGAATCATGCGGAGTATTTTCTTGAGTCGTCGCTCGACTGTGTCCGCGCTGGACCCGAGCTCGCCGGCGCTCATCACGTACAAAGGTACTTGCATCACTTCCGCCACGCTCTCGGCTGTCAGCGTCTTGCCGACTCCTGGGGGACCGCTGAGCTGCATGACGATTCCGCGACCTTTGCCTTGCACCACGTCGTCGAAGTTGTCGAGCTGTTTGGACTGGGCTTTGGCGAAGGCGAGGATCAGGTTTTTCAGGTTTGCTTGCTCCGAGGGGAGGACTAGGGATTCAAAGGCGTTCGAGTCCCATTTGATGTCGGAGGTCGAGTCGAGGTAGAAGCGGAGCCACTCCTTGTCCTTGAGGGAGTATCCGTGTACCATGGGTGTTGTGACTAGTAGCTGGTCGTCGGTGAGGTCGCCGTGGATCGTGCCATCGATAGTCACGGTCTCGGTGGGGTGGAAAACGTTGAATCCTTCGACGTCGATGATGATGCGACTCTTGACGTGGTACTTGGTCTCCTCGTCATCTCTGCCGACGGAGACTGCGGCTCCCTCGTAGTTCTTGTAGTGGTACCCCTTATGCTGCTCCCATCTCTTTCCGCGGGCCACCAACGACTCCCGGATTGTCGCCTTATCAGGGTGGTATCGCAGGGGGAACGTGGCCAAAGACGTGATGGGGGTCGTCCCTGTAAAGTAAGGGATATCGTTGTGACTGTCCTTCCATCCGAAGTTCTCGCCGTCAAACTCGATGTATTTCACCGACGCGTTGTAAATCCCCGACTCGCAATCTGTCGCGCCACTGACAAATCGACCTCCGCTCATGTGGCCGCCAACCGAGCTGATGACCACATCCTCAGGCTCAAAGATCGTCCAGAGGAGGTTATACGTGATGACTCCATGCTTGACGTGGTCCTGCTTTCGCGCGATCACATCCCGCAGCTCCTCCTCGAGGATCCCGTAGAACAGATCCGCGTGTTTCTTCGTCGTCTCGTCTTCCTCTTCCTGGCACCCCTTGCGGAAGTCCTCCCATCGGTGGATAAGTGGCGCGAAAGGCTTGACGAATTCCACCCGGTCCAGCGTCATCGTCACTCCGGGGTATCCGGCCAATACCTTGCCGAGGAACTTCTTCAGGGGCTGGCTCTGCACCACAACTGAGTGGATCGAGAGACTCTTCAGTCCGTCGTAGCATTTGGTCTTTCGGAGGACTAGTGCGAATTGGGCTGATTCTGCGTCTTCGACCGCTACGGGCAGATCGTCGGGCATTTCTTTGGACCATGATGTGCACTCGTTTTCGTCGGGCTTGGTCTGGTAGAGGTTTTGGACGTCGCAGATCGTGCCGACGGGAGCGTATTCTTTCTTTTCTTCTGGGAGGGAAATGTTAGCTTGCTTTGAATGAGGAGAAGGGGGGTACTCACCAGGCTTCTCGGTCTTCTGCGTCTCGTTCTCAGGAGGGTTCACGCCCTCCTCTTTCTTGATCACTTCCTCAGTAATCTGCGTCATGGTTGGGAGATGTTCGAATGAAGAGCCCTTCGAAAAATCGAAAAATATTGATGAATAAATCTCCGCGAATAGTCAAATTCGCAGAATTCGCAGAACACTGGAAGAGATTGTTTGTTTGATAGTTAACACCATCATGAACAGCGAAACCACCTCCCCATATATCCCTCCGTCTCCCAGGCATCAGACCTCCTCTCTGCCTGCATACTGCAAGACGTCACATATCAGGCCAGACCCGTTCTGCCTCGTCATAGCCTATAGATAGTCAACACGATCGACGTTGACTACAAGATGGTTTTTGGAGAATGACCGATGGCAAATGGCAGCCTGGGTTGTGGATCTGTAGGATCGACGACCCACTGGTGGCGGGTAACCTCGCCCCAATTAGGCTACGGAGCACGGAGGATGCATCACCCTCAGCCTCAGCCTCGGAGTCAGAGCCTCATGGGTCATGACTCACAGGGAGAATCCTTTGCTGATTTGTTGGATGTCGCAATCGGGATAATTTTGTTTGGTGAGGTTGTCCTGCCAAGAATAATTGGTGTTGTTACTAGTTGGGAAGATGATTGCTTTGCTGTACTACATAGATACATAGCTACAACCACAATATCTCGCCTACTCTATTTTCTCCAATCCCGTGTTTATACCGGATTATTTGATATGGTCGTAGTAGTTAGAAATATCCTCCTTTGCTTTAACTACCTACTGTGTATGGAGTCAACAATTGATACCAGGCGCTGCTATCAGCCACCCTAAACTCCACAATCCACAAGGCTGTGCTTTGCTTGACTAAGGCCTGGTTTAGCGTAGGCCATAGCTTTCCTTCGGACCGCTAACCTTGTTCATGGGGTCTTGCGAGCCCGCACTCTATAGCGTGGCGCTTTCCGTCGTCTTACGGCTGAGCCTCGAGTCCGATCCAATGGATGCTCAGCTCTGATGTAATCTGGGGTGACATGTTGGTTGGTTGGCATGGGCTAAGATTCTTAGTATAATCCTGAAGTGGATCGGCAGGGATAGCGGTACAGGGAGCAGACGTGAGTCACTCGCTTGATGCTTGACTGTTTGGCTGTCTGGTTTAGGTGTAATCATTTGATGGGACTTGGAAAGCTTGTGGATCCATGAAGGATTGTCTGGATTCTTACATCGGCTGGGGACTTTTCTATTTTGGGTGCCCGGGGGGTGTTGGCTTGTTCTTTTGTCGTCTTGGTATCGGTAAGGTATCTAGTATCTCGGTTTGTGGTTGGGTGTCTATCTTAGGCGATGTATCTGAGCTTTATTCTTGAATTGCACGTTTTCTTTCATAGAGAGATTTTTCGCTGAGATAAACTAATCTTATTCGGACAAAAGCATTCTCTGGGCGAGTGGGAAACACAAAGAAACCATCTTGAAAGGTGCTAGAAAATAAAGACTTTTGACAGAAGAATCATGAGAAACTAGATAAGGGGTGAATATCACAAACTTCCTTCCTGACCACGAAATGTTCAGTTATAAGAATTAAACCACTGAGAGTGAAATCCATGCAAAAGATTGTAAGAGACCCGTGGTAATGTTCAAGGCACTCAACGAAAGTCCGACAGCAACATGCCCTTATCCCCCAGCAGTATATTCTTACAAGCCAAAGAGCATTTTGCCATCTCCAGTTTCAACGGACAGTTCGACCCAGCCTGGCAATTGTGGGTTAGAGAACTAGCCATCGAATCGATCTTCCCAGAGAGCTCTGTAGCTGAATAAGCCCTAAGCTGCGATGGCTTGGAGGGTCGTAGGTCCGCCTTTTTCAATACTGCCATATATGTCAACACTCTGTGTCCACTGGTGCAGTAGCGCCGCACAAAGCGTTCTTGTCGACAGGTGCATTTCTGGTTGGCAGAGTTTTGTATAGATTCACAGAGAACACACCATTTCGATTCCATCGTATAGCCGCCTATTTGTCGCGTAAGTCTTCCTTCCACGTCGTGTAACATGTCGAATATCTTGTCCAATGTCGCTTCTATCTTCTCTTCCAGACGGACTGACGGATGTTAGGTGAGTTTTCATCGGGAGAACGCAAATAAGTCAGAGAACTCACATCCGATCTGCTGTGGAAACAGACCAGGCTGGAGCATACTAGATTGCTCCCACTCATTGAAATTGCCTGGGGCCATCAAATTCTGTGCTCGAGCTGAGATGGTGAGAAAGATGTGTGCGTCACCAAAAAGGTAAGCGGATAGGAGCAGGTGGCCGTAGTCGATTGCTATCCGACTAGGAGACACTTCCAGGCGGTGGTCGCACAGCCAATTTGTTATCCACGCTCTCAAAGCCCCAACGCAGTCGTACTTGTTGGCATGAACAATAAATTTAGCAATGAACTCTGGCTCTTTTGGCGCGACCTCTTTTGGCTCCTGGTAGTGGAGCATGTGAAAGATTGTTCCCATAACTTCGGGGTCATCCTCTGGAAGTGGGACCTCAGGGCATGTGCCTTTCATGATTTCGATTCCTTCTGAGAAGTTATGGGAGAAGAGCTTTGCAAAGACTGGTGACGCAAGACTCAATACTCTGGAGAAGACCAGGAACTTTCTCACTTTCTCCCCTGTGCCTTCTCCCACAGCGAGGACGACATCTCCGTAGGGGTCACATAATTCCGTTATATCGTTAGCCGGGATGTTCTCTTGGGACATCTTGGCAGGACGAGGACAGGTAAAGGGATGGACGGTGTTGAGTGGATGAACTGAAAGGTGAGGGGTTGAACGAGAGATGGGAGGTCTTGAGTGAGAAGTCTTGAGTGAGAGATGGTTGGGAACAAACGAGGGAGAGTGTTTGTCTTGGTGGGTTCTAAGTGAATCGACAAGTTACTTTCTCTGGGCTGTTTTTCTTCGCTAAAAAAAACCACTGCAGTCGCCTACTATGGGAGTCGTAAAAGTTGGTCTCGATTTTCTCCAGATGAATCCACTGGTGACCTACTGTTCAGTGAATATGACTCCCAACAAGCAATGGTTGGATCTTTTTGGAGTATTTGGGTAGCTTATCCTTTGCTGAATGATATGCAATTCTCTGGTTCATTATCGATGATATAGTAATTACTGTCATACGTCTAGATGCAAAAGTGAAAGTTCAATGTCGGGAATAGATATCATACTGACTCTAAGTGTGGTGTGTGGGTCTGCAATCATATATCTCATCTCTCCATTGCTGATATGAATATTTGGAGGTCAGAGCAATAACTGGTTTTATTCAAATACGGAAGAAGACAAACTTAGATAGACATCATAATCATCATCTTCTATCGTAACGATCAATAGAGAAAGTGACCAGACCAGGCATGTCTAATCTTCCGTGAGGTTCCCTCGTTGCCTCAGGCTTCTAAATAGCAAGAGGGCGCCTTCAAAGTGAGCAAATCCAAGACAACTTCAAACTGTATCGTTGCATCACTCTCATATTATCGAAGTAAAGCCTTGAATGAGACAATTGTTATAGTACATCTCGACATTGGTGGCTGAGATGCAGCCGGACCCGCCGATGATCTCATCGCCATCACAATCTGCCCTTCTCATCTTCTGATCTCTTCTTGTTACTCATTCTTTTTGCAACAACCTATTCAGTGCCTCAAGTACCAAAATGCCTCTTCAAGGTCCACGGTCCACGTACCTTATGAACTCGGGTTATAGAATCCCGATCCTTGGATACGGAGTAAGTCAATCTAATGCCATGAGCAGGGAAACAACGCTGATGATCCAAACAGGTCTACATGATGTTCGTGCATCTCTCCCTGGAAATTGATGTATTCCCAACTGACCATCTTCAGCCCTTCTTTCAAGACTGAGCAGAGTACGCTGGAAGCAATCAAAGTTGGCTATCGCCATGTACGTTGTCACCATCTATAATACCCTGCGAAAATACTCATCATGAACAGGTGGACTCCGCAATTATGTATGGCAACGAGCGCGCCTGCGGTCGCGCCATCCAGAACATCGTAACCCACCGCTCTCAGGTCTTCTTTACGACCAAGATTCCACCCGAATCGATGGGCTACGAGCGCACCAAACGAGCCATCGACACCAGTCTGAAGGAGGCCGAGCAGGAATATTTCGACCTGTATGTTGGCCGAATGCTACCCCGCATTGGAACCCCTCCCCTCCTCGCTGTCGATGCGTTGTACCTTGCTAATGCCGCTCATTAGGATTCTGATTCACGCCCCCTACGGCGGAAAAGAAGCCCGTCTTGGCTCGTGGCGTGCATTAGTCGAGGCCCAAGAGGCGGGAAAGACCAAATCGATCGGAGTTTCAAATTACGGGATCCATCATCTGGAGGAGCTGGAACAGTATATCAAGGAAGGCGGGGGCAGCGCTATCGATGTCGGACAGTATGAGTTGCACCCGTGGCTCGATCGGACAGAGATTACCGAGTGGTTGAAGAAGCGCAACATTGTCGTGGAGGCGTACTCTCCTCTAGCACATGGATATCGCCTCAATGAGCCGGTGTTGAAAACGATCGGGAAGAAGTATAACAAATCTCCCGCTCAGGTCATGATCCGCTGGAGTTTGCAGAAGGTGAGTTCCATGTTTATGCGTGCCTTGATATGAGACTATGGCTGATTGGGACCTGACAGGGCTTTGTTCCTCTCCCTAAATCTGCCACTCCCGGTCGCATCCAGGAGAATGCCGATGTGTTTGATTTCGAGTTGTCCGAGGAGGATATGAAGTCGCTCAACACGGGCGAGTATGACCCCACCGACTGGGATCCCACAGTTGATTATGATTAAACGTAGAACGCACAATCATGTGTGACACAAAATATATAGTTTTGAATTTAGAGTATGCAAGGTATTGAGAGGACTGGACACTTATCGAACTCATCCATCGTTATCGGGCGGGCTGAGCGGCCGAAAACAGTCGAACCGCGGGGCTGCTTAGCAATTCTCCTCCAGACACTTCTCTGACCATCAGTTTCACTCCCTCTAGCAACCCACGGAGATCGATCCTCTGCAGAAAATCCGTTCTTGCTGTTCCATTACTCTTTATCGATTACCAGCAGTGACCATGAAGTTGATTCTCTCCACCTCGTAAGTCAGTTTTCGCATTCTCTGCGACGGCCAATGAAACACCCCTCTTTTTCAGTGATCCTCGTCTCAACTAACGTGAACTTCTCTCTCCAGTAATCTTATGACAAGCGGTTCATCTGTCGTCAGACAGCCAGCCACTGCCAAATCCAATGTTGAACTGATTAACTCTCTGCGATCGAATTTCCAGACGGCGCAACACCTTTCGTCGACCTCCGCCGACGCCGCGACGGGCGGGGCACCGAAAGCTCAACAGTATCTTTCCTGGACGCAAGAAGCTGATAACGCGCTCTACATTCCTGCCGTCGATTTCTCGCAACGTGGTCTCGCAGAGGAACGATCCCAGTACGACATTACGGTGAAACTGTTCTACTTGCCCGGAATTCCGGCATCCCGACGATGCGCACATACCCGGGAGGCGATTGATCTAGTATTGAAGGAGCTTCATGCCGACTCGATCGACTTGTTGATCGTATCCTTCCCCGGGATCCTGTTTGATGCGGAGGACGACAGCGATGACGAGGTGTCTTCCGACAACGGCAGCGAGGAGCCAGATGATTTTGACAGTATGATCCAGACATGGAGGACTTTGGAAGGTCTTCAGGAAAAGGGCCTGATTTCTCAGCTGGGAGTTGCGGAATTCGGAAGCGAGAGACTGGCCCGATTCTTGCCGCATACCAAAGTCAAGCCCTCGGTCGACCAAATCAATCTGAAGGATTGCTGCGTCGTGCCGAAGTCTTTGATCCTCTACGCCAAACAGGAGAACATCCAACTCCTCACCCACAATGATTGCATGGATATTCTGCCTAGCGGTACCACTCGCGAGCTCCTCGGTCCGGGCGAAAAGGGCGCCGGGATTCTTGCGTCCGCCCCTAACGCTGAGGATGGCATTCAGGGTGATGTCGAGCCGCAGTGGGTGGTCAAGTACACGGCCGTGGTCAAGGACCGTGGGGTGGTTGAGAACAAGGGATACTTTGCACTTGCAGATGTCGGAAGCTGTGTGAAAGGCCGTGCATGATCGCCCAATATCATAACTCCCCCCTATCTCTTGCCTACTTCCTTATCCTTTTATGGCTCTCACACACAGTATATACTTTTGTGCATTTGAAAAAAGCGTGGCGTTTCTTGTCTTTATGATGAATGATGAATGCATGAGTTGGTGTCCCGATTCAACAAATATGCAATAGATAATGGAGACATCGTCATAATATAAAGTTCTCTCATCCGATCATAGTCCTCTTGCGACCTCTCAAGCGCACCTCTTCCAGCCTCTTCAGCGTCGCTCCAGCCCCCTTGTAGCTCTCCGCATATCCCACCAGGACCTCCTCGAAGAACGGCTCTGTCCGCGGATGCGTGCTCGCAAACGCCCTCTCCAACACGTACAAATCCACCGCCCGATCTTCCGGCTGCACACTCTGACTCGCCAGTCCGAAGTCAATAATCACCACCTCCCCATCCATACACGGATAACCATCCTCATCAACCTGCGACTCGGGCCCCGACCCCTTCGCCGTCGGCCTCAGCATCAGATTACTCGTCGTCAAATCCCCATGATTCACCGCCGCCTTATGCAACCCGCCCACGGCGCGCCCAATCCGCCTCATCAGATCGCCTACCCGTCGCGTCTCTTCCTCAATCCGCGCAGCCTCGAGAACCCCTTCGTTCTTCTTCATCCACGCCTCCCATTTCTCAAACACCACCCGCATCACTAACCCCTCCACCCACTCCATCATCAACCACGCCCCACCGGTCCCGTTCGCCCCCGACCCTTCACCTTCCCAGTCGAGCGCGAGCACGGCCGGCACGCTGGCCCCCTCGCGCACGAGCTTCGCGAGACATCGCGCTTCCTGGAGGATGCGTTGGCGGGTGAGTCGGCGGTCGAGGATCGGGTGGCGGTAGGGTTTCGAGGGGCGCACTTTCAGCGCGGCGTATGTGTTCGGCGTTAGGTAGGTTGTTTTGTAGAGGTGGCCTTCGGCGCCTTGTGTGAGGAGCGTCGGTGGTGGGGTTGTGTGTGTGAAGGGCGTGGGGAGGTCGGGTGGTTTGTATTCGGACATGGTAGTTTGGTTGGTCAGATCGAAGTCCGTATGGGTGGACTTTTGTCGGTAAAGTAAGGAAGATAGAGGTCTTGGGGCGTTGCGATTGATGTGGTGGTAGTCGTGGTGGTGGTTGCGGAGGAGAAAAAAGTTGTCCGGGTATGGCGGGGCAGTTGATAGGTAGGATGTGCTGCGATAACTACTACTTTCTATTTGAGATAAGGGGTTACATCTGCTTTGGGGGGATTTAAATGGTCCATATTAAAATGTCATTCTAAACGAGTAGTTTTCGTATGATTGAGTCTATTTACTGATTTATCTTTTTGTTGTACTTGACTGCTCCATTCTGCTATTTGCATGTAGAATGGAGCATCCCTATAGTACAAAACTACCCTATGGCAGATACCATGAGTCTGGCAAAACGAACAGTCATTTTCTCTTCGAAAAGGAATGCTCCGAATAGCAGGATGATATCATCCGTCACCAGCACCACCAACTGCCAACTCCTGAATCCTCCAGTAGTTGGTAGGTGAGTCACCCGAGAACAGGGCTAAACGAGGCTCGCTGAGTCAGACTCACCGCCCGCGTTGAGTGGAGGCAATACATTAATCCGGCCAACCCACGGTGGGTCGACCGCACAAACCCGTGACCGCACTCGCACAGCGAAAATTCGTCCAAAACCCTCCCGAGAACGACAACGCCATCGACAACCCTTCTCCCAAACAGCCTCCCTTGTTGCACCAGATTTCGCCGCCAATATGGGTAAAGTATGTTGTCCCTGGATCTGACGATGCATTTTTCGATGGAAACTGCGATCAAAATGATGAAAGAAGGACTTGTATGCTAACGTTTTGATTCTTTTAGGTCCACGGATCGGTAAGCTCGCCATCATCACCACCCCCCGCCACTTTTTCGTCCCTCGAGACGGTCCCCCCTTCGACAGATCAGAACTAGTGATATCTAACCGAATCGTTTGTACAGCTCGCTCGTGCCGGTAAGGTCAAGAGCGCCACTCCCAAGGTCGAGAAGCAGGAGAAGCCTAAGGTCCCCAAGGGCCGCGCCAAGAAGAGAATCGTCTACACTCGCCGTTTCGTCAACGTCACCATGACCGGCGGCAAGCGCAAGGTATGAAGGAACAAACCACGAAGAATGTGGAGAGATCTCGATGAGGATCGAAATCTCCAGCCGAGATGGACAGACGGAAAGCTTACACGAGATGAACTCTACAGATGAACGCCAACCCCAGCTCGTAAATTTGACGCATCCTCCGAAAGACCAAAAAAAATTTCGATGACTCGGCGACTATGATTCCCCCACCGGTTGGCCGCGCGCGAAAATCAAAACGGGAGGCTGACAAATTTGGTTGTGTAACGAATATTTTCTGCGAACTGGGGGTTGTCCTTAATTGATGGCATTTGAAACGGCTCTGCTCTCTATCTTTGTTGTAGAGATTCTTTTTTGAGACGATTTGATATTCGGTATCGGCTTTTTTCATTACATAGGGGCGAATACAATCACTTTGCTCGGTCTCTCGATATTCTTGGTTCCCGGGTGCTCGGTTCATTGCGTGAAGGGCTCTATAAAATGTGCGTTTGTCAGGAGTAGATCGGGCTCTGGGACGCGCTGGCGCGCGAATATGGTCCCTTTTTCCAGCTTCGGGGCTGTGAACTGGTTTCTATCACTTTCAATCAAGTTCTGGTTGAATGAGATAATAGGCGTCATGTTACGATCGACAGGCCTCTGAATGTAGACAAGTCTGGCCACACTTTATAGAGTGTACAGTTTCGGATATACCAGGCAGTAGTCATCTAGCGATATTGTCTTCAGCTAATATGGAAGTGCAGAGCGGTTACAAATACGTCAGCCGACTAGCTACATCGATCACAGCCCGGGATCAGCAGATCAGACCAATTTCAACTCCCGCCTTTCCCAATTCAATGCATCGAACGCTGCATTTGCAGGCTTGGAATCCTTGGAATCCTCACAGTTGATACGCATTGTCCCGACCCGTTTGAAAGTCATGTCGCCCAAAGCTGTCAGCATGAGAAGATCGCAGAAGCCGCGGTGTGGACTCCACTCCTCTTTTACTCTCCATGCATCCCCCTGCAATATCATGCAGATATGGTGTTCGATTTCGCCTTCTATCTTCTTTATTTCTGTCTGCTGGTCCTCATCCGATCGGCCAGCGCAGCATTGGCAGTCGAACGCTTGTGATTCATCCAAGAGTGGTATCACTTGGAAATGAGGACTGGGTCCAATCGCCTCCACAAGGCTCATGAATCCAATGCAGCACCCCTCGATGGTGATGGAGGAGCCTTCTAAAACCCGGCCGTAGGGGTTTGATGGGTCCTCGAGAATCATGTCATGTGAAAGCAGTTTAGGTTGGTACTTGTTGATCCAGGATGGGTCTTTGGAATGATCATCCATCAGATCTTCTGGCCATGCAAGCGCCGTCGAGCTTATTTTGCCGTCGACGCTGGCCCAGCTCCAGCTTGGTGCCCGGTAAATTGGCGATGGAGTAAGAAGGGCCCATGGCCGTCCCCAAGTTAGACCAACGGCGATGTTGTTGCTCCAGATTCCGGCCAAGTACGTCCCCATGGAGCCGTCATCTAGAAGATTGGCTAGCGGAGCCATGGCGGGCAGCTTGTCGGCTGGTCTTTTCAGTTTGCGGCCCGAAAATTCATCGACGCATTGGTGCCAGGCCTCATATCGATTGAGATCGTCGCTGCTCAAGGGTTCGGTGTTTCTGTGACCAAGGAGCGCCCCATTGATATAGGGCTGGACCACCTGTTTTCGATAGTGCATTCGAATCTGGCCACTGCCGATCGTGTTGTTCTTGTGCTTGGATGCCTCGTACTGGAGTCCTGCCGCACATTCCCACATCATCTGGTGATTGCCAAAATGCACAATCCGCGGTGCTAGAGCACGCTCCACGAAAGGCCATCCGCGTTTCTCCAGCGGAGAGTTTTCCAAATCTGATTTCCACCGCAGCAGCTCTTGTCGGAGATATCTGTTTTTCTCGGGGCCCAGTGCAGGGGAGTAGAGCACTTGTCTTTCATGTAGTAACCCTGAGTTTGCATTTTCTCCGTCCGTGGCTGAAAGCATCAGTTCGGCTTGGCTGTAGATGGAAACGAATGCCCGTATGTTTTCGTCCCAGTTGTGGCCGGTCATGCAGAGCGCGTCGACCCATAGGTAGCGATATCCTAACCGGCGGGTGACTTCTATAGCATCTGCTACGGTTTTCGGAAGCGAATTTACATCCAGTGAGATAGGGAGATTGGCAGTTTCTGAAGCTGGTAGAGCTGGAGTACTGTCGGAGCAATAGCTTAGAACAACGTAGTTGCCTGTTCTTCCTTCGGAAAGACAGACTTGGGGCGCTTCTTTCTCATCGCTGGGAATTTCAATGATCGCTTTAGGCAGGCTAACGGCCTCCGGTTTCGAGCAATCTGTATGCCCAGAACATTCTGAAACCCACAATCGGATCTGATCGAGGCCTTTCTCATCTAGGGGAGTTGTAGGCACAATCCGCACTGAGTCAAGCTCCTCATCTAACAAACCGTTAATAAAAGGCACTATATCGCATCTTAACTTTGAATATCAACATAAAAACATACGTTCTTCTCCCTCCGGTACACAAACATCGAAATTCAAATCATCCAAGGTGTAACTGGATCTACTCAGCTCGGTCGGTTTCTTGACCTGCAAGCGAAGGAGTTCCAAGAAGAGCACCCTCCCTGGTAATTCATCCAAGCGGCATTTCCAGTTAATAGAAGATTGCAGGATTGTGATGAAGAATCGACAACCGTCGCAGCCAGCGTCTGCTCTTGAAACAACCTCGTTATATTCTCCGAGCTTTGTTGTATCCTCCTCCTCAACAGGTAGCGAGTCGCAGGTCTTGCAAAGTGTCATTGCCGGAGTTATTCGTCGTTTGATGATGGTAGGATGTGATTGCGTGTATGTCAAGGCAACGTATGCAATTTATGGACGCTCGTAGCGAGGTGAAGAGTGGATCTTTCGGTATCAACCTATACACAGCCTTGGGCGCGGCTTGAAGTGAGATTTTAGGGCAGATCCTCCAATGGGGCTGAGATTCATCCTTCATAGCCACGCTGCGAGGGGGCTAAGCATGCTTTATGGGTCCGTTGGTAATTATCGCTTGGAGAATCATGAGAATCCCAAACTTTTAATATGAAAGCGTCTTCAGTACATTTTGTGTCTTTCTCGCCTTGGGAATTTATTAGCCCTGCAAGCTTAAATATATTTACGGGTACGTTTAGCAACCGGTGGATATGGCAGAAAATGGTTTAATTTAGACTAGGCATATGTATGCAGAATACCTGAATATAGAGTATTGGTCGTAGAAGATATTTGGAATCCAAATGCGAGAATGCGAGACGACCAAAGCTGGATGAGAAAGAAGAAATAGAAGATGGGAAATTCGGAAGACCACCCGTGACTACTACCTATTCTGTACACCCTCCCCTTCTTTTTTCCTTCATTCTCTTTACCTCGTCACATTTTCTTTCAACTAGGTTGGACCTATTATTGAACAGTTTCTCTTGAACAAGATGATGGGGTGTGATTGCTTGTATATACGAAGAGATTGCGGACTATCCCATGATCCTCAGTCTCACCGTGCGCTCGTTCCACGCCAATTAAACGTTCAGTTCCTCAGCCTATCTGCAGTCATCAACACTCGTACAGGAACTGAATACTGGGATCTAGCCATTGCCAGCCGTATGAATTTCAGCTCGGACCATGTCAGCCTGTCGCGCGACACGCTAGTTTGATGCAGCCGTCTCTCTTCTGGCCTTTATGAGCCAGAGCCTTCGGGGTTGATGATTGATTCGAAAAAGCCTCGCATTTTCATCAGTACCTTTCAGCAAACTGTCAGATCAAACGATTTGTCGTCGGCATGAGCGACCCAAAGCCAACCGGCGATGAAGATAGCACACAGAAACCTCAAACTATTGATCCTGTCATCACCCCCGCTAAGTCATCTCTAAGCAGCGATGACCGTCCCCCAGACGACTCCGACGGCGCTCATTCCGAAGGGGAAAGCGATACAGAAACGGAGAAGAAGTTTACACCCGATAAAAGGTTGCTAAATTACGCCGAAGATGGAAATCTCGAAGGCGTGGAAAAGGCGCTCGACGACAACGCGAACGTTGACGCAAAAACGAACATTGGCGAGACAGCACTTCACTTGGCAGCGAGGCACGGGTATTACCAGCTCGCAGAGCTGCTGATCAAACGAAGCGCCAAAATCGAAGCCCGAGATGATGATGGATGGGTGCCGCTTTATGGCGCTGCCATTGAGGGAAAAGCCGATGTCGTGAAACTTCTACTCGAATGGGATGCCGATCCTAATGCTAAGAGGCCTGACGGATGGACGCCGCTTCTTGCAGCGCTAAGGCACAATTTCCAGGAAATCATTGACTTGTTACTTGATTGCGACGAAATCAACGTCAGCACAGTCAATGACGAGGGCTGCTCACCGTTGATGATGGCATCTGAATATTCCAGCGTGGATGTCGTTCGGTCGCTTCTAGAAAAGAATGCCGACATCAATGTGCGGGATCAGGACGGATGGGCTCCTATACTTACAGCATTAAGGTATAGGAACGAGGATGTCATTACCACTTTGCTTGCCCAGGATCCCGACGTTCATTTTCAGAATTCCGACGAATACACTCCATTGTTGATGGCCTGTCGCCACTCGACTGCAAATGTTGTTCAACAGCTCATCGATCGTAAAGTAGATGTCAACAAGACGAACAACTCCAACGAATCAGAGCTGCATGTGCTGGCTTACAATGAGAACAGGACCGACATTGGGCAAATCACGGAAAAGCTCCTAGGATATGGAGCAAATGTCTGGGCAAAAGCAATGGACGACCAAATGCCCCTTCATTACGCTGGCAAGTTCGGATGCAAAGAAATGATTGAGCCGTTGCTTGATAACGGCCAACCAATAGATGTCCTGGACTGTGATGATTGGACCCCACTCCATCTAGCCTGTAACAATGGCTTCGGCGATGTGGTTGAATTGCTTTTGGAGAAAGGTGCAGACCGTGCCTTGAAAACAGGCGATACTGGTCGCGATGCATTGACGTTGGCAGTTCGGTGCTATGCGGACATCTTCAATGACGCTGAAATGGACAGTGAAAAGAAAGCGAGCGAGTTGAGCGCGGCCGAAAAGGCCGTGAAGGCCCTCGCCGAGCTGGCAAATGGAACCGAGAAAACAGCTGCATTCCGACAAGCTGAGTGTGAGGGCAATTTTGAAGACGTTGCGAAGGCCATGGGTATGAGCGATCCGGAAACCAAAGAAAGCATCCTTATTTGGACGGCTGCTAGACATGAAAAACATCATGAGATCCTCAACCGACTTGACAAACCGCGTCACAAACTCCACATTGAAGCGAATACCCCTCTGAAACTAGCTGCTTATCATGGGAGATATGTTGTTGTTTGGTGGCTTCTGAGGACAGCTCCTCCAAGCAGCAAAGCGACCCAGGATCGAAGGGAAGCCAAAGAAATAGCAGAGAAGATGAAGCTCAGGAACGCAAAAACTCCAAAACCCGCAAAGGAGAGAGATGGAGATAGAGGAGGAAATGACGGTCGAAACGATGGTCTTCGGAACCAAACCGACAAGGCCGGGTCAGGCACTGACGACCGATATTTCCTGACCTTGGATATGCTACGAGACCCTCCACCCGTGATAGAAGCATCAGATTCGCACAGGTTGAATGAGAAATTGAAACTTGATCCATCGACAAAAGAAGAAATTGAGAAGTATGACGCGACAATTGTTGATTTCTACAACTCCAACGGACGAGTGGATCTTCTTCGCCGGTCACGCAAAATGTGGAATGTCATCTACAAGGGCGCCAGCACGGAGAAGGGCAAGGAAAAAGATGGTGGTGCCGACCAGATCATGCAACAGGCAAGACAGACGCTGGGTAAAATCAGCGAAGAGGCTGCAAAAGAAAAAACATACTTGCCCGAGGATCTTCGCATGAGATGGATACACCTGCCGCTCAATAATGTAAGTGGTAATTGTCTCGATCTATACCTTGGCAGGTAACTAACGGATCTAGTTGAGGTTTATGGAGGTATTTTCCAAAGAAATGACAGCATTATGAATTTACAGTCTCGCTAAGTTCCTTAATTAGGATCTCGCCTTACGAGTGTACCAAGACAAAAAGAAAGGAGAGGATGATTATATACCGATGCGAGATTTTATGCGGAGCAGCTGGACGGAGATGCCAACTGGTGCCTTCGGGTCTAAGTTCATGAAGCCTGTCTGCATGGTGAGATCTTGCCCGAATATGAAGCACACAAAACTAATGATTTTCTAGAAAGAGGGTATCCCGAAGATCAAGAAACGCTCTATGCAGGACAAGACCACCCAAGCATTGCCCGATCCCCCTGATGGTGAAGCAAAGGAGGACAATGCAGGATCAGAGGGACCTAAACAGCCCGAGGAGGTTAAGGGAGTTATGAAGGAGCCAGAACAGGCTGAACTTGGAATCGGTTTGTTATAGCCCTTAATCCTACAAATCGACAGTGCTGAGGTGTAGTGACTAGTGGCGTATCAAAGGACTGCTCTATATGTGAGATTGATTCGACTAGACGGCATGCGAATGTCTACTAACTGTTCAGATGCCATACCTGGTATTCCTAAAACGTGACCGAATTGATAGCCAGTGAGTACTTCAGGATTACCAGGACATTTCATGGATCTAACTACGGTGGACACAGGATTGGCGTGGCTAAGGATGATTTTGAACAACAAGCGAGAACTGGACCTGGACATAGGACGAGGTCTCTAGATCAATTCTATTATCATTCTTTGAGTGGAAATGATATCAAAGGCCGCGACGAAAACCAGGTCGTGACCCGTTACTTGATCGGAGGCAAGAATGGTGACGGGGTCGATAGGAGCAGACCCTGGTGGCCAATCCTCGGCGTTGACCAGCTCTGGCTTTGGGTCATAGATGATGGTAAGCTCACCTCATAGTATGTGAGATGGCATTTTTTAACTCAAGTCACTACAAAGAGACCATCATTACCTCCTCTACTTGCAGACCGGATGGTTATGAAGATCCTGTGATCGAAGGGATTTTCAATCATCTAAGGGAGGTTAAGTCCAAGAAGAAGGGACGGCCTTTGCCATCATCAGTCAATCAGATGAGCAAGTTCATTGTCAGCTTTTGCATCGATTTCATTAATACTGCCACTTGGAAGGGCTCTAGTCCAGATGATCTCGCCAGACCTGAATATAGCCAGAAGTCTGTCAAGTCTGTACGTGAGATCTTCTCTGAGACAGTCAATAGCAAGGTTTGTTCTAAGGGAAATATCCTGATATCTCCTGCTAATGAAAACAGGCCGTTGAAGAGAAAGACTTGTTCGCCTCCTTCAAAAGGAAAATGGACAAGGCGAGAAGGAGGGATGAAAGGAGAAAGATAGTCAAGGCCAAGAAAACACAAATCAAACAGGGTGACACTAAACCAGAAAACGGACAGCGTGAAGTAGAGAAACCATCAGAGGAAGGAAACAAGCCGCACGAGGCTCCTGCGAAACTCCTACTGCACGGTGAACCCGACGAAAATGAAAACTGGGCGTCCATCAGCAAGGCCGCTGATCTGCTGGACGAGGTCAAGGATATCCGCGATGAGCTCACGATATTGAAGGCAATACTGACCCAACAGGATCATGTTCTGGCTGATATCCAGAGAAGTCCACTTCATCCGAATTCTGAAAGAAGGTCGCATTACATGCTTACTGAAATCAACGAGATGATTGAGATCACGGACACCATCAAGAGTTCAGTGTGTAGTTCTTACTGCTTTAGAAATGCATAGAGGCTAACTGTACTCGTTGCTTACAGGTAAACGAGATCCTGAATCTAGAGCAAAACGGTACCAGTCTCAGAGAAGCCTTCGAATCCGTTAAGCAGGGAAGAACTCTCATGGTCTTCACAGTCATAACCATCGTCTTTGTAAGGCTTGCCACCCACCCAGAATTGGCATTCATCCTAACTCGAGTGAATTCCCACAGACCCCCATGTCCTTCTTATCTTCTCTCTTCGCATTGAACGTCACTTCCTTCCAACACGACAGCAAGGGAGAGTTAGCTTATCAACCTAACTGGATCTTCCCAATGCTTTGTAAGTCTCACTTCCTCCTTTCCAAAAACTCCTATAGAGACTCTGTTTAGCAAATTCGATTAACTGTCCTTTTAATAGTCTGCATCACAATCGCCATCACTACTCCCCTCGCATACATCGCCTTCCATCTAGAGGATATCAAACGACTATGGAAATCGGCTACAAGACGGGCCTTTACCTCGATGTTTGAGTTCTCAAATGACCACGGCTATCATATGCCGTCCTTGGACAGGTCCGATTCAGTCAGATTTCAACAACTTGAGAAGTCTTACGAGGATGTGCTAGAAAAAGTGAAGAAGGTGTGGGAGACTTTATTGTCGAAAGCCCGACGTGGGAGTACGGATGAGCAGAAACCTCCTGTTGGTGAGGATAATGCTTGAAGTGCCTAGACTGAGTGTGAAGGTTTGAGGCAGGGGGAGGGGACTTTCAGTATATAATGAACATCTATCATCGTCGAATTCATTGTTAAAACTAACACATAATCAATAGTACAAGGATGATCTGTCATATAACCATCACCATCCACACTACCTTCAGTATCGCTAATGCGCGCAAAAAGCAGTTTAGTTCATGGGGGGACAAAAAAAAAGTAGTACAGAAAGATAGGGAACAAAAATCGTTCAAAGAAGCCAATCAAGTTTCCAACGCCAGGTGATGCGAACTTAGTTGCGCTTTTGACTGTGTGGGTAGATATGATAAAATCAAAGAGCCACCAAAATTGTAGATCTAGGATGTTGTTTTGTGTCCCAGAATTCTATTGGTATTGGTTTTGTTCTGTTATGTTCAAGCACGGCCCTTTCTCTTCCTGGTCTCAAGAGGAGCCTCGGTGCTAGACCAGGCATCTTCGAAGGTAGTCTTCTTAGCGCCTATTTGACCCTCGAAGAAGTTCATCTTGCGGACGACTTCCATGGCTCCGGTACCGATAGACATGGTCTTGCCCATGATGATACATTCGGAGACACCCTCGATGAGATCAGTGCGGCCGGCACCACCGGCGTCGAAGAGATGGTCGGCGGTCTTTTCGAACGAAGCGAGCTGGAGGACGGAGTCACGCATCTTGGCAAGACCGAATCGCGTAATACCCAGGACTTCACCCTTGTAGGTCATGACATCTGCGAGCAGCTGCATGTGACGAGGATCGATGTCCATGTCTTTCATGACCTCGCTGATTTCTTGCGTGATGGTTGATCGGGCGGCTTCGATACCGAGCACGTCGCGCATTTCCATGACGTTGTTGGTGGATGTGCGGAGGCCGTCAACACCAAGAGTCGTCATACAGTCCTTCAGACCGTAACCTTCCACAAGGAGGGTGTTCTTAGTGGAGGTTTCATCGGTTCGGATGATTGCACGGAAGGCCAGGGGGTGGCCGAGGACTTGGATCTCGGGAAGCATGCGCTTGAGATGCTTGAGACGAAGGAACGGATCAGCGCTGGTAGAAGCAATCTCCGTCTTGGAGAGGCTCGCTTTGCTGGCAGGGTCCAGGTCCATGTGGATGTGGATATGCGATCGCGAGCATCGGAACTTGAGATCATCGGCCTTGAAGCGCCGATGATTCTTGATGGCGGCGAGAATAGTTCTGATGTTCAATTCAAGCGCCAAGTCCTGAATGGTCTTCCAGTTGATCTTGACGGTAATATAGGCCTCCTTGCCAGTCCATGTCTCCCGGACATAGTGAATAATATCCCGAAGATAGGTCTTCTCAATACGACCCTTGACAATTCGAGCCGCAATGATGTTATCCTTAGTGACAAGCTCGCAAGCAACGACAGGCGTACTGATCTCCTTGGACGCGTTGATAATTTCCTTAATACGGGGAACACCCTGTGTGATACTCATACCGGCGACACCAGCAAAATGGAAAGTCTTTAGGGTCATCTGAGTACCGGGTTCACCAATGGACTGAGCACCCACTGCACCAACGGCATGACCAGACTCAACTTGAGCCTTCTTGTACTTCATCAAACAGGCAGAGATGAATGCACGGAGAGTCGTCTCGGTCAACTTTCCAGTATGGTTGAGACCCTTCTGACTCCTGTCATCATTAGGATCAAAGTCACCACCGCGAGAAATAAGCCTGTCTGCCTTTGTGGAAACATATTGCTGGATGGAGTCGAGGAAGTCACGGGCACTCTCAAACTGATCAATTCCATGGTCTGACCGATCCATGTAGCCGAGTTCAGTACCCATAAGGTCTTTCCGGACCAATTTAGCACGCTCCTTAGAGAGCATGTCTTCACAAACCTCCATGATCTCGGCAGGCAAGAGACTGCGCTCATCATTGTCGTACGTCGTAGATTCAGAATGGGTGAAAGTCCGGTCGAAATGAACAGGCTTGGCTTTACCTTCCATATCTACCGGGTCGAGTTTGTCATCTCCGTACTGGAACTGGACGATAGCCGCGGAGGAATTCCGGACAGTGTCATCGTACATGGTAGAGAGATCTTCCAACGACTTCATCAAACGTCGAGACATGTAACCGGTTTCAGCGGTCTTGACAGCGGTATCGACCAGACCTTCACGACCAGACATGGCGTGGAAAATAAATTCCGTAGGTGTCAGTCCTGAGAAGAAACTGTTGCGGACGAAACCCTTCGAAGGAGGCTGGCGGGCATTCTTGGGGAAATGGGGCAGGGTCCGGTCCTGGAAACCGTCCTGCACACGCTGACCACCAATAATCTGCTGACCGACCAGAGCAACCATCTGTGACACGTTGATACTAGAACCCTTGGATCCGGACGTGGCCATGATCAGTGGAGAATTGTACTTGCTGAGCTGCGCAATACATTCGTCTCCTGCCTGCTGACGGACCTTACTGAGAATACCCGAAAGCTGGTTTTCCATGGTCTGCAATTCGTCACAACCTGGATACTTCTCCAGAGTGCCTGCCTTGTATTTGGCGATGACTTCGTCACACTGCGCGTAGGCAGTTTCGACCAGATCCTGTTTCGATTGCACAAGCCTGTCACTGGGGTAAACGTCCGTGATACCAATGGAGAAACCCATGTTGGTAAACCAGCGTGCAGATAATCTCGACAGTCGGTTCATACCCTCAGCAGCCGCTGCAGGACCGAAATCTCGAAGCATGACATAAAAGATGTTGTCCTTCTTTCCGGATCCAACAGTCGACTTGTCCATCACACCGCACATGACTTCTGAGTTACGAACGATGAGCCAGCTGTCATTCAAGTCCAAATCCCGAGGACTACCATCCTTGGGGGCCTTAAACGTCTTGCATGCTGCGTCCAGGTTGACCAGAACGGGGTCATCCTTATTCGGGTGCATAAGAATGTTGAACACCTGCTTTCCGGTCCAAAGCATCTGTGGTTTCAGTACAGACGGAGGAGGAAGATCAAAGCGAGTTTCAGGTCCAAGCATGTAAAGACACAGCTGCGTGAAAGAGCGCCGATCAAAGAAATTATCCTTGCTACTCATAATATAAGCCGCACTGATGAAATCTTGAATGGCGGAAATAATCGGTTCTCCGTTCTTCGGGGTTGCCAAGTTATTCTTTACTCCCATCAGTTCCATTGCCTCGGCTCGAGCTTCTTCCGTCTGCGGAACGTGCAAGTTCATTTCATCACCATCGAAATCGGCGTTGTACGGGTTACAGGCACACTCGTTGAGTCGGAAGGTACGATGCGGGCGGATTTTCGCAAAATGAGAGAGAATACTCAGTTTGTGGAGAGAGGGTTGACGGTTGAAGAGGACGATATCACCGTCCTCAAGGTGACGTTCAATAACGTCTCCTTCCTGCAGTTGATCGGCGATCATATTGAGATTACCATACTTCAGGAAAAGCTTGAAAGTCGATCCCTTTTTCGTGATATAGTTTGCTCCAGGCCATTTCTTAGTGCCGTTCCGGACCACCTTTTGCAATTTCTCCTTGTTGTACCGCGTCACGACCTCAGGATAGGTCATGTTCTTTGCCACTAGGATAGGGACGGCGACTTCATCCACTCGGAGGTTAGGATCGGGCGAAATGACAGTTCGACCGGAAAAGTCGACACGCTTTCCAGACAGATTACCACGGAATCGTCCCTGTTTTCCCTTGAGTCGCTGCACAAAACCACGGATGGGTTTGCCCAAGTCCGCCTTGTTCAGGCCGGGAACGTCACTGTTGATGTAAACGGCGATCTGCAGCTGCATGTAATCCCAGCATTCCATGATAGTCTGCACCGGTGCACCCTTCAACAACGAGTTCTTCAGGTTGATGTTGCTCTGAATGATGTCGCCCAATTTGGCAGTCAAATCGTCTTCCGTGGATGCGGCGTCTTGGCCGACGGAAGGACGAATGCATACCGGAGGAGCCGGGATATACTGCCACAAAAACATTTCGGGCCTCGCCTCCTTGGGGTTCAATCCTAACAGTTCACAGTCCGAGTCCGAGATTTTCTTGAACAAGTTCAAAACTCGGAGCGCATTCAGATCATCCTGAGCCTTCTTGTAGTGCTTCTCAACCTCAGCATTATGGCCCCTAGCTTCCTCGAACGACCGATCAAACACAATCTTGCTGGGAGGCGGGATTTTCTTCACCGACGCAGAGGCATTGAAGGCTCGGAATTTGTCGTGCGAAATTTTCAGCGCGCTGTTTCCCGCCTTTTTCACCACACCGTTAATGGTGCCGCAGTGTTCGCAGGTTCGGGTCTTGCGGCAGCGCTCATTCACCCGTTTCGCGATCTGCAATCGCCGCAGATTATCCAGATTCGGCCGACGCATTTCTCGGAGGTAGGTCCGGCGCTCGCCTTCGGGCAGCAAAATATGCGAACATTCCTTGCAAATTTCCTGTAGGATCGTAATCACTCGTTTGAAATATCCGACGTGGAAGGCCGGCAAGACAAGCTTCACATGGCCGAAATGTCCGTTGCAGACTTGGAGCGCACCACCGCAGGTCTGACATGTTGCACTCTTGCTGGAAATACCCATACGCGAGTCGAGGGGTCCATGCGGAATCACCGATCTGTCTTGGTCGAGGTCGAAAAACTTCCGGTCCGAGACTTCCACCACACCTTGGCTGACAATGTCATCGTTGGATCTGGGTATGACACATCCGCGTTAGCCCGCCACCCACGCTCACAAACACGCAGAGATAGAAAATCTTCAAGAAGGCAAAGAGGCCAGCGCTTACAGCACACCGAATTTGAGCTCTTTGATAACTTTCGGAACACGATCGATGACCTGGGCCTTGCCCAGGTCCACCTGCACACCCTCCGGAGGTTGCATCGCCGCCGTCAAAGCTTGACCATGGCAGGGACAAACGGACTAGATGAGCAGATTGAGTCTCTTGTCGCGGTTCCGATACACGCGACCAGGCAACAAGGAGACTTGGATACCACAGAGGGAGGGTGACCGCAGGGCTTTTGTGGAAGAAGAAGAGGGTGAACGGCGGGGTCGGCGACGAACTTTTTTGCGGGCAAAAGCGACGGAGCGACGTGCCTACCCGAATAGGAATGGTCAGCTGCTGCTCCCGCCCCTCCGCCGTCCCATCCAATCAGCATTCCAGCCCGAGTCTGGACGGTGGACAGCCTCAGGCTGGCATTGGAATCTATACACTGTCTAGGATTCATGCGAATTCCAATAGATTCTGTTATGAAGTCAAGTCTAATTATACACCATAGTCCCCGCTAGAATATAATACACACTATACAACTGGCCCTCCTGCCTCTACTTGGCCAGGAAAGCCTGGAATGCTTTATGTTCAATCACCACGTTTCCGACCGCGCGGAGCTTCTTGCGTCCCTCTTTCTGCTTCTCCAGCAATTTCCTCCGTCGACTGACATCACTTGCATGGAGTTTGGCAAGAACATCCTTGCGGTACGGCTTGACCGTCTCACGCGCCACAACCTTGCGCCCAACGGCAGCTTGGATAATGACCTCGAACAGCTGTCGGTCGACGTGCTGCTTGAACTTGGTCACCCACTGTCTTCCAAGTCGTTCCACCTGACTGTAGTGGACGATACGTGCAACAGCATCCACGGGGGCCTTGTTGACCAGGAGCTGGAGTTTGACAATGTTGCTGGGTTGCCAAGCAGACTCCTCGTAGTCCAGTGAGGCATATCCCTTGGTACCTCCCTTCAGCTTTCCGAAGAAGTCATCGACCAGTTGCGCCAATGGCAGGTCGTACTTGAGAATGACCTGGGTTGCCGTGAAGTATTCGATGCTCTTCTGCACGCCCCGGTTGGATTCGCATAGTTCGATCACCTTCCCTAGGTATTCGTCCGGGAAGGTCAAAGTAGCAAGGACGTATGGCTCTTGTAGTTCCGCGATTTTCGTGCGCACGTCATCCTCATCGGGGAAACGAGCCGGGCTGGTAATGATCTCCTCCCTGCCGTCCTTCCAGAGCACTTTTACGGGCACGGAAGGTGGGGTGATGATGATGCTAGCACCATGTTCCTGACGAAGGCGGTCCTCGAACACCGAGCAATGCAGGGTTCCTAGGAAGCCCAATCGGAAACCTGCACCAAGGGCCTCGGAGGACTCCTTTTGCACCGTAATACTCCTATCATTGAGCATCAATTGGTTGATGCTGTCCTCCAGATGTTCGAAATGATCCGCATCAATAGGATACGCGGCCACGAAAACCATCGCCTTCGGTTCCTCGAAACCGGGAAGCGGTTCCACAGCCTTTTCGAACCCAACTTTGGTGTATGTGTCGCCGATCTTGGCTTCTTTGCTGCGCTTCATGCCGGGGTTGAAGAAGATGTATCCCACCTGGCCAGCACGAAGGACAGTCTGCGCGGTCTCGAGCGGATACATGATTCCCACCTCGCCCACGAAATATTTAATCCCAGTCGCATAGGACACGAGCTGATCTCCGGCTCGGATCTCGCCATCGAACACACGGACCAGGCAGATAACGCCTTTGTAAGAATCGTACCAGGAATCGACGAGGAGCATTCGGAGGGGTTTTTTGGAGTCACCAACGGGCCTAGGTCTTGTCAGTACTAGCATTAAAGCCAGCCCAAGTGCATAAAAACCTACGCTGGAATTTTCTCAACCACAGTTGGGAGCAGCTTTTCCACATTCAGACCGGTCTTGGCCGAAACCCCCACGGCGTTTTCGGTGTCAATTTCGAAGGATTGCCGCATTTGTTCGAGAGCCCGTTCCGGATCAGCAGACGGCAGGTCCACCTTGTTGATGACAGGGATCAATTCCAATCCCTGCGCAAAAGCCAGATAGAAGTTGGCCACAGTCTGCGCTTGGATACCCTGGCTCGCATCTACCAGCAGCAATGCGCCTCCGCAACTGGCGTAACTCCGTGAGACCTCCGCGCGGAAGTCGACGTGTCCCGGCGTATCGACAAGATGCAACAAGTAGTCCTCCCCATTGTGATTGTAGATCATGGTGCATGTCTGCGCCTTGACGGTGATTCCACGTTCCCGCTCGACGTCCAGCTTATCCAACACTTGCTTGTTAGTTCCCGGCTGGATGGTCCCCGTCAGTTCCAGCATTCGGTCGGACAACGTGCTCTTGCCATGGTCGACGTGAGCAACGATACAGAAATTGCGGTATCGGTCGATCGGGATGGCTGCGATTCTCTGCTCAAGGTCGGAAACGGGTTTGGCAGCGGCCGCTCTCGAACGAGCCGACTGGTAAACGGCGGCGCTGGTAAAGGAACGAAGGTAGTTAAATCGGGCGGATGGTGCCTTGAGAGGGCTTGCAGCTGGGCATTTCTGCACCGCGCTCAGCCATCTGGCTAACTGCAGGCATCCTCGCATCTGGAGTGCTGCAATGGCATGAGAAGGAGGAGAGTGTAAGTCAGGGTGGTCCTCTCGCGCTTGTCGATGACAACTGGATGGAGTCCGATTTGGCGGGCAAAAAAAAAGTGCGGCTCTGCGGAGAAAACGATTGGGCGGGCGGTCGATTGCTGCGGCGACTATCGGAGTAAACAAAGCGGCGCTCTTTTTTCCCTCCACACAACCTTTGCCAGGAGTCCAGACTCTCAACACCAACGGTATCGGCGGTCTTCAGCTCATTCCATCATGTCCTCGACAAAAGACAAGTCCAAGGTCCACAAGTTGTCGCTGAAAGGTAAGGCATACGGATCTCGGCGCTCGTCAGTGCGAAACTAATGTCCCCGCAGGGTCGGCGAAGCTTGTGGCTGAATTCGTGAGTAATCCTTCCAAGACAGGGATTCATATTCATGAATTATGCTGATCGTTCTAGTTTGAATACTCCATCAACTCGATCCTGTAAGCGGACGTCCATGCCAGCTCCGATTCAAATATACTCATCAATCCCGCCTTAGGTTCCAACGAGGAGTCTACCCCCCGGAAGACTTCACAACGTAAGTGTTCCATATCTCAACCAATGAACGAACATTGCGACTGACTGTTATTCAGGGTCAAGAAATATGGCCTCAACATGCTCGGTTGGTCAATATCGGTCCCTTCCACATGCCCTCTACTTACCGATCAATTCAGTCACCTCCGATGACCAGGTCAAAGCCTACATCAAGAAGATCATGTCGCAGTTGAACAAGTGGATGCTGGGAGGCAAAATCTCAAAACTCGTCGTGGTAATCACGGACAAGGAGACTGGTGAACATGTGGAGAGATGGCAGTTTGACGTATGGGACCCGGCCCGAGAAACTGCTGGCATAAACTGATAGGGATTCAGGTTCAAATACACACCAAGCACAGCAAGAGCTCCGCAGCCCGAAAAGCTGGTGATAAGGAAAACTCCGCTGCAGGGTAATTGCCATTCTACATCCAGCCATAGAAACGCAAGCTAACGCTTCTTGCCTATAGAGACGCCCCCGCCCCTGCTACCGAAGTTGTTGAAAAAACCGAAAAGGAGATCCAGGACGAAATTCAAGCCATTTTCCGACAGATTACCGCTTCCGTTACCTTCCTCCCCGTCCTCGATGGAGATTGCACCTTCAACGTGCTTGTGTATGCGGACGCAGACTCGGAAGTGCCGGTCGAATGGGGCGACAGCGACGCCAAGGAGATCAAAAACGCCGAAAAGGTGCAGCTCAGAAGTTTCAGTACGAATAACCACAGGGTGGAGACTCTCGTCAGCTACCGCCTTGCCGATTGAACTCGGCATTCTACAGTGGAATAGGGGGTGTTTTATACGGAGGCGTTAGGGATAAGACGGAGGGTTCTTTCATTTTCTTTCATTTCGGGGTTTCTGTACTATGAATTTCAAGATCTACGGCCGCAACGGCCAAACAGTTATCTATCATAACGACTAATGAATATGCATTACTTTCCTCGCTTCGTTATATTCCCTTACTATGTATACCACGGTAACTGGTCCATCTTAGGAAACCACTCATTCCCCCCCTCTCCCCCATCCCAACATGCCAACTCCTCAACCACCGGCTCCAGTCCCAGATCCCCAAAAACACTCCTCTCCATCCCCTTAGTCCACCCCCTCTTCGCTCTCTTCCCTGCCAGTTCCGCCTGAACACCATACCGATCCTCTTTCCAAAGCCCAATCCCCCTCTTCTCTTCGCCTGCTATCAACGACGCCTCCGACGTCACTTCCTCCGGCGGGTTTATCCCAATCACGTCCCCTTCGCATTGAGAACTAGACCTATGCCTATCTGCACCAGTGGGAATGGACGTGGAAGCGGAAGCAGAACAAGTGGAGACCGGAGCTAGCCCGACAGCAGGAAAATGATACTCCATGAACCTTTTCCGTTTGAATTCGTGCGTCACGATAGTAACCCGCGTCGGATAGTGCCCGGTATGTACTCGGAACTTGAGCAGCGAGAAGAGTACATTCTGGTATGAATCTGTGGCGTGTGTTTCGGTTGTTATTTGTAAGGTGTTGATCTTGTTGGAGTAGGTGAAGTAGGCGTTGTCTTTGGCGAGGTTCTACGTGCTCATGGTGAGTACGTGGTTTTGTTTCCTTTATTTTATCTGGGTATAGGTGTAAGATTGGGAATGGAAAGAGAAGGGCTTACAAGATATGAATCTCCCTCGGCGAGATCCGTCAAGGGTCTTTTTGTTGCGCCTCTATTGCGTAGATCAGTCAGCGTTAGTCATTCCATACCATATCATAAAACATAGTGTCAAAATGCAGATGATATATCCACGCATACCCGGAAAACACAAGCAGACTTTCCGGATCTTCCGCCGCAGCTTGAAGACCTGCCTTGACGTGGGCCGTGAAAGTGGGCGTTTCGCCCTTTTGGAAGGGCTCGATTAGCCTGTTTCGATTGGTTAGTCATGGGTAAATGCAGCAATGCAGTGGTGAGATCTGGGGTTTGTTTTGATCGTAGGGTTTCGAGGGTAGAGTTTTCTTTTTCTTGGTTTATGGTCATACCATTCATCCACTGAGACGCCCTTTGTTGGTCCTCCCAGGTAGATTGCATGACAGCAGACAATGATCAAGTGGGTGCATTTCTGTACGTCGAAGGTGGAAGGAAACATGGTTTTGTGGGATCCCACGGCTTCAGATTCAATATCTTACAGGTGAATCGATGTTCGAGAATAGAAAGAAATTTGTGAAATGTTTGTGGTCTGTTAGATGGTTGTGAAGCAGATGGTCCGACGAAGTATGAGTGAGCGGGAGGACTGGGCACGGATTGGAGGTGAGCGGCCCACCATATTCTAACCCTAGCTAATCCCACCAATGATAGATTATCTACTATCTTGTGTCGTCAGAGCACTACTTCATATTTGAAGTAGGGGACGTCGAGATTCAATGAGGTTTGCTTTCACTTTCACTTGAGACGGCCAAGGGTTTATGGGTAGCTAGTCTTTCTTATTGTTGCAAGGCCTAGGTCAAAACGATGACCTGGGTGCAAAGTTCTACAGGTGCACATCAGATCTACATAGGTAATATAATTTCTCGAACATTCTGAAAATAATGACTGCGTATTGCATGCATATCAAATGAGACAATCGTCCATCGCTGGATGCCACTCTAATGTAATGTACATATTTGGCTTGTCTTCTGGAGATGTCAATGTGCCTTGGCTGGGCGTCCGACCCAACCACGCGTAATTTAATCGTGAGAGGGAAAACAAAATGAGAGGAAGAGAAGCAGGAAACAAAAAAAATAATAGAGACATGACAGCTTTGCAAAATCACGAAACTCCTCCGTATTTACCCATGCACACGATGCTTTCAAGTCAGGCACAACGCTAGGTGAACAATGCCGAGTGGATGTATGTAAATCCGTGAGCACAACAAACGCCGGAATACCAGCCAGTCAAAAGCACTAACAAGGAGTGATGTCGAGTAGAGGCCTCGCATATGCAAGATTATGGTTATACATGAGTTCATAGGGGAAACTATGAGAATGAAAAGGTGAAAAAGTCACATGGGGTATCAGAAATGGGTGAATGAGAAGGAGAATAGAATGTTAGTTGAGAGGATCGTGGCGAAAGGTGCAGTCGTCTCCCTTGATGCATTTCCCTTCAGGCCAATATCGGCAGGGAACCAAACCTGCTTTAGGCTATTGTATAGTTAGCAATACGACCAGTGAATAAAGGGTTCATAGCAAACTTACGTGTCTTTTGCCGGGGCCAGGTCTACCTCTTTTAGGGTGACCATATCGATCGTCGTCGTGTCCATCATACCCATTGCCTTCACGCATACGCTTGCGATCGGGGTCCTCGTAGTTACTTTGCTGTTGAGAAAAGTTGGGGGTCGCTTGCTGATTAGGGTTGGCAATCTGAGAAATGATGGCGGCAAGGTTTGGCGCGATGTTAGGTTGCGATTGCTGAGGTTGAGGCTGCGGTGGGGGCTGGGGCATCACAGGTGGCTGTTGCATCTGTTTCTGGGCATTGATGACGGCCAGTATCTTTTGGAAATCAAGACCCTGTGTTGCGGGGGGTTGAGACACTGGAGGAAACTGGGGCATCTGCATCACTGGCGCTTGGGCGGGTTGGGCCTGCTGCTGACGGAACATGCTGATTGTTCGCTCCAGATCAGACATCGGCGCCTGTGGTGCGAGCTGAGGAGGTGGCGGTGGCGGAGTCGACTGCTGTTGTTGAGGTGCATTCTGGATGATCTTCAACAAATTCGAGATGTCGAATTGGCCGTTGTTGTTATTATTGTTGTTGTTGTTCTGCGCGCTCGGCTGGACCGGAGGCGCAGGTTTAGGGTTGATCATTGAATAATACCGCTCTTGTCGAGCCTGTAGAAAAACGAAGTCAGATGACGATAACGTAAGTTGAAAAGGTACCCTGATATGAAGACATACCTTAACCTTGTCCGGGAATTCCCCGAAATCAACCACATCCGTGACGATTTCCTCGTCGGCCGGTGCAGGTGGCTCCTTCGGTGATGGCGGGACGTCCGCTGCAGAAGTGTAAAACACCATGAGGGTTGTGGCTTCCCTATGATCCTGGGCCTCTTTTTCAGGGCTGATGGGCTGTTGGGCACCTCCGCGTTTCACAAAGTTACCGGAACGGTCTGGAGACGTGATGTTTTCATCATCGATTGCTACGGAAGTCAGTAGAATAAATATGAATCCGAGACTAAGAGATAACGTACCAGTCGGTTCATGATAGTCAAGCAGAGACTCCTCGCGGAGACCGCCATCATCATCCTCGTCCATCTCATCCATGTCTCTATGAAGTTTGAGTACGCTCCCTTCACCTTTCACATCACCCACCTCATGGTCACCGAGATGAAGTTCCTCGTCAGGATCATGCGTGAAAGTGCGAACTTGGACAAGCTGGCTATCCGGTTTCCAGGTAACCCGTAGCCTTCGCCGAGCCTCCTTCCGAAGTCTCTTCTTCCGCTCTTCTTCGGTCTCGGGCGCCTTATCCTCAGCAGGTTGAGCGGGTGCCGGATCCTTCTGTTTATTAAGGTCTGCCATTATGTCGCCGAAAGAGAATGCCGGCTTTGGAGCAGCCGGTTGAGGGTCTTTCTTTTCGGAAAGGGTGCTTCAAGGAGTTAGACACTGTAATTGACATGGCATGGGAAGACTTCTTACCTAGGCCTCGGGGCGGCGGCGGCGGCGGCGGCTCTCTCAGCATTGGAAGTACCCGGTCTTTTCGAAGCTGAGCTCAGACTTCCAAACAGATTGGTAGGTTTGGGTGCAACAATGTTGGCTTTCGGACGGGCAGCAATTGCCGCGGCGCCTTCTTGGGGTTTCTTGGCGGGACCGCTCGCGACCACGGGGTTACTGGGCTTGGAGGGATTCTTGATATTAGACGTAACCACCATCTTCTTGGTGGCAGGCAGTCCATTGTTGTCGTTCTCCCTCGCTCGTTTTGCCCCAGGGGCCTCGGTAGGTGCCATATCAGTAGAGGCGCCATTTCTGTTAGGCGACCCTTCCTTTGACCCCGGCTTCACTGTTTCTTGCTTCCGTTTGGTCGATGCGGCAGCGTTGTCCAGAATCTTTTGTGCCAAACCTCTAACCTTTGCGCCACCTTTCTTGACAAACCTGGGCAAAAGTTTGGCAACGTTGGTCTTCTGGAGGGCCTCGTCATCCATAGTGGTGAAGCGCGAAAGCAACTGTGTATTTGTTAGTTGTTTGATCAATTATTGTACATAATAATATGGGCTCACCTCAAGAAGGTGGACAGTAAAAGTTCCATCTATATCAGAAGCTTGATGACGATCCAAAAGAAATGAATACATAGCAGACACTGCGATTGGATGTTCTCCCAGCCTATAAGAGTCTGTGTCAGCATTGCGAAAAAGAATTCGAACAGACAACGCGAAATTGAGGGCAAATATGGAACATGGGTCGTCGTAATACAAGTACTCTCGGCGGCCAGTCGTTATCAGCTGGAGACTCAGTGAACCCACTAAAGCTTTTAATTATGTGGCCAAACAAGCGTCTCCGTAGCATACCGAGGCTTTCGCGCGAGTCTTGACGACGGTTCGTGTTTTTCTTTTCTTTTGTTTAAGGGACACAGCGGGACACGTATCGTCCTTGGGTGCAAAGCAGAAAAGCCACCCTTACTTATAAGCATTCCTTTAATGGAAATTACATGGGAGAGGCTTTCAATTCGTTTCTGACTTCTATGGCCATGACAACGATATGCCAGGTTCGTAGGGGGGCAGTAAAAGGAGCGGGGTGGGGAAAGAAAAAAGACATACTTCTCGAGAATCATCGGGTGGGCTCTTTCCAGAGTGGTCTTGACAACCATGTCCATTATGCGTCTTTGGGAGCCAGTCTCCTTCTTGAACTTGGCTGCTTTGTCGTTGTCGCCCTTGTTTTCCGCCATCTTCATGGCTTGCGTCTTGTCTTTCCAAGCATCCCTTACTTTTTTGACGACGTCTTTAAAGGCAACTAGAGCACTCTTGACTTTCTCGGCGTTAGGTCGTCTATTACGGGGGAACCACACAGCTCGTAACGTATCATAATTGGCAGCTGCTTCAGGCTCAGTAGGACGGGAGGGGGGTATGGGGGACTTTTCTGGGGGCTCATGCTCAATCTCGAGATCCGAGTCATCGGAGTCGCTTTCCGAGCCGGAGTATCCCGCCATTTTCCCATCAACCCTCTTACTATTCACTTTACCGGTAGCGTTCTTTGGTAGAATCTTGGTGATCTGTTTCCGTGCGTCGGCCGCTTTGATTGGCAATGGGACTGCCACGGGTTTTTGCCCTATAATCATAAATTAACTTCAGGCAGGAATATTGGAGGCTTAATATCGAACATACCGTTTGCTGGCATAAAACCTTCCACGCCCTGAGGGCGTACCGGGACGCCTTGGTTGCCAACAGCGGGCGGGACCGCCTGCAGTTGAATATCATTTCGATAAAAATCAAAGACCCTAGGTGAATAGCGGTCAGAAACGCACCCGAATTAGTTGCAGCTCGGGCCAGGTAACTTACTTCGGATCTTGGGAGCCCTGGAAGTCATTCGAGTTTACGTAAAGGTAGTTGGAAAAGGTTGGGTGTTGATTAGTGGCCTGCGGGGTGTCCAGAAATTGAGGGTTGATGGTCTGATGGCCCGGCACACTTGGGATGGGTTCGGGAAATTCATGAGAGAGTCCCAATGGGTGCTATTACGTATTAGATTAAGGCCCGGTCGGTCAATGGGGAAAAGCAGGGGAATCCTACCGCATTCTCGTCAGGAAAGGTTGTAGATAGAGGATACCCATTGATCGCATTTGAATGTGCAACCGGTTGATACTGCACTGATTGCGGTGGCGTCTGAGTCGCCTGCGGCGTGGGTGATTGAGAAAAGGTGTCTTGAACGGCCAGATGCTGGGGAGGATAATAATTGCGAGGGAATGGGAAGGTCTGGTATGCAGAATTATCCGAGGGAGTCAAGGGTCGCGAGTCAAAGGGCACCTGTCCCTGGGGAAATTGATGCAGCTGACGATATTGTCCGGGAACCCCAAATCCATGAGGACTTCCCGATGGCAGGATCGGCTGGTGATGCAGCGAATTGGCACGCCAGGACTGATTTGCAGCCGAAGGGTACATGCCATGACCATGCTCTTGCTGAGGCGGCAACGGCGTTGTTTGCTGCGGATGTTGTTGACTGAAGACCGGGTGGTCCCAGCTAATGCCCATCGGTTGCTGTTGCGGCGGTGGTTGTTGTGGCTGTGGGGGCTGCTGGAGCCGTTGCGGTGCGGGATGTGCATGTTGATCGGAGCTGGGAATACACAAGGCATCAAGGTTGTTCCAATAATCCGGTGCCGAGCCAGAGTTTACGGGAGCACGGGGCAAGTCGCGCAACATATTCTGCGGAGTGGACTGCTCCATCCTGCCGTGGTGAATGCCCCTCCAACTGGAGTGAACGAGGAATCAACGGAGAATAGAATGTATGGGCAGTACGTATTTTGAAGGAACCCGTCTGGGGAGTCACATGCACCCACGTGCTAGTGTCGCCCAAACAGGCAAAGATCGAGCAGCGTCCCTTTTGGGATAGATGTTCCAGGGGTGGGGTCGTCGGAAAGAGTGGTGATTGGTCAATTCCGATCGCTCCCACCGGCGTGGTTTGTCAGCCGTGGAAAAGACGCCGCTGAGGTGGGCGGTCAGGCGATTCCCGACAAGAGGGAGAGTTGTAGGACACCTGAGGGATACCTGAGGAGCTTCGGAGGGGGCAACAGGTTCGTCTTCTTAGGAGACCGTCAGAATTGGCACCGTTATTTTCTTTTTTTTTCTTGTTTTTGCTTTTCTCCTTAGGAGAAGAGACGTCCACGTTGTGTCGGGCCCAATTCGCACCCTTTCTTTTTAAGAAGAAAAAGAACCGTGCTTGAATGCAACAAGTTGGCCAAACTCCGCGAATACACCAGGTACTCCGTATAGTAGACGTAAGATAAATCCGGTCGCCTCTTCCTTTGGGCACCCCGGTTTCTGCTTCAATCTGCTTCTTGCCTGCACTGCTCACTTCTGGTCCGATTGTACCCTCTTAATCTTCTTGATGCCTTAAGAAATCCACCAGGTTCACGCTTTTCGCCAGGGCAGCTGTCTCTGCTTGTTCTTCACCTATGATCTGCCTTTTTGTTTTAAAAGAGATGGAAGGATGGGGTTCTCATACAAAGAACCACACTGTGCTGTAGTTAAGCAGCATAGTCATTCGCATTACGAGGAGAGGTGTTGGAAGGGAATGGGGGGAAGGGGCGTGGTTGGAGGTGGTGAGACTGAAAAAAAGCTCGGTTGGGCGCCTGCGGTCCCTTTACCGGCGGCCTGGGGACACGTGATGCTCACGCGGGCGGGATTATGTCAGCCCTCATCAAACGGGAAGCTCCTCAGGATGCCAGGTGGAGAGTGCGTGTAGTTGGTGGATCGTGCTAAAGACAGCAAGCCTACGTATGTCCCTGGCCCTGGATTCGCATGAATCCTCGACGGTCGTTTTGATTCAATTCACCTAGTTCCATTTATCGGGGACAACACTGGTGCATTCACTCCCGGATACATGTCATGAATTTGGTCCAATTCGGACAATCATCGTGAATACTGTTCTGGGGTGCAAGCTCAATTAACTACAACAATGGCGTCGCATCCTATGTCGCTGCGAGACCGTCAGGTCGGTAGGTTCCCTATACCTCTCCCAGTCCATGGCTGAGTTGTCGCCAATACTAACAGCTGTCCAGCCTCTATCCAGAAGATCCTCAACCTGAATCACGATACGAGTTCCGCGGAGGACGGCTCCCATGATCCCGCCGGTCAGGGTCTCATCTCACACTCGACCCCGATCTTGAACGAGGATGGAGATCCGATCTGGAAGGTGTTGGTGTTCGATAACATGGGCCGGGACGTCATCAGCAGCGTGCTTCGTGTCAATGATCTGAGGTCGTGGGGGGTGACGATCCATCTGTATGCTCTTCTCCCAACCCAGGACCCTAACAGCCGACTAACGAATCTCTTCATAGCAACATCAATTCCACTCGATACCCAATCCCCGACGTCCCCGTTGTCTACCTCCTCGAACCTACTCCGGCCAACATCCAGGCGATTACAAGAGATCTGTCCCACGGACTGTACACCCCCGCTTACGTGAACTTCCTATCCTCCGTGCCTCGGCCCCTTCTAGAAGACTTCGCCTCGGAGATCGTAACATCTGGTGCGTCGGAGCATATTGCACAGGTGTTTGATCAATACTTGAACTTCATCGTCGCCGAGCCCGACCTATTCAGTCTTGGTCTGGGCAAGGATGCCTATTGGAAGATCAACAGCGCGCAAACAAGCGATGAGGACCTAGATAACATTGTGGACAAGATCGTCAGTGGCTTGTTCAGTGTCAGCGTCACTATGGGTATGTTGCACAGCTCATGTATGAAAATCTCCAATGTTCTAACTAGAGGCAATGCGCAGGCGCAATCCCAATCATACGGTGTCCCAAAGGTGGTGCTGCGGAACTAATCGCAACCAAACTCGACCGGAAACTACGAGATCACATTCTGAATTCCAAGGATAACCTGTTCTCCAACAAGAAGTCCTCACCTGGCGTCCCTTCCTCTCGACCGGTTTTGATCATTGTCGACCGCAATGTGGATCTAGTCCCGATGTTGTCGCACTCCTGGACATACCAATCCTTGGTTCAAGATGTTCTTCAGATGCGTCTGAACCGGATCACGGTAGAAACCGCGGCGGACGAATCGAACCCAGCACGCGGCGCCACGAAAAAAGCATATGATCTCAACAGCAACGACTTCTTCTGGAAACGGAACGCCGGTGCTCCATTCCCTCAGGTGGCGGAAGACATCGATGCCGAACTCACGCGGTACAAGGAAGATGCAAACGAGATTACCAAGAAGACCGGCGCTTCTTCGATCGAGGATTTGCAGAACGACACGAGCGCATCGGCGCAGCACCTCAAGGCCGCCATCACCCTTCTGCCGGAGCTGCGAGAGCGCAAGGCCATTCTGGATATGCACATGAACATCGCCACGGCGCTCCTCAAGGGCATCAAGGACCGCCAACTCGATAACTTCTTCGAGCTGGAAGAGAACATCACCAAGCAGACCAAGGCCCAGATCTTGGAATTGATCAATGACCCCGCCAAGGGCAACGAGCCGTCGGACAAGCTCCGGCTTTTCCTCATCTGGTTCCTCAGCACCGAGACCGAGCTGTCCCGTGGTGACATGAGCCAATTTGAGGAAGCTCTCACACGCACGGGTGTCAAGGACGTCAGCTCCCTTGCCTACGTCAAACAGGTGCGAGAAATCACCCGCATGACGATGATGACCACGGCCGCCCCCCAACAACAATCGTCAGACATCTTCCGTGGCTTCTCATCGCTCTCCAACCGACTCACCGACCGCATCACCTCCGGTGCCTTAGGCGCCAACTTCGACTCGCTCATCTCCGGCGTCAAGAACTTCCTCCCCGCCAACAAGGACCTGACCCTCACCAAGATTACCGAATCCATCATGGACCCCACCGCCGCCTCTAGTTCCGCGATCGCCAAGACCGAAAACTACCTTTACTTCGACCCCCGCAGCGCCAACGCCCGTGGCGCCATGCCTCCTGCCTCCGCGTCCCGCAACGCCCCGTCTTCCGGATCGATGGGCGGCGCAGGTCCCGGCACCGGCGCCAGCTTCGGACAACGTCGTCAAGCCTTCAACGAAGCCATCGTCTTCACCGTCGGCGGCGGCAGCATGGACGAATACGGTAACCTACAGGGCTGGGTGGCTCAGGGCAGTGGACAACCGGGTGGCGACGGCGCAGCAGCCGGAAACCGGCCGGCCGGCCCAACCAGCGGCCCTAGGCGTAGAGTCGTTTACGGCAGTACGGACTTGATGAACGCCAACGAGTTCTTGGAAGAGTCTTTGGCTAAGCTGGGAAAGGAAAGCTAATGGTGTATGTAGTCTGTTTCACTTTCCATCTCTTCATGTCTTATCTGCCCTTCTTTCTTTCTTTTTTTTTTTTTTCTGCAATAATAAGGGGGTTCTTTACTTTTCTTTCTGCGTGGTTACGGTTACGCATACGAATCAAGCAAAATAGAATTTGTCGAGTGGATTTATAATTAATGAAGTCGATTCTCGAACTCCTTTTGCGTGTCTGTCTAATTAACTTTCCGGTTCTACCCCTTTTACTCCCTTAGTAACTACCCTAACAGAGGAAATGCTGGGTATATATGCCTCCCAGCTTCATCTCCTGGGACACTATCAGTTAGTAGATCGAATGGCAAAGTGCCAAACCGTCATCCTATTAGATTGTTTACAAAATGAACTAGTTACTGGGTGCAATCAAACCTCAAGGAGCCAGATAGATAGGTAAGTAGGTAAGTATTATTGTATCACTAATCTCCCGTAAGACAGGAAAGCCTCTCAAACCGTAATGCAAGACGAACAAAAGAAATTGATGCAGAGCGAAGAAAGGAAAGATGGAGTATTAGATGATGGAACGGAATAGAAGAGCCATGGAAAGGGCAAACGAAATAGAAAAAGGAAAATTGAGAAGATGCGATGGAAAGTGCAAGTTAGGTAGTGTGGGCATACCACGGTAAGAGAATGTCTAGAATGGAGGTCAAAATAAAACAGAAGGATTGAGAGAAACGAACGTCTCCAACGTCACATTACCACCAACCCCGAGCTTGTCTGAGGAGTATTCGACCGTTCGAATCAAGTTGTTCCCCTTTGTTCTTGTTCATCCCATCCCCTTTCCATCGATGAACCTAGTGCATGCACGAACACGACCATGATCTCACATGACCATCTAGACATCGCCCTTCTTCTCCTTCCGAACACTACGAACCGAGATATCATGCTCAATGGCTATGCCATAACCCTGTTCCGCCTCGTCCTCATTCTTCCTCAAGACCTGCTGCAAGGAGCTCGGCGCTTTGGGCGACACCTGATCAGAGTAGCAGACCGTGGTGCTTGGTTTCGTGCTAGACGAGGTAGACATGGACATTTGTTTGCCGCCGCTGAAGGTGAGTCCATTCCAGAGGTTTGCACGCGAGGTGGATGCTCCGGTGCTGGATTGCGAGAGGGTCGTGCTGGCCCAGATGTTGGAGAGAGGAAGGGAAAGGGTGACTAGGGTCAGGACGTTGGAGGATAGCTCGGGCACGTTCACGACGTATTGGAGGATGGAGAAGATGGCTGGATGTTGTTAGTCTTCCTGGTTTGTTTATGGGTTGGCCGGTAGGGTAGATGCGGTGGGTTGGATGAAGGAGAGGGAACGTACCTGGAATCACCAAAGTCTGACATCCCATGATGAAAATGACTTTCATAGGACCGAACTCCCTAACACCGAGCCTTTTGCGGAGATGGATGGCGAAGCCAAGTTTGACGACGAACACGGCACAGAAGATGCAGATGCTGATTGTCAGGGTGATGTTAGCTGCACTTTCCAGCCATTGAAGACTGTGAGGAACGGCAGCTTCCATGATGAGCATCGAGTTTAGGACCATGAGTGTGAAGCGGAAGCCCAGGGCCAGAAAGGCGATCACGCTCAACGCAACCACCAGGGAGCGGCGATAGCGACGACGGAGATTTGCGCATACGACCTCGACCTGGAGCAGCAAGGACGCTTCAAAGCAGATCAACTGCAGAGTAGGGAAGACGGTGCCCAGGACAGAACCGGCGTATGCAGATCTCGGCACTCTGGAATAGTCGCCTGAGAAATAAGGGTAGAGGCGCACGAAAGCCCCGGAGAAGAAGGTGACCTGGCAGACGGTACGACCGATGTTGCAGAGCAAGGCGGAAGCATTCAGGGCAAACACGGCCGAGCCACGCTTCTCGGGTCTGGTGAGCAGCAGCAGGATGACAAAAATGGCAATGGAGGCACCGAGCTGGGATGCGTAGTTGATGCAGCTGCGGATGCTGTACTGGATGAGGTTGGTGTCGACTTCGTCAACCGTGACCACAAACGGAGTGCCGTCCGCGTAGCGGAAGGTCAAAGGCTGGTTGAACGGGTCAAAATCCGAGTCGCTGTTTGCCATGATGGATTGATTGTCCACGCTCGAGCTGAGGGGAAAGGAGATGGCTTGTATGCGATATGCTGTACGACGTGGGAGCGAGTCGCGTGGTAGTCCGGGATGAAATTGTTTGCTTTCGATCAGAGAAACACGAAGGGAGAAGCGGGATAGAAGAGTTAGAAAGAAGATTGGATTTGTATAGAAAAGCCCTCCATGATAGACATTCGAGGCGAAGAAATTCCATGTGAATCTCAGCATTGTCGCCCCCGTCTGGCCGCTCAGGCACTTATTCTTGGAGGTTCATGGAGTGCAACACCTGAAACAAACAATGTATGTAGAGACCTTAAAGTCAGGTGTAACAATACTAACAGTGCAGGGGGCTTAAGACAATGGCATGACCAAGACTTTGTCTAGCTGGGTGACAAAGGTGACTGGGACTGCGATGTGGTAGCTAAGACCAACAATATGAAGCTGCAACAGAAGAACAATATCAAGACGGGACGCCCCGAACATGGCGCTTGCAGATGGAGTTTATTCACACCACATGCACCATCAGAGTCCGAGACTCCACACCCCTGAGGCGTAGGTGTCACTCTGGGACCGAGTCACTAATTAGACACGGGTGAATCATGGCCGTTTTTTGCTTCATGTGGCTCTAGTCGTCTCGTGTGAGTTGACACGGGAATCTTGGAGGGTACATCAGTCCCTACTCATTCCAAGATTGGACAGGCATCAAGGAAAAGGAGTCATCGTGGCGGCACAGGCAAATTAGAGGTATCACCCCAGTCTCCGCGATGAAATCGGTCGTTCTGTCGGTTTCCGTCTGGGCGCCACGCAGTACTTATGTTTGGTGTTCACATGGAAAGGTGGTCAGCAGACCAGACTGGCTCAGGCTCTTCTGGAAGCATTGTCAGGTCTGGCAAGCTGAACCACTGCATTCTGTGGGGGACAGCTGGGGTTAATGATAGGGGGCCGAGGAACTGGCCTATCAATCTCGCGTTGTGTTGCAGGAGCTATTGAAGACCACCAACTTCGCCTAAGATGGTTACATCAGCGTGTCAAATTGTGTTTTGTCATTTGAAAGATTGAGCGATTAGGCAGATTTGTCAATGTGCTTATAATGTATTATGGTAGCAAACAGCTCTTGACCGTATTGAGCACCTCGGCGCTAGCAATGGGGGCAATAGAGGTCATGGGGGAGACCCACCACCTCTGGATAGACTGCAGGGTTTGGAATGTAGTTGTATATCTATCTCTAATGGGCCGTCGCATCAATCGACCCGGGCCCAAAAGATGAAAGATGAGAGTTGCAGTTGAAGTCGAAGTCGAACGCGAATTGGAGATATAGATCGGCTGAGTCAGCCCCGCGTGACCAACCAAACCACCACCAATTCGTGTCCAAAGCTCCTTGAAGTTGCATGCTGCAGGTTCTGGATGCTTTCTTGCAAGGATTGATTATCTTGACTTCGCTCGATCATTTCCCTCGTCTTACATCTTTTCTTGCCGGCAGTCCGCAGCTCTCAGTCCGAATCTTGGCCCACCGGACGAAGCCAAGACCACTGCGGGGAGCCGATCGATGACCCTCGCGATCTCGTCACCTCCAAGCTCCCAGTCAATCATGCTCTCTGTCTTCGCACCTGCTCCGTCAACATGGCTGCGGTGCCGCAGAGGACGCTCAACTGGCTCTACAGTGTCCTGATTAGGGTATCTCACACCAGAAACTGTTCGGTTCCGTTCAATCCATGCTAACTCTCGCCAGGATCACTACGATTCCAGGCAGACTTATCAAGACCCCAACCGAACCTATTACGATGTCGCCAACGTGCTGGCCCAGTATCCATCCTTGTTTCCACGAACGGAGGTGTACAGTGAGTTCTCCAATGTGTCGCAATGCAGAATGAAACAGAAAAGACCCGATACTAACTACGCGTCTCGATCACTTCCAGCCTACGAGACCGGTTTCTCGGCCCTCCTACTCCAACTCTCGGGGACACTACCAGTGACATTTCGTGGCACCGTATACAAATTCCCGGTAGTACTATGGGTTCCCAATACCTATCCTCGCGAGCCACCCATTGTTTACGTCTCACCGACGAAGGATATGGCGGTTAGGGTTGGTCAGCATGTGACGTTGGAAGGGAGAGTCTATCATCATTATCTGGCACACTGGGCAGGGGCGTGGGAGGTGGGTGATAACTTCATGGATGGATCATACTGGGTGTGGCCAGACCACTGACGCATCATCGCAGAGATCATCGCTAGTCGACCTCGTCTCAATACTCCGAGAGGTGTTCGCCAAGGAGCCGCCCGTCCAGTATAAGCAGCAACAGCAGATACCCCAGCGACCTCAACAGCCACAACAAGTGCAAGCGCCGCCGCCTCGTCCTCCTCTTCCTCCAGAGCTTGGACCTCCAGCACATGCGTCTCCGACGACGCCGAGCGTACCTTCACCCCAGCCAGCAGCTCAGGCACCTCCTCCGCCTCCCCCGAAACCGGGCCAAGTAGTCAGTCCCGAGCAGCAGCAGCGAAGCACCCCCACATGGCAGAAAAACACCCCTCCCCCGATCCCTCCACTTCCACCAAAGGAGCAGGATCTCCGAAGAATATCGGTTCATCAGCATGCGGGTGTTGGCAGTCCCGGGAGTGGCCATCCGCAGTATGTTCCTGAGCGAGGTGGAGCACCAGAAGGACCGGCGAGTCCATATCATTATCATCCTCAACACCAGGCTCCCGTGACGCAGCCAATGCCGGCGCATACGCAAGGTCCAGCTCATCCTCCACTTGGCAATGGTATGGCCGCACATCCTCTATCTCAGAGTTTGCCACCTAGAGCGCATCCGCAACCGCCGCATATCCCACCTCAGCAGGCTTCGCCTCATCATGCGACATATCAACAGGCAGGCGCACAGTATCAGCATCCACTGCCGCATCCAGCTGCTGCGCATCCTTCCCCTCGCGCGCTCCACCATACCATCCCCGTTCCGCAACCTGCAGCGCAGCCGAAAAAAGAAACCCCCGACCTCCTTACTTCACCCTTCGAACTCGAACTCCCCTCGATTGCGCCCACCGGCCCGGCGCCCCCGATCCCTCCGAATCCCGAAAAAGACGCTCTCCTCCAAGCCGTGTCCAAGACTCTAGCCGAAACCCTCCAGACCAATGTCGCCCAGTCCGAAACCGCCGCTCACTCCCTTCTTTCGCAATCGCAATCCCTGCATGCCGCCGTCGCCACCCTGCAAGGCGAGATCTCCTCGCTGAACAAGTTCAACGCAACCTTGCAGTCCAACTCCTCCGTCCTGCAGCAGTCTCTCCACCGAGCCGACGCCGTCATCGCCGACGCCCAGACCCGTATCTCCTCGTCCACCGCGCCGGCGCAATCCAGCTCCGACCCCACCCCCTCCGGACTCCCTCCCATCGACGAAGTCCTCGTCGCCCCTACCGTCGTCGGCAAACAACTCTACGACCTCGTCGCCGAAGAGCGCGGCATCCAACAGGCCATCTACGCTCTCCAATCCGCCCTCGTAAAGGGCGTCATCGGCGTGGAGACTTGGTCGCGACATACGCGCGGTCTCGCGCGCGAAGCGTTCTTGAAACGCGCCTTGATTCGGAAAATCGGTAATGGTATGGGTCTGGAAGATCATCCTCACCCTTAGCTATCATTGTCAACTTCTCTTATATTGCGTCTTTCTCGGTTCGTCGATCTATCTATCTATCGATGCTATTGGTTCTGTTCTAGATATATTGCATCGTGATCTGGTCTGGTTGCTATCCGGCTCCTGCGCTTGTATATACCTCTCTGTCTATCTATCTCTCTATCCCCATGATTTCTCCATATGCAATTAGCTTCCTCCTTAATCTTCATCCTTCATCCTTTTCTCTGGTCCTGATTCTAGCCCCGTCCCGGTTCTAGTAGAATGCCATAAATGTCCGTTAAAGAACAAACAAATAAGATCTTATGCATAAATGGAGCTCACCGGCTAGAACGTAACATCATACACTTATGTGGTGGTGTACTCGCTATCTGTTCACTCAGTCGTATTGTCTTGACTACTATATATATGCGGAAGGCGAACGGCATATTTTACTATTACACTGCTATCTCATGTACTTACTGGGGTTTTCTTAGTAAGGTCCTTGTATGACTTATTCATTGAGAGACTCGGTGTGGTTGTGATAATGCCCATAGTCATGTGACATGGATGGATTCGCGACAGGGTGGGCAGCAGGGTTCAGGATAAATATACATGCACACCACATGGATACGATACATAGTTACAACGAAGCGGATACAAACGTCGAAAGGGCAGGCAAGAAACCCAACAGGCCGTCCTTTATTCCTAAGATAGATCAAATCAAAAAGCTCAATTGTTCATAGATACAAAGAAGTGGAGGACCAAAGAAAAATATCAAAAACATGGCTTCTATCAAGGCGGTCGGGATCCAACCCGACTAAGCAGCTTCCTGTTTGCGCCGATCACAAAGTATATAGAGAAAACGATCCGGGGAGGTATAAAAATGAAGGAATGAAAGGTATAGATAAGATATCAAAAATGAATGGGAATGGTATATTGCTTCTTTACTTTATTTATTTAACCTCGTTCGCGTCGGAAAATGGACTCTCGACACGAGCGGGAGGAGGACCTCTGCTGCTTCGGTTGGATCGAGTACCATCGTTGGTCTCCAGGTGAGACGACGTTCGTGACGTTCGTCGCGTATCGGCCTCTGTTGTGAGTTGGTCCGTGAAAGGACCTTGGTTGATAGCGGGCGAATCCTCGATCACGGTCGGTGCTCGCGACTGTGGTTCAGATTGGGCGGTCTCGCTAGGTTTGGCATCGCTGGGGGTGGGTCGAGAGGCGTCGGCTTCGTCTTCTGACGAGCTGGCGTCGAATCCAGAGGTGGACTGGTCGGCTGCTTTGTTGGGAGTAGAAGCGCTCGATTCTGACCGCTCGGAAATCGTCTGCACTGCGGGGGACTTGGTGTCGTTCTTGTTCACGTTCTTCTTCTTCGAAGATCCTCTGACCATGACCGGCTTGGCAACCATGGTCCGCGCCACGATCGAACTGTTGGCGTTAGGGTTGGCAACGCCCGCCTTGGCGAGTTGAGCCTGCGTGATTGCGGGAACAGCAGGTGCGTCGGGTGCCGCCTGAACCGTCTGAGGGGGATCGTTAGGTCCGTTGTGGATGCTGACGACGGCAGCTCGGGTACGCATGGCTTGCTGCGCAGGCATAGGGCTGACAATGGCGTTGTTGCGGTAGATCGTGGTGGCAACGCTGCTGCGCAGGCTGGGTGCAATGCTCTGGCGCTCCTGCGTCGTCATGTCGGACCAAGACGAGTCGCGCAAGTCACCGGGCATAAAGAAATGCTGATCCGGGTGAGCACCAGGAAGCGGGGGAACAGGAGGCACGAGCGGGGTTTCCGGGGGTGATCGGTTGGTAACACCAGGGATGTAGGCAATCTGGATGACGTTGGATGCGCGGGTGAGGACGGTAGAGGCGATAGAATGGGTCGATTTTCTGGAAGGGTTGGCAGATGGCGATGTGGACGATTTTTCGCCGTCGGCGGCGGCTTGCTGAGCGTACTCCTTACGCTTCTTGCGAATGAAGAACCACCATACTAGGAACGTAACGATTGCAACAAAGGCGACACCACCGATGACACCACCTGCAATGGCACCCGCATTGTTTCCACCCCCTGACGAGCTGCCCCCGGAGTTCGAGTCGCTGGGGGATGGGATACATTTCGTAGTGGCACACTGGTCGCAAGACTGACTGACCATGGTACAGGTGTAGCCGTCATCGCAAGTAGGGCATGAGGGCGCAGAGTCCGAGCATTTGACACATCGCTTAAAGATGGATCGTGAAGAGAGGACTTTGGGAAGGGATCCATTAGTAGAGCAACAAAAGATGGTTTTGGACGAACAAGCATACCGTTAGGAGAGGAAGACGGGTTGGTAGAATCGAAAGCCATGATGGATGGTGTAAAGGACTGAGGATGGGAAGTTGAGGAAGGAAAAGAGAGGTGGAAAGAGATCAAAGGTCGTGAGAGGAAAAGACAGGACGGTCAAAGAAAAAGAGAGCGACGGGCCGGTCAACGGCGGAAAGAGCGTGAAAGAAGACGGTTCAAAAGAGAGTGGGATGCTCGAGTAGACGTCCAGTCGTGAGCGTTATCGCTAGTTCATACAAAAAAGAGATATTCAAAAAGCAAACGTCTTTACTGAAGCGAGTGAACGAAAGTGTTGATAAAGATGTCGAGGTAAACGCAGGCAAGACCGGTCATAGTTCTTCGAGATGGCGAGGTACTGGGAATATCGAGAGAGTCGCTCTAGGGATTCTTCCAGTCAAGCGTGTTGGCGAGTCACCGCGATGGACGAGTCAAACCCGGAACATTGATAGGCTGCTTCACGGAAGTCGGGTAAGTCGACGTCGGGAGTACACGCGATGCGGCTGCCAGGTACCACCGCAGTGACAACGAGGCTCAGGGGAAAGTATCCGGTGGCTGGATAGACCTCCGCGGGGAAAGGGTGTATAAATGGAGGGGGTGTAGCAAGAGAGAGGGGGAAGGGGAAGGGAATGGAGGAAAGAAATCAAAAGAAAGGATGAAGGAGGAATGAGGAATGAGGAAATGAGGAATCAGACGGGACGGGAGAGAGCGAGAGAGAGAGAGAGAGGAAGAAGGAGGGTGGGTTGCGGGTGGAGTGCCCACTGCGAGCCAGACCTTTTGGCTTTCGCTTCGCAGCCACGTCGTTACGCCCACTTGAACCGTTCTTATCGCCACGGCATGCACGGTCGAGAGACGGGCAGTTATCCATTGTTGTTGATGATTCCTCTCAGTAAGCAATTCAACTACACGACCGGTGAAGACGTTGGTCGTTGACAGAGTTTGTTTATTCTTTTCTCTCTATCCGTGGTAAACATTCCTCCTTTTTTGGTACTTCCCAAACACTGGCCGGAGTATACTAGAAATAGTAAATTGTTCCGTGGTACCTGGAACGGGTACGAGTGCGACGCATGGAAGGACAGAACCCAAGTAGGATGTACGGAGTAAGGATGCCTTCAATCCAAGCAGGAACGAACAGTGGTACTTTAGACAGGGCAGTAATGTGCATCCCGCCCGTCATCCCGATGATGCCCCTGACATAGGAGGAATCCTTTCCTTACTGCGTACGGAGTACTCCGTGTATGCACTACAGAAGTGCGTGGGCATAGGCAGCCCCTGGTCCAGACCGGCCCACGTTCCTCCCGGGAGATTACGCCCTCCCCCGGCGTCCAATCAGCGGGTCAGCCACACCTCCTCGTTGGCCTCAGGAACGTAAGATTTATTCGTCTTCATTTTATTTCGCATGTAGACTGTAGTAGTCACCTATAATTATTTATTAACTAGTTAATTATTCCGTGGACCGTCATCGAGTCTCGATCTCGGGGTCGACTTGGATAAAGTCTGGCCCGATGGTGTACAAAGAAGTGGCATGTCTTTACTCCGTGAGCACTAGCCACCACGCTGCACAGGGCCATGCAATGCGCCATTTTCCTTGGAGGACCGCTTATTAGCACCGTAGATCCGGAAGGGAGAATGATGTCTGAACTGTCAATATAATTTGAAACGTCCAAGGAACTCAACCCCATGGATCATCTACGGTTCCTAGAATTGATCATGTTTCAACAGCCGATCAGGGCTTTTCCGCCCCGCATCGGCCATTTGAGAGTTGAACTTGGCGACCGCGCTGATTCATTATTTGTTGTGCCACTGGTGACAGGATTTATAGTTTGGTCTATGTTTATATATAGACTTTTTTTTCTTCTGTACCTTGCGAGTCGGTGGTTTGATAATTTGTTATACCGTCAGGAGCGAAGAACTAGAATATACATCACTTCATGTAGGAGTTGCTCCCAGGGTCGACATACTATATATATCTCATCCCCATGTGTTCGTAGTCGGATTCTCCAACACCAACGATCGGCAGGGATTGAGGAATATAGTTTGAATTGTACTATTGTAGTGTTCCCGATACTTTCTGTTTCGAAATTAGTTCTCTCTATTTTGAGTACATGTAGAACTTCGCACGGCCCATCTGTAGGCGTCTACGGCGTCGGTGCCTGAGGTGTAAACTGCCAAGCTTCGCGCCGTTTGCCCGGTCCTTCTATGAGCATTTCGCGTCCATCCAAGTCCTTTTTCTTCCTCCAACGACCAATCCGTTTTGGCTATTCAATTGACCATTTGGCCACAGTGGCGGGCACTTCACACCTAGAACTTCCATTCATCGATATACATACCATACACAAATGCATCGGTGCCACGGACTTGACTATGACTAAACTGATGCCAGTAACTAGAATCGTTCTCTACAAGCAAACATCAAGCTGCGATATGACGTCCATAGTGTGCACATTCCATACATGTAGATTGCATCATTGCATCATTGCCAATTTTCTTTTTCTTTTCCGCGGCGGCCAGATTCCGAACGGTAACCCTTGCCTCTCGCGTATTACAGGGAATAAAATATAGAAGTATGTACTGTACACCATGTGACTGGACAATTGAATGCTACTGTACAATGTAACAAGCCATGTAGAAGGGTTACATGCGTGGAAAAACACGGACAGGGATATGGATATGTGTGTGGACTGCCACGCGCTACCCGGCTAGAAAGTTCTGAGGTCGCGAGGAGGCGGGAGGGACAATGCGAGTATAGAGGCTTGGTCACAGTCACATTACTAGTTAAGCGAATTAACTATCTACGACTGAGGGATATTCATGCCTATAGTAAAGCCAACATAAATAGGGTTGGGGTATCATGTGAAAAACATCTCCATTTCATTTTATATATACTTCAAGCCAAGCATCGTGGATAAGGTTTATTTACAGTAGATGCACAGATTCTGTAGGCAGCGCGATGCGGAAATTTAAATCCTGCCAGGTACGCGATGGAGAAATCCACTCGGAAGGGGTGCAGAGGACAAGACTTGGGGGTATGCTTGTCAACGTGGATTACTCCTACTCCGTGTGCCGTTCGCGTTTATTTTATACTATTTTCAATTAAATTTGATTATTGTGTCCATCTTCATTTGCTTTGATTTGATCATTCGCTAGTGTCTTGTACTCTAGTCTGTACCACATTTCACTATGGGAAGAAAAAGGGATGAGGTGGTGCTCAGTAGATACCTTAGGCAACAGGCAGAAACGTAAATTGACACCGCAGACGACCGTTTCTGTTTCATCATTCCAGAATAGAACGCTCTGATATCCCCAACGCGCGACCAGGATTATTGCAGAAAATGCATTCTTTGTGGCGGTGGAATCTGGTTGCCGTTGTGATCCTCGACGATCAACGGATGATCCCAAACGCAGAGGGTAGGTAATTGATCCTTATTCTTGAGAAGGCGACGAGATGAGATCATTCACTGCACAGAATGTCTCCAGCAGTTATGTCTGTTCAACGGCCTCGTCTCGGTTCATATTATGTCATTCACAATCCCAACCTTCTACGTACGGCTGTCTGTCTTGACTCGACTCTTGACGGAAAGTCGTGACCGTGGTACACTACGGCACTACTCCGTACGGTGTACTCCGCATGGGCTCTGTTCTGGATAGCGGCGTCCAGAGGCTAAGAATAGCAATGGAAGACAACTAGAAAGACTAACTAGCCTTCGGTGGCAGTGATGATCATCAGCCTCGCCTTAAACTAGACTAAACTATTCCTTAGCTTGAGCTCCGTTCCAAACCTTCAGTAAATTTGGAACTGGAGAGACCTCGAAATTAGGGCCCGTTGGTAAGACGGGTGAGATGACTGATGTACACACCGCCGAAGTAGTTGGTGATGAGAGAGAAAGTGTGAAAGGAAAATGACCCAAACCAAACCGTCAAGACGAGGAGAACCTCATTGGCAGCCAAGGATGAAACGGCGGACTTGAGGGAGGGGAGCATGACAGCCTTCGTCCTTTGATTTCATTATTGACTCGGTTTGGCACACTTTTTAGCGCGCTCCGGTGGCGCCTCGACTGACCAACGGTCGTTAAACACGGTTTCCCGAGTGGGGAAGAGCGTTCCCCACAAGGCTATTTCGGGCTAGTGGGGTTTGCCCTTTCCAGCAATCGGGCGGCCCCCCCGCCCCCTGAAACTTTCGTATGTGTTTGGTGGCTGTTCTGCCTGGGCGCCTTACAGCCTCCGTACTTGTACTATACGGAGGAAGTATAGGTAGGTGGTAAGGCTATGGAGTATAGATGAGTTGAGGAGATGTATACACGGAGTAGATGCACGAATCAATCAGTCTGATTGGGTAGTTTAACCACAATAAACATCCGTCCAATGCACCGACCCTGGCAGTCATGCTGGCGAGGGATACTACGGAATGCTCGAGAGAAGATCGACTCCCGTTTGACCTCGAGAACAAAGAATGAGATGGCTTCCATGTATGAAGGAGCACTTCCTTACCGCTGCAGGCTGAGGTCACGGTCAAGTCATCATTCTCCCACCAAGACCCCGAGGACACATCGCCAGAGTGCTGAGTACGATAGCTGCATGTCATCCCGATACGGACGCTCCGTGCCTCTGCGGTCAGCCGGTCGGACATCATCATGAGCCAATGGTGCCGATCGAAGACACCATAGCTGGTCTCTACCGAGTGACTGGAGGGTGGAAGTCGATTGCCCCGGCTGAGGGAGTGTAGGTATTGAATCCGCCCCTTGTATTGGTTTTACTCCGTTTGGTACGAGATCAGGTATCTGTGGCAAGGGAGAAGCAGCAGTTGAACTTGAAGATCGTTAAGGGGGAGGAAAGCCCGGGGAAGTTTCGGCAGGATTGACCTGGACCATATCCTCTCCAGAGCGCCAGACGCTGGAAGTGAAATCACATCAGACGCAATGAGAAGGAGGTTGGACATTGTACTCAAGATACCCAGGAATTGTATATCGGATATTGTACGGCGTCAAGAATCAAAAGGCCAACCAAAAATACCGGCAGGAGGCTGATTGCTCTCCGTCGCGCTGGGATTCCTTTGCATCTCCACTCGCGCTTCTCACTATCTGACTCTAGTCGACCCTCGAAGCTGTTGGATCGCTTTTTATTCCTTTTATTTTTATTTCGCCCTTTTTATTGGACTTGATTTTTTTCCTTTTCTTTTTTTTTTCTGTCTCTTGAAATTTTGTCCTTTTAATTTTTTGATTTTTCTTTTCTTGCCCTGAGACTGTGAGACATCTGTCCGTATCGTTCCCTACCACTTTTTTTTTTTATTAGTAGTATTATCAAGTATCGTGTTTTTTTTCCTTCTTTTTTTTCCCTCTTGTATTCTACTCCCTCCCCCTTTCTATCTTCTGCCCCTCCCAGCTTCAACTTGGGAATTTTCTCTCGTCCTCTCTGTCGCTATACAGAGAACCATTCCTTTGAAGCGTAGCTGTCGTTCTTGAACCGGGGTTGCTCGCTCGTCTTTCTCTTTGAGTTTACGGGCTTCCATCTTAGCCCTGGCGGCTTCTTCCACGTTCCTGCTGTGCCCGCGCCCCCCTCCGCCAGCTTCGCCTTTCCATTATTCCTGGCTCCTTTGATTTTGGGGTCCCTTTTTTTTTTAGTCTCTTTTCTTTACTTGCCTCTTCCTTTTCTTTTCCCCATTCGCTTCGATCTTTCCCTCTTTTTCTTGCCTTCTTCAATTCTTCGAGGTCTTGTCGGCCTCGTTTATTGTTGACCGACCTTCACCTTTTTCCACGGTCGACTCCCTTACTCTCCCTCTTTTCCTGATACCCCCTTTCCGTTCTTCTACCCTTGCGTTCGAGCTCGTGTTGTCTTCACCGTGCGAGGTCGTCGCTTGAAATAATATTGTGAATATGGCCTACCAAGGCACTGGCGCTCAGTCGCCGAGTTACGAGGGAGGAAACACTGGTCATCAACTTCAGGATGTTCCTCATGGTGCTTCTCCGGTACGTTCTCCCGCGCTGATCGGCGAGGCTTGGTTTTGTTTTCTTTTTTCCCTCCCGCATCCCCCCATCCGCAACTGCAAAACTAAGGATTTGTTCCTCAATTTAGTACGGTGAAAACCATGAAGAAGAAGCCTCGAGAGGTTTGCTGTCCAACCAGCAGGGTCCCTTCTCCGGTCCCTTCGACGACCCTCACCAGCGTGGATTGTCCCCTGGACCGCGACCCACCTCTGGCTACAGCTTGACCGAAACTTATGCCCCCGACGCCGGTTTCCAGGATCCCTACAGTGGAAACGGCTCGGTTTACTCGGGCCATTCGGCGGAAAACCCTGCAACTGCTTTCGGTGTTCCCGGCCGTGTCGCTTCTCCTTATGCCCGGAGTGAAACTTCGTCTACGGAGGCATGGAGACAGCGCCAGGCTCCCGGAGGCAACGGCGGCACTGGTGGTGGCGGCGGTGGTTTGCGCCGTTATGCCACCAGAAAGGTTAAGCTGGTCCAGGGTTCCGTGCTGAGTGTCGATTACCCCGTGCCCAGCGCCATCCAAAACGCCATCCAGGCTAAGTATCGGAACGATCTCGAGGGTGGAAGCGAGGAATTTACACACATGCGATGTGAGTGGGCGATCTTACATGGAGGGAATAGGAATGTGGGGGACTTCGCGATCAAAAGCTAATGTGCCATGCTGCACCGTCCAGACACTGCCGCGACGTGTGATCCCAACGATTTCACTCTGCACAATGGTTACAACCTTCGACCTGCGATGTATAACCGTCACACCGAGCTCCTCATCGCCATTACATACTATAACGAAGACAAGACGCTTACAGCGCGTACATTGCACGGTGTCATGCAGAACATCCGTGACATCGTCAACTTGAAGAAGTCCGAGTTCTGGAACAAGGGTGGCCCCGCTTGGCAGAAGATTGTCGTGGCCTTGGTGTTCGACGGTATCGATCCTTGCGACAAGGATACCCTGGATGTCTTGGCTACCATCGGTATCTACCAGGATGGTGTCATGAAGCGTGATGTTGATGGCAAGGAAACCGTGGCCCACATTGTATGTGAAGAACTTTGCGGCCTGATGAGCGACAAAGAACTAACAGCTGCCAGTTCGAATACACGACGCAATTGTCCGTTACTCCCAACCAACAGCTCATCAGGCCCACTGATGACGGCCCTACTACCCTCCCTCCCGTGCAGATGATGTTCTGTTTGAAGCAGAAGAACACCAAGAAGATCAACTCTCACAGATGGCTCTTCAACGGTTTCGGCCGTATCCTCAACCCTGAAGTGTGTATTCTTCTCGATGCCGGTACCAAGCCCGGCCCCAAGTCGCTGCTCGCCCTGTGGGAGGGCTTCTACAACGACAAGGATCTCGGAGGTGCCTGCGGTGAAATTCACGCCATGTTGGGTAAGGGTTGGAAGAACCTGATTAATCCCTTGGTCGCGGCACAGAACTTCGAGTACAAGATCAGTAATATCCTCGACAAGCCCCTGGAAAGTTCGTTCGGATACGTCAGTGTGTTGCCCGGTGCTTTCTCCGCCTACCGATTCCGCGCTATCATGGGTCGTCCTCTCGAACAATATTTCCACGGTGACCACACTCTTTCCAAACAGCTCGGAAAGAAGGGTATTGAGGGTATGAACATTTTCAAGAAGAACATGTTCTTGGCCGAAGATCGTATTCTTTGTTTCGAGTTGGTCGCTAAGGCCGGCTCCAAGTGGCACTTGACCTATGTGAAGGCCTCCAAGGGTGAAACCGATGTGCCCGAAGGTGCCGCCGAATTCATCTCCCAGCGTCGTCGTTGGCTGAACGGTTCTTTTGCCGCCGGTATTTACTCGCTCATGCACTTCGGTCGTATGTATAAGAGTGGACACAACTTGGTCCGAATGTTCTTCCTGCACATTCAGATGTTGTACAACGTTTTCAACACTTTCCTTACGTGGTTCTCTTTGGCGTCTTACTGGCTCACGACTTCGGTTATCATGGACTTGGTCGGAACCCCCAGCAAGAACAACGACTTCACCAGTTTCCCCTTCGGCAAAACCGCCACTCCCATTGTGAACACCATTCTGAAATATATGTACCTCGCATTCTTGCTGTTGCAGTTCATTCTTGCGCTGGGTAACCGTCCGAAGGGTTCGAAGTACTCCTACCTTGCCTCCTTTATTGTCTTCGGTGTCATCCAGATCTACGTTGTCATTGATGCGCTGTACTTGGTCGTCCGTGCCTTCAGCGGCGGCTCTCCGATGGATTTCGATACCGACCACGGTCTCGGAGCGTTCTTGAACTCTTTCTTCGGATCTACCGGTGCCGGTATCATCATTATCGCCCTTGCTGCCACCTTCGGTCTCTACTTCGTTGCTTCGTTCATGTACCTGGACCCCTGGCACATGTTCACTTCGTTCCCCGCCTACATGGCCGTGCAGTCTTCCTTCATCAACATCCTCAACGTGTATGCCTTCAGCAACTGGCACGACGTCTCGTGGGGTACCAAGGGTTCCGACAAGGCCGATGCGCTGCCTTCCGCCAAGACCACCTCGGAGGAAGGCAAGGAAGCGGTGATAGAAGAAATCGACAAGCCGCAGGCCGATATCGATAGTCAGTTTGAAGCTACCGTGAAGCGCGCCCTGACCCCTTATGTGGCTCCCGTCGAGCACGAGGAGAAGTCTCTGGATGATTCGTACAAGAGTTTCCGTACGCGTCTGGTTACGCTTTGGATCTTCAGCAACGGCTTGATGGCTGTTTGCATTACCAGTGACGGTGTTGACAAGTTTGGTTTCACGGTAAGTTCCTCCTTTTCCACTGGTCTTTTCCTACTGGACTTTTGATCTCTAGAGCGTAAACTAACTTTTACTCTGCAGAATACCGCTACCGACCGGACACAGCGATTCTTCCAGGCCCTTCTATGGTCTACCGCCATCATGGCGCTCTTCCGTTTCATCGGTGCCTGTTGGTTCCTGGGTAAGACTGGTATCATGTGCTGCTTCGCCCGGCGGTAGAGAGCGAACAAGAAGCCTCCTTTTTTGTGATGAGAAAAAAAAAGGGTGTCTGCCTTGTCGAGAAGTGATTTCAGGCACATTTGTTGCAATTTTGTATTCTACATACGATGCCCATACCTTTGTCCTTGTTTTATTCCATCCTTTCTTTTCATTATTCTCTCTTTCTTTCTTCCTCTTTGTTTCATTTTAACTTCTTTCCTCTTTCTCTTTTTTCCTGTTGATCTGCTACACTGTCATTGTTGGATTTACACGGTTGACAGGGCCGCAGACACTTTGATGTTTAGTAGAGTCTTAGCGGTTAGAATCACTCGGATGCATTCATGGCGCAATGGCCGTGAAAGGAACAATTACTTGGTAGATTGATCGTAACAGCAGCCCCCGTAGGCGTAGTCGAAAGTAGGCATCCGGCGGAGTTGCCGCCTTGGGAGGCGGTGATGAGTGATGGCCCATGGCGTCAGGCTGCCCCGTCATGCTTTTTCAGCTGTCCATCATTAACTGGCCCGGTACTTTTTACCTTGTGCACAACACGCCTTTGACTCCCGACTTCCTCGAGCCTTCTTCTCCTTTCTCCTACCTGGCTCTTACTCTTCTCTCTGGAATCCCTTCGCTATCTTCGCCTATCCTCGCCCTGCGCCACTGGCCCTTTTTCTGCCGCCGTTCGAGTGGAGAAAACCCCTTCACTTTGCCGCTCCACTGCTCTTGGACCCCGCAGGTCTGACGCTGCTTGTTCTCTGTCATTCTTGACATCACCTGGCTCAGGAGGTTCTTGGTCTTCTCTATAGAATTTGATTGGCGGAGTGCTTGCTATAGTAACCTTTCCCGCTTGCTCTATTTCTTCTGTTCTTGTTCGTCCGAAGGATTAAGGATTGGGGTCGCGTGGCGGCGGTTTCTTGAGTTTGCAAGATGTTGAAGATATGGTCTATGGTATGTTTTATTCCTTGTGTTGGCTTGCTCTTGTCGGGGTTGAGTGTGCTTGTGGTGTGCGTGTTTGGGGATATGGGCTGACTTTCTCTCTCGCTGGTCTGCAGAAACAGAAACAGCAACAAGCTGAAAATGCCGAAGGCGCTGCTGGGAAGAAGAAGAAGAAGGTCACGGCTGCTCAGCTTCGCGTGCAACGAGGTACGATTCAATGTTCCTTATCCAAACCATTCCTTGCAAAGTCAGAGTCAGAGTCAAAGTCAGAACGAAGACAGAAGGCAGAAGGCAGAAAGGCAACACATTCCCCCAAAACGAACCTCACTAACCAACTACCCAATGGGCTTTCTATGACAAACAGACCTCAACGAACTCACCCTCGGCAGCACAATGAAAATGTCCTTCCCGAACCCAGACGACATCCTCAACTTCATCCTCACCATCGAGCCCGACGAGGGCATGTACAAGGGCGGCGCCTTCCACTTCAACTTTGCCGTGAACCAGAACTTCCCGCATGACCCGCCTAAGGTCAAGTGCTCGCAGAAGATCTACCATCCGAATATCGATCTGGAGGGGAACGTTTGCTTGAATATTCTCAGGGAGGATTGGAAGCCTGTGTTGAATTTGAATGCGGTTATTGTGGGCATGCAGGTTTGTTTCCCCCCACTTCTCTCATACCTGCTTTGTTTTGTGTGTGGTTTGGTTGTTGTTGCTGGGTGCAGGGGTGCATAACTTGATGTGTGCTAAACTGACTGACTGTGATATAGTTCCTGTTCCTCGAGCCCAACGCCTCCGATCCCCTCAATAAAGAAGCTGCCGATGACCTCCGCCAGAACCGCGATGCCTTTAAGCGGAACGTGCGCACGTCGATGGGCGGAGGGGCCGTGCGAGGCGTGCAGTATGAGCGCGTCATGAAATAAATATGACTCGGTTGGCCTATTTGCTCTCGTTCTCGGCGTGGATGGGACACGCGCAGGCAGATGGTATCGAGCCAGAAAGAGCCGTGACTGCTTGCTCCTGGACCTTGCGCTGAGAAGTCGGTTCAAGAGTCCTGGTCAGCGTCAGCCCGTCAGTCTGTCAAATTGGTCTGAGCGGAGCTGAAATGGCCTGGCCTGGCCTGGCCTAGACCAAGTTAAGAGAGCGATGAGATGAAATTACGGCGGAAATGAGTATCATTTACGGACGGCAAGAGGAGGAAATTAAAGGAAAGGTAGAAGGATCTCAGGATCCTGGGTTTGATCTCTGGTGCATCATCATCTTTTTTTATTTTTCTTTATAACTGAATTAATTAGCGACTGGATAGATTTTATTGTTCACGAACGCAATGAATATATGGTATGGTGATTCTTTTTTTATTATTAATCTTATATATTATCTAATGTTGTTTGAGATGCTGTTATCAAGTCTCTTGGATCGGGTTGTGTCAGTTTGGGGTTTTGTTTTGACCTTTCTGATTTCAAATTCGATTTCTTCTATAGAGAGAGAAAGAGTGTGTCCATTGCAGTATATCGACGTCCGGTTCTTTTTGGGCCGAGGAATCAGAGAGTTTGTCAGTACCCAAGGATACTTCAGTATAGCATAGCATTATACTACGAAGACGGATCCATCCACTACACTACGCCATGAACCGTCCGGACATGCCTAAGACGTACAATGCATTCCAGGGTCAGATCAGGATCACCGGAGAAGCATTACGAATAATGGAGATGATATAGCAACAACAAAGGAAACCAGTTGGAGTACCGTAGGGAACAAGAAAAACAGCTATATATACAGCCAATCAACTTAAGATAACTAACTAAACAATGGAGAGATAAAGAGAGAGAGAGTAATTGAACATGTTTTTGGCTTTCTTTCATTTCTCCCATACTTTGATGCGATTTCATTCACTCTTGTCTGTAGGTATGATCCGTCCGTCCGTTTGGGATACTAAACTCTTTAATTGAGTCGAGGGTATAACGCGATACATGTGGTCATGGCCAGCCGATATAGAGAACACAGAAACTTGACATTGACAAGGCTGGCTCGGCCGGTCCTTCTCCGAACAGATCAGGGTATACTGAAAAAGTTGATCGGATGCGGAATAGTGATTGATGGTACTTCGTTCGGCGGGATCCAGGAACGGAGGTAGCTTATTGTCGTGTATCGAGTGTTGTCAGGACGGACGGTGCAGATCCATCAAATGAACGAATCTAAGCGGCCTGGGCGGCGCGCTCCTGCTCGAGACGGGTGTAGTAGGTGTCACGGGCGCGGACGCGGGGGAGGTGGAAGCCTATTTGATTGTTAGGGTGTTTGTTGGGAGGAGAGGAGGATCTTGTCTGGGATGATATAACGTACCGTACCACCAGAGGTAGCCGAAAGTGGTACCGAAGCCTGGAGGTGAAAGATGGGGTTAGTTTTTGACGTGCGGAGGAGCATTGGTGGGAGGTGGTTTTGTATTCGTCAAGACAGCGAGATATTGGGACCTGGAGGGAAGGTTTCTGCTGTCGATCTGCCTGTCCATGACTGTCTTGATTTTCCGATCGTGTGCTCGCGACATGCTGAATGGGTGACGGATGGAGGATAATCGGTCAAGACTCACCGAAAGCAGTGCTCAGGTCAAGGACCAGGCTGCGGCGGAGCATCTATAACAACTAGTCAGCTCATCTGTCCAAGCAATATCTCTGTAATTGACAGCTGCAGTGTGGGCTGGAGTTGATTTCAAGCTCAACCCAGCCCTCCCGTCAAGCCGAGCGGAAACATTCGGGTGTGGGAATCACGTACGCCAGTGATAGGAGCGACACCGGCCATTGTGAAAGATGGAAGAGAGAATGCGACTCGAGAGGCGGATCCGAAGTGATTGCAGCAGAGAATGAGCTGCGTTGGGTGGGTGGTGGGGGAGTGGAGGTGGAGAGCAGAGAGGGGGAGAAAGTGATGATGTTCGAGAAAGTCGAGGTGAAGCTTTCCGGTCGCACGTAAGCGACGGCTGTGAGTGGCCTGATGGCCTGACGGATTCTGGATGCGGCAGGGTCCTGGTGGTGCAATGTTCACTCTCGTTTACCGTCTATTGATGAGCATGACTATTCTTGGTCATGATTTTACTATTCTCTCACTTAAAAATGTATCTTGTTGTTCAACTATTATGAATACTCTTTCCTGGCATTCGCTGCCTGGATACCTGACGCTGCCTGAGGTATATAGCTCACGTGACCTCCCGAAGACTTGTTTGGCTTCGTCACGCCGTCTCTTGTCTACGCTCACCCTCATCCCCGACTTGCCGCCATGCTCACCTCGGAGCCTACCCTCAAACGCTCCTCCTCGTCGCTCTCAGCCCAGAAAAATGGCCCAGATGCTAAGCGCCTAAAGCGCCCCTACCATCATCACCACCGTCTACAGAATCCCGTCAACCCAGCCATCCCGGAACCCGCGATCTCAGATGCCTCCTCGGTCGACCATTTGATGAAACGCTCTATCGGGCAGTCTCTACGACAATCTGGATTCGACCTGGCTGATCCGGTTGCGCTGGATGGATTCCACAATGCCGCGGAAGAATGTATGTTTGCGATAGAAGGAAGAAAGCAAAATGAATCATGATGCTGATGAGTGTTTCCCGCTCAGATCTTCTCAAGTTCGCCTCATATATCCGTCAGTCGATGCTATCGAGCCGTCGCATCCAGCCTATACCCCAAGACTTCGAACATGCGTTGAAAAGACATTCCCTGCGCCTGGACGACCTCATCCCGCACACTAAGCCTCCCCCGACCTCTGAGCCGATTCCTACACTCCTACCCAGTCCTCCGCCGGAAGACGACTCCTTCAAAACCCTGCCCTCTCTCGGACCCCAGCTGAGCGGCGAAGACGACCGAGTGCGAAGCGCACACATCCCGAAACATTTCCCGGAATTCCCGAGTAAACATACCTACCGGCACACGCCCGTCTTTACAGAAAGAGAACAAGATGCGCGGAAGATCCGCGAGCGCGCGACGGAGGACGGTCGGCACGGAGAAGAAGCCCTGCGCAAGCTGGCTCGCGCAGCGTTCAAGGACAATCAACTTGGAGCGGCCGGTCGCGACAAGAAAGCATGGGGCAAGAGAACGGAGAGCATGGATAGTATGTTTGAAAAGACGATCAAGGCCATGTTGAAGAAGACGCCCAAGGGCCTGCCCGCGCCGGGAGCCTCAGGGCCCATGGAAATCGACTCCGGGGCTGCCGCCGATGCAGATGTCAAATCGGCTCGGAACAAGACGGCTCTCAGCATCGAGCTGCCACCGATCATCAACTGCGAACGAGATCTTTGGCGCAAGTCGACGGGATCGCGGGATCGCAGACCAGAGGAGAAGACCCCCGGGTCGAAGGACAATCCGAATTTACCCCGAGTGGAGAACTGGGTGAGCACATAATTGGGGGCATGTTTCTCGGAAGGAGCGGATTGGTTTCACGGCGTTTGGACATTTTGTAATTGTAGCCATAACTCGTCAAGATACCCATGCAGTTGATTTGGAATGCTTAACTGGGCTGATAAAGATAGAAAAAAAGATGTGTAGTTGGTATCCAAAGCCAAAATGTAGAGAACGCCCGTCTTCCCAACTCCGTAGCAATGCAATACGATCAATCGTCCTATGTGCTCCCAGCTTTCGAATCTCCCTCTGCAGCTTTGCGCTTCGCCTCTTCGGCCTGTCGAATCGGTTCCCAAGCAGTCGTCTCAACGGTCAATCCATTCGCGCACCTAACAGAACCGGAGGAATTAGCTTAGCTTCTCCAAGTCCAGACAGACCTAATCCATCTGCAAAGCAGCAAGCAAGACAAAGACAGAAGACAGAAAGAAACATACCGTCTAAAGAGCCTGACGACCGGCTTACAAACCACCACGCCCGGCTTGGGAATCCCATCCTGTGGCGGATTGCACGAGTACTGGACCATTTCTAGGAGCTTGCATTTCTCCAGCTCGACGGGTCCGCCTTTGCGACGCCGCTCGACGAAGTTCTTGCGAATGATGCTGACATGGTCGGGGAGGGATTCGGCGTGAAAGACGGGGACGAGAGGCGCCATTTCTTTTGGTTGGGATGAGAGGACGCGAGGATGGTGGAAATAGAGGAGGATGTGAAGTGGGTTGGTTGGGAGGTCTGGTCTGATCGGATTTGATGCGATTGCGGTTTCTCTTGGCGGGTGGTTTTGTCTTCCGACAACTACTTCGCTATTTGCCCTTGGGGTGCATACTTCGGGCTGGGACTACGACAGAATCTTCTGGTTGATTGTTTTATTATGATTGGGTAAATTGTTGTGTCATCATGTCGGATTCTTTATGAATTTTGTCAATCTGCATAGGCAGGAGTGTCGTCAGCCATGGCCGCCGAGCTCGGGGAGAAATTGCTCGGCGAGGTGCACGAAGAACGATTAGACGAGGTATGTCTGCTGCGATGTTTATCTTTAGATTAATACATTTCTATGATCCCCTCTGGTTGTCAGCAGTCGAACTGTCATGCATGTCCACACGCTAACGACTCTAGCTCCTGCATGACCTGCGAACCATCTACGAGAATGTCGAGGATGGTGCTCTGAGACATCCACTGGGTGTTACGGAGATCGATGACTTGCTGGATGTGTTCATGCAGAGGACCCCTGTGCAACCGGTCCAGGGACATCCGGATCTGCCGCCATTGGAAGAGACCGACCCTGCTATGGACGATGGCGAAGGCGAAGACGAGGAATATGCTCATGATCAGGAACACGACCCTGCTCAAGATGATATCCCCATGAATGCGCCCTCGTGGGAGGATGTTCCCGCGCCAACTCACGTCCCTCGCGACACGGTTCTCGAAATATCAAGTACCTCGTCCGCGGCCGGGAAGTCTCAGTTACTATACTATCTCGCAGCCATGGCGGTCTTGCCGGCCATGTTCGCTGGACAGAGGTTAGGAGGGCATGAATCTGCCATTGTCTTCTTTGACACGGACGGTAGATTTGAAGCCGACAGACTACGAACTATCGCTCGCGGTATCGTGCACGATCGATTTCCACAATGCTTCGGACTCGAACCACACAGTGAGTCTGCACCATCACCGTCTAACCCAGACCTCGAATCCATACTCTCCTCATCCCTCCAACACGTCCACGTCTTCCGCCCTGAGACCTCATCAGCCCTTCTGGCCACCCTCCACCATCTTGAGACCTACCTCTTCGACCTCCCCCGCCACTTCTCATCGTCCCGTCCCCTCCATGCCATCTTCATCGACAGCGCCGGCGCCTTCTTCTGGCAGGACAAACTGCACGACGAGGTCGCTCGCACCGAGGAGATCGGTCGTCCGCATGCCGAGATCGAACGTGATCGTGCCCTCTTGCAGAGCTTCTATCTTGCTGATCTCTATGCTGAGATTGTTGCTAGGTTGAAGGAATTGCAGACGTTGTTTAGCTGCGCTGTTGTCTATACGAGTACTGCGTGGAACCGAGGGACTGTGCCAGGTACGGGTACTGGTGCCGGTGCCGGTGCCAGTGCAAGTGCAGGCGAGCGGTATGGATCTCATCGTCCCTCCGGCCCATTCGAGTTGTATAATCCGGTGGAAGAGATGGGGTCTTCAGGGCCTCCGGGTCCAGCGTTTCGGTCACCGCTTCCGCCGCCTTGGGGCGTTTTCCCGGATCTGAGGCTTGTGGTGCAGAGGGATCGCGTGAGGGCGTTTCCAGACTCGTTGACAGCGGTGGCGGCGCAGGGGGAGCAGGCGGCGTTGAGGAGAGAGGTCGTCCTGCAGGGGAGGTTCCTGGTCTGGGTCAATGGCTGGGGGAAAGAGAATTGGCCGAGAAGAGTGCGCGAGGGTCTTGAGAGGAGGAATGGTGGGATGTTTGGCTTTCGGGTTACGAGGGATGGTGTGTGGTTTACTTGAGTTGGGGGTTGGCATTGCTCGATCTGCGGTAACTACGGTGATTGTTGGACTACTTTGTTGTGGGTGATGTTATATGCTGTATGTGCAGTGTCCTCCTATCTGTACAAGATTGCGTCTAGGTACAGTATATGGCGTTCCTCTGGCCAACGCTGACATCCGTCTCAAGTGAATAGCTTGCCAATCGCCTCGACAGTGGTATTCCCACCACTAAACACAACGCCTACATCCCACCCCTCCGGCGCCTCCTTCTCAACCATGCGTCGAAAGTCCTCGTTGAACAAACAAACCGCCAAACCCACCACCGCACTCGGCTCTACCACCACCTTCATCCGCTCTAACACCAGCCTCATGGCCGCCTTGATCTGCGCCTCCGTCACGGCGTACACCCCGGCCACTTTGTTGCTGTCCGAAATCACCTCCCAGTTCAATACCCCCACCGGCGTGCGCAGCCCATCCGCTATCGTCAGCGTCTTGACAGCCTGCACCCTCTCCCCGGCCAACAGCCCGCGTCGACAATCATCCCCGCCTTCAAAGCTCGGCTCCGCACCAAACACCTTCGTCGACTTGTCGGAGAAAAACGTCGCCACGCCCGCATTCAACCCGCCCCCGCCGACGGGGGTGATCACCGCATCCAGTTGCCCTTCACTGCGGGGTCCATGGACACTCAGACCCGGCTTCTCCGCCACCAGCGCCGCATACTGTCCCTGCATCTCCAGTCCCGTGGTCCCCTGCCCGCAAATGATGTCGAAATGATCATACGGCGGGATCAAGAAGGCGTTGGTCTTGGCTTGCACCTCGGCCACTACGGCCTCGCGTTCCGTGCTCGTCGATCCGCTGAATATCACCTCCGCGCCGTACCCCTTCGTTCCGGAGATCTTGGAGACCGTGCTGATTCGCGGCATGACTACGTAGGCCGGGATGTTGAGCGTTTGGGCAGCGAGAGCGAGGGCTTGTGCGTGGTTTCCTATTACCACAGGGGATATATTAGCTTTGCGTTATACAAATGCATCCATCCATCCATCTTCAAAAAAACAGAGCAATTGAACAGATGAAAGAAAGGTGAAAGACCACAAACCAGAAGAATGCGTAACAACCCCCCTCCCCCGAACAACACTCTCCCCCTCGCTCTCAATCAACCTCAACAAAGCATGAAAAGCACCCCGGGCCTTGAACGCCCCCACGCGCTGATAATTCTCGCATTTGAAAAAGAACCGGATCGTCGGATTCGCGGGCGCTTGGCCTGCCCATTCGGTGCCTTGCAGTGACTCCGCGGATTGGGGTGTTGAGGCGAGGTTGTTCAGTGTGGTGTTTGTGAGGAGGGGTGTTTTGTGGATGTATGGATTTATGAGCGTGTGGGCGGTGGTTATGGCGGTTGGGGTGAGGGATTGGATTGTTTTGGTCATTTTGGGTGGTTCTTGGGTTGCTCTTTGGATGGTGGTATGGTCTATGGAGAGTATGGTGAAGATTGAGGATTGAGGATGAAGATGAGGAGGGGAAATGAGGGGATATGGAGACCCCAGACACGGAATGTGCCGAGGTGAGTCATCACGTCAGATAACTAGTCCAGAGTGTGTACTGTGGCTATGTAGATACTAGAAAGATAGGACGATGATGAACATGAAAGATAATGATTATTAACTAAACTCCTAAAACAATTCATGGTACAGTCATAACTTTTCCCATCCTTGGTATAGCATTACATTTATTTCTGGTTCTCAGGACGGAGGGAGCTGTTGATAGAATTAGCATTTTTTCTTTCTTCTTTTCGAATGAAATAAAACATACCGAACGGCCTTTCCGGCACGCCAGATCTCGAGATCACGGATCTCCTGCATCTCCTTCTCGTACTTCTCACGGTAGTCCTTCTGCGAGTTGTACTCGAGCGAACGCTTGGTCTCGGTGCCGTCACGCACGCTGTCGTAGAGCTCGTTGAACAGGGGCTTCAGGTTGTCCTTGAAGCGGCCGGACCAGTCGATGGCACCGCGACGGGCGGTGGTGGAGCAAGCGGCATACATCCAGTCCATACCGTTGCCTCCGATCAGAGGGTACAGGGACTGGGTGGCCTCCTCGACGGTCTCGTTGAAAGCCTCGGAGGGGGTGTGGCCGCGCTCACGCAGAACCTCGTACTGAGCGAGGAACATACCGTGGATACCGCCCATCAGGCAGCCACGCTCGCCGTACAGGTCGGAGTAGACCTCCTTCTCGAAGGTGGTCTCGTAGAGGTAGCCGGAACCGACGGCAACACCCATGGCGATGGCCTTCTCCTTGGCCTGGCCGGTGACGTCCTGGTAGACGGCGATGGAGGAGTTGATACCACGGCCCTCACGGAAGAGAGTGCGGACGGTACGGCCGGAACCCTTGGGGGCGACGAGGATCACGTCGACGTCGGTGGGGACCTCGACCTTGGTGAGGTCCTTGAAGACGGGGGAGAAACCGTGGGAGAAGTAGAGGGTCTTGCCCTTGGTGATGAGGGGCTTCAGGGTGGGCCAGGTCTCACTCTGGGCGGCGTCGGAGAGCAGGTTCATGATGACGGTACCCTTCTCGACGGCGGTGTTGACGTCGAACAGGTTCTTGCCGGGCACCCAGCCGTCCTGGACGGCCTCCTTCCACGAGGCACCATCCTTGCGGACACCGACGATGACGTTGAGACCCTGGTCACGCAGGTTCAGACCCTGACCGTGACCCTGGGAGCCGTAGCCGATGAGGGCAAGGGTGTCGTTCTTGAAGAACTCCTGCAGCTTCTCACGGGGCCAGTCCTCACGCTCGTAGACGGTCTCGGAGTGACCGGCGAAGGACATGTTCTTCACGCCACGGACGGCGGTGGTAGGGAGGGAGACGCGGGGGATGGCATTGGCAGCAGCCTTAGCCAGAGCGGGCCGGGGGAGGGCGGCGGAGACGACGGAGCGAGGAGCAGCGACACGGGTCAGGCGGAGGGCCCGGGGAAGTCCACGAGAAGCCATTGTGAAGGATGTGTGTGTGAAGAGAAGAAACGGAGGAAAGGAATTGATGAAGGAGAAAAGGAGGAAGATGGGGAGGGAGAGTGGAGAGGGGAGAGAGTTCAGATGAATTGACAATGGAGGAGAAAGAGAGAGGAAAAAAGGACGGACGTTGCGAGGTTATAAGCTTCGGTCTGCCGCTGGGGAGCTCGTTGCGTGGAGGGACACGTGACTCCGGAGTTGCGCAGTCCCTCCCCGGCCGATGTCGGATTGCGCGTGGTGTGATTGGCTGCGGGAGGTGGGCGTTTATGTAATATCGGCCCGTCCGCAGATCGGCTCTGTCTCTTTGAATTTGGCCGCAGACGATAAGATTGTCATGTCATCGCCTGAATTACCTATAGGATGTTTAGACCACTCACTCCGGAATCGGTGTTCTTGCGTTTTCAATTCTACACCAAGTTAATGCTTTAACAGATCCATTTACTGGCACATAATAATCAATCTAGTTCACACATTGTCACCACAATCCTGCAGCAAAGACTGGACCGGTCGAGGAGTCTGAGAAGTGGACCCAGGGTCACTGTGGAGTTCGGAGCGGAGCCGGATGCAGATGCAGAGTCACCCGGCTGACTCTGCATCTGGGGAAAGTCTGTCCAGTGGCAGTGACTCATTCTAATAGGGGCCTGGACTTAGCAATGCCCGACTTTGGGTTGGCTGAAACTTCAGATTAATTTGTAGTCATGGTTCTTCCAATCAGTTTGCCAATAATGGTATAGATTCCGTGGCCATTCGGAGTCATTCCGGATGTGTTGCGCATCGTGTATACTTGGAGATACCTGCATTGTAGCATTGGGATTTTTCTAACGTTGTAGAACACTTGTAGTTCCTGTAATTGTGCATGTGTCAAATAAGCCTTCTGCGCATTCAAGCTTTGACGGACTGAATTGATTTTACTGTAATCCTTTCCTTGATCTACTTCAATTTTTTTTTTATCTCCTGTATCTCTTTCTCAGATGTATTCGTTCATTTATCAATCGATTGGAACGAATTTTGGGCAAGGATTCTCGATACATACCATATGTGTTCTTCGTATCTACTTGCGGACTGTCTCTAGATCTATAAATGCTTGCATCTCAATTTTATAACTATAAGAAAAACTGTTCAATCAATATTAAGAAACTCGAACTATACTTTCGGGAACCCTCGTTCATGATAATTCCCCTTCCTCGTATTCTCATCATGAACCGCATAGACCTTCCCCTCCTTTAGCGCCTTCACAACCGCTTTCTTTCTACTCTCACTCTCCGGAACATGACGGGGGATCTGCCCCTTAATGGTCACACGCACTCCATGACGATGAAGAGGGGCGTAGTCATGCGTGGCACGGTGCGTGGTAGCACTGGATTCGGTCAGCACGCCTCTATAGTTTATTAAACGACCTTTGGATAGAAGAATACACACCGATTATCCCACAATGCCACCGAGTTCTTCTCCCAGCGGAAACGAACCGTATGATCCTGAGCCGTATGGATGTGAGTGAAAAGCAATTCGAGGATCTTATCCGACTCATAGCGCTTGAGACCGTCGATTCGTGTGACGAACCCGGAATTCAAGTTCAGGACTTTGTATCCGGTGACCGGGTGCGTGGTCACGACTGGGTGAAGGGTTTCGACTGGTCTTTCTTGAGGCGATCTGCCCCAGTGGTTGAGAACGGAGTCGTAGACGTGCTGGCGGGGTTAGCAGTGAATGGGAATGGATGTAGGTTTCGAGGGATGGGCTACCTCGGAACTGTGCCATGCTTTCAATCCATCTGCAAAATGTTGAAGTGGTCCTGAAAGGGTTTCGTACGTGCCGTATCCGGAGATCCTGTTGTTGTGAGCACTGAAGGTATACTGGAGGTGGGATATTGCTTACCATGCAGTGTCTCCGCCGGTGGGAGGCAGCTCGTCGACTCTCAGGAGCGAGAATGAAGGAGGATTCGCTTGGAAGCTACTATCCGCGTGAAAGTCGGCAAAGGGCCATTTAAAGTGAACGTAGACTCCACGGTAGTCCCTGAAACGTATGAGCATGGCTAGTAGTTCGCATCTAAAAGTTTTCTACAGGCTTACTCTTCCTGCTCTTGAATGCCATTGACAATGGGCTTTCCAGCAGCCTTCTCGTCTTCAGGGTCCGGAAGAAGCTCAGGAATACCTTTCCTTGTTTATCAGTCGAACATGTACCGGATACAAATTAAGGAGATGGATGCAACAATACCATAATAATCAAATAGTTCGCGTTGTTGCTCGGCCGTGATGTCCTGATCTCGGAAGAAGACAACGCCACGATGAGCCACCAACAGCGCTAACTCATCTTTCTGTTCATCTGTCAACGCCGAAAGCTGGATACCGATGAGAAGAGTGCCCAGCGACGGTGTCAGATCAATTCGTTCGGCATTGGCGAGCAGATGCGGGAGATTGGGGTCTGCGGAGAGACCACGATCCTGAGGAACGTTGACAGGCTCACGGATACCGCGAGGAGGTATGTGATCCCCTAGCGGCCGTGGAGGAAGCGCTCGTTGATGAACTGCAGGTAGCTCTGAAGTGGCATCGTACTGGATGGTGGTCGGCTTAGTGTCGCTGTAAGCCTCGACGGGCTGGCCATTGACGGTAAGAGTTGGAGCCATTTGGAATCCGGTTACCCTGGAAGATGTGGCTATTTTGTTTCTTTCGTACAGAACTGTTTAAGAATATATAGTAAAGAAGACGGAATATTTCCGGGGAATCGTTAGTACGAATGGCGTCATCGAATGGATAGGTTGCATAAAGGAAACCGTCTGTGATGCTAGTTGGTAGTCGACCACGGCGAGTCATGCCGCTATATACGTTGATTTGCTACCCTTGCTGCTTACCACCCCACGGAAAAGGAATAAGAGGAATAAGCCGACAGTCTGGCTGGATCCTGGTATCTTATATTATTAATCGCGTGTTTCCTAACGACCTTGTCCTATCGGGAGTTGCATACTTGCTGCATGGCACTACAATAGTTGGGTATGATGTGATCTTAGTCGCCATCAGGATTCATGGTATCATGAAGTTTGACTCGTATATAGTATGGATATTGCGTTCCTAGGTTTCGGAGCAATTTGACCGAATTGCAGGCATTATATCCCTGGTTGAAAGCAGACAAGCAAGTTTTCCAGAAAAGGATGGATGGTAAACAGGCGCAGAATGATGCTCAAGAGGTATCTGAGCCCTCTGAAATTGACTCACCACCCTTGCCACCATCCAGGATTCCTTTCTTTCGCTCAACGTTATTCCAAGCCCTGGTTATTGCGGGCGTGTTCTTCTGCGGCCCAGGAATGTACGGGGCGCTGAATGCTCTGGGCGCGGGAGGGTTGAAGAGCCCACTACTGGTGAACATCACGTCTGGGCTATCCTATGGTCTCAATGTCATCTTTGCGCTTCTCACTGGCGTCTTCGTGAACGTCTTGGGGGAGCGCATCGTATTGAGTCTCGGAGTCATAGGATTCAGCATCAATGGTGCCTCGCTGTATTGCAACAATATGTTTGGCAATACCTGGCTTATGTACTTTTCTTCTGCATTGCAGGGATTTACTACGGCGCTTCTTTGGTATATTCTCCACTTTGGCTGCTCAGAAACATACTGAATCTATTGGCTTCGGATAGGGTTGTTCAAGCTGCAATAATGCTGGCGTATCCAGAGCCAGACTTTAAGGGCAGATTTAGTAAGTGGTGATATGGGGAACGTCTGCGAGTGGATGTCTAACGAAACAGTCGCTATCTGGTACACCTCCATCGCGTTGGGTCAGTCAGTCGGAGGTGCTCTTGCTCTTGGTTTCAACGCGTCGAACAAAGAAGCCGGCGCTGTTACTCCGGGTAAGCTTGAAAAATGGCTTTCAGGCTCACGAGCTCACATTCCTCCTAGTCACATACATCCCTCTCATCGCAATTGCCGCTTGTGGACCCTTCATTGCTCTCTTGATATCTCGGCCGCATCAAGTCATTCGTCGCGACGGTGTGAAGGTTTTGTCGAAGAAGCAGCCAAACGCATGGCAAGAGGCGAAGAGAGTATTTAGTGCTGTGAAAAGACGAGAGGTACTGGCCACTGTCATCGATCGTTTATCAATTCTCAATCAAACTGACCAGATGCAAAAGATGCTCCTCCTCCTTCCCCTCTTCATCTACTCGCAATGGTTTCTCTCCTACAACAGCACCTTTACGGCAATTTATCATTCTGTCCGCGGAAGAGCCCTTACTTCTTTCACGAGTGCGTTCGCAGGGGTTGCCGGAACCTTCGCAGCGGGTGTCTTCCTCGACTACCAGAAACTCAGTCGATCGACCAAATTCCGCTGGTCGTATTTTGCCATCTATGCGCTGTACACTTTGACATGGGTGTGGGATACGGTTGTGCAGTGGTATTATTCCAAGACTAACCCGGTGGGCCTGGATTGGGCACAGTCTGAGTTCTATGCGAGCTTTCTCTTGATCCTTGTCAAGGGGTAAGTGTCGTCCAACCTGGAACCTGTAGTGACGCTAATCTAGGGCAGGTTTGTTGACCATGCTTTCCAAACGTGGATGTATGCGCTCATCGGCACTCTGACGGAGGATGTCGATGAGTTGACCCGGTATACCGGTTTCTTGAAGGCCGTGAATACGGGTGGTGCAGCATTGGGGTATGCCGTTCAGACGAAGTGGAGTATGATGGGGTCAGAGGCGCTGTTGTAAGTGGACTCTCTTCTGCCTTCGTTGCTTGAAGTTAATATCTTTCTAGGCTTGGTTTGTGGGTAGTTCAAATCGTTCCTACCTGGCTCATGGTGAAGGAAGTGAAGGATTAGTTTGCGCTTGGTGGGGATTGGGTGCCAAAAATATATACGATAGAGAAGCTTCAGATGTAGTATATAAACCAATGGTAGGCTGACTTATCCATATATGCTTGCGAAATGTGGCATGTTTTTGAGGATCACACCGAGTTGACGACCCTGGGGACCAAGACAATTGTATGGACCTACTTTTGAAGCAGAGTAAGAAGAAACAGTGGATGAATCGAGCTTCTACCTGGATTTGGGAATGAATTACGTTTGTTGAAGTAAAGGTGAGGACTATGAACGGGACGCAGGTTGGGCGACTTCCCACAAAACCAAGATTTTGCCTGGCTAGCTGCTGGACTGGAGGACTGAAAAAGATCAACGTGGTAAGAGGCAAGTACCTTGCCTGGCAGTTTAGTGAATGTTGTTTACTTTGTTTGCCTCAGGACGTGGTCTTCCCTCGTGACCTCTCCCCTCCCCCAAGCACTTTCTCTCTCTCTCCTCTCCCATCTCTCTTCATCCTCATCCTCATCCTCATCCTCATCCTCATCCTCATCCTCATCCTCATCCTCATCCTCATCCTCATCCTCATCCTCATCCTCATCCTCATCCTCATCCTCATCCTCATCCTCATCCTCATCCTCATCCTCATCCTCATCCTCATCCTCATCCTCATCCTCATCCTCATCCTCATCCTCATCCTCATCCTCATCCTCATCCTCATCTTCATTCTTACCTCCCTATTCGTCATATTCTTCTCACTCTCGTTTTCGTCTACTTGTGCTCTTCCTATTCTTGGATAGCCAGTCCATCTCCATTGGACCCCTGATATTCCTCTTGCTTTGATTAAAACTTTTATTTTTCTGTATCAGTTTGTATTTTTCACGCAAAAATTGTGTTTGACAGAAGAAGAAAGGACATCAATCTGTGCCATTCTGTTGTCAACAGTTTGACATTATCCTTACCTTCATTGATCCACCGTCGTGAAGCACCCCATTGAAACAAGCTCCATTACAGAGCTTCTATCAAGCCACTACTAGTCATGGCGTCTGCAGCACCCCAACGTATGACTTTATCAGCGAGCATGTACTTATTTCATCATGTATTCCTTCCTCCAAAGCTCCCACAGGCCGATGACTACCACGCAGAGTACGAAATGAGCCTCCTCGACAAAGTTTGTGATGCCCTGCGTGACTTTAGTTCCCATGTCCCGAGCCCAGATGCCGGTATCATTACAGCAGCGATTTCAATGACGAACCGTCTGAGAGCTATTTTTGACAGTAAAGGTGAAGTGAATGAGAGACAGCTGAAAGAGGCTCTGCATAATTTGGATACAGAAGGTATGTAGAGAAGGCCCCAATCTTCGTAAGCAGATTTAACGAGACCCCAGGTGGCTTTCTCCCTATTCATGTTCGAGACCAAAATGCAGCAATCTTGCTCACGGCGACCGAGAATGCAATCAATGTGGAATCCTTTGAACTATCTCCTCGCAACGGAGATGTCCTGTCGACAGTCGGTCGTCTCCAACGGGTTTTCCCAGGGCCTACCCTCGCATTCGACCGGAGCACTTTTAGTGATACCCGATTCCTTGAAGCTATCTCCCAAACTGTTGCCAGAATGAGCAACCAGGCTGCCCCGGACACAATGACGAAGGTGAAAAAAGCAGGTCAAATGCATAATGAGGATCGAGATACGACGCACCCAAAGATGGTGACAGAATTTCTTATGGCTATCCTTCGTCCCCGATCAACTGACGTTCATGCGCTGCAGATTCAGAAGAACACCCGTGAAGAGATTCTGTGGAGCAATTGTCGCTCGCCGTGGCGAAGAACTGCTCTATGGTTGCTGGTGCGAGTGGTACTTCAATTGATCTTTTACAGAGAAAGAGAGTCTGATGTTCTGTACAAAAGCTTTATGGTTTTCTTCATGACCTCTATCATCAAACTATCCCCATTGGAAATGACGAGTGAGAACCTGTATCTGATGAATGCGAAAGTCGCTCGACGATTGCTCAAGCTAGGGTTAACTGATGAGCCTTCATGGTTCGAATCCGTTCAACAGAGTTTAAGACAGACAAATGATACAATCAAGACCAGATGGAAAGAAACTATGCAACGAGAAAATCAGCCAGATATGCAGTCATTGAAGGAGTTAAATTTCACGCAGGATATCTATCATGAACTCCCAAATCTCGATAATCACGTTGAGAGCATTCGAGATCGACGCAATGCTAGAAATCCAGCTTTCTGAAAATACCAACCTCAGCTGAAGCTTTACTTGTACAAGCCTACAGAACTTCCGGTGCTGGACATGATTGATGCCGAGTATCGAATCTTCAATCTTGCTGCGATGGAGGATTGGGTCGCAGTAAACCTCGATCGCTGGTTAGGCGATCACGGAGGGAAAGAAGACACGTGCGGTCGGCTTGGTGAGCTGATGACTGCTTACCACAATTCTGCGTCTCCACTATAGCAGCTGTTACCCTGGGCCCTGGTATTACGAAAGACAAGCTGGTTCAAGGTGAGCAGTTCAGAATGTAAAAGTCGTCAATAATATGGAGGAAAGGCTAACTAGATCATTAGCTTGTATGAGAATGAGGAAACTAGGAAACGGGCATTCCGTTGTCTTTTGTGTCCCTCCGGAAATACGATTCAAGATCATGGAGCTTCGTGGCAAGGATAGCAGCTCGGAAATCCACGTATCGGATGTTCTCTGTTGGGCAGTTTCCGAGACTTGGATTGAAATCAGACGCAGCATACCTTTGTGGGCGGTCCAAGGTAGGCGCTTTGAGCGTCAACACAAGATATGGTGCGATGTTCACAACAGAAAGTCCGGAGCCTTGATCTCGTCCCATGCCAAAGAATTTCTAGAACCCGAATGCCAGAGCCTCGAGCAACGATATAGCCCTGGAGCTGGGGATAGCATGACCATCTGTGAAACATCGGATGTGAACGAGAATTTGGAGATGATTGAAAAAAGGTGCCGGGAATTCGATAACCCCAACCTGGCATCCGCAACGCTTCAGTAAGAACAAGAACGTGAGCTCGCGCCAGAGGTTGAACGCGAACGTGAAGTTCAACGGCCGCCAGAAGTAACTCCTCAAAAGCATCAAGTGCACTCCGATTTGTACGACTTTGTATCCACGGGCAAGATCAAACCCAACTCTAAGGCTTATATAGCCCTGCTTTCCAGACGTTGAGAAACACCTCTGCAGCATCATTTATGGACGTATCTCAGTTCCCCTGTGACTTGCTTGTGACAAAGGACTTCGCCATCACTGTTCAACCCTTCCGAGGCACAAAATTTACTGCAGACTCTTATCAGCGGCCGGTCCGGTGGATCTTGACAAGCAATAAGCGCGACGCTTCATCTGGAAAACGAGTGATAACCAACATGGGAATAATTAGTCCATTCGAGGCCCAGAATGTGATTGAACGCGTTACTCAATCAAAATGCGTCACGCTCCATGTCTATACACCGCGCCAGAACCGCAACTTTCCTTCCCTGGATAGACTGATGCTTTACAATGTTTCCAAAGAGCCATGCGAGATCGAAGTCCCCGAGACTCTCCGACTCCTGCTTAATCTGCTCGCCGGACAGCTTTATCTGAACTCTTATTCGGAATATCAGCGACTATGTGAGTTTTTGGGTGTAGCCTGGGAAAAAACGTCAGAAGGATTGGTTGTTGTTGCGGACGGTTTCATCCTCCAAGGGGGCAACAAATCCAAAACGCCCTTCCAGCAGAGCCCTCTGAAGTTTCTGAGGATCTTTCTGTCGGAGATACGCAAGGATTGTCGAGATATCCATAAGACACATCTGGGTCGGATCGTGAATGGTCGTCTTTTGCATCCTTCTGATTTCGAAGACAGTCCAGAAGAACTGGGGGTGATGGATGAACTACGCTGATCTTGTGCATTTATCTAATTTTGAAGAATGTCTGAAACAGTCCTAATTTGGATTTGATATGTGAACTCCCTTGATGGATTATTTGGAATGTTTTGGAACTTCTTGGAAAGTGTAACTAAATTGTGTGCAATGCACCAGAGGTGATCTATCGTCCCTCCGAGACGTTTTGTGCCTTACTATTAATAAATGCAATGGTCGCCAGCGATGAAGCCTTGATATCTCGGCAGTCATTCCCACGTGATAACGCTGTCCTTCTTAGAGTATCTCGGAAGATGCAACCTTCTAGATTTCTTTCTCTAATACCATGCTTCGCAACGAGCCACCCAAAGCTATCTCTCGTTTATTATTTAGCGATAAACTTTTGATAAGTATCCTAACTTCGTGCTAACTGACATATTCTATAGAATACACCGCTGCAAAGCTTCAGGAATGTACGGTCCATTCATGTCTCACCCTGATCCCGCCATTCTTATCTTGTTGCTGATCCAGCGTGTCTCTAGTGTCGAGTGACTCCTGGCTTCCACCACTCAAGCCACCCGTCGAAGCTGAATTCTGTACCGCTTTTCCTGCCATAGGCTGTAGACACAACTGGCTCGAGTTGTCCTGCAGCGGCTGGAATCCATCGCCGTCAGCGGGCTTGGGCCCTGATGGAGCCGAGCTTTTGGTTGGTCGTCGGGCCGTGACTTCGGGTGTGTATTTCGAGCGTCCTAGCAAGGGACGCATCAAGGGTATGGAGGCGAGGATAACAGCGAGGCAGGGCTCGACACCACTGAAGATGTTGGCTCGTGGCAGCGTGAAGGTGATATCGTTGAAGTCCATGGTCGACAGAACGGAGATACGAAGAGCGCTGATGATGCAGGTGCTGGCTCTAGGTTAGGTTGGGTTCGCTTTCGTTGATATGAGATGACAATGACTTACACTAGACCTAGTCCGAAGACCGTGATCAATGTCACCTTCTTATACGTTGCCATTTGCAATCGATATAGCAAAGGCATAGGAATCACCAACACCACCACGTCAGTGACAAGATTGATGACCCCTGTCGCGGTGAACGAAGTGACCTGATTCCCGCAAGATCCACCGGGGATGGTTTGATCCCAATTGAAGGCAAAGGGTCGGCAGATCAGACATCCTGCCAATATTGTGGCGATGGCCCATGCCACGATCACGCCGATGGTGGTCCATGCGACCCCCACAAGCCAAGTGACTGGGAAGATCCGGAGATAGAGCAGCAGGATCGAGATCTTGGTGCAACTGAGACTCAGCACCCACAGAAATTGCAGTGGTATGATCAACTGCAGCAGCTTCGTGATGGGCCCCAGGCCATATACGGCCGCGATTGACGTCACATGGTCATACCCAATGCCGGCCTGGTAGACGCCGGTGATGCTGATAGATTGGAGACCCACGGCAAATAACTGCATCGACACATTTCATCTTAGCATAGTTGACGCATTTTGGTCGGTAGGCTTACGCAGGCGGCTATAATGAAATGGTCACTGGGACTCCATTTCTTCTGCGCAAGATGGTGCGCTAGCAGACGCAAACACACTGCGATGACGGCCAAGATGGAAAAGGCGAGAGCCACGCCGAGCACCTCCCTCTGGGCGCGGGTTTCGATAGGGAAGATGACCGGCATTTCATGTCCTTGACTGATCCAGTAAGCATTCTGGAAAAGCAAAGTATTTAAATAATTTTTGCATGCCGCATTCTGGGGCAGGGTCAGGGGAAAGTCTGAAAACTAGTGAGGCCTGAAAAATGGATGCCATATGCCGGCAGCAGGGACTTGAATCCTTCGGGGTCTGACGGAAATGTCATGTCAAAATTAGCGCTGCTAAACTGGAATCAGCAGGGATAAGCAAGCCTCAAACTCGGTAACAATGGCATAGGCGGGTTAGTGTCTTGGTTTAGGGCTTGTCGCCTTGTCCTGTCCGGACGGTTGAATCCTTCGTGCCTTGATCAGCAGTTCTATTGGCGGGTGGACTTAGTCCTGCTTGGCCTTTGGCACTTAAACCGTTCGGCCGTTGGCATATCGAATCCTCCATTCAGGATTGGTGTTCTTTCGACGGCCTTGGAACTACTGGGCCCACAATGATACAACTATCATGCACGGTTGTTTCGCCCATCTGTTCACGGTACCTATTGGTTGACGTGCGACGTGGGCCACGAACTGCTTTCTCCTTTCCCCGACCAAAATAAAAATCGCATCCTTCGTTGTTTTGAATTACCTAGTGTTGCGAAACATTCCTCCCCGACTGCCACCCATGGCTTCCATGTCTGCTGTTATAGCTGTCCTCGCCGTAGGCGTGTTGACAATATTCTATTTGGGCATCAGAAGGATTGAGAATAGTGGAGAACACGGGAAAGAGGACCGTAAAGCGCTCCTCAAGCTTCCCCTCATCGGCGATCTCCATAGCTCCCCTATCGAGAGGCCGCTGGCGAACTGGGATTCATGGGCCAAACAGAATGGTCCTATTGCCGTACCCAAACTGTTTGGGATCATCCCCATCGTTGTGCTGAATTCGTATGAAGCTGTGACCGAGCTTTTCAGTCGCCGCAGCCAATGGTACAGCAATCGCCCTGCCTCGGTGAGCATGGAGATGATCACTGGCGCCGATCCAGGGCAGTCCCGATTCACTCTGATGCACGACTACGATGATCACCTTAAGCTGCATCACCGCATTCTCTCTCCCAGTCTCGGTGCCCCCGCTGCTTCAAAGTACCAGCCCCTGATGGAGTTAGAAGCCAAACAGCTGCTCTTCGATCTGTCCAACGCCATTCGGAAGACCCCGGTCATCAGCACTGATGCTATCTATCCTCTGTTGGAACGCACGCAGTCAAGCGTCATCCTGGCTCTGCATTATGGCATGCGCATTCCGCGCTTCGAGGAACCAATTCTGCACGAGGTCATTGACGCTCAAACGCAGGTGACCCATCTCGCCGCCAACCCGGGCCTGCCAGATATCATCCCCCCGCTGCGCCATCTTCCGGCCTTCCTGTCCCCATGGAAGCGTGCTGCCGACAAACTCTTCGCTGCCCAAGTCGACCTCTACATGCGTCTATTCCGCTACGGCAGAGACTCGGCGGGCTGGAACGCCACGAAGCAGGCCATCTCGACTGCCGAGAAACACGCCCCCGCTGGCTCGCCGGTCCAGGATCTTGACCTCGCCTTCACTCTCGCGACTTCAATCCAGGGTGGAATGGAGACCTCCCCACGCCAGCTGCTGTGGCTATTCGTCGCCGGACTGCACCAACCGTCCTTCATGGCCCGGGCCCATGCAGTTCTCGATGAAGTCGTCGGCCGGGACCGCCTTCCTCGCTTCTCCGATCGCTCTCAACTCACATACATCGATGCCGTGGCGCACGAGCTGTTCCGCTGGCGACCGATTTCTCCGGGCTCGATTCCTCGACGTGCCGAACAGGCCGACGAATTCAAGGGAGTCAAGATCGGCAAGGGTGTTACTGTGATGGCCAACGCGTGGGCTATCGGTCGCGACGAAAAAGTCTTTGATCCGTCGCTCGGTGATCTGCAGGACTTCACGCCCGAGCGGTGGCTGCGACAGGACAACGCCGACGCAGAGGTCAAGTTACGGACGGACCTCCCGCTGCCGGTCTTCGGACAGGGCCGACGGATCTGCCAGGGCAAGAGGGTCGCTACGGACGGAACCTTCATGCAGATTGCTAACTTGCTGTGGGCGTTTGATGTGGAGTTGGTTGAGGGAGAAGCGGTGGATCCGTGGGAGATGGTGGTGGTTGGTTTCATGACTATGCCTAAGGAGCTGAAATTCAAGCTGAAGCCACGAGGGGACTGGGTGTTGGATGTTATTCAAAGGGAGTGGGAATCGGCTGAGAAGAGCTTGGATAAGGTAATGGGCACAACTCAGGATGTTGAGTAGACGCGTGCCGCTGGTTCACTGTGCTCAGGTTGCATTGCTCAAATGTGACGGTATATAGGTATACGCTAATGGATTTACTGAGGTTGAATTTACATGGTTTACTTGATGGATGTATGAACGAAGCCAACTATCATGCGTTTTTGTCACTACCACATAGCACTAGAGAGACTTGATACTTAGAGTATTCCCTGTACACTGCAGCATCCGGGGACTGTCTGGCGACGGGGTGAATATGTGGGAGCCATGATCAATCTTAGGATCCAATAACCTGCACACAGGCCTATGGCACGCTTCAATCGCCCCAGAATTGGATGCGGATTGTTCAAGGCCAAGCGTTTAGGTAAGATTTACGACTTATCAACGAACAGTTCGCTGGTAAATGTTTCTATAACACAGGAAGTGAGACAGGGTTGAAGTGCAACGACACGCTGATTGCCGCCATTGGAAAGTGGAGGTCTGCGCTGGCACTCGCAGACGCTCGAGGCTCCGATTTGCTCATCCGATATACCATCCCATACTATAGACGCTTTGCAGGGATATTTGGATGTTGGGGGGCAAAATGGTTCGCCAGTACGAGCCGCCGAGGCACGAAGGACATGTTGTTTGTGAGCCTTGCACCAAGCCATCGGTAACCAATTGCTTCGACGAGCTAATATTGGCGCTGACCATTCCCCCTCAAATGCAAGAATAGCTCGGCGGTTAAGTTGATTGCAAGTGGTATCACCACCGTTCGGCTGAACGGGGAGCTGAGCGTACCTATGTACCCAGGAGAGCGACAAGCATCGTTCAGCATAAATACCCCCTCGTCCCTCCCTCATTTCTCTGCGTAGCCAAACTTCTATCAGTTGACAATCATCCCAGACACGCGCATATATTTCCACTTTCTGACTCATTTTTTCTCTTTCGACACACCTCTTAGCATAATATCGGGACCATCAGCCACCGGCTCCATTATGCACCAAGCATATAGTAGCACAGATGGGCCGGCGGGCAGCGGTTTTCAGTCGTTGTTAGACCAGATCGATCAACTCCGGGATCTAAACCTTGAGAAACATGTCAAACTCCCTGAGCTTGTGGTGATAGGCGATCAGAGCAGCGGCAAGAGCTCTGTCTTAGAAGCTCTCTCAGGTTTCCCACTGCCCATCGATGCTAAACTCTGTACTCGGTTTCCAATTAGGCTGTCGCTTCGACGATCTGAGTCCACCTCTTATCGCATGAAGGCCGGAGATTGGAGCGAGAGTAACTTCAAATTTCACCAAATTCCAGCCCTCATCGAAAAGGCAAGCGCTTCGATGGGCATCACACCCGACAAGGAAGGCTCCGATGTCAAACAGTTCAGCGACTGTGTCCTGAATATCGAAGTTCATGGTCCTGACCAGCCGAACTTCACACTTCTGGACCTTCCAGGACTCTATCCTTACTCAACCAGCGATCAGAATGACCTCGGTCGAGAGCTGGTGGAGAAACTAGTGGAAACTCATATCGAAGACGGGAAAAACATCCTCCTCCTGGTTGTTTCGGCTGCTTCAGCAATCAACAGTTACGTGACACCCCGGAAGGTTCAGGAATTCATACCGACTTTGGAACGAACGCTAGGAGTCATCACACATCCAGACCAGGCATACGACAATGATAAAACTTTCAAATTGGTGAGAAACGAGAACATGAAATTGAAACTCGGGTGGTGCGCGCTGCGGAACCGGTCAAGCGATAAGCATGAGAAAAACGTGGATCTGCCAACAAGAACGAGAACAGAGGCAGAGTTCTTTAACCAGGGAAGATGGAGAGACATCCCTGAAGAGAATAAGGGCATCGCAGCGCTACGAACTAGGCTGGAGCGGGCAGTATTCCAACACATCAGGTCACATCTTCCGAACTTGATGACCGAATTACGTCAAATTCAAGCCAGGGTCAAGCAGTCTCTGGATGCAATGCCCCCTCACTTTGGAACTATTGAGGAACAGCGAGACTATCTCAAAGGCATGGCCAGGAAATTTGAGATCCTTGTCCGCAATGCAGCGAACGGCACATACACGGATAAGAACTTCTTGAGGTTTTTTGGCCTCTCCGACAAGGACCACGCGGCAAGGCAGATAAGCCGATTACGCTCAAACATTAGAGAGTTAACGAGAATTTTCACTGTCACAATGGAGCTGTGCGGGAGAACGAGCGACATTGTCGAAGAGAATAAAACAGTCTCTTGCACGAACGGAACACTCTCCGAACTTTATGAAGTCGAGTCACCTGAAGACATAGCAGGCTGCGAAGAAGAGAGGGATTATGAAGTTGAGAAATCTGATTTGACTGAAGCGAGAAAGCCCGACCTTTTGAAGAGTTCATTCTTGCCCAAGAACACTGTGAAGAAGTACTGGGATCATGGCCTGCCAGATCCAATGATTAGGAAAAGGTTTGAAGAAAAAGCGGCTCACACTATGAGATGTTTTCGGGGGAAGGAAGCTCCTAGCGAATTCGCAGAAGGACCTATGTCCGTGACCTTCATTCAAGAAACGGTTAAGTGGAGCAAAATCACCGACACGCATTTTGAGGAGGTTTGGAGGGTGACCGAGGAACTGATCGAGGAAGCCCTCAGTCATTGTGTCGATGAGTATGTTTTGATGTCTTTGAGAGTGACAATCGTGCAGAAAAACCTAGAAAGCCTCCGAGAACGCGTGCGAGCAAAAATCGACGACCTGTTGCTTTGCCATCAAGGTGGAAACCCGGGCTTTCTTAACACGTTCTCAGATTTCATGCGCGAAGAGGAGAGTGAGACCACCAATACTACCGTCAATGAGAAGATATCCCAAGGTGCCATGATCGACACCGCGGAGGATATATTTCAGGTCGTTGGCATGCCTTTCATGAACGGGCTCGTGAAAGTTCTACGAACAAAGTACGTAGGAGACACGCTGAAAGATGTGGTGGATTCACTTTCCGGTCTTCCAAAAGAATGCGAAGAACAGGTCGTTCAAAGCATCCGAAACTATTTGCACAAGCAATATTTTTCACGGGAAGAGGAAGCTGCTGCTGCCCGTATGGTAGACCAGTTCCAGCGATATTACAAGGTAAAGCTCGCTTGACCTCTAAGGGAGCATCCAAATCAAAGGCTCACTCTATTAGATGAATCTATTTTCCTTCGTTGGATACGTCAACTCAATGGTGATTGAAGATTGCCTTTTGAGACCGTTATCGGAAGCGGTATTCTCTGAAAGGGTTGTCCAGGATCAAGACATAGAGACCATCAGTCAAATTATGGGACCCACCGAAGCGGAGAAAGGAAGGAGGCAAGATTATGAGAGTACAATCCGGGGTATAGAATCTGCTCTTGACAGGCTAGTACCCTTTTTGAAAGATGGCAGTTGAAAGTCGGCTTTTGAAATCGAAAGCTTAGGACTGTAAGGATGGCGCGATCAAAAACCATCAACCGAAGTGTTGCCAAATGCTTGTCAATTGTTTAGATATGATATAATAGCCTATCGAGTATCTAGACTGCACAAGAGCTGCAACCGGTCTTTTTGGGTTGAATCTGTTATGCATTGTGAATTCAAGTGATTTTACCAACCTATGCTTTAACCTTTCTTTCACCTCTCATAGATCTCTGGAATTTCCATTCACCATAGAAATTGCCGGAATTCCTCTGCGAAATGTACACCTCATGGAATGTGATCCTGTATATATATAAAGGGCTATTGTTCCCCTTGTCCTTTGATTATCTCACAGTCCTTTCACAACAGCTCATACAACTTCAGTCAGACTTTTGCCGGTTTCAAAATGCCTAGAAACCAAACTGAAGATAACAGGCCTTCTAGACCGGGTTTATACCAATATCTAAACGATGCTCGAGTCAAAGAAGCGGTGCTAATGGCTCGTGGGCAACTGAATCAAATGTTCATCGAGGCTCTCAATTCAGCGGCAGCCGTTCCTCACGTGGACTTGACTAACATACTGAAGCGACATTCTCTGTTCTATCCGGTACTGCGCAAGCTATTCTTCGACTCAGCTATTAGAGCTGCGGTGGTATCCATCGGTGAATCATCGGACGTCAGGGATGAATTCCTGATTCCAGAACACGAGGTATCCAGAATCGGCATGAGCGAAAGCATGTCCCTATGGGAAAGACAGGAATTGCTCTATCTTGGTGCCGACACCGGTTATTATCTGGATTATCGCAAATGGGATGTCATGGTCAAGCTTCTCAATAGAGCTATAGCATCGAGCGAGGTCATTTCGCGCCGAGGTTCGAGCGCTGTCCTAGGCTTGGGCCCTGATCTTGTCATAAAAGTTTTCGAAATCTCCAGCATTGAGGAAATGAAGAAAATTAAGACCATGCGGCTCATCAAGAATCGTCTTCCGGGGTTTCCAATTCCAGAATTACGCGGCTGTTTTCGCAAGCAATGCAGTGATCGCATCTTTCTTCTCATGTCCCGCGTTTCCGGCCGACCTTTGGACTCTGTATGGGAATCCCTGAACGAGACACAGAAAGCTTCAATTCACAACCAGTTGATCTCTATCCTGCATGATATCAGATCCATTCCCCACCCGGAACACGGTAGGCATCATGCAGTGCTTTGCAGAGGCGACCCTTGTCGCTGCGAAAATGCGAGAGGCAGTATGCATTATCTTCTTCCTTTCCTCGCGGCGGCTCCTCCGAATCGTGATCTTGTCAAGGTCTATATGCTGATGAAATTCGCCTTGACACAGACTACGGGCAACCTTGATCCTCGAAAAGTCATGATTGACCTGTCAGGCCCCGAGGTGACAGTTACAGCCATCCTGGACTGGGACATGTACGAATTGTTGGTCACATACTGGGAATACGTAGATGTCATAAAGACTCGTTTCCCAGAAGCCGATTGCGGTGACTGTCGACTGTACCTGCTGCGAGGTATCGATGATCCTGGAGAAGAGATGATGCTGACCTAGGGAGCTGATGGCCTCGCTGCCCACAACGGATTAGGTGGATAGATTGTTTTCTGAATGCTATGGTGATCTAAGTATCCTGAACAAATGTCAGTAAATATGAATCGGTATAAAAAGTCAAAAAGCACGAGAATAGTAGAGTAAAGTAGAACAAGCGATTAGCAGAAACCCACAGACCTTCTTTAGCCGCAGTGCAACCCTGTCGTCGTCTGTCAGCGACCTTCCGACGTTCCCCAAGACCGCAGCTTGATTTTTGATTCCCGTATTTGCAAAAACAGGGATAGAAACGCAAAGCCTAGAGAGTATGGAATTTCCTAAACTTCACATTGAACCTGCCAAGGGACCTCACACCCATACGGCAATATTGCTGCATGGTCGCGGTAGTAATGGCCCGGAATTCGCCGAAGAGCTTTTCTCATCTGCCACCTCCAGCAACAAGAACCTGGCCGACTCTCTCCCAAATTGGCGCTGGGTATTTCCGACTTCTCGCGAACGATGGGATTCCAGATTTCAGGAAGATTTGTCCGCCTGGTTCGAGGCCTATTCCTTGACCGACATTCAGGTACGACAGGAGTTGCAAGTCGACGGCTTGAGAGAGTCGGTCGCATATATCCTGGATGTCTTGGAAAATGAGATCCACCTACTCGATGGCAAGACGAGCCACGTCTATCTCGGAGGCATGAGCCAGGGAATGGCGACCGCCTTGTGGACATTATTTTGTGCGACAGGGCGTGTTCGAGGGCGGCTGGGAGGGTTCCTGGGCTTCTGCGGCTGGCTGCCTTTTGCCCACCAGCTGGAAGACCTGCTTGGACAACCAGACACGGTCGAGTCGCCCAGTTGTCATCCCAAGGGGACGCGGATCCAGTCACTCGTGTCTCGTTTGTTCCCCGACAGCATCGGCAAACCCGAGGTGTCACGGAGAAACGAGTCCGGTGACACCTTCTTGCTGTCAACTCCCGTGTTTCTGAGTCACGGCACGGACGACGCGTGGGTGTCTGTGCAACTGGGTCGGCAGGCAGCTCGCATCTTACGGCAGATCTCGGTTGAGGTGGAATGGGATGAGTTTGAGGGCGCCGAGAACGATGGCCATTGGGTTAAGGAGCCGGAGGGATTCGACAAGCTGGTGGGATTTCTGGAGAGAACCATGCAGGAGAGGTCAGGAAGGGGGTGATATGTGCACGTAGAATGGAAGAGTAACCAATGATTCACAAGAAAGTTGAAGAAATTGGAGTGTTCAGTGCTTATTGTATGAATATGTGTACAGACGGTCTGCTGCCTGAGGTGTCGACCTGCATGAACTCCGCCCAAAAAAAGCAGCGGCGATTCTTCGCATCTCAACGTCTTCTTCACCTCTCGTCCTTCTCCTTCCCATGCTCGACCACGTCTGCCTCTCCGACCCGTCCCACTCCCTCGTCTTCCTTCCTTGCGCCGTTGACTGACAGCCCGTAATCCGCCCTCTCGAGCTCATCCCCTCGTCCTCGCCCTCGCCGTCGCCCTGACCCTTACCATGTGCATACAATGAATTTCTTTTCCCAATTCGGTGATCTGCCCACCATTCAGACCCGAAAGGCCCTTCTTCTGCTTGATTTTGAGAATGATTTCGTGCGAGAGTCCGGTGCTCTTTACGTCCCCAACACCTCCGATTTCCTCGAGACCCTGCCCCAGCTAGTCAGTGCCTTCCGTCGCAATGGCGAGGTCGTTTGGGTGCGTTCCCACTACGAGTCGCGCCGACCGCTGGTCGGGATGGATTTGCAGGACCTGGTGGTGCTAGGTCGGGCGGAGGATGCGTCGAGGAAGGGATCGGTCTCGAGCGAGTCGTTGGACAATGAGAGCTTGGAACCGAAGGGTCCCGTCGACGAGGAGGCCTTTCTCTCCACAGAAACCCCTCAATGCTGTCTCCCGCAGTCGGCGGGGGCGCAGTTCCCGGCTCCCATTCTCGCCGCCATCGAGTCCGACGACACGCTGATTGAGAAGTCAGACTACTCCGCCTTGCAGGACCAGGGCCTTATCCTGTCCCTGCGCACGCGCTTCGTCACCGAGTTGTACCTGTGCGGTTCCTTGTCCAACATCTCCGTCTATGCCACCGCCCTTGACGCCGTGCGACACGGCTTCTCCGTCAACCTGATCGAGGACTGTCTGGGTTTCCGGAACTTCCCCCGCCACGAGGAAGCCATGCGACGCATGGCGGATATTTTCGGTGCCAATGGTATTACTTCGCAGGAGCTTATTGAAGAGCTGGATTGGCAGGAGACCGATGCGATCGCTCGCAAAGGTGAGCCCCGACCGGCACGGTCGGCAATTCCGTCCGGGATCGAGGGAGTTATGGACAGCCTCGACTTTCGCCGAACTCGCAAATTGGGCCCTCCGGAAGGGACCCCAACGTCGTCAGGCAAGGCCAATTCGCGTCGTAACTTGGAGGACATTCTAGCAGAGTATTCTGATGACGAAGATGGAGATGTGCTGGAGCTGGTTAAACTGACCCGCGACAGTTCTCGCTACGCGCGAGCCGGATCCCAAGCAAGCCCGCCACAATCGACAGACAAGAGTTCACGCCCACGTGTGCGCCGTTCGAGACGTTCAGACCCGAAAACCGAGTCTGGTCCGCGGCCGGAGGCTCGACGAAGCGCCAAACAATCGAAGAGGTCACCGGGTTTCCTCAAACCGGGTGATCGGATCGGCGAGGGTGATTCTCGCATCATCCACGACCTCGACCTCGCGCCCGATGCTTTCGAACAGATCCGCAATGAGGTAGCCTGGCAAAAGATGTACCACATGTCTGGACAGGTCCCGCGCCTTGTCGCCGTCCAAGGCCGTCCTCTAGACGACGGATCGATACCCATATATCGTCATCCTGCGGACGAATCGCCCCCGCTGCATACTTTCACGCCCGCCGTGGATCGCGTACGTGCCATTGTAGAGCGGATACTTGGGCATCCCCTGAATCACGTTCTCATTCAACTGTATCGAGACGGGCAGGACCGTATTTCGGAGCATTCGGACAAGACTTTAGATATTGTCCGAGGGTCCTCTATTTGCAACGTCAGCCTCGGCGCTCAGCGGGTCATGGTTCTCCGGAACAAGTCACAGACCAATGAAGAAGACTCAAGCCGGCTTTGCCAACGCGTACCATTGCCGCATGAATCACTGTTTATCCTGGGTGAAAAGACCAACATGCGATGGCTTCATGGTATCCGACCCGATAAGCGTCCAGACACGGAGAGATCGATGGAAGAGCGTGCATATGGCGGAGAGCGAATCTCGCTGACCTTCCGACACATCGGCACCTTTTTGAAACCCTCGGGCGACACCATTTGGGGCCAGGGTGCTATCTCGAAGGATCAAGGGCAGGCCAATCCTGTCATCCACGGTGATTCCGCCGAGACGGAACGGCTGATTCGCGCGTTTGGAGCTGAGAATCATTCCACCGAGTTCGACTGGCACGCCGTCTACGGAAGGGGGTTCGACGTCGTCAATTTTGTCACTACCTCGACGGTCAAACTTGTTCTGGGCTCGGACCTGGTGGCTAATCTCCGCGTTCTGATCTACCTCGGGGAGCACGGCATTCGCTATGATATAGATGAAGCGCAGGTGGCGAAACAGAGCAACAAGGAAGTCGCCGAACAACCGTTATACATTGGCCCCGATGGTACCAGTATCACCGGCGATGTTCAAATCATGACCGACCTCTCGCAGCGCGCTTCCGAGCTGACTCGTCCCGGAGTCGAGATCCTGCGCGGCGGCAGCCATCTGCCTGCGATCCACAAGCTTCTCACAACTTGGCGTGCGTACCGAGCCCAAGACCAACCGGACGTGCTCAAGGCGCTGGACACATTGGAAGATGTCCTAGAGGAACAGGCCTATCTCAGTGGCGCCACGTTCGGAATCGACGACTGCGCTTTCTGGCCCGTTCTGAGGGAGATCATGCACGGCAGCGAGCCGCTGTCTAACAAAGTCCATCCCAGCTTGACCCTTTACTACAACAGACTGGAGAAACGGGGCGTTGTCCGAAAGACACTAGACGAATTGAAATTGAAATGATGATTCTTGTTACTTTGAAACCGACTATGTTGCTCGCTTATACCCACTAACTATTACTTTTTCTCGTCTCAGCGCACGCGATGATGATTGCATTCTGGTTCTTTCATTTTCTGTCTCTTAGATTGATTGATTATAAGCATCGGATTATTTGCCTCTGTGCCCTTTTTCTGTGCGTTGATATCCTTTTCGGGGCGGATTTCTGTCTTTCCTTTTCTCTCTTATTACTTTTTATACATAACTCTGATGAATTAGATAGTATGACCTTGACTACTGTCCGTATCATTGGAATGCTCTTATATCAATATGATCAATTAACTACATAAGCCCAGTCAATGAACACCTGTCTCTACAAACACTCGCCCTCGAAGTCCTCCGACGACAAGACATCTTTCAGTGCAACGTCACTGCACACCACTGCCTTCAAAAACGCCTCCGCTACCACGGCCGCTCCTTCAGGGCTCGTGTGCGTATGATCACTGGGATAGAACCCATTCACGGTGTCCAATCCCAGACTCTCATACCGAGCCGCCACGTAGGCTCCATGGTCCACGTAGTCCACGCCCGCGTTCTCCGCCGCCAGCTCCGCGTACCCGACGAACCGCGACGGCGAGTAGGCATACTCTCCCGTCTCCCAGACATTGTTGGGCGTTTGGCTCGAGATGAGCACCTTAGCGCCGATGTCGGTGTACGTCTTCGCAGCGTTCTGAATGTACGCCGGGAACGTGAGCACGGTCTCTTGCTGGCCGTCGTATGTCGTCTCGCATGTCTCTGTGCCTGAGCCGGGGCAGTCTGTTCGTCCGTTGTCGTTCGACAGAGAGCCGCCGTCGTTGTGTCCGAATTCGATCACCACGTAGTCGCCGGATTGGACCACGGAGGCGATCTCGTCGAATCGGCCTTCGCGGGTGTATGAGCGTGCGCTGCGTCCGCCGATGGCTTTGTTGGTCACCGTGCCGGAAATGTAGTCGGTGATGTAGTCGCCCCAGCCTGGGTATGTTAGTTTGGTTTGGGGGTAGACAAGACAATTTGCGATGGAGAGGATTGGTGAGGGGCGATTGGAAGAAAGGAGGGGGGATGGACATACCATCAGTGGTGCCACCATTGGTCGACGCCATGGTAGAGTCTCCGGCCAGGTAGACCGTAGCGGCGAGAGCGCCGGGCAGGAGAGAAAGAGGGAGGATGAACGACCGCATGATGTTATCAGATCGTGTGTAATGCGGCTAGGCAGATAACTTTAGTGGTTTGAGAAGTCGCAAGTGATGTATAGAAAGGTTGCAAGAACATGCTTCTTCACGCTCATATTTATACCCTGCCCCCTGCCTTCTGCACCCCAAGGTCAAATAACTTGGAAGGTACGTAGAAGATGCATCTACTCCCCCACAGGAGAACAGTTAGCAGATGAAAATAAATTAAAGCTCCAGAGACCTGAGCACGAACACGGGGTACACACATACAAGCTAGGCTAAGCCTGGGTAGAACACTGCCATGAGCACCACCCTCTGCCAGTCAGCATACGTGGGATAATTCCCCGTCTCGGGCGATCGAGCGCCGAGCGCGTCGAAACAAGCTGGTGTAGGGCCTCTTGGGACCTCGGACAAGCGGAGTTTCAGGCTTCAGCCACTTTGTCACAGCAGCTTCTCCGGACGGGGGAGACCCGCCATGGTGACACCGGCATTGACATTGACGTTGACACTGACAAGTGCCGCTAAAAATGGAATCAGAGGTAACAATTAACCTAGCCAAGTAATCTGGGTGAATACTCCGTCAGGAGAGAAGAGAATCTCCGACGGATCTGGGACGGAGGAAAGGAGCCCAGTGGACGATCAAAGCCTTCATGAGGTAATGTTCAGGACTATCAATTTCGGTCAATGTGACTGCGACGTGATGGGCTTTTTTCTTCCCCGCATGGCGTGCGTCAGGAATCTTGGGTTTTTCCACCTCTTGGGGCCGCCATGGCGGAGGTATTCCCTTCCTGGTCCCGCGGAATGGGAGTGAGCGAGAGGGAGGGAGATGCAGGCGGAAATGGATGTTGACGAGGATGATGAGGATGATGATGGGACTGCGTTCTGTTTGCTCGATTGCCAGTCACATGGCCATCCACGGCACGGCGCCTGATTCAGGCATCCACCATCGGATCTGCCGTTGTCTCCTTCTTACTCTCCTGGATCAACTATCGCGTTCCATCTACCTGTACCTACTTCGTATTCTAACCTCAAACTGTCTTGAATCCACCACGGGACACGAGTCATGGCCATTCATGCCAAGCACCACTGCTGAAACAGCCTTGTCCACGTCCGGAATTCTCGAAAGCAATCCACCTTCCAGAGCATTGCAACAACGACTTGACCATATGCCAATTCGCAAGTTGAGTTACAGTCATACACTGACGATGCTGCATCATTTGCTTTACTAACGTGGTAGTTCGTGTTATACACGTCACATGAAGATAACTAGCAGGGATTGGCATTAACTAGTCAGAAACCTAGTCCCCCTCCTTACGGTAGTTACAATCCTTGTCTCTCTCACCGCGATCCACATCTCTTCTTCGTCTTCAATTTCCAATCTAGCAAGGTGCCGACGCCATGCCCGGCCCCGCAGCAGACACGGCTCTATCGATTCCAGAGCTGTTGGAGGCAATTTCGCTCCACCTGGACATGTCGACCGTCCTGTTGTCGGCTCAGCGCGTAAACAAGCACTGGTTGGCAACCATCAATGATTCTATCCGGCTCCAACAGCTCCTTTATTTCAAGCCGATCCCATCCCCTAGACTACCTGCGTGGGCCTACTCAACCCCCGACAATCCCTGGTATCCCAGCACCACGAAATCAAGAGACGTTATGGCCTTTCTAAATCCATTGCTTTTCAAACATTTTGGAACCGTTTTCTTCGATTTAAGTCGTTGGGATTCTTTTCACCGCGCCTATGCCTTTACAACCCATATGCCCTGGTGGGCGGATGATCATAGCATTGCCGATTGGAGTGAAATGCCTGAAGATGTGGAATTGTCATTGTCGGTCGAGCCTTTACCCCGTCAAAAAGCCTTTACTCGCGCGGGCGCCAGCTGGCGCCGAATGCCGGTGTCTCAGCCCGCTCCCCTAGCGCTAGGTCATACCTGGCAAGAGTACCCGGACAGAGATATCACCGTTTCGAAAGGTATTATCACCGAGACTCCAACTCCTTCAATGTTGCTTCCAATCTCTCGGACTGGTCTTTACATGGGTTTACTTTATGATCTGATTCAGTACCACGCTGGACATCATGAGCAAAGCTCGCTCTATTTCCGGATTTTGTGGGGTCATCAGTGGCGTGATTATAATGTTATCAAGGCACATGCCCGCACATCCAACGAGCTACTCAAAGAAGTAGGAGTCGTTGTTCAATTTGTCCATAAATGCGATAGTAGATCCAGGCAGCCTGCGGATGTGAGAGCCTGGGACTCTGCGTTTAAGAGCGAGGACTTCCAGCTTCCAGAACACGAGACTGTGGAGGTTTGGAGGGGAAGCTGGGACGATCCCGATAATTGACAAGAGTTACCTCAACATAGTATCTTGATACACACACCCCGAACTAGAGATTCGAAATTCGACACCATTATCTTCATTCATTCTCCCCTATGGTCGTCCGATACTACACGCGGATCTCCTCAGAAGTATCCCAGAAAGGCCAAGTACTTAACACAACCACGGTCTCTGGGTGCACTCAAATAACTCTTGAACAGTTTTTCAGTACTCCGACACCCTGTCCTGCTTGGCTCGTTCAACACTCAGTATCATCCTCCGGGCCTTTTTCGGAAGCCAGCCAAGCACCCCGTCTTTTGCCTTCGAACCAAACTAGTATACTCTCTCCGTGAGATGCATCTCTAACCAAGCAAGATGATTCCAGACCCTGGACCGCACAATACTGCAGCCTCTCCGGTTTACGAGCGTAGTCAGTCTCAAAGGGTGCGGTAGTTAACCACCCAATCTCTGGCGGTGAAGACAGTTCACAAATCTTTTGCACTTTCTCGGGCGTCATGAAATCGTTAACAATTATAGGAAACCAAGGCTCTGGCGGTCCCTTTCCAGCTCGAGCAGCTGTGCAAGCTGCGCGTGCTGCGTCCCAAGCTCCAAGAGGCCACGGACAGCATGCGTTTTTGTCCTTCTCCTTTCGTGCTCTGTCTTCTTCAAACTTCTGTCGTCTTGCTTCTGAAAGTTTGAAAGCTGTCTCTGCCTGGAGTTTACTCATTCTCTGCTTTCCTGTTGCGATCCACGCAGATGTCTTCTCGCCCTCAAACCATACGAATAAACTATCTCCAGGGAATGCCTCTCCGATCATGGCCCTTGATCTTCGGTCAGGAAGCTCGCAATACTGTAGTGTCTCCGATTGGAAACTATCGTCGGAACACCAAGACGTAGTTGTAAACCATCCAACCGTCGGTACCTCAGGCAAATCGCAGATGTCTTGAATAACCCGGGGCGTTAAGAACTCGTTGATAATCATGGGTATCCTTTGTGCGGTTTCGACAACACCTGCTCGTAGTGCAATGAATGATTCGAAGCGAACTTCTGAGAGCTGTGCATGGTATTGGTTCTCTTCGTCGGGAGTCTCAGGCATGGTTCCTGGAGGGCTGAGGATTGGTAGGATGGAGTCAGAAAAGCATGCAAAAGGTTGTGCTCGCGGGGAACAATGGCCTTGGACGATTCGTCGAAAGGACAGTTAATTGCTGGAATCGTGGAAGTTGATGCGAGCCATGGGGATGTTGAAGGCCGAAGAGCCGCCGAGGCGGGGTCAGCGCCAGTGATGGGACTCTGATTCTGTGTGTTTATTTACTTTTCTTTTGTTATCAATCCTTCAGAACTTCCTCCAACACCCCTTTTGGCTCTGCGTGCTTCATATCAACTCCCGCTCTCAATCGTACTCAAATATATCCATCCTTCCTCTACCATCAGCTCATGCTTTTTTTTTTCTGGTTTTCTCCTCCAATTCCAAGCATTGCTCACTTACACCGCGATCTTTCTTTCAGACCACCTTCTTAAACTATGCCTGAAACTCATGAAGGCAACGATCCGCAATATCCACAGCCTCCAAAAGTTAGGTTCGACGAAGAGGTCGTACAGCGGTCGGAAGAGGAAAGACGGAGAAAGGTCGAGGAAGAGAAAGCACGAAAGGACAAAGCCCGTTCACCCTGGCCACCTGGGGCTTGGGCAGCAGCTCGCGAAGCTCGCGCGCTTGCTCTAGCCGGGAAGGGGCCACCACCGCTGCGGTTCCCTATTATAGTGAACGACTTCATGACGCCTGAGAAAATCCAAAAGATTTGTGGTTTGCCATCACCGCCGGACGTTGAGTGGTTAACCACTGCGCCTTATGAACCTGACTGTGAACCGGAGAGGCTGCAGTACTGTGCTGTTCAGGGCAGGAAAGCATATCATCAGATCATGGAAGCTACTCAAGGAGAAGATATAGTAGTTTTGTTTCAAGACAAAGAAAGGGCCGCTTGGTTGGCATTCGAAAGGGACCCAGAAGATAAACTTGGGAGTGTTGAACGGGGCGAGCAGAACGAGAGATCGGAATGTTGAAAGCAATTGTTAGTTTTCATTTTTCGAGTATTGGAATGCCGTGAGCTTGACTGCTGACATTATTCGAGAAATAGGCATCCTAGTATTGTCTGGCTCCACGAGTAGTCAGAAACTGCGAAACAAATATGACTCCGGTGATGGTCTTCAAACTTTTTGAGAAGGTTCGTCCAGTCCTGCAAGGGAAGCCAGCAACCATCGTTGATAATGGAATTTCTGCTCCAATTATGCAAACGGTGTTTCTTATGTTTTGATGGATCACATGTGTTTTCTCTGCTCTGATCTGACCTTACCAAATTCTGTTATGTTTTGTTTATTTATATAAACTCTTTTCTGTAAGTGAATGGAGTGATATAGTAGGCATACATGTACAGCGAATCAACCCATTTTACGCATTCATAGTTTCTCGAACGTAGGCTTCCTCTTCTGAATCCCCGAAAGCAATGCATCAGAGACATCCTTCGTCTGCAGTGCAGCACTGTTCCAGACAGTCGTATACCGAAGTCCTATCATCATCAATTAGCTCCCATCGACCCCGCACAAACGCAAAGGAATAAACCTACCATCCTGAACCGAATGATCCCTCGACCAATTCAAAATCTCCTTCGTCCCCTGCACCGCAATGGGACTCTTCTCCGCCATCAACCGCGCCAACGCCAATCCCGCCTCCACCGTCTTTTGCTTATCCTCATAGACAGAATTCACGAAACCGACCTTCTCGGCCTCCTCGGCCCCAAACACCCGCGCCGTCAATGCCACCTCCTTCACCCACCCGTTATTTCCCACTACCTTGGGCAACCGACTCAGCGTCCCGATATCAGCTGCGATTCCGATGTCCACTTCCTTGACGGCAAACTTCGTGTTGCGCGCACAGATCCGAACGTCTGTCGCCGTGCTGAGATCGATGGCTAATCCCAGCGCGAAGCCGTGCATGGCGCTGATCACGGGTTTCTCGCATCGTTCGACGGCGGTGATACAGTCTTGGAAAGAACTGATGTGACGACGCATGTGTGCTGCTTTACGGGCGGAATCAACTTCGTTACTCGAGTCGGAGGAGAGGAGACCTTGTGAGGCGGCGTGGACGTCTAGTCCGGCTGTGAAGGCTTTCTCGCCGGCGCCGGTGAGGAGGATCGCGCGGACGGATGGGTCGTGGGAGAGTTGGTTGAAGAGTTGAGCTAGTTCGAGCCACATGCTGCTTTTCGTTAGCTTGTTCGGTGTCTAAATCCTTAGGAGGGAGAAGCTCAGAAAGCTGGGTTGGTGCGTACGCTTCGAAAAAAGAATTCAGCTTGTCCGGGCGGTTGATTTCCACGTGCGCGACGTAGGCATGGTCGGCCGGGAAGTGGACTTGGAAGTACTTGTAGGAGTAGTTGTTCGCCATGGTGTCCGGTTTTGCGTGAGATTATACGGGTTTAGGTGGACGTAGGTAGATGAAGGGAGATGAAGTTGGGGTGAAGTTGTCTCTTTAATTATCCAACGGCCGACGGACCTCGGCAATTGATAAGATTGGGTTTATCAGTCCTGCTGTGTTTGGAAGGTGGGGTCTGGGGTTTCGATTCAGGATTAAAGGGTCGGACGGGTTGATGTTGATGTGCAGTTCAGGTTTATAGATCAGAGGATCGTAAAGTATTAGGAAATACTGAGCAAAGCAAAGATCCCAAAACGTTGTGAAGCAACATGGTCATTCACGTGCCTCGGCTCGGTTACTTGTAGCTACAGGATTGAAGATTAGTTATATAGTTGAAGGTATTCTGCTAGCCATGTGTCGTGAAGCTATTCTTGTTTGCTGGGCTACATCTCGGTTTACGGTGTAGACGAGATCTTAATAGCCAAAGATACTTGCCCAGCGAAGATATCATGTTCAAAGGAGAGGTCAGAGTACATAAATAGCAATGACGTCACTCTTACACCTCAGGCGAGAAGCTTCTTTTGGGATCGGAGCTCGGTCTAGATGCTTATGTGCTACGTACTCTCAAGTTTCTACGGGATATAAGTGAATCAAAATGAAAGTAGCAGTTGATTGATTAATTAGATTATTGTACAAAGGAATGTAAGCTCAATTTGAAGTGCAACTCAGCCAGCTCAGTCAACTCAACAATCAAAACAGCTCAAGGAAAACAGCAAAGGATCGTATTCTCATTCTCGTAATCGTCAACCGACGGTCAAGTGGTCAAGTCATTTACTCGACGGTGATCTTCTTCGAAGACGGGGCCGCAGCCTTGGGAACGATCACAGACAAGATGCCGTTCTTCAGGCTGGCCTTGACCCTCTCCTGGTCAACGTGACTGGGGAAGGAGAACGTGCGGTGGAATTCGCCGACAGAGCGCTCGCTGACCCAGAAGCGTGGCTTGTTCTCGGACTTAGAGACCTGCTTCTGGCCAGTCTGTGCGACCTCGGTGCTTTCGCCCTGGGCGGGCTCGTTGTCGCCCTCGCCGGCTTCGGGGGTGTGGTATTCGCGCTCGGAGCGGCCCTTGATCACGAGGGTCTGGGGGTCGGAGAATTCAATGTCGACGTCCTTCTGGGCGATGCCGGGCAGTTCGCCGTCAAGGTGGTAGGCATCGGAGGATTCGCGGACGTCGAAGCGAGGCGCGAAGGAGCGCACGGAGGTTTGGCCACGAGAGGAGCGGTGGACGTCATAGTCGTCCAAGAGGCGGAAGAGAGGACCGAAGTCGCTGGCGGTAGGGATGGTTCGGAAGAGAGACATTTTGGATGTGGTAGGAAAGAGTTTGTTCAAGTGAGATAGAAAGGTTGTGATTGTGTGTTTGTTGTAGAGGATTGCTTGTTATCCTGAGACTTGTAGATGCTTTGTTGATGATGATGAGAACTCGTTGGACGGACCTCGAGGCCCTCTATATACCTGCGCGCCATGATTCCAGAATGTCCCAGCGGATTGAAGATGATGCCAGATTGCATTGGATATCCAGGGTTTCCTTGTTCTTGAAGGTGCTCGAATGATCAGGCAATGGACGTTGACTGCTTGGGAGAGCCTTCCGGGGAGGACGGGAAAGTTCTCGGCCCTTCGACGCGATCAATGGTGGCGCGGATGACTCAGCCGCCGTTGCTGTCACATGCAACTAGTGTCTTGGCGCTGTTGATCCCGGGCAAACCAGGCAAACACGCAGTGATTTACAGGTTTAACTTGGATATAGTTGTGGATGCGACGGCAACAAAAGTACGCGTGGGCATTTGTGAGAAGCTACTGGCTCTGTCTGAATATCTCTCCTACACGGATATACAACGGTTATTTGAGTTGCGAAGAAGGCTTCGAATATGGCAATCCCGTTGCCGCACTGACAAATATATATATCCTCCAACAACAGTTTGTAGTTACTCAGAAAATCCCCATTTGATACTTGATAATGTATTCCATTTCTATCATCTTAATTATAACTGTTTCTCAAATAGCTCACGCCTAGTATTCGGTATTTCATTCGCCGGTAGTTGACAGTCCCCACACCTGGTCACTGGCATCGCAAACGTACATTTGTGTAGTGATGGGTTCGATAGTAAGAAGTACATAATCGACTTTAGGTCTCCACGGGAATTGTTGGCCCAATACAGGAGCGACAGGCCATCACATAAGTTGGCATCCAAGCAAATGACCCCGGTTCTGACGTACGACCGAGCCGTGACCCAGTGTCCATCTACCTTCCTTGGACCGGGAATGTTTTATTGATGCACCAAAGCCCAGAATGTTCTCGGTCATGTTGTATCTGGCGCAATAGTATGATAGTATGATGTCTTGCGATTTCGAGTAAGCGCGACGCTGCATGATGCGGTTTGGTGCTCGAGGCACTATCACACTGGCCAGATGTCGGATACCACTCAGTCGTTGATAGATTTCGTCATTTCGAGTCCACCAAGTATCCAAGTCTCAATGTTTTCATCAGGAGAAGCGGAGAACTGCGCGGGAGGTGAAGAGGGAGGCGAAGGAGGAGGAGCGTATACGACGCGCGCGGCTTGCGACCGATAAATTATTCAGATTCCGATTCATCCGGCTGCATGACCTTATCATCGAGCTCCTATTACGCGAAAGATTAGCATACTCGAGTCCGAAGTAGGCGAACGACGAGGGAGCGTGTCCATGGCGTCGCGCTGTGCTGTGTTCTGTTACCTTTCCAAGCCGATATTTCAAGTTCTCGAGCTGGCTTTCCTTGATGACAAGGTGTCTGTCATCGTCTAGATCTTCGACAATGTAGTCGTGTCTTTCTTCGTCGTACTTCAGGATGATGGCTTTGACGGAAGGGTCGCATTCGATGAGAACTCCTGTGGTTGGTTGGATCCGTTGTTAGTCGATTGAAGGTGGGTGAACGTTGGGGTAATGCGTACCTCTGACTGCGCGGGGCATAATTAATACCTAGAAAAACGAGTGTGTGGAGGTGAAAGGAAGATGAATGCAAGACAAGGATTACAGAGGGCTCGTGTGTGCAGCGATAATTTTGGTGTTATCCAGCTGGAAGTTGAAAGGCGCCGAGATGAAGTTAATCGGCGACGACGAATGCCAAGGCCGGTAAGGCAACAAGGCATTAAGGCAGGCATTGATTTGGCTTGACGGAAGCAAGGAGATTTTTTATATAACACCAAAAGAAAAGATAAGAGGTGTTTGCTGATAAAGCCTTTCATGACATGTACAATCAAAACAAACTTTGCTGATAGTGCTATATATGTATGAACATGAACCTCGACAGTCTCCATCCATCGGTCTAGTCATCTCGGTCTACACTCTCCAGATCTTCCCTCCTCTTCTCCTTATCATGAAAAGGCGTCCAGCCTGTCCCGGCCTGAGCAGCCACCGCCACAAGCGTGATCACAAAACTCCCCAGGAGCAAGGTCTTCACAGACTGCTCATAACTCTGTATGGCAACCGCGCGCTCAACACCAGTCAAGCTGCCCACCAACGCAGGGCTCCCTAGAAGCTTTCGGATGAGCTCATCGTTCCTCCCCAACCCATGGTCGGCAAAGCCGGTTTCTAAGCCTCGTTTCAGTTCCCGTTGGAAGAAACCTCCGCCAATTGCCGATCCAAAACTCCCCGCAAATCCTCTCGACATGCCGAGTAGGGCGGTTACGATGTAATGCACGTCCGGGCGGGTGAGGTGAAGGAGGTGTGATAGGCTGTAGTTCATCATTGCGCCGATGGAGAGACCGTTGAGGAAAGTGAAGAATATATAAGCAGCAGTGGGTGAGTCGGGCGTGGAAAGCGCTGCTAACGAAAGCTCTGACAGTCCGAAAAGAAAGAATGTGACAAGACAGGAACTAGCTCAGTCAGTAAAGAGTGTTTGATCGGTGAGCATAACAGGATACAAGACCAAACTCACATGTAGTAGCTTCCAGCTTTACGGATATGGATCCATCCAACTAGGACGCCACCCAGCCCAAAACCTGCATTCGTTGGCACCAGGATCAACCCGGCCGACGCCGGAGACCAGTTACGGACCACCAATGCATACGTGGGCGAGAAGAAGAGAACAGACCAACGAGCCATCATTGATAGAAGGCCTGCTAGACATGTCAACAGAACACTTCTCATTTTGAGCAATTCCACCGGAATGATTGGCTCCGAAGCGAAATTCGACTCTATCAGTAAGAAGCCGGAAAAGACTATAGGGAACAGAATTATAGGTGTGACAGCGATTTCGGGCGACGCAAGGCTATACAGTAGTAGGAAGACGGATGATGCCTGTATTATGTTAGTTTGAACCAGCTATTTCCGGAGTTGGACATACCAAAGCCAGGGCCCCAAGATAGTCCACCTTGGCCAGCTTTTGTAGCAGCGTCCGATCCTGAGATTGTGAATTTCCTTCGCCAAGTTCATTTGGAATAGCAAAAAACTGGACCGGACCTAGAATCAAGGCAAGAGGGGCTTGGATCCAGAATATAACACGCTAACCTGTCAGTCAAGCCGATGGATGACAATGGTCTGTTTGACTTACCCATCCGTAAGTCGGCGTCAGTATACCTGCAAGTACTGCACCGGTCGCAATACCTGTTGTCATTCCAACATTAATTAACCCAATGAAGAGACCTCTTCGCTTTTTGCTTGCCAGGTCCAGGGTCAATATGATAGCCGTAATCATAAGACCGCCACCTCCACATCCAGACACTGCACGCCCGAGGAGAAACACTGTAAGGCTTTGCGCAGCCGCGGTGATGAAGAGGCCAGAAGCCAGAAGCACACAGGAGAAGAGAATGTATAACCGGGGCCTGAAGATCTGAGAGAGTCGGCCCGCAACGGGAGTGACACTGGACACGGCAATCTAGGCCAGGTCAAAGAAATCAGCGTCCAGGCCTCAGGCTGAGCTGTGAGATGAAGAAGGGTATACCAGATAAGCCGAATTGAACCAGGTTGTCTCCGAAAAAGCATCTAGGTCGGCCGCAATATCTGACTGTGCCGTAGTCATCATCGACATGTTGGTAGCTATGAGGGTGTTTAGTACCGAGTCCATAGCTCCATTCTAGATATTCATCGAAGCGTACTCTGAATAAACAACAGCAGCCCCATAGATAGAACAATGATTGACCCTCTGACGTAGGAGACATGAATGCGACTTTCTTCTATCGCCGGAGACGCACGCGTGATGAGCGGCGTCTCCTCCGAGGGCGATTGTTCTCCAGATAGTTGGTCTTCAGCCATGATAGCGATACGTATCCAAGATTTGTCGGATCAAAAGAATCGGACCCCTTGGATCCATTGAGTAGACGAGTGGTGATGATGTGCGAGGAGGGGAATCCGGCGTGCTTGTTGTTCGGAGGAAGTGGAAGCGGATGCCGGAATTAAGGGAAATAAACACGGCGCATTTATAATCAGGGTTAAGATAAGGTAATCGACGCCAACCGGATCCACTTGGGTGCTGTTGGATAGCATTATTGACCTGTCAAATTATCATTGGGTTTGGATTCTATTCGCAGTAATTCGCCACTCGTATCCATTCATAAATCGTGTAAGGTATGCCATGAAAAATGTACGCTAATTAGTTCGAACTTTCTGTTGCCCTTGAATTCTGCCTCTCCAGAGTATGGCCTTCCACACCACACGATGCACCATAAGCAGAACATTCAACGCAGAAATCATAATCAGTGTCATTGCACTGCGCGCAGTTGAAGCTATAATCATAGGTGGGTATTTCAATGCCACAGCTATCGCAGCAGGTTTGGAAGTCTGAAACAACCACAGAGGGTGTCATTTCTGTTTCTTCCACTTCCACATGAGTACCCGAGGCGTCAGCTAGGAGTTTCAAAATATTTCCTAGCTTGTATTCACGGGAAATGGATAACGGAGTACGTCCGGCACAGGTTGGGGTCTCCATTGCAGTACTGCCGTGCTCGAGAAGGGCCTGTACTATGTCTTCTCGCGCCAATAATGTGGCAACAAACAGAGGCGTCCGCTGGTACTGGTCCTGCGTGTCTACAAAGGCACCGTACTTCAACCAGAGCCGGACCGTAGACACGGGCTCCTCTTGTGCTGCCGATGCTAAGGCCGTTTGGCCATTAAGCCCCTTACCGTCTATGTGAGCCCCGTATCCTCGCAGGATCTCAACGGTTGAGATGTGCCCTCTCTCTGCTGCCCAGGACAACGGAGTGTTTCCTTCATAATTTGCGGAGTTCGGGTTTGCTCCCCGCTCTAAAAGAAGTCTAACGGCGGCATCATGGGCAAACATAGTTGCCCACGATAAAGGGGTTCGACCACGGTTCGTTGCGGCGTCCACGTCGGCACCACGATCTAGGAGAAACCGAATGACTGACTCCTGACCACTCTGTGCTGCAAAAGACAATGGCGTTCGCCCGTGTATATCTGTGGGATCTAAGTCCGCACCCTTCTCTAGAAGAAGCTTGACCACAGACAAAGTCCCCCGTTCGGCGGCGTAGAACAGTGGGGTGCGCTGAAAGCCGGCATTCTTCAGGTTCGGTCGAGCGCCTTTCTCGAGCAGAAGTTTGGCGATTAGTTCGTGACCACGCTCTACTGTGAAGAAAAGAGGCGTTTGGTTGTCTTCATCTTCCGAGTCCATATCGACGCCTTTCGATAATAGAAACTTGACAATATCCATGTGGCCATTTTGCGCAGCCCACGAGAGGGGTGTCCGGCCAGTCTCATTTCGAGCGTCGGGGTCGTAGTTTTGCTCCACTAGGAAGTTGGTTATGGATAAGTGGCCACACATTGCCGACAGGAATAATGGCGAGTTGGACTTGTTATGGGTTTCGATCACCTTGTCAGCTCCCTCAAGTAGTAGTTTCCGGATCGTCTCTTCCCGCCCCCGGATCGTAGCCCATGTTAGGGCCACGGCTCGGAAGTGATTCACATGGTGTCGATAGAGGAAGCTATTGAAATTTTGATAAAGATGGCGGTTGGTCTGAACGAACGCGTTGATGTCTCGCTCTAGATTCAGTTCCGCCAAGATGGCCTGCAGCAGTTCATTGGGGAGCTTGAGGAGCGCCATCGTAGGAAGCCGAGAGAAATAAAAGTAGAACCTGCTATTCTAGATCAGTTCAATGACATGTTGATCACGGAAGGGATAGGCGACGCAGCTTTGCTTTGTAGCTGCCGAAGTGACAGCCAGTGAGTCAGTCAGCTTTGCCCAGACACGTGTTGGGGGCGAGGCATCAACGCCTTGTTGTTTGGACCTGCGCCAGCGAGACCGGTGGATGGCCTGAGGCATCTACTGCATGGTGTGTTTCCACCATGTCAGAAAGTATCAGGATGAACCAGATTTGTGCTTCAAGGATTGACACTCGGAGGGGTCTCAACCAGTAAAATCCATATTCAGTCTCTCAATGCAATTGGCAGTGGGCACTCATCACTAGTACCTACTCAGATCCCCCATCGGGATGCTCGGAATAGCGTCTTATTCCGGCCTGCCTCACTCTGGGTCAAACCAGTGAATCCACCCACGAGTTTCTCTCTGATGCGCGCATATCTCCATAAATATAGCTTTGCGCCCGACTTATTTTCTTTTCTCCAGCCGGAGACATATTTCTAATCTCTCCTTCTTAATATCACACCCACAACTTAGCCATCATGTCGATCTCGGCCCTGGACTCACGCATCTTTCGAAACCTCTTCGGCACCGAAGAGATTCGCGACATCTTCACCGACGAAGCATATGTGAAGTTCCTCGTCCAAACTGAGGCCGCTTTGGCTCGCGCGGAGTCGGAAGTTGGTGCTATCCCCGCGGACGTCGGAGATGCGATCACGAAGGTGCTGGGAAATGTCAAGCTCGAGTATGTCGTGAAACGTGAACGCTCGGTCGGTTTATAACCCAAATGCTGACGAATGGAACAGTTTCGATAGACTTGCGCGAGAAACGGAAATCGTTGGGTACCCTGTTCTCCCGTTGGTGATGCAATTGGTGGAGAACACGCCCGAGGAGATCGCGAAGTATATCCACTGGGGTGCCACGACTCAGGATATCATGGACGACGCGAGTATTCTTCAGATCAAGAAGGGTGTGCAGTTAGTGAAGCGGGACCTTGACACATTGATTGGCATCTTGCAGACATTGTCTGAAAAGCATCGTGATACGTAAGTTGTCTGCTCTTTTGTTTCTCAACCACTCTAATTCCACGGTATCAAGCCCCATGGCTGGTCGTACCCACTTGCAACATGCTCTTCCCTGTACGTTCGGGTACAAGTGCGCCGTATATCTCTCCAGCATCATCAGACATCGTGAACGGCTATCCGAGATCGAGCAAAGGTGCTTCTTGGTGCAATTCGGCGGCGCGGCAGGAACTCTCGCTTCCTTGGGTAGCGACGACACTGGTATTCGCGTGCGCGCACAGTTAGCGAGGGAGCTGGACCTGCAGGATCCGATGATAACGTGGCATGTGGCGCGCGATAACATCGCGGAGATTCTCAACTTTCTTGCACTCATTGGTGGCACACTCGGCAAGATTGCTCTGGATATTATTGTCATGTCGTCGAACGAACTAGATGAGGTGTCGGAGCCTTTCGTACCTCATCGCGGTGCATCATCGACCATGCCACAGAAGCGAAACCCGATTTCAAGTGAGGTCATTTTGGCGGCTTCTAAGCTGCTGCGGGCTAATGCGTCCTTGGGACTGGATTCGATGGTTGTCGATTTTGAGCGTGCGTCGGGACCGTGGCATCTGGAGTGGGTTGCCATTCCCGAGTCATTCACGTACGTGGTGGGAGCTTTGCATCAGACGAACTTCGCCTTGCAAGGGCTCTGTGTGAAGGAGGGCTCCATGAAAAGGAACCTTCATTCGACTGGAGGTTTGATTGTTGGTGAGGCTGTCATGATGGGCCTGGCACCGTTTGTTGGCCGACAGCGGGCACATGATGTGGTGTATGAGGCTTGCAAGTCGGCTATTGAACACAACAAGATCCTGCTGGATGTCCTGAAGGAAAACGCAGAGGTTACAGTGCATTTGGATGAACAGAGATTGGCGCAGCTGTGTGATCCCTTGAACTATCTGGGTTCGGGTCAGTTGATGGTGGATGATGTTCTGAAAAGGGCCACGGGGCTCAAGGCATCTTTGAATTAGACCACGAACGGACAAGTTTAGATACATAATGGCATGAATTTCCAATGTTCACTTAGAATCTTCTTCCAGAGTTATTCGAGATTGGAGCTCGCATAATTAAATGGAAAGTGAATGGGCAAACCACACTTAAGAGGAGCACACCATAGACTTCGGTCAACTACTTTGGTAAAGCGATAGAGGTCACCACTTTAACCAACTATCAGCTTGAGTCATTGACAAAGTCTTGTCAGAACCGTCTCGCTTGGAATAAGACAACTCACGGCTAGATTATAGGAATAACACACTATCCCCCACACTGGTATCCCACTCCCCGGGTTAAGCTCTAATTCCGATCCCCAGAGATTTTGTACCCCGGATCAGCTAATGCGTCTGTACCCCGGACACCGACATGTGTCAAATGCAGTATAAAAATCTAGGCGCCCATCTGGGGAACTGTCACCTGAAATCATTCTCCCATTTTTGGTTTTTTGACCTTCTCTTGTCGGAATGGCATCATCACCAACGTTCATGGGGCTCCGGGGAAGTGCCCTGACTCTAGCACAGTTGATCGTGGTTGTCTGTCCTGCCTTTATTTTGTTTGGATACAATCAGTCCAACTTAGGTGGGCTTATGTCGGTGTCAGACTTTGTTCAACATTTCCCTAGGATCGACACTAAGACGACGGAGGGAGACCAGAAGAGCTCAAACGCTACAATTCAAGGAGTCGTCGTTGCGACTTTCACTCTCGGAGCTCTCATCGGATGCTTGTCGTGCTCCTACACGGCCGACAAGTTTGGCCGTCGTTTGGTCATTCTTGCTGGTGCTATACTTACGGTCGTTGGAGAAGTCTTGGAGGCATCGGCTTTTCAGCTGGCCCAGCTGATTGTTGGTCGAACGATCCTGGGTGCCGGTGTGGGTATGCTAAGTGGCACAGTACCAACCTGGCAGAGTGAATGTTCCAGCTCGAAGAACCGCGGAAAGCATGTCGTTCTGGATGGACTCTTCATCTCGCTCGGTTATGTCCTACAAGCTTGGATAAACCTGGGATTCTACCAAATCAAGACCGGTCCGGCGTCATGGCGAGCTCCCATCGCAATTCCTATCTTCTTTTCTCTTGTCCTCGGCATTGCTATCCTCTTCATGCCCGAGTCTCCCCGATGGCTCATCCAACAAGGCCGCATACACGAAGCACAAAATACCCTCGCCGCGTTGAAAGACCTTCCCGAAAACGACCCCACGATCCATACAGAAGTGTCAACCATGGAGATCTCCTTGGAGCAGACCGGCAAGAAAGCATCCTTGGGAGACCTGCTGAAAATGGGAGAGGATAGACTGCTTTACCGTTTTGGCCTTTGCATCCTCTTGCAATTCTACCAGCAAATGTCCGGCGGAAACCTGATCTCGGTATACTCAACGGTTATATTCGAAGACGGGCTGGACATGGGGTCTCAAACATCTCGGATTCTGTCGGGAGGAACGTTGACGTGGAAGTTTCTGTCCTGCTTTGTCGCCTTCTTCACCATTGATCGATTCGGTCGCCGATTTGTCTTGATGGTTAGTGGTACTGGTATGGCAACTTGCATGATGGGGCTGGCTATTGCGACCTCCTTCCCGCATTCCAACTATGCGGCCTCGGTTGTCAGTGTGTTGTTTGTGTTTCTGTTCAACTTTTTCATTCCTATCGGATTTCTTGGTGCGAACTTCTTGTATTGCACCGAAGTCTCACCGACACGTCTGAGGGTTGCTATGGCTAGTATCTCGACTGCGAATCATTGGCTGTGGTGAGTGCATATCAATCTCCCGTTACCTGAATAAATACTGAACATTGCAGGAATTTTGCCGTGACTATGATTACCCCTGTGGCGATCGACACTATCGGATATCAGTACTACATTGTCTTCACGTGCATTGGGTTCTGCATTCCCCTTTCTGTGTACTTCTTCTACCCAGAGGTGAATTCTGTTCCTTTTCCGTCCTTCAAATTCCCGCTAACTGAAGCAGACAATGGGTCGAAGTCTCGAAGAAATCGATTTGGTCTTTCGTAAAAGCCCGTCAGTATTTTCAACAGTACAATATGCGAAGAAGAACCCTCACCTTACGGTCGAAGAAAGCTTTGTCGAGGAAAAGGCGGACATGAAGCACGAGGAGAACGTGTAGGGGATATATATATGGGCGTGTGAGGACGAGAAGAAAGGACGCAATGGTCTGATTAGAGCAATTGAATGGGCATACGTGCTATACAGGAATATCAGATTTCAGATAAAATGAGTTCTCAGTGAGGCCTTGCTAAGGTAGAGATGAGGAATGTGTGAGATGGTTGTTGTGATGTCAACACCCCAGGAATCATGCCACGGCCTGAGGCCAGCCGGAATAGTCGGCTATTCCGGACTCCACATACCTGTGGCCCATAGCCCAACTGGGACTAGCGCATTCCCCGTCCTCCACAGAGCCGAACGACGATCTATTCTCGTCGGAGACACAACTTGTTCCGTCTACACTGCAGCATCCATGTCAATCAGCGCCGTCATCCATGGCCGACAATGACAGAGAGGCGGTCAGCTCAAGTTTGGTGAGTGGAGCATCTGCATGATAGTGGAATGATGATGAAACTAACTCCGACTGTGCATACTACAGCGATCGTTGTCGGGTGTAAGAGCAATGCTTCTTCTGGTCATCGCACTTTAATTCTAACGAGACTAGCAAAAGGATCAAGTGCGACGGACGTCGGCCTAAGGTAGTTAAATGGCCCCCTTTCTCGCCAGTCAAGCTGCCTACCTTGCTAATTGCTCAGTGTGGAAAATGCGACAGAGCTGGGAGCGAGTGTTCTGTGTCCGTTCAGCTGAGAAGAAGGACTACTCCTCGGGGGTATGATGAGTCCTTTGCCATCAAGGTGTTGCAGTTACTGACAAGTGCATAGCTACGTAGAGCCAATCCATGAGGTCATTCAAGAGCTTCACCGGGAGCTAGAGACAGCTCGAAACCAGCTGCAAGTAGCCTCTACCCGCGAGCGTGAGCTCGATGCCACCATCGCTTCCCAGGCTGAAGAAATTGAACGGCTCAAAGACGTGAATGGGCTGTCTCGCAGCAATGGTGGGCTAGCTGAACAAGGAGAAGACCGCAACCCAGTTTCATCCACCGGACCCGTGGTGGGACATCTTGGACGACTAGTTTTAGGCGATGACAATGCCGAATTCTTTGCGGGCTCGACCACCGGTGTTCATTTCATCCTGTCAGCACAACAGCAGTACCAAGCTGCATTTACGTCCCGTGAGCACTTTCCAGAATGCTTGTTTCGACTTCATGTGCTTCAGCCCACCCATATACGCGGTACCTCAACCGGAAACGTGTTCGTGGATCGAAGAGCTGGTGGTACATTTGGTTCTGTGACCAGCTACCAGGCTCAATGTGACTACATTCGCAATGTAGGGGTGCCTGCGATTCAGGGCATATTTGAGAGGTATCTACAGAATTGGGGGTCTTTGTACCCTGTCCTGTTATCAAAGCAATTCTTCCAAACCCTGGAAAATATCATGACAGATTCGTCTCTCTTCTTGGTTGATCGAGGGCGAGTCGTGCCATTTCTACTCCAAGTATATGCTTTGATGGCAATTGAGTCTGGGAAGAGCAATAATTCATCCTCGGGCCCCGCTCACCCATTGGACTACAACGACATTACGAGCAGCTTGTATGGCCGCATGCCATGTCGCGGAGACCTTTCAAGTCTACAAGCTCTGATTATCTATATACTTTACCTACAAACAACTTCGCAACACTCGTTGGCGATCAGAGTCTCTGGCACAGCGGTCAGATTGGCCCAATCACTGGGATTACATCGCCACTCGAGGCGATTTAAACACCCCCCTGGTGAAGCTGAGCTGCGGAAGCGCCTATGGTGGGCCGTGTTTGCTCTTGACGTGTACGAATCCGCCTTGTTTGTGTGTTTGGAATCTTGCGAATACTAACTGTTATGGTAGACATTCGAGTACCATTTATGGACTTCCCAGGACTGTCCAGCTAGCAGACACTGATACTGATCTTCCAATCAACACGGATTACGACGACCTATACTGTGACCAGCTTTCTTATCCCTTACCAGGCGAAACCACCAATGTTGAGCCCTTTCTTCATCACGTCCTTTTGACACAAATTCTCTCCCGGTGCCTCGAGCAGATGTACACAACTACAAACCGTCGTGGTGGAGTAGCAAAGATCCATAGACTTCAACGGGAAATTGAGGTGTGGAAGCAAAATGTCCAGTCGGCCTTACCTGGGCTGGCGCTCATTCAGCAGGAAGTCCACGCCAAACGCGATAATATCCACAACAGCAGCACCGCAATTCTTTCATCGCAACAACTTGATTTCAGCTCACTTTGGCTTTACATATTGGGGGAACTCACCGTCATGCTAATACACCGTCCCGCATTGACATTTGGACCCCAGGAGCCGCAGTTTGTTGACAGCCTGCAATCATGCGTGGAATCGGCAACGAACTTAGTATTGGCGTTCGAATATGCACAGTCGGAATACCTGATTACACGCTTGTGGCCGCTGGGATATCATTTCATCTTCCAAAGTGGGCTGATGCTCTTGTACGATCGGTGGTTCGAGGACCTGGCCCGACCGCCTCGAGCTGCAACAAATATGTCTAATTTGGCACCTCTCATCTGCACCACTGTTAACGTTTTAACAAAACATGCAGCATCACTAGACGAAGCAATGGTTTCGGGGGCCACGAACGTATTATCTGCAACGGAATCTACGCGAACACTCCGCCAAACAGCCTCGTACCTCCACCGTCTGTTCATCCAAACGATGGACAGGGAGTCCCCGTCTATCGGTCATAACCAGAATCCAGCAATCCCGACAGAAGCACCACCTGCCGCGCTTAGCTCGGCTCTTTCAGACCTTGGTGCACTTCAAAGCTTGGAAGCCTCGGCCCTTCCCGAATACGCCGCGTCGATGTGGCCACCGCTGTCTATCGACGAGATAAACCAAATGGAAGTCTTTGAATTTACCGACTCTTTCTTAATACCATGGGATAGCTAGGTTGGGATCCGAGGTCAAAAGACGTCTATAAGACAAACGTGTGGTGCTAGGCCGATTGTAACGCACATCCTATAGAACTTTCAGCTCCTGGGAATAGATGGGTAGCATTGACGAGAAGGGGATACACAGGGAAGAAGCACGAGCACGGATGTTTCTTAGTGCGGCCAGCCGCTGCGGGGTATCAGGACTGAGTGTTGTCGCCAGGCTGAGTCTTTCAATCCCTGCGTCAGCGATTACATATCACTGCAATAACATTTCTACTGCAGGGTCATGCAGCTTCTACAATCCAAGGTCTAACTCACTCTCCAAACCATGCCGTTAAACATCCTCGATCTCCCCAGTGAGCTGCTTGACCGCATCGTTGAGCTTGTAATAACGCACCAGGACTCGCCAGTTTCAACTAGCGATCGCGTCGCATGGCCACGGGAGCTTGAGACCTTGACAAGTTCAACGCCAGATGGTCGCGACAATGTCATGTACTGCAAAAATCAGGAAGCGCCCTACCATAACTGGAAATCCGCTTCTCCAACCCTCCTCCTTGTCAATCGACAGTTGGCCGAACTCACGCGACGGAGACTGGCACAATTCTCGAATTCAAGCCATTACGCCCTGGACGTCATGCTCGTCAACGAAACAGAACTTTGGCCGACATGGACCTTTCTCACACCTCCGTGTCAGCACGTCAATAAACTGACCGTGACCCTTCGCATCACTGGTACCAGCCCAACGCTAGATGGGAGGAAGTACCGTTTTACTCCCTTCGATGGCGCGCCGCCAATTGTCTGGTGTTTCTTCTATCTCCTCTCCCGATTTCTCGAATGTGGCCCCCTTGCGGAAGATCCGGAAATTAACCCCCCAGCCCACGATAGGCACCCGTTTACCATCAACGAATTGACGCTGAATGTCGAGACACCGAGTGGTCTGATAGCACCCCGGAGCATCAGTTATGAGAATTGGTTGCAAGGTCGCGATAACAAGGATCCTCGCACGTCGTATACATGGCCGTACAACACAGTCGAAACACTCATGATTTGGCCTGAATGGTTGGTCAAGTTGATCAGCGATTATATCGGGTATGCACTGGACATGCAAGGCCTTTTCCTGAGGGGGTTTGGGCATACCTTGCACAAGTGCATTGGGACTATCCGGATTTGTTTGGACGGGTCTGTGGTCAAAGTGCATGCTGTCGACCGTCGCCTGAAGGAGTATGTCGATAGACAACGACAGCAATTGACTGGGTTTGCCGCAAAGTTGGTTCTTACAAGTATTGATGAACTGTATGAAGAAAGGAAGAGAGCTGGATTGCCGGTGGTTTATTGAACTGCTATTGATTCCACTCCCAGTTGGGTAAGGTAAGGTAAGGTACCGTACCTACCGTACACCTCTCTCCTGATCCTGACTTGTGATTTGCCAATAGCCGACGTATTGTGGTATGTAACAATACACCCAGCCGCCATTAGGCTTACCCAAGCAGCAAACAACCGACTATAGAAACTTGTATGGCGTCCTGTTATAACTTGGCTTCAGCCTGTGTAGGCCTTGGGATCAAACAGATCAAATACCCACTGTAATGGAAGGTGATCTGGCGCCCCTCGAAAGAATGAATATTTCTGCCTTCCCACGACAGTCCCCCCCATCTCTTCCTCCTTCTCTCCCTCGTCCACCATCTCATCACAACAACAGCAGCAGCAACAACAACAACAACAACAACAACAACAACAACAACAACAACAACAACAACAACAACAACAACAACAACAACAACAACAACAACAACAACAACAACAACAACAACAACAACAACAACAACAACAACAACCACCACCACCACCTCACCATGGCCGTCTCCTCCGAAGAAGTTTTACAGGCTCAGGTTGCCGAACTCCGTCAGCTTATTGTAAGTGTCTACCTCTCCAAGATGACTGTATTTTCTAACTAGTTGCAAATTTAGGAAGCCGAGATCGCCGCGCTCGAGGAGGCCAACGAGGCCTCCAAGAAGGACATCGAGGAGAACAACGCCAGGATTGCTGCGCTCGAAGCGCGCGATGCGGAGTTGGCGCTTCACCCGGAGTTGCGTAAGTCAGCTCCTTGACCCTGAGTAACTATAATACTTGAGTAGATTCTGATCGGTTTTCCCAGAGGCCCCTATGGACATTGAGAAGCTGTACGAGGAGGATTTGGCCAAAGGCCAGTAGGGCTTTCGTTGTTCGGTTTTATTTTCTTTTTTTTCAAAAAAAAAAGTTTAGTCTAGGGTTCGTTTTTTTTTTCTTTTTTTACAATGGACATGGTTTTCAAGTGAACAATCCGTATTCTTCGGTGTAAATTGATGTAGTCCCTACTGTAGCAATTCCCCTTTGGTCAGATGAGCGAGTATGGACTTTAGATGGCGGCTGGCTTACCACCACCAGTGACGCACGCAGTGGCTAGACATGGAACGGAGCGAAAGGAGTGTACAGCGCTTGGTATAGCCCGGTAAACAAGCAGTGGACGTATGGCAGCTACGGGTTTAAATGTGCATATTTTTGTAGTGCACTTGATTTATCTAATGCAACTCTGGGTATGGATATGGCCTACAGGCCTCTCGCGGAGATGAATACTCTGCAGGCAACTGAAGTGGCCAAGCAGGTCGTGTACCCGATCAGGAAGCCTTGTTGCTACGAGTTGCTGAGCGTCAGCCTAATCGTTTGCTAGATTTGTGGATGTTCTCCTTCCTTCGGGCGAAGAGCCTGCATAATTCAGTGTGTAAATAGATGGGTATCATCCGGGCAAGAGAATCTCGATTGAGTGGCAGCAAACACATCACCACCCTCATCATCTCCAACTCTTCATTGTCAATAAATCTTCCTCTGTTGGGACCCTGGTGAGACCAGGTGGCTTCTTCACAAAACGCCAGGCGCACCATTGAATGTCGTTCCAGTCTCCATCTTCATCATAATCTCGTTTGAGACCAGAGCAAAAGTCGTAGAAGGAGCTAAGGCGGTTAGCTTGCCAGCGGATGTAAAAATGACCTTAGTAGTAGTAAAGGGACATACATTCTGCTAGTCCTTTCGTCCCAGAACAATTTTGTCATTGTTGGAATAAAACCGTATTCCGTGATCTGAGAACATTCGCTAAGGGCAGGTCAGCTCGATGGTCAACGCAAGAGTTCCATGAATGTAAGATTTAGGTGACTGACATCCAGGCGTTCTTAAAACAGGCTCTTATTCTGTCCCGCGTGCCACGATCTAGGTCCCAGAACCAAGGACCTAATTGTTGGCCCGGCAGATTTTCAAGCAGCAGGCACATAAAGAATCTACGGGGCACAGACACAAGATTCTCGTCAAGGTGGGTTGGGTGTGCGACGCCTAGGAGTCGTGGGCCCGATCCAGAGTTACGCTGCCTGAGCAAATCAAGCGCATCCAGCATGTCCTGGGCCTGCCTGGGGAGGGCTTGGACACCTTGCCTGGCTCTATCCTGGGGTCCTGCGTACTCGGAGCCTGCGAACGGAATTCTAGACAGGCATTGGTTAGATTAATATTATCATAGGAGCCAGAGGGTGTAGTTACTGCATCACAATGCGCATGACGGCCTCGTGGCTCGCGTCATCGCAGTTCGTGCACAGGAATGTGCCATAAGCTTCACCAGGCTTGTTTGGCCATATAAGAGTGTCGTTGTATGTGAGCTGGCTATACTTCTCGCGCAGCTTGCAGGTGAGTCTCCAGCGGGAGTCAGGGTCCGAGAAAGAAATGATTTGGCCGATGAAACTGGGAAGAAAGAATTCTCTCTCAGCCATTTTGATGAAAGTCAGCGACAAGAAAGAAATAATACAGGAAAAGAAATCAAGAAAAGCTCAGGCGTGCTGAGGAAGAATGCAGTTCCTGAAGCCCCTGTCCACCGTGAACCTAATATTCGCTCATTATGACTATGTGAATTTTAAGCTCATGAATACGCCTTTCTGAACCGACTGCCTTTGCTCGATCCATGGTGAATACTGTTTTGGTTCCGCGCTCTCAATCTTCACTCCAAACCCCCCACTTCCACTAAATGAACACACTCATTCTGTGGAAGACTCGAAAAAGAAATAGTAAATCCCAATGACAACCAAATACGTAACAATTTCCCAGACACCCGGCCTGCCAGGCAAGGTGTACTACCCACTTGTCCTGCGCAGTGCCCCGATTCCGCCTCTCCACGGAAATTCCCTGCTGATCAAGATCTCCGCCGCAGCCCTAAACCACCGCGATCACTTCTTACGCCAGCACCTCTATCCTGGCACCACGTTCGGGGTGCCCCTTCTTGCCGACGGCGCCGGAATCGTCGTCGACATCGGAACCGATGTCTCGCCGGACTGGCTGAACCGACGCGTCATCATATACCCTTCCATGGGGTGGTCCTCGTCTCCATACGGTCCGGAGGAAGGCGGATACGTCCGGGTCATGGGCGGAACGAGGTATAATGCTCGAGGAACGTTGACCGAGTACATGGTCATTGAGCAGGATGGGGTGGAGCTCGTTCCGCCGCATCTATCGGATGTCGAGGCTGCTGCGCTCCCTGTGACCGGACTGACGGCGTGGAGGGCGCTGATGACCAAGGCTGGGGAGGGAATGTGTGGACCCGGAAGCCAGATTCTAATCACGGGGATTGGGGGAGGTGTTGCGTTGATGGCATTGTTGTTTGCTGTGCACATGGGAGCGGATGTTTGGGTTACGAGTTCGAGTAGAGAGAAGTTGGATATGACGATGCGGTTGGGGGCAAAAGGGGGAGTTAATTACACGAAGGAGCATTGGGAAGACCGATTGCTGGATTTGCTGCCGGAGAGAAGGGAATTTGATGCGGTGATCGATGGTGCTGGGGGAGATATTGTTCATAGGGCGGTCACATTGCTCAAGGTGAATACCGAGGCACAGCTATGATGGCTTATAGATTCGCAGCTGCTAACATATTCCCAGGCTGGAGGGAGAGTAGTCACTTACGGCATGACTAGAGCGCCGTCACTATCCGTGCCGATGCGCGTCATATTGAAAAATCTCGACATCTGCGGCAAGGCGCTGGGATCTCGCCGAGAGTTTGCTCAGATGGTAGACTTCGTTAGGAAGAAGCGAATCGTGCCGGTCATCTCCCGAGTGGTAAATGGAATCGAGAACCTTCATGAAATTGAGGAACTGTTCGATATGCTGAGATCTGGTAGCCAGCTTGGAAAGTTGGTCATCAAACTGAATTCCGAGGAGCAGTGCAGGCTGTAGGTACCATGTCCCTACGCGCAATGCTTAGGGTTGTATGAAACTTCCTTTAATTGCTTCGGCAGCTGAAAGGGATGTGAATACTGTTTGAACTCGGATTCATAGAATCCTGTCCCTGTGTTGTGTAAGCGGTGACTGAGATACTGTCAAGGGAAACAGGGAATATCAGTGACTTGGAGTTACAGCGAACGTGAAGTAATCGTATATACAATTCACCTCCTGGCGAGCTGGCTTTCATCTAGCTTGATGGTGAATCCATGGCCAGCTATTAGTAGTAAAGATCCCTCTTCCGTAGCTGTACACTCTCCCACATCATCCATCTTCTTCCTACTTCGAAATGGAGCCACAAAATCGTTCATAAAGATCTTTATCTGAGGCAGTCGGTTGCCAAAGAGGTAATCAAGTTGAGCACGAGCTCAACATAGGCTCCTATCATACAACATCCAATGCCATCCACAGGATGGACCATGTGGCTGGACTCTCGGCATAGGAGAATTTCGAAGTGCTCGCCAGGGCCAACACCGTCGCGACCCCGTGGGTCGATCATCGATATGTCGTGGCCAATGAGCCACGGGGGCTCATGCGGCATCACATAAGCCGCGAGCAGGGCCTTCAGTGTAAATATTCTGTTGCAAGTCTTCATTGATCAAATATGTCAAATTGCAGCGGTACTAACTGTTTACTTCTATTAGCACAATGTCCAAAAGCTTGTTGTCGTGGCTAGATGGAGTCCTTAAGATTGGAAGAAGGACACTGAGGACGAGGACAGCGAGGAGGATGACAAGGCCAAGAAAGACAAGGCCAAGAAAGACAAGGCCAAGAAAGACAAAGCCAAGAAGGACAAGACTCCTGAGGAGATGGCTGTCATCGAGGCAAAGAAACGCGAGAAAGATATCAAGCGAATCCCCGAGGCAGACTTCACGCAGAGATCGGGTCATTGTAAGTGTCTACCTGTTCAAGATGCCTGTGCTCCGAATTTACCAACTATATACTTACAAATCTAGGCTGAAGCAATTGCCCCCTTGTTGAGGCCAACGCGGCTTCGCAGAGGGACATTATAGATGCTCTGAAGGAGGTAGTTCTGGTTAATTAGCTCAGAAGCGGAAATGGACATCGAGACGGAGTTCACAAAGGCGCTGGCCAAGGGCCACTCGATGGTTGTTGATTTCTCCCTTGCGATCTTTTGCAGGCTTTTCTTTAGCAAGTGTGCCTGATAGCATTCAATTCATAATTACTTCCAATGGCAGTTGGATCCAGGATGACCAAAGAAGGCTCAAAATCCCTTTGGACCGTACAGCAGAGATTCCTTGAATGATATAGCAAGAACTCGTTCTGCAGAAGCCTGGTTAGTTTAACGTATCTAGTAAGCAGACATATCACTTCTCAGAAAGGTTTAATTAACCAAAGCCAGTAGCTAAATGCCTAACGCTTTCTGATAAACGTAGTACCTCGGCCTTCTTTCTGTACCCTTGCAAGTAGTCGTCTCCGCCGAATCTGGTGCGCATCATCATATCCAGTTCTTCATGACAGATGAATTTTCCTCGGTCGGGATCCAGCTGTGGCTAGGTGGCATTTTGACAAGACCCCATGCAAACCAGTTCAATTCTTTCCAACTTCTATCTTCATCCTTACGATATTGACAGCCAGACATAAAGTCGTAAAACGAGCTATCGCGGTTAGTCTAGGACCAGAAATGAACACGGCTATAGTATTTATAATAAGATAGATATATACCCTATCTCTTGATGCGTCTTATATTCGCTAGAAGCAAGTTAGTTTCCTGATCAATATCAGCGATTCCAGACAGACAGATATTAATATTTATGCCCGTTTGAAGTTGGCTCTAATGACAATTCCAGAACGAAAGTCTTAGTTTTTTTTTGCAAAGACCTCTTCAAAAGTTTAGACTCGGAGAAATATTAATGTTCAAATTCTTTGGTCCGTTCTAGACAGTCTGATTCTAGGAACGAACTGAGTAACTTCCACTGGTCCCATGGTACGACTCCCTATTCAGAAGCAGCCATCATCAGTTCGTCACCTCGGAGAGTAAGAAAGTGGGTTGCCGAATTGCAAAAGGGTTTGAAATGTATCAATCAAGTCTCCAACCATGCAAGAAACACGGCGTCAAAAAAGTCAAGATCAAAGTTCGTCAAACCCCGGCGATTGTTCCCATGAAACTCTCAATATGTGACTACAGGAGAACCTTGCCTCCAGAATCCTCCACAACAAGCTCAAATTCGGGCTGAAACTCAAGATAAAAGTTATGCTGCAACACATTAACATCCTCCCACAGACTAGGAAGAGACAATCATACCGGATCCTGCACAGAGTCAGCCGTGAACTGAGCTACCTTGTCTGTGATGATCTTCTTCGGGACTCCGTTCGCGGCCGCAGCTTCGGCCATCAACTGTGAGTGACACGCCTTGTCGAGGCTGTAGAATAGGAAGGCTGCTTCGTCAACTGTGGAGCCGACGGTGATCAATCTGCCATATCGGTTAGTAAAAGCGACGCAATAACTGGCCAAGGAATGCGTATCCGCAAGAGAGGTGACAAACCCATGGTTCTGCAAGATACATGCAATGTTATCCTTCCCCAGCGCATTTGCAATCGCTATACCCTCGTCCTGTGCAAGAGCAATGCCACCATGCTCTTCATATACGCTCAACTTGCCGTAGAAGTTGCATGCATCTACACCAATCAGCGTCTTTTCTTCACCAACACCTACTCCGTTTCCGAAAGCCCAAGACACTGGACCAAGACGAGAACAACCCACCCTGCGTAATCATCTCCACTGGCTTTCCAAACGAACTCCACGTCTTCCCATACACGCCATGCGTATGCGCCACAGCCATAACATCCGGCCGAGCGCGATGCACCTCAGAATGAATCATGAATCCGGCCTCGTTGATAACAGCCTGGTTTCCGCCCTCAACCACGAATCCGTTCGCATCGACGAGGACAAGATCAGACGCTTTCATAAGCGAGAAATGTTTGGCAAACGGGTTCATCCAGAAATGTTCGGGGAGGACGGGATCTAGACCGAGAAATGGAGTTCATCAGCATTCAATGACTAACAAGTATCAAACCACCCAGTGATGATCCACAAATCAACAAGTCAATGAAATGAGGGAGGATAAGTCGAACCTCGCACAGAAATATGCCCCGAAACACCCTCCCCGTAGCCCTGTTTTCCAAAGAACCGAAACGCAGCGGCCATGTGTTCGCGTACCCATTGCCGCTTGGCCAGGGGGTCAGTGAACGAGGGAATCCCTCGGAGCTTCAGCTTGCCATTTTTGTCGCCGCGAGCAAGGGCCTGGAAAACAGCGCTGTTTTCTGCGGGCGGGATGAAATCTTGAGGGACGATGGTGCGGTTCGGGAGCTGTTGAGTGGTGGTTGTAGTGGTGGACATGTTGAGTTCGTTTTCGTTTTCTGGTCGTACGGTTCGAGGGACACTGTTCGTAGGAAAATTCAAGGAAGGAACGATGAGTTGTGGGAACCCTTGTCTTTATGCAAGTGGATATTTGCTCCCAAGGCACTGTGGTGAAATGATGAAAATGATGAATCTCGACGAAATGTCCACCGGGTACAGCTACCCGGCCATCTTTATCGGCTTGTTGTCCGGGTCGTTGTACCCCGCAGATGTTATCGGAAGGCGTCGATAAGGCTTAGATAACGATCAGATAATCAGACCAGTTAGTTGGCCAGTCACAGCGTGTCTAATGGTCATGGCATTATAGGTGGAGGAAGTAGTGTTTTTTTATGAGTGAGTATTAATCGTGTGCAGGGTAGGCGATCATGACGTCATGGGTGTTTGGCGATCATCTTTGTACATAGTCGACATTAATGGCAGAACTATTATACATAAACCTTTTGTACAGATGGGATCTTGACCTCCTGCGATGTGAATGAACAGTGAGCTGTCTTCTCTTCCGCCCCCCTCCCAAACCCAGTGTCTGGGATCGAAGATCCAATAACCTCGCCCCATACGATATTCCTGAGGGCAGCGTCTGAATCCCCCGGTGGAGGATGACAAGCCGCACTAATCGCAGCACTACAGCTTGCTGCCAGAGGAATCCGTGATCGAAACCGTCTCATCCCCAAAGCCAACAAGATTAAAACCATCAATCCACCGACCGCGATTGCAAATATAATCGCCATGGGTGACCACCCGCAGGCATTGATGTCCGCCGACTCGACATACCTGCCATGAACGTCGTAGAACAGGACACGGATGTAAAACAGACTCTGCGAAATGAGCCAGTGAAGCAGAGCATAGGTAGCCATCAACGGTAAGCTGTAACGGGCTGGAAGGCCCAGGAAATAGGAAACGCGCTGAACGCCTTGCGCCCGGCCAGAGACTCGAAGCCCTTTATTTGGCCGCGTTGTGGGATTGCCGACGATGTCAGATGTTGGTGTGCCCATCGCATAGCGGTCGTATTCATTAGACACTATCATGGATGTCATCAGGGCGTTGTAGAAGTAATAAGAAATTGAAACCAAAAGCTGTGGAACGTTGGCCAGAAGAACGCTGGCCATCATACTGCTCTTGATGCGCGCGATTGTGGTGGCAAAGCTCATGGTCCCTAACCCGAGATTCCACAGCAATTTGATGCCAGAACCGCCGAGCATTTGCAACCGGTTGTCATGCAGGCCTTGATCGAGGAGATAACCTGCTGCACCGAGAGTTGCCGAAGACCTGATAAAGGGTTAGTCTACACCTCTTTGGATCGAGAGTGTTACTTACAGGGAGATGGTCAGAATCCATAACTGTATGCTACCTGCCTGCCACCACCATTTGGACTTGGTCGACAGCTTTTGCGACCCGGTGGAGACCTGAAGGCGACGTTTTTGTCCCTTCCAGATCGGAGACCCCACCTTCCAGTCGCTTTTCGACGTCAGGCACCGTCCTGCCGTATGGGGATCCGGGTGGGTAAGGAATGAGGCAATGGCATCCCCGACGGTAAGGAGCTTCTTGGTCGATGCACGATGAGCTATTAAAACAACACAAACCAGCTTAATGACGCCGCAACCGATTACCACGATTGCAAAAGACGGAACAAAGAGCAACTGACAGCGTTCAGCTACATGCATACTCAAACAGCCATCCACCGTGTAGCTATCGCCCATGTCATACACGCGCGTGGAAGTATATGTAGGCCGACAGGTTGCCTCGGCTTGTTCAAAACGCACCTCGGCTGCCCAGCTAGGATTGTTCCAGGCGTAGACGGGATCGTGCAAGTTTGAATTGAATCTACGAGCGGAGGAACCCCCGTATTCCCATGCCATATAGGCAACGTAGTCGAGGTCATCGCAGTATGTCATATTGGCCCAGTGAGGGCAACCAGTATAGTTGCTCTTCGAATAAGTAAGGGTCTGGCCGTGCTCAGCCGGCACAGTCACTCTCCAGTTAGATTCCAACCATGGAACAGCAGAGACCGACCAATTGTCGATATTCTCTTCCATTTCTGCCAAGGGGCATCCATCGGGTGTTGTTCCCGCGCACATCCACTGATAGGACGGCCAATCCGTCGACAGATCATGGATCGCGTTGCCCAGACCAGCCAATGCGAGCGGGTCTTCGTCGTCTGATGTGAGATTGCCAGAGAGGACCACGACAGTTCCTTGACCGGAGGGCAAATTGACAGCCAGTTTCTTCATGCATTGCTCTCTGGTCAGGATTTGGAAGTTCCCTGATTCCATCTCGGCGTTGAACTGGCTGTATGACTGGCCCAGTTTATTGGGAAAGCAAGAGGCCACTTCGCCGCTCACATTCAGTGGCTTCGACCCGTCGTAATCACGAGGCGCAACCATAACAGTATATTCGTTGGTGGATCTTGCGTTCAGGATCACCGAGTTGTATCTATTCCAGGTCAATTGGGCCGGCCACACGCCATTTAACAGGAAATTACCCAGGATAATAACTCACATCAAATGATTTGGCAATGAGGTGACCATGAGGACAATCCAAAGGACTTTATTCTGCCACTTCATTTTCCGAATACTCCTCAGACTAGGAATACCAATGTCCATCCAGGATCCCTGCGAATGCGCCTGATCAACATCCTCCCTCGTCGGCGCGGCGAGATACTGCGCGCAATAGTTGCTAGCGGCCAACATGACCGTCCCCAGCATGTTGATCACCACATGTAATCCGATCGACCAGTTCTTCGTCAGGGTGCAGCTTCCTATGTACAACGGCACGGTCACGAAACCGCTCGGGCTATATTTCGAGTATCCGATGCTGAATGCGATGATCGTGAGGATGATATTGATGCCGATGACGATAGACGTGCTGGTTATACAGATTTTCGGAGGGCCCACGGGCTTCGGCCGGCCGGTGGCCCAGGTAAATCGTTTGGGGAGGAAGACATCGTCGATTCTGTTTAAGATGCATCAGTTAGCGAGATGTTCTGGTTGCCTTTTCGGATTTCACGCACCTCGTCGCAAGGAACGGTTTGGCCTCTGCCTTGTGGTCCAGCATATATTGACCACTTTCACCAGCATCGGATTTGCGATAGAATTGGAAAGTGCCCAGCCATTTCCCACGCATTGTGTCGTTACCAGCCTTTCCCCGGCCCTACCAGTCTGAGACGCGTCGAAGGAACTCAATGCCAGCAGGCGAGACTTCTCACACGACAGATTGATGTTGAGGCGAACGGTCGGCGTTGGCTGGCGCAACATGGAGCGAGGAAAGGCGAAAGCCCCGTGGCCAGGCGGTTGCTTGCAACGGAGATCCGGGAGATTGTCCAAAGCCTCATTTCTCGCGCAGCTTGGGGGCCAAAAATTTTCGCGTCCTTAATTGGGGAGATGGAGAGATGTGGATTCTGGTGGCCGTTTAGCGTCGGCAAAGAACACCCGACTTTCGCAGGTGGTGTGTATTCCTCATAACTACCTAGCAAAGACCAACAACACAACAAGCGCACCCTCATCAACCCCAGTCATCCGTCTTCAGACGAGCCTCCGCTGGCGCAGAAGACTGCTCCCCTAGGCGACCCTCCCTCGGCGGAAAAGAACCATAGCGAATAGGTTTTTGGGCCAGACCCCAGTAGATCCAGTTGAGATCTTTCCAGACTCTTTCTTCACCGTGATCGAGTATACTGCCAGTCAAAAAGTCGTAGAAGGAGCTACGATGATTAGCTTGCAAGCGAATGGAAGGTCTATGCTGGTAGTGGAGGACATACAGGCTATTCGTCGCCTCGTCCCAGAAGATTTTGCGCAACCCGGAAGTGGGATAGTATCGAGTAACACGAAGACACTCGCTGAAGGCCAGTCAGCTCTATCATCGACACCCGCGATTCCAGGGACTAAGGTACTGACATCCAGGCGCTTTTGAAGCTGGCTCTGATCTGGTTACGCTTGGCGCACTCAAAGTCCCAGAACGAACGGTCCAATTGCTTGCCGGGCAACTTTTCAACAAGCAGACACATAAAGAACCCACCGGGCACAAAGTCATCCCGAGATTGAGTCTGCTGATTCACAGCCAAGAGGCGCGGGCCCGACCGACAGGTATGCTGCCTGAGCAGCTCAAGTGCCTTCAACATGTCCCGGGCTTCTCTGGGGAGGGCTTCGGTGGCTTGTTTGGCTTTTTCTTGTACGCTCTCGAACTCCGACCCTGCAAACGGAATCCTAGACAGACACTGGTTAGCCGTACATGATGAGATTGGACGGTTTATTTACTGCATGACAATGCGCATGACGGCCTCGTGGCTCGCGTCATCGCAGTTGGTGCACAAAAATGTGCCATAGAGCGCACTAGCTTTTCCTGGCCATCTGCGAGCCTCGCTGTGACTGAGTTGAGAATTTTTTTCCCGCAATTTGCGGGTGAGACGCCACCGGGAGTCGGGGCTTTTGAAAGAGATGGTTCTGTCGACGAAGCTGGGAGGAAAGAAGTCCCTCTCGGCCATTTTGAACGGAGTGACCGAGAAATCCCAAGGTTGGAACGAGAAGAATGAAGAGACGAAGTCCACGAAATATCGAGACAGAATGAACTCGAGTAGCAACGTGTGCTTTGGGATAGCAGACCCGTTAGCGAACTAGAGAGAAAGATGGTCAAGGTGGGGGGAAGAAGGAGGAGGACTTGAAGTGAAATCTTGGATCTATTCACCAATCTCGAAAATCCCGATGTCATTCTTACACCCAGCCTCCGCTTTTCGGTTTCGGTGGCTTTGGCCCAATAATCCATAAGAAGTTTCAGCCAGCTAACCAGGGCTTGAAAATTCGGGTCCGACACATTTTCCGTAACAAACTTGACATAGAGAAGAGAAAGCTGCTAGACTAGGTTTCTAAAGCTCGTCGGCTGATGTAGATCTAGCCTACTGAGCCCTAACACCACGTCGAGGTGCCTATCGCTGGAGGGATGAATCCAGACCGTAAGCATAAGAATCCATCTATAAGCAGAAACCCGCCCTTGTATCTTTCCAGTGACGCTCAAAGGAACCAACCCTCTGACTCCAGATTGTCAATGGCGACATCATAATCGATTTTATCCTTGGGAGGCAAAGCCAATCCCCACATGTCCAGCACCTTCGGGCCGAAAGGAATTGGCTTAGAAGATAAATGTCTATCAGAGTCAAATTCCCGTGGTTCAAATTCTCCGTAGATATCACTTTTTCCAGCAGAAGTTAGACAAGAAAAGTAAAGTAGCTTCTGTAGGATAGAGGAAAACTTGCACTCTTTTTGCCTCTCGATTCCAGTAGAGGTCCTTGAGGCCGCCGAAAGGGATAAAAACTCCCGCGTAAATTAAGCAGCTAATCGACCAATGAGAGAATTATTGGAAGCTCAAAGTAGTGCAAGGCCTTTCATATTGGATTCGTACGTATACGCATCTTCAAAAGAAGTGCGGATGTCCTGCCTTTCTTGCTTATCAAGACGCCAAAATTCTCCGTCTGTCCGGGGTCTTCCGTCCTTATCGTGGTGCCAGAGAAAAGTACCCAGACGGATGCCAGTCATTGAAGTGTAAGCCAGGTACTGGATATAACCTTCTGGAACAGGAAAAGTACTGTCTTGTTTTGCTTGCAGCGTCCCGATCAGCTGCGGAACATGTTTGCGAACGGCACGGTGAAAGAGATTATAAGCTTCGATTGTAAGTCTCATGCTGAGAGAACTCTCTTCTGATGCTTGCTCTTGCCGGCGAGATGGAGAACAAAACTCGGTTCCTTGGTAGGGAATCTGCATTTCCACCTGCATAACTCCTTTCTCTCCAGACTGCAAGTTAGAGCATTCGAAAACTGCCCCAGCCGCAGGTGGTTCGAGGTACTTCTTTGCGGTTTCTTCGTCGTAAGCGTAGCAAACTTCGTCCAACTTGCGGATTAATTTCCAGGTAGAGGAAGAGGGATACGTGAGTTCGATGGTCTTCTCGAGCCAGATCTCATCTGGAAAATAGGTAGGGCTAGACATCCTGGGAAGAAGAGATGGGAAGAGATGTAGAAAGGTACGAAGTGAGAAGGAGAAAGTGGGTGGTGGGTGGGTCACATGCACCAGGTAAACACCCCCTCCCCCTTAAAGGTAACTCTCACCTCTACCATGGTTACATCATCTTCTTCACTGTATAAGGAGCTACGGCGATTAGCTTTCCAACAGATGGAAGAACGATCTTGGTAATGATGAACATACAGTCTCTTGGTTGCTTCCCCGAAGTGGGATAGTATCTGGTGAAACGAAGGCCCCCACCAAAGGCCAGTCAGCTCCATTATCAACGCAAGCGTTTCATACATCCGGATGACAAGAGTTGGAGGTCACCCATGGAGAAAGGTCGCGACAAATTCCTTCCTGGAAGGGCCCTTTTTCCAGATCGGGGACGGCAGCCGCGATGGCCTCTCTCGCAGTGAGAGGGCTTGCTGGCGCCATTCTCGTGGATTGGCAAAATGGAATGAATCAAAGGATTTGGAGAGGGTTGACGCAGGTTGGGAATTCTTCAACTACGCGACCTCTACGTGTACTGCTTTCTGGGAGCTGCAGATTCACCATTGAGTTGGACTATACCTGTTGTACAGGGTCTCTGCTGACGAAAGAAAAAAAAAGAAAAGTAAAAAGAAGGAAAGAAAGACGACACTTATCATCCTATGTGCACCCCCTTGAAGTAACTCTCACTTCTTCCATGGTACGACTCCCACTTCCGAAGTGGCCATCATCAGTCCATCATCACTAAAAGCTAGAGTCTCGGAGACAGCGTCGCAAGCGAGGACTACCCCCGCTAGTGGAACGGGTTTCAGGGCCATAAAAAGTACGCTGTCATAGAAGATGGAATCAAAGTCGAGAGGCCGTGCCTCAAAGACCTGGTGAGGTAATGTTCTCCGTACATCCTGATCTGGGAAGCTTTCTGATAGAGCGCTTGTGCGAGACCAGACGTGGCCTGCATTTCTGCTGTGCAGCATGCACCTTGTGAGCTTGTAGAGGCGGAGTCGAGGCGCTTCGAAGGCAAGTGAGCTTTATGCTTCGCTTGGAAGGCCTGACGCCTTGGAAATAGGCATTCGGACTAGGATGTGGCTATTGTGGCTTTCTACAGGGCCCCGTGCAATATTCTAAGTGTCAATATTTATCCTTTCTGTCAGTTCAATCTCCTTGACATGTTTATATGCTCACTATCCAAAGTGATTAACTGCAGATACGTGCCATCACACCGTAATGAAGACCATTCAGCCTTAGTCTACCAGAGAAAGTTGGTCTAGGGACAGACCTTAAGGTATGAATGAGCACCACGAGACATTCTTCCTACTATCTCGTTCAAGCTATTTCGCACGGCTGATCACCTAGGAATCCAACTCAGCATGATCAAAGTCAATAAGCATCAGCTTGAATATCTGCCAGTTCAACAGAATGTTGTCGCAATGCGCGTCGTTGTGATATACGCCGAGAGCACGGGCCTTTTGCAAATGAGCTCTTCCTTCAGAGACCATCCGTTCAATAAAGGACAATCCTGTGTCCTTGCCCGCCCAACTCATGACGATCATGTGTTGGATCCGTCCGATTTTATGTACAAGGTCTTTCCTATCCAAGTTCATCTTGACGAGGAATCCAGGCACTAGTCCGTGTGCTTGTCAAAGTACGCCATCGTGTGGAATTGAAACGGCCGAAGATGCATCCGTCAATCGGCAGTCTGCTGTGCTATGGTTCCTATTATCGGAGCTCGGAGACATTATTGCATCGATTCGGCCAAGAGAACGTCTTCATCACGGTTTGTAATCCAAAGCTAAACGCCCGCATGGCATGGTATCTGATCCTTTGATATGAAAATCTCACGAATTTGTAGCGATAATTCACTTCGAGCTCGGACCTCCGACTGCGGGCCGAGCCAGGCCTTAGTGTGGTTGGAGATAATCATTAGATTTTAAGAGAGACCGATCAGACCGTTGCAACGTTTCAAGAGCCAGGCACATGTGAGTGATTGAGGTCTAGATCACGTCTTGACAACCCGAGGGCCAAGCAGCCAAGGATATCGAGCCTTCTGACGGGTTATGCCGGACTAAACTCGGACATTTTCCCTAACAGGATGAGCTGAGGGGACGAAAGAAATTGGTTGAGGCAATGGTGATAACAGATGGGCGGCTGGCGACAAGTTGTAGTAAAGGGATTATAGGCGAGATTCGCCGGTCATAGAAGGCCGGGATGTACAATGCAGGGGAAGCCTGCTAGCGCCGTATGAGTCTCGGGGTGGGGCCGAGCGGATCGGTTCGCTAGTCCCGGCTGGGCATGCCGTGCAGACGTTTATTGATCGACAGCCGAATCTATTCATGTGGGTTGAGGTAACGGCTGACATGGTCGATAGTCTGATATACAGTATCCGGAGCACTGCAGTCCCTCTACGTATTAGGGGTCTTGCCACAGCGTTTATGGCGCCATCTGAGCGACTCTGACCCCGTAGATAGAGTTCAGTTCTGCAGTGTGGGAGTAAAAGACTTCGAATCCAGACACGTCAGCTGTCAGAAGGATTCCAGTGCCTGTGAGACGGGTTTGGTGACTTTCGGCAGCTGTGAGCCGACGGATAAGAGTGCTGAGCCAATGAACTAATCTATGTATAGCACGGACAGCGGCGTCCACACATAGATGCGAGACCAAATTCCCTAAGGGGGATGATGCCATCATGTTCTAGCTTGCCGGAGGGATTCAAATGTCCGAAACGACGCCATAGTGTGTGATAACGGCATGAGCTCTCTGTTGAGTCCAGTTGCACCGAGGATGGGGCCAGCTTCCAGCTTTGACGATACATTGAGTTTGGCCGATCGACATTTTAGTGGCAAGATCACAGAGTATGTTATCATGCTGAGGGCATTTGTTGTCTATATAATACTTGACGATGCCCATTAAGTCTGGATCCAGCAGAATTCTTGCCTTCATGAGATCGAGCAATCAAAAAGCAAATCACAATCATTATCATGCCTTTCTTGGATCCTTCCGCGTCAAGCTCCGAGCGGGATAAGAGCACCTCGGGCACAGAATACAGCACACGAGTGAGTTTCCTGATGATCCACCATCTTGCCACCTCTTCTGTATTGACTGGCTTCAGGATGAATCGAGAGGCGTTGCCGTAGTGGGCATGGCCTGCCGCGCCCCGGGTGGAATAAATGACCCGGACCAGCTTTGGAAGTCCTTGTTAGACAAGCTGGACGCCAGCGGGGAAGTTCCTTCTTCTCGATGGGAGTCGTATCGCAACAGGAACCCTCGCTTCGAGAGTGCACTCGACGGAACCACAAACCGCGGCTATTTCGTCGAGAACATTGAGGACTTTGACTGCCAATTCTTTGGAATCTCCCCCAAGGAGGCAGAGCAAATGGATCCCCAACAACGGATCTCTCTCGAAGTGGCATGGCAGGCGATCGAAAATGCCGGCATTTCCGCGCAAAAGCTCAATGGTACTGACGCGGGAGTCTTCTGGGGCATCAATACCGATGATTACTCACGACTCATCCTGGAGGATCTCGCTGATGTCGAGGCGTGGATGGGCCTTGGGACTGGATTCACCGGGGTTCCCAATCGCATTTCTTACCACTTGAACATAAATGGCCCGAGTGTCTCGGTTGACGCCGCATGCGCCTCTTCTCTTGTGGCTGTACACAACGGTGTTCAAGCTATCCTCGAGGGTGAGTCAACCGTTGTGATTGCCGGTGGTGTGCATGCCATGTGTGGCCCTGCTCTCACACGAGTAATGGACAAGGCGGGAGTCTTGTCACCCGACGGACGTTGTCGCTCCTTCGACGACAGTGCTTGTGGATACGGGCGTGGGGAGGGTGCAGGGGCGGTTGTCCTGAAATCTCTCCCGGAGGCCATCAACGATGGAGACCACATTCTTGCGGTGATCAAGGGAAGCGCCGTCGCACACAATGGTCGATCAAACGGCATCATGGCCCCCGATTCTAAATCTCAGCAACGAGTAGCTTTGAAAGCTCTGCGGGCCGCTGGCGTTGACCCGATGACCGTTCAATTCGTTGAAGCCCATGCCACATCGACCTCACTCGGAGACCCAACAGAGATTTCTGCGATCGCGGAGGTGTATGGAAAACTAAGACCGACCAATGATCCATGCTACGTTGGCTCAATCAAGCCAAATATTGGTCATCTGGAGGCAGGTGCAGGTGTTATGGGATTCATCAAAGCAGTTTTGGCCCTTCAGCACGGGGTTATACCTCCTCAAACGAACCTACAAACTTTGAACAGTAAAATCGACTGGAAGAATGCCGGCCTGCGTGTCGTGAAAGAGAAGACGAAGTGGCCGGCAACGGAGGGAAGGCGACGGGCGGCAGTTTGTTCTTATGGTTACGGAGGAGCTGTCACTCATGCCATTCTTGAGGAGGCTCCCCCACTCCCGCAATTGGTCCAGCCTGAGATTCCTGTTGTCAATGAGACTGGCCCACGAGTGTTGCTGGTGTCTGCCCTCCAAGAACAGCGATTGCCGGCAGCAGCGGGGTCATTGAGAGACTGGCTCAGCCAACACCCCCAGCCTCCTAGCTTGGATTCTATCTCCAAGACCCTAGCTGCGAGACGTACCCACCATGACATTCGAGCGGCTGCGATAGTGGACGACACTGCCAGCGCCGTGGTTGGTTTGGATAACCTGGCCAAAAAGGAAAATTCTGTTTGGACCGTTCAAGGCCGTGTGCTTAAGTCAGCTCCGACAAGAGACGTTGTCTGGGTCTTCTCCGGGCACGGAGCGCAGTGGCAAAGCATGGGAAAGGAGGTCCTGAAAAACGAGGTTTTTCTAAACGCAATCAAGCCCCTGGATGCTATTGTACGCAATGAAATCGGCTCATCCCCGATTGAATGGCTCCAGTTGGGCGATTTTGCGTCGTCCGATCGTGTTCAAATCTTGACCTTCCTGATGCAAATCGGCATCAGTGCAATCTTGCAGAGCCAAGGGATCGTCCCAAACGCTGTTATTGGTCACTCTGTTGGAGAAATTGCAGCTTCCGTTGTGGCAGGGGCACTCTCTCCGGAAGAGGGTACACTTCTCGTCACGCGCAGATCTGTCCTGTATCGACAGGTCATTGGCCAAGGCGCGATGGCCCTGGTACGCCGGCCTTTCGAGCAGGTCTCTCGAGAGCTTGAAGGTAACGACAAGGTGACAGTTGCTATCGATTCATCGCCTTCCTCATGTGTCATCGCCGGAACCAAAGATGCTGTCAAGGAGATTCAGGAGTCCTACAACAAGCAGGAAATCGAGAACTTCACCGTCAAGACCGATATTGCGTTTCATTCACCGATGCTAGACCAGCTTGCAAACCCTCTGTCGGTCGCTCTTCGAGATGTTATTTGGCCCAAACAGCCGTCCATCAAGCTCTATTCCACAACGTTGTCGGACGCACGAAGTCAAAATCCCCGAGGCGTCAAGTACTGGATTGATAACATGATTAGTCCAGTTCGATTGACATCTGCCGTGCAGGCCGCCAAAGAGGATGGCTTTAGAATCTTCTTGGAGGTCTCAAGTCATCCACTTGTCGCGCATTCTATCGAAGAAACGCTTGTGGACAGTGACGCTGGGGAGCATGTGGTGATACCCACCCTTCGCCGCGACCAGCCTGCCGAGAAAAGCATTCTTCGTGCCATAGGCCGTCTGCATTGTAGCGGCGTTGAAATCGACTGGGAGAACCAAATATCCGGACCTTGGGTGCATGGTGTGCCAACTGCACCATGGGTGCATCGCCCTTTCTGGCGCAAACCTTCCGCCGCAGCTCTCGCCCTGCACAACGTACGTGGGCACAGTTTACTAGGCCAGAAGGTTTCAGTGGCAGGTAGCGAGACCGTTCTCTACACAACAACTTTGAGCAAGGATGCAAAACCTTTCCCCGGAAGTCATCCTGTCATGGGAACTGAGATCATACCCGCGGCGGTTCTTCTCAACAGCTTTCTTCAAGCCACCAGCGGCTTTGCATTGCAGAATGTCAACTTGATTGCACCTCTGGAGACTGAGTCTCAACGACTTGTGCAAGTGGTGATTCAAGGCGACGACGTGAAAATTTTGTCGCAAATCGTACACAAAGAGCAGCTACTTGATAACCCCTGGACGACCCATACAACCGCGAAGATTGTCCCCCGATCAGAAGCCACGGAAGCAGCCGTCGATGAAACAATCAAATCACACCGCCCAGGAAAGGAGCTTAGCAAATCATTCACCATGGACTACTTGACAGGAACAGGGGTTGACGGCATGGGATTCCCTTGGGCCGTGCTAGAGCACTGGGGTGACACTCAAGAAATGATGGTGCGTGTTGAAGTCGACCCAGATAATGAGCGTCTTCAATGGGAAACCTCTTCATGGGCGCCGTTCCTGGATGCAGCAACCTCTATTGCCGCCACCATATTCCACGATCGGGCCAAACTACGCATGACGGCCGGCCTAGGCGCGATTGAGATATTGAAGGAGCAGGACCCACCAAGGGTTGGCTGGATTCGCGTGCAGAGAAATGACGGCAACGACTGCACCTGCAACGTCGATATCCTGGATGAAGAGGGCGAACACTTTGTACGAATCAACACTATGCGCTTCGCAGAGCTCGAGAGCGGCTCCGATCAGAATGACGGCGTCTCGAAGCTTGTGCACCGAGTGGCCTGGCCGCCGGCAAGACTCACCGAGGAACCTCTTCACATTCAAGAGATTGTTCTAGTCACAAGCGACGAGGATGCTAAAACTGTTTACACCAAGGAGGTCCCTCGCCACGTGGGCCTAACTCACATTTCGACTCCAGATGAGCTGGTCCAGCGTGGAGCGGATATCGCATACCGTAAAGAGCTTGTTGTTGTCTACGTCCCTGGTCAGGTCTCGTCATTCCAGGACATCCCCGACTCAGTCGAACATTTCTTGGCGGAGCTTCTTGCGGTCGCAAAACATTTGATCCAGTCAGGCTCACCAAGCAAGCTCTTCGTTCACACGACGAATGCATTCCAGGGTAAGACGCCAACGGCGCTGGCTCACGGACCGCTTCTCGGCACAAGTCGCCTTATTTTCAGCGAGCACCCGGACATCTGGGGCGCTCACATTGATGACGAGTATAGATCGGTGCCTCTCTCGACTATGAAATACATTCAAGGAAGCGACGTCATTCGGGTCCTAGACGGAGTCGCCCGAACGGCAAAACTCCGGGATCTTCCACTGGATCGCCGCACACAATCTGTATCTCAGATGCTGCCTCGTCCCGAAGGAACCTACTTGATCACTGGAGGACTTGGGGATCTTGGACTCGCAACAGCTGAATTCTTCGCAGACCACGGAGCGCGGCGGATAGTCCTGCTATCTCGGCGTCAACTACCACCTCGCAGACTGTGGGGCAGTCTCACGGGTGCCGGTCAAGCAGTCGCTGCGCGGATAAACGAGTTGGAAAAGCGCGGCCTTTGCGTCTTCGTGCTTTCCATTGACATCGGGTCTAGCACCGCTGCCGAGACACTCATCCAATCGCTAGACCAGCTAGGCCTTCCACCAGTTCAGGGCGTCGTCCACGCAGCCGGGGTGTTGGAAGACCAGCTTATCCTTAACACCACCGAGGAAGCATTCCATCGTGTTCTCTCGCCCAAAGTCACCGGTACATTGGCTCTTCACCAGGCATTCCCTCCCGGTACTCTTGACTTTTTTGTCCTATTTGGTTCGTGTGGTCATCTGGTTGGCTTCCCTGGACAGGGCGCCTACGCGCCTGCTAACGCTTTCCTTGACTCTATTGCTACTCATCGTCGCAATCTTGGAGATAACGCGGTATCATTCCTGTGGAGTTCTTGGACCGACATGGGTCTGGGTAATGGTAACGACTTGCTGGTTTCGGAGATCGAGAACAAGGGTATCACAGAGATCAGCCGCCAAGAAGCGTTTGAGGCCTGGCTGCATCTTGCCAGATATGACATTGATCACGGCGTAGTGGTCCGAGCCCTGCCGATCGAGGAGGGACAAGGCATTGTGAACCCTCTGCTGACCGACATTGCCGTTTATCGTCGCTCGACAAATTCGGCCCCGAAGTCCGGAGAGCCCGCTGCTGCGACCCGTACGTCGACTATACCGTCGTCTGGACCCGAATTGAAGGCCTACTTAGATGAGAACATTCGCGCGACTGTCGGAGAAGTTCTTCATCTTCCTCCATCTGATGTTGACCCTATGGTCGCACTTGCAGACATGGGTATGGATTCGGTGATGACCACCGTTTTACGACGACAGCTCCAGAAGGCGTTCAATATCAACGTACCGCCAACCTTGATATGGAATCACCCAACAGTTGGTCACATGGTCGGGTGGTTTGCGGAGAAACTAGCTGCCTAGATTGGGTTCGACTAGACAAAAGACCCAAACAAGTTGGTTCCTTTTGTGTGATGTTTTATGGAAGCTCGAGGAAAGAAGTCGGGGTGGTGGTGGAGATGAGGGAGAATTGAAACGCGACGCGAAAACGACGGTCGCTTGGCACATCCCGCCGCGGTCACGTGTTTAGTGCCTCAGGCAAAAAGAGGTGGTTTTCGTCGACCTTGTTGATAGATGTGATTGTTATGCTACCTGAATTTTGCAATTATGTTTCAGATAGTGCGTTCAAACAGAGTCATTTCCTTATCAGTTGTCGAAACGTGCCATGGACTTCAATTGTCTCTACAGAAACCTTCGTATCAACCGTTGTGCCAGGAAAATATATTGTCACGAGCTATATCCAAAATTCTTGATTCATTCATTAGCACAGACTTGTAATTCTGTTCACCAGAAAATCACAAGTCAAGTCTACCTCTATAACAGATTTTGAATTTAGTATCTTCTACTGAAGTACTGGTATTCGGTGAGTGAACTCTATCACTAGCAGGCTTCAATTGTCTCTATGGACAGACCGACAGCAATCCCGCGCAAATTAGGAGAGATAGTAGATAGCTATCGGGGTGGGTGGCTTCTTATTCATCGTACGTAACACAAGATAGAGCTATTAACTATCACGGTAGACTGATAGGTTCCCAAAACTTGGTAGTTGTTGCCTCAACACGGGGAACCTGAGTGACTTCAATAGCCGACGCTAATTGAAGTTGTTGAGGATCGATAAGGGGGTTAATATGGCAGACCTATTATTCTGGAGCTATCATGCAGGGAGTGGAGAAAAGCCTAGTTTGTCTTACATTTCTGAATCCGGGGTTATCTACGGAGGAGTAACCTGGGAGGAGCTCCGCCGGTAGATCAGACCCCGATAGTTTACTAGAGTGAGATGCCATGCGCTCCTATCGTGAGAGCACGATTGGCCTATGATAGACATCTTCATTTGGAGTTGTCATTACCGACGGGAGCTCTCAATGTCGGCTATGGAAGTCCTATCGTATTCAGTTGAACTCCAGCAAAGGCCGCTACTCCGCGGCGGAGCTCACTACCGCAGCATTGAGTATATTCATTGACTAGTGCCAGGGTCAACGCCCGTACCCAATTTCCTCTATTCATTCTTATAACTCTTTCAATTACAAGCCTCGGGAAAATGACATACAACGAGATCCGAGGCCGTCTAGCCCTAGTCACGGGCGCATCAGGAGGGTAAGGGGAGCCCCAGACTCGGGCGCTCGGTAGAGGGTCAGCTCGCAAGTATTGAGATAACCGCTGACAAGTACTCCGTATACTTGTAGGATTGGAGCGGCATGCTGTCGCCAACTCGCTCAGCGTGGGGTGCACCTCGCACTGACCTATTCGACAAACCTGGGATCGATCCATGAGCTCGTTGCAGAACTTCAGTCAAAGTATGCCGAGCATCAGCTACGCATATCCATTCATAAGGTAGATGTCGGATCGGCCGATCAGATTGAGGCTATGTTCCAGGAGATAGATCAGGAGCACGGCCAAAGACCAGACATCCTGATCTCGAATGCTGGATTTGGTAAACGGATAACGAACGTGTGGGACATTGAGCTCGAAGATTTTGATTACATGCTTAATGTAAACCTGCGCGCATCATTCATTCTGGTGAAGGGTGTGGTAGAGCACATGAAAGCTCAGCAATGGGGACGGATTGTGTTCATGTCCTCCATCGCTGCGTCGGGAGGTGGAATAAATGGATGTCGTGAGTTAAACCCCTACCCATTCATCCGAGGACAGGATTTAACAGACGATGCTTTCGGCAGACTATGCGGCTTCCAAGGGTGGACTGAGCGGTATGATGAAGAACCTGTCCAGTCGTTTGGCCCAGTATAACATCAGCGTCAATGACGTCGCTCCAGCTATGATCGGCGACACAGGCATGGTGCCAAATGCTGCCGCAATCGCAGACACGGTGGCAACTATCCCTCTAGGCAGGCTGGGAACACCGGAGGAGACGGCGAACGTAGTAACTATGCTGCTGACTACCGGGTATATGACCGGTCAGAGCTTACTGCTAGCCGGTGGCCTGAAATAGAACTTACCATGAGATAATAGCACCAACAAAATGATGAATGAATTCAAAGGCCGCTTCAGAAGCTTCAGATGTACCTATGTTTTGCTCCTCCGTGGAAATAGAAGTAACAACTCAATAACCACATCGACGTCCATCCTAAGTCAACATTATAATTGTTAGGCTCTCACGAAGAACCAGCAAAAAACCAGAAATTTCGGTAAACAAGGTCATAAGGTTATTTAATACTTGAGAACCATCCATTCATCGAGGGTATGATCAAGCCATCTGCAAACAATGCTCAATTATATTGGAGTCTAGAGATTATGATACCCTGTGGGGTCTACTCACGGTATTCAGAAGGCAAGCTTGCGGGTATATTCAAAGACCAGGCTACAAATGTTTCGGTCATTTCTAATAGTTTGTTCTTCATGGTAGAACTGATAAACAAGACATTGAAAATCTCATATTGAAAACACTCCGTACTTCACACATATGATAAATGAAACAACTCATGAATAATCAAGGTACTTACTTCTATGACACACACGCCTCATACCGGTAGAACAACCTTGACCCCCATATACTCCCGTTGATGCATGATCTTGCCATCGATGAGCACCTGGTGAGCACCAACTCTGTTGTTGACAGTATCAGTTGGGTCAGTGCAAGTACTGATCTGGATCTCGCGCCATTGGCGATTGGTAGGCACGACATTGCCCTGAGATGTAAGCTTCTTAAACTCCTTGTAGACTCCTTGCTCCTCAATGCAACCCTCGCGTTGGATCAGTTTTGATTCTGCAAAGCTGTGAGCATGTATTATTCATCTAGGTTGAACCGTGAGCTTACCTTGTGCAGGTGCCATGCGTAAATCTCCAATGGAGCTGTTAAAGAGAACCAGCGAAAGACGCTCTTCGTTCAATTGGTCGACAGGGGGCTTGAAGACACGATGACGAGTGGCCTTGAAGTGGCCGCCCGAGACAATTTCGAGGGTATCTCCGATGTTGATGACGAGGGCCCCGGGCTTGTAGGGAACATAGTGCCATTGTTCATCGCGGCCCCAGATCTGCAGGCATGAGATAGGAACAGAAAAAAGCAGTGTAGTCAGACCGAAGTCAGTGTGACCGTGCATGCGAAGACCCTTGGATGCCTCCTGTGTTTGTTTCTGTACCGGGCGGAAGAGGGCATGGCGGAAATACCCCTCTCCAGTTGGGCTGCCATGGGATTGTACGTTGTTCCACAGGTAGTCATCCGGTAGCTCCAACACGCGCGAGAGGACGGTCAGAAGCCGGTAGTTGACAGATTTGGTGAGGTAGTTGCTGAAGGCCTCAATCTCGTCCATGAAAGGGTGCAGGCATTTCGGTACGCGATCGAGAGACTCCCAGTCGTCCTTGTACCAGTTGAATTGTTCGATGCCATCTGCGGGGCCACGGTGGCGCTGAAAGACAGTCAGTACACGTTTCAATCTCGGACAGAGTTTGTATTCCCTACCTTGAATCCATACGGATGCTTGTAGCCTGACCACTTGCCGCTGTCGGGGTTGAAAAGCAGACGCTCCTTGTCCTCCTCGCTTATGTTGTTATATAGATATTGAGCAAGAGCGAACTGGCGGTGCAACTGTTCGAACCATGGAAATTAGCCATCTATATTTATTCTTTCTATTGTCGGTGTATCTTACCTGCTCAAGGGAAACTCCATAGTTCTCGAGGAACAAGAAGCCATCGTCGCGGATAGCAACCTTGACCTGCTGGACAAGGTTGTCAACGACAGCTGGATCATCCGAGTCAAGAAGTGACAGATCAATTGACTTGAGCTCAGCAAAGTTGTGCTTTTCTTGGGTGACAGGAGGCGGAACCCATTCTGGGACGAAAGGCTTGCCAGGGAGGTCGGCTGAAGGGGGGTTGAACGGAGCTGTGGGTGCCATGGCTAGATGTATGCAGTGAAAGCTAGTTGGTAGCGATTGATAGTGATTATAGCTCCGACATAGGGGTCTATCGTGAGCCTCTTATATCTTGCCGGTGTTGTACTGAAGCATATGAATGTGCACCGCGAGCTCCCGGCCGGTCCATAACGCGAGAAGGATCGCATCTGGCGTCCTCTCAACCGGTATGATTGAGAGAACCCAAACTCTCAATCTACTTCCTGTCCATATGACAGAGCTCCTCTCATGTTATCTTTGACTAACCCGAAGCGAGCTTGCTAGGCGGCATGTCTGGTGGAGCGGGAGGAGCTCCTCCCAACTAGGGCCGGAGGAGGCTATCTACACTTATTTATACGCATGAATTGCAATCCATCCTGTAGGCTAAGATCAAAGCTGAATTAATCCTGAACACACTCGATCCTCCTTCGCACCATTCTCAGTCAAGATGTCTCGCCAACTCATCTCCAGCGAAAAGTTCCCTACCAAGCCTCACAATTGTAAGTGGTTTCGCGACCTCGGGACCTGTCTCAGTGAATTAACAAAGCTAACATCGTGCCTCGCAGGTCCTGCTACCAAGGTCCCTGGTCTTGTTTTCTGCGCCGGGCAAACGGCCACCGGAGAGATCAAGCAAGCGACGGTAAGTCCTCTGCAAGCGTTCAGCATTGTTTGGAGCAATGGCTGACTCTCTTGTCTCATCCAGAGAACCGTTCTTCAGAACCTCAAAGAAGTCCTCGAGCTATCGGGGTCGTCGCTGGATCAAGTTGTCAAGTACAATGTGTATCTTGCGGATATGAAGGATTTTGCTGCTATGAATGAGGTCTACATTGATTTCCTGCCCCAGCCGATGCCATCGCGCTCTTGCCTGCAGGCAGTTCCTCCGGGCAATGGAACTGTCATTGAGATTGAATGTATTGCGCAGGTTTAATAATAGAAAAACTAGACGAATTTACTATAGATATAGTTTTCACAGAATGCGACCGTAATTTATTGTCTAAGCTTATCATTCATGCTATTCGATGCCTTCGGTTGATGGTTGATAAAACTAGACGCAACAAAACACAAAGTCTCATAGAATCAAAAACTGTATTACCATTAACTGAAGTGATCATGAAAGCAAACTGACTTTTGTGTGAACTCGCCCTGCTTATGATGTGTAGAGTGCTCGCATAAGAAATCCGCACTTCATCACTTCTCGGGAATAATTCCTCTACAACCATCTGGATAAGCATACCAGTAACCTAGTGAGCCATAGAAATCATTAGTGCACTCACAAAGTCAGACGGAGCTACGAGTGATTGACATAATGGAAGCACAGGAAACTAGAAAAAAGAAAAAGTCTATTTGGCATTATAATATCTTAGATTTCACGACCGAGCAATCTCAAACTCCGCCATATACCAGTTCTGAATAGCCTTCGTATCACCCGTGATAGCGACCATATCATAACGCTCCCTCGCCTCCTTCGCCATCGTTCCATTATTCACCATTCTTCCAGCCCATTTTCCATGCTTGCGCGCCGCCGCAATGATCTTGTCCACGGCCGCCACAAACTCTGGTTCATCGCCGCGCGCAGGCACATACCCAAGCAGCGATTGCGCCAGGTCATTGGGTCCAATGAAGACAAGATCAACACCCGGCACGGAGCATATGGCATCCACATTCTCGACTCCATCGCGGGTCTCGATCTGGATCATTGTGATGATCGTCTCGTTGGCAGAGAGCATGTACTCGGGTGTTGTTAGGCCATGCGCGATGGCGGGAAAGGCCGATCCTTGACCGCGCACTCCCTGGGGTGGAAACTTCGCTGACGCAACGATTTGTCGCGCCTCTTCGGCGTTGTTGATCTGCGGGACCATGATCCCATGGGCGCCGGTGTCGAGAGCTCGTTTGATGATGTCGTGGGCTGGGCCACGGATTCGAATGACGGGTGAGACGCCGAGTGCTGAAATCGCAGAGACGGAATTGTGCATTGAGTCGTCGCCGATGTGGCCATGCTCACAGTCAATGATGATGCCGTCGACACCTGTTAAGGCGACTATTTGAGCCATGCGCACGGAGGGAAGCGCCATGAAGGTCAAGAGTGGGTATTCTCCGGCTTTGATCTTGTTCAACAGCCTCAGACGGGAGTTGGAGATCTCCGTCGTCTGAGGAGTGAGGTAGGAGGTCGTTGGGGCAGGCATGTTGTGTGTGTAGGATCGAAGAGAGGAGAATGATTGATGGGAATACATTTCAAACCAGAAGTTTTCTCACTTATGTATGCCGCGTGAGGGTCTAGTATAGCCTCGGGGTTCATCCACGGGAGGAGCTCCTCCGACGCCCTGTCACTCCTCCGAGTCCTCCCAGATCCCAAGACACCAGACCCACTCGCTGTACCCCAGGTTTGAACCGAATCTAGTTGTCTAGGCGGCATTGCCAATTGGCCTGCTATCTATGGAGCCGTTCCCCTCGTTTCTTTATCTCAAGACCCACTATCAATAGCCGGGTTGGTCTTCTCTAGATAACGCGCTGTTTATTATGGCTGGAGAGGAGCCCTCAACCTGCTCCTCTGCCAGTCCAGAGCTCAGTCATTTTCTTCTGCCTGAATTTTGTCACCTCGATGTCTCCCAATATGGACCCTGACAAGGACACCAAGAAGCGTCCGCTTTCAGGACACAGCGACAAGGTCTCTGCTGCTGAAGGGCAAGTCGACATCGCATCTCGTCGTATGCCTGACAGTCTTCGCGATCTTAGCGATGAAGAGATCAAGAAGCTCAACAAGAAAGTGGTTCGGAAGGTGGACTTGCTCGTCCTCCCTACCATCGGCATTCTCTACATCCTGAACTACATCGACCGCCAGAACCTCGCTGCAGCCAAGCTCCAGGGCATCATGGAAGACCTCAACATGGACACCCAGCAATTTGCCACCGCCGTTTCCATTCTCTTCGTCGGATACCTCCCGTTCCAAATCCCGAGCAACCTCATCATGACCAAGATCTCCCGCCCTGGCATGTACATCTGTGTTGCCGTCGTCATCTGGGGTGCTATCTCTGCCTCTACCGCCGCCGTCAAGACATACGGCCAGTTGCTCGCCGTCCGAGCTGTCTTGGGAGTTGCTGAGGCGGTCTTTTTCCCAGGTGCCATCTACTATCTGTCTGCCTGGTACACAAAGACGGAGTTAGGGAAGCGCATTGCCGGGCTATACATCGCTCAACAAGTGGGCAACGCCTTCGGAGGCTTGTTCGCTGCCGCCATCCTCCAGCTAGATGGAGCCCACGGCATCGCTGGTTGGGAATGGCTCTTCATCATCGAAGGCAGCGCAACTGTTGGCATCGGCGTTGTCTGTGCCTGCATCATGCCCGAATTCCCGCACAACAGCCGCATCCTATCGCAGATCGAACGAGACCTAGCCGTGTGGCGGATCGAGTCTGAGTCCGGTGCAGCCGAAGGTACAGAGAAGGAGAGTGTATTGAAAGGATTTGCCAAAGCTCTTTCAGACCCGAAACTCTTGCTCCTTATCTTCGCCAACATGTTGTCCCAAACCCAGGGCTCTATCGCAAATTACTTCCCCACCCTCGTGGCGTCGCTCAACTTCAGCGAGACCATCAGTTTGTTGCTCACCGCACCACCATACATTCTCGCCGGCGCGGTCTACTATGTCCTCATGTTCTACTCCGACCGCAAGAACACCGTCTACCCGATCATCATGCTCTGCGTGGCCATTTCCATCGTCATGTATATCATCCCCATGACCACTCTGAACGTGGGTGCGCGTTATTTCTCAATGGTCATTCTACCCTTTGCCTCTGTCGGGCCTCAGCTTCTTCTTTACAAGACGATCAATCTGCATCTGGCTCGACCGGTGGCCAAGCGTGCTGCTGCATCGGCCTTGGTTAATGCCATCGGGGGAACGTCTAATATTTGGGCGTCGTATCTCTACTACGCCCCGCCGCAGTTCTTTGCCGCGTTTGGAACTTTGATGGGGAGTGCTGTGTTGTTGGCCCTCACGATGACTGTGTATCGGGGTTTGGTGAGACGGGAGAATAAGCGTCTTGACTCTGGAGATCCAGCAGAGATTGCAAAGGTAATGAAAGGGGGCGTGACGGAGGAGATGGTGCAGTTGAATTGGCGGTATGAGATGTATTGATTGATACTGGGGGAATCATCATGTGGATTCGTCGATGCCATCGACGTATATGTAGTAGAGGGTTGAAATATACATAGTGCATACATAGTATGGTTGAATCAAGATTCCAGCTGCTGCAGACTAGAAAGAATCAACTTCCCAATTTGCCATTGCTCTCGTCTCCGAAATACATTCCGCGCCCATTCCAAAGCACCCTGTTCATCGCCATCCTGGATCCCAGCCACCTCCATCGCGCCCGGAATGCCACCTCGCACAAGCTGCCAGGCGATCAGGAACGCCTTGTACGCGTATACCGCGGCCCATGGCGCCTCGTGGCTCGGGTCTAGTGTTGTATCGAGATAGCGGAGAAACCAGTCAACGTGTGGTTGAATGGCTTTGGCCGTCTCGACGTCCCACAGAAACTCGTACGATGGTGCCAGGGCGGTCGACTGGCTTAGTACTGCGTCTAGGCTGGAGGCAACAACGCCACCGGTATGTGCTGGGGACCAGAGATGCAGCTCGATCATGGCCGTCTCCCACGTTGCGGCTGTGTGCATGACCTTTCCGGTCTCGGGCTGCGGTCGGATGAACGGGCCCAGGGCAATCAGAGACGATCGCAGGGCGTCGAGGCGGTCCATACTGAGCATTCCGGTCATTGTGGACCAGCCGGATGCCTCTCGAGCGCTTGAAATGAGAAACTGTGCCACGTTGACGGCGCCGTAGGGGTCGAATGTCGGGATGGAGCTCGTCTCGGATGATAGGAATCGTCGAACAGCTTCGGGGTACGGGACTGAGGGTCCTGGATGTCTTGCGACGAGCTGGCGATGGGCCCAGTCTGCGGCTGACGATGCGGTCCACTGGTCTTCGGGACAGGGTAGGTCGTGTTTGACTTCCAAATGGGAGATGCAGCGCGGGATCGAGAGGAACTGGTACCAGAGCGCGTCGATCTGGTGCACGGCGAAGGATGTGCGCTTGTGTGACTCGGTTTTGATGAAGTCCCGCCAAAGGCCTTCCAGATCCTCGGCAGCAGAAGACTCGGGAGGCGTGGGCTGCATCAACCCTCCTGCTCGAGCTAGCGAGATCATGTCTGAATGCATTTTCAGTCCGATGGCTGAGTCGTCTCCGCAGAGGTACATCATGGCGCAGATTTGTAGAAGTAAATAGGACTGAATAAGGGGGGTATTGGGCCCTGTCAATCCCCCTTCGTCGGCAGTCGTAAGGGTATGCGCTCGGCGAAAACACCGCGTCGATAAACTCGCCCCTGATCCTGGCTGATCGTCGCACTCGGGGTCTTCGCCGTGTTGGTAGCCCAGGCAAATGATAGCAAGAACCAAGTGAACAGGGAGCATTGTTGCATCGAATGTTGGTCGGTGTAGAAACGGGACATAGTGAGAAACATGTGAGAAGAACAGGTCACATCCCCGTGCGATCTGTAACGGTGAGCAATCGCTCCCAGGAATGAGTTGGTCAAAGGTGCAGGGGACAGGGCTCGCTAGTTCGTAGGTTGGCTTGAGAAGGGCTGTTCCTAGTGCATCTTGCACCATGCGATCAATGGTTTCTGACTGAAGCATGGAAATTCCGCGTGGTTCGTCGTGATCGTGGAGTAGATCCAGGTTCATTTCATCCCCGGAATGATGAGGTTGAAATCCATCATGGCTATCGGGTGACGACCCCGAATACTCTTCGCGTGCTCGGCGCCGTTGTCTCTGAACAGCTCGTCCCGATTCATGCTCCGGGTGCTTTCTTTTCATATGTCGGTTGCGAAGATCGGGTCGTGAGAAGGTCGTCTGACAAAAGCCACAACGAAGAGAGGCTTGATGTGACGCAGAGTGGAGTTTAGCATGGCGTTTGAGGTTCTCATGGCGGGTGAAGCGACTCTGACAGACGAGGCACTGATAGGGCTGGTACGTGGACATTCTCGAGATATATGGAGGGCAACATGCTGTTGTGCAAAAGAATCCGGGGCTTCTCAGATGGGATCTCCTACTCGGCGCTTCCCCGCACAGCCAAGATTCGGCTAATGACTGCTTATCTGCGCTTGGAGTAGACGATAGGAGCCCTGGAGATATGCCGATGGAACACCTGACGTTACTGCTTCGAGTCTAGCGATGTTTAGTGCTTCCTTCTTATCAACAGTTCCGATTAGCGCCGGAGAAGATCCGCGGAAGACGTGTCATTCATGGTCAGATTGGAGAACAGTCTGACAGGTTCTAGTTATGTGTTATCTTTTCGGCGCGTTCATGAAGTCACGCATGTGCGCTAATTGGTATTCGTTGTGGGCATGCTCTCCTTCTTATGAAAGCTAGAGATCTCAGACATCCCATTGATTTAGCTGGTTTTCCACTGACCATTCTACCGACACAAAATGGCACTACAAATATATAATCTTCTCTAGAAGGCGTGAGCCACTTTTATATACCGGTATGATCTAACTCCAACTATCCATAAGCATCATCGAAGATAGTAAGGGTGGCGTACGAAGTATTCGAAGTGCCAACCCCGTAGGATAAATCCCAGACTATCTCCCCTTTGGTTTGGTGCATGAGCCACAACCTATGTTGAGATCGACAACGAAATACTAGTTACCAATCATTCCTGCAGTGGGAATCCATATCCGACCAGCAGAGCAGGCTCGTCGATGCTGTGATGCTGGTAACTAAAGGGGAACGTTAGTTTTGGTGGCAAACTACAGAACAAGAATCTCCTACCTCAAGACACCCACGGCGCCAGGCTCGAGCATCAGGGAAAGATTGAATTCCATGGGATATCCAAGCCAGCGCTTGGTAAAGGCACGAAGCAAATGGCCATGTGCAACGAGCAAAACGTCCGAAGGATTCTCTCCGTGCATGTTGTCCTTTTGCATGGCACGGATCTCTTCGATTAGACTGTCGATGCGAGCCGTGACCTCCTCCGGGGACCTGTATTGATTTGGTCAACTGTGCTCGGAAATGTCGATGAAATAGATGGTGAAGACAGCTTACTCTCCGTCTTCGCAGCCGTCGCGCCAAATATCCCACGGCCTCTCCGCGTCCAGACCATGGTCCTTTCTCAAAGCCCGGATTTCCCGGGTCAGGAGCCCCTCGTACTGGCCGTAGTTCCATTCAGATAACCGATCGGTCTCGGAAACCTTGTGCGCATCGTTCAGCGCCTGCCTGTCGGCTTCGTCGAACGCAATCTCAAAGGTTTGCATCGCTCGCCGGCGAGGGCTGATGTACACGTGGGCAAGGTTGGCCGGGTCGATGAGTTTCCCCGAGCCCACGATCATCTTGCCGGATGCCAGAACCTGCTGCTCGCCATCGGTGGTGAGGTCCAGCTCGCTGACGCCAGTGTAGCGTCCGCTCTTGGACCACTCGGTCTGGCCTGGACAGGGTCAGGGTCAGACTCTCACGGTAGGAGCCAATTTACTGGGACATACCGTGTCGGTAGAGGAAGACACGGGGCGTGCCGGCGTCTTTGTCGGGCATTGTGGATTTCTAGTTTCTATGTGTGGCTGAAATTCTCTGGAATAATGGTTGTTGCAACGGAATGCGGGTTTGTGGGGTGGAAAAATTGGGAGAAAAAAGGTTTCCGCGGCCCGCAGAAATTCGGGCTTCACCGGGTGGGCGATGAGGTTTAGCTTCATTGCGTCACTTGTCATGCATCTTATCGCGGGTGTCAGATCTATGGTAGGGGGATACGAATGAAAGTATGAATATGGAAATTATTGTGAAGTTCAATATGGCCTATTCTTTGCCTAGTAGTACTTGGCGCTAGTATATATTTTCCCGTTACCAGGCTACAGAATCGGTTCTTACTATGCGGTGTTTGATAGACTTTCCCCAGTTAGATGATAACTAGCCGGAAAAAAAAGGGTCAAATGTGGAAAAGATATATGGAGTGACTGCGACGACATAGTAAAGCATGGTGTGCGGGAGACATAGTAAGCGTACCTATATCTCTAATGCATACCCACTGTCAGTCATGCCGGACTTCTTCACAACCTCCCCAATAGCATGCGCGACGTAATCGATGTTTTGCTCATTCAGCCCACACACGCTCATTCGACCCGACGGCAACAGATAGATCTGGTGGTCTTCCTGGAGCTGAGACACTTGCTCTTTCGTTAATCCTGTATAGCTAAACATCCCAATCTGCTTCTCAACATGGGACCAATCCAGTCCCGTCTCCTCCTCCAGTCTTCGCCGTAGCAGAGACCTCATATGGTGGATACGCGAGCTCATCGTATCCAGGTCTATCTTCCACTGAGCCCGTAGTTGCTCATCCCCAAGCACCGTCTCGACGATACTCGCCCCGAACCGCGGTGGATTGGAATACTCCGCACGCGCAATAGCCATTAACTCAGAACGCGCGCCTTGCGTCGAAAGGCCCCGCGGCACAACTAAGTGCAACGCGCCGACACGTTCCCCGTACAGTCCGAAGTTCTTGGAGAAGGATTGCGCTACAAATAGACCAGGGTGTGTGGAGTGCGCGAGCACATTCTCCACGAAATGACGGACCGCCCACGCGTCACCGTCGACGTCGCCAGTGGCGAAACCTTGGTATGCACTGTCGAAGACAACGAATAGCTTCTTTCGTCGCACGAGGTCGGCGACCTGCACCCACTGGGACGTTTCCAGGTCTACCCCGGTGGGGTTGTGTGCGCAGGCTTGTAGGATGACGATGTCGTTGGGCTCCGCGTGGTCCAGGGTGTTAAGCATCCCTAGCAGATCTACTCCTTTCGTGGCAGGAGAGTAGTATGGGTATTCTGCCACCGGTACCCCGGCCATTTCCCAGATTGTCTTGTGGTTGATCCACGTAGGGGAGGGGATGAAGACGCGGCTTGGGCGCAGGCGCCGGGCTAGAAACGTGGCGGCGATGTGGTTCGCGCCTGTGCCAGAAACGGTTTGAATCGATGCCGTGTTATCTTGGAGGCTCGATGCCAGGGGGCCAAATATGAGGTCCTTTGACAGGTTGATGAAGTTTGGCGAGCCTGCTATTCCGAGGTATTCATGCGTGGTTTGGCTGAGGCGTTTCTTAGCCTATAGTATTCATTTAACGATGTACTCGGTGATGCAATGGTTTAAATTGACCTACCTCCTTTACACTCGGTAAAACCCAGGGGCGTCCATTCTTATCGCGATATGCTCCGGCGATCAGAGAGACTTTCTTTGGGTGAGGACTGTCATCAAAGTCAGCCATCAAACCGAAAGCGATGTCGGCGGGAGCGATTTGGAGGTCAAGATATTGTTTTGCCATTTTGTAACCAGGTAGATGGCTTTTAGTTTCTGAAGAGGATGCCTTTTGTAAATTTGCCCATATCAAGCAGGTGAGCTGGGATTTTAGTATACATCGGTCTCGCACGGTACAATCACCAGTTGCCGAGTGCTGAGGTCCAACTGAGTTCTTGACCGAGGCTAGAGACCATTTTCCGCGAGCATCCACAAGCTACGATTGCGTTGACTTGCTATGCATGAAGGTAATCTGGTTGGTATGCTATGAGCCCCTCAGAACCCCACGCTGAGAGTCCAATCGCGTCATAATCGGGGTGGTGGCATCCTGCCGAAACTCGCCACGGAAAGGTCTCTCACGCAGAGTCGGCGACATAATCAGGTCGCCGATGCTGGCTGGAGAAGCCCTGGGAATAGGTATAGAACAGAATCCCCGACTTCCGACCCTGTTATGTGAGTCGCGCAGCTCGATGGACGGACGGATCGTCCGATAGTCAATCGTACATATAGCAGTAACGTGCTCGGAATCTTCTTCAATTTCACTCCATCTACTTTCTTCCTGATCAACTATCTCCCAAAGCTCAACACCATGAGTGGTCAAAGCGTTTTGGACCGACTTGCGGCCCTCGACACCAACACAGTCTCCGATGCCTTGGACTTCCTCGGCCTCAAAGGAGCCACATACGGGCTACAACCACTCTGGGACTGTCCCAAAATCGTCGGACGCGCCAGCACAGTGAAGCTACTCCCTAAGACGGACGCTGCTCCCACGACCCATCTCCTCACTCCGGTCATAGATGCAGTTACGACGGACGATCGGATTCTCGTCATTTCCGGCGGTACCGACGGGATCTCATGCTGGGGCGATATCATTGCCAACGCCTCCAAAGTGAAGCAGATCCGTGGTACCGTCATCGATGGCATGAGCCGTGATATTGACGGCAGTCGTGACGTGGGATATCCTGTCTACGGCCGTGGTGTTACTATGATTAGTGCGCGCAATCGCATTGTCCAACTCGACTCTGGCATACCGATTCAGATGCAAGGTGTGACAGTCAACCAGGATGATTATGTGATTGCCGACCGATGCGGGACAGTGTTTGTCCCTGCGCGCCGGATCGAGGAGGTCGTGGAATTGGGCGAGCGTATAGATCGCCGTCAAGCACTCATGGTCCGGGACGTGCGAGCCGGGAGACCTGTGTCGGAGGTCATGCACGACACGCAATTTGCAGCGATTCAACAGAGCAAAGCGTCCCCTGAAGCCGCGCCATCCTCGCCTCACAATCCCAAGGAAGCCACTGCTGAGGACAAGGAGCTGGTGGCATTGTTCGCCGATTCCGACACCCCCGGCGTCTCTGACGCTCTCGATAAACTTGGAATTCCCGGGCAAGCGTTTAACATCATGCCTTTGACGGACTACAAACAGGTCACCGTCGGCCCGGCCTACACTGTGCGTTACGAGCCCGCCAGCAATCCGCCGGGGAGCGTTGGCGATTTCATCGATGACGTTGCCGTCGGTGATATGGTAGTCATTGATAACAACGGACGCACCGATTGCACTGTTTGGGGTGATATCATGACACAGTACGCTGGTCTGCGAGGCATTGCGGGATCTGTTATAGACGGCGTGTGTCGCGATGTGAATAGAGCTCTTAGTGATGACTACCCGCTTTTCACAGCTGGACGGTGGATGCGGACTGGCAAGGATCGGGTTCAGGTGGCCGGTGTCAACGAGACGGTCAGTGTGGGCAAAGTTCGTGTCGAACCTCGCGACATTGTCGTTGCGGATGCAAACGGCGTCGTTATTGTTCCGCGACATCGAGCTCGGGAGGTGGCCGAAGTCACGCAAAGGATCGAAAGGACCGAGGCTGGCATACGAGAAATGATTGCTGGCGGGGCCACAATCGCGGAGGCGAGAGAGAAACTTGGGTATCACACATTGCAGCGTAAGGAGTAAGGAGAAGTCGCTCTAGATGAGATGATCATTTTATACAAATGTCCCTGCTCTGAGGTCCCTGAACCTTTTTTTTCTTTCTTTCTTTGATTTCATAGTCGGAGCATGGTCTACGTGCATCATAATCACCTTGTGTTCATTCAGGATGAGTGAACTAGAGGTGTTCCCTCTAACGATGCAATTTCACAACATTATCTGCTTAAAAGTACAACCACAAGGAACAATTAGTGTAACACTGCGCATCCGTAGATGTGCGCGAATCGGCGTCTACTGTGTTATGAAAGTAGGCATTATGAACGAATCATTTCTTCCTAGAATCCTAACACCGCGCAGCTTGCAACTCAGCCATGTACCAGTTCTGCAACGCCCGAATATCATAGCTCATCGCCACTGTGTCAAACACCTTCAAATGCTCCTTTGACGCAGTCCCATCATTTGACAATCGACCGACCCATTTGCCATGTTTTCGAGCTGCCGCCACGATCTTCTCGATAGCGTCGACGAAAGCAGGCTCATCACCCTTCGCTGGGACATAGCCCAGGATCGAGAGTGCCAGGTCATTTGGACCGATGAAAAGCATGTCTAGACTGAGATTAGCGAAGCGACCTTGGAGATAAGGTGGAGTAAAATGCTAACCAACACCAGGAACCGCACAGATAGCGTCTACATTGTCCACTCCTGCTTTGGATTCAATTTGGAGACAGGTAATCAGCGTCTCATTTGCCGTTTCCAAGTACGTCGGAAGGTCGATGCCATGCGTAATGGCCGGAAATGCCGAGCCTTGCCCACGAAGGCCGCGAGGGGGAAATTTAGCGTAGGAGACCACGGCCTTGGCCTCTTCGGCTGTATTGATTTGGGGAACAACAATGCCACTGACACGAATTTCAATACTGCAATGCCAGGGTTAGGGGTTGTGTCACTTACTGTGCCCCCGCATCCAAAGCTCTTTTAATCAAATCCGAGTGGGTCATTCGGAGACGGACGAGTGGTGATACCCCTAACGCAGCGATTGCGGCTGTTGAGCTGTGCATCGAGTCGTCGCTGATGTGGCCATGTTCACAGTCGATGATAATGCCCTCGATGGCTATCAGTGAGATGGTACAGTACAGCAGGGTGGGAACTACTCACGTCGACACCGGTTTGAGCTACAATTTGCGCTGTCCGAAAGGATGGGAGGCCCAGAAAGGTCATAATGGGTTTAGCATTGGCCCTGAGAGCATTGAGTAGGCGTAGCTGCGGGTTGTGGACTGACGCTGCCATGGCTGATGAATGTAGTTTCCAATAAGCCAACCGGATAAAGCGTCGAGCTAGCTCAGAGCTGGACTTCGAGAGAGTAAGGAATGCGAAATTGAGAAGAAGCGTGTCAATGTATAAAGAGACATGTAATTCTCTCCGTGATTCACATTGAAAAGCTACATAAAACAATGGAAGATTAGATATCGGGGAAAGTCTCTTTCACCGAGGGGGCCTTAACACTGACCGATTGAGCACGGAAGTAGCCACGCCGCCACTACAAGAACTGGCGAGCTGCATCAGGTATGACAATCTTGCCACTGCAATAAGATATCTTCTCAAAAGTATGTGATTGAACTTCTTTCTGTGTCTCTTTTGATTCCACCCAGCCATTTTAATGTTAATGGGGCGAGAAACATCGATTACCAGCTCTTGCTATAATATAAATGGCATACTATAAGACGGAGGCTAGATCTTCAAACATACCAAGAGTCTCGATGAGACTTTCGTTATCATGATACATGATAGCTAATTAAAAACGTACTACTTACTCGGTAGGATCGACGGATTGGCCTAGAGAGAAGCAGACCGACAGTATGTGCATTTTACTGTAAATATCTATTCATGTCTATTCCATCTAACCTGTAAACTTTATTATAACAAGCCGCTTTAAGAGATCCTATCCAAGAAACCCGCTAGTCGACGATACATCTCCGGCGGGTTCGAATACATAGGAAAATGCCCGCTATGCGGGATCTGCGCCAACTCCACGCCCTCTTTCTCCAACCGTCCCAGGTACGACAGCCCGCGGTTCTCTTCCCCGAACATAAACATTTTGGGACACGGGAGACCGAGGAACATTCCGAGGAGATCCTCATCATCTGATAGCCGCACCATGGATTCGAAGATCGCGCGAACAGCGCCCGCGCGGACCCGCGCGCGTAAGGTGCTTGCGTACAGAGGGCTAGAGAAGGATTTAGCTTCCCGGGTGCGAGCGATGAAGGCGTCTAAGAAGGCTTCCGGGTCGTCGGATGGGAAGCTGAATATTTGTCGGCTCAGGAAGCAGTCCTCTGGTGCGAGGTTGCCTTTGATGTCCATGAAGCTTAGGATTCGGGATGGGTGGCGGTGGGCCAGAAGAAGCGCGGTCAAACCGCCCATGGAGTGGCCGATAAGGTGGAATTGGGTGATTTGAAAATGAGAGAGAACCGCTTCTGCAGTGGCAACGAGGAATGGGATATCTGTGGCGGAGAGGTTGTCGCTGGATGATTGCCCACAACCCGGAGCGTCGAAGGCAAGAAACCCATAGTTGCTTAGCGATGGGTGCGCGATCAGAATGTCGGCCAGGTCTTCTTTGCAGGAGCCGAATCCATGGAGAAAGAATATTGTAAGATTGGAGTTCAGGCTGTGAACAGTGGAAAGATTCAGGTTTACTCCCTGAACTTGAAGAGGGATTTCAGTAAATGTGAGCGACATGGCGAGTGGTGTGATAGAGGTTGGATGGACAGGGATTTTGGAGTAATTTGTATGTACGGATTCAAAATGCCGAGTCCAGAGATCGGTCGATCGGCTCGGGGAAAAGTCTTTTGGCCGTTATCTGGGGCAATTAGAATGCCCCACGCTGACCCATGGATTATAGAATAGCAGTTTTATCAATAATGTTATACAAGCTATTCTGAATTACGCATAAACAAGACCTTGCTAGCTATTTTCCTTTCGCCCGGCACAATGTTGAACAATTTTCATGCCTCTAACTGTAGTAATGCCTCTGCGGCAGAACCCCTGTTCAATCAGTGTTCTGCGACCCCGAGATATAACACCATTCAACGCAGGAATCCGGATTGTCTTGCAACAAATCCTAAGACACCGAAGGAAGCCGTCGCTCCAGTGAAGACGATCAGCCCACCGAAGCTTGTCCCATATCCCATTCCACCAGGGGTGTCGGTCCAAGGCCACTTAGCACTGATCAGGGCTTCGCTGATAGGACCGCATGCTATAGAACCAACGCCTCGGCCAGCTGTTAGAAGGCCTAATACAAGTCCGACCGGGGCAGTGCTATCAGCATTCCTAACTGCCTTGACGATCCCAGGCCAAGTAGCACTAGCACTTCCGGCGACAATGCCATATAAAAGAGAAAAAACACATAGCGGCGGTAAAGAAACGGATAGGCCCCATATCACAAACACCCCGACGATCGTAGAAACAGTACAGACGAGGATGACATTGGCAGCGTGCCAGTGGTCAATGAAATAGCCAATGAGTATGAATCCAATCACGGTGCCCGCGTTCAAGGATGTCACTGGAGCGGTAACACCGAAGCCGCTTTCGTGGGCCACTGTACGCGCATATGTCGGTAGATAAAGGGAGGGTGCAAAATAGCCGATACTTTGGAGAACACTCCCAAGTTGGAAAATAATGAAGGGACGTGATCGAATAAACTTGAAGCTTATTTCATGTGGCCTCGGCACTTGAGCGACGCCAACTCTTATCCGCGGCTTCACAAACGGCAGAAACGGACATACAAGAATAGTGAGGCCCACAGACCAAGCCCACATCGTGATCTTGAACGAAAATTTTGAGAGCGCCCATCGGATGAGGAATGGGAATACTGTGCCCGCGACACCACTCCCAGCCTTAGGTATTTCGATGCGTTAGGAAAATCATATTCTCAAGTGCATGCATGGGAAAGAGGACGAACTTACCCAGCACACTCCAAATGCAAGCCCTTTCCTCCGGACAAACCATTCATCAATGAACAGCAAGACCGGATAGTATAGCATGCATGCGCCGAGTGGGTATATAACACCTTGCGTGATAATGAGCTGCCAGATCTTGGTCGCAAACGAGGATGAGACAAGCCCGACAACAGCCACAGCTAGACCGACTAGACTGCTCATCCGGCAATACTGGGGCCAGCGTTGAAGAAGGAAGAAACTGATAGGCGAGGCGAGATACAGAATACCCTTACGAGGCGTAAGTATTTGGTATATAAAAGAAAAGCAAATCGTTTCCACGGACCATACAACACGACCCGATGACAGACACACTAGCAGTATTCCGGGAGAAAGGCTCGGTCGAGGTGTAATAGTCCTGTAGAACTCCATACGAGAAGGCAAACCCTGCGGAGAATCAGTTTAGCCCACCAGCGTTGGTCTAGAACATACCCCAAACAACCATTTCTAGGACAAAGGCCCCCATCAGACAGAGCCATGCATCTTTCCCTTTATCTACGGGCGGCAGGGAAAACTCTCGAGGCCCAGGAATCCCATCATCAGAGGCTTCATCGCACCGGCCGTCTCCGGCCGGAATACCATGTAGCTCTATACCAGAGGCTGTGACCAGGTGGGCACCTGATCCTGTTGACCGAGGATAAGGCACCGAGTTAGCCACTGGATCGGCGAGACCCTTATGCATCGTGGTGTCGTCTCTTGCAACTTTGGAGACAGTAGAGACTAGAGGCATAGCTAACAACTAGGGAGGGCGGTGGGGTTTTCAAGGATGAGAACACCCGGTCACGCAGCGCCTCGCTTGTCAAGCCCATCGGGTCCAGAGCCGAAGCTCAACCGGTCGGGAATCCGAGGGGAGCGACCAGGGCGCTTACAGATAATATAATAGATACGCATAGAAAGCAATCTGATGGAGAAATGCGCGAAGTTAATCGACCGGTTTCACTTGGCCACCAGCTCCCAGCAACCCCCCCGGAGTGACTCAGAGTTATTAGGGACGACTTTCTAATTGACCGGAGACCCAAGATGGGATATTCCCTTGGCGGTCTTTGGCTCTATTCTGGTTGGATTGGTGTACTCATTATCTTGCCCTAGAACGGCAAGTCTTTGAGCACGCCGCGGCAGTGGCCCACTCCTCCTCAAGAACAGTTGCGATAAGCAGTCGAAACCTGATTCAGGCGCAATGGAGGTATCCCCGCACAATGCGAGAAACAGGATCCGACCATTGCGGATTCGAGCGGCATAGATCTGAGCGGCCTCGAGTCGCCCATTCACCTATCCATAAAGAGTGTCTGAACTGTTCCTCTCCTCTCATTCATTCCATCCAAGTCCTACGCTCCCATTCGGGATGCATGACGAGCAGGGAGAGTGCCAGCTGCGACGAAGCGAGTAAGATGCAACACGGTGATCGGCGCCGTAAGCCGTACATCCGCTAGAGTAAATTCGTGTCTCGGCAGCGGCCGTTCTACTGCGAGAGCAATTACCGAGCGTTGAACACGTCATGATACCCGGCGGGCCGGACCTTTTCTCGATCAAAACATCGACAGAGGAGATTAAACTAACCAGGATGTACACCAGAAAGTAAAGCGTACCGTACTTGAAGGATTATGTATACCGCTAAAATGCATATAATCCAGTCCATAACCAGCGGGGAGCATCCAAGCTTACCTCAAATAATGGGGACGCATCAGACCGCTTAATCTCTCTTTATCACCTTAATTACGGAGGTATCAGCTTCCGTCAAGGAAGGGGGGCTTTTCGAATCCATTTGGGGGTATTATTGGGTTATGCTTTCACGAAGGGATTGGAGCAGGTCAGTTTGAAGGGGATCTTCAAGCATTTCTCCGTCCCCCAGACAACCAAGCGGAGGATTTTCCGAACTGGTCAGCTCCTCAAACTATGCTATATCTTGCTTGAGAGTCGATCACTATAATTCGTATTTTCTCTGAAATACTTACATACATATTCCTGATTATGAGACACTGATCACTTGAGTAGCGAAGAACGAACAGGCAAGTGTCAGTCAGTAGGAGATGCGCGTACCCCGCTTTGGGGAATCACTAACAGCAATCATTGCCCAGCCATATTGACTGACTCTTTAACATGTTTAGGCAGGTAGTAGCTTCTGTCTAGCCCTTTCCAGTGCGGACCATCCAGTCTTACAAGAGCCAGCTTCATCCATTCATTTCCCTGACACTGCCTTCGGATAGTCTGTCGCCACATATGTAGTAGTTTATGGGCACGGGTCGCGTGGTCTGCAGAAGGCGCTTGGACAAGCAATAGCAACATGAAGTTCGACGTTGTGGCGAAACCAATACGAGTCCCTGTTTGATTCCTGGTTAGCTTCCACCGTTCGAGTCGATTCTCGACCGATTGTGGCAAGAGGGAGAAGCATACAGGAGTACCAAAACTCAACACCCCCTTCACTACACGGCATACGCATAACAAACCGAATCATACGTGCCGCACAGTTCTCTGCAGCTGTGAGTGTTGCATGTACACTGCTGCCGCCGTTGCACATGTCAATTGCCGGTGTTGGCTCAACTTCATCACAATCTACAATCTGCGCAATGTAATCATCTACCTGATCGGTAAAGGCATTCTGGAGGTCTGTCTCTTCGAATAAACGCGGTGGGGCGGCAGATCGAACCATGGGGCGGAGGAGCGATCTGAAAACGAAGACCTCAAGAAGGATGTAGGCAAAGTGCAGGGGGTTAGTGTGTTGGTGCGGACGATGATCTGTGGAATCGGGGGCTGGAAACGTCCGGTTTCGGAGTTTGAGGGTCGGCGGAAGGTTTGAGTACCATTCTTTAAGATGTCGCAGAAGCACCTGAGCCTTCTGTAGTGTTTCTTTGAAGTTGGTGGAAAGGCGCTGAGCAGCGCGGAGGGAGCTGCGAACTTAGGGTTAGCGAGGAGCAGGCGATATCGGCCCGCGTAAACAGTGAACGTACAATAAGGAGTGTTGCAGTTCTTCGGCAATTTTCGCTAGATCAACAAAGTTCCTGAACACTTGTGCATGTAAGGTGTTCCGTTGATATTCGTTTTCCGTTGTCGCGGAAAGTAATAACTCTACAGGCATGCCATCGAGTCTAAAATCGTCATCATCAAGATCTTCTACATCCCACTCATCGTTCCTAATGTACGGTGGTCTCCCCATTAACAGGCTGCGCCATTTGTCCTCTGCATAGAGTGCCCACCAGAGCCGACGTCGAAGACGCTTTTCCCAGGCAGGGAGACCCATCAGTCGACATTCCAGTTGCAGGCCGAGGCATGTGGCGATACCCACCAACAGGCCTAGAAATGACCAAATAAAAGGACTGTCTGCAATGGCATTTTCAGGGCCTTGTAAGCCCCGGTGGAGATATAGGAGGCCTGCTTGTAGAGTGGAGAGATGCGACGTGTGAATGTCAGACATAATGAGTTCGATCACCATACGCCAAAGCTCTGAGGTTGGTGGGTTAGTGTACGCATTTAAGACACTTAGATAGTCGTCGAATTTGATGAATTGGTAGGCGGTTGCATATATAGCTGCAAGAAGCTGGACGGGAATGGACTCGAGAACTTGTTCGTCTGGAACCGTTCTAGAGGCGGAGAGACCGAGTAGAGATCGAGATATTATAGGCAAAGTTGGGAAGACAAACTTGATGAACCTAGAGAGTTCTGCTATCAGTGGTTTGTTGAAAATGCACTGGTAAAAGGACAGCATACAAAGAGACCAGTCTCTGACCACATTCGAGTGGTACCAAACTATTTAATTCCTCCCGTCTATCTTCTTTCCCGTACCTGGTCGTGTCTTTCGCAGACTCGTATACTGCATTGGCACTGATCAAGAAATGCGCTGGGATCTTTTTCTCGACTGGAACTCCGCCTGCATTGCGAAAATGCACTTGATGAAATAGCATATATCCGCGGTCGTCGAACTTTCCATGCCGAAGCAACCATGGGTCGGATTCCCCAGAAGAACCGATCAGTTGAGAAGAGAACCCATTCAAGAGGTCCAGTGACTGAATTGCCTGGGCCGGTGATCTTTCAGGGAGCCGATATATAAGAGGGGCTAGATGGTCTTCCACCGACGCCTCCCCAGATGGGGGATTTGGCCATAATTCAGCTGCAATATTTGGCTCTATGTGGTGAGCGAAATCTGTTTCGGTATTCACTGTGATGTCGCCTTGCTCTTGGGTAGGCATCGGACTGATCCCATCCGAGGATCGATTGGGTAACTGGTCTGTTCCCCTAGATCTACCAATTGCCAGGAAGGAGCAATGACTAGAAGTAGTTCGACACCGCTCGCACCCTTCATCTCCGGGTCCCTGACAGCGCAACTTCCTACGTCGGCATTGATCACATGGAGGGTGTCGTTTGGATCGGTAGGGGCGGCTGACATTGCTTGCCCGTGGCCTTTGTCCTGTCGTGGCCATTATTGCTAAGCAACTTGGTGAGACTCTTCGTTCGCCGGTGCGTGGCGGCGGATTCTCAGAAGATGGATTCAAACTGCACGGACTTCTTATATCTGGGACGGCTCCGTCGGCGAAGTAACAGCCTGATTCGCCATCGATGACGGTTCGCCGATGTTAGCAGAAGGCGCTCTCGGAAAGACCCACATTTCAATCAGCCGTGGTCTAGGAGGTGGGTTCGATTTCTAATCGAGCACAATTTCTTCCAAGATCAGAACGATCGACGAGCAGAAAGACAGATCTAAAATACGTTCATTGTTCATTCGTTGTCGGACCAGGGCAAATCCTGGGCGGCTGGCGTCGTTTGAGGTTCTGGCTTCTCCATTATACAATTTCGTCGATATAGGCAACTTCACTATTGACAGGACTTCAATAGTTTAATAGGAGTCTGCCTCGGACGTATAGAATTTGGACTGAGACCTTTCATTCCTAAGCATGAAAGCCTGCCCGCTGTCCAGACATGTTGCGATTCCTATCTGCGATTTGAAGTATTGAGCCAAGATGTAACGAACAACTTGACGCCATTCCCTGGTCGCCCATCTGTCACTACTCAAGACGCAGAACTCTTGGGCAAATAGGCAGGTACGCTTATTGAGCATCTCACATCCGACATGGCCTGTTGTCTGTCCGCCGAACTTCAACTACCGTTTCAAGTGGGTCAACATTGTTCACCCAATGACCGCTGGAGATGGCCGAATGATCTCTTCAGGCCCACAACAACATTCAGTCAACCTTAGCTATACCTTCAGCAACAGAGTGAGTTGGCAAATTATTCAATTGGATCGCCGAGTTGTTCCTGGCCTGGACCATGTTCGCCACCGTCAGAGAGCCCATTTCTGCTCCATTCACTGCCCTGGCCGGCCCACGGCTTCTTTCCGACTGTTTCTACACTGTTTTTCAATGTCTTTAAAGGATGAAGATATCGTTGATAAACTTACAATTCATCCTCTTGCGATAATTGTCCCCTCATCCACCCAAGAACTCCGATTGTTTTGATACCCTTTCATCCGTGTTCCGAAAGACTGTTTTAACAATATCGACCAAGAGCGAGATGGAAGCAAAAGAAGTCCATCACAGCCCTCAGGATGTACGATCAGGAGAGAGCGACTATCCTGAAGGAGGACTACGAGCATGGCTAGTTGTATTAGGCTCATGGTGCGCCATGATTCCGTCCATGGGGCTTCTCAATTCCCTGGGTATTCTTCATGCCTGGACAAGCTCCCACCAACTCAATGATTATTCCGAGTCTAGCATTGGATGGATCTACGGTGCCTACGGGTTCTTTCTTTATTTTGCCGGTGCTCAAACTGGTAGGTCATTCCGCCTTCCGGACTTATCATGTCTCGAGGCTTATAGGTCGTTTACAGGCCCGATATTTGACGCATATGGGCCAGTTTACGTGGTCGTCCCCGGATCTATTGGAATGGTTGCTTCCTTGATCTGTTTGAGCTTCAGTCAAGGCATGTTTCTAATTTCTCCAGATACACGAAGACGTTTCTAGTCCTGACAGAATGCAGAATATTACCAGATCTTCCTTTCCTTCAGTGTTCTAGGCGGCCTCTCAGCCTGCACGCTTTTTACGCCCGCCGTTTCATGCGTAGGGCACTGGTTCAACGTTCGTCGAGGTCTTGCAACGGGAATAGCTTGCACAGCTGGCGGCCTGGGAGGCATTATATTTCCGCTGATCATAGTATTCGCCGCGCCTAAAATAGGATTCCCATGGGCAGTCCGCATCATTGCCATTCTCTCTGCTATTCTTCTCGGTTTAGCCTGTCTGCTCTTGCAAACAAGACTTCCACCTAATAAGAAGGCTGGAGCTTTTATCGACTTCAAAGCGCTCAAAGAGATCAAATTTGCCTCGACCGTGGTCGCCATCTTCCTGGTTGAATTTGCAGTATTCATCCCCATTACATACATTGCCTCCTACGCCGTCCATGTTGGTGTCGCGGATACTCTTGCCTATTCTCAAATCATATTCCTCAATATCGGCGCCATTCCCGGTCGATTTCTGCCGGGTTTGATTGCCGATAAATTTGGCCGGTTCAACATTATGATCCTCACGTCGCTGATCTGTTCCACCCTCACTTTGGCATTATGGCTGGCTGCGGGAAGGAACTTGGCAGCAATTATTTGCTACGCGGTATTCTTCGGTTTCTGGAGCGGAGCAGCCATCAGTCTGACTCCTGTCTGTATTTCTCAGGTCTGCGCGACAGAGGACTATGGGAAAAGGACCGGGACGACATTTACGATTGTCAGTGTTGGGACTCTCACCGGGATACCGATTGCCGGGGCTGTCCAGGAGGCGGATAATGGTGGTTATCAGGGTCTAATCATTTTCGGGGGTGTTTTGTACTTTACAGCCACTGTTGCCTTTGTGGTCGCTAGGATTATCTGCGCGGGATGGGGTCTGAGGACCAAGTTCTAAGAGTCCAGATATATTGAGAATATAGAGTAGAGTTTCCGACAAAATAGATGCTAGAGTCTGTTCGCCATCAGTGCTTGACATCCATTTTGTGAACTTGGGTCCTATTTCCAGCAGATGCTACTTTACAATCTAATCTAATCCAATAGTCACTCGTTGGCGATTACTCATAAAACGAAATATACCTACCAACATGTATCGACAAACATGCTTAGGTTAACAATACGGAAACTCCGAATATGGGCCCTGGCCAAGCGGGCAGAGCCTTGAATCAAGCGAATGCCGTATGACTCTAAAGGAAAATTTCGGCGATCAGCCAGTAGCCTGATCACACACCGACCTGCAGGGCTGGCTAACTGGCACGTAATCCTTCGCTTACTGACCTCAGATCAGCAAGGGCCGTTCGGCGAGCATTCCAACCGGAGTCTTCATTCCAACGGCGTTGGCCAATTATATCGGTACTTCGCCGGGATGTTCTAGGATGGTATGTAGACCTGCGCTAAGGCTCGACTGGTGACATACCTTTCATGATATCATCCGTTGGCCTTGTACACTCATGGCGGTATATGTACTTGTAAACCCCTGAGAACGACACTCGACATTCATCACCTTCCTACGTTTCCTGGTCATCATGACAGGCAAAGATCTGAAGAACAACGTTCGCTCAAAGCTTCACACGCTGTTTCGTAAAGGCGACCAGAAACACAACAAGCTATCAGACAATGATTCGGAGGTAACATTGTTTCCGCTATCCGAGTAAGTTTATCACCACTGGATCGATGAATCTATCTCATACTGACATGACATAGGGCACAGTCAAAACCTCCTCAACAGACGAAATGTGTTTCTTGCAGCCGTCTTGAGCAGCCATATAATGGTAAGCAGATCGATGCTAGTCTTTGAGAAATGCATAGCTGATAAAGATGTAGGGGACCAGTGCTTCGGGTCGTGCTGTCGAGGGCAAGGATATCCTCGTTAAACGGCCGGGAAATCTCCTACTTGTTCCAATGTTGCTTAATGTCGAATTCAATACTTAGCACAGGATCAGGGCAAGTAATCAGATGGTCCGGTGTTCTATGGTCATACAAGCGACGGGATTCGGAATATATATTGGGTCAGGACATCGTAAAATTAGACAACAATACCCAAGTACTTGTAAGAAAATTAGGGAACATTGGCCAATTACCGATTCATAATGAGGAAGAAATAACAAAATTACCACAGAGACCAAACGATCTCATTGTTGCAGTGGGAGCCGAAAATCGCCGACAGGGAGCTGGCATTTATGCATGCACTAATAAGTAATCAAGCATAGCTGGTTATGCAACAACTCTCCGATGCGACCGGCTTAGTCACATTAAGGGGAGAAATGCGGCGCTACTCGGCGGAATTCTACACTTCTTCAACGCTCGCCATCATGCGATAATGTCTCTTTGGAGCCCGCAGCATCATGTTTGAATGTCCAGAGTGTAGGAAATCCTATCAGAGAAGGTCGCATCTCTTGCGCCACCAAGAAACACGTAAAGCCCGAGAGGATCCCCTATGTTGATGAATGCTGACAGGGCACTTCCAGATACGCGTGAGCTCTCTTTCACTTGTCCAATCTGCAGCAAAGCCTTTTCAAAGTCGTAAGTACGGCAGATGCTAGATACTGGGACTATTGTAACATTCTGGTGTATAGGGAGGTTGCGCGAAGGCACAGCAAAGCATGTGCAAAGAAATACAACCAGCCTTTACCGGCGGCGAGTAAGCCCGGTAGGAAACGGCTGTCTTGTGATGCCTGTTCGGCTGCCAAGACAGCTTGTGATAGGAAAAACCCATGTTCTCGCTGTCAATCTCTGAAACGGGGATGTACCTACGCAGGCCAGGAGACAGCTTCTTTGGCAGGAGTGGACTGCTCGACAGATATTTCTTCGCCATCATCTACTCTCAGAACGGCAACTGCGTCGCCCGCGCCATCATCATTATCCTTATCTACCTCCATTTCCTACTCCTCGAGGAGAGATGATCCGTTCTCGTTCCTTCGGTACTTCACGGATCCATCTGCAGGTATGGACAGGCTTGCCATTGGGAAAACCGCCGAGTATTCGGTCCGGAGGAACCTGGAAGGGCTTTATTCCCACCTCGAACACGAGCTGGTGCCTGTCCATCCTCCAACCATTATTGGGGACATTCCCTTTCCTAGTGACTTTCTACCTATTGGTTTACTATCTGACGACTCCTTCTCGCCGAAACTGCTGAAACAACTTAACAATGTCCTGAGAGAGCTGGTCGAAATCTCCAAGTCAATGGGTCCTGTCAACGGAGAACAGCAGCGGCCTTTAGACATGTTGGAACTAACATCACTTTTCACGGCCACGAATCTTTTTGCTTTCATCTCAGCTTTCTTTCATTCACTTCATTGGCATCTACCCGTTGTTCATTTCCCAACCTTTGATCCAGGGAATGTTTCTAGTTTCTTGCTACTCTCGATCTGTCTGGCCGGCGCAGCATACACCTCCCCAATGGGCGGAACAGCTCTACCACCTCGGCTCTTGGATGCGGCCGAAGAACTCATTTTCCGACAGATCACGAATCTTTCAACATTGCCACCGGTGTCGTTGACGAATCCAACGAAGCTGCTGCCCACAGTCCAATTGATTCAAAGCGCTTTGATCATGGAGATGCTCCAATTCGGACAAGACCAGATAGACACGAGACGACGCATCCGCATCATCCGACATCCATGCCTCGTCTCCGTTCTGCGATCGCTGGGATTTTTCCAGCTGAGGCGAAGCATGACTCCGAGTGTCTGTGATGATACTACGTGGAGAGAGATGGTTGCAGAGGAAGCTTGTATACGGTAATTTCGCACCAACCTGCGTTGCGCACGTTTTGTCACCCTCTAACAATTTCTTAGGGTCGCATCTTGGGTCTTTCTAGCAGATGGATTCCTTACAGTCTGTTTCAAGAACCATCCCTCCCTGTCGAGCTTCGAGCTGAACTGCGACTTTCCCTGGCCTACTGAACTATGGGAGGCAGACGGAGCAGCTGCTTTCAGTACCAGTGCTGCCTCGCATGCTGACGCGCCGCCAATACCACCGCTACGCGAGGCACTAGGACAACTGCTCAGTCATTCTAACCCAGGTGATCCGATAGCTTGGCATCGGTCGCCGTCAGTCGAGCACCTCTTGATCTTGATATACGGTATGTTCCCGTGGAGTTCGGCACTTGACCGTCTGATCTTGGATCAAAACCGACTGACCGTGAACATAGCGATGAACACCCTGGCATTCCAAGCCAGAGCCGGGTTTCTCGGCTACCTCCCAGCCAAAAGCATCGAAAACGCAGCTCGCGACTGGAAAGGTATCTGGGATTCTACCATCGCTCGACTGGGCAAAGAACGGTACCTGCTGCTAGGGTATCCGCAGCATGCGGAAGAGCTTTGGTGTCTATTGACCGCTACGTTGAATGCCTCTAATAAACAGCAAGCGTCAATTCGATACCTCGATAGTGCGGCAACGGATGATTTGGAAGACTTGCATGAATTTATCGAGCGGTGTGGTCCTGCTGATGGGTGATTTTAGGACTATCTACTGTTCCTTGGGGTACTTGACCTGGATGAACACAAGATTGACCAGCGTTGAAGAGTTGAACCGATCCTACGCGTGTCTTCAATCAAAATGAGGACGAGACATAGTATGACACGACAGGATCGCTACCAAGCGCCGTATTTCAAGGCTGCTGAGATCTGCTTAGTTGATGACTATCCCCAAAGGCTGACTAGTCAGCGATACTCCGGCACTGGAACAAACACAACTAGTCGACGGTCGCAATAATTCTATTCGCCACGACTAGGCGTCCATCTGCCGCCTAGATTCATATAGGAGGTTCGATTCGCAGACCAACACCACTATCTGGATCGATTGAACAGTGACCATCGAATCAGCCCTCATCCACTTGGTCAAATCTATATGCACCCGGCTCATTTGTCAAAACAGCAGTGTTATAGTTCTGTGTGTTCGCATCGAACGGCCTACACGAGACTACAACCGAACCATACGTTTTTCACGGGTTTTCGTGGTTGGAAGTCCACGAACCGCTGCCTCAATGATGACACGATTATACATTAAGTAATACATACTATTTACACACTTCATCATACATTCCCAACGCCTCAGCTGCTCTTGCCAAGGGCGTTCTTGGCACAATATTGCTTCTCGCCGAAGCCATCGCGTTTGGGCTCGCGGTACGTGCCGGTAAACCGATCCCAGAATGTCGTGTACTGACCATAGTTATAGTTGAAGTACAGGTGGTGCATGGTATGGCAAGCGGCGCCGTTCACGACTTTCGAGTTGGACAGATACTCGGCATCATCTGGAAATCATTAGCACGGATTCTGCAACCATATGTTACCGCCGATGAAACCCAAGAAAACTTACGAATCAATAACGTCCACATCGTCACGAAGACAAACAGCCCGATATAAGCACACTTCTGCAGCGGGAAGATGAACGGGAAGATATGATACGGGAGACTCTGACCCCATCCATCGAGCGGGTGGAACGCGTAGCTGGCAAACGGCGTCGGCATGATCCATTTATGGTGCGGTTTGTGCAGCCAGCTGTATACCGAGGGGTGGTGTTCTCCGCGATGAATCCAGTAGATGCCGCAGTCGGTGAAGCAGATGAAAAGCGGATACTGCAGCCACTGGTATAACGGGAATGGAGCGCCGTCGCTAAAGTCGTATAGTTTCGAGTATCCGCGGATCTCGGCCAGGAAGAACGGGACGGTGAGAATGGCCATGGTCGGCATGGTCGTTAGAGCATGACGGATCTCTTGTTGGATTTGGTTGGGGAGACAGCGCGGATGGTTCAGCATGTTCTTGTCGAAGAGGGTGTGGTAGATGATGGTGCTGCCGATGAGGTACATGGCTATGCCGAAGAACCTGTGGAATTGTTAGGTCTGCCATGGCATGAGCAGTAAAGGAGTGACAAACTCACCATGTGATGAGAAATAGCGAAACGGCCTGTCTGGCCATATCATCCCGCTTCCAGGAGCTTGCCTCCACCCATTGCGACGGTTCCAAGGGGTAGTAGAGGTTGATATGCTGATTGTAGAGCGCACCCGTGGGTAGCGTTCCATTGTCTATATTGGTCGCAGGGAGGATCGACGCATAGAACTTGTCGAAGACGAAAGTATCCAGAACGTCCAGAAAGACATCCATGATTCCGGGCAATGGAATCACAAATTATAGAACAATGAAAGTGAAAATTTCCTGGGTCTTTGTTTCTCTTGGATCCCGATAGAGGCGGAGAGTAGCTGCCTTTTATGCATGGGAAATACCCACATGGGGAATCCCTACATGGCGAATCCCTACCTGCACAACGGCTACGAAACGCAGTGGTGAGCACGGGGATTCCCTACATGGAACAACCCACACGGAATCGTCTCTTCCCGGCGGCAATTCCCTACACGGAGTTCACCTACTCGCAATTACCCATTTCTCCTCAACCTGCAACCGACATGTTATTTTCACATTTAGCTTTTAAGATGAATGAAGAATCGAAATAAAAACAGAAATCACATTCACTTTTCATACAAAACTTTTGCTACCCAGAGTTTGACCCCGCAATCTCCCTTAACCAAAAAATCATAATCCAAACAGACAAACGATAAATTAAGTACAATGACAATCTGAACATCAGAGCAGGAACGAAACACCAGAAACCAAACGACTCTGGCAGGTGAGAACCCTTCAAAGGAAGACCCACCCATCAATCTCACCCTCATCACTCAAAGCGTCCACGAACTCAGTCTCCCCCACTGACTCTAGGTCAGCATCGATAGCAGGGTCTCGAGGATAGAAATACACACAATCCTTCACTCCCTCAGGGACCACCTTCACGCGGAGCACCACGATATCCTGGCCGCGACACTTGCCCCGCTTCTCGTACGCATTATTCACGAGCTCCAGATCCCGACTCGAGCCCAGATGCCAGATAATCGCCGTGGTGATGACCTGGGCATCGTCGGGCTCGGGCTTCGGGCTGAGCGGGGCGGTCGCGATGTTGAAGGTCACTTTGACGCGGTAATACGTGTCTTTGTTGCGACGGGCGAGAGAGGTCTTCGAGGGACGGGGCTCCATGCACGCGACGAAGAGCTGGCGGGATAGTTCCTTGCGGATGTGCTCGATGCCGGAACAGATAGTCGCCTCGTTGATGTAGCCGTATAGGTTGATGGTGAAGGGGCAGCCGCCTTCGAACTCGAACCCCTGGGCCTCGAGCTTCATCTGACGGTCGAGGTCATTGAGGGTCACCTTGAAGGGCATGAACATGGAGTGGATAGAAGACGACATGGTGGTTGGAGGAGGTTTGAGGCTCTGTAGATTGTAGATGGCTCAGAGGGAGGGAGGATGGAGTTGCTGGTGTCGTGAAGGATGACAGTCATACAGGATTATATAGACGCCTCCTGAGCTGGACAGGAACCTTCCGGCTGAGTGTCCGGGACGAGAGATGACGTTGATTGATTGGGATAGCGTCGTTTGAGAAGGGAAGTACCGGTTGTTGGGGATTGTACGTCAGGCTCCCTTCTAAGCGATTCTAGGCGTAGGTTGCTAGGCAGTGTCCAGTTACTAGTCTTCACTTGATGCTTTTCAAACATAGAAGTCACGGGCTTTGCAACTGGGTAATACCTACCCATGCTTCAGTAAAAGCACGGCGCATTTCAACAGAGCACGGGCAGGGTAGGATCACACCAAACATGGAATGACACCAATCTATGATTACTGTTCGTGCACCCTCCAGGTTGTTCCATAATCAACTCCATGACTCCTCCTGGCGCAGAATCGTCGAATCTTGCGAAGAGACACTCCTTTCCCCAATATAGATCACAAAAAGGTACATCACCACAGAAACACCCCCTTCCTGGTCGACGGATCGAGCCTGTAAACCCTCACAGCCCGGATCCTCGGAGGCTGCGGCCACCAAGGCATTTTTCATGTGCGTTTCATATGTGATTTTTGATCGCAGAATGTGCGCGATTCTTTCCAGCACCAGCACGGCTGTCTGGTTTTCTCTGAAAGAGACGCGGTCAAGGTCCCAGAGAGAGTACGTGACGAGAAAAAACACTGTGCGCTTGTCTCGCTCGGTCGAGGGCTTGTGTGGCTTGCCGCGACGAACAGCGCGAACGAGTCGGTTGAGCAGGAACGTTAAAATGTCGGAGCGGTTGCTGTAGGCGACGTAGGTCGGTACGTCGAATTCGAGGGTGATGCGGTAGGGCGATTCGCGGTCTTGGAATTCAAGTCCTTGATGTTCCAATAGATCGCGACGGGCTTGGTCTTCGATGGTATCTGGGTATGGTGTGGACACAGGGCGAGGCAGCAAACTGGCGAATGGAGACATTGATGCCATAGCGGAGAGGATGTAGAAGATCGGCTTTCGAGGCCTCTTCTTGTGAAGGTTTGTCAGGTAGGTGAAGCAAATGTCTCTATGTACCCGTCCATCTCTTTTATAAGATCAGAAGATTTGCATAACAAACGGATATTGCCGATAGATGAAGTATGAATGAAGCCGTGAACTTCCACTATCCTGATCATTCTGAAACCTTGTATTTCTAACCTGTCCATGTAAGGGTTTAGTAAAGTGAATGAAGATAGGACGTAATACTTACACAATCCGCACTAATAGAAGAAACTTCGTCCTGTCTATAATCAAACCAGCCCAAACTCCAGTTCTAGCCTAATCCCACATCCAGATATATGGTACACAGTAACCAAACATATACACACAGCGAAGGTATCCAAACCCATCCTGCCCAAAGCATCCCATCTTATGTCATCCTTCCATCCTATCGTCGGCAAACCCTCAATCCAAACTTCCAGAAACCATCATAGCCCATCATACACTGCATTAAAATCTCAACATCACATCCGTCAGAACCTCTACGTCGCGGGAACCCCCGACGCGACTCCGGCGGCAGCTTGCGACGGCCTGCCCGCATACAGCACGAACAGGACGACGGCAACGACGGCACCGAGGACAAGTCCCTTGACCTTGGCCGGGTTGTCGCGACGGTACTCGCCCACCTGGAGACGCACGTCCGTGGTGAGCGAGCGCATCTTCTCCGCGCCGAGCTTGTAGTAGACCAGCCCGCCCAGGGCGATCGAGTATCCGAAGAACTGCTGCAGGGTGACGGGGTCCAGGAAGATGACCATCGATGCGACGACCAGGAGGATGTCCTTGAGGATACCGGCCATGGTGAGGACGACGGCGGATGTTTTGCCGATCTAGAAGGAGTTAGCTCATATGCTGTCATACGGGCGAGGGAATAGGAGGGACTCACCAGAAGGACGACAGAGACGTTGAGCAGGAATGCGACCAGGGCGTTCGCGACGAGGGTCGAGATTCCGAGGTTGTTGATATCGCCCATCGTCAGACGGGGCAGTTCATAGAAGTAGGTGACGATACCGTTGGTCACGGCGCAGGCTGGCGCGAAGTAGTAGAGAGAAACCAGAGGGTCCATTTTGAATTCGGAGGAGCTGAGAAGGCGCTGGACCATGACCAGACGGAGCGCCTCGAAGATGATACCACCAATTTGAACTATATTGTGTTAGTCCTGTCTGATTGGAGGGTTATAATGGTGCAGACGTACTCAGGAATCCCACCGTGTCGAATTTGATCTCGCCGAAGGAAGCGATCACAACACCCACGACGATAAACATGACATTGCCGAGAGTGCGCATGTTGGCTGGCGCGATTCCGAAAGCCCAGGTCGCGAGGAGAGTAGCGACCGCGTTGGTAGCCTGGAGAGTTAGTTCGTATCCTTTTCTTGCTCTGGTTGTGACAAACTCACCTTGAGCATCTGGATAAAAGACACACTCAGGTAGAGGTAGGCCAGGTTACCACAGATCAGACTCAAACTGAACATGATACCAATGGGCACGATCGCCTTGCTATTCACCACGCAAGTCAGCTCCTGACCCAATCCAATCCACTATCCTTATCACTCACGTATATGTCACCGGCGTCATGGGAACCTTGTGTCGCGAGTCCAGCTTGTCGGTGAAATGGGCCAGGATCTGGGTCATGACGGTCGCGAAAGTCATGTGCCATGATGTAAGGAACAGCGCTGGAAGGTATTAATTCATCGATCGCGCAGCCACAATGATCAGGGACTTACGGAAATCTAAAGAAAAAAAAGCGAGAGTCAGCGATCGAGGTCAAAACATACGCGATGACAAAACGCGAGGGTCAATTGGAGCTCACCGAATTTGGCAGAGAACAGAACCCATTTGTTAAACAGAATAACACTGGAGCTCAATCCGATCCACAGCCTAACAGTTCCAGTTCAGTATACCGACTTCCCAACCCAGATAGACGATACGCACACAATGTAGACCGCGGGGTGCAGGCCGGTGCCAGTGGGCGGCGCAGCGGCCGTTCCGCTCTCGAGTTTCCGATCATCCTTGGACGAGGACATGATGGCGCGATTCAGGGTTTGCACAAGGCGGGGGATGAACAGCGATTGGGGGTGGAAAAAAAAACCAAGTCGAGAGGAAAAGCGCGCGGGCGTTTATTATTATAAAGAAAAAAAAAAATGACGATGGAGAAGAGAACCACGGGCAGGGCGATCGGCAGCGGTACACGTCAACCCGCGAGGTTTGGTTTATTGGGAGGCTTGTTTCATCTCCGAAACTCGCACCATTCGACACCTTCGAGTACGTCACCGCCTCCCCTGTCGGGTCCCTGACGGTGGGTCGCCTGCCCCTTTTTTTTTCGGCTCTCTTTCGTCACGTCGTTGAGGGATCAGATTAACAATTTAGAGTTAAACTGCTGCCACGAGAGGCCTTGGTTGGTTCAGGGTTCATCGGTCGTGGCCGTAGTCGCATTCGGTGGGTCAGAATGCAGCGTCTCACGGTCCTCATGATTGCAGGACAGTCGCTGGTTGACCGTTTAGGATTAATTGGTCATAATTCAGGACTCTACAGAAGTCCTTGAGTCGCGACGGGTGGAAGTAGGGTTGTCCTGGTCAGCTGCCTCATCGTTGCCTGTGGCTGCCTTATCCCGACTCCTCAGAAGTGATGGGTCCATTCCTCACATTACTGAAAAAGGCATGCAGATAGAGGAGTCCTTGGAATGGATCTATTTTTTCCAGTACTTTAACCGAGAACGCACGCCCCAAACATTCGACTTCTGCCATAGAATCTCCACTGCTGCCGAACCTCTGGGAGCATTGCAGGGCTAACAAATATGGGGAATTTATTTCAAGGCAAGACCGATTGACGCCGATGTCAATAGTCAGACACGCTACTCCGTAGGGCGATGATCGGAGAAACTGGCGGTAAAAAGAGGTACGGAGCTTCAGGCAGTCTGTAGCGACTTCGATAGCTATTATGAGAACGTTCAGCGTGGTTGCTTCTATTCCCTGTCATCAATAGTTTTCAAAGACAGACGATGCCAGTGGTCGTTGAGAAGCCGCGGACTTCCTATAATCACTGTTGATGTTCGCATTCAGATGCGCCGTCATTGGCCAGTGAATCATTATTTCATCCATTATTTGCAGACCAAATCTCCCCTTTGTCACACTATAAGACAGATATTGGTTGTGTTGTATTACATTTCGATGCCTGAATGCTTCGTACCAGGATATATATAGACCAGGAGAGCCAACTAGGAACACATAATCAGGGCCTCGAACATCGTAGAAAGAGTAAATGCCAACAGTCCTCGCCCTTGTGGAAGATCGAATAAGGCATCTTCTAGAAATTCTTCAGGGATTTGAGTTTTTCTAGACCAAATCGCTGGTAATGAAGATCAGCGCCCCCTACTCATCAACCCGATGCAAGCCCGGGCCCGTCCGGCGTCACTAAACTCCGGTAGCTGTCAGTGCAAGGTTTTGAGTCTTGACAGTTGATTTTGTGAAGACCATGCAAAGCTTGGTCTTTCTCTATCCAAGGCAGATTTGTAGTATTACTCATGTTGGCCAAGTTTATGGTGATCTATCGTTCCAATCATATCATGTCTATGTACAGCAACCGTCATTAACCTGTAGATAAGGGTGAATACTATCCAAAATCTCAAACGCCTGCAAGATCCCAATTGATAGTGAAATGTAAGAGTAAAATGATCTAGAATATCCGCGTGGTGCTCGGTTTCATCCACAGCGGTTTCTCGCATTGATGGTTGGCCCGCCAATTCTTGATCTTCTGCACGTCCCAGCCAGCTGATAGTTTTACTTCCGGGGTATGAGGCTTCCTGGAGCCAAGGCGCATCGTTCGGACGAATACGCAATGTCCCGCGAAATCATAGGTGTAGGAGAGACATTCGGCGTGTTCGTGGCATGCTTCTCGACAGTCGTCGAATGACCGATGCGCGGAAGATTCGGGAGGTTCTTGGAAGCCGCCCCAGTCGCCGTTGTCCCATTCGGATTTTTGTTCGAGGACGCCGAGTTTGAGATGCGCGAAGAGGTCGGTGTAGAGGAGGGGTGTCTGTTCTCTGGGGTTCAGTATTGCGTGGTAACTCTGTGGGGCTGAGAGCTTACCAATCGATCCCGTCGGTTCTCCCATTTGACCAAATCTTCCATGTCGTGCAGAAACGTTTTATGCATGCTGATTACTGGCTGGCACCAGTAGGCATTTTCGAACGGGATCCCATGTAGCGGATGAGGGTTAAACATCGGCCACATCCCGGATAGTTTCACGCCGTGGTCGTACAGCGCCCATCCGAGTACCGAGTCCCCGCAACAGTCGCCCTTGACCACCTCCTCGTATCGCACACTCAACGACGGCTCGATATATTCTCCTCGCGAGCCAGTCCCCCGCGAGACTAATCGCTCCACCGCCCCAGCGGAGAGCACGAATCCCGCTCCTCCGTATGCGAAAAAGGTTCTCTGGTCCCCTGCCCATCGTCCTGGCGTTGGAGATCCGAAATATAGCGGTACCGATGGGTTGAATTGATCCAAGAGACGGAACAGGTTATCCCAGACATAGTAGGTGTCTGATTCGAGGAAAACAAACCACTGGGCCGTCGGGTTCATTCCGTATGCGCTCTCCACCATGGGTAGGAATTTGAAGCGATCGAGTCGCCACCCTTCCGCCGAGTCGACCGTCTTTCCTTGCTGGATGGCATCGTAGGCGTCGAAATCTGGGGTGTTGTTGCGGAACGACGCTGGTAGGGTTCCGAGAATGTCGTATACGTGGTGACCATTCAGCTCGGACTCGCGGTCCGAAACGATGAGAAGGTTAGAGATGCAGCGGGTCACGGTGGCTAGCTGTGTCTCGAGGCGGTCTTTGGCTTCGGAGGAGCCGATTTTCAAGACAACCTGGACGCGCGAGAGGAGGTGGGTAGGGAAGGAGTCGCAGATGGCGTCGTCGCTGATGGTGAATTTGGAGCGTGTATCGGGCTGTTTGAAGCGCGTGGTTGTTTCCCATGTCCAGTAGTCGGGTTCATATTCATGCTTGGGGCGCCGGTGGTATAGAGCGGCTGAGTCGAGAGAATCGGTTCCTAGTTGGAGGTCTAGAACGGAGGCGGCGATGACGAGGAGTAGGACGACAAAGAGAATACTTGTTGGTTTGCGCGACAGCATGGTCCCCAGTCTTTGAGAAGAAAAATGTGAGAAGGCGTGAAGTTTCAAGCAACAGTCCGAATAGTTGCTGTGATGGTGAAGACAGAATCACGACATCGCCACTTGTAATGCAGTTCAGTTACAACCAAAGTCACAAGCTGAAAGAAGTCATGATCTCATGAGGAGCAAAATGGGAAAGAACGAAGTTGAGTTGAAGAGGACAGGCACCGGGGAGAAAGAGACCAGAGTTTGTTCAAGAGCTGACGAGTCGTGTGAGGATTGGCAGAGGGGAAAATAAGGATGCTGCCATCCACGCCATCGACAACCAAACAGGGTCACTAGCGCCTTGGGTCTGGGTCCAGGGCCACCTGAACCATGGCACCGTCCATGATAGAATTGAAGAATATGTCCCGTTTCTTTTGATCTTCTCCGGGTTGCTCCACATCCACATTGTTGATGAGAAGGATTTGACGGTATGCTCCGATATTGAACACATGTCTTGAGAATGGCTTCAGATCTGTTCCCTCTGACTGCAGCCAGATGGCCTTCTCGTCGATCGACGCCAGGCAGCAGGAGGGATCGCCATGCATACTTCCCTTCCTCCTGCCGGCCCCACTCGCCACGGCAAGCCAAGCCAATTGCCGTCTCTTCCTGAGGCGCCCACGGCTGGGCTGCCCAAGGCCATTTCGTCATTAGCACCGCGCAACCAACAAATGCAAATCAGACGGGGTTCTGGGAGTTATTCTTGGTGTTTGTTATTGTCTTGGCCCGTCCAGCCATGTTGTACAGCGATCAAACCGTGTACCCTGGCTGTTTCGTGCTGGTCGCCTGAGGCTACCCTGGCGCCGATCCCAATTGACGGCATCCGCGGTTGGGCCGCTGCCGTTGCTCGGCATGACGTTGGCCGGTCCAGACCCTTTCTTTCTATTCCAAATGTTTTCGACCGATCGAGAAAATTACCCGTTCGGGTTCATTTTGAGGTTTCTCATTCCTACCTCCTCTTGGTCTATACTGGACAGCTCAAGTAAGTCATGACTCCATCCAGTGCGGTATTTAGGAGACAAGCGGTCTGTAACCCTCACCGAATATTAATGTTAAGGGAAGATCGGACGCTGTCTTGATCTAGTCCGGGGTCATAGCAAAGGAGCTGTCGAAGTGGGGATGCTCATGGCGTCATATCTCGAACACGGAACCGGTTTCCTAGCGATTCTTCTCCAGTATGGTGTACTACTGTGTACGGTGTACGAGTTATGCATTAATGTCGCAGATGATCTTCATTTCTGCTGCAACTCTTATAACAATGGGAACAGTAAGTTTTCGGTGTAGACAGCATCGTTGGTTCGTTTGAACGGCGCTGTACCGGTGGATTCTGAGTCAAAGCCTTCGGTCGGAATATCTCCTTTGATTTCTTTCATCCTGACGCCTATTCATGCGATTTTACGTTACCGACCATTTTCTAAGTAGTACCGACTGTCATTCAGCCTGCGGGGCATCAGCCCCCACTGGCCTAGCAATCGGATAGGGTGCTTATGTCTCAACCTAAATCAAAACAAACTCTTGCCCTATGCTTTCTCCTTTCTCTTGGTCATTCAATTTGATATACTAGGACTTTGCATTCGCACTTCTTAAAAAGAGACACGAAGAAATCAGAGCAAGACTGACGTGATTATATGCTAACAAACAGACGCCGCCCATCAATGCTAAATCTAAATGCTCTGTTAATTACAGAGCGTTCTACAAAGCAGATCTCTATCTATTCCGGTTTGGATTGCTCCAATTTAGTTAATACCTCGCTATTCGGCTGCTCATCCTGCCACCGCTTCCGTGGTAGCTCAAACGTCGACGAGACGCGCCCATACGACATGCCTCCTAACTGGCCCAGCGGACGAAGTTTCTCCAAATCGATATGACTACCCTCCGCATTGACGGCGTCTTCCTGAACCCAGAACATAGTCGCCTTGACCAAAACCAACGAAGCGATGCTCATGCCTGGCTGGACGTGGTCCTCAAACTCCTTGATATCGACCACCTTGCCCTCGACTGAGAAGACCGATTCCTGGACCCGCGACGCCTTGACCGTCGTCGTGGGAGCTTCGTGAAGACCTGATACGTCCCATTCAGACACCCCGTAGGGCGCGTCGATGGATGACGCGTTCACGGCCTCGATCATGTTTTCTGATACTGTGTTGATCACGCACTCTCCGGTCTCTTTCAGATTGCGGTACGTGTCCTTGACGCGGCCCGGTCGTGATGAGAATCCAACGATGAACATCGGCGGATCATGTTCAATGACCTGGAAGTAGCTGAAGGGGGAAAGATTCTTGGTCTTGCCGTCCCCCGACACTGTGCTCAAGAATCCGATCGGTCGCGGCGCTACCCCCGAGATGAGGAGACGGTAGTTGTTCACCGTCGCCCGGTCCGTGGCGTAGGGATCGATCTCGCGGTATGGTTTGCTGAGACTCGCGCCATTGTCGTTCACGCCGTCACCGTACTGCCAGTTGGGATCGGGCGATTTGGTCACCTCGATCGGCGCGTTGGAGTGGTCGAAGTCCGGTCGGTTGGCTTGCGTTTTTTCGAAGTTTTCCACTTTTTCGACAATCTTGTAATTCAATTGTGAGTGGTGTGGTGTTTTTGTTGCTGCTGCCGCTGCAGTGGAACCCATCCTTGGATTTGTTGGTGCTTTGCGCAGTGTAAGAAGGGATGATGATGCGATTGGTCTGGGCGTTCACGTTAGCAACTGCTCGTAGAGGAGGTTTGGAGACCTACTGCCTGGATAGGCGATGGACTATTTGAGGGGAGAGGCTTAGTGAGCGCAACATTGCAAATGACTTGTGGTTTTATCGATAGATAGTTGGACAGTCAACAACGCCTTCTATGCGGCAGGATCTTTTCGTGCTTTCGGGATCGCCACCCGAGGCTCGGTGCCACCAGCCGAGCGTTGCAAGCCTTGGATCCAAGTGTACATTTCACTGTTGGGGTCGGTCGCATGTAAACAAACCTTCCACTTTCAAAAGCAAAATGTTTCAACGTGGTATTTGTGCTCTCGCTGTTAGTAGGCCACATCTTCAATCCTTTCGTCGGCGTCCACAGTCCCTCCTAGCTGCCGTTACTATGTCTTCGCCAACCGCGAGATCCAAGACGAGTGTGACTTCGGTGCATACAGACAAAGCCTACAAACGTTCGTGAATCCTCTGGGCTTTTGAATCACTCACAGTCACTACGCTGACCAATACCCATTTCAAACCAGCTTTTGCCCATTACGCAAGTCCTTATTTCCCATTCCTCTCTGCCTAGCTAACATTGCGTCCCAAGTCGCAAGCGATAAAATCGCCCGGCCATGTCTGGCTCTCCGGTCAAATCCCAGCCGATGCAAATGGAAACCTCATACAAGGATCGATGACCGAACATGTCCAAGCAATCATTAGGAATACGGAAGCCATTTTACTTGAAGCCGGGTCGTCGCTGGAGAACGTGGTCAAGGTCGTGGTAAGTTCGACGGCGTTTCGTCTGACTTGCATACAATAGTTGATGTTCCCATTAAGGTGTATATGAAAGACGCAAAAGCCATGCCTGAATTTGCCGCAGTCTATGATCCTGCATTGCCGCATAAGCCGGCGCGGTCGATGGTCGAGGTATCGCATTTACCGGCGGGCGTTGATATTCAGGTTGATTTCATCGCGGTGACCACATCGCCTAGCCTCTGAGCAGTGTTGCTTTGACAATTTGTCGCGAGAATCAAGGGTGGTGGTGTGATGCTTGCGGATAATCGAGCAATGATATTGGATGGATAGTATAATCAACTAGATACGGAAGAATGGTACGGATAGACATGTGTCATCGTTGTATTCGCTTGCTGTCATGAAGATAAACGGCAACCGTCGACACGGTAAACGTAGAGCTGTAAAAGTATGCTTCGGAAACAATCGCTGGCCCTTTTGCATTGAGTCTGATCTTTATTCTACAACAACAGTGACGAGGAGTGACTCGTCGCAGGCTCGGTTCTTCTCATATCCAAAGAATTTCAAGGCATTGGTTCACGCACAGCGGAGACGTACTGCCACTAATCAGCATAATCGAAAAGAAGTAGATATGTTCTGAATTATACCGGAATGATGTGTGCCTTTTCGACATCCCAGACGCCACTTGAGGCGTAGACATCACTCTTGATAATCTCCTTGACCTCCTCGAGATCGGAAGCGGCGTACACAAGCATACTGCCCTTGAAGGGCGGCGTTTCGCCCTCCACGGGATGGGACTCAAACATTGCTCCTAGGTATGGTTAGATGCATATCGCCGAGTTCCGTTGTGTTTCAGAGAAAGCATACCGCCAGCTAGTAGTTTGCCCGATGAGACAAAGCCCTTGACACCCTCGTAATGCTTTCTATGGAGTGTCATTCGGTGGGCCGGACACAAATAACCGTCGATAAACTTACGGTCGAACCTCCAATCGACGTTCCAAAGCGTTTGGCTTGTCAGGGATAATGCAGAGCCATTCTTTCTTTGCCTTGGAGGCCATACTGCGGCGACTTGTAGTCAGGGTTGGTAGCAACGATTGAGATACGGGTTTCCTGCAGAGGAAGACAGGACAAAATAGAGAACGAGAAAGCATTTGGGCAGTCATTGTTGGAGACTGAGAATGAGGGCGGTTGTGACTCAAAGTATCCCCAATCTGTATCAACTACTGTCTACTCGAGAACGTTCGGGCGGAGAATCCGAAGTGGACACGGTAGTTAGTAGCTGCCTCAGGCAATAATATTGACTAAGCACTGTCTTGGCATGGCTTTTCTTGTCTCGAGCCTTTAAACTTGCGTCGATTCATCCATGAACTCTGCCGTGGGTTTGAAACAAAGAATGAACGAACGAAAAATCTGTCGATGGCCGCGAGACTCCTGTTGGATATCATCATGAAACCAGTCAATTCGCCCGAAAGCGGACTCCATCGAGCCAGAAATAGCATGCCGATCAAGCGATAAAGCAACCATCATTGGCCGCCGGCAGCTTCGTTCACATTGAGAGGGTCCAACATGTCACAGAACGATTGCTTTGGCCATGCTCTAAACATCCTGCGGCCCAGGGCTGACGAATTTATGCGTGCATTATGGGCTATGGCCTAGTCAGGTCCACAGATAATGAAGCTGGGCGAATCCGACCCCCCTTATTGCTCAAAACATATACTCTGCCGTCCTAGCGAACTTGCGCAGACCGTGGCCACCGGCGCTCAATTTGTACGACAAAAACACGGATCATGATTGCGAATTGATCACCTTGAACGAGGCTCGACATAGTTTAGAGGTTCTCCCGGACGCTGACGATGACATCTTCCGAGTCAGCCTCAAGCACCAGATGGCATTCCTTCTTGATTTCATGACTCTCCATATTCGTCTGTCTATCCGTCTTCCGATTGCTCACGCCCGATACGCTCCATGGACGGCCTTCGGGGGATGAGTACCTGGGAACCTCGGGATATCATCACTACCACCCGATTGATCGTTTAGTATTCGCCGCCCAGAACCGACTGCATTACCTGCTCAACCGACAGAGCCACAATGTCACCAGTACGGCCGATCGCTATCGCCTCCGCCGCGGCCGTCATCCACCGCCTGGTTTTGACCAGTGGTTCGAGTTTGCGCAAGCTAGGAATGCTGTCGTTGTGGAGGAGTTCTTCGACCAAATCTACAGCGATTTGAGTCCATACTGGGGAGTCGAACCGGCCGACTTGCGTCGCCAGGCGAGTGGCTTTGCACAGCGTATCACGGTGCGGGACCATGTTTCCAGAGCTATCGTAGACCTTGAAAATAGCGACCGACTAGCTGCATGGCATAACCTGATTTCCACCATTCAGGAGTATCTCCCGGACATGGATATCCCAGTGAATACTATGGATCAGCCTCGGATTGTCATGCCATGGGAAGCCAAGTCACATTACGTGCTCAAAGACTATTCCTGCCAGCGAGTCTGGAGCCCCGGGGATGTGGTTTCGGAGTACATGCCGTTGCCCAATCCAGGCATAGTGCAGCCCCGACCGTATCAGCCTCCGGTCATTGACATAGCGCCTTCGAGCTTCTGGGACGTGGTGCGGGATGGGTGCCCATCCGACACTTCACCGCGGAGCACCTCTCTTCCCCAGATTGACTTCTCCAGTCCTCCCCCAGAACTCGACAATTACCGTCACATGCTACAAGATGGCTATGTCAGTAACTGGCCTCAGTCCAAAGACCCATGCGCCCGACCGGAGCTACAGGTTCTGCATGGTACATTTATCGAGCCTACCGCCGTCTCTGTCGCCCACGAACTGTTTCCCGTATTTGGTGACTCAAAACTATCCGTGAACAATGACATTTTACTTCCTTCGGCCAATGACTGGACGAGCGAAGATGATTCCCGTTCTGAAGATAGAAACAATGAAGATTGGATTCTGTAGAAGGATATGGTATTCTGGCGCGGTCCGGCGACGGGAGGCCACAATCGCGAAGAGAATTGGACTGGGTTTCACCGTCATCGTTTCGTCGCTATGATGAACGCAACGACAGTCGAACGGGCAGATATTGGTCGATCCTATCTGAATTTCCGGCTTCCAAGCTACCAACATTACCGACTCGCCGCTGGCATCGAAGGCGAGCTTCCCAAGTTCCTCGCAAACTACACTGATGTCGGCTTTACACATCTCGACTGCGACGGTTTCGAACCCTCTAACCCGCATTGTCCATATACGGAAGACTATTTTCGCCTGAAGGAAGAGACTCTGTCAACCGAACAGTACAACTACAAATATGCGCCCGATCTGGACGGTGGCTCAAGCAGTGGCCGATTCCGCCGACTCCTCCTCTCAACGTCCCTTCCCCTTAAGTCGACCGTGTACACCTAATGGCACGATTCGCGCCTTGTTCCCTGGGCGCATTTCATTCCCATGGACTCTACTTTCATGGATGTTTACGGTATCATGGAGTATCTCCTTGGGTTTGGCGACGACGAAGGTCATGATTTGACGGCAGAGAGGATTGCGTTGGATGGTAAACGCTGGGCCGAGAAAGTCCTGCGAAAAGAAGACATGCAGATCTACGTGTATCGTCTGCTGTTGGAGTATGCACGTGTCTGTGATGATCGGCGCGAGTTCCTCGGATTCGTAGCCGATCTCTGACGGGCGTCTAGATAGCTTCATGTCGCCAATTCCTCCGGTCGGATGTTGCGAAACTATTAATATCAATGGCTTTAATACGAAGATTTCACCTCGCTTAAAGGAAATTGTTAATTCGCATTCCAAATGACCGAGCGGCTGCAACCCACGTGGGCCGGGTTACGATGTCTAGTGGCAGCGATCTGGTTATCGCTAGTTTCTCTTCCTCTATCTTCAAGACCCTCTTTCTTCCTCATTTAAACCAGGCAGGCTCACCATGGCCTCAATCTACCAAGGCCTAACAGACATGTTTTCTCTTTTTCTCGCCGTTCTGTCCTCCGGGACTCCGTCTCTCGCTCGCGATTCCTTTTATCCCTCCCTGAACCACACGACGTACATCACCGATGCCGTGCTGGGTCCGTACGGGGGCATCTACGCCGCACCTGCCGATCAACCCAGTCCTCCCTCGCACAACGATGTCTACAATTACTGTTCGATGCCTCACCCTCGCGCAGAGACCTACGCGCTGCCGCCTCCGATCGCGAACAATTCTGTCTCGGCGCGGTTAGTCTACTTGGAGTACATGCAGCGTCATCAACGCCGCACGCCGTACAACATTCTTCCGGGTGGCGAAGTATGTCCTGTCTTATCGCTGGTCGCATATTGAGCGGCTCTAACTTTTGCAGAATGAACCCTTCAATTGCGACAATATTCGCCCTCATCTATACGCCGCACCAGAGCAAGGCGCATCGCCCGCCCATGTCTACGGCCAGGCCTACTCGGACCCGGCCAACCCCTTCCTGGCCTCGTATGTCAACGGATCATGCCAATACCCCCAGCTCACTATTGGCGGTCTCCTCGACGGCTACCAGCACGGTCGGGACCTCCATGCTGTCTACAGCGACAAGCTTGACTTGATCCCGTCCTCTCCGGATCGCAAGAAGGTCTGGCTGCGCTCTACTTCCTCCGTGCTCACGCAGAGCTCGGCTGGTGGAGTCCTCCGCGGCATCTGGCCCGACCACGAGGGACCTATCGCTCTCCATCAGCAGGCCTCGGGCATCGACACGCTCGACCGTGGCTTCCCCTGCTCGGCGCGCGATTATCTTCTCTCATCTATCCAGTCGACGTCTGTCTGGAACGAGCATCTAAGTGTGACTGCCTCGCTCCGCGACCGTCTGGCTACGGTCTTCGATGCCAACGAGTCCAGTTGGATGTCCACGTTTGATCATTTCGCGGATAACTTCCAAGCGCGGTTATGCAATGGTTACGATCTCCCTTGTCAGAAAGACGGGTCGAATTGCGTGACCACTGCCGAAGCGCACGAGGTGTTCCGCGCGGGTGACTGGGAATGGAATTACTGGTGGCGGTACAATGATGACGCGACGCTATATATCCAGCTCGTTCAGGGCCTTTTCATCGGCGATGTCGTGAGAAAGCTCGAAGCCGTGCAAAACGGCCGGTCGGACGTGGTGTACAGTCATACTTTCCTTCACGACGGCGATATTGGCCCGGTGTTGGGCGCTCTGGGAATCAAGGCGCTCAGGTGGCCTGGGATGGCGGCTAATATCGCTATCGAGGTTTGGTATGTTCTCTGCTCTTGTCTAGAGTTCTTTTTGATCATTTCTCTAACCGTTGATAGGGAAACATCGTCATCCGACCTCTACGTCCGGGTCCTGTATAGCGGGCACGCCGTGAAAACGATCCACGGAGCATTGGATTGGATTCCGCTTTCCAAGCTGCTGGATATTCTGCGACCGTTTGTGCCGGAGGATATCATATCCATGTGTAACGCATAGCAATCTGTACATTTTCTATGTACACTTCACCCACCAGAATCAAACAAAACATTAAGTTCAATCCGCGCAACAATAACAATACACCCCGTCAGAGCAACACTGCGGATAGTCTCCATGGCAGCAGACCGCTCGCGAACAGGGCGACGAGCATGTATAGCAACCTGAAGTAGCGGGGTTAGGTGGACGTGTTCTGTGAGACCGTCGGAGGAAAAGGAGAATGACGCACGGTTGTCATCAGCTCCGAGAATATTCTGGTCCATGTTCAGTGTATGCACGGCGGGGTCCTTTCGAGGCGTTGTCGCTCTCGCTGCGCTCGTCAGCCATCTCTTTCTGCTCGCCTGTAGCTATCGAATCTAGGATATGAGAGAGAACCATACGGGTAGTTTTTCGATGGTCTTGCATGAGGCCCGAGATGAACGGTAAGGACAGGGCTATCAAGTAAATTGGTTTCATGATGGATGTGATATCTCGTATGCTTTATGAATAGCTAGCTCAGACCCGGAATTGTGTTGAGACAGCTCCCTGGTTATATAGGCTCAGTGTTGGGTAGGGCTGTCCAGTCATCTGCGCCTGTCATCCGCGTTACGAGGTCAGATGGTGTGGCTCCCAGCAGATGATCGGGATCGCCGTCCAGGTCTCATATCCCGGAGACTTTAGCGGAGGGGATCCTAGTCTTGAAGATTATGACAGCATGTATATTTCCTGAGAGGGAGTGGTTCAGGGTGATCGGGGTATGTACTCTTAACTTTAGCTGCTTTTAGGAGTTAGGCCAATGGTCCTGGAAATTCCTCTTCATTCGTGATTTGTACTCTGGTCAGCCATGGATAAGTTATCTGTACGACTTTGACACAGAAGTCTGGGTAATACGAGCGAAGTCAAGAATTAATGCACAACACAATTTTCTTTTTGGATTTTAGAAATGTGCTCTTGCTCGGACAACGATCTAGGAGATTCATTAATCCCGCGGGTTTTCTCATCGGCGCACCTACATGATGTATAGCTGCCAATACCGACTATCAATGACCCCGTCAGTGATTACTCTCCCTCTATCTGTTCTTAGATAGCTTACAAGATCTCACCTGTTTACGTTAGGGGATGAGGCCAACATGAGAGGATATCACTTCCAAATTTTCTAAATTCATTAACTGCGAGGATTCAAAGGGAAGTATGGAGGAACCTGGTGCATAACCAGAAACCTAAGACCATAGCTTTCATAGCCACATTTGATCTATAATTATCTACGCCTGTCTTCGTTTAAGCGGACTGTCCGACACTATTTGCCCAAGTTCGTTTGAAGTAGACTCAAGTAGTCGTTGCGGCAACCATGATATACAATCGTCTGAATGATTCCAACGGCGAGCTTTAAGTTATCGCACCGTACTCAAGAGGTCGTCCGCTATAGAGAAAAGAATATGGACTAGCGATAGACCGTTTATGAAACTACGTTTATTTTCGCGTCAACAACTGAAGGCCAAAGCCGATGCAAACCAGGTAAACAGAGAGAAACACGTGGGGATGTTCTCCCGACGCGTTGCACTCTCTCAATCCCCACCACCTCGCGTTGCTAAGATGTTTCGAAGGCTGAGGTCCCTTTCCAGCAGGTCCACTGCATCGATGGCTTTCCAGATAATCTCAGACTTACATCTGGAGATTAATAAATAGTATTCTTCATTCAAGATCCCTGCGCGCGCCAAATACGTACCTTATCCTCGCCGTTGACGTCGGGCGCTTAACGGACTACCACGCGTATCGAGACTTTATCCGACAGCTGACCACGCGGTTTGAGTTGGTCTTTCTGGTCCTGGGAAACCATGAGTTCTACAATGGTACCTTTGCAGCGGGGCTTGAAAAAGCCAAGCAACTCGAACGCAACCCCTCGATGGATGGTCGGCTTGTGATCCTTCATCGGAAACGATACGATATTCCGGGAGCTCGTGTCTCGATACTAGGATGTACCTTGTGGTCCGCAGTCCCAGATCAATCGAAGGATATCGTGCAGGCAAAGGTCAAGGACTTTAAGAGGATGGGAGGCTGGACGGTGGATGACCATAATGCTCACCATAGATCCGATCATGCGTGGCTGGTGAAAGAAGTGGAAGTTGTACAACGGCAGAATGAAGAGGCATCTCAGAGCGAGAGAAGGAAGGTCCTTGTCGCAACACATCATGCACAGCGAATTCCCAACATGAAGGCAGTGCCTGGAGTTCTGCCTTTGGGACGGACGTTCTCTCGCCACTATCGGCTGGGGTTGATACGTGGGTGTTTGGACACACGCATTATGCCACCGAGTTCCAACACAACAAGACAAGGGTCGTCAGCAATCAGCGGGGATATGTGCTGCCTGGGATCAACGATCCTTCCAAGCACCGTGATGAAGGTGTAAGACTTGCAGCAACGGAAGACATTCCGCTGCCGGATGATTCCGACCTTCCGAGCGCTTCCCGTCGCTTGGACTCTCCTAATGCGGAAGGGTTATCGCCCGCGCCCGCATACAAAAGACGTACCTGAGTCCCCCTTGCTGGCGGAGAAGAAGCTTCTTCCCACCTAAACTCACCATGGCTCCTCATCCACTTGCTATCCTCTCAGAGGAGGAGACTAACATCGCCCGCGATGTGGTTGTTGCCTCTCACCCCGACACTGTCATCGATTTCCGCGAGATCTACCTGTTAGAACCCCCAAAGGATCAGCTGCGCGACTTCCTCGCATTGGAACATGCTGGACGGCTGAGTCCGACCACGCCTCGCCCACCTCGTATGGCCCTATGCCAGTACGATGTCATCGGCTCCGATCGAATTCCTTCCTACCAGGAGTCTGCCGTGGATGTAGGATCGCGCAAGCGTGTCAAGCATCACGTCGTTGGAAAGCAACATCATGCAGCGCTGACAGTGTATGTTAATGTGACCCTTTTGAGCCCAGTATGGCCTGCTAATATCGTCATAGGAGCGAATTCGATGTCCTTGTCGACCGTTGCTTTGCCTCCCCCCTGTTCAAGCAAGCTCTTGCTGAATTCGACCTCCCCGAAGGCTTCGAAGTGGTGATCGAGCCATGGCCATACGGTGGACTTGACTACGTCGATGAGAACCGCCGATTCTTCCAGGGTCTCTGCTTTGCGCGCGACAAAACCAAGAACAATGCCGATGCCAACTTTTACTCCTACCCATTGCCTCTCATTCCCGTCATGGATGCTCACACCCAGCAAATCATTCGAGTGGATCGTCCTGCTACCGGAGGTAAAGGAGACGGTCTCCGTGATCAAACCTTCAAGCGCGATATTATCGGTCATTGCAAGGGCTCGGATTACGTACCGGAACTGCTGCCTGAGGGCACGCGCAAGGATCTGAAGCCATTGAACCTGGTGCAGCCCGAAGGGCCATCCTTCCGCATCACCAATGAGTCCCTGGTCGAATGGCAGAAGTGGCGTTTCCGCGTTGCATTCAACCCTCGCGAGGGAGCCACTATCCATGATGTCTGGTACGATGGGCGCAGCGTTATGTATCGACTGGCGATTAGTGAAATGGTGAGTGTCCCACGCGCATCGTTGTACCGCTCACTAACAGCCCCAGACCGTTCCCTATGCCGATCCTCGTCCTCCGTTCCACCGCAAGCAAGCGTTCGATTTCGGTGATGGTGGTGGCGGAAACATGGCCAACAATCTGTCCATTGGCTGTGATTGCCTGGGTGTGATTAAATACTTCGACGCTGTACTTACCGAGCCGGATGGATCCGCCAAGAAACTGCCCAATGCTATCTGCCTGCACGAACAGGACGGTGGCATTGGCTGGAAACACTCCAATTGGCGCACTGGACGAGCCGTGGTGACTCGCAACCGGGAGCTGGTGGTGCAATTTATCATCACCTTGGCGAACTATGAATATATCTTTGCCTACAAGTTTGACCAGGCGGGTGGCATTACGGTAGAGTCGCGTGCAACGGGCATTCTGAACGTGGTCAACATCGACGCCGGCAAGACCAGCGAATATGGCAACGTCGTCAGCGGAGGTGTCCTGGCTCAGAACCATCAGCATATCTTTTGCGTTCGAATGGACCCTGCCGTCGACGGAGCGGACAACTCGGTTGTCGTGGAGGAGTCGCACCCGGTGCCCATGAACGAGGTTACAAATCCTAACGGCAACTTCTACCAGGTGACGAACCAGACCATCGAGCGCGCTGGCTGGTTCGACGCTGCTCCGGATCTGAACCGAACTGTCAAAATCATCAACCCTCACCGCACGAACCCTATCAGCGGGAAGCCTGTCGCATACAAATTCATCCCCTTGGCGACCCAGAAGTTGCTGGCCGATCCTAACTCGATCCAGGCGAAGCGCGCCCAATTCGCACAGCACCATGTCTGGGTGACGAAGTACCGCGATGGCGAGCTTTATGCCGGCGGACGGTATACCTTGCAGAGTCAAGAGGAGGTGGACGGGGTTGCTGACGCGGTGCGACGTGGCGACTCTGTCGCCGATACCGACGTGGTGGTATGGAGTTGCTTCGGGATTACGCATAATCCTCGAGTAGAGGACTGGCCGGTGATGTAAGACCCCTTCCTATGGCTCTTTGGTCTCTTTGATTCCCCATGTACTAATAATTCTTAGGCCCGTCGAGACATTCCAGCTGATGATTCGACCATCCGACTTCTTCACGGCCAACCCAGCGCTAGACGTTCCCTCGGACAAGAACGGGGCCTCGGTTGTCGTGGGTGGAGATTGCTGCCGGAATGCGCATATCTAAGTACTGACCTGGCTAAGTATATGGTGTGCCGGCTATGATTTACGATCCTATGTACATTGTTTTTGATTTTGGACATGATGTAAATGAAAGAATCGATGATTATCTGTCGAGATAAGATAGAAAATGATAAGATAAAGGATGATAAGATAAGCAACGGTGAAATTCCGCATTGCGCTCGGAGCCTCGGAAAGCAGGATTTGCTTCCTCAGCTTTCTCACTTTCCGGTCTGCCTGCCTAGCTTGCTCGGAACGCACACCAGACAGAACCTAATCAACTCTACTGTTCCTCCCATTTCCGAACTGATTGCGCAACGGCCTGTTCGGCATGGACATCCTGTCTCCTAAACGCAGTGGCGATGATACCCCGGAACCGCCTCGGAGTAAGAAACGGGCTAAATATACCCAAGTAGCATGGTGGGTTCTGTTGCCTGTTTGATCATAGCGCTGTGACATGCTAATCCGAGTATAGTAATGAATGCAAGCGACGAAAACTTAAGTGTAGTGGCGACGCAGTTTGTACTCGCTGTGCTCGTGATGACGTCGAGTGCATTTATACGGGGAATGCGCACGCGGCAAACCATGTTGCCTATCCGGTGGAGGAGAAAAATGAGGGGTATGTTCACTGCTCGGGCCTGATTTCTCTACTTGGTCGGTAATGTTTGTCTATTAGTTTGAGTACTCTTGTCCGCGCGGTCGATTCTCAAGTCCAGTTGTTGCGACGGGAAATGCGCGTCATGGCGGCCCGGGTGAGGCAGATCGAATCGTCTTCTGTCACTGGGAGTACTGCCCCCAGCATCATTCCGGCCTCCGGGTCAACTGTCTCCTCCTCGTCGAATAATGCGGGTTTACAGCGCATTATGAATCGCCCTCAGTCACCTTCTTACGTGGGGCCGACCAGCGCGGAGTTCGGGCTCACGGCCCGTCAGAAATCAGTAGATGATAGCGATGGGGATGACCTGGCGTCTACGGCTGCGGCGAGCCCTGCTCCGCCGTCTGATACGGAAGCCATGTCTGCTGATCCTTTGGGGTGTTTGGGGCTAGCGGAGGCCTTGCGTCTGGTAACGGTGTACGAGAATACAGTTGGTTTGATGTATCCGTGCGTCGATCTCGACAGCGTACGGGCCTATGTCGCCGAGTACTATCGAACCGAGGGACGTCCAGGGCCGACCTCTCCGGTAACGATGGATCAGGATTGGTTCTTCGCGCGCGATGTCGAGGTGCTGAAGATTATTCTGGCGACGGCGTTGCTGGCGGAGTCGCATGGACGCAGCGAGAGGGCGGCGTTCCTGGCTGATAGCGTGGAGGATCGGTTTGCGACCCGAGTGAAGATTGCAGAGGTCGATATGAAGGAGTTGTTGATCTTGACGTTACTGGTAGGTTGGATGAGTTACATAGTTCACGTGTATGGCTGTGCTGACCTTGATTTAGTCTATCTTCCACTCCTATCGCGATGACGAGGTTATCTCCTGGCGTCTCATCGGCATGGCTGTCCGCGGCTCTATGCAGCTCGGTCTACACTGCCAAGAAACCTGGTTGCAAACCGGAGGCGTGTTCCCCGGGGAGCTGCAATGGACCTGGGCGAGTCGGCTGTTCTGGTGTATTTACGTACTCGACCGCAAATGGTCGTTCGGTACGGGTTTGCCGTTTGCCATTCAGGACTCGGACATGGATACTAACCTGCCGGAACCGGGCACCTCGACCCCCTATCTCACATGCATGATCACCTACGCTCGATTGAGCACGAAGATTTGGGGCTTGGTAGTTGGCTGGCGCAGTCGGCCTCGTTCCGCGACCTCGGATTACTGCTCCTACCTTGACTTCCAAGTCCAACAATGGATTCAATCCATTCCGCGGGAGTTGCGATTCGATCCATCCCAGCGCAAGTCAGATACCGATCCGCAGGCGGATAATATGATGATGCTTCAAGTCTTGCTGGCGCTGCAGGCCAATCAGCTGCGTATCCTTGTCTATCGACAGAATCTTCTCACGAACGAGAGCATCGAAACGAACGTCTCCGGCGCCACCACTGCTGTTGAGACAGCCAAAAGCTCTATTCACATGCTCGATTTCTTTTCCCGCGTCTCGGACATCTATTTCCAGCGTCCGGAGCCGTTCAACTATTTCCTGATCTCTGCATTAGCTGCGCTCTTTCTGGCCGTTTTGCATTCTCCCTCGAGATTCAGTCAAATCTGTCGGCCGGAGTTCTATGCCGCGGTCGATATGGTGAGGAAGTCGTCGACGAGAGCGCGAACCTCACGACGTCTACAGAAGATTATTCGCAGCTTGAAATTGATCCGGTTGAATTTGCCGGGACAGTCCGCGAGAGGCACCCAGAATCATGTAAATCGACGAGAGTCTCACATGAGTCAGAGGAAAGTTGAGTCTACATCTTCGACGGTGGCGTCTCCGTTTGACACGCCTACGTCGCTGCCTAATCACCGCCAGCCTCCAGTTTCTGGGACATCTACGCCGCAATTTTCCTTATCTATGTGGTCTTTCTCGCCTCCACCGACAGCCCCAGATGGCTCGACCCGACAGGATAGTACTACCTGCGAGGACCTGACTAGCTTCTTCGAAATGGCCGGCGGTTTGTACTTTGATCCTAGGACTGGAGGACACGAGGATATAGTCGCTGAGACAGGCGGCGAAGGACTCGACGCGTTTCATGCGGAGGATGAGGCGTTGACGAGGGTCATGGCTGGATTACTTTAATAAACAACCATATCTTGAGAGACGCTTGAATATAACATTATACCTGTTCGTTCATAGTAACTGAGGAAATATCTGCATGAATCGAGACCTAAATAATGCCCTTCAAAATTTATATACTGGAACCAAAACGAAAGTACGATACAGAAATTACACAACAGGCCATCCGCTGGAGAAGTCGATCTTGTTCCAGCCGAACAGCTTCTGACCGTCTCCGTAGCCAATGGTGGTGTCGACGTAGTGGTAGTAGAGGACAGGGCCGTGCGTGGAGTCAGTAAAGACACCCCTAGATGGACAGGTTAGAAAACATGTTTGGATGAATAAAGTAAGGAGGGAGAACATACTGTCCGCCAGGTCCGTACACGTTTCCATGACTTTCTAGGACCACGGTTCCGCCGCCGTTGGTGCATGCTACACCGTTGGCATCGACCTGGTACCGATTAGCTATGATTCATCCAATGCAGCACACCAGACAAGGCATGCGCTGATCAAATAACAGAGGGAAAACTCACAAAGTTGCCCGTCGCACTGCTCGACCGACACACCTTGATCTTGTACTCGGCGCCCGCAGCCGGTCGGTCGGTATCGTATCCACAGCACTTCCCAGTCGAGAAGAACAGGTAGTAGTAGTTCCCGTTCTTGTACAGATAGGCGGCCTCGACCTCGTGGCTGCCGGCCGGGTCGTAGGCGATGTTGTACGACGAGGAGGACACCTTCGTCGCGGCGGAATTGAACGGTGCCTGGTATAGATTGCCCCAGAAGGAACCGAAGTTCATGTAGTAGGTGCCGCCGTCGTTGAAGAGGTTGGCGTCGATGGCGTTGTAGTTCTTGGATGAGTCGGAGCGGACTCCCGTGGCGCCGAGGTCGGTCCAGTCTCCTTCGTTCATGGTCGGGGAGGTTGCGAGACCGATGGCGGAGTTCTGGGAGCCAAAGGTGGAGACGGAGTAGTAGAGGTGGTAGGCGTTGCCGACCTTTTGAATGTCGGGGGCCTGTTGGAGAGGAAGATGTTAGGGTTGGGTTGGATCCTGTGACTTGACGGGAGCCAGTATAGGAGGAAACACACCCAGAGGTCATCTTTTCCTTCCAGGTCGATGGAAGAACCACCAGGGAGGACAGAGCCGATTGCCTCCCATGGTCCCTCGATCGACGACGCAGAGGCATACGAGATCTTGTTTCCGGTGGAAAAACGGAAGTATTTCCCGTCTGACTCTCGTTGGATCAAGCCCGGGTCATGGATATTGCAGGCTCCGGAACAGGCGCCGGGGTTGGCGTAGCCATGGACCAGAGCAGAGAGCAAAGGGATGGAGAGAAGCGACAAAGAGTACATGGTGAGAAAAGAAGATGAGACAGATCTGGTTTCAACAGGAAACTCTTGTTTCTTTCGATCTTCCCCTCGGGCTACTTATACATGTCATTCGGTCTACCTCGGAGGGACGTGCTTCAGCCTTCAAAATGCCATTTGTGGAATACGCTACCCCTGTCCGGCAGTTTATGGTGGCTGACGAAAGGGAAATTGGCATTCCTGGAATTTGTACCTGGCGTTTCCGGTGGAGATACTTTTTCTCATCTGCATACGATCCATGCGAGGTTACATAGTCTGGACGGGTTGGCACTAACCATGGGTTCGGCGGCCTGAATAGTGGAGGAGATTATAGCGCCCTGAAAATAGGACTGGAGTCTAAACGAGGTATTTACGAGAGTATTATTTCTCGTCCGTTGTAGGGAGGGCCACTCTGGTGCAATTCAGAGCACGTCTGAGGTGCTGTCGAGCTGCATGGTGCCTGCTATCACATCTACCTACACTGCACATAAGTGGGCTCCTTATCTATTATGGGTCTTTCCTCCCTTCGGTGTGTCGCAAAGCAGCTCCTGTGACAGTTATTGTGGGTATGTCTCTCTCTTTGACAAGGCCTGCCGCTGTTTCAAGTGTTCCGACGAGCCACCTGGCCGTGACTCGGTTCTACTGTCTTCGGAAGCGAAAAAAATGATTTGGACAAGGAAAAGGAGAATTCCTATACAATGTCATAGTCATATGGGGGAAAATTGCAGAGACGGAGCACCGTCCGAGACCCGAGAATAAAAATGCAGGTGCTCTTCTGATCAACTCCATGAAGCGGCCTAAGTCGCCGGAACTCCACTTGGGATCTGCGATGATTCGCGAGAATACCGTTGATCGCATTTTATTTCATGACGACATTGTTAAATGCAGTGTGTTGCTCTCGAAAATATTCGCCTATAGATCCTCGAAGTTTGTGGTTATTTAATGAGGCTGGATAAGGGTGATACTGGCTTGGTGTGGCTGAGACAAGGCCCTGTCAGCAGCAGCCAAATCCGACACGGAGATAAAAAGGCGATGGGGTGAGATAATTTCAAACTTCAGGCGGTGCGCTGGGCGCGCTAGAAGGTCAGTTTGGCTGGTGGATCGTTGGCGGAATCCAAAGCGTGAAACCGCTGCTAATAGCGTGGTGACAGAGTTGGCTAGTGCGTGTGTTTCACCCATTTCTTAAAATAGGTGGCTGTCTTCGAAGTGTGTGCCCTTGGCTTCCAACAACTGTCTACTTGGTAGAGGGCTTGGAGAGGTAAGTGGCATCGCTCACTTCTCAATTTCGAGTTGCATCTTCCATGGCCTCATCCTCGGCACCGAATACGGCAATATCCCGGCTGCAGCGAGACTGCCGACGTTCGTCCCCCACATCCAACTCACTCGAACTTGCAGGACTCGCCGAAAATGCGGAGAAAATGCGGGGGTTCCTTGTTTTTGTCTTTGCCTTTTGCCTTTTGGGCATCGACGTGTGGTCCACTTGAACTCTTCACGGTCGGTTAATACCCTGTCGCTGCAATTTTAACCGAGTAGGTCTCGAAGTGCCTCCTCCACGGGCTTGGCTCGTACGATATCCCTCATTTTCCCCCACAGGGACAAGCATCGCGGCGGTTTAGCTCACGATGGGCTTTTCCACCAATTGCGGTTGACGATCGACGTCATCGTCAGGAACAGAACGCAAGTATATTTACATCTCCGTGTCTCCCTGGCGAATAGGATGGTATCACATGAACGTGTGTGTGCGCAATAACCGATCTCATGTTGTCTTTGCGAACCTTGTTGCAGTTCTTCCTGTCGGTCTTGTTGGTACAGTCCGCCCTGGCCGACACCTTCACCAACCCCTTGAAGGATCCCAATGGCAGCGATCCGTTCATTGTTTACGTCGACGGCTACTACTACCTAATCACGACCACGTGGACCGATCTTCAGCTTACCCGGTCTCCCACTCTGGAGGGCTTGAAGGCCGGTGAGAACAAGGTTGTCTGGAAGGACGATAACCCGAACCGCTGCTGCAGTGTGTGGGCACCGGAGATTCATGAGATTGACGGAACGTGAGTAGTCCTGCCCATGTCAATTCCCGCGGTGGCCCTAACCTATGCAGATGGTATCTGTACTACACGGCCGGAAGCTCCGACACCCTCGACAACCAGCGCGCACACGTCCTGAAGGGTATGATCTGCCCTCCACTTACTCAGGTTGATTGACTGCTGACATTGACAAGGTGGCTCTAACCCCTGGGACGCATACGATTACCTCGGCCAGCTCACTCCCGAATGGGGCATTGACGGAACCGTTCTAGTCGTCGACTCGCAGAACTACTTTATCTGGTCTTGCATGGAGGACGGCATCCAGTCGAACTGCATCGCCACTCTCGAGACTCCCTCGACCATCGGCGAGAAGCACATTCTCTCGCAGCCGCTCGAGGACTGGGAAAGAGTCGAAGCCCCGGTCAACGAGGGTGCCGCTCCCCTATACCATGACGGGAAGGTCTGGGTCGCTTACTCGGCCTCCTACTGCTGGACTGCCAACTACTCGCTGGCCCTCCTGACTTATGACGGTTCCGGCGATCCTTTGGACAGCGGCTCGTGGACCAAGTCGGCTGGTCCTTTGTTCACGTCTGCCAACGGAAACTACGGAACCGGACACAATGCGTATGCTCTTCCATTTTCTCATCTTCTGTTGTTCTTTGGACGCGTGTATCCAATACTAATGTGTCGCACAGGTTCTTCACCAGCCCGGATGGCACTGAGGTTTGGAACGTCTTCCATGCCACTTCGGCTAGCGAGGGTGCTTGCGATAGCAACCGCTACACTATGGCCTTGCAGGTGCAGTGGAACGAGGATGGAACTCCGAGCTTGGGAGAGGCCCCAGAACTGTCAGCCGTTCTGGAGGGCCCTTCAGGAGAATAGAGTTCCCGTTTATGGAGTGTCCCGACGAAGCGAAGGAGACCCCTACATAACGATGAAAATACAAGCAGCCAAAGTGGCCTATACCAGAAAAGGCATGGCTACGCGGAATGGTAGTTCTTGCATAGATGATGAGCATTAGCATATGAGGCAATAGAAGTGAACATGTGAACATTTAAAGCTGATACTATGGATGTAGTCAGGTGCGGTAGATGTCAAGGTCAAACCTTCGAAGGTCCATGTCCGGATGTTCCCATCGCGAGATAGGATGCAATGACTTAGAATATTGTCACGCATTACACTCCCAGTGCCATTCCTAGGAGAATGCGTGAACTTGCGAGTAGTTTGGGTTTTACATATTTGAATTTTCAGCTTGTATTGCCTTTAGGTCTCCTATGGAGGAACCCTCATGAGTAGCGGGGCCCATTTTGACTTTTAATTTGGTTATAAGCCCAGGTCTTACTGACGATTGTCGCCATGCAGATAGACCAAGGTTAACACGTCCAAGTACCATGGGGCTTAGATCAATTTATTCTCAGGAGGTGGAGATGGCAAAAGAGATTGAATAAAGAAACGGGCATCGAACCAATATACTGCATCACAGCCCTGAGCTTTGTTGACGTGTAGGCATACTGCTGGGGTCGCCTTTGCCTGTTGTAGGTTTTTGGTCGAGTTAGCGGAATCCGAACGGTCCTTAAACTTTCTGTCAAAAGAACAATGGGGACATAGAAGGTCTGTAGTTCCGAGAATATGCAGTAAAACCGAGGTGGGGGGAGAGACAATTATATGTATTTGTTCGGCTGTGTCCGAAATAGGCAAGTCATACAGCACCAGCCCTAATTTTTGACCATGAGAATGAGCAGATCTGTTTTTCTAGAATCGTACAGACAATCTAATCAAGACAGATTGTTAATCATGTATGACATTCAATAACCAGCCCTCCGGTGTATATTCAATCCTTCGAAGGCATTCCAGCCGATGGCGAACCCCACCACAGGCAGATCTCCTCAATGAGAGACACGAGGGTGACTCGAGACGAGGTAAGAAGCGAGAGAAAACCCCCACCGACGTAGTGGCTCCACTAGCAACCTCGACGCGATCCTCCGACCGTCCGAACGCTTCTAATTTTCATTCTTTTCTTGGTGGATGTCACCTCGACTCGGTATTTCGCGAAGGGATGCGCCATGCCCGATGTTACAGCAGCACCATCACGTGGCATCCGTAAGCCGAGGAAATCGCGTGGGCGAGGATTGCGCGCCACAACTGGCTGGTCAGTCTTTGAGTCTCCGAGGAGATTAATTGCTTGCATGCCCCATGTTGCCCCTGATTGCTCTGGCTAACGCGGTCGCAGTTTGATCTGCAAACGGCGGCATGTGAAATGCGACGAGGCAAGTCGACTCCTTGGGCTGAGACATAACCCGCCAGGAGTGGCAATCAATATTAATATAATCTGATCTCTCCAGGTTCATCCTCAGTGTGGTCCCTGCGCCAAAGGCCAACGCGCCTGTGTCTATGGTGACACGGACTCGGGGGGTGGAAGCAGTCGTTCGCTGGATGCTGCTGCGACGCCGTCAACGCCTCGAGAGAATCCCCCAAGAACCACGCCGCAGCTTCGGGTTCACGAGCCCCTACAGATCCTGGTGGATGCCTGCCAGCAGGAACGGCCTGTGTCGCAAGAACGACCCCTTGGTCGCTCGTCGCTTGCGCCCGATTCAGCTCCTATACACGAGAATGTGCCCTCGCCGGCCACCGAGTCAACGGTCTCCAACCGCACAGCTGCCCCGAGAAGCTGGTTCGAGTTATTGGCAACCGATGCTGTCAATGCAGATGAGAACTTTTACCTTTCGCCCCAGTTACGTACCCCGTCGACCCCAGCGCTCTCTTCGTCCCCGTTATTCCCGGACCATAATCCCGGCTTTCATCCTCGCACGCCCCGGGAGCACCAGAGCTTCAAGGCGGCTTCTTTCGGAACTGATCCGGAGATTCAGCGAGGCTTGATGCCAGCACAGGCCGGTGATGTGCCTAACATGGTGGTAGATGATCCTTCGTGCTGGACGACGGCATCCCCGATACAACTATCACCAAAGGAGTACCGCATATTCAACCACTTCGTCAAAACCCTCAGCTCGTGGCTCGACTTCTTTGACCCATCTCTACAGTTTTCCACCGTCGTTCCGCACCTCGCACTGCGAAATGTTGGCCTAATGAAGGCGCTCTTGGCTCTGTCCGCCCGACATCTCTCGCTGTGGAATGCCAACTACCCCTCCAGTATGCCCCGAGACGCGATCCTCTTGACCAGTGACGTCAAGGAGGCCTGGAACCTCTCTGAAATTGACCGCAATCTGGCTGTCCAGTATTATTACGAAACCCTTACCTATCTAAACAAGGCCATGAAGTACTCTAGCTACGCGTCGAGCCCCGAGCTCATCTCTACCGCCCTGCTTATCAGCACGTATGAAATGGTAGACGGCTCCAACCGAGACTGGGAGCGACATCTAAAAGGCGTCTTCTGGATCCAGCGATACCAGAACAACAACGGCGAGTGCGGCGGCATCCGACAAGCTGTCTGGTGGGCCTGGTTGCGACAGGATGCCTGGGTGGCCATGCGAGAACGCCGTCGGGTCTTCACTTTCTGGAAGCCAGAAAAGCATTACTCAATGTTGACTCCGGCGGAAATGGCCTGCCACTCGCATTACCTCCTCGCGCAATGCATCAACTACGCGTCGAAAGAAGAGTCAGAGTCGAAGGATCTGCAACAGCGGCTGGAGCGAGGCAGCGAGTTACTCGCCATGCTGCAGGAATGGCTCGATTATCTTCCCAGTGCATTTCGACCGCTGCCTACCGCGCCTACTGAAGAACTCTTCCCTCCCATTTGGGTGCATCCTCCATCATACGGAGCTGCACTGCAATTGCATAGTTTGGCACGTATCCTTGTCCTGTTGCATCGGCCCTCTGTAGGGGGATTGCACGACTATCGTGCGGGTCAGCGCCTTCTGACGGCATCAGTCAGTACGATCTGCGGGATCGCGAAGACGGTGGATGAAAATGATAATGCGGCGTGTCTGGTGTCGCTTAATTCTTTATACGGAGGTGGGTTTTCATTCCACCGGACATAGTCGTCGCTCTCGCTAAGCTGCTTGCAATCTAGCTGGAATGTGCGTCCACACGCCCCACGAACGATCGATTCTGCTCGAGCTCATGGACACGTTCCAACAGAGGGTCCGGTGGCCTAGTAATTCTCTTCGGCGAGATTTGGAGCTGGACTTTCAGAGGGACGATCTGCCGGGGCCTATTGATAACAGACAATGACCTTAAGGCTGTAACACCTGTAAATAGCTGCTCAGATAATATACGGATACCCCTTTGCTTTGGAAATTCTCATATCCACCAATCCCGTCTATAGTGACATTGCATACTCCGTAATCACTGGGTTACATGCAGCCGGGCCTATAAGCGACCCTGCAATTAAGACTAGACTAAGGGAAAGTAGCCCCATGAGCCTAAATGCGCTTCCCTGACCCCTGGGCCCTTGCACAGTGCACAGTGCACGCCCCCATTCCTGTTAGTCTGTTACCCACTAGATCGGCATCTCCGCCTTGATCGGTATCCGACTGCCTCGACTCGAGGCACTTCCACTCGGAAACGCGATCGTATGTCTTTTGATGCGGGGACAGACTGCGAATGGGAATTGTTTATGGGGCTATGTCACCACGATTTTCTGGGTCTTCTTACTGGTGACAGCTGTCGTCAAGTATAAGAAGCCTGCGTTGTCCGCAGTCCAGGTTTGGTGTCCGGTCTATCTATCATCTACATCTGCTTCTCTAGATTCATACCTCGTGTCCATCTTACTCTTCTTATTACCACCTGAGCAGTTCTATCTTTTCCTATTTACGAACTATATTCACAGTCGCCATGCCTCCCTCCGCAGACGAAACGCCGGCCACGCCGGCCGCCAAAGCCAACGGCGCCACGCAACCTCCTCTCAGCACGATGCCTTCGTCCGACTTCACCTGGCAGATCACGCTAGCAAACAAGGTGATCGCAATCACGGGAGCCAATCGCGGCATTGGCCTTGGGATCGCAGAAGTCTGTCTTGCCAACTCGGCAAATATCATCTACTCGCTTGACCTCATGGAACCCGGAGAAGATTTCTTTGCCCTGCGGAAGCGTCGCCCCAATATCCGATACATTCAGACCGATGTGACATCGGAAGAGAGCGTTGAGAAAGCGATAAACCAGATCGTCGAGGAGACGGGGAGGATTGATGGTCTGGTGGCGAATGCTGGAATGACGAAGCATCAGCCTGCGCTGGATTTTGATCGCGCTGAGCTTGATAAGTTGTTTAATTTGAATGTGAGTCGGTGTATAGATTGAGTTCGATTGGAGTCTCGTTAATATGATCTAGGTATTTGGTGCTTATTTCTGTGCGCAAATCGTCGCCCGCAAGTTCATCGAGCTGGGCATCAAAGGGTCGATTGTTATGACCTCGAGCATGACTTCGTATCGACCGAATCGAGTATGTATTCCCTATGATATTTTCAAATACATCGATATTGACTATGCAGGCCGCCCCATCCGCCCCCTACGGTGCCACCAAGGCAGCTGGTAAGTCTCCCCTTTCCTTTCGGGGATCTGGATAGTGTCTTAACAAGAGCATAGTTCGAAATATGTGCCACACGCTCGCCATGGAATGGAGCAAACACGGCATTCGTGTCAACAGCGTCTCTCCAGGTTTTGTCCGCACCGCCATGACCTACTATGTCGAGCATTCGCCCGACTGGGACCTCAAGATGCAGTATTACGGGGGAATGCCGCGACTGGCGGATCCTCGCGAGCTGGGAGGCGCATATGTGTATTTGCTGAGCGACGGGAGTTCATATACAACGGGGATTGACATTCCTGTGGCTGGGATTGTGGGCGCATGGTAGATAAAAGGGAAACTGGTTTTATGGTTCTTTGTAGCGGAGATCGCCGACTTCCTCTCGGCCGAGCAAATAACGGAGATTTCTATGAGAATATGACTTCACCTTCGTTCTCCTCTCCGCACACTCTGTCTGCTTGTAGATAATATTGCAAAATGCGTGCGAGCAAGGCATCTTCACCAGAGCAGAAAGCAAGAATACCCCCCAAATATACTGCAGGATGGCGACGAGTTATCAGCAATTTCAGCCCATCGTAAGTGACTCCCACCGCGTTGCCATCGTGTCTAACACTTAACTCTCTCGAATAGATGGTTCTCAACCACAATGGGCACGGGGATCGTTGGCATTTTGTTCCATCTGGTACCATTTGATACTCCAGCATTCCGCTATATCGCTATCGCTTTCTTCAGCCTGAACACAATTCTCTTCGCGACCGTCTTCACCATGTCCGCTCTGCGATATGCCCTCTTTCCGGAGATATGGGCAGTGATGATCCAAGATCCGGTTAACTCGCTGTTCCTCGCGACTTGTCCCATGGGCTTTGCGACGTTGATTGAACTGTGGGTTTTCATCTGTGTGCCTATATGGGGTGATTGGGCGCGCACCGTGGCATGGGCCTTTTGGATTGTAGATGCCGCTGCTGCTGCGTCGGTGACGGCTTCGCTTTCGTTTATTCTGTTTGTTGTCTGTTCTCCAAACCCTTCACTTCGTGCTAATAGGGGACCAGGATATCCCAAAGCTACGTTACGTCACTCGAGCGCATCACGGCCCTGCAGCTTCTTCCTATCGCCGCCACGATCGTTGCTGCCGGGGTGGGTGCAGAAATCGCCGATATTCTCCCCAATCCCAGCCATGCGACCGGGACTTTACTTGTCTCGTATATTCTCTGGGGTATGGGCACTCCTATGGCGATGATGATTTTGGTTATTTATTACCAGCGTCTCGCTGTTCATAAGCTGCCGTCGCGCGCGACGATCGTGAGTTGCTTTTTACCTCTTGGGCCTTTGGGGTTTGGTGGATTTGGGTGCGTGATTTCCTTCTTGCTCTAAACTATCATCATATGAATGCTAATTAAGGCAAAGAATCCTTTATCTTGGAAAAGTAGCCCGCAATTTGCTCGGAGAATCGAATACTTTGGACCCGATCCTCGGATACATGGCATATGTTTTCGGACTCCTCACATCCTTGCTCATGTGGTCGTTCGGACTGATCTGGCTGGTCTTTGCCCTTGCTACTATCTACTATACCTCGCCTTTTCCTTTCAATATGGGCTGGTGGGGATTCACCTTCCCGTTGGGCGTGTATGCGGCGAATACGATTCTGCTTGGAACAGAAACAGACCTCATGTTTTTCCAAGTTTGTGGAACGGTGTGTATTCTTTCATAATGACTGAGTTCTCACTGATGTGTATAGATCCTAAGTGCGGCTGTGGGACTCTTGTGGGTTGTGGTAGCATGCAGAACGGCAAAGGGGGCATGGCAGAAGTCCCTATTCCATGCTCCATGCTTGCAAAAGCTGAAGTCCAAGCCCGAGGACGATGCGGCGGGCCAGGGCCCTTGACTTCCACTGATGTGCTTGTAGATATAGATAGGGAAACATTTGGACTCCAGGTACCTAATATTTTACGAAAGGACTGGAGTGATGTGATGACCCCCCTTTACCATGTTCAATACCTCCAACAAGCAACCGACATGGCCTTCACAGTGGGTGAGAACTTCCCAGTGCCCGTCATTGGCTGTGGATTGGGCTCACCCTCGCAAAGGTTGGTCCTGGAATGTCTTAGGTTCATTGCGCGGTTCTATCAAGCGGAGTACTTACGGCCAGCTGTAGCAGTAGAAGCTAGACGATCGCACTTCGTATCCTCTCGCAGCTCTCGAGATATTTAAAAGTCATTCCCCTTGCTTTCACGTAGAGAGGCCACACTCACCCTGTCCGGCTTACGCCCTGGTGCGAGCAATATCCGTCGCGAATGTTGTGGGTCCAGTCCGGAGCGTCGATGAGGTCGAGTTTGACCTGCTCTTTGTGATTAGCAGCTGAGAGACAGAAAAGAACGGCGGTGGCTTTACCGTGACACTATCCGCGGCCGCGTGAGTAGCCTTAAAGGCCAAGAGCACAAATAGGATGTTCAACATATGCATGATGGCCGATCCCGGGTTCTAGATTGACGTCCAGGATTATGATTCGTGCGAGTTTTGACAAGATGAAACCCAAGTGAGATTGGAATACATGAAGCATGCGCCTGAGCCTTTGAATTATGGTTGAGCTGACAGTGGACATGTCCCTGACTCGCATATGATATAAAGACGGAACCTTGTGCCCGCCAGTCCCAGTGATGCGGTGCATGGTATAAGGCTCGCATATTCCATGGTTGTCAACTGATGGGAAAACGGGCTAAGAAAGAGAACTTCAATAATCTTCAATCACTTTACCGGCGCTGCTCAGGAAGTTGTGCTATGGTAAAGCATAAGCACCTTGATTACAGCCTGCTACCGCTAAGCAGAGGTTTAGTTCTTTGACAAGTTGAAAGAAATGCTGACAGGCTTTGCCAAAAGAGCCCTATCCCGACCGGCTCTATGGCTTGGGAGGCGTTTATTTTATAGTTTTTCTCGTCTTCACCGTCAAGAGAGCTAGCCTTGATACAATTAGGCATAGTATCTGCTGGGCTTCTCCATAAAGATCGAGTCGGAAAGGATATATTATGCGAATAATGGCACGCTTGGGGCCTATGGGGCTCAGAAAAGATCGCGTCGGAAATCAATACTGTAAGATGCACATAGCAAATAAGTATACTTGAAAAGTAAGCTCACTAGGGGCGAATCCGGAATTTGCCTATCAAGTTCGGGCTGGTTGGACACACGCATCTCCCCTGTCTTGCCTACATATTCCCGAATCCTTGATCATGACATACCTGATAATCCAATCACCTTTTACCTTCCAGCACATACTAAGCCAGGGGCTAATCGGGCACACGATGAACAGGAAGCACTACGTCCTGCAGCGTCGCGTCTACAGCCAATCCAGAGAGTACGACTAAGCCATCGGCCTCGTATTGACGCCTCGCCCCGTCGCGTGTCTATCATGATCTCTCAATACGAACTCGACAGGACATCAGAGCCGATTGGAAATGGTGCTGTTTCACGTTATCACATTACTTGATCACATGATTTGTACGAGGGTCGAAGGCCATGCGGCTGATGGCGTTGTTGGTGTTCTTATCTTCACCCAGAGCGCTGATGTTTCTTTGCCCTCGTCATCGTCGCGATACTCTAAGCATCAGTTATGGTATGTCTCCATCGAATTTCATCAGCTTCATAAGCTAAGTGCGTTAGGATGCCGGAGAGCATGAGTTTCCCTTCTTAGAGGAGGTTTATACCCCTGCCGAACAGCCCAAAATCGAGTCAGTGTCTTCCTTCCTGCACCCGACTCCCTGTTGACCTGAGTAGCTTTGTGTTTGTTCATGGACTCAATCCTCGCGGTCGGAACGATCACCCCTTCGAAACATGGACGCATCAGAATGGAACCTTCTGGCCTAGGGACCTCCTTCCTCGTGACATTCCCCAGGCGCGGGTCTTTGTCTATGGCTACAATTCCAACATCGCGAACCCCCAGGCTATGTCCACGGCGAGTGTGAGGGACCATGCGAACACTTTACTGAATCTGTTGGATATGGAGAGGAGCCCGCAGTTGGTATGGACAATGTCTTTGGTTTTTCGGAGACAACGCTGACTGATGTAGAATGCTCGACTTCCTAAAATCATCTTTGTCGGGCATAGTTTGGGTGGTTTGGTGATCAAACAGGTTAGTTTCGACACCTTTCATCACGATGAGAAACTAAGAAGATGAAAAAGGCACTACTCAACGCCCAAGAAGACCCCAAGTACACCTCCATTCGAACCGGCACCTCCGGCCTCGTCTTCTTCGGCTGTCCTCATCATGGAACCAAGGGAGTCGAACTGGGTAAGATCGCAGCCAAGGTCGCACAGTTCGTCTCCAAGGGCCATGCCAGCAATGACCTACTGGACTGTTTGCAGCATAATTCCCTGTTTACGAGACAGATGAGCGCGCGCTTTTCGCACCAGCTGGAGGATTACAAGGTCGTCAGCTTTATCGAGGGAAAGGAGGTCATCCTTGGAGGTGCTGGGCCCGCGTCTCTCAGTCACGTTAGTCTCTAGCCTCTCTCTATGTTTTGCATCATGGTAACACTGACACATGCCAGCTGGTTGTCGATGAAGAGTCTGCCGTACTCGGCCTACCTGGGCAGCGCGAGACTCGCCTCAAGCTTGACGCAGACCACTCGCAGATGTGCAAAGTCGGAACAGCCGGACCAATGTACAAGCTCATCAAAGGAAACATCAAGCAAATCGCCGACCAGGTCCTCGTCGCCGAGCAGGGATATATTCCTCAACCGTCGGCAGCGTCGCGTCGGCCTCCCCCCGTTCCACCACGAATGCATCTCAACAGCAGTGCGCCTTATCCACCCAGTCGCTCGCCTGCTCCGGCCCAACGAGTCGTGGGTACGCTATTTGCGCCCTTGGACAATGATCCCCGGTCTGTGCAGGCTGCCGAGCATAAGAACAATTGGCAGTGGGATAAGGCGCGAGATCTTGAGTATGCCGTTTTTCAGGACCATCTGCGCACACTGGGTCCAGATCATCACAGCACACTTCAAGTTGGGTACAACCTGGCGGAGATTGATCTGCGTTCCGAGTACTTGAGCAAGGCGGCCGAATGGTGCGAGTGGGTGTCGAACAACAGTGCGCGCATATTCGACAGGCGACACCCGCTCACGATGAAGGCTGAAAGTCTCATGGGCGAGATTCTCTGCCATCAGGGAAAGAACCAAGAAGGCGAGTCTGTCTGTGCCAACGTCCTGGCTAAGCAACAAATGACCATTGGCGAGGAGGACCTCGACACCCTAGAGACCCGTCGTCGACTGGCAGTCGCCTATGCCTGTCTCGGTCGCAAAGAAGAGGGTGTGTCCGCGGCTGAAAAGCGAACCGCCAGCCTGCAGAGTCTCCTGGGCGAGAACCATATCCAAGTCTTTGCATCAGTGCTCTGCACGGCCGAGCTGGTTGTCTCAAACTACGCCCAGAGCGACAGGGAGAGACTCGCCGCTCGATTCAACCCGCAGACGCAGGAGACAGTCAAGGGCATTGCGAAGATCTTTCGCGAGATAAATAGCATTCTCGGGCCTCGCCACCCGCTGACTATCTGGGGACTACGGATTCTTGGGGCCAGCCAGATGAACGCGAATAACAGCATCACCGAGCCATCGGAAACCCTCCGCCGCGCTCTGGCCAGCGCGGAGGAGTATCTTGGGCATGACCACCCCGAGACCCTCAATATTGTTGCGCTCATGGGAACTATGTATGTGATGCAGGGAAGTCTCGGTATGTTTTCGTACAGTTCCAATGGCAGCAATGTAGATATGGCGGTCCCCTGGCTCCGGCGATATCTTGACTGGGCCGAGCACCGCCTTGGTCCGAGCAACCCGGATATACATGCGACTCTCGGCCTGCTAGGGAACATGTACTTCTCCAGCCAGCGGTATCTTGAGGCACAGCAGTATTATGACAAGCTGGTAAGTGTGTGTGAGCAAACAAACACCGAGCTGCCGCAGGATGTCCTCAACAACATTCAGTTATGCCAGTTGAACACACAGTATTTGATGCCAAAAAGAGGCGCAGGACTGCAGGGTTTGTTGAAGTCATTTCAGCGATGAGCAACCGATATACATCGATGGATTTATACAGCCTTTATTACATTATGCTATCTGAGTTATGAACCATAATACTCCTATTTGCGCAGCGAACTAATTGGAAAACTTCTCTGGTACTTTCTTTCTGCGCCAATGGATCAGCCTCATATTTCTTCATGGCCAGTAATATACTAGCAGCATACCCTGTAGCACCCTCGAACCTCTCGCGTGCGGTGTCCGTGATCTTTTCGTTGGTATCGCGCATCTTATCAGGGTCGATCTTGCCGCCACCAAACTTTCTCTCGGCAGAATCCACGGCTACTCATGTTAGTTTTCGAATGCCATTTCGATTCAGGGACAGGAAGACCAACCGTTATCAAGATAGTCCTTCTGGTTGTTGCTACCGCTGCCTCCGGACTCGCCACCACCTGTTGACTCGTCCTTGTGTTTGCCGGTGAGTTTGGAGGCTAGACCGGAAAGCTTGTCCATTTTTGTGGTGGTGAAGAGATACTAGTCAAAGGAGATGGTATGGTGATTGTATCCGGGCGGAATCAGGAGATGAGCAATGCTATATATACGTTCAGAGTCGTGATGTAACTTGTCCAGATTGAGTTCAAGTTCGGATTTGCACTAGTCTAGATCTCAGACCTCTTTTCCCGTTCACTTCTTTTCTGATGAACAATCATTGAGTCCAGGAGGGCTTGGAGGAACATCGATCGACGACGATAATCACTTGTATAGCACATGATTCGCAACTTTGTTGAGATCAATTCCCTTTTCTGTGCTCTTCAAACGACTGCACTTCACAATTGTATAGAATGTGGTGATGTCATAGACTCTCCCCCCGAGGTTGGCACCTAAGGCCAATGCTCAGAACACGACATCAGCAAACAAAGTCTTCCCCATCTGTTCAGGAGCCAGTAGACTCGATGTACACGCCCGATATAACAATCTACTCAAGGTCGCCACCTTACGTACATTCCTTGAGGATGCTTTCAAAACTGGGACCTCGGGACAAATAATGGTGCCAGGGAATCCTGATATATAAACAAAGTATTTGATCTCTACGCAGTTTTGGGGGAGACAAGTTTACACTAATAGTGAACTTTGTCGCGCCAGGAAATGAAATGGGCGATTGACATATCAGGTCACTGCAAGGACTGACCATCAGCCAGCTGAGCTTTTTAGTCTAGTCGGAAGCAATACCTGATACCTGGAATCACTACAGAATTTAGATCCCTTCTGCGATCAATCACTCGTACCTCTTGTAACAACTCGGCCATTGCCTCAGCAACTAATCCACCATGTCCAATTGTATCTGGACATAACAAGGCTGAGAGCACGCTCAAAGAAATTCAAGACTAGAGGTGGCATCCGGCTCACCGCATGGTTGATCCTTCGGGCTATGAAAGAAACCGTTGGCAGGAGTAGTCTGTAATCAAGAGGAGCGTTTATTAGGCGAACCCAGAGGCCAAGCTTTGGGCGGATTTATCAATTACCAACAATGATATATTAATATTTAATACCAAACCCAAACATAACCCACAATCGGCCGCTAATTCACCAGAGATACAAGCCTCATTCCCAACTAGAGCCTCACCAGGCTATGTGATGAGATTAATAAATATTATGATGTCATGACATTCCGCAGCGCCACACCGGATCGCGCGGAGAACCAAACTTCAACGCCCATCAGGGTTCATGGCGCCTTATGGGATGCTCTGTACACCGTACACAGTTAGAAGGAGGATTCAAGCCAGGACTGACAGAGCCAAGCGGACTCCGCGGGAAGCGAACGGCTCCTCCCTCGGCCATCATGTTCGAGTCTTATTTGTTGGCTGACTCTTCGTTTTGTTCGCTGGTCCAGCTAGGCGAAAAGATATTACGGTCAGGAAATTCAAAATTGGACCTTGTGGATCCACCTTCGGTTCTGGCGGAATTCTGAGTTTTATGCAAAGGATGGTTTCTAGTAAAATAGGAACAATGAGATTGTGCTCGTATTCCGACCTCGTGGGTTGGCTACATACATAGAACGCCCTGCCATTTGATGTGCACAATTGCCAGTGCATAATCGAAAATCCCGATGCATAACTGACTCAGCTCAAGTTGTGTATGCCATTCCAGCCTGAGAACGGGCTAAAAAGGGCCAAGGAATGAATGTGTCGAGGATCCACAGACCAAACTTCTAATTTGGGGGCCTTGGGGCGGAATCTGGGCCTGTGAATTGTCAGACTCGAGAGGTTTCAGCTGCAGCCACCCTGTCTGACTCTGACCATAACATAACAAACGAAGCAGATGCAAGGGGGCGTAGATGGCTGCCTAGACAGTACTAAGTGGTTAGCCCTAATCCCTCTCTCATTCTCTGTCAAACTCAGCCACTCCCTTGTTCCACGGACCTCAGATTTCCAATACGACTACGAGAGCGAACTTCCTCTTTCCCCTTAAACTTCTTAAAATAATGCTGCCTGGCTAGCCCTATGCCACTGCCGAACTCCGACTCCGTTCATGATTGGGGTTCTTCGCTCTCTTGCTCCCCACCGGGCTGTGACTCCACGATCCCTTTCCTTCCGGTTGGTCCACGCGATCCGACACTATTGACCGTTAGTCTGACGAGGCTCATGATTCCAGCCTTCGATCGTCCTGGGCTGAATCCTAATGACAAGAAAAAAAATTAAATAAAAAATAAAGCCAAAAAATAGTACATATATTCACGATGCCTAAAAGGGGGGTGTTCGTCCCTTGTCCCTTTCCCCGTAACATCCACCTCCCGCCATAATGAAGATCCCCCTTCTCACCCTAGCGGCTGGCCTGGCTGACGCCGCCTCTATCTCTCTGGTACCGCGCGCCTTTGCGAACGCCCCTGATGGCTACGCCCCCGATAACGTTACGTGCCCGTCTACCCGGCCGACTATTCGATCCGCCGGCGAACTCTCCGCCAACGAGACCGACTGGCTGAAGATTCGTCGCGAAGAAACCCTCAAGCCCATGAAAGACCTGCTGGGTCGTCTAAACCTTACTTCCTTCGACGCCAAATCGTACATCGACCGTCATTCGAAGAACATCTCCAACATCCCCAATATCGGTATCGCCGTCTCCGGTGGTGGTTATCGCGCCCTGACCAACGGTGCTGGCGCCATTAAAGCTTTCGATAGCCGAACGAACAATGCCACAGCAGAGGGTCAGCTAGGAGGACTGCTGCAGTCGGCCACCTACGTTTCTGGTCTCAGTGGTGGCTCGTGGTTGCTGGGATCGATCGTCATCAACAACTTCACCACGGTCACCGCGCTGCAGGAGGACGAGCGCGTTTGGGATTTCTCTAAGAACATCCTCGAGGGTCCTAACTCCAAGGGTCTCCAAATTTTGAGTACCCCGAGCTACTGGAAAGACCTGTTCAAGGCCGTCGACAAGAAGCAGGATGCCGGCTACAACACCTCGCTGACGGACTACTGGGGTCGTGCTCTCTCCTACCAGTTCATCAACTCGTCTTCCAATGACGGCGGCATCGACTACACTTGGTCCTCTATCGCCCTGACAGACACCTTCAAGAAGGGTCAGATGCCCATGCCTATTGTCGTCGCCGACGGCCGAAACCCCGGCGAGCTCGTTGTCGGCAGTAACTCGACCGTGTACGAGTTCAACCCCTGGGAATTCGGCACCTTCGATCCCTCCATCTACGGATTCGCGCCCCTGGAGTTCCTTGGATCGCGCTTCGAGAACGGCGAGCTGCCCAAGGACGAGAAGTGTGTGCGCGGGTTCGACAACGCCGGCTTCGTTATGGGAACCTCTTCCTCTCTTTTCAACCAGGGTCTCCTGCGACTCAACAACACTGATGCTCCCGACTTTGTCAAGGAGACGGTCATGAAGATCCTCAAGAAGCTCGACAGGAACGACGAGGATATTGCGGTCTACTCGCCTAACCCCTTCTATCGTTACCGCAACGCTACCCATGCCTACTCGAAGAGCCGCGACCTCGACGTCGTCGACGGTGGTGAGGATGGCCAGAACGTTCCCCTGCACCCCTTGATTCAGCCCAACCGCCATGTGGATGTCATCTTCGCTGTCGACTCGTCCGCCGATACCAACAGCTGGCCCGACGGCTCGTCGCTGGGCCACACCTACGAGCGTAGCTTGAACAGCACTGGTATCGGCAATGGTACCGTCTTTCCCGCCGTGCCCGACAAGAACACCTTCATCAACCTCGGCTTGAACAAGCGCCCGACCTTCTTCGGTTGCGACTCCAAGAACCTGACCGGTCCTGCGCCCCTCGTCGTCTACCTGCCCAACTCCCCCTACAACTACGCCTCCAACGCCTCCACCTACAAGATGGAGTACAGCGACGAGGAGCGCGACAACATCATCCTGAACGGTTACAACGTCGTCACGCGCGGTAACTCTAGTGTCGACGCCGACTGGCCCTCGTGTGTGGGCTGTGCCATCCTCTCGCGCTCCGCTGAGCGCACCAACACCAAGTTGCCCGACATCTGCAACACCTGCTTCAAGAGCTACTGCTGGAACGGCACCGTCGACAGCTCGACTCCTTCCGACTATAAGCCCGAGTTGCAGATCGATTCTTCCGAGTCTGCGGCTACTCGCGGGCAGATGAACCGTACCGCTGCGGTGATTGCCCTGGCAATGCTGTTTTTTATGACTATGTAGGGGATGTGTTTGGATGATTGGTTGGTTGGCTGGTCCCTTTATCTTCTCACTGTACTTCAAGTTACCTTTTCCTTTTTACATAGACATGACTTTCTTCTGTACATACAGTAAATTAACTTAACCATGTTCAGTTATCATGTTATAAGCTGGTATAAGAGTAGATGGTGTTCCTTGTAAGGGTCCGCCGAGTGTAAAGCCAACTATACGATAGTTGTCCCTTTACATCACAATATTAAGGTGGACTAGAGTATGACTATTTATGAAGTCTAGTTCCTTTCGACTGATCTACAAGGCCTATCTTGCTCCATAATTACTTGTTAAGAAAGGGATGCGCCGTTGCAGGGTCTGTGGCCATTGTTCGATTCTCTGCAATCATTAGGAGTTGATCTCGACTGGCTTTGTTAAGATACCTACGAAATAACAATTTGGAAAGAAGAAAGAAAGAAAGAAAAAACAAACAAACAAACAAAAGAACTCTGCCACGGATTCTACATTCTTAAGAAGTGTGCAATCTAAGAACAATTGATTTGGGTGTGTTAACAAATCTCAGTGCAAGAAATATATTCCGCCCGGTTTCACAGCATGAACACAAGACTTCTCCGCGAGAGGGTAAGCTAAAGGATAATGTGACAAAGCATGGCGTTGCACAGGAATGAAAGAAGACGGAAAGAAGAAAAAAATAATACAACATAAAAAGAGATGGGCAAAGCAGCAGCATTATCGCCCGAAATAACCACTTTTTGTTTACGCGACGAGTCTGCTTTCCTCTGAGCTTAGTTGCCGAGAAAGCAATGAACGTGTCATATTCGACTGAAGAAACGCCACAGCCTCGGTTTGATCACTTGTATCTCTTAAGACCGAGTTGGCCCTTGGATGTCTCATATTCTAGGTCTGTGACAAACGCAACATTTATATACAGGATTGAACATAAATCAAAAGCCGACGTGAATAGAATAGGCTCATTCGTTCACCAATCAATGAACATACTAAAAAGCCAAGCTTTGGAGGATGCTCAGAAGATGACCGGATAACGGTCCGGAGGATTCAACCTCAGCTGTATTGGCTGGAGTGGTGTTATTGCTAAGGCTAGATACTTGGTCGAATTCCTGCCAAATGCTTCATTTGTCTCCTTGGCTGTCGGCTAGAACTTCCCCAGTGAATTTTGCAGAGGGGTGCATAGCTCGGAGGCATCGAGGCACTGCACCGTCGGTCTCCGATTAATTAACCACCGCTTTGAACTGCGCAAGAAGTCCCCGACATGTGTTATGAAGATTTATGCAGTCAAACTGTTCACAAGGCCTTGACCTGCACCCGGGAAAAGCGGCATCAGTGCGCATACGCCTTGCCTCCTTGCCTGCTGTGATGCATCAATTATCTCCTAATGGTCGTCACACCCACCGATCGTCACGGATGCGATACGCCGACTGGATATGACGACCTAGTATGCGGGGTAACGCCAGAGGTGTTGATCACGATCCACTCGGCTCAAATGGCTTATGTTCTAGCGATCTGGCATTGGCGCATTGTGCAGCTTTGGTGCAGCTCTCTTCACGGAGGGGTATAAGTAGCCGACTAAGAGGAGAACCGGCTTGAAGGTCGCCTACATGCTAAGTTCGTCTCGTTTTCTGTCCACAGCCAGACTGGTGGCATATCAGTATGGGCAATATTCTTCATGATTTCTTTGCGGGAGGATGGCACGCTGCAGTGATGGTGCCCGGGGTGGCTATAGCGTTGGTAAGACCATGTTCAATACCTTGACAGATACAGCTGACCGGGAGTTTCGACTAGGGAATCTTCTATGTGTTCGCACTGACAGTATATAACCTCTATTTCCACCCTCTCGCGCCATTCCCGGGTCCCAAGCACTTCGCTGCATCTCGTGTCCCGTACCTGCGAGCCGTAGTAGACGGTCGATTAGCCCAAACACTCAAAGCCCTGCATGAAGAGTATGGCGAAGTGGTTCGCATAGCGCCCGACGAGCTGGCCTTCACCAACGGCGATGCGTGGAAGGCCATCTACGGCACCCGGACTGGACACGGCCAAAAGCAAAAGGACCTGCGGGTTTTTACACCTCCTCCGAACGGTCTTCCGACCATTATCCAGTCCAACGATGCGGATCATTCTCGTTTCCGAAGACTTCTGTCGCATGCGTTCTCCGAGGCTTCGCTTCGCGGACAAGAGCCCATCATAAAGGGCTACATCGATCTGCTGATCCAGCGACTCCACGAGCAGTCGAATGGCGCTCAACCGGTCGACATGGTGTCGTGGTATAACTTCACTACATTCGATATCATCGGTGACCTGACCTTCGGAAAGCCGTTCGGCTGTCTGCAAAATTCACAGTATCATCAGTGGGTCGCTGCTATCGTCGGTCACGTCAAATATGGTGCCTATGCCAATGTGTTTCGGCGCTTCCCCTCGCTCAAGGTTCTGCTGCAAATGTTCATCCCGAAGAAGGTTGCTGAGGGCAGGGAGTGGCATCTGGCTACCACTAAGAAGAAGGTGGAGGATCGATTGAAGAGCTCAAATGAGAGGCCTGATTTCTTTAGTCACATTCTGAAACATCATAACACCGAGAAGGGCATGAGCTTTGGTGAACTGCAGTCGAACGCCAGTACTCTGGTCGTGGCTGGTTCAGAGACTACTGCGACATTACTGTCGGGGGCTACCTATTACCTTCTGAAGACGCCCCGGGTGCTGGAGAAATTGCAGGATGAAGTGCGCAGCGCATTTGATTCCGACAGCGAGATTGCACTTGCGTCTTGCAACAAGCTGATCTATCTTAATGCCGTTATTAACGAGGCTTTGCGCATGTATCCTCCGGTCAGCGTCGGATTGCCCCGGATTGTAGATGCACAGGGCGATACGGTCGCCGGGGAGTGGGTGCCTCCAGGAGTAAGTGTTGTCTATTTATGGCGATGCCTAATCACAGCTAACACAGAAGAAGACAATTGTATCGGTCTCCCAAATGGCCGCATATCATTCCTCCGCCAATTTCACCGACCCTGGAAGTTTCATTCCGGAGCGATTCCTCGATGATCCTCGATTTACGAACGATAGCAAGACGGTTCTTCAACCGTTCAGCTTTGGGCCTCGGAACTGTATTGGGCGCAAGTATGGTTGATCCTATGATATCTTTAGTGCCAGAGATCTGTTGTTAATGCCACCATAGTCTGGCGTACGTTGAAATGCGTAGCATCCTGGCTCGCATGGTGTTCAACTTTGACATGCAGTTGCACGACCCCAGTGTGGCCTGGGAAGACCAGGCGAACTTTGTTCTGTGGAATAAGCCAGCTCTTCCGGTAATTCTCAAGTCAAGGTTTCCGCGGAAACAGGGGTGATGGAACGTTGGAGAGGTCAACAAATGAGAATATTCCTCCGTGAGTGCTTATTCTATGAACATGAGCTTGACTAGCTGTCTCTCGAGAGAGTTATTTTACACCCAGGACAAGAGAAGTAGAAGGATGATGGAATATTTGGTTCGAGCATTAAGTGCGGAATGGCGATCTGGTGTCATATATGAGATTGAAATTGGTTAAAATAAACGAGAACGATCATATTACTGTAGCTCCTCTAGGACTATACTATTGCGGACGTACCAAATTTCATGAGATGCGATAAGAGCTAGTACTTTAACGGTCCTTTTGCATGGAGGCATAGGTGATTCCTCTGACACGGCGCACAGAGTAAGCTTCATCAACCAATCCCCCTTACACTATGTCCTGTACAACAGTATATATATCACTTTGCTCGCCTAGAGATGGGACCTGGGCATAGAGTCGCTTCCCCGCCAAGTTTTGCAAAGCCCTTGCTCTGAACTCCCAAGGACAGGATCAAACTTTGGTTTAGGAACAGACCACACCTTTTCGAAATCCCCCCCAGTCGCAACAAAGTCCCAGTCACCTCCGCTATAAGCCCCCATCATAGTAAAACCATCCAGTCTGACCTCCGACAGGGCTTTCTTGGGATCTTCGGCTTCGATTCCGTGCCCAGTTCCCGGTGACAATAGCGCAAACTCGGCCTCGGGCTTAGTGTTGTGCGTCTTGTGTGCCACGCCGGCTGGGATGATGAACACGTCACCAGCCTCGGCTTCTAGCAGGACACCACCCTTTTCCCAGGCAGACCCGTGCGTGTTCTCGTTCAGATCGGGCGACGTGTCACCGACACCAAATCGGATGGTCGCGGTGCCGGAAAGGACGGCCATGCACTCGTGTGCTTTAGAATGATAGTGCGATACTTGTGTGTGGCTGTAGCGGAAGATCCAGTGCACATTCCATTCATTCCTCGTGAACATGTCCCAGACTTCGGCTGGATCACAGTGCGAGTTGTTGGGCCTTTTGGCTAGAACATTCTTGTAGTGCAGAAGAGGTCGGGGCGAATTCGGGATGAGATCCGTGGGTGAAAGATTGTATTGTCTTACTTCAAGAGCCATGTTGGGTTTTCCTTGTATTCAGAAGTGATTAGAATCTGGTAATGAAGACGGTCTCGGTGTTATGAAAATGCCACGATGTCGATGACAGAAGCACGTTGGCTTTTCATATTGCTTATTCTTATCAGGATCGGCAACGAAGACCGTCTATCGATCCGAGTCGGAATCTTTAGCCGACTAATGCGGGGATTTGTGATCGTGAACAGATTAGTGTGACTTCTTACTCTAGTATGACGAAGTTCGCACACAAGACAGTATATCTCTAGCAAAAGAGGCCAAGTGATTTCGTGATGCATAACCAGATTTCGGTGAGTTGCTGTTATGAGAATTGTCTGCTCGACTCTGTCGATATGTTTGGGTCTACTTTGTGAGTACCAGCGCAGTTATCGGTACACGTCTCTTTGTACAGGCGAGGTCCAGCGGCGCAACTGACAATGTAACTTGATGAACATGCTGTTGAAATTTTCGAGTGTCCGGAATGTCAAGGATCCTTACATGGCCGGCAGCAACACTCTACGTGCCTGTCATACCTTGGAGTAATTCGAAGTCATCACATCGTAGCCCATGAATCGAATCGAATCGAAGGCTTATATGATTCTCAATTCTGAACGCAAAGAAGTCCAAAAGGCTGTAGAATTCATGAGGAGTAGAGAAGGCAGTCATTGTTTTGTTGGGTCTTGATGCAGTCCAGCTAGTTATTTCACCTCGACTATCCGAATAAGATACCAGGCCATCGGCAGCAGGGCCCGATCTACGTGCTTGCTGGCTGCCAAGGTTGGCTTTCGGAAGGATATAAAAGGCGCCCTCCGATCTACTGGACTTCAGTCAGGACACTCGCTTCCTTCTTCTTCCGCATTCTTTCTGCGAGATGGCAACTTTACGAACTCCGAAAACCCCCAGGGCTGAGAATGTGATTCTTGTCTATGTTGTCCTCACTTGCAACGTTGTATCGGTGTTTCATTCCAAATTTCTTTCTTTTTACTCTTCTCCTTCCCTATGGTGTTAACTCTGGGGCTTGTCTTGACCAACCTTTCGAACAGGTATAGAAATGACATATATGGTCACAAAACAACAGATATCGGTCACCCAGTCTTAACAGAATATAGTACTCCTGTGCAAATCAGACTCATCCCAACCAGATAGTAGTCCATGAGCCGTTAGAATAAAATTCCAGATATTTCCCACCCTCCCGACCGACGTTGCTATATAGGCCATTGATCACGTGCCTCCCGGCAGACATTCCGCACTCGGGGATTTCCGGTCCTGATTCACCTTCCTCATTCTCTTCCTCTTCCTCTTTGTGCAACAACAACAACAACAACAACAACAACAAGGCTATCTCCCTGTGTCTAGAGAGTGAATAATAGTTGTTGATTTTTGTCGTGAAAGCTGACTGTCATGGCCTCTGCACTCGCCAATGACCCCGAGCGCGTCGCCAAGACCTTGCTGTCGCGACACTCGCTGGCGCTCGTCTCTTGCACTACCCTGCAGAGGCTGTGGGCGGGATACGGTCAGATTTGTGCCATCACCGCGCGCGCCACCACCGACCAGGCGGCGGATGATCTCGATAAGCTATGCGGATTGAAATCCAGTGGGATCGCTGGGACTATGTATCCGCTCATCCTAAAGCTCATCTCACCGCCGACCAAAAGTGGCGGTCATGAGGACGAAGGCCACCTGCGGAAAATCCTAAGTTACGAGGTGGAGCAGCATTTCTACTGCGAAATAGCTCCGCTGCTTGGCGACAAGACTGCCGTTGCCCAGTGCCTCGTTTCGACGCGGGATGTGCATGACGAGGAACTGGGTGGTCTGATGGCCATGATCATGGCGGATCTGCGACCCATGTTCCCGGTTGCCGGAGAGAAGAGAAGCGTGCTAAGTCGCACGCAAGTATACGGTGCTCTAGAGTGGTTGGCTGGGTTTCATGGCCGGTCATGGAGCCTACCACCCAAGGACCTCGACCGATTTGTCCTACCGCCCCTTGAAGAATCCAGGAGACGGCAATGTGCAGGCAAACAGGGCGGTAGCGCACTGTGGCTGAATGGAGGTTACACGTACCTTGCGACGCGACGGGAAGAGTATGCGTCGCTCATTGAAGATACCGACTCGGAGTGGTCGGACGCCCTGTGCACCACTCCAGAAGGGTCGTCACTGTCTATTGCCGAAATGGTTGCCCTCTTCTTGACCCCGTGTGGCAGATCGGTCGAGTCGTACATCCATGGCGATGTCAAATCGGAGAACCTCTTCACGACCACGGATGGAGAGAAGGTGGCGTTCTTTGATTTCCAATACGTCGGCCTAGGCCTGGGAGTCTGCGATCTCGCCAAACTGTTTACGTGCTCTGTCCCTCTGCATATGCTGGTTGGTGATGCAGATTCACCCGAGCAGCTGGAGATGCAGGAGAGGGAGAAGACACTCCTCCAGCGGTATCACTCGAGTCTTCTCCAGAACGAGAAGGCACCACGATATGAATGGGCAACATTCAAGCGTCACTGGGAGACTGCCCTGGTCGACTGGTGTAGGTTCCAGGCATCCTGGGGATTCTGGGGGAACACGGAGTGGCTCGAGGCTCGGGTCAGATCTATCCTGAGCGACCAGGCGTGGAGAGACTGGCTGCGTGAGAGTATCAGCAGCCGGAACTCGGCTCCCTAGGTGGATTGCCTTAATAGATTGTAGAGGAACTATACACGGACAGAATAGATATTTATTCAACGATCCAGAGAGTTGACCGAAGGCATGCAGACTTGATAGGAATGGATACCCTGTTCAAGTGCCGTCTATTTACTACTAATAACCTGGATTACATGAAGTATAGCGTCATAGCAACACTGGGTGGCTTAGAGACTAGGGCGGGCATATCGAGGCGATCGCGTCAGAGGACGAAGAAACATGAGACCCCCATCGCAGGTGAATCATCCAGGAATACAGATCGAAACCCAATCCTCCGAAAGCCTTCAGAATTGCCGTGCTGCAGAAAGATCCACCAACGACTGATGGCGCCAGAGCCACTAACGAGGCCAACCCCACCGGAATCAAGGGCCTTGTCGTCGCCTCCATTTCTCATTTCTCCGTCTGAAATCACCATCCTATCCCATCGCACCCGTCATGGCTTCCTCGACCGACACATTTACCGCCATCCCAGTGCTAGACTATAGACTGTCGACTTCGCCCGAGAGCAGGGCCACCTTCCTGGCGGAACTGCGCGATGCGCTCATCAACGTGGGGTTCTTCTATCTTATCAACACGCCGATCGCGCCCGAGGTGCGAGACGCACTGGTAGATCAAACGTTCAAGATTTTCGATCTGCCTCTGGAGAAGAAACTAGAAATTGAGATGGTCAATAATAAGCATTTTTTGGGGTATTCGCGACTGGGCGCAGAGCTCACGGCGAGGACGCCGGATTATCGCGAACAGTTCGACGTGCGTATGCATCTTATGCAGAACAATCGCACTTATGGATAGAGCGTAGCATTGACAAAGGACAGTTCGCCACCGAGTTACCTCCCCCTGGCCCAGACGAGCCTCTGTATCACAACATTCGAGGCCCTAACCAGGTATGCATTCGGCTATTTCCAAGCGACTCCATGTCTCCTTAACACTAACGGAACAGTGGCCCGACGAAGCCGCCATCCCTGGATTCCGTCACGCCGTCGAGGCGTACCTGGCAGAGGTGGCCCCAGTAGCGGATGAATTCCAGGTCTTCATCGCAGAGGCACTCGATCTTCCTCCGACGGCTTTGCACCGGTACTTCGAAACCCCGTCGCAGCAGAAAATGAAGCTGATCAAGTATCCGCCTCCGCCCGACTCGACGACCGAGTCAGAAACCCAAGGCGTGGGCGCCCACAAGGACTCGGAGTTCCTCACGTTCCTCCTGCAAGCCACGCCTCACGCCGGCCTGGAAGTCCAGAATAAAGCCGGCGAATGGATCCCCGCGCCGCCGATCGCTGACTCCCTGGTCGTCAATATCGGTCGCGCCCTGGAAGCTTTGACGGGCGGCGTTTGCACTGCCACCACGCACCGCGTAAGTCTAGCGTCCAGGAACTTTGTGAATGCGCAGGGAGAGTCGCTCGGGCCGCGGTTCTCCATCCCGGTATTCCGGGGCATGGGCTTGGATCTGTCCGCCGATAACGTCTCGCTGAAGATCCCCGCGCACGTCAAGGAGTTGATTAAAGACGAAAAGGTTCGGTCCGATGCGGAGGCCACGTTCAACGTCATGTTTCGGGGCAGGTTTGGCGAGGGTACCTTCATTCATCGGATCATGAGCCACCAGGACGTGGGGAGGAAATGGTATCCGGAGGTGCTGGCGAAGGCCTTGGGCGAGTACGAGAAATAGTACCTACAGGATACTGCATAGTCTAGTCTTGAAACCAGAGAGCTACCAGGATAGGAAGGCTTACTCCGTATGGAACGGACTAATCTCTATGCAGATTGCACTATGATAGCGATCTTCATGAATCAATTTCTTCTCGCCTGTCAGTGCCCTTGGCAGGTCGCGGTCTCTGAAACGCCGGCGGCACCTTGGGGATTCTGCACTCCTCTTCCCTGCATACCTCTCATCTAAAAGCCTTGGCTGGGGGGAAATACTCCGTCTGCAGAAAATTCTCCGGTACAAGCGAGTCTTGGAGAATACTGAGCATGCGTTGGGTGTATTGTATCTAAACAACTATTTAACCTGAAGGATCTCACTCGGGGACCAAGAGTAGAGCAGAGCCGTCCATATCCTACGTAGTCAGCCCACGCATCCAAGCTCCTTCATAATGCGATACCTCCTCTACAGTCTTCTCCTGGTGGCCCCGGGCCTCGCCGCAGACCTGTATGTCTCGCCATCTGGCTCTGACAGCGCATCAGGTGGAATCAATTCGCCGCTGAAGTCGATTCAAGCCGCCGTCGACGCGGCCACCGCTGGCACCACAATCTACCTGCGCAAGGGCACCTATTCGCCCTCGAGTAACATTCAGATCAAAAAGAAGGGTTCACCCGGAGCGGCGTATGTCGTGCGCGCTTACGAGGGTGAGAAGGTTATCATCGACGGGGAAGATCTACCGGGGTTAGTTTCCAGCTTTCGCTGCGGTTCTACATCTGACAAGATTTCTGACACGGTGGTATATTTCTAATAGCACCCCTGCTGAGGTCGGTGGCTCGCTGGCCAACAAGGATCGAGGTATCTTCCACATTCAGGACGCCGAGTACTGGGAGTTCTACGACCTCGAGTTCATCAACGGGCCGTACGGCGTGTACGCCAGGGATGCTTCGAACAATCACTACGAGCGGATAACTACCCGCGAGAACTACGAGACTGGTAGGTCCACTTCGGCACAATACGCCGATGACTGCTGACACCTTCTAGGCTTCCAGCTCGAGGGAGCCTCAGCCAACAACACGGTTCTCTATCTCGATTCGTACGGCAATCGGGATCCTCGCAAGAACGGCGAGAGTGCCGATGGATTCGCCTGCAAGGAGGGTGAGGGTGAGGGCAATGTGCTGCGAGGTGCCCGACTTTGGAACAATGTCGACGACGGACTGGACCTCTGGTATTATATCCTGCTGTTTCCCCTGCGGCCGACCGCGCTGGATCACACTGGACCGAGCTAATGGTGTCAGGGAATTCAAATCCGGCGTGACCATCGAAAACACTCTGTCTTGGGGCAATGGATATAACAGGTAAGACATGCGTCCGCCCCTGCATCCTGCAAGCTGCACAGTCCGTACCGAGTGAGACATGATCCCATAAATAGCATATAACTAACCGACATCCACCGTGGTAGATGGGGTTTCGAGCCCTTCGAAGGTGACGGCAACGGCTTCAAACTGGGCGGCGGCGACGAAGCCGACAAAGGACCGGCTAACCACGTCCTCACCAACTGCATCGCCTTCGGAAACTCGCATGACGGATTTACCGACAACTCGCAGCCTGGCGATTTCACCCTCAAGCGCAACACGGCCTGGAATAACGCTGCCATCGGCTTCCGTTCCCAGACGGCCGTATCCACGCTGACGGGCAACATTGCGGCGGCCAACGGGGAGAAGCCGACCTCTTTAAGTGACAAACAGGTTTCGAAAGGGAACTCGTGGGACGGCAGTGGCAGCTGGAGCAACAGCAGCTTTGTCAGTATCGACGTGAGTCTGGTGCAAGGGGATCGTAAGGCCGACGGAAGTATCGAGGCCAGTGATTTTTTGTTGCCAAAGTCGGGAGAAGCCCTGGGCGCCACGACGGATTGGTCTGCTTGATTAGCTTTTCCCGATTTTTCTCTTGATCTTGGCCTGATTTCTGCTGATTGACGGAGGAATTCATGGTGAATAATGACGAAGGCTGAGTTAGGGTTGCTGATGACGACGACCGCACAAGAGGGAGGGGGGAATAAGCGTTAAGTCCGTGATGACAGACAGCTCAGACAGCATAAGACCAACGTATTTCTGCCTGAATGGCCCTGAATTCTGAAAAGAGGCCAAAACCAAGGCCAGGCTTGCGCAATGCCCTAATGCAATGATGTAATGAGGTCGAATGGCACGACGAGCCAGGAAAAAGGCGCGGCGCTTTCTCCCGACCAGCGACAGGGGGGAAACGAAATGCATCAGCCTACGAAGGACATCAAACAGGCCGCTGGATCTGGCCAGAGGATTGCAGATCCACTCGGCTGTCTCTCGGCCACCGCCGGTCGTTCCATCGTGGCCAATGGAGCCCGCCGATCCAAGACGACGATGCGACTTGGCGACGCAGCGGAGAATCAGCCTTGCCCCGCTTTGCGTTGGTCCTTTTGGCGTTTCCCCGGACAAAGCGCCTATTCTTTGGGTGGCTTTGTCCGTGTCTGACGGAGGGCGACGGATGTTTGTTGTGGTCCTTGGAAGGTGGCGGTGGAGTTGCTCTCTTGCTATAAAAAGCTGTCTTTCCTCCGGAGCTCCCTTTTGCTCTCCCTCTCTCTTTCTGTCCATATATACCCTTCAACTATAATCAAAAAATACCCTCCTTGGTGTGATCATACCACCGAATCTATACCAAATACAAAATGCAGCTTCAATTCAAGTCTACGGCCCTCCTGGCCGCTGCCCTGGCCACCGTTGCCTACGCCCAGAACACCGAGGCCACCGATGTGGCCGCTCCCACTGAGAATGGCGAGCCCAACTTCAGCTTGCCCTACTTCACCGACTCTGCTACTCCCCCCGGCGGTGTTACTCTGACCGAAATCTCCGCTCCTCCCTCTGAAACCGCCACTGCGACTGCGACTGCCACCGAGTCCGGCGAGACTGCCAGCGTAACTGCCACCCAGACCTCCTCCGTGGCCACCGGCTCGACGGCCGTCAGCACCTCCACCGACGTTGTCTCTACCTCGACCGCCGTCTCGGGCTCGCAGACTGGCAGCAACTCTGCTAGCGCCACGGCTAGCGAGTCTGGCAGCGCGTCTGCCACCAACTCCGACTCATCCGCCTCTCCCACAGGCGAGGCCTCGTCCACCAGCGGCGAAGAGTCTGGCTCGGGCACTGCCTCGGCTTCTGCCTCTGCTACCGAGACTGACTCTGGCGCGGCCGGTTTCGCCGACAAGAACTGGGCTCCTTGGATGCTCGCCTGGGTTGCTGGTGTTGGTTTGGCGCTGTAAATACGTTAGGTTGTGATTTTGATGTGAATACTACTCCTACTACTGGTCGCCTTGTCATGGTGGCTGTGAAATGATTGATGGATTTAATTGGTAATGGCTGTTTTCTGCTTTGAATGTAACACCGACCGATCGCTCTTGACTTTTAGCATATGATCTCACATGAAATAGCTCCTTCGTTTGTGTCTTTACCCTTTGTCTGGACCTATTACTATGACCCAGTGAAGTAAAAGTAGCATATACTCCGTAATTGAACGGATCATCGGCCCCATTGATCTGCATTCCGTTGAAGCCTTCATATGAACGGGTTCGGCTATTGTGGACTCAACAGTACGAGACCCGAGGACGACAGTGTAGATCTCACATGGACTCGCAAACCGTGAAAATGCGTCATGATATTTCTTCCATCATCAGAGAGGGGCGACAGAATTTGGGAAATTCCCTATTATGGTGGCATCACGCCATGACGGTATAACGCCATTCTACAGCCTCTCTTGCACTCGGTATCATGTCCCTAGAAAGCAAAGCCATTCTCTCAGCCTTATTCCAGTGCCACCGTGATACAGACGAATCCCAATGGTTCCACTGTCAGCTTGTTGCATGGCTTACAAACTTTAATCGAACCCATCAGCCGTTCATAAGTCCTGATGTCCTCTCATGTTGCACGGTCAGACAACTCCAAAGTCACCTGCAATGCGGAAATTTGTTACGAGCGATCGTCCTGTCCTTTGCCTGCCTCGGTAAATCTCCGCTCTGGAGCTGCGAGCCACTGTAATGTTAGGAGAGTCCACGATAGATTAATACCAGGGACTCGTTAATTCCTACCTCTCCTGACTATATTTGGAGGGAAGGGATTCTTTCACAGACCAAAAATATCCCCTCCAGACCCATACGGAGTAACCGACCAACCGTTGCGCCGTGGAAATGAATCCCTTGATCGATGCGAACTCCGTAAGAATGGATCCGCCGTCGCAGCGATGGAGCCGTGGAATCCTCGGTTAATCTCCACGACGATCGGGCTGTTCCAGTCTTTCCAGAAGGCATCTCGCCCCTTGCAGCGTCGCAGCGCATATGAAATCATTTGTCCGACCCGAAGCTGTGTTGGAAAATGTGTTTATAGCATCTCAGTAGTCTGATTGCGGCCATTTTCACGTTCGGTTTCTCGCAGCTTCTAAATCTTACAGGCAAATTCCCTGTTCGCGACCGGTCTGATCACATTATTGCATCGTCACTTGCGACCGTGACGCCAGCCAAGAAAATAGGGTGTCTCAGGATCAGATGCTGTGCACAGGGGCTGCTTTTTGAGTCAGGGGACAGTCCCCAGCTCCGTGTCGCCAGTCGCCACAGGAGGGTAGCATTTTGGGTGAGTTTGAATATTTGGTTCTGGCTATGACTTTATCGGTCGCATTTTTTGTCAAATTTTCGGGTCTTTTAACTGATGAATTCGAGGGTTTTATTGTAATGCCCCTGGCTGGGTGGCGGTATCAAATCAAGTGCTTCTTATTCGCCTTCATTTCGTTCGGTTTTCACAATCGAAATAAATGTAGAGAGGTATTCATCACTTAGTACGGAGTAGTACACTTCCATCCAGCAATCACAATATGTCAATGTACATTTGTCTGAAGTGTAGAAATATATTTTAGCCTGGCGGTGCTTTCCCCCGAGACCCACCGATGTGTGCGGATGGCAGCAAGGGGCTTGTTGAGCCACTCGAGGTGATGACGGATGTCTGGTAGTTGGCATTCAACCTGGAGTAGTTAGGTCTTTCTCATCTGGCGTGATCATACGGAGTATAGCCGTGGAAAAGATGCCATGACCCTTGGTTGCGCTTTGCGTGTTACCGAAACTCCCCCGTTGCCCTGACAGGAGTCTGGCCAGAATTTCAAACTACTGGATAGGCACCAATACCGGCCGAATGACAATGAGTAGGCCAGAAATAAAAACCTGCGAATTTGGAGTTGTCCAGCGCAACAAACGGTGGAGCAACGAGGAGAGTGTTGGAGCTGCTAGGTAGTACATAGATTACTCTCTTTTCCAAGAACAATCGCGCTCGAAGGCCTTTCCGATGGCACCTACGCTGTTTCTGCTTAAAATCAAATTCCCCTCAAAACGTGCTACAGGCATCATCATACCAGGTACGAATGCAAGGTCGGGCTGCAGAATACGAGCCAAAAACATCCTTCGAAGCATTCGGTACTGAAAACCTCACCGACATTTACAAGCCCTATACGGGGTGCCTCTAGCTGTGTGTCTGGCAGGTCGGAAATACTGCATCGAGCAAACTGACGTACAAAAGAAGCGGTGCATTCGAGCTCCTGTCTAAAAAGCCATACATGCAACTGATATACCCGCTCTTTGCCTACCTAGTACTACCCAGTACTCAACGATGATGCTAGCTCAGTGTTTATTCCAGATGTAGTACCCACAGTGTGATGCACATCAGGATGGATACGCCTAAAAATAGGGGTGTAGTTACCGGTAGCGCGCCGCTAATCCTGTTGAAAGAAAAACACCACAGACAGTTAGAAACATAAATCCTGAACATAACGGAATCGCTATATAGTGAAGCATCTTGTTCCTGGAAACATCTGTCAGCAATCTGTAGGGTCATGCCCTGGATCAGTAGAACTCCAGCCCAGGCTGATTCTGCCTTGAGATTTGGCACTGCAACAGAGCAGCCGACAGAGTCACGCCCACAACCTTTCTGGTCACCACCTGGCTTCATACCTACTAACCCGATCAGCAGGTGATTCGCGATAGTCAAATAGCACCAGACCCAAAGAACACGATCCCCAAACGGACCCTCGAGTTAGGAGGTCTTCATCTCTTGGCTTCGGATTGATCAAACCAAGTTGACTGGCCAGCCTTGCCCTGAATGGCCCCCCTTCACCAAAATAACTCGTATTCCGGTCCCTGAGCCTCAGCCCGCTTCCCCAAGCGACCAACAAGATTCCTCCATTATGCATACTCGGATTAAGGCTATGACTCTTCAAGTTGCCCACAGTCTGGGCGTGATTTGGTTTCCCCAGGTCATAGTCGCCAGCGCAGCGGCGGAATCGCCTACATAATGAGGCAACTCCCCAAGTCGAAACGTCGGCTCTTTCGCGGTCTGCCGATATCAAGTGCGTGGGGTATACATACTAGCGCATTCATTCCAACCCATAATGGCTCCTCGACGCGGCGGCAGTTCCTCTGGTGGCTATTCGTCCGGGTCTAGCAGCCAATGTTCGGACTACGGGGCCTTTGCAACGACTATAAGCCGAATCTATATCGCCTTTCACGCGCTGTTCTTCCTCGTGTTTATCGCAGTCTTCTTCGTTACCGTTGCAAAGCACAAGCGCACCAAGAGGATCGCCAAGGCCCCATTACTTTGGTTACAGCTATTCTTCTCGATCGTTTTCGCCATTCTGTATGCTTAACCCATTCCCTTGTACCAAAATTAGAAGATGCTGTTGCTGACCATCTTGAACAGCGCGACTACCCTGAATATCATCTTCAATACGCTATCGGAGTGCGGTATCTTGATAGGAAATGAACCATACCGCGCCAACATCGCCATCACGTGGCTCGACACTCTGGCCACTTTTCTGGTCATCGTGGCAATCATGGTTCCTATCTCTCGGCGTCTGCACCACGGCAACAAAGGCATGGGAGGGTTGGTTCTCATGGTGCACTCAGCAACCCTGGGCCTGTTTGCCGTCCTTCTCATCGTCTCGCTCAGTATCAGCACACGGGTCATGGATGCGTATTCGTCCAGAACCCGATACGGCTTGTCCTATGATATTGCGGACTTGGCCGTGCATCAGCGCAGAATCTGGGTCGCTTACCATGTCTTCGGTGTCATCTGCATGCTTGTGGCCGCTGGCACAATGCTGTTTGCGTTGGTTCGGAACCCGAATTTTGGGAGGGGCGTAAGTGTTTTCACCTTTGTGATGCTCTTTGCATTTTAATCCATAGGCCAAATGTGCTGATAGGTCTAGTCACTCCGCATCAAAATCATACTGCTCATCCTCTCTTCCCTCGCCATGACTCTGCTGGGCCTGGCGGGATACGTCCACAACTCCTACGGCGCTTATTCTACCTACGGGTCGATCAAATATCTTGAGCGGTCGTACGAGGCGCAGCTTTTCTTGAAATACTTCTTCTACACCTGTGCATTTCTCAGTACCGTGATGGTGGGCAGCACGGCGGATCTGTATGGCAACCATGCGCCGCGGTTTGATAGGCAACCACCAGTTCAGCAGATGTATCAGGCGCGTGTGAACTAATCTTTGATTTGAAATACCGATGAAGTGGTCATGGTGGCTTGGGGAAAGTGGAGTGGCTATTTTGAATGTGTTACCTGAGCTTGTAGATAAGGCGACCTTTTTTGGTTCTTATATACCCAACTGTGATTTTAATTAGTGTGCAAAGGTCGTGAACTATATGAATGAATTTACGTGATCAAATAACTGTTTAAGGGCCCATGAGAATCCAACGATTTGCACAGTCCGAAAAAGGAGACATCTCCAAAGCAACACCACCCATTGGTATCTCGCGACACATCACGAAGCCACATTACTCATGCACCATCCCAACCACTTTCGCGCTCACCTTGAACTCGTATTTGTCAGTGAACCCCACCCCCATGTCGCGCGTGATGCGTAAATTCTCCGGCGGCGTGTCATGTAATTCGAGATCGAATCGTCGCACCAAGTAGGCTATCGCCAGGTAGAGTTCCGAATACGCCAAGCTGCTCGATTAGCGAGGTTTAGAGAGACAGAAAAGGAATGCATACTTAATACCGAGACATTGCCTACTGCCTTTGGTGAACGAGGTGATGTACCGTGTGAGATGTCGGTCAATTTCTCCGTTGGAGATCCATCGCTCTGGCTTGAATTCTTCGGGCTCGGGAAAGATGCTAGGGCTTCGGTGTATGAAGTATGACGAGGTGCTGACGGGGGTCTATGGTCCTTTAGTATAGGGCTTCCCGCGATTGTGAGAAAGGGACTTACCCCCGGCGGAATTGAATACTGCTCATACTGGATCACCTCTGTTGGTGCCACGCGAGGCAGTCGAATCGTGAGACCAAACGCGAGACGGAGCGCTTCGTTGACGACGCCAGTCTATTAGACTTCTTAGCATCTATTGCACGGTCTTGGAATGGATTATACCAGAGGCAGTACATACCAGGTAAGGAAGCTTCTCCAACTCGGTCCAGGTCGCTCGGCTAGTAATTGATGGGAGCGCCATCTTCAGCTCCGAGCGCAACCGTCGAGCAATCCCCTTCTCGCGATATAAATGATAAGCGGCTACTGTAATTGCTCGACTGGTGGTCTCTGTGCCGGCCGTCAGCAGCGTCATGCCCTCATCCTGCAGTCGCGGCAGGGTACGCTCCTCGGCTGGAACGCTCGGGTCATTCAAACGATCGAACATATTGCCCTGGTGCAGCTTTTCTGTATCCTTTAGAGCCTCGGTTCCAGTCTCTAGGGAATGCTTGTAGATGGCCTTCTGTATGTCAAACACCACCGCCTTTCCCGGCTGGACAAAACACATCAATTGTGCCGGAATTAGGCGCAGAATATTCGGAAACCACGAGAAGAATCGGTTGACATGAACATAAGTGGCAGCATCGTTTACCACGTCGCGGATGTGACTATCGAAGTTCTTGTCCGTCAGATAACCCCAGCTGCGCCCGTAGCAGTAATGCGTGATTATGTCCGAGGTTAACGCGGCGAAAGCATCGTCCAGGCGGATGACGGTCTGGTCTCGGTGAAATTCCTCGAGGCGATGCATGAGCTTCTGCACATGATAATCGATTATTGGAGAGAGTTCTAGCACAGACCGTTTGGAGAAGAAGTTGTTGAGGATGCTGCGCCGGAACCGGTGATGATCGTGGCCTACTGTTGCAACCATGGACAAGGGCAGACCAAAGGCCGGGACGAATTTCGGATCCTTGTCTCGTTTATGGGCGCCGCCGGAGTAGATATTGTCGTAGAACTCTGGGTCGATAATGTGCACTTCGCGATAATTGATGCGGACGATGGGACCTGTGGTGGTCAGTGGCATCCAAGAGTTTCTCTTTTGAGGCGCGTTTACCGTATTGCTTGTGCCATTTTTCTATTTGGAAGAGGAACTTCCCGCCGAGGACTATATCATAGTAGAACTCGTAGAGCTCTGTCAAGACGGACAGCCTGGGCCCGGGGATGTGGCTCAGAGGATGGAAATAGAAACGATAGATACTCCTGACAGCGAGGTACACGGCCAGAAGGCCGACAAAGGTCCAAAGAGATGACATGGACCCCAGCATAATGAGAAGTGGGCCTGGCAGACCCGAACAACTGTTTAATTTCTAAAGCTTCCTCGCAGCATTCCTTCAGAGTGGACTTTATAATGTTCCATCCCTTGCTGAAGTGGACTTCGATAGGTTGTTGTGATACGTCGGAGCATTCATGTGAGCTACATTAATCGGGCTCGTGCTCGCCTAGAAGCTCCACGTTGCGATAATCAACGCTTGGAAGTGGTTCGGCTATTTCACGTCCACCGAGAGTGTGGCTACTGTAGGCTACTGTAGGACCTATCGATTGACGATTGATACGAAGGAGAGTTAAGCCCCTCCACCATGCCATTTTACCATCCAACCACAATATTTGGCACACATGTGAGCAAGTCGCTACAATTTGCCCGGCTCCGGGATTGCAGCATAGGTAGCACACTAGCGCATGCAAGTACTGTGGTTTCTCCGCACTCTAGCATTGTTGCATCGTCGATTGGAGCAAGACAGCGTCAATGATATCATCATTAACAGCGTTTACGATGACACCACGGCCGACGATGCCTCTTCCCCTCCCTCCTCAGACAACGGATGTGCGATGCTATTGGGCCTTGGAATGTGCGATGAATCTTCAGGGCTTTCATTTGTTCGGGGCGAAAGCAGGTGCTTCCGTGCCGTGCGTCAACATGACTTAGGAGGCTTGTTAATCTATAGACCTCGGAAGGGTAACCCGTCCCGAAGAGAGTATGAGCTGGTGTCCGATAGGTGCAGTAATGGCTTGTATTGACCTCGAACTCCTTGATCCTACAAACAAACTCAATTCTCTCATAGACCGTTGGGCTATAGCGCGGATAACTACACAGAAACATCACGATTGACCGAATCAGCGGTTGCTCTCGCTTTAGCTCCTGACCTGCCACAAGACCGCAAAATGGCCCATTCCCCGGAATTGATATCTGTGTACGGGTTTAAGTTAACATGTTAGGCTGAACATATTTCTAGCCGATTAGTTGTCTGGCTAGAGGGCCGACACGCATGAGGTAAGGCCTGGCGCGTGTTTGCAGCTTGTCTGTACCGAACAGCTGCAAGATATCACGTTCCAATGTGATATAGACACAGGTGCCCTGGGTTCATTGCGCACAGACCCCTTTTAAACAAGGGATCATGTATCAGTCGTGGATGAGTAGCTGTCTTGCCACTATAACAGATCCGCTCAGAGGCAACCGTCGATGCGAACAAATTCCTCTACATGCTTCCATGCTTTCTGCGCTTACCCTCACAAAGTTAGTCTTTGTTTTCAATGATCCCGGGATTGCTGCATGAAGGTGCCTTTGACATTGAAGGCAGAAGACTGGCGATTACCATATGACTACCATAGGGTAGTATAGACCTTCCGTTCTGCTAAGGATTATCGATCATTAATCCCATCGCTCCTCTCAGAGAAGAGAACTACCGACGGGATGTTCAGCGATTGAGCGACATTGGTCTAGCCAAAACGGCCAGAAAGAATCTCATAACGGCCCTCTTGCTCTGTCCCAACTCAATCCCCCGACACTGCTAGCCGAGTGGGCGCCACCTCCTGCTTCCAACATCACCACTGACAAAGAGTAACAACCTATCGGAAACGCTCGCACCAGCATCGTAAAGTTGTGAAAGTCCTTGATGTGAGATTTAACCAGAAGCAGGTGTCTTTAATACTATATATGCCAAAGTCCAAAAAGCCGGCCGTTGCCTTCCCGACGCCATAAACTCCGGCCATTAATCTAGATGGCGGCCTCGATACAAAGAACCGTGGCGCTGTTTAAGTCAGACCCAACGAACCAGAAAGATATTCCCTGTTATGATAGAAACGCATATGGCTGGTTGAAACACGCATCCCAATCGTCACTTCCGGACTCCCAGAACGCCTCAAGAATGTCCCGGGCAGCCCCAGGGATCGGTGTTGCGAGGTCACGACCTATCTCGGTCAAAGAAGTCTCCACGAAGGTACGCATATCGGGGCTGCTGCTTTTCGCTTGTACACCGGCAACTAAAAGTGGCCAAGTTATGCATTTCCGCGCCATTTGGGAGGACAGGGTCTTCCGCAGCAGAAGGCAGAGACGACTGCCGTGGGCGGCGCGCATGGAGACAAGATCGGCGGCGTAGGGCAACACTCCCACGCTTTGTAGCGAGGAGATACAATAAATTAGGATGGCGGATTGGTAGATGCGACCGAGCAGACTCCATTCCTCGCGTGGAAATTTGCTAGTGACCACCCATTGCTCAGGCGAGAAGGCCTGGATCTGTTCGAGGAGGGTGGTGGCGCTGAGATGGATGAATTCGTCGGCGGGGTTGGAGGAGCCTTCGAGCCGCAGGTGATTGATGCGAATGATATCAAGCATCAGAGTAGGCGGGCAGCAAAGCGAGGGTGATAGACCTTCGCCGTAGGACTCGGCCATTAGATCGATGAGATCAAGGCTGGACGTGGCGGGGATTTGATTAGTTGCGGGACTGGTAGTGTTGCCCATAACTCCGATGCTAAAGGGTGTCAGCGTCCAAGAGATGACGACGGGAGGGGCGTGGAGGGAGCGGCATACATCATGAAATAAAGCAGCGAGGGTCGAAGGGCCATTGACGACCGCATGAGCTTTCGCAGGCCGCCTCGTAGAAGGATTAGCTGCGTGGCACCGGTGAGATGATACCGCCAGTATGGAGCTGCGAACTGGCGCACCTATGGTCCAAGCGTCAGCAGGGATAAATCGAGATACGCCCCTGACCAAGGGCTTTATACTGACATCTGCGAATAAGAACATCAATACGCTGAGAATGGTGGCGTCGTTGCACTGCGTCGTGGCGCTGGCGATATCCTCGCTGAGGCATCGCATAGCTTCGCCGCGATGATGATAGAGTCGTGAACGCTCCCGAGTCAGGACATCGTCTGCGTCGCTTGAGCCACACCGTTGCAGCCGGTGGCCCAGGACCAAATAGGCGATGGTGTGGCAGACGGACAATGGCATTTGGTGGAGCGCCACCATCGGGAACTGATCGAGATACGGGTTGGGCGGCAGGTCATGCATCGCCGCCACGTCGGGGTACACGCAGGTATTGACTGCCAGGGCCGCTCGTAAGTAAAAGAAGCATTCTCGGTGGCGGAGGGTATGTAAACCTACAATACAGAACAATATTGACGAAGGCGCGGGCTTCCGCTCCCAGGTCTTTGATAAAGAGCATCGGGTCCACAAGATTACCCGTTTGCGCCTGCTGGAAGATCCCCGTGCTTGGACCTCCAAATAACAAGTCAGTCGGACTCCCGATTGGCTCATCCAGACTGTCGGTTCTCGGACTCCACGTCGTACCGGAGCCGCTGCTATCAAAGCTGGCCCGACTAGCGGCCGCCGCAGCTGGTCCCGTAGGCTCGGCCATGACAGGGGCGGCCGGACCGGAGACGGGGACGTTGTTATTATCATGAAAATGGGAATTGGTATTAGGATTGTACTGCGCCGTCAGAACGGTAGCAGACGATGAACGAGAGGAACAGCTAGAGGACGAAGGAGAAGGAGCCGCATCTGGCGCCGCAACACGAGCCTTAGCCGTGCTCGACGGTGTTCCCCGATTTCGGGATTTAACCTTGCCCGGAGTAATCCACTTGAGCGGTTTGTTCCCACTGTATCCAGGACATTCGGTCCCGGCTGCACGGCACTTGTTGCAGGCCGGTCGTGCAGAGTCGCAGACAAGGCGGCGGCGTCGACACTCCCAGCATTGCCGCCGCTCCCCAGCCGGTGTCGCAGTCGTAGTCGCAGTGGCGGGCGCCATGCAGTCGGTAATAACTATTGCAAGCGTACTATATCCACTCAAGAGACAAATGACAGCGGGGGGATGATATTTAGATAGCGACCACAAGGCGGACTTGGGATGCCGTGACACCCTGCATACTCCGTTCCGTACCAACGGAGCCTGATCGAAAAGATCGCTGTCCAGTGCAGACCTGTGCAGATTGTAAGGAAGTACTAAGAACGCCAGGTCAGGGCTTGGCCAACGTTTTGCCCTCATCGAGTTAGGAGTTGTCGACGCCGAGCATTGAGGTGCAGGGCGGCGAGCCCAACGGCACGGTCATCGGCCCTTTTAAGGGGGTAGGGGTGAAAGCCTGACCTCAGCGACGGTGGCCACGATCGACTTCCCTGCGGATGCGTTCCTGGACCCAAAACAACGTTTTGCTGGAAATTCGTCGTTCCTGCGACTAAATTCTGACGCCGTCGCGCGTGGGGGGCCTGAGGAATCCACTCGCCGGTGGGGACAGCGCCGCGTATGCCCCGATCGGGCCTAGCGCGGGTCTGTCGATCGCTCTAATAATATTCAGGGTCATAAGGATACTGTGAATTTGTGTATTTCCTTCTTGGCGGTGGACGATTCCCGAGTTCATGGTTGAGCTGGACATCATGATCGGGTTGTTTCATCTGTCAGGCGGCGGCGGACATCCAAAGACACGCTGATCGCCCATCTCCCCTTCGCCGTGTTTCACCAATCTCTTAATTCCCCATACAAGGACCTCGTAACCAACAGTCGGAATAAATAGAAACAACGCTCGAGTGAATCACGCCCCCTCATGCATCAGGTTGACACCGCCGCCGCCGTGGTTGTCGTGGCCATCGTAGCGCTCAGCGTGTCGTAGTACCACAGCTGCAAGGCTGTCATGATCGCCATGATCTCCCAAGTCTCTCCCATGCTGCCATCCAGCCCGCTGCCCAGAAACTGAAACTCCAAGGCTTTCGTCATACTGGCCGACACGTTGCGCGCCAAAACCGCCACCACCTCCCGCCCGTCGCTAGCGCATCCCAGCGCGCGCTGTCGTCGATTATCGCTACCAGGACCCACGGTTCGCGATAGGCGCACCAACTTCCACCCGCATGCGGAGTGACCCGTCAGCTCCCGGGTCTCGTTGCCGCGACTGGTGCGCCATTCGAACTGCTCGCGCTGCGAGCGCTTCTGGGGGCCAGGGACGTCAACGGCGAAGGTGGGCGGCGTGCGCGTGTACGGCGTCGCGTGGTGGAGCGCCTCGACCACCGGCGGCTGCTGGGCGCGGGGGATGGTGATCGGAGACGGTCGATCGCGCATGGACTGGTCTCCCTCGATGGAGGCCAGCGTCGGGTCCTTGTCCGAGGGGCCAGCATGGAGGATCATGATCTGCTTGCTGCGCAGAAAGGTGGTGTGCGTAGAGACGGCAAACCGCTTGTCGTCGCCACTGGGGCCCAGGTGGAAGGTGTAGATGAACTTCCACTGAAAGTAGCCGTTGAGCGTTGGGGGGAAGCGGATGAGTGCGGTTTGCGTCGGGTCGGACGAGCTAGAGAAGCAAGGAGTATCGGAAAAGGGATCCTGGTCGTAACCATTGGATGCAGTATACGGGGGAGGTGCTTGGCTGAGTGTCGACCTGTCGTGCTGATCGGTCAGTGGTGGGAATCCATGCTCTGACAGGTGAGCCATTGTTAGACAAGGCGTGTGATTTGTTATCGAGAACCAAAGTGGTGAGTATCAGTACGAGGGAGTTGTGCCTATCAGAATTCTCAGCAACGCGGCGAGCAGCATTTCTCGCGGATCGCATTCGGGCCAGGAAAAGCCGGGGTTATATTCCAGCATGGGCCCCACGTCAGATAGTGGCGGATAGGGAGTCAGTATGGCAGTGCTGACCTCTAGAGTCCAAGCCACTTCTACTGGTGAGTCTTAACTGTCAATTGCTCGTGAGGCGAAGGCATCGTTCATGACCCGAACTGTTAGACTGTACGCCGTCTTCCATGCTAACCCTGTCCGGATGCATCGAGCGACACGGCTTCTAGAACGAAGGGGAAGAACGGCGACGCAGAAGATGATTTGCCCCTTTTCTCTCTGGCAGCACTCGTGGGGCAGGCCTCAGCCTTGTCTGACGGCGCTGCATCACTACTGATTTGGGAATCGGGCAGGACCCATTCACCGTGCTTGACTGGGACGGTGGGACTCTCTCACCACTCATCTCAAGAGGATGGCCAGAGGTGTGGAAGATGGAAGATGGATGGATAATCCGCCTCAAAGTCGGCCGCGCTAAAGATTTGGCGCGTCGCTTGGCCCACGCTTGGCCCGCGCTTGGCCCGTTCGGGTTGGGTGCCTGAGGCTACAAAGTGCCCGATCAGGCAGTAACCCTACAGAGGGTCGGCGGATGGCATCATCCATCAATCCACAGCACGGGCATCGTGATGGGTCAGAACGGTAGGCAGTGTCTGGCCTCATGCTCCTCCTAAAATGGGGTCATGTCGCTGCATTCACCTCTATCTTAGAGTAGCCTCTGGAACCCTAAAATGGTTCCTGGTGGACTATATAATGTGTCGTTGGTCTCTAGTCTTCCTACGGTCATTGTCCTGAACATAACCCTTAGTCAAAATGGCAAACGGAGAACCAGGTACTCGCCCCGGGTCTGTGCCAATGAAGAAAGTACTCACATCCGTCTGCAAAAGGAAGTCTATACATCTACGCCCCGAACAAATGGGCCCCGGTAAGATATGCCGTGGGCTTTGCGGCCTCGGGGCTTTTCCACACATGGCAATGTCGGTAAGTGTCGATAGGAAGATGTAGGGGGTGCAGTTGAAAGATAAATCTGACGGTCGGCGTGGTCGTTACAAGTGTTTCTAGACCACGTGGCTGCACCTGGTCTGCTGTTTCATGTTTACTGCCGGGTTTGCCCTGCGTGAATACGGCTCCTTCAACTACGTAGGCTCGGAGGACAAGACCAACCTCTACGTCTAGATTGGCAGCACATGCTTGATCTACATGGCTCCATGAGTCTTCCTCGTTTCTACGTACTTCTAAGAGTGACTAACGCCCGGAGTCCACTCCTCGAACTAGCCAACTGCCACATGCTCGGTCGCGTTCTCACCACCATCGGTATGCTCTCGGCCGTCGTCGAAGTCAGGAATGCCCTGGGAGTGTCCAACCTTGCCAACAACCGGCTCCCCGAGGACCGCCAGAAGCTTGGCCACACCCTGATGAAGACGTCACTGATCGTGCAGGTAGTCGTGCTTTTGCTTTTCTGTATCCTCGCAGGTCTGTTCCAGCATCGCTGCGCCAAAGGGAATATGAAGTCACAGCGCGTCTCCGCTCCGCTCTGGACCCTCTACGCCAGCACACTTCTAATCCTGGTCCGATGCATCTATCGCATCATTGAGCACTTTTGCATCTCATCGATTGACCGAGCGTATGCCAAGGCAGACGACCTGAGCCCGATCCTGCGATATCAGTGGTTATTCTATGTTTTCGAGGCGACCCTAATGCTCACCAATACCTTGCTGTGGAACGGGAGGCGCCCAAGACACTACCTGCCCCAGCACCGCAACATCTACCTTGCCCAGGATGGAGTAACCGAGCTCGAGGGCCCCGGATGGAAGGATAACCGAACGTTTCTAGTCATGCTTTAGCATCCATTTGGATGGCTAGATACAAAGAAGGACCAGCTTCCGTTCTGGGAGAAGAATGATTATACCAAGGTCCAGGATGATCATATTTGAACGTTCGGGCTACAGAAAGACGGAGATTATTGCGGCGTGATAAATTCGGGTGTGGGGCTTTCTTGCTTTTGTATCATATTCTCACAGACTTGATATTCGAATTCTGCGATGGTGTGTTTGGGTAGACCTGAGCGATCGAGGAACATATCGATTTCTTCCAAGTATGCATCTATGCTGTGATAATGATGGACTATGTATCTATAAGCATCCGGGTGTGAAAACGGCACTATTGCATAGCTGGTTGTGACGAGTTGCTCTACTCAGATCAAACCCTTGCCAGATATTGACATTTCATGGCTAATGAGCTGCCGTTAACTCTTTATCATGCAAAAAGCCGGTCCAAAAAAGAAAACAAAATCAAAAGAAAGAGAAGGACAAGATAAACCTTTTGCAGAGCCCAACATTACCAAACAAACGAAGAAACCATTCAATTCTAAGAAGGGGGCTTCTAAAGAAACCATAAAGGCGCCGTTAAAAAGGGATAAATTCTAAACCACTTCATCCCCGTCCCAGCGTCTAACGAGATGCGATTCGCCCAATGATCCCTTCAACACTAGGACCATCTCATCTATCGCGGCTAAGAACTTGAGATAAGCGCTTACCCCGACGCAGTACCTACGATAGTTCTCGTCTCGGACAAGCTCGGTACTCAACTGCGCTTCTCGGTGCTGCTCGTGCCATGACTCGTAGCAGCGTTTAAGCAACGGCGTGGGGAGTCGTTCCGGGAGAGGAAGCCCCAGTCGCAATCCCTGTTCAATGATACTGAGGACGCCCATGATGTCACCGATATGATAATCATCAAGGATTCCGACGGCGTGGGATAATCGACTCTGAAAGTGACCAGGGAGGGTATCTGAGAGTAACAGTAGTCGCCCTAAGGCTTGGTTCATGTCCTGACATAGACGGACCGCTTGCGAGAGGGTCTGTGAATCGAATGGACCCAGTGTCATCTCGAACCGGAGCAGCGCTATGCTCTGCTGCGCCGAGAGAAGGGTCTCAGCAACCTCCAACGAGATCTTCTCCGCAACGGCACCGACAGGCCTGGTTTTGCCCTCCCTAGCGTCAGGGTGTGCGCGTCCCCAGTGCGACAGGAGAAGAGCATAATGATCTGACAAGGTGCGTACCGTGTTAGACAGCGTCTTGCATGTGTGTCGGGTTGCTGACGGCGGACGAGGGCAGATTTGCACGACGAAAGCTGCCACAAATCCCAGCAGCACGGTGACAAGTCGCTTGTAGAAGGCTGTATATCCGTGCCCGGGCAGCCCGTACTGCGGCATGTGCGTGTCATCGTAGCTAAAGCCGAGGACAAGCATGAACGTCGCACCGCTCATGATGGCCGCCATCGTGAACACCGGTGGCAAGAAGAGACGCCACCACATAAGAACCAGCGTCATGACCGCTGTGATGGCGGCCAATCCGTACGGATTACCCGGCCCGTTTCCCGACCCGATATACCAGGCCGCCATGCCCAGGACACCGCCGACCACGGTACCCACCGTGCGGCCGACCAGGGAGACGGTAAAGTCGGCCATATAGACTAGTAGCGTGGTTTGCGCCGTGATGAGACCCCATATGCCCTTTTCGCGGTAATAGAAGCCCGCCGTGTGCGGAAGGGACCCGGGGATTGCAGTCGCGATGGTCACCACCACCATGCGCAGGGCGTACATCCCGCCAGCGTTGGTCAGCCACTGATAGATTGCGACGATGACCCGCGTGAGAAGGCTGTGTCGGATTGGTCTTCCGTGGCCCCGGCTGATACGTAGGTCGGCGATGTACTTCTTCCGTCTGCTCCGCCACGAGGTCTGGATCGCTTCCTCCGTTGGCCGGTAGATCGGGTGCCGGGGCTGGGTGACGCCGATTCACCAGCCAGGAGAAGGCATGCCGGAGACGTGACGGCAGCCAGAGTCGGAGTTTGGTGCGATCTTGCAGCAAGCGCGTGACATGCAGCAGCAAATCCTCGATGGCTTCTGCGGCACCGAGGATGCGCTCTTCGACGACCATCCCGAGAACAAGACCTCGAAGAGAATGAGGGCCTAGTTGATCACGACTCTTGAGCTGCCCAGTGGCGTCAAACATCTCTGCATGGCTTTCCAGTAGGCGCGCTGTGGTTTCTGTCCGGGACCTTTCTCGTGATGATTCAAGGCTGCTCCGAAGACTCTGGCCCCGAGTGATCAGGTGAGTGATTCGATCTAAAGACGTGCGACGAAGCCAACGTTCCGAGTTCACGGTGTGGATAATCTGGCCCACCCAGCTGAGCGACTCCGAGGAAAGATGTAACATCTCGGCGGTCGAGGCCTGTAAGGCGTCGCGAGTATGTGCGCGAATATCTGCCTCCTCCGGGCTCCGCAGTGCTTGCATGAGATAGGCGCTTTCCTGTAGTTGATGGCGACCGACGCGCGGTGGCTTTTCCCCGGGAGCGATGTTAGGACCTTCGACCGAGGGTCGAGGCATCTTCTCTAGCTGTTTGTCGGTTCTGATATGTGATATGTGGAAATCTAGCAGCGAGAGGCCGGCAACCATGGCGCGCCGCAAGGGCTGGTATAATGACTTGACATCCTCGGGACTCCATCGGCCCCAGGATACATCTACCGGAAGGAACGCGAGCGCTGGCTCGGTGGCTTTGAAGAGTGCTATAGTGCTCGCTTTGGATGCCTCGAGCTCGCCCAGGTCAACCGCTCTCCCCGAGAAACGCGAGCGAGTGCATTGCAGTGGCTTCTCGCTCATGCTCACCAGTTGCTGCGTCTTCGCCAAGACGGCACTCGATGCCGACTGCGCGAAGAAGACGACATTGCAGGCGACACCCACACCAATGCCAATGGCTCCTGGCTCGACCAGGACCCTGGGCAGAAGCGCCGAGAATGATGGAAGGATGGGCCCAAACACTAGGAATAAATCCACGATAATGACGCCGAATATCTGGGCCAGCGCGAACTTTTGGTTGGCGACGCGGAGTCGTGAGACGGTGTACACGAATAGACAGATCATGACGTAAAATACTACGGTCACTCGCGCATCCAGCATGAACCCATCGTACACAGCCCTCTGGGTCAAGAATGACGCCGGCAGGCCGGATTGTTGAGCGTCCGCGGCAACCTGCTGTTGCAGCGCTTGCAGACGAGCCTGTGTCTGCTCATTTGGTCGCGCCGCAAGAGCACCTTTCATGGTTAAAAGGCCCCATGCCCAGGCGAGGCACATGCCAAATAGGAGGGATAGGGAGGCTAGCAGGTACACGAATAAGATGCCGCCCGGGGGTACGATGTACAGCACCAGACCGGCGAAGAAGGTGGCGATTCCGATCCTATGCAAGGCAGGGCCGATGACAATCAACAGCGATGCGACCCATGCGGCGGCCCAGCAGCGGAAGAGCACTTTGAGGTCGCGCGCATTGAAATGATCCAGCCATGCCGGTAGTGCAATCCGGCGACGTGCGATCTCTTTGTTCGTCGAGTCTTCCAACGGCTCGGCCGAAAACCGGGGGGTTGACATGGCGATACGACGAACGGTGGGAAGCTTCCGAAATACTAGGCGAGGGATGTCGCTTTGGGCAATTGACGATCATTGATCTGATCCGTGGAATGGAATGCTCGGTCCAGCGTTGATCCTCGGCCCGAGTCGGCGTCAGGGTCGCCTACTATCGACCATCTCCAGCTGGAGCAACTGGAGGACGGACCTCACTTCCAATCGCCGCTTGTTAGGAACTTGCTATCGCATCCTGGAGCACCTCTTAACGCTTAAAGAGTGCTGGTTCGATGTCATTTCGAGTCTGAACGGGACCTTCCTCATCCCCGTATCATGGCGGGTTTATCTATCCCTTGTTGGACCCAGCACCAGAAAGCCACCCGCTAGTCCAAAGACCATCGCACACAATGGCAAGAAAGGGAGACCGAGTCTCTCCAACCGGAGCGCGAGGACAAAGAGACTAGATGAAAGGGGAGTTTGCAGTCATCCGCGGTGGCAAGGTGACTGACCATTCACGGGATCGTCTGTATTTGCGCTCCTGGGATAGGGTACAAAGCAAAAAAGTTTATGCGCCATGCAATGAAGGAGCGAGGAAAAGGAACCTTCATGGGGTTGGGGTGTCTTTGATGGAAGCTACAGGCTCAGACGGGTCGAGGTTTTTAGCTATATAAAGGCCGTTGCCTCCCTCCCTATTCTCTCTCTCCGCTGAGCAAGCATCCACCCACATCATCCCGTGCACTCATATTCCATAACCAATATGCCTGAAGTTAGCTTTCCGTGCGAGGTGGGATCCGAGTTGGAGGCCTACGTGGCACGTCTTCTCGACGAGGCCGGAGTGCCGAATTTCATATGGGCCGAGCCGGCTCTCTCCATTTTAGGGGTCGACACCGTCTCTTTTGTAAGTAACTAACTATCCATGATAAGATTTGGCTATGCAGCCAGTCTAGCTAACGCAATCTGTAGTTCAGCGGATGGGTCGTCCCCGACGAATGTATTGAAAAGGCGGCGCAAGCTCTCGACGCAGCGAACTTCCCGCCCTGCAGGCAGGGCCGCGATGGATGCAGCGTCTTCTGGGAGCGACGAGCTCATCCCTATCCCGATCATCACTGGCACACCGATCTATTCTATCCACCGAGGCTATCTCCTCCTGGGGGTGCCGCGATGACCTGCGGGGTCTTCCTCTATCGCAAGTCGAGGCTGTTTTGGTCGTTCCCCGACCCCCCAATCGGTCGCCCTGCCCCGGACGATCCCTATTATATGCTCACAGATGATTCCCGCATCGAGATGGGGGCCAGAAGCTCTAGGGGTCCCCAGTATAATATCTGGTATCCCGTGAAGATGCCCACCCCCGGCCGTTACATAGAAGCCATGTTCCGACTGGCGCTCCGAGACTTCGAGGGCGTGATTCTGTACTGCCATTGGCTCGATGAGATCGATTACCTGGCGGGGTATCTGATTGAACCAGGTAGGACGCTGAAACTGGAGGATATCGTCGAGCCGTTCCGGGAATGGGCCCGACGACTGGCATTTGGCCGGTATGCCGAACGAAAGGGCGATCTGAACGCCAAGAAGATCCAAAGCGAGATCTTTGTTGAGATGGCGAGAAACAAGCAGATCCCCCCAGTGGATGATGTGCGTTTCGACTCCTGGGCGTCTTTGGACGACCTCCTGGGGCAGTACAGCCTCCCCTGTGATCCGGAATGGTCAACTCCGGAAGAGAAGAAGGTATACTGGAACCGACCACAGGATCGGCGACGGCGTTGATTGTTTTTGATTGCACTGTTGATAATGCGACAGAAAATGCAATAACCGGTTTGAAGATTCTATAGAGAATAATTAGCTGTCTGTTGTGCTATTGGCGTTACTCTTAGTAGAGGTAATGTAAGAAATTTTTCTAGGAAGGTTTGGATGCAGAGTATTTCATCCCATGTTGTTATCGTCATACTCCCCAGCGTAATTACTTTGACCACCCTTTACTTCCTTCCAGAGCTAGGGATGAGTAAGACGTTAGATTAGATGTATTGTCCAGATGTACAGAGATTTACCTTGCCTCATTACTAGTAAGATGGCAATAAGAGAGGGAATGTTAATCCTGCGAACAATAAAATCTAAAGAATACGAAGGCAAGCACTGCTTAACACGGTAGACTGCAGACCCCTTTTGCGCACTTTTCCTGGTTACGGTATGCTGTTATAGCCGATAGTGTAGGTTTCCTGCGTTAATCGGTAGAGACCTTTATATATGAAGGGATTCTATAGTAGTCGTCTTAACTTATATAGGAGAGTTAACTATCTTGATACAGGGATAAAACTGATGAAGTCCTAGCTCTAATAATCTATAAAGATAAATATAATAGTAGAAAACGTTTAAAAAACGATACCTTAATATAGAAAAGAGTACACTATCTTATCTCTTATTCTACTATACTTTAATAACCTCTTTATGAAGCTCTAACATAGTCAGCATACTATTTGTTCAAATAAGGTACTCCCACCGCGCCGAAGGCGCGGTCTACACGTCTTGTATGACTACGTATCCCTTGTGTGACGCCAGTATAAGGCCTTTTACCTACCAAGGCAAGGCATGTATCAAAACCAAGACGCTACAAGGCCGTAAGGTCAGTCTAACGGAACGTTTCCGTGACTTCATCAATGCCCTAGAATGGGAAGTACTGATTGTCAACGACTGGCCCCTCATTCCTTTGTTGCACGTACACGGCAAGTTCAGAGGCCTGCGTTGAGTCCAATGAAGACTTCGGACGAATAAAGAGCGAATAGGCAGGACTCCCGAGAGAACTAGATGAATGTAAAGCTTTGTTCTAACCATGGTCAAACCACGGCTAAGGAGCCACATGAAAGGATCTGGGCTGCCTTGTCCGTCAGCTGTTCTTGGAGGAATAAGGTATTGTCTACACTGGGAGTTGATTCGTTCTATGAGCTGAATGAGAGGGGAACTTTCAAGTTGTCACTGGTCGTTTTGACAGAAGCCCACAGCGTCTCATGATAGACAGGCGTCGGCATCAACTATAAAAGGGGGTTGGCCCCCGCAGTTCGTCTTGACATCTGACACACACATCCGTATCAACCCGAACTTCCAGCATGACTGAGATAGCATTTCCCATTTCGATCGGCCCAGAACTGGAGTCTTATGTCGCTAAGCTTCTTGATCAGGCCGGCATCCCGAATTTTATCTGGGGAGACCCAGTTCTGGACATTCTGGGCACTCCCTCTCTACCCCCTGTACGACCTTCCACCACCCTCCCCTTTATTCCGTGCATCAACGAACTCAGCTAACTGGTGAGCAAGTATTCTGGATGGGCGATCCCCGACCACTGCATCGAAGCCGCAGCTAAGACGCTCGACGAGGCCAACTTCCCACCCTGTACGCAGGGTCGCGATTGTACGGTCTTCCAGATGATCAGCAATCCATACCCGGACTACCATTAGCATACTGACCATTTCTACCCTACCGAGCCACAGTACTGGACATGCGGCGTTTTCCTCTACCGGAAGTCAAGGCTCTTCTGGAAGTTCCCCGACCCTCCCATTGGTCCTCCTGGCTCCGACAATCCTTACTATATGCTGACGTCCAGCCCGCGTATCAGAAACCTCAATCCCGCTGCCAGAGGACGGCAGTCGGACGACCCAGCCTTTTATCCGGTGAAAATGCCAACTCCGGCTCGGTACCTGGAGGCTATGTTCTTACTCGACCTTCGTGATTTGGAGGGAACGAGAACGTCCGTTCATTGGCAAATCGAGCAGAATTACATCATAAACGACCATGAATCGAATGTCGACTTCAACGAGCTCGTGGAGCCGTTCCGACAATGGGCGGAGATAGGGTGGGACGAGAAAGCAGACGACCCGGCAGGACATAGGTTAAAACACGAGATCTATGTCGAGATGAAAAGAAAAAATCAGCTACCACCCGCAGAAGAGCCGGGGTCTGACTGGGGCTGCAGGCCTCTGGAAGAACGCCTCCGGGAATGCAATGTTTCGAGGGACTAGACTGGAAGCCGGTTTACCTCTCCGGTACCTTTGCTCTGCGTTTCCTGTGTCTGTATCTGCTGGTCTTGTGGCTCTTCTATCGGGCCCATGTTAGGTTCCTCACTTGCCTTGACTCTACCTCACTGAATACATTAGAGACTGGCCAAAATATGATGTAGATGTACGAGACTCACGTTGTGGGTTGACACGAGCTCACAATGAGTAATACCGTAGGCAGCCTGAAGACCATCTGTCGGGGGCATTTGAAGAGGCAGTAGAGTACGAATGGCAGAGAAAGGCCAAAACAGAGGCAGAATGAGGGGCTATCTGGGGGTGGGAGCTGTCAGATGTGGGCAAAGGTTGAAAATCTATGGTAGAGTAGAGAGTCAGGAAGATAGGCGATGAGTGACTACAGAGCACAGAGAATGGAACAATCCGAGGTCCCACTAAAACCGTCATACATTTCTATAAACATCAAACATATTGAACAGCCGAGAGTTACTGAAAGACGAAAAATCAAAAAGGAACAGAAAACAAACATGAGGAACCAATGCAAACCTTCGACCTTTGAATATGGTAGCGCACTTGCCCACATCTGTCCGGTTACAAGCTCGGGTCCGTATTCGATCAGATATGGTCTGGCATGTCGGAGGCAGTCTGCTTGACACTGCATGAGGAGGGGTCCGGTTGTAAATGATCGAAGTAGGCACCAAACATCACGCGAATCTTTCCTTCTCTTGTCCACCTGCGCACGGAAAGGGCAGTAAAAGGCCTTGAGGCCCATGAGGTCCAAAGGGTTTGCAACGGGGATTGCACTGGGGCTGGCTCTGGTAATTGGCCGCATTCCCTCTGGGCGGTACGGGAGCTGGATTCATTCTGGGGTCAGCCAAGAGGCCTTGCAAGAGCATGGCAAAGTGGTGTCAGGCAAACCTACGATGCTGATGGGGAGCAGGTCCACTTGAATGCTCCGTCTTCCAGGAACTCGGAAGAGTAGCGCCTCCGTGTCCCTTTCAAAAACGTCGGCGCGGTGGTTTTTCAATTCGAGGGTGATCTTTTCCGCCATGTCGGGTGGGGACACCGCGAAATCAATGTCCTGCATGGGTTGGTTAGCTGAGGATGGTTGGAAAGGTGGAATGAGTCGTTCGTACGTCGGTAGTCCGGTGGTTGGTGTGAGACGTGACCGCTAGGCCACCGATGAGGATGATCTCGGCGTCCTCAAAGCCATCGAGCTCTCTCAGGGCCTGCGTCCGTTTGAGTACGGTGATGAACCGACTCGCCGCAGCTCGTAGTTGGGCATTGTGCACGTTGATGTTGACGACGGTGTTGCTGTACATGGTGTGATGGGGAGGTTTGGTTCAAATGGTGAAAACTGGACGGACTGACCGCTGGTTGGAATGAACAATCAAAGACAAAAGACAGGAGGGGCAATTGAAGGGCGGGGTAAGTGTAGGAGACGATTAGAAACGAACAAGGAAGTTTTGGAGATGATGGAAAATGGATGAAGCTGGGTGCTCCTCCGGCATTCTTATGTACCTGCTCAGAGGACGGATTACATACCATCCAACCTCCACAATTTGTCTCGTTTCCTTGTGGACGTAGGCCGCCAATGGGACCGTCGATTCCCATAGAGCGCCCATTTGCTGCATTGTACATTCTGGATAGCCAATCGAATGGTCACCGGCCCTTCTAGAAAGACGCAATCGTGGCATGGAACAAGGAGAAAGCAAGACAGGGTGGGCCACAGGCTTCATCCTCAAACCGGCCAGCATTTCTCTCCGGGGAATTCGTTTGTCTGCAATCGGAGGAGGTAGGCGGAGACGGAGGGGGTTCCAATCGCGAAGGCAGTCCAGGCGCAGGGGACCAGGGCGTAACCCAAATTGCAATTCTAGATCATTCGGCCAACGGACGACAAACAATGGGAGGGCGATGCGGATCAGGGTGCGAAGGGGGAAGGGCGCAAGAGAGTTTATTGCGAACGAAACAGTAAGCGATCCGAGCTAGAGGGTTCTAGATACGGGCAGTTAGGAACAAGGCCGTTAAACGGACGGGACCTGACAGACATACCATCAAGATAGACATGACGTGGCTCTCAACGGGGGTCATTTCAGAGACTGGTTGAGGCTCTCCAGTTGGAACAGTGAGTCCAGCAATGCTCCCATGAACGAACGAGTTCCCATATGCCGCAACATACTTGTCGTCCAGGTCTTGAAACCAATATCTTGACTTGGTTGCCAGACAAGACTGCTTGGTCCACTCGCCTGAACAGCTCGCAAGATTCAGTCCAACAACAGAGGACGGGGCAAAATCATGGAAGATAGCTACTCCGTCTGGTCAGCTGGTGGACCCTGAGACACAAAGCGCCATCAATCGATGGACCCCGATGGCGCCGGCCCGACGTGCCCAATCTTGCTGGCGATGATCCCTACTGTGCCTACTCCGTATTCTGAGACCCAGTAAGATCTAGTAGCGAGCATCCCGGCTAGGAACTACTCCAGGAGGACCGGTGGATCGGCAACGGACGTGGAGGGACGACAGATGATGCTCTACGACATGAAGGCGCAATTCCCGTCTCTCTGTCAAAGTCGTCTCACTGTCTCTCCCTGTGTCTCTCTTCCCCTATTCTCGTCCAACATGGCCAAATCTCGTGTTCTCCTTGTGGGAAGTGGAGACATCGGGACCGTTGCGGCGCTCAATCTTGAGGCAGGGAACGGCGCAAATGTGACCTGTGTCCTGCGATCTAATCATGCTGCTGTCCCACAGAAGGGGTTCGCCGTTTAGTCGTGCGACCATGGTACCGTCACCAATTGGCGGCCTACGCAGAGTATCCCGGATTCCCTCAGTCTGCATCTCACAGATCCTGCGCTAACTGCAGCCAGTTCTCCATGCAGTGCCCCGTCATCCGTCACCACCGTTCGATTATAATGTCTGTTGCACCAGGAACATCCCCGACGCGCCCCCTTCGCTGTGCGACCTAATCGCTCCGGCCATGACCCCCAGGGGCAGACGGTGATCGTGCTGATCCAGGACGGAATCAACATCGAACCAACCGCTGACGACACAATTCCCGAACAACCTCGTGCTCTCTGGCGTCAGTCGAGCTGACGCCCACGAGATCGCCCCCGGCGTCATTCAGCATAAGCAGCCGGACTCTCTGGACGTCGGAGCGTTTCCTCGCCCTTCGATACCGGTTGCTGAGCAGGAACACGTCGCGAGGAATCTCGTTCGCATCTATTCCGCCAGCGGCAAGACCTACCACCGATACGACGCGAGTGTTGCGCTCAACCGATGGCGAAAGCTCGTCTGCAATACCTGTCTGGATCCCATCTCCACCTTGGCTGGCCTGGACACCGGGACGCTACAGCTCGATCACCGGAGTATGGAGACTCTGGTGAAGCCAGACATGCTCGAGGTCAGCCAGGTGGCTGCGACCTTAGGCCATCACTTTCCGGGCAATATCATCGACACGATGATCGCCAGCAATTATGTGGAGCGCCGAATCTCGCTGGGTATGTTGCTGGAATTGCGCAAGGTAAGGCTGCCGGCTGGCTTGTTCTGCGCACAACGGATCGCATGCTCACCCCATTCACCAGGGCAATTCCATCGAGCACGAAAACCTTCCAGGCGAAGTGGTGCGCGAAGCCAACTATACACTGTCTGCTCCACGTTGCCCGTGATGACTCCCGGTCGCACGATCCACACCGACTTGATGCCGGTTTCTTTGGGTTGCACGCTGTTCGTAGCACTTGGACAGGCATGTCATTACATTCTCGTCGCACGGCCAATACCATGTAGTCGCCGTTGCAGATGTCAGGTTCTAAGAGCCAATATCCTGCACCCTCAGCACCAGGTCGAGCGACACCTCGGTAAACTGGCCGTGCTTGTCTTGGTACCTGATCTCCGCTCAAGATTGGCACGGACGACGGGCTCATAAAGCATCAAGATTAGGCTTCATGCGTCCACGATATTGAGGCAATTGGCTGGTGCCCTGGGGTTTGCCGACCTTTTTTCCTTCGCTTGCCGTGGACGCCGGCAGACACGGCGTTGTCCCGGGAATAGGTTGCACAACGTTGAGAAGGTCCAAGGGAGGAGCGAGCCCGGGCGTTATATTCTGCTGTTCACGTTCTTGTTGGTGGAAGATATGCAGGATGTGCCTGTCCGAGCAGGCGGCCTGGCGTTGGGTCAGGACGTGCTGAAGGGCGATCAGCATGACCTCTTCCCAGGATGCCGTACAGGTCGAAGGTGAGCAGCCGGTGGTTGCCGAGTCGAGCCAGGATCGATATAACCGGATCGACCCCTTTGGCTGGAAGGCGAATGCTGTCCCCGCGAGGGAAGGGTGGGGGTTCTGGCCTGGTACATACACTAAGGCGCTGATCGACTTGGCCTGATCGGTTCCCCACGCTTGGCCAGTGAGAGAGAGTGAGAGAGAGAGACAGAGTCACCGCCTATTGTCTGCCCAGTGAGACCCTCCAGCCATGCTCGGTAAACCTGATTGGGAGGTTGTGTCGTTATTCCCGTAGTGGCAGCGCAGTCCTTGATGCCGACAACCGACTAGGTCGATGCCTCGGCTGTGCCATGCGGAGAATCTTAAATGTGCCATTCATTCGGCCACGATGGAGATCAGGAGACAAGTTCTAAGCACACCTGCCACCCATGTCCGAACAAACACCCTCCAGTCCGGCCATCCTCCGTCCTCAACGTTCACTTACGGGCCGCGTCGCCATCGTCACGGGCGCCGGCGCTGCAGGCGATGGTATTGGCAATGGCCGCGCAGCCGCCATTCTGCTGGCCGAAGACGGATGCACCGTGGTCTGTGTTGACCTTCAACTCCCCCTAGCGGACCACACCGTCCAGATGATCGCACGCGAAGGCAAGGGCCTGGGAATCGCCGTTCAGGCCGATGTTACCGTTGTGGCCGACTGCCAGAGAGTGGTGCAAACAGCGATCGACCAATTTGGCCGCGTGGACATCCTCTTCAATTGTGTCGGCGTCGGCGGGGCGACCGGGACGGCCGAGACAGTCGATATGGAGGCTTGGGCACAGGGGTTACATCTGAACGTCTCCAGCATGGTGATGATGGTCAAGTACGTGGTGCCCGAGATGCGCAAGAACGACGCCGCGATCGGGTATCGAGGAAGTATTGTGAACATGGGCAGCGTGGCCGGCCTCCAGGGTGGTACGCCTCGTTTGCTCTATCCTACGAGCAAAGGGGCCATCGTCAACATGACCAGGGCCATGGCGGCGCATCATGCAAGAGACGGGATCCGCGTGAACTGCGTGTGTCCCGGCATGGTGTATACGCCCATGATGTATGCCAAGGGCATGAGTGAGGAAGCCCGACAGGCGCGCAGGAATCGCAGTCTGCTCAAAACCGAAGGCAACGGATGGGATATCGGCGCCGCCGTGCGCTTCCTGGCCGGGGATCAGGCTCGATGGATGACGGGTGTTGTCCTGCCTGTGGATGGAGGAACTACGGCGGCCGTTGGGACGGACCTTCCAGCGTCTGCGAGCGTGAATGGATGATAGATTGATTTACAAGCGCTTCAATATCATTGGCTTCGACGAGGCCTCGAGTGTTGAAAGGAGTCTAGCAAGTTACATGTGCCGTTCCACTGCGTGCGTTCCCCAGAGCAAAAGACGAAGAGGCGCTACCATACGGCCAACACAGCGACTCCCCAGGCCGCCATTTCTATCGTGTAATTTCCCGTCTGGCTCGACAGGTTGTGGACCCGGGGCTGAATTGTCACATTGTGCGGCAGATTGCTGGCGTCGCGAGGGCCCGTCAGCGTCTCCAGTCTCCCCGATCCAGTGTCCGGCACGCTGACATGGACCGTCTGATCGTCCTCGCCGTAGTTGGCCAACTTCACGTAGTACGTGCCGTTCGCCCTCGAAGAAGCCCAGTATAAAGGCCCGAAGTCCGCCGTGGAGTTGACGGGCAGTACGGTCGTTCCCCGGTTGGTGGAGAACATCTTCTGCACGTAGTACGACGTCGACGGCGTGATGGATCCGGGGCTGGAGTCAAATCCGTACAACGTTGGCTGGACTCGGTCAATATCCATGAAGGACGTGAATCCTGCATCCCACTCTTTCTTCGGGTCTAACTCACCGACCACTGGGTAAAGCCGAAATGCTGCAGCAGAGGCGTGTAGGCCGACATCTTGATCACGTCGGCGTTGCGCTCCATTCCAATCATATGCACGGCCTCGCTGCAGCTACATTGCACGAAGGACCAGTACACTCCGCGCTCCTCGGTGGTATTCCGACATCCCCATTCTCCCACAATGATGGGCTCAGATCGCGGCCAGTTATCCCACTCGTTAAACGTATCCACCAGCTCGTCCGGCTTGCGATAGTAGTGATGGTCGTACATGATGCCCGGCGGCGGCGTCAGCGGCAGGCAGGTCTTGTCAATGGTCGACGCGATGATGGCGATGTGTGGATACTCACGGATGATTGCATCGTAGATCTGTGTGAAGCGATCGGGGTAGGACTCGCATCCCCCGGTGTAATCATCCTCGTTTCCAATCTCGATATACCGCACCGGCCAGGGCTCCTCTCGTCCATTCGCGGCGCGCATCCTGCCGTACGTGCTGTTGGAAGGGCCGAGCAGATACTGGGCGAGTGAGCGGACCACTCTTTATGACAGCTGTGCGACACCTACCTCGAGTTCGTTCATGATGTCGTCCACGTACGGTTGAAGGTCAGATCCAACCAAGATGCCCCCGTACGATTTGCCGTCCCAGACAGCCAGCACCGGCTCCATGCCCATGTCTTCACACCACCAGAGATAGTCATCCAGTCCTGGGTTATTAGCGTAGGTCTGACAATCCGGCGTGCAGGCGCAACTTACCTAACGCGTCGGTGTTGGGGTAGAACCAGTCACCTTGAGATCTTAGTGACATCTGATCCCTCCAAGGGAATGCAGTCTCACTTACTGTCTCTTCCTGGTCGATCGACTGCCGGACCGATCGTACGATTCCAGGCCCATCGGCTGTCAATCTCCAGTCCCTCGCTGCGAACGTTAGCCCGTATTCACCAGTCGCCGTGACAGAATATGGTCCTTACAGATTATTACCTCCGGGAAACCTCAAAAACGACGGTTTGATCGCCTCCAGCACTGTCGCCAGGTCGTTTCGCAAGCCATTGGCTCTGCAATGGTCAACGAAAAGCCCGACGAGAACCTCAAGACCTTACCTGTCATGATACGTCGGCGGGAACAGCTGCACCAGGCCAAAATTCAGGGACATCCCTGGGACCTTCGAGCCGTCAAACAAGAGTCGAAACTCGTTGTCGCCGTCGGGGGAAGCGGTGGCATTGAAGGCTGCCTCGTACCAGGTGAATCGTCGCCAGGTGCTGTTCGTCGTGATGCCATGCGACGCAAAGACAGTTCCGCTGGATGTTCCCACCAGCTGCAGCGTGACGCGGCCGGAGTATTCGCCCTTCATCCAGAATTCACATCGGTAGGTCGCGTTCATCACTGGCACGCCCTGGTAGCCTCCGTTGGCAAAACCGACGAGCTCGGTCTCTTCCGGCGATACCTGCACCTGCAGAGTCGAGAGGATGGCGCTGCTGAGAGGATTGGCCTCGTCTTGCAAAATATCCACGTCGCCGATAGCCCAGTAGGCCGTCAGTCCCGGGTTGGAGCCCTGGAAGCCGTTGTTTTGCAGCAATTGTCCGTGAATTCCGCCGTCGCCTGTCGTCCTTCAGCTGTCAGCTGGCATTTCCTATTCTGCGAGGAAGCATACCGGAGTGATCCATTTCCTTTTGAGTCCAACAGTCAGCGCCGGTCTTGGAGTAGCAGGCGGATCTCTCACCTCAAACATGATGCCGTACAGCAGCGGACTCGTGTGATTGCCGCCATCCTTCTGCACGTTCAGCACAACTGAGGCAGGAGACTGGGAGTCGCTATCGTCCGGCGCGCAAAGAGCTGTCTGAAGCAACTGCAGCCCGGACAGAGCCACGGCGCGGTTCCATATCTGCGAGAGCTTCATCTTAAGTCAGGAGTGTGAGCAAGTGCAGAATCATGGTCGTGCCAATCTCTGTCGGTTACCAGTTCTCTCGCACTGGTGGTAGCTTGCGTCATCCTCTGTCGAGTGAATATTGTTGCCAACTCCGAGGGCCGATCAGGAATGATCTCTTCACTACTCAGTAAGTCAAGTGCTGCCATACGGTGGAACTGGTCCTGATGAATGACATCATGACCCAGGAATAGCTGGGTGAAGCCCACAGGAGATGGCTCGTCCTTCCCTTCTTCTGTCATATACTTGGATATTTGCTGCGAATTGAAATGGATTGCTCGGATCGTTGCTCAGTACCAGCGAGCGAAGTGGTCATTGTTCAAAATGCTGGATTTCCCGTAGGAAGTATATACTTACGACAGGCCTCACTTCTCCACCACCACCACCACAACTCCCCTCCAACCTACTCACACACTCCCAGAGCCTCGCATGTTTGTAAGTTTACCACCCCACCCTGCTCGCTGCTCGGAATTTGTCATCCCAACGACAATCGCGTTCAACGACGGATGCCTGAGGCCGCGGGTATACTTCCCCGGTGCCAAAAAGCTTCACCATCACTCTGCGCGGTCGCATCTGCCCAATTTCACTCTGATAACGTTTTACTTGTTTCGATGATCTCAATTATCGCTCTGGAATATCAGATTTCACGCTCATGTCAAACATCCTAATCACCAGACACGCCCACCAAGACAAATCGTCGGACTCGAGCCGACACCGTCAGGCCATGTCTCGACGCGCGCAAATTACTGCCTGCCAGGCAATGCACTCCTCCAATTTGGCCGAGCTGCGAATCTCATTTGTCGCGGGAAAAACCTGCCTTGGATCTTGTATTTATCAGCAGCAGCAGCGACGACAGGGCTGTCATTTCGTTGATTTCTAAGCACCGCCCTAGCCAGGGGAAGGATTACTTCATCTATGGCTCGCTACTGCGCGAGCCTACTGCGTATATAGGGGGTCAATGACCCCTAGACTCTACCAGTTTCCTGCAATGACGCCACTATCGATCCGACTCCTTTCACGAACGAGAATGGCGCCAATTCGCGTGGGTTTGATCGGACTGCCTGGCTCCCCGACCGACAAGTACGAGGGTGCCAACTGGACTGCCATTGCACATCTGCCCTACCTGACCAAGACACCGCATTATGAGATTGTCGCCCTGCTGAACAGCTCGACGGAGAGTGCTCGCGCCGCGGTGCAGAAATATCATCTCCCCGACAAGACGAGGACTTATGGGGACCCGGCTGGTGAGATGAACTGGCCGACCCCCTAGGCTGATGACGATGACGACGACTCAGGCTGACTCCAAACCTCTAGATCTGGCCAACGACCCGGAGGTCGACTTGGTCGTCTGCAGCGTCCGCGTCGATCGCCATTTCCAGACCGTCAAGCCCAGTTTGATCGCCGGCAAAACCGTGTTCGTCGAGTGGCCGCTCGATCGCAACGCCCAGGTTGCGCGCGAGATGACGGCGCTGGCCGCGCAACACCAGGCGAGGACGATCGTAGGACTGCAGAGTGGCATGGCGCCCATTCTGCGCAAGGTGCGCGAGGTGCTGAAGAGCGATGCGATCGGTCGAGTGGTGTCCAGCTGGTTTGTGGGCTCCGCCGGCAACGATCTCGACAGGGGGAGCCGCGCCATGCGATACTTCCTGGACCGCGAGGTGGGCGGCAGCATGATGAGCATTCACGTCGGCCATGGCATTGAGACGGTGACTACGGGTGAGTTCCTCATTTGCGACCGTGGCAAAGTGCCGTGGCTGATAGGATCCCTTTCGCGTTTACCTAGTACTGGGACAGTTCAACTCCTTGAACAGCTCGATCGCCATCACCCGACCGACATTGGACATTGTGGACACGCGCCCCGATACTGACGGGAAGGTGCTTGAAAAGAACGCCCCCAACACCGTGCCAGATAATATCCTGATCTACGGCACGGCTGGCGAGTCCAACGCCCCCGTGCAGCTCACCATCCACGCGGGCAAGGAGTTCCCCGGTACGCCGCGGCTGGACTGGCGCATCCAGGGCGAGAGAGGCTGGATTCGAGTGACGTCGCCCTACTTGTTCTTAAACGTGGGTCATCCCGAGACGAAGGTGCAGATCTACCGCAACGAGACCGACCAGACGGAGGAAATCGTGGCGGACGGAGATGAATGGGATGCTCTGCCCACGACGGCGCAGAATATCGCCCGACTGTACGAGGCCTACCGCAAGGATGAGTGGTATCCATCCTTCGAATGGGCGCTCAAGCGTCACGAGGCGATCGAGGGCATGTGGAAGAGATTTGACGCCGAGCAGAAGTAGATAGATACGATACATAGCTAGGGCCCCTGCCGCGGTCATCAAGCGCTCCCCTGTTCAATGCACTGCCTGAATATACTTGAAACCAGATCCCACAGCCAATGATCATACTGCGATACGAGATGTGCATCCTGCTCTGCAACTGGACCGAAGAACAAGGCCAGCAGCTGTCGGCAGCCGACATCGCATGGATCGACGGACATCCAGCAGGCCGCAGATGTCGGCCGAGTGTCGTTGGAGACATCCACAGAAGCGACGTAGATGTAGACTGAAAAATACCAGCTCCTTCCAAGGAATTGCAAAAGATCCCCCGCCGCTGACACAATCGGGCTGCGTGATGGTGTGACGCCGATTATCCGGCAGCTCCAAACGCCCCAACTTTGGGGTCTCGGCGAAGACCTCAGATGGTCGCTCGATGGCGTGCAGAGACGATCGCTCTGACAAGCCAGATCCCCGCATTGGCGAGCGATAGGCCGTGGACGACGCCATCTGGTTTGGGAATCGGGATATTAATATGAGGAGTCGCAGGTGTGCTGTGAAACTGCGTGGAATGCATACTATATCAAGTAGAGCGCATCGATATGGCTGCTGTTAAAGGTCCCGTCGTTGCGACAACGACATTGCCTCTGTCTCATGGAAATACCGCGGTGTATAGTCCTCGAATCGTCGAGCCGAGTCCCACGTCGAAACCAACACCCCGGAGCCGACCAGCCTTTGAGATTGAAGAGCATCCCATTGACCAAGTGCGACCGATCAAAGTTGGTGTCATCGGCGCCGGTCTGGCCGGGGTGAACGCCGGGATTCTACTTCCTGCGAAGCTGCCTGGACTGGACCTGAGGATCTATGATAAGAATGCAGACGTGGTATGCCATGTCGCTAACTCCAAACGACACCTGGAACCGTTGATTGACGAGAATAGGGTGGCACTTGGTTTGAAAACACCTACCCCGGCGTGCGATGCGACATTCCAGCCCACGTATACCAGTCAGGCTTTTCGCCCAACACGCAATGGACCGAGGAGTTTGCTCAAGGCGCGGAGATCCGCAACTATTGGCAGAGCGTGGCGCGCAAGTACGACGTCTACAAGTATCTCCGATTTCAGCAACGGGTCGAGAAGGCCGAGTGGATTCCCCAGCTGGGCAAATGGCGTGTTACTCTGCGGGATCTGAAGGAGGACAAGGTACGTTACGTCCTTGCTTGAGGGATAACCGTCGCTAATATTGATCTGCAATACTGTAGACTTACATAGAGGAGTTGGACGTGGTCATCAATGCGATCGGCCACTTTAACGCCTGGCAACTGCCGAACTACGAGGGAATCGACCAGTTCCAAGGACCTTTATTCCATTCCTCCAACTGGCAACACGACGTGGAATTGAACGGCAAACGCATTGCCCTGATCGGCAACGGGGCCTCCGGTCTGCAGGTGCTGCCATCCATCCAACCCATCGCCGAGCATGTCGATCACTACGCGCGCAATCGCACCTGGGTGGCCGACTCCTTCGGTACTACCGGTGTGCGCCGTCTGGAACCCAATCTGTTCACACCGGAGCAGCTCGAGTCGTTCAAGGACTCGAGAAAATACAATGAGTATCGCAAGTCAATCGAGCAGGGCTACTTCTCCCGCTTCGGCGCCGTGTTCAAGAACTCGGCGGAGAACCAGGAACTGCGCGACAAATGGACGCAGCTGATGCTGGGACGCATTGGGGAGAAGCCCGAGCTGGGAGATAAGCTTATTCCTGAATTCCCGCCGAACTGTCGTCGTCCGACGCCGGGCCCGGGTTATCTCGAGGCTCTGACCAAGCCTAACGTGAGCTACATCCAGGCCCATATCCAAAGGTTTACACCCACGGGTATCGTGACTGCCGACGGTGAAGAACGCCCAGTGGATGTGGTGATATGCGCTACCGGTGCGAATGTCGACCATGCGCCCCCATTCTCCATCATCGCCGATGGCATCGACTTGAAGACGGCATGGAAGCATGACGGGCTCTGGGGATTCCCTTACAACTACCTCGGCGTCGCTACCCCCGGCTTTCCCAATCTGCTCTGGATTGGAGGTCCCCACTCTACAGGCCACGGGGGCAGCGTGCCCAACAGCCTCGAAAACCAAATCACATATATCGCCAAGGTCCTGCGCAAACTGCGCAACCAGGGGATCAAAACCATTGCCCCCTCGAAAGCCGCAACTGACGATTTCGTGGAATACTGCGATACCTTCTATCCTCGCACCGTATGGACAGGTAACGACGACTCGACTCCTGGTCAGAAGAACTGTCGCTCGTGGTATAACGGTGGTCGCCCCGGAGGCCGAATCCACGGATTGTTCCCCGGAAGCGCTGCCAGTCTGAACTATCTCCGCCGAGACCCGCGCTGGGAAGACTGGGAGTACGAGTATACCAACCCCAGCGGCAACCGCTTTGCGTATTTTGGAAATGGATGGCGGACGCGAGAGAAGACGGAGGGCGCGGATTTGACGCCGCATGTGGTCCGGCCGGAGGAGATTGATCTGAGGACGTATATGGAGGGCTGGTGGGATGTGTAGATACTCTGTCGCAGGACAATTCCATTAAGTTGAAACGTTATTAGACCGCTGGATGTTATATAAATGTCATGATGATTCCTTATTTCCTACTTCTCTTCCTCGTCGGCATACTTTGGCCGTTCCTCGCCTTGTTTCCAGAAATACTTCGCTCCAGGATGCGACTCAGGCAGTCTCGTATGACCCTTGGTCTCGTACATGTTCTCCCGGAAGGTCCCTCCGGGCACCGAGTAATCGGTGTGGAAGATTCCGCGTTTTTGCAGCTCTGGAATGAGATACTTGATGATATCGTCAAATGTATCCGGTAGGCTGGCATAGCTCAGGTTGAAACCATCTACATCTCCCACTTCCACCCAGCGTTCCAGTTCATCCGCCACCGTCTTGACGCTGCCGATGATCTTGGCCCCGTTGCCTCCCATGATGAGATACTCCGCGATGGTCTTCTTATCCCATTTCTTCCCCTCCGTGCCCGGCACCGTGCTGGCCCAGTGGTTGACCATGCTGCGCACCGCGGGCTGCTCGACGAAACGGAAGTCCTGATCGTCATCCCACTTCGAGAGATCGTACCCTGACCAGCCGCCGAAGAGAGCCAGTGCTCCCTCGCGATCGCCGTATTTCGCCAGCTCCGCGAACTTGGCGTAGGCCGCTTCGTCCGTCTCGGCTACGAGCACCAACAGTCCAGCGACCACCTTGATGGCGGATGGATCACGACCCAGCTCCTTGGCCTGCTGTCGCACATTGTCCACCGACGGCCGTACCAGCTCCGGCTTCTGTCCGTGGAGGAAGATTGCCTCCGCATGCTTCGCGGCAAATGCCTTACCCGCCGTCGAGGTGCCCGCCTGCAGCAAGAATGGGGTGCGCTGAGGACTGGGCTCGCAAAGATGCGGGCCCGGTACCTCGAAGTATTTTCCCTTGTGGTTGATTTGGCGAACGGCGTTGGGGTCGGCGTATCCGGCCACGCCGTCTCGGACATTCACGGCATCGTCGCGCCAGGATGCTTCCCACAGCTTGTAGGTGACGTCGAGGTATTCGTCGGCGATGCGATACCGCTCGTCATGTTCCACCTGCGTGTTCAGCCCGAAATTCCGCGCCGCCGAGTCCAAGTACGAGGTGACGATGTTCCAACCCACGCGACCGTTGCTCAGATGGTCGACCGTCGAGAAACGTCGCGCCAACGCGTACGGCGCGTCATAGGTCGTCGACGCCGTCACCCCGAACCCAATACTCTGTGTGGCGGCGGCCATGGCTGGGATACTGTACAGCGGATCGTTGATAGGAAACTGCGCGCCCGCGGGAATTGTAGGGTCCAGATTTGCAGGCCCCTTGTAGACGTCGTATCCGCCCAGGACGTCGGCAAAGAAGATGGCGTGGAATTTGGCGGCCTCGAGCTTCTGCGCGAGGCTGATCCAGTTCTGCAGTGACTTGTAGTTGTGGCCTTGGTCGCCGGGATAGCGGTGCAAGCCTGGATTCAGATGGGAGGGCGATTGCATGGCGAAGGCATTGAGAATGAGCTGCTTCTTGGGCGCGTCGGAACCCATTTTGCGCGGTATTTGTGATGTGACGAACGAGAACAAGAATACTCAACTCCGTAAAGAACTTTATCAAGATAGAGGACAGTCTTGCTGAGGGTTAAATAGGAGTCAGATGGATGCGACGGATCGTACTCGGTGGAGCAGATCTGGATACTCGTGTTCACATAAAAGGCATAACGAGACCGATAGCGACCGACTGCCCCATTGCCCCTCGTAACCCCTCATCGGCATGTTTCCACCGGTAGCACGAGCTGCACAAGCAGCAGAGTAGAGCCAGTGCCCCTCCTGGCGCAAGGCGATTCAGCGAGACCGAAGGCGTGCGCGCCCAGATTGATTGCGCGAGACCACCCCGCGATGGTGACACCGTTGGGGTACTCCAACTCGTCGATACAGCCCAAATGAGTCTTCTTGTGATTATCACTCTCGGCGACATACGTTATCAATTAGATGTTCTCGTGCACGCGCATCGGGAAAGACTTCGACATCGGACCTCTTAGGGCAAGGCCAGCCCCGTGCCGCTCTCTGCGGTCAGGAAGTATGCAAGTTGGCTCCGTTCATTCATGTAGTTTTATCTTCCAACTATCACGTAAATCCTAAAGTGTTCTATCTACATATTCATAGTACTAACGTATCAACATGAATCAAGCAGAAAAAATCGCCCTCAAATCTACTGCGTCCCTAGATCTACGACGATGCGTTTTCCGGACGCCGTGCCCTGGCGAAGAATCTCCAACGAGTCGTTGATCCCTGCCAGACCACCCTCTGCTCGAACAATCTCCGGCAGCTGTAGAGAACCGGAATCTAGTAGTCGTTCTAACCAGGATACCATGGCTTCGCCTACGGCCGGCGACGAATGGAATAACTTGATGGGAACGGTGTGATGCGTAATGTTCTCGCCTTTTTCCTTGGGCAGCCCCGTCAGTCCGAGCAGGTGCGCATGAGATCCATCGTCCCGCGGCGAGTCATCCAGTGCTTGTTGCAGGATGTTTGCAGTGTCTTTGCCGACAATGTCGATCGCGTACCGTAGCTTTCCCTTGGAGATGCCGCGAATGATCTCCACGGCACGTTGTGAATCGTGGCGGTCGACGAGGGCATCGGCGCCCAGTTCAATGAGTTTGGCACCGTGTCGGGCAATATCAGCGACGCAGATGACTTTGAGACCGGCCATTCGGGCTAGTTGAAGTGTGATGTATCCCGTCGTAGTAGAGGCTAGACTGGTCAGTGCTGTGTTGAAGAGGGTGAATGGCCTTAAGGTGACTCACCTCCCCAAATGGCAATCCAGTCGCCCTTCTGCGGTTGCTCAGCTTTACTCGAAGACTTGAAGCACTCTTCGTGAATATCCACCGGGACTTCCTCTCTGTTGATCTGATTCACCAATTCCACCAAGTTCGGGCCAGGAGACGACAAGGCCTGCGAGAGGTCAAGACCTAGGGACACGCCCAATGCCAATACGGAGGCCACGAAGGCGACGCCGAGTGAAGCCGAGGCGTGGACACATCCCGTGGAAGGGATCCGCGCTGCATTGAAATGAGTGGCCACGGCATACTCCTGGAAGGCGGCCTTGCGGATGTCGCGATAATCGGTGGACGGAACCAGGACCAGGTCGCCTTGCTTCACGCGAGCTGATTCGTCTGCCTCGACAACGATGCCGGCAAGGTCTCGCCCGTTGACCCAAGGCAGACTAGGAATCCCGAAGTTGAACGCCCTACATACCACATGTGTCAGCCAAGCATGGACCATAGTCAAGACCGGATAGACTTCTTACGGGCCCTTCCAGTCGATCGGATTCAGGCCGATCGCTAGAACCTGCAAGCTATCAGCGATGTTTCGGTTTAATGAAAGCATAACAAACAGACCTTGACTAGAATCTCATCCTTGGTCCGGGTGGATGGGATAGTATGATCGGTGACCAGCGTATATCGCTCGCGCGCGGCTTTAAGTAGCAGGGCGCTCTGAGTGGTTCGGTGCTGCGGTGGTCTGATGGTCTCGACTGGACGAGAATGTATAAACGGTTGGTTATAAGTATACTTGGGTGCTTGTTCGATCACCAGTTCGTGGTGGAAGACGGCATGGTGCTTTTCGTCCAGCGATGCCGGAGCATACGTGGTAGATATCGTGGTCATGGTGGCTGTCTATAGTGGACGATTCTAGCCCAGAGACTTTGAAGTACCACGGCGATTGTTGATAGAGTCAAGTCCCTCTAGCTGGGAATCAAGTATATTTCTGTCGAGGTGCTTGCATGGCCCATGGATGCATACGCCCTCCGCTTAACCGCCACCAGAACGATTACAAATCGCTACTGAACGATAAGGACGTTTTTGCGTGTAATTTGCAAATTGTAATTTGCGATTCCGTCTCTAGTTGGAAATCGCCTTCATTGCGAATGACGGGGCTGGAATGACGTGACGGGGGATTGACGCCGTTCCAAAGAACGTCCCTTGCGTTTTTCGTATCGTTAGGAAGGGAGGATCAGCCTCGGATATGGGAATGCACAACTTTGTGATTCACGGGCCGTGGGTACGATGGGGTATTACACAAAGACGCGAGCAAAATAGGCTCAACGGATAAGATGATGTGATATTGGTTATCAGGCACTCAATCCCTCCTGTGTCCGTGGACTATGTCCTTCTCCTTGTTTCCCGTTGTTTTGCTTGGCCTGGAAGCAGAAGAACAGATCCGAATGGACGACCTATTATTCTAGACAAAGTTGATCAAGCTCCCTGTGTTCAATCAGGGGCCACCTACTGTACACTCACATCCTAAGCTATGAATATGACCCGGATCCTCCAGGCCACCACAGGAACGTGAACAGCTCATCTGACCCTTCCAATCGGATTGCATTCGCCGTGCCAATGGTTATCTTCCATTCATAAGTACTGGGATGCACGCATAACTTCAGGCCGGGATGACGTGCCTGGCATCCACGGGGATTACTGAGCTGACCTGTCTCTTGCTACCTTGCTTGGTAATTGCCATCTTCGTCTCGATTTCACAATGACCAGGAACGCTATATCATCCGGTACACGCAGTCGGTTGGCTGCTCTTGTTTATCATTTGGGACCATCGCACGCGCAAAATGGCCGACACCGAACACCAGCCACTTCTCGAAGCCGCGTCGATACAGTATGACTCGCTGCGCGACCCCTATCTCAACCTCCCTCCCGACGAATTAGGCCTCAGCATCCAGAGCACGCTTCCCGGAACGGCACCGGAAGGCAAGACCCTCACCTGGTCCAGCGCGTATATTCTCGTCGTGTCGCGGGTTATCGGTAGCGGCGTCTTCGCAACGCCCGGGTCAATCGTCAAGTCAGTCGGTAGCGTCGGATTGACTCTGTTGGTATGGCTGGTCGGCACGATTCTGGCGGCCTGCGGACTAGCCGTGTCCATGGAATACGGATGCATGTTGCCTCGGTCGGGCGGAGAAAAGGTAGATAGATATCCATGAGCATCTTTCGAGTGGCATGGAACCCGCAGAATTGATGTTCTCCGCAGGTGTATCTCGAATATACCTATCCTCGGCCACGATTTCTTGCCTCGACTCTCATCGCCGTGCAGGCCGTGGTGCTGGGGTTTACGGCGAGCAACTGCATCATTTTCGCCAAATACACCCTGTTCGCCTTCGATATCGAGCCCACCGAAGCGCAACATAAGGCTCTGGCGGTGGGATTGCTCACGGCGATTACCATCGTGCACGGCTGTTTCCTCAAAACGGGCATTTGGATCCAGAACGTGCTCGGGTGGGTGAAGATTTTCTTGATCGCGGCCATGTCCTTGACAGGGTTATGGGTGATTCTCTTCCGACCATACGGAGACTCGATCGGAGCGTCGCAATTTAGACCTGATCATCCTTTCGCGTGGGACACGGTGTGGGAGGGTTCGAATTGGAGCTGGAGCTTGCTGTCCACCTCGCTATTCAAGGTACTCTACTCGTACGCGGGTTTGAACAATGTCAACAATGTCCTCAACGAGGTTCAAAACCCCGTACGTACCTTGAAGACCGTGTGCCCTGCGGCGTTGTTTACCGCCTGTGGTCTGTATCTGGTGGCCAACGTGTCTTATTTCCTGGTTGTACCGCTGGAGGAGATCAAGAACAGCGGCGAGCTTGTGGGTGCTCTTTTATTTGAGCGTCTTTTCGGCGATCACATCGGAAGGACGCTATTTCCTTTAGCCATCGCTATATCTGCTGCGGGAAATGTCATGGTGGTGACTTTTGCTTTGGTATGTTCGTCTCGCGGACCGGAAGACTAGTATGTCCTAACCTCACTAGGCACGAGTGAACCAAGAGATCGCTCGACAGGGATTTCTGCCCTGGTCAAAGGTGCTCTCTTCATCTCGGCCATTCCAGACTCCTCTGGGCGGTCTGATCGTTCACTACGTGCCCTCGCTTCTGGTTATCTCTCTTCCGCCACAGGGCGATGTGTACAACTTCATCCTCGACGTCGAGGGCTATCCCGGTCAGATCTTTGCCCTCGCGGTCACGGTCGGATTGCTCCTCGTTCGACGCCGCGAGCCCTTTCGTCTGCGTCCGTTCAAAGCCTGGATACCGGCCGTGTGGCTTCGTATTGTGGTCTGTCTGGCTTTGCTGGTCGCCCCCTTCATTCCTCCGCCAGATCGGAAGGGTGATGTGCACTTCTTCTACGCGACGTATGCGATTGTAGGGACTTCGGTGTATGTACAGCATCTCCCTATTCCGAGACAAGGCTAATTGTGGCAGGGTTCTTTTTGGCATTCTCTACTGGTACGTATGGACAAGGCTGCTCCCTCGCTGGGGGGGCTACAAGTTGGAAGAGGAGGTCGACGTATTGGATGATGGCACCAGCATTACCAAGCTGGTTCGATCGAATGAATGAGACAATCAAGGCACCCTGAGAGTAATTCCAGATATTAGCAATAGAACGCATTAGGAATCAACATTATTCAGCTAATCTTCCATAACTGCCGCCATTATTAATGTTAGTACCTCGTATGATTCGCTCCTGGCTCGCTCCCATGACAGCCACGCATGTGCATGACCGTTGCCAATCCATGCATCCAATGATGCTGGTTTGGATTTATCAGCGTTGCCTGAGTTTGTGATTGACTGTACACCCTGGAAGATGGCGTGCTAGCCTGACAAATGCATTGCTGTTCCCCCGCTCTTGGATATAAAGTCAAGCTTGGACAGCGGCATGAGGTAGGAATGTCAGAATCATCAAGCCCGTCAGGATTTTCAACACACCACCATCTTTGTATTCGTCAAAAGTCGCGTCACAATGGCCTCTGCTGCAGTCCAGCTTCCCACCGGTCCCGATTCATCTCTCCTCACGCAAAAGTCCCAGGCGCCCATCCAGACCTCCGATAAGCCGCACCACGTTCAGACGACCCTGCATTTCATCAAGGAGGTGCCGGACGGTTCGCATCTCGCCCCGAGCTACGTCGGGAAGCCAGAGACCTATGAACGCCCGTCGGTGGAAGTCCCGGTGACAGTTCACGATGTCAGCGGCCGTGAGCTGGACTATACGCTGGACGGTAATGGGTTCCAGTTCTACTACCACGAGAGCAAGGAGAAGGACTTTGTCGACGACGAGAAGATCAAAAGGGAGTACTATCCCGAGGTAGAGCAGCTTTTGAAGGATGCGTAAGCTTCACTCGATGTCTTCGTCTTTGGCCTCCCTTTCTGATGTCCCCAGCACCGGCGCCTCGAAGGTCTTCATCTTTGACCACACCATCCGTCGTCCGGCCGAGAACCCCGATACCCCCGCGGAACAGCTGCGAGGACCTGTGCAGCGTGTGCATATCGATCAATCCTACAGCGCGTCGCGGAACCGTGTCACGTATCATCTTCCCGAGGAGGCCCCCGAGCTCCTCAAGGGACGGTTCCAGATCATCAACGTCTGGCGTCCCATCAAGACCATCTTGAAGGATCCCCTGGCCGTGGCCGATGCGCACTCGGTACCCGACAGCGACATCATTCCCGTCAAGTTGATCTATCCTAACCGGGAGGGCGAGACTTGTTCCGTCCGGCCGAATCCCGACATCAAATGGTACTACCGCTACGGGCAAACCCCCGACCTCGTCACTTTGATCAAGTGTGCGGACTCGAAGACCGACGGTCGGGCGAGACGAGTTCCTCACACGGCGTTTGTGAACCCGGATACAGTGAACGAGGATCCGAGGCAGAGTATCGAGGTGCGCACGCTGGTCTTCCATCCAGATGATCGCGACTGAAGGATAGATGACCGGTGACGAGGTATGAGACATGCCAGGAGACATAAAATGGCCCACAAATAGTCTTTCTTGACAAAGTATTATTAGTTGATTGGTAACCAAATTGCGATTATCTTGATTAGTTGGAATAGAGTGTACTCCTGCATTCCTTCATAGGAGCGATCCATGTTTCATCACGTCAAACGGGATGGAGAAGGTCCACGAGCCGTGCAGGAACCCACCGTTAACGACTCCAACATTCGTAGAGTCGGGGTAATTTTCATTTCAGATGCGAGATCGGGTTTCCCTAGTTGACAGGCTTATCTGAACACTAAAAAGCCGCCGACGTGCCGCGCGATTGACAATTCCTACTAAAATGCCGTGCGAGCACGTAATCGCGCGCTCCAACGGCAACATCGCAGCCTCGGCCTTGGTCTGCTGCGTTGTTGTCTACGCGATATTCGATGTCAGCATCTTGCACGGCAGATGTGGATACGAAATGGTCATCGGTTTCTCCCATGCGTCGGTCTAGCCGGTTTGATATACGATGTGCAAGGGGATTACATCGTGTAGCTCCGTCGGCGAGGAACGCCATATAAATATACACCTTGCCAGGTTCGCCAGCATGCGCGACTCCTTAGACAGCCTCAACCCTTACCTTAGCGCCGATACGGTAGATCTGCTACTATCATGGCCACGGAAAAGGAATTCCAGCCCAGCGACGAGGAGGTGGCCGACCAGTCGCTGGCGCAGCCGGGCAAGCATCAGGGTAAGACCTTCCATGCTCCTCTCCTCATGGACATGCCTAACAAACCCAGTCAAATGGTATCGATCGAGCTTCTATAATGCCCTTATTCTCGGGCTCTGCAATTTCCTGGCTCCCGGTATCTGGGGCGCCATGAACTCGCTCGGCGGCGGCGGTGCGCAGGAACCGTACCTGGTAAACACGGCCAACGCGCTGACGTTCTGTCTGATGGTCGTGTCGTGCTTCTTCGGCAGCGTCGTCGTTCGCTTCATCGGCATCAAATGGACCCTGATCGTCGGCACCATGGGCTACGCGCCCTACGCGGCGGGTCTCTACACCAACAACCGCTTCCAGAGCGAGTGGCTGACCATCTTCGGCGCTGCTCTCTGCGGTCTCTCGGCGGGCATCTTCTGGATGGCGGAAAGCGCCATCGCCCTCTCCTACCCGGAGCCCTACAACCAGGGGCGATTCCTCGGGTTCTGGCTGAGTTTCCGCGTGGGCGGACAGATCCTCGGCGGTGCCATCAACCTGGGCATCAACGCCAATCGCAACGAGGCCGGAAGCGTCTCGTTCACCGTGTTCATCATTTTTATTGCGCTGCAAGCGCTGGGGCCCTTTGCCGGCCTGCTACTCAACTCGCCGGAGCGCGTGCAACGCAGCGACGGGCTGCCGGTTCGCCTCCGCGTGGCGCAAAGTCCCTGGTTCGAGATCAAAGCGACGGCCAAACTGTTCGCGACACGCAAGTTCCTGCTGCTGGTGCCGCTGATCGCGCAGGCGGCGTACAGCGAAGCGGTCATGTTCACGTATCTGTCGCTGTGGTTCTCGGTGCGCGCGCGGGCGCTCGGCTCGTTTCTCTCCGGGGTCACGGCGCTGACGGTCGGGAATCTGCTGGGCGCGTTTCTTGACCGCACTCGCATTTCGCTGAAGATCCGCAGTCGCGGCGCATTCACGGTAATCTTGGCCTTGCAAGGCGCATGGTGGATCTGGGGAACAATCGTCGCGACAGAGTATCGTCGCACGGGGCCGACGTATGACTGGGTGGACGAGGGGTTCGGACGAGGGTTCGCGGTGTATCTGTTCTGGGTGATGGGGTTCCAGCTGAACTACATGTTCCTGTCAGTGATTTCGGTTGGATTTGCGCTGAGAGACGAGGCTAACCTGAAGTCAGGTACTTTATCATCGGCAATCTGGCGGACGACGAGGAGGAAATCATTCGCGTGGCGGGTCTGCTGCGTGGCACCGAGTCGGCGGTGCAGGCCGTGTCGGTAAGTTCAGTGTCTCGCTCTCTCTGCCAGTGTGATCCAAGCTAATCGACGCAGTACGGGCTCAGCAGCGTGGCGGTCATGGCGTCGGTGGGAGGCATCTATCTCAACTTCGGGCTGTGGGCGCTGTCGGTCGTGCCGGCATGGATTGTCGTGCGGGAGTTTGGGGTGTCTGGCGAGGACAAGAAGATCGAGCGCGAGCGACGCTTGGCCGGGTGCGAGTGATATACTACTGAAATGACTGGCATTTAGGCAGAAATGAACGAGGGGTTGGTCCGAACGACGTGTGCGTACTTGACGGAGGATGCTTCTTCAACCGCCAAGAGTAAACAAATCCCCGGCAAAATGGGAGACACCGCCTTCCCGCGATTGCTATACTACACTCTGGAACACTACGTGTGATTCCCCCAGTTACACTCTAATTCAAGGAAAGACAGTATCAGTCAATGAGTTTGTTGATTCGTACGCTTTCTCGATGGTCCCTGTGTTGAACAACGGATGACTTTTTTGTACCTCCATTATATATTTTGGAACGCATAGCATAGGGAGTATAGTATACTGGTCGCAGAGAGGACCAAACAGCGTTATGGATTTTGTTTGAACCTCTGCTTGAGTTTCATCTGAGTTACAGATCTCGCTTGAATCCCAGACAGTCTGAGAATATCTGAAGCCTATCATCTCTGGGGTGGTGCACGGGTGATGCTATTCTTAGTACGGGGTCGCATTACTCTTTTGGGAAGGCCAATTCCCCGGACTCGACGGACCTAGAGTAGGCCTATAGTCTATTGTCTATAGTCTATACGCTATACCACGTGTAGCAGCGCGGAAAGCGCGGGGAGCCGGGGAGGGAATTCACGGTCCGGTCGGCCTCAAAGGTAACTACTCCGTAGAGACTCGAGACTCGAGACTCGAGACTACTAGAGAGTAGAGAGTAGAGAGTAGGGATCAGATCTTATCTGAGGGATCGCCTTGCCTGTTCCGGCCAACGCCGTTGCCGGGCCGGTTCCGCCCACGTGATCGGCCTCCCAGATAACGAACGAAGGAACAAAGAGGAATCTACAATCTACAATCTACACACATCAACAACCACACGGAATACAATATGTCTATTTGCTTTTGTTCGCCCCCCCTTGCATACGTTGCACGCTGAAATGTTACCCCTAGACCTTTCTTCGACCCCCGCCGGAACAGATCGACAATCTTCCCTCAAATCCCAGACGCGCTTCTCTGAGACCGGCTTTCGGCTCGTAGGCCGTGATGCCCGGCGTCTCCTTGGGGTGCAGGGCCCGCGTTTGCTGGAGAAGCATCCAACTGGTGAATGTCACAAACCTGAATACGGTCGTGGTATCGAAAGAAGTCGACTACGCTGCATGGCCTGCAGCTGGTATACCTACCCATAACAAAGCCCAACGCAAGACATGAAGACGAGTCCCGCCCCTGCTGGACCACGGTAGGAACTGCGTGCAATAAGGCAGCGTGGCGGGATCTAGTCCTTGTCGGCAGCCTTCATAGGACGCTATGTAGGTGCCGCATATCACGATGTAGTTGATTAGGCGGGTCGACGAGCCATTCTAGAATCTGTGCCGGAATGCTCGGCATATCAATACGGACAAAGAACCAAGATGGGAACCCGCGTAGAGTACAATACAAGCCATGCAGACGGCTGTGTGGGGCTTAACGGTACGCTAGAACGAGAGCTGCAGGTGGATATCCGTGTTTTCCAAAGAGATCGGAGAATTCGTAGATGACAATGTCCTAGCCCGTAGCCCTCCGTGCATCCTATCTGAAGGAGCCGCTTTGGAAGATTTGCCGGGCGTCGCTGTAAAGTGAACAGGGGTCATTTGGTGGCCGCAGTGTCTTGAAGGAGACATGGTCGGCATCCAATGTAGGCTCGCATGAAAGGAATGGACAGCCGAGTAACAGGGATGAAACAGAAAGAGAAATGAACGCTAGGACGTCGCAGAGCCCCATGCGCAACCATCCTCATCCGGTTTCTACTATACAGCCTGAATGCTGCCCAACTGCCCGTGAGATATGAGAGTTGGCAGGATTCTGCACACCCAAAATCGGCAAAACTGAAGCTGAAATCCCTGTAATTCGAATCACAAGTCATGCCATTGGTGCGGGCGTTCCCCCTGCAGCGCCGCCCTGGCAGGTCGATGATGGAAATCTTGCCTTTTTCGGGTCAAAAACGATGGCCATCGCCACTATCGGCTCGGTGGAGATCATCCGGACTGTTAGACACGGTCGTCAGACCGAAAATGCCGTGATAAGCATTCAGTTCGACTTGAACGATGTAATCATGACTCTGACCCGTCGGCAACCACACGGTTGGGTCCGCGCAGCCGATCCCATGATCGGACCCAACCCTACCTCCTGCTCGTGTTGAGTATGTCTTTGAAGCGTTCAAGGTGGTGCCATCGCTGATAAGCCTCGAGTATATAGGGTGTCTGCCATCTCGCGACAATGTCAGATAGAACAACAAGCAAGTCAGTCAATCAATCCATCTCTTCTCATCCCCAGAACTCTGCGTTCCTTCGACAAAGACTTGTCTTTCGTCTTGATAACCGTCATCATGACATCTGTGCTCAAGAATTACTTCGGCCTGGGCAAGGTCACCGCCACCGAAGTCTCGCCCAATGACGACAGCAACGCGATCCGCGCCCTGCCTGCCTCGTGGTACACCTCTCAGGAGATGTACGAGCTCGAGCGTCGCGCCATCTTCTCGAAGAAGTGGCTGCTCACCACCCACAAGCTGCGCCTGCCCAACACCGGTGACTGGCTCAAGTACAACATTGCCAATTACGCCTTCATCCTGGTGCGCGATCGCGATGGCAACATCAACGCCTTCCACAACGTTTGCCGCCACCGGGCCTTCCCCGTCGTGACCGAGGAGGGCGGCACGGCGCGCATCTTCTCCTGCAAGTACCACGGCTGGTCGTACGGCCTCAACGGCAAGCTGGCCAAGGCGCCCGGCTACCAAGAGCTGGAGGGCTTCGATAAGAGCCAGAACGGCCTGCTGCCCATCCATGTGCACGTCGACACCAACGGATTCATCTGGGTAAACCTGGACGGCGGCGACAAGCCCGAGATCTCGTGGGAAGAGGACTTCCAGGGCATCGATCTGCAGCCCCGGCTGAAGGAGTTCAACTTTGAGGACTACGAGTTCGACCACCACTGGGAGATGGAGGGCGCCTACAACTGGAAGATCCTGGCCGACAACTACAACGAATGCTACCACTGCGCCACGACGCACCCCGACATCCCCTCCATCGCCGATCTCAGCACCTACGCGGTCGACACCAAGGACAACAGCATCGTGCACTATGCCAACTCCAAGCCGGAGCAGATCGCCGCCGGGCTGAAGATTGCAAGCACATACTACTTCCCCAACGCCTCCATGACCGTCTCGTAAGTGTTGACTGTCCCCTCTCCCCCCTTCGTTGCTTCATACAGACCAGACCAGTACTTACTCGAAGAATAGCCCTCACTTCTTCTTCATGCAGCGCTTCGTGCCCAGCAGCCCCACTACCTGCGAGATGCGATATGAGGTCTACCGCAACAAGAGCTCCAGCGACGAGGACTTCGACCGTATCAACCAGATCTACAAGCGGGTGATGTCCGAGGACAAGTACCTCTGCATCGAGGCTCAGAAGAACATCAACACCGGCGTCTTCATCAACGGCGAGCTGCACCCCCGGTTGGAGAAGGGGCCTCTCTTCTTCCAGGCAGCGGTGCGCGAGATCGTGCAGGCTCACCACAAGCGCGAGGAACTGCTGGGACAGGAGATCTGGCCAGCTCGTCAAACGCTACCCGGAAAGGCGCAGGTCAGTCGCGAGGACGAGGATTTCGCCGCAAAGGTGGCTCGCACGAGTCAGGCCAACAAGGAGAGCTGCGACTCGATGGCGCGCGAGGCCGACGGCTGCTGCGGTGGAGTTTGCAGTCAGACGCCGAACGCAGCACTGGCCTACTAATGTTGTTTCCTTCCTTTTTTCTCCCTCCTTCACGAATAATGATCTACTATTACCTCCACCCTGCATGTTCCCTTGATCCACTTTTCATCCCGTGTTTGCGATAAGATTGCCTGTCTTTTTTAGTGCCATGGTTTCAAATGTATCTAGACGCAGTCCCTAATCTTTACCAATCACACTGAACTAATTGATATCAACAACGGCACCCATGGATTGAACGAAGTCTAACCGCCAGCACATGACACGGTGGTCTGTAGTCCAACCACCCGTATTTTGCTCACAACCAGATTTGAGGGTTGCATGGAACCCAATAGGATGGCAGCCGAAGGAAAAGCCTAACCGGGCAGCACGCATGTCCCATGATCAGGCAAATGAGCTTTAGTTTGACTCGGTTTGGCTTTGTTAGACGCTGTATGTACGACGGTCAACGGGCAGAGGGGCCTCGACGTTTCTTTGTCCGACAAGCCTTTAGCGTCGCGGCGCGCATAACTAGCAGAATTAGCTGGATTAGCAGGATTAGGGCCAGGCACTATCGAATCACGCCCCCCTCCCCTGGAACTGTTAACCCGAAGGGGCAACGGGTCTCTGTCTCTTCTCTGGGGGGCTGACAGTCTGGAATCTGCATCTGCATCCCTCCGGCGACTCTCAATCATTATGACCTGCAGCGGCCAGAACTCGACCCTGGTTCGACCTACTAGTTACTAGTAGATTGCCTGGTCATAACTTGCCGCTCATCTCAATTCCCCCTCCCTTTGTTCCCCTCTAACGTCATCTGTTATGGCATTTCCACCGGGTCTGGCATGCTGGCCGCCGAGACAACTTCTCGGGCGAAGCTGTTATTGTTAAATTAGACTTCTACATTCCCGGGAAACAATCGTCCGTTTATCTTTGATTTTGGTGTTATTTTCCCCGTGCAAACAAGAGAATGCCGCGCGAAGGCAGTCGCGGGCGACTACGTACCCACGAAGCTTGTCTGAACTGCCGGTGAGTGTCTTCGCCACTCGTTTCCGTCGCTTCTCGCCCTATACTGACCCAAATGGCATGGCAGGAGGAAGAAAAGCCGGTGTCCCGCCGAGAAGCCGTCGTGTTCCAGCTGCGTGCGCCTTAATCAGCCGTGTCTCTACGCGTCCGCCCGGAGAGCGTCTCGGGGAGACTATTCGGTAGGCGATTGTTCACAGCCACCTCCAGGTGAGATGAGCAAGAGTTGACGACTAATTCTCACAGGACGATAGGCTAGCGTTCCTCGAAGAGAAGGTAAATCTCCTCTTGAGCGGCTCCAGGTAGAGAGCATCTTATTCTTATTCCTATCCCGGTCTGTGGCTGACCCCGGTTCCTAGACCCATCCAGGAGGAACCCGATGAACCGAGTGATATCTCTCCCCAGTCGTCGACGACCACGCAGGCACCACCGACTGAGTTGAACCATGCCATCAACGAGTCAATTTCTCCGGGGTTCAACTTCGAGAATTTGAACTTGCACCCCAGTTCGTCGGCCATTGTCAAGGCGGTCGATCTGTACTTTGATTATTGCCACCGACAGCCCATCTGGTGCTTCGGGCGCGAGGATCTCGAGGACCTGAGTTGCATGTCGGAGGAACTAGTCTGTAGTATCATTGCGTTGACCTCTCGCTTCTCGCGAGAGCGCGATCAGCTACAGCGTTATGGTGACTATGCCCGACATCTGGTGATGCTGCGCGTGGCTAGCGGAACGGTGGAGTTGGAGACTCTGGAGAGCCTCTGTCTATTGTCGTACTGTGCTTTTATGGGTATGTCTGTTTAATTGGGACTGGGTCTGACAATTATACCTGATTGCTAATGTTCAATTCGCAGACGGAAACCTGCAGCTCGCTCGATTCCATCTCGGCATGGCTTTCCAGCTCTGTCGCTCCGCCCGGTTGGATCTAAAAACCACGTACAACATGGGCACGCCGTCTCCCGATCGCAAAAAACGGCTATTTTGGACGCTTCAGACCCTCGAGCAGTCCTACGGTCAGCAGAATGGCATTCTTAGCCCGTCGGGAGAAAGCCTGCGACCGTTCTATGTGTCCGCGGTCGGCGACCAGGGAGACTCCCGGCTCCCCTCTCTACCTCGCGACGAGATTGGCTGTTCTAGATCGGACGACATGGGCATCTGGAACCTGACGGCGCACTTTGGCTGGGTCTGGAGTCGAGTGCGAACATACGTGTCGGACGTGGCACAGAACCGGCTGAAGGAGCCGTGGCGACACGACTCGATGTACGCGATGATTCAGTCCGACCTGACAGAAATGGAGAACAAGCATTCCCACTGCCATCGATACGAGTCGGTCAAATTCTACGAGCGCCGACCTGACGAGTTGAGAGTCAATCGCGACTATTGGGTCCCGTGGCTGAAGCTACAATTCACATACCATTCCATTCTCACCGTGTTAAACCACCCCTTCCTCTACATCGCCGCATCCCAATACAACAACAACCTCACAATCCCCAACACCTTCTGGCGCCGATCCTCCGAGCTTGTCCTGCTGCATGCAACCTGGGTTGTCCGGCTGATCGACATGGTCACCGACAAGAAGCTGCAGCTCGTGGATCCGTTCTTTGGACAAGCAGCGCTGATCGCCGCCACCGTGCACCTCTACTACTGCTGCGCCGCGGACCCTCGACTGAAACAAAAGTCGAAAGTAGATCTGGCCAAGTGCCGGCGCTTCTTACAGCGCTTTGTCTGGTTTTCACCGGCCTGCAACGCTTTGGTAGGTATCCATGCCATAGCCATCACGTCTCCAAATGGAGGACTGACCTCGGTATAGAATCAAATTCTGCGTCGAATCACACGGATCGCGGGGGCCGAATCAATCGATTCCGACTGGGCGCCTTCCAAGATTCATCTCAGCATCCCCTTTATGTGGGCAGTATTGCAAGTGGACGGATGCATCCCCCGGGACCTCTCCACGGATGGCGTCCTTCATCCCTCGCTGGCCCCCTCTCGCGATAACATTGACGAAGACTCCACCCCCACGCTGGAGGTCATCGTGGCCATGTCGCCCGAGGTGACGGTGAACACGGCGGACGGAGGACAAGCGGCCCATATGGCACCGCACATGGTGTATATCTCGTCCGCACCGACATCACGCCAGGATATCCCTTTTACCGATCGACTGGTTGCTCCGGCCGACAGCCTCATGTTCAACACGCCCTGGCTGTGGACAGACCCGGGCCAGCTGGTAGACATGGACGGTATTGGTTATCAGGAGTCGGAACCGGCAATGGGTGATATCGAGGGCTTCTCTACGTGGTGGGATTTTGGAAACTTGTAGAAAGATTAAAGGTCTAGACAGAGAAAAAAAGGAGTCTGGATAGTGGATACTGGGAGTCATCTTTTCCAATCTGGCTAATGTTTATCCTGGTTGATTCTGCTCTTTTCCCCTAGGAGTTGAGATAGGATGAAGCAAATGGCCAAGTCAAATATTTTAATCATAGCGCTGGTTACTTCTCTGCTCAAGCGATGCATCGATGTTTGCTCATTCACAAATGAACCATCCCTTGAGTTGATTGAGAGGGGCAAAAAAAGAAAAAAAAAACTAGACAAAAAAAAATCGAGAAAACAAAGAGCGTACAATCTCGCGTGTATTTTGAATGATAACACCGAGCCTGTGTTCGATAGACGCCAGTGTGTGAATCCGCGGTAAATGTGCCAGCCAGATAGAGATAAGAAGATCCAAAAGCGCACATTGGGGCTATTTTTAGCGTGGGTTAGCGGCGATTATAGCATCATCCTGACGATAACGACCAGCCGAAGCACCCAGAAAAGTCTCAGACGTAATCCGCGGCCAATGAACCGACGGAATGCACAGAATTTACCAAGATAAGATTATTGCAGTCCAGTAACAGGCCGGAGCCAACACCCCGTGGGGTAATGGAATCCATGCCCCGAAACGGATATGCCATCCCCCGTCCGTGTCGACTCCACCGGTCTGTTGATCTACCAGGCAGAATAAAGTAAAAATAAGAACCGAAATACAAAACTAGAACATCAGTTGATGTGGAGATATCGGTGAGGGGGACCGGACCCGGACCGTGTTCCGGATCGCTGGTTCTTTGTCCCTCTTATCTATGACGGTAAAATGTCGCTCTGCCGGTATACTTATAGTTGTTGTCGTCGACGTTGTTGGACGAACGAATCAACTCATTCTTTCACAAAACTATGCCTCCTCGAGTTGTCATCATCGGCGCCGGAATAGTCGGCACCAACTTGGCCGACGAGCTGATCTCGCGCGGATGGAGTGATATCACCGTCGTCGAGCAGGGGCCCCTGCACATGCCCGGGGGCTCGACTTCGCACGCCCCGGGGAACGTGTTTCAGACCAATGCCTCCAAGACGATGACGAGGCTGGCCCATTACACGGTGCAGAAGCTGTTGTCCCTCGACTGTTTCAACTCAGTAGGCAGTCTCGAAGTGGCCACCACGCCGGCTCGTCTCGAAGATTTGAAACGCAAACATGGATATGCCTCGTCCTGGGGCATCGAGTCCCGTCTGCTCAACAAAGACGAATGTATCGCTCAGTACCCTCTCCTAAATCCTGACCTCGTGCTCGGTGGATTCCATGTCACCAGTGACGGTATCGCCCTCGCCGCTCGCGCCACCCAGCTCCTCATTGAACGCACACAAAAGGCGGGCGTACGCTATCTAGAATCCACCCCCGTTACCGGAATTGAGCAGACGAATCGTCGGGTCACCGGCGTCAGGATCCCCGGCGGAATCGTCCCTGCTGATCTCGTCGTCTCCTGTGCCGGGTTCTGGGGGGTTCATGTGGGCGCCATGGCCGGTGTCTCGATCCCTCTGCTGCCCATCGCCCATCAGTATGTCAAGACGACGGCTGTCCCGGCTCTTGCAGGTCGCGAGGTGAATGATAAACCAAACGGTCGCAACGCTAGCATGCCTATTCTACGCCACCAGGATCAGAACCTATACTATCGGGAACACGGCCAGCAATGTGGTATCGGCTTCTATGGGCACAGGCCGATGCCGGTCGATGCGGCCTCCCTGGGTTTAACTCCGAAGGACGTCGACGAAAAGCATATGCCGTCGCGCTTGGATTTCACATCAGAGGACTTCGTGCCGGCTTGGAACCGATCTCTGGAACTGTTACCCGCCCTCCGTGAGAGCCAGATCGAGGACGGCTTCAACGGCATCTTTTCATTCACCCCCGACGGTGGGCCGGTGATCGGAGAAGCGCCTGGTCTGGACGGCTTCTACGTGGCCGAAGCTGTGTGGGTGACGCATTCGGCCGGCGTGGCTCGCGCAGTGGCCGAATTGCTCACAAAGGGCCATTCCCAGATCGACATGACCGAGTGCCAACTGTCGCGCTTTGAAAAGGTCCAATTGACCCCCGAGTACGTCAGCGAGACCTCTCAGCAGAACTTCGTCGAAGTGTACGACATTCTTCACCCGCTGCAGCCGCGGGAATCTCCACGAAACCTCCGAGTCAGTCCCTTTTATCACCGACAGCGCGAGCTGGGCGCATTCTTCCTCGAGGCTGCCGCATGGGAACGCCCTTACTGGTATGAAGCCAATGCTGCTCTGGTCAACTATCTCCCACCCAAATGGCGACCCGTCGAGCGAGACGCCTGGTCGGCCCGATTCTATTCACCTATCGCCGCGGTCGAAGCCTGGAAGACGCGCAACGCGGTGGCCATGTATGATATGACGGCCTTCCACCGCTTCGAGGTGTCTGGACCGGGCGCAGTGTCTCTTCTCCAACGATTAACCACAGCCGACGTGAGGCAGAGCCTTGACACCATCACCTACGCCCTGCTGCTTGATGAGCAAGCCGGCATCCGCAGTGACCTCTTTATCTCTCGGCTCGAGGAGAACGTCTTCCAAGTGGGCGCCAACACGGCCATTGATCTCGACAGCTTGGAACGCGAAGCCCGTCGCCAGGCACCGGGTCAATGGGTACAAGTTCGCGACATCACCGGCGGCACCTGTTGCATCGGCCTTTGGGGTCCCCGGGCCCGCGACGTGATTCGGTCTGTGAGTTCCGACGATTTCTCCAACAAAGGACTGCCCTATTTCGGTGTCAAGAAGGCCCTCATTGCCGGTATCCCCGTCACCGCATTCCGCAAGTCGTATGTCGGAGAGCTGGGTTGGGAGATCCAGACGAGCGCCGAGTACGGAGCCCGACTTTGGGACGCCATCTTCCAGGCCGGAAAGCCGCACGGACTGGTCGCTGCAGGTCGTAGCGCTCTTAATGCTTTACGCCTCGAAAAGGGATACCGCACTTACGGCACGGACATGACGACGGAACACGATCCCTTCGAAGCGGGTGTGACCGACGCCGTTGCGGTCAACAAGAGAGACGACTATGTCGGCAAGGCCGCATTGGCTCGCCGCTCTGCGCAGTCGCCCACTCGTCGACTGCGGTGTCTCACTGTTGACGACGGTCGTTCCGTTGTCCTAGGGAAGGAACCCGTGTTTCGCAATGGCAAGGCCGTCGGATACGTGACCACTGCCGCATTTGCCTATTCGGTTCAGAAGCCGGCTGTATATGCCTGGCTCCCCGGCGATGCTTCCGAGGGGGAGAAGATTGAAATCGAGTACTTTGGGCGGCGTATCAAGGCCACCGTTACGCGGGAGCCGTTGTATGATCCGCAAGGAAGCCGGATGCGAGGGGATAGACCGTCGGTCATCCCGGAGCTTCAAAAGCCCTTGAAGCATCTCCTGTAACGACAGCAATGTGCTTTTATTATGATGTCAATGTGAATCTTTAGATAGCGTTCTCTCAATCTCAGGTCTTGGGTCCCTCCAAGAACAGTACTTCCAAGTGATTCATTTTGTCTTATGCCAGCAAACCGTATCCTCGAAGACCAATTTCAGAAACATCTCGTGCACAAGTAGCAATCCAATATGGTCCAATTTCACCGGTAGAACTCTTAACCTCTCAGTAGTAGAATGATCCTAACAGGACTTTCGGGGTACACCACGATAACCGATATCTCACACCCTGCAATCGTCCTCGGCTTCGAAACAACCCGAGAAGTGAAGAAGAGCGCGATGCTAGGCTCATTACTGACAAATCAATCATGCTTCCCATTCGTCCCAGCCCTCCTGTTCGGATGACGCGGTAGATACCCATTACCAGGACCAGTAGGGTAATGACTCTGGACCTAGCGGCGCTTGGCAACGTTTGGAAAGTCTACGGAGTAGCTTCCTGCTAGATGGCCAAACGAATGGTTCAGAGTTAGCAGAATTGACAATTCGAGGTAACGAGATATCATACAGACGCGCCAGTTGCGCTACCTGTTTGAACGACTAGAAATACATTACTTCAACATTGAGATCGAACTGGCCCAATCCCATGTACAATCGGCAGGAACGATCGACTTCCACAACCACCCATTGCAATCCCATAGATAGATTCTTATACCCCAATACCCGTCAATGATACAGACCTTTGATTGTCCCTGGTGTCTCCAACTCCACCACACGGTGACTGTCGCTCATCTCCATCGGTGCCGAGTCCCCTTGCAGTTCTGCCGTCGGCTGTGTGCTGGGAATGGCTGGGCTTGTCCTCGGGCTTGTCCTCGAGCTTGTCGGATCAACATACGGCTCGGGCACTTGGCTAGTAACGCTTGGTGCTTTAAGGCGAGGCTTTATGGGTTCTCCCTCGGTAGGTGATACTTTTCGCCGTTTTACCAAGAAACATATCAACACTGCAACAATCGCCACGCCGAACAACACTCCAATAACCACCCCGGCAATAGCTCCACCTGACAGCGGTTTCGATGACTCTGCAGCTTTCTTGGTAGTGCTTGACGTAGCAAGACTATTTGATGTGATTGATGACCTTCCACTCGTTGGCGTAGTAGCAGTCGACAGGGTAGACGTTGCTAGTGCCGAGGTCGCAGTTACCGAAGAATCTCTGGGATACACCGAAAAGGCGGCAAAATCGTCGCTTGCATTCTTGGATAGCATGTGGCAGGCATGTCCTCCGCTGTCCTTGCAGTTCACGTCGCGGTATATTTGCCAGCATATTGGCTGCTCCTCTGAGTCCCAGTCGAACAATTTGCCTTTGGCTTGGTGGATTCGTGTGCAGGATCGATACTCTGTCTCCGTGCCGGACTCAAATTGCGTGTTGCCAGAGGAGTTGGTCCATCCAAAAGCCCAGCCCGACACTGGAGAGAGAATGGAGAACAAGGTATAGATCAGGGTAGGCGACCGGTGGAAGTTCAACTCCATGGTTATTGTTCACATGCCACATAACTTGATAAAAACACATTAAGTCAACATCGTTTTGTGGCCTGGCACCTCAAAGGGTGCAGTAATCGCTGACGACTAAGCGGATGCTTAATAGGGTCGAGTGCCTCCTTTGGCCCCAATGATCGCTACAATGCAAGACGGGGGATTGTACTCTCACCAACCTGACAGGATGTTCAGTAGAGATACGAGGTGTAACTACTCAAGGACCGAAGGATGACGTGATAACTGGGAAGATTCCCGAAAATACCCACTTCGCATTCACAAACAACTCTGGGATTTTCTTTAGTTGCATGCATGCACACTCTGACTTCGTGTGGCCATCATCTCGATCCTGTTACTACCTTGTTTTCTACCATAGTTGGCATTTGAAAGGTGCGTGAGAATGATGTTCTAGGCCCGGTGGCAATGACACAAGTACGAGGTTCATATGCAGGGTTGTCTTGGCCAGAAGGTTTTGGCCCTCTTATCGTGTCAGACTGCTGAGATACGACCTTTTAGGAACTTTGATTGGAATAGAATATGCAGGTTGTGTCGATCATCATAATCTTGTGGGCTCAATTATCTGGCTCCCCTGTTTCCCCTGAACACGTACAAAAATTCATGATACACAAGATAGCCAATGCTTCAGACCACGACATGATCCCCGTTAACATCACAGGTTGAATAATCCACTCCTTCTTTTACCGTATGGATAAACGACCAAAGCTGACAGGAACAGTCCGACGGTGATACCTAGTGCGGTCTGCACCATGCTATACCCCAATCCAGATAAAGAGTCATGCAACGAGTCACTGGAGGGACTATCGTCGGCGGCCGTATTGTTCTTCACAGCGGCAGCATAAGCCAATCCAGACATAATTGATCCGCTGGTCGCCAAACCTGATGAGACTAATGTGAACATCCCCGGCACAATCACGGCAGCTGCATGGCCGTGCCACACTCGTGAATACAGATTAGCAAGCAGTCCAATCGTAAAAGCTCCGATCGTACTGGCTAATCTCCCGTCCAGCGCCTTGTTGGCGAAATAGTTAGTCACGTACCCGCTCAAGCCGAGGAAGACCATCATGGGGATTTGTTTCCACTTGGCTTGGTTGATGACGCCGGCTATGGCACAGTATATTGCCACAAAGACGAAACGCTGAATGTAGTCGCTTCCATACACGAGCAGACTATCCGCCGGACAGGCGGACTCTGTCGTTGCGTTGCTGTCAATGAGGCCGTATATTGTGATTCCAACCGTGACTCCGTAACCCAAGAATAAACAGTAGATAATTGTGTACACCAGTCGGATGGACCCGGCCACAATCTGATGAGACTGCAATTCCAGGCTACTGCACAGAACTGAGTATCCCGGAAGAATCAATGCAATTGAAGCTTGCGCCATAGCAGGAAAGCAAAATACCGCCTCCCCGTCTACCCGAATGCTCCCAAATGCGCGGGCCAAGAAAGAAACCAGGATCGCCACGCTGACTTCGAACACATTTGAGTACATCGCTGATGCCGGGGCAAGTACATGCTGCAGGATACCCAGCAGACAGCCGAGCAAAAAGATGATGGGCATGTCGATCGGACGAGCGTTGAAACCCCAAGGCCCTACGGCCACGCTGGCCAGGCCGGACAAAATTACCATAACCCAGGGTTCGTGATAGCGATTCTTGCGCTTCATCAGTTCATCCAGGTCTGAGATCGCCTGGTCCACCTCCAATTTGCCGTGCATCACTTTCTTATAGACGTTGTGCGTCATGGCCAGCCGCCCCAAATCCAGGCCCGGTGCCACGCTGACCACTTTTACCTCGGCTGTATGCGTCAAGGGGTCATCAAAAGACATGATCATGCAACCCGGAAGATACATGAACTGGCCCTGGACACTCAAGACGTTGGCAGTCATCTGCATGTATTCCTCAAGTCGATGCGTTGGGGCGCCGTACTTCATCAACGCACGGCAGAGTCGGATCATATATTGCTGGCGGGCCAAAATAGCGCCGACTCTCTCGGTCAGTTGGACCTGGCGCTTCTTTCCTTTCCCTTTGTTCTTGCCCTTGCCCTTGCCTTTCCCGTTGCTGCGAGGCTCGTTCTCGTCCTCATCGTACCATTTCTGCTTTCGCGGCTTTTTCTTCTTGCCAGTCTGCGACTCTTGGGAAGCGGTCGACTCTACAGAGGTAACGGACAGGGTACTTTCGCTGAAATGGCGTCGATGGCCGGTATAACTCTGCATGAGGTGCGACAGCACTCCGCCATTAACGTCCGCACCATTCTCCACAGCCTGTCCTTTGGGATGCATATTTCGCAGTCCCAGTCCTCTGGCCAGAGCATGCGCCTCGGAATCCAGCGCATTTCGCAGCTTCAAACGAAACGCGTCATCATGGAGGTCTGCCTCCATTAGGTCTGCCAGCTGCATATCGTCGATAGCGCCGTACCCGTCAGGGTGAAGACTGGCATCCAACGCGTCCCCGTCGTCTGGATCACGTCCCAGTCGTTCTCCCAGTCTCGAAGCAGCCTGTCGGAATCGTGTCGCGAAGCCATCTTGGGGGTTCGTCTCGGGCTGGGTGGGAGGAGTGTCGGGGATCAGGCCATCAGCCTCGTTTGCAACATCTCGTTCCGACCAGGTCCGTCTGTGATACGTGGCGGCACTATTCTCACGGCGGTGACGGTTTTCCAGGGGAATCTCTTCTGCCATGTTGTCTTGAGGCGGGCTTGTCCATTCCCATTCCCTGGCTGGCTATGAACGAGAGACGGAAATGCAGTCCGAAGCGTCAGACCTGCAGACCGATCCCTCCGCACAATTATAAGACAAGCTTTTTGTCGGATTTAGCCTCGGTTGTCTCTGGTCGGACCAACTGATTTCCCCATCCAGTGGAGTTCAGGTTTGGTCAAGACGCTAATTGACCCAAGTGGAACCATCGTGACCGCGTCTTTCGTCACCTGTGATACCAAAGAAGAGATTTGACGCGACAGCATGCACCAGACGTGTCAAGTACGGCCAATTTCATGACGACTGCACCTATAAATGGCACTTGGGGGGGTGAATCTGCCGGTAAAGGAATGGGATATTTCTCCATGGTCGACCATCGCTGCATCGGATGTCCCTGGCAAGTGGGTCGGTGGCTGGCAACGATTGGCGTAGAATTCAATATTCCAGTGGCATCGGCCGGCTAATTGGATTCGCTAAATCTATTTTTGACTAAGATCGTCGTCCCACTGACAGGTTCGTTTGTTGACGCCACCCGAGTCCCGATGGTTTCGCGTCAGGACTTGCAACGGTGGATGGGTCATGGAACGTATGAACTTTTGATCAATCTATCCTGGTCCTAAATCATACAAATGTCTGTCCTGGTCGATGGTTCTTCGTCCGGGCCTCAATCCCTGTCTAGTTATCTGACTCCAAATGTTTGTTTTGGTCTCGGTCGCCAGCCCACTATTTCATTTTGCCGTCATTAACATTATAATTCAAACAGCGCTCGACCATGACTAGGTACCGTCTTGAATAAACTCATCCGCATGAATGCAATTCTCCTTGTAGGTCTGCAGGCTATACCTAGCAAACCGGCTCTTGGCTCGGATCTGCGTCCCATATCGCACAAACAACGGCGGAATAAAGCAAAACACCGTCGCCAGGACGGCCAAAATCGACGCGGCGACGTTCGCCCCAAGTGACGAGAACATCTGGGCTGTAAACAGCGGGAAGGTGGCCGAGAGGACCGCTCGAATGCAGGTTACCACGGCCACGGCGCTGGCCGAGAAGCTCAGATAACTGTCGGCCAGGTATCCTAAACACACCGTGGGGTATTCGTTCAGGGCGTATCCGATCAGCACCAATGGCACAGTGGGAACGATCCAGGGTAGGTCAGAGGCATGAGGAGGGATCGTCCAGGCGAACCACCACAATCCGATGGCCATAGCAGGCGCGCCGATACATATGCCTGCCAACTTGTGCTCGGGCAGAAGAGGCAATCCAGCACGCAGCCTCATTTCGAAGATGTGGTCGTCTAGGAGCCGTGTCAAGGGACTGAGAAGAATCCCAATTCCAATAGCCACGAAGGAAAGAGAGGCTAGCTCCTGTGAAAATCCGAGGGACTCATAAATCGGCTGCAGAGCTTCAGTGAAGAGATAGATGAGCCCGAATGCGCCTCCGGCCATCATACCCACCGACATCACGATGGGCTCGGCAAAGAGTTGCATAGGCCTGATGAGCACGACCTGCACAAATGTCTGCATATCGGGCACATGGTCCGGATTCAACGCCGGGGGTGTATTTATGCCCGTCACCTTCCTCAAGCTGGCGACCTGGCGACCCAGCAGGAGAGACGGTCGAGATTCGCGCATGAAAACGGTCAATCCGGTCACTGCAGCGACGATGATTGCATAAACGTAGAACACCCATCGCCTACATGAGTTAGTTGCAGCTTCGATCACAAATTGCACGACAGCTTACCAGCCAAGGGCACTCGTGATATAGACACTCATGATGGGGCCCAGGGACAAGCCGAGTCCCGATGCCGCGGACCAGATGCAGATCCACCAGGCCTGTTTCCGACTGCTGTACAAGTCTTCTATACTACCTCCGAGAATGTTGGCTGGAATAGCCGACAAAAAGCCGGTGATAGCACGCCCAAACACCACCCCAACCAGGGACTCCACCGAGGCAATCAACACGCATCCCAGACTGAATAGGACTCCGCTGCCGATGTATAGCTTCTTCCGGCCAAAGGTCTCGGAGTATGGGGCAAACACAAGAGAACCCAGAAGCTGTCCGAATAGTGACACTGATACGAACAGGAATATCGAAAGGGTTTGGCTGATTTGGTATTCATCGTCGGCTGCTTTGGCTGCGGCCGTCTAGGGAGCCGTTAGTTCGTTTCGTTCATACAAACAAAGAGACACTCACACCAGCCGTGCTCACTGCAGTCCTTCAAACGCCACAAAACTGTCAGCTTCATAGGGTAACTCGTCCGGATTCACAACACATACACGAAGAGGTCCATCAATGTAATGACTGTCAAGTCATAGACTTTCCGGGCGGTTCCCCAATTGCGCGGATGATGGGGGTTTTTGGATCCCCATCGTATATGCTGCCCATCGCGAGTTAGTTCCAGATCATACTGCGTCAGGCAAGCCTCCAGCGAGACATCGTGGACGGTAGTGGATGGCTTTTCCTCGCTCTTAATGTCGCTGTGGTCCATCTTGGCAACGGTTGGTTTCCATCTATTCGAGAATTAAAGCCTGAGACGTAAGTTTCAAAATTCCTTCCATCTTTTGCCATGCGGCGCATTATATGTTACCACGAGATACTGCTCCGTGGGCCTTCTGGGGATCATCGATGATTATACGTTCGGGTGCTCCCCCTTGCGGTCGATCGGCGAACCCTGCTTTGAGTGGACACCCGTAGGTGCCATTCATAGTATCAAGTTTGCCAGGCTTCATCTTCCAGGGCTGAGAACCAGCGCCTAATCCGGACACTATTCGGAACCATAGTCAGGAATGGATCACAGGGTCTCTCGGTCCCTTGCAGATGAGCAAGCGAGTCGCATTCCGTGCCAATCCTGCTGGCTGCCCTGATACGCCGAACCTTCGGTCTGAGGAATCATCCGAAGTGTCCACATTTTTGCTGGCTATCTAACGGGCTGGTTCGATGGTTGGTTTCCCTGCTCAACAACAGGGGTCGCTAACACGAGGCGCGACAGTTTCTGTATGACGACATGGTGTTCTCTGTTACCTCTACCTGGTCGTCAGGCCCTCAGGCGATCGACACATGGCAGCAAGCTTGTCGCCGTCACAGAGACTGGAAACTGGCGATCAGTTCTTCTTTGGTTGTCTGATGCATGGTAGTGTGAAAGTCGGACCAGTCGAAAGCCTCGATATGCTCGATGCCTGTGCCTCGAGCTCTGATGTCAGAGACCCGGAGGTAAAATGTTACCGAGAAAGAGGCCCTCGATAACTTGGCAGGTTGCACGAGCTCAAGCTCCGCTGTCTTGGTGCTGATGAAGCTAAGTGGAGGTATTCCTCGACCAGATAACTAGACCAACCAGTACCGTTTATAATTGAGGTACACCGTAAACCACCCCTTCCTTACAGACAACACGGAGAATCCCTCCAAACCGGTTGGTCCAGGGCGGAGGGAGTTAAGATCCCTTCTCTCCATCACCTGTCTGGGCAGCGCATACATTCTCCGAACATTTGATCTAACCGGGCAGGGAAACCATTTGTCATCGATCGTACTCCATCGGGTTCGACTGGTGACTAGCAGGCGTTCCTGATGGACGCAAGGATAATGGTTGGTGGGACCAAGGGAGGCCTGGAATGCCCGCCGTGGTAGTGAGAAGCATAAATTCTCATGACGCGTCATTCATGAGAGGTTTGAGGCCACAGAAGTCGGAGATGCTGTGACCTTCTCAAAATTTGAAATATGTTGTCGTCTATTTCTTCGTCATCTACGGATGAAGAGTATGGCGTGGCTATGAGCACGGGTCTGGCAGGTCAGGCCTGCAGTTGGTCTCATCGGCTCACTGGTTTCAAGTTGAATACTCTTGTAGTCCAAATTCATCTCGTGTTTCGCGAGCGAGTAGTCCACCAACAAGCTGCGACTATAAAGTAGTGGTGCTCTGATGTCGATAACTATTCAGGCCAATTTCCCATGGTATAGCAGTACATTGATAATAGATATGAGGCCAGAATATAATCCACCCACTATGGGGCTAAATCTGAGTCCGTAAGAGGTCGAAGATATATGTTAGTTGAATTAACTATATGGTTTATATCTAGCAAGGTTGCGGTGTCTTGTACCTGGAGACAGAACGGAATATATATATCTAGTGGGCGGAAGCATAAATCTTTCTACCTGCAACGAGGCTGAGCTGAAAGTGACATGACTGGAAGCTGCACTCCTAGCAGAAGTATCAAGTTCATCTAAGGTCACAATATCCGTGGTTCTGCTGTTGTCTCGTATAGTTGTTCTGGTCCAGAGTCGATAAGCAAAGTGACTGCCTCAGGTGTCTATATACCGTACTGCCATACCGGAAAATGCTCCCTCCGGGCGGCGAGCGACGCGCAGAAAGACCGTACCGATACCGGAGATAGGATCCCCCGACACGCGTCCCGATCGGGCCGGAAGCGACCGCATCCGGCGACAATTTGACTTCATTTTTTCCCGATTGGGATTTTCGAGGGAGCCTGTTTGTCCTTCTTCCAACTCCCCCGTTCACCACGCATCGCCCACCATGGCCCAGCGGTACATGATCCCCTGGCTCTATGACCTGGGTATTTGGATCTTTACGCTATGCCTGGATATTTTCTTTCGCGAGGTTTACTCGCGCGGTGCCTGGCGCATCCCTAAGCGAGGCCCCGTTATAATTGTCGCCGCTCCTCATGCTAACCAATTCGTCGACTCCATCTTGTTGATGCGCATCCTGAAGCATCATGCCGATCGTCGTACGTCGTTTCTCATCGCGGAGAAGTCCATGCGCGAGCCTTATATCGGCACCATGGCGGGCTGCATGGGTGCTTTGCCCGTCGTGCGCGCCATGGACAACGTGAAGCCCGGGTCCGGGACCGTCTACTTGCCCGACCCGGAGGGTGATCCTACCTTGCTGCGTGGTCGCGACACCGATTTCACCACTGATCAGTTCATGGAGGGCGGCGGGATCATCTTGCCTCGCGTTGGCAAGACCAGCCCGGAGCAGCAGGCTATTGCCGAGATCTTGGGCCCTCATGAGTTGCGGTTGCGCAAGCCTTTCAAAGAATTTGCACCGGACCATCCCTTGTACAAGGGGCTGCGGGAGGGCACCTCCTTCAAGGTGGCGCCCCACATCGACCAGAGCAAGATGTTCGACGCCGTCTACAAGGAACTCTGCGCCGGAGGCTGTATCGGCATCTTCCCCGAGGGTGGCAGTCACGATCGCCCCAATTTGCTCCCCTTGAAAGCCGGCGCGGCGATTATCGCGCTGGGGGCGCTGGCTCGAGAACCCGACTGTGGCCTGTCGATCATTCCCTGCGGCATGAATTATTTCCATCCTAACAAGTTCCGCTCTCGCGCCGTCGTCGAATTTGGCAACCCCGTACAGGTGCACCCCGACCAGATTGAGGCGTTCAAGGCCGGTGGCAACTCCAAGCGCAATGCCGTGGGATCGCTGCTGGAGACCATCCAGGAAGCCCTGACGGCCGTGACGCAACAGGCCCCCGACCACGAGACTCTCGCCCTGATCCAAGCCACTCGACGACTATATAAGCCGCTGCGCATGAAGCTCCCTTTGCCTTTGGTCATCGAATTGAACCGGCGGCTCCTCAAGGGCTACACGCAGTTCAAGGACGAACGCAAGGTGGTCCAGCTGAAAAAGGCCGTCACCGACTACAACCGACGACTGCGCGCGCTGGGCATCCGGGACCACCAGGTCGAATGGGGTGATGTGCAGCACCGGCCCTGGTGGTTGGTCCTGGGCACACTGCTGTATCGCATCGGCGAACTGTTGACCGTCGCCGTGGGCACGTTGCCGTCCGTCGCGCTCTTCTGGCCCGTGTTTGTGACGACAAAAATCATCTCCGTCAAGAAGCAACGGAAGGCCTTGGCCGGTTCCGTTGTTAAACTCGAGGGCCGCGACGTGGTTGGCACATGGAAGATCCTCGTCGCCATGGGATTGGCGCCCACCCTGTACACCTGGTATACCGCGCTGGGGACGATCTGGCTGTCGTACTGCCGCAAAGGCGGATATTACGCGACGACCGCGCCCTGGTGGGTCAATGCTGTCACCTATGTGCCTGACTGGATCCCCTTGTCGGTTTTCGCCGTCTTCTTCTTTGGCCTGATGATCTCGGTCTCCTTCGCCGGTCTGCGAATCGGCGAGATCGGTATCGACGTGCTGAAATCCCTGCCGCCGCTCTTGGTGGCCCTGAGTCCACGGTCCCATAACTCTCTGGCCCAGTTACGCGCCCAGCGTCAGGAACTGTCTGCGCGCGTGGTGGACACGATCGATACCTTCGCCCCCGAAATCTTCCCCGACTTCGAGGCGGAGAAGCTGGTCCCACACGGCCACCCTCAAGACGACGGCGCGTACCGGTCCCATCTGAAGAGTATGCCGCCCAGCGAACCCGAAAGTCGCAGCCGCAGTCGTCCCGGCAGCGGTCACAGCCGATCCCAAAGTGGCAGCTACCACCTCCAGGAGACCCTCCTCAAGCCCTTGACAATTGGGTCCAAAGAGGACCTGGGCGAGGTCAATCGTCGCATCCGCGATTCCATGCAAGAGCGTGGTCGTGCCCGCGTCAAGGCCGAGTACGACCCGGATGAGGATGCGGTAGTGGTGGACGGCGCGTCCAGCGGAGGAAACACGACCGATGGCGAGGAGAAGAAAACACGGTAATGAAGATGCGATGCCGAATGCGACGATGGATAGAGGAAGAGAGAGAGAGAGAGAGAGAGAGAGAGAGAGAGAGGGAGAGAGAGAGAGAGAGAGAGAGAGAGAGCCAGTGAACTTATGGTGTTCGCGTGTTGCACGGTGTCTGTATATAGAAAACGATGAGCCTCGATAGATGACGTCAGACGATAGCATCAGCCGGAGTTATTCCGTTGCACAAAATTTATTCTGTTTATGCCATTCTCTTATGCTGACTGGCGTGACATTAGTAGTTCAACAAGTCGAGTGGATCTCTAATGCGCAGCGGCAAGTTGGCTTGTTGATCCCTTCGCAACACCTGCCGACCACCATGTCGCGATCCTATCTTGACCTCGTCCGACAATGCGACAAGCAAGTTCCCTTTCTCCATGGCGGTGACCCTTGAGACTGACAAGCTGTTAGTTTCCCCTACTACACAGACAGTCCCAAACTGTACCATGATGCCAAAAAACATTTCTATGAATTCCGCATCAGTGATTGTGACCGACTCTTGGGCCATATTCCCGCCACCGTCATACAAAAGGTCCAATGGCCCGATGGTTGGACCATAGAGCATGGCAGAAAAACCGCCACTTTGGGATCAGGATACTCCAGAACAGCTCCCGTGCGGTCTGATCTACTGGCTAGAACCATGCACAAGATGGCGCAAATGGACGAGTTCTCCATCCTCAAAGGCTGGCGAAACGAGACCTTCCCTGTCTACGGACCAAGGGGGGAAATTCTGCTGGAAATAGAACGGTCCGGCAGTGCTCTCTTTGGCATAGTCACCTACGGAGTCCAATTGACGTGCTACGTGGAAGACGAGCATGGCCTTCGTATCTGGATCGGGAGACGGTCGAGGTCCAAGCAGACGTACCCTGGCATGCTCGATAGCACGGCCGCTGGCGGACTCCAGACTGGTCGATTTCCCGGTCGCGCAGTCGTGCAAGAGGCAGTGGAGGAAGCCTCTTTGCCAGAGTCTGTTCTGGCAGACGGTCTGCGGTCAGCAGGCTGTCTGTCGTATTATTACGTTCAAGGGCCTCATTCCGGCGGCGCAGATGGACTACTGCAGCCCGAGGTGGAGTATGTCTATGAGTTGAAGCTGGATGCCAATACTATCCCAAAGCCTGGGGATTCAGAAGTGGAAGAGTTTCACCTATGGACTGTTGATGAGGTTGCACAGGCGTTGAAAAGAGGCCAATTCAAACCCAACAGTGCAATTGTTTTGGTGGACTTTTTCATTCGACATGGGATTTTGACCCCCGAGAATGATCCAGACTTTCTAGAAATCGTGTCACGACTTCATCGTCGACTGGAGTTTCCAATTGCTACCGCTCCATTGACATAATAGATGTGGATACTCTGCGAGTTGGCTAGATCTCAGACGGCAAGAATTGGCTGGGACTAATACATTGTCACATTTCCCTTTTTCTTTTGTGTTACTCCTTGGAGTTTGGTTTGTAGCTAAATCTAGTGAGTTGGCGATAGAAAGGCAATGCAAACCATCCCAAGAATGATGCCCATCGCGTACGTATATACGCGCGAACTTGAAAGTTACAACAACTATTATACATTTCTGTATAGAGATTGCGCCATACACAGCTGATGGTAGGTCACCCCACGTCGCTGCAACTCCTCGTGGCTCCCCACCTCAACGATCTGTCCATTGGAGAAGACAAAAATGACATGCGCGTGGCGTATAGTGGACAGACGATGCGCTACGACTATGGTCGTCCGACTACTGCTTTGGTCCGCCCGGTCCAAAGCTTCCTGTATCAATCGTTCAGACTCGTTATCCAGGGCCGACGTTGCCTCGTCAAGCAAGAGAATTCTTGGTTTCCGAATGAGGGCACGAGCGATGGTAATGCGCTGCTTCTGGCCCGGAGAAGGACGACCCCTGTGACCCACAGGGCGTCTCAAACCCGTCCGGCAACGACATGATAAAGTCAAGTAGATTGGCCTGCCTCGTGGCGCTCACGAGGTCTTCGTAGGACGTGTCCGGACCCATCCCTAGAAGAATGTCCTCTTTCACGCTTCCCGGATATAGCCTGGGCTCCTGTTGGACTAGGGACAGGTGGGCTCGATAGAGCTTCGGGGAAAAGTGCTTGATATCGTGGTTGCCCATCTGGATTAAACCTACCGTGGGATCGTAATACCTTTCCAGTAGAGATATCAAGGTGCTTTTCCCACTACCGCTATGGCCCACTCAGGCAACAAAGCTGCCGGGTGAAACCTGAAAGTCTTAGCATCCAATCATCAAGAAAGGATCGTGATAACTCACGGTCAGAGAAATACCCTTGAGCACGGAGGCCACGCGGCCTGGATAGCTGAAGCGAACATCGCTTAACGATAGTGAGTTATCACCAGACGGCCCTTCGTCATGGTTCTGCGCGGTCTCTTGAATAATCGCTTCTTGATCTCGCAAATTGAGAAGATAATTGATTGCACCCTTTGCGCGTGTGAAGCTCCCGGCTGCACCGATAAATTGGGAAGCGGCTTGGCCGGCAAAAGGTACGCTCATGAATATGATGAAGAATTGATACGTGTCGTACTCGCCCGAGTCCATGAGCCGTGAACCATACCAGAACCCCAAAGCCATGACAAGAAACTCAATCGACTGAGATAGTCCGTACGGGATCATGGCAACAGCTAGGAACCGATTGACTGCCAGATGATGCCGCGAAGGATCATGGAATATTGTTGCAGGATTTCGGTCTCGAGACCGAGTGACGCGACGGTTCTTAGCGAGTTGACAGCTTCGACGGCATGACCGGCACTTTCTGAAAAGCGCAAATCAGCTCTTTCGTTCAAATCCAATTCCAGACGAATCCGGGCGTATCCCGACCCAACTAAGGGAGGCAGCCCGCCGAATACCATGACCAGTGCCAACTTCCAATCATATCCGAGCGCAAGACAACTGCTGGCAACGATGCTGATTACCATAATCAACAAAATAAAGATATTTACGGAGATCAACTCCTGTATGCCGCTCGGAACCGTAGTCAACTTGGAGACTAGTGCACCGGATGTGTTTGAGGGCTGGTCGAAGAACTCGATATCCATATTGAGGAGGCGCTCAAAGAGCTCCAAGCGGTATCTGTGGGTGACAGTCTGGGAGATGATATTGGCAACGCATCTAATGACAAAGTAGGACACCAAGTTGGCCAGGGCCAAGACGAAGAACATCAGGACATAGAAGTTGGTGCTGCCAAAGCCCGAGGCGGCACCATGGGCGAAGAGGTCGATCAGCTTCGAGAAGAGGAAGGACTGCACAGGCCAAGTGCCCGCTGCAACTAAAGAGAATAGAATTTCAAGAGTGATCAAGGGATAAAGGCGCTTTTGCTCTCGAACGACAGTAAACAACACAGACAAGAATGACCTGGACTTAAGTCCCTTGCTGGGTGCGCTGTCCCCCATGTTGTTGGTACCGGCAGAACGTTTCGTCGTAACCGTTGTAAGGCCAATGTCAAAGTCATCCTTTGCTTCGCCCTCCGACCTTTCATCGCCCTCTGCTGAAGATGTCGTGTTCAGGTCCTGGGCTCGGATTAAGCGCGCGTAGATGCCACCCTGCACAATCAATTGCTCATGGAAGCCCTGTTCGACGACCTGGCCATTGGAAACGACCATGATATTGTCAGCATTTTTGATAGTAGAAAGACGATGTGCTACCACAAGGGTTGTTCGGGACTTGGAAGCGCGATCCAAGGCCTTCTGCACAATTCGTTCGGCTCCAGGGTCTAGGGCACTTGTCGTCTCATCGAGTAGCAGTATTCGAGGGTTGGAAACGATGCTCCTTGCAATGGCAATACGTTGTCTCTGGCCACCACTTAATATCCCTCCGCGCTCACCAAGGTAGGAGTCATAACCCTAAAAGGCTGTAGCCATGACGCTGCCTAGTGCTTCTACCATGAAACCTATGTTTCATACCCCAGGAAGATTCCGGATGAACTCGTCAGCGTAAGCGTCGCAGCAAGCTTTTCGCACAAGCGCGAATTGTTTCGCATGGCCCAACAGTTTCTGGGATTCAACGAAGCCTTTGGCGACATTTTCAAATATTGTTTCCTGGAATAAGATGGGTTCCTAGTCGAAGTCAGTTGAATGAACCTAGCCTGGACAGTGGCGAACCTACCTGCTGAACCAAAGCGATCTGACTTCGAAGCCACCTCGTGTTTAGTTCAGCAATATCGATCCCGTCGAGAGTGATGTACCCGCTGCTTGGACTATACCAACGCTCCAATAGCCCGACAACAGTGCTCTTGCCCGACCCACTGGCCCCGACCAAAGCCGTAGACTGGCCGGCCGGAATAGACAAGGTAAGGCTTCGCAAAACTTGGGCCGTCGGACGTGAAGGGTAGGAGAAATCGACTCCATGGAAGACAATGTTCCCCTGGCAAGAGGTTAGTTGTACCCCATCCTCGGACAGCGGATCGAGTTCTGAAGGCTTGTCCATGATCTGAAAGAGCTCCGACGCGGCGGCTGCGGCGTGGTTGATGGATTCTAACTGTGGGAAGATAAGGCCCATAGCGGACGAGGCCATGAGAATGGTGAGGACAACACTGGACGATGATCAGTCTTTTCCTCTGACATCTGTCGGTGCTAAGCCCTCTCTCTTACGTTATAACCTTGCCAGCGGTTTCGATCTCGCCATTCAGTGACATTCGATTGCCCTGCAAGAAGGCCAGGGCGGTGCCCGAATGGACACAGAAGTAAGTGGTCGATGCGAAGATCCCCGTGACCACTGTTTTACTCCTTCCGTATCTGTGAGCGAGGGTGAGGTATTCATCGTACCTTGATAGCATTCGGGATTGGGCCCAGAAAGCGTGAATCGTCCGAACAGAAGAGAGTACCTCTTGAGCCAGGGCCGCTCCCTCCGAATAGGTTTGAGCTATCTTGGCCTCGACCCGAGCACTGGATCCCATACAGATGGCAAACACCAGGAACATTAGGGGAATGACACTCATCACAATCAACGCCAGTTTCCATTGCACGGAAATCGCAACAATGAAGGCCGAGAAGAACCTCGCGAGCCCCTGCACTAGGAGCGTTAGTTTCTCGGCGATGCCTTGATTTATACGAGTCGCATTGGTAGTGATCTGCATAGTATTGTGTCCAACTAGATCACTACTATGCTCTAGATACTGTAGCTCCAGGCTGGTCTTCGACAACTACGCCGGCATGCCGGAAATGGCCGATTACACTTTGTTCCCGGCATCCTACAGCCTCGACACATCCATCAAGGAAATTATCGAATCCTTACTCCGGGCTCTGTTCATACCTTCGCCAGTGACGCCTAATGAACGCCTTCAGCTCGGAGAAAAAACTCCTCGATAGGATTCAAACCAGGCGGTTAAGGTAGCAAATACATCAGTTTACTCCAGTATCGACATATATCTTTTTTATTTGGTCAGAATGGTGGAAGGATGCATTGTCCATGATGATCACGGATTTCGGTTCTGGCCACCTTCCACAGTGCTGGAGGAGCTGCTCGATGAAATCTTCAAACACAGTTGAATCAGTTGAGCCCTGAAACACACGAGAAAGCACAACGCCGTCTTGTGCGTATGCAGGCAGGATCTGGTATCGCTGGTCGCGATGAAATATAGAGATCTGGAATGGTGTCTGGCCTAGCGGATACCACCCAGTGCATCTGCAACCAATCCGTTTATAACGTCCCGACTCATCCACATAGACCAGATAGTATGACTTGAAGTCCGATAGATTGTGAAGATAGAAATCGCGCAAGTCAGCAGTCTGTTCCTTTGCTCTCTATCAAGCTACCTTCTTCGACCAGCCGACCGAAGCAAGAGCCCGCTTGAGACTCGAGCTAGTCAACCAAGTATGAAACTCATCCCATAAAAAGAGAACCATCTCATCCACATATAATCCGGGCTTCTCGAGAAGATGGTCACAGAGAATCTGTATCATTGGCAGTGTGAAACTTCGTGGAAGGGTTTACAAACCGTGTGTCTGTGCGAGGCTGACTTCAAGCTGAGTTGACGCTTTGAGACACTGGCTTATTTCGCGCCAAGCCTTGCTATCATTGGTCGAGTACTTCGAAATACACGTGGTTTGTACTATTCCCAGTTTTTTTTTATCGTTTCAGGGCATACTGCGTGGTTGAATAAACACCGGGGGGGGGGGGGGGGGGGGGGCGCTGGGGTATTTGGAAATGCACGTGACTGAGGGGCACTGCAGCTCCTGGGAAGCTATTTTGTCTTGGCGATCCGAAAGCTGCGGGTGTTGATCAGTGCTAGGGGTAGATATTTTTGAATTTTTAATCTTTGGAACCGTGAGACTAAACTTCAAGGATTTCCATCCCTAACCACAGCCTCAATTTTTGACACCTGACCAAAGCCTTACAGTGTAAGCAATCGACCTAGCCCGCTATTCGCCGAAACTTCACGAGTCGTGAAATAATGCATCACGACGCGGCACATGGAACCAATAACGATTGGAAACGATGTCGGTAAAAGTGGATATCGGGAACAACCTTGACCTCCAGTTCGAGGGCACCCGCCCGGGTTATATTTATCAGATTCTTAACACAGAATGGAGCTCTCGGTGCTCCACTGCACAGAATTGGGCATCAGAAGATGACAGTAGAGGTGTTTTGCACCACGAGTTGCAGCCCATGACCCGTGAATTCAAAGAGGTCTGGCGGGCCCGCCCCTAGTATTCAAAAATGAAGCAATTGAAAAACAGTTTCTGATTATTTAATTAATATTGAATCGGCTTACAAGAACTAATTGTTTCGAAGATTTAACGAACTCCGTATCCTCAGATAGATATATATATATATATATATACGATCGATCTTAATCAATATAGACGTTCAGCCTACACAATCTTGCAATTGAGCGTTTACAAAGACCTAAAATAGTATAATTATACTTACTATAGCTACTATTATAATAGCTATTATAATTATATAGCATTGGCCTACGTATCAAGTTACTATACTGTGATATACATACATAAATCTTCATAATATCTACAGAATAACACTCTAGAGTAGCAAACCATACCTTTTTTGATTATATTTCCTATTTGGAACGGGTCATGGGCTTCAATCTGTACATGACTCGTACAGACGATCATTTCGGCGATAGAGCTCGATTTGGCGATAGTGCGGCCCTAAAGAATGGGCCTTTCCTATCTGGGACGGGTCATGGCAGGTGCGTTTCTACCACCTTCCGCCTTTGGTTTACAATTACGCCTACGGAGTAGAATGGAACGTTTAACCATTAGACTACCAAAAGACTAGAATACCAAGTCAACAGACTTGGTACGTGCATCGCTCTATATAGTGGTTCTTCGTGGTCGTCAGTCAGTTCGTCACAGTGGGACCCTCCCTTCATCTCGATTCATTTCTTCTCTACGGAGTACTACTCCCTGATGTATCTATTTTTGGGGTGTTTGCTTTTTCCAGCTGAACACATACAAGGGGTCTTCTTGATCCTTGCCAAAATCTTTCCATTAGCATTGGCTTCGGTGCACTTTGGCCCCCATCCGCATTGCAGGAGACTTCTGCGACTCGGTCACTAAGTTGGTATCTTTTGGAGGCTAGACAGCTTAAATGCACAATTCCCAGTGCACGAGGATAATGTCTCCCGATTCACTTCCACGATTCATCAGAATATCACGATACTCAATCTTGGACATTTGTTTGATGTTAATATGCCCTTATTGGAACCCTCAACACTTAGTATCAATACCGAAACCGAAATGACTTCGTTGAACGATCCACACCAAAATGATCCACGCGACTCATCATTAAAGAAACGAACACTTGACCCTACGAAAAGTTGGAAACGCTTTTGGTTTGATACATGGCGATTTGAAATTTTGGCATGGGCATTTAGCATGGTTTGCTTCGTCGCTATCTGCATTCTACTTAAAGTATACGAGAACAAAGTGCGACCTCAGCTGGCATACAAACTGACACTCAACGCAATAATCTCAGTCCTCGCCACTGGCTGCAAGTCCGCCTTAGTTCTGGTGGTCGGAGAAGCTGTGTGTCAGTTGAAATGGCTCTATTTTCGAGGTCCGAGCCAACAAAGACTATCTAGCCTGCAAGATTTCGACAATGCTAGCAGAGGGCCGCTAGGAGCGATTTCTATTATCTTTTCCCATCGAGCACAGTCGCTCGTCAGCGTTGGCGCGCTGGTCATTGTTATTCTTCTCGCATTCGAGCCATTCATACAACAAGTCATCAGCTATCCTGTATTGCCGGTCAATATTACTGATGGCCTAGCGGCTGCAAAACAGCTTCATGGAGCCTTGGTTTCCCCTGCAGATTTGGTCAACTTTACACTCGCTGAGGCCAGTGAATCTCATTGGGGCCTGTCAGATGACTTCGCAGCTGCCTGGGGACAGGGCCTTTGGTCGAATGATGGGTTTGAAGTTGCACCAGTATGTTCATCGGGTAATTGTACGTGGGAGGAATTCACCTCAGCCGGAATTTGCAGTCGATGCTCTGATATGACGGCTTCCGCTGTGGTAGACTGCGACCTGCCAAACCTAAGTTTTTCATCCAACACAACTTGTCAAATCAAGATACCTGATGGTGATGCTTACACTTTCTCCGCCACCCCCGAAACCTGGTTCCTAAATGACCTTCCCTCTGTCAGCTTTCAACTCCCCTACTCGATTCTCTGGACCGTCTATGACAATGAGAATGCGAATAGGAATACATCTCTTACCTTTGGTGGAATGCGCTCTCCATTAGCAGCATACGGTTATGCCAAGGTCAATGTCTCTGAACCAGCCCACCTTTCAATGGTGAATTCCAGCGTCATTTATGTCGCAAAATTGACTGTTTGTGGCCTCGGAGATTGTTTGCGCAACTACAATATCTCTGTGAGTAATGGCCAGGCTTCTATAACGACCGGAGATCCAGAGTTTGGCATGAGATATAACAAACAACCTCATAATTTTACTGAATCATCTTCGGAGTTCATCTACGTACCAACATCCTTTGATTTCACGTCATGCTGGTCCCCTGATAATAAATCAAAAGCTGCTTTCGCATATTGCATACCCTGGTTCAATTCCTCCGTGCCCTTAATCTCACTTGGCAGCTATGAATTTCTTCCGGCTTCAGATATTCAATACCATGTTTATCACAATGGATCGGATCCGTATAGGGGTCGCATGTTAATACCTTTCCTCAATCGCATCGACAATCTTGGCTTCGAAAATATCATGTCTAACGTTGCCGCTTCATTGACAAAGCTACAACTGCATAAGACAGAAGGAACTTTCACTGGCATCGCCCGCAGGAGCGAAGTTTTTGTGAAGGTCAGATGGGAATGGATGATCCTACCCGGCTGCCTTGTCCTCGCTGGGTCTTGTTTCTTCATAGCAACCATCGTTGTGAATCGAAAAGCCAGAATGCCTCTATGGAAGTCATCGGCCTTGGCGACCTTGTACCATGGATTGGAAAAACAAGAGGGGGATAAGTTGGCCACTGCTATTAGTATGCAAGTGCAAGCGGAGAGTTCTAAGGTTCGATTGATGAGTTCTGATGGGGATGGACGCTTGGTTCTACGCCGGAAAAGCCTCAAATTTGATCATCAGCCTAATCTTCCGGGTCCGGATCTGACTCCTCGATTTGGATCGTCGGATGCGCATGGGTATACTCGGATTTGACCAAAATATCATTCAGTACTGTTCATTCTTTGGACGAGATAGGGAAGAACATCTCCATACCCAGATGCTGGAAGCGTCGACTGACACGAAGAAGGACTTCGATCGGAGTACCAAGTCCATATTTGTTACCTGAGCTACCTCACTGTCCGTACATAGTTGCCTGTAATAGATTGATTTTTTTTGTTTTACAAAACGGATAAAGCCGCGCCAAATGTATGTCATTTTCACAAAACTAGATTTGATCTCGGGGAGGTGTCGGATCCTCCCTGTAAACCACTCCAAAGTCCCATTCTCCAAATGCGGGAAGTTCCTTCGCATAGAATCTTAGTCTATCCAGCTTCATTTTGCCGCCGTCTTGTGTCCTCATTATATAGCAAAAGACTCTCCTTATTCACCCTTCACTTTTACTTCCGAGCCAACAAGACTAGCCAAAGCAATGATAGATCCAACATCAAAAGAGCGCAACCTGATAGAAGTATCTTGTTTCCACAGTATAAAATGAATTGATAGAACGAAGCTATCCAAAACACACAAATCTAAATTACACAGCGTAACCTCTTGTGCTTCAGATCAGCACAATATTCTACCGCCTTGCTGGCCCAAAACACAGCTTCATCCATATTGCAGTCGCGCACGCAGATTCTATATTGTTTACCCATTGCACAAGGTCAAAATCCATAGATATCAATAATTTCATCATCAGTGTATAACCCCGGATCCGCGACCGAAGGCGTACCCAGTAGTCTGCAAAAACAGCGCCATCCCGGGCGTTCTCCCCCTGGACGCCATCCTTTTCGCCAGCAAGCGGCTTCTGTTCTGCCATTAATTCGTAGACCGACTCAGATACTCTAATTTGGCCGAATCGCGAATTGAGACCTATCATTGGAATATCAGATACCATGGCCAAGGTGCAGATTGCCGGAGGTATTTGAGGCTACAACAGGCGGAGCCCGAGCCGGAAGAGGGACATCCAGGGGGATAGACCTCCCGAGAGCCCATTCCATCTGCCATGAACATTCCCGGGGTCCCGAGAACTGCGAAGAGAAGTAGGGAGTGCTGTGTAAGAAGAAGAAAGAAAAGCCCGGCGACGCGGAAGACGCGGGCCCGCGGAACCGAGGGCCCGTGGGTCCGCGTGACTTTTCCCATCGCTGAACAGCCGGCGACACTTCGGATCTTCACCCTTTCCCAACTGGCTTGCATTTGCCTTCTGTCATGGCCGATTCGGATCAAGAAGAAACTATTCATGCCAGGAAACAGCGATTGTCATTGGTTCCTCGAGCAGTAAGCCCCTCCTCCCTTGGTAGGATGATTGCGTCTTCCGTTGGCTAACGGGTGGCGATACCTACGGTGTAGTGTGAAGGATGTAGACTCCGCAAGGTAACGGGATATCGTCCAGTTGCAAAGAGCAATGGGAGCCCACACCGTAGTCAGCCGTGACTAACGGATATAGATTCGCTGCGACAGATCGAATCCCTGTTCCAACTGCCGCTCGCTGAAAATCGCATGCCAGAGGCCCGGTGATCGCGCGGCATGTCGCCCCAAGTCGGACCGAGTGCCACAACTGTGAGTATCGCTTTCAGCTTGGCCGAGTTAGAGCTGACCTAGTGCTAGACAAGAGCATGTACAGCGACTGGAGGAGCGCCTTCGTGTAGTCGAGGATGAGTTACTTAGCCGTAAAACTCCTGGAGCGGCCCCGGAACCTCGCCCTCAACCAGACTTTCGCACAGACACAGTCGCGGTGTATGAGGGACCTTCTTCTTTTGCAACTCAGTCTATACAAGCAACCGAGGCCTTCCACAAAACAACCTACTCGGACGGCAATGTCGATGCGTCTTTCCGTCGTCTTCAAGACCTTCTCCGACCATCCACCACCTCTAATGACTACCGGTTCTCTCGCAATGTCGGCCCCCAACCAGCAGAGCAGATGACACTGCTACCAGTCGAGCTCATCCTGACTGTTCTGCGAAAGGTTAAAGGTAAGACCCTTTGCTTAAGAACGAGAAAGCGCGGAAACGACCCACCCTGTGTGATTGACGCCCTCGGCAGTGCAACCCCCTGTTTTCCTCTCGTCATATCTCTTGAATGATGCAGACTGGGTAGAGCGGATCTGTCAAAAGATTTACTTCCCCACAGAGGCTGTCTCTCTGGGTGAACTTTCTAGTATGCACGGGGTACTTTACATTTTCCTGCGAGAATTCATCCTCCTAAGAGACCCGCTGTGTGACGCATTTGATCTCAAAAAGCACGCGGAAACGTGCCGGAAGAATTTCAACTTAGGAATCGAGTCATATGAGCTTCTGGTCGTGCCAAGGTTTGAAAATATTTTTGCATTAGCCCTAGGGGTCGGTGCTGCTCCTGGTCTTCTGGAGGTGTCGAGATCGTGCCACTGACTTTGCGCAGGGAATCATATCCCAAGATGAGGGCAATCCTTTTCTATCCTCTACAATGTTTGGGGCAGCAGCAAGAAGCCTACAACTACTGGGGTACCACCGCGAGATAATGTATCTGAACAGGCATGCAGCCAACGCCAGAAACATGCGCCGGCTGTTCTGGACAGTTTACACGTTTGATCGGAACGTTTCCTTGCTCATGGGGCGCGCCTCGTGCCTGCAAGATATTGAAATCGACACCAGCCACCCGGAACTATCTGCGGACCCCGCTGCTAGACCGTGGGATGAGTCCTTCATCATGGGCATCAAGATGGCTCGGCTCCAAGGCCAGATATACAGTCGGCTCTATTCTACAGCGGCGCTGGCAGGAGATCCAGCCGAGCGAGCGCAGCACATTAGAGAGTTGGCGACCGAATTACACCAATGGTTTTCCGAGTTAAAGGAGGTATGTATCTACTTTCCTAGTCTTCGAAGGGCGTCCGGGAAATAACGCCCCGTCTAGATCGACGGAAGCCAAGTCAATCACCCACAGATCTATCAGCTGTCGCGAAAGAACTGGGACATTCTCTACTATTCTAGTCTGACCTCCACGCTGCGAGCGTCATCCGCATCTGGATCTGAATCGGAGATCAATTCGGATTGTTTCAAGGCAGCTCGTCTGGCTCTGCATGGGCATCTTGATTGCATGCCTGCTTACGATGAAACGGGATACCTTTCGAGCGTCGAGTATGCGAATTGGTGAGATATGAATAGCCCTCCATAGGATATAGGTCGTTTCCTAATACCAACAGGATGCTGGCATCGTCATCTTTCACTCCCTTTCTCGTCATTTTCCTGCACGCTACTTCCGCGACCAGCTGGTCGGATTTAGAGCTTCTGGATCAAGTGGTATCCTCGATGGAGCGCATTCGTTCAGCGTCCCGGGCATGCGAGCGCCTCTACCAAATATGTGCCACCTTTGCGCGGCTGGCCCGAGGTCTTATGCAGACCCACAGCTCTCGTTTTGGGATATACACCGACGAAGATGATACTCTACGGTTCTTCAACGGCGTCGGACAAACGTCGATCTTTCATCCCGAGTCAATCCAGGGAATCCTTGACTCGGAAACGGTCGATTATTTGACAGCCGCAGAGGCCGACGACATGACTTCCATCCTGGGAAATTGGGCGAGCGGACAGCCATTAGGAATGGATCTCTTTGGCTTCAGCGAATAGGTACTCAACACAAAATGAATTTGCACGTATATCCGAAGTCCCCATACTGGCCCAGTGTCGGCTCCGTACAAGATAGAGACCTGTATCCTGCAAGCCACCAAATTATTTTCACGTATATACACTATTCATCATAGGGCTCATAAGCTAATAGCCACCAAACTACGTAGTTCAACCCAAAATAAGGGGTCTAAGGTAGGCGCCAGCCGGTCAATGGTTTGAACAGGAAGGCCCATAAGAGATAAATGTGGATCTCAAGGCACGAGCCCTCGGTTGGTTTTATCGCGCTGCGCGGGCCCGCGGACCCGAGGGTGAAAAAAAAGCGTCGGCCTAAGACAAGATGTGATGATCGAGAAGTATGGAACGGTTGACTGACCAGTATGACGTGGCCTTATTGCCCCACCGTGTAGTAGTGAAGCTTTCTCTTGCAAACATCATTCCATTCTGCCCTGTCGGACTCCTTAACGAAAACATAGCTGCCTTGCCCAGAGCCCGCCTTATTATCCTCGCCGACCCAACGTGCCACAGGCAAGCATCAGAAAGAGCCCTCTCTCCCTAACCCAACTTCCGGCATTATTTACAGAACCTTCCTTGAATAACCTTTCGAAGCAAAGATATGTCTGTAGGTTGCTCATATCCCCAGGTTTGAATAAGACGCAACGCGGACTAATGATGTGTGTTCAACCAAGATCCCTTCAGGGTACGTCCAAAGATCCCCCGTGCCTGGAGTTATCGTGAGAGGATGTTAATCGTAGACAGCGTGACAATCACCGACGAATGCCTTGACGCATTCCGGGCCCTACACAGTGGACGTGGCCGCAATAAACTTCGATATGTGATCTTCAAAATCGCCGATGACGAATCTTCCGTGGTGGTGGAAGACTCTTCGCCCGAGCATGATTACGAGGGCTTTCGCCGAAAGCTATCATCGGCTGTAGATAGCCAAGGACGACCCATGCCGAGATATGGGGTATACGACGTGGAGTATGATCTTGGTGAAGATGGGAAAAGGTAAGGGCTCGCCCGGGAAACAAACTGCATGTGGATTAACTAAAGAATACACAGGGCAAAGACGGTATTCTTCACATGGGTTCCCCAGAACACCCCATTGAAGGTATTTGTTGTCTCGATTGTTAGGATTCCATGATTAGGAAGCTAACCTTCAATCAGCTGTGCATGATGTACGCCAGCACCAACGAACAGTTGAAAAACGCGCTGAACCTGAAGATTTTTATCCACGCGGATAGCACCGACGAGTTGGAATGGAAAAGTGTATTGAGCGAGGCAAGCGGAGGGAGGGTATAAACATGACGTATGGCAAGGAATATTGACGATGGATCACGTTTGAGGAGCTGCTGTAGATGCTTTTGTTCTGGTGCAACTGGGTAAAGAATACATAGAACATGAACTTCCTGGACGTCGGTTTATTTATCCCAGACTGTAGCTGCTTCTTTCACACCCACTCCTACTCTTCGACCACGCCGCATTGATTTCTCATGTAACATGATATCTTCAGGGTCGGGTTCATCGCCCTGGCGATCTCGCTGTCCGTTGCGCAGAATCTGCGCCAGAGTTAAAGACTGAGATATGCCCAAGCAATAACCGATTTGATCCAGGCACTGGACAATCCACGTCCGTGTCTCGGCGCCGCAGACCACCGAATTGGCCGCAATGAACAACGGCCACATGAGACGGTACATGCCCGCAGCCCGGGGGCTGCTTTCATGATTGCTAGTGCCCGTAGCCCAAGGCACACTGGCACAGATATCCGCGACCAAGCTCCGCGAGATGACAATGCTTTGCGTGCATGCTGATGCGTGTTCAGGGTGTAATGTGCCCAAATGAACCTGCAGTTGCTGACAGAACTTGATGATCAACTCGTGTAGCACGATACGCGCAATCCGGTAGGTGTTCCACAGATGATGAGCGGAAATGTCGGAGTAGACATGACACTGGGTTACGTTTGGGGGCAGACCGAGACCCAACTCGCGGGCGCCGGACACGCTATATCGTGTAAATCTACAGCTCGGATGCACCGTTCGCGTCCACTCAACTAGCTCTGCGTCAATCTCCCGTGCTGTTTGCAATATTGTGCCCGGGCCTCGAATCGAGCCATCGCGCAAGGCGGCACAAAGGTTTGCTACGCGCACAAAAAGACCGAAGAAAACGTCTTGCGCACGATCCACCAAAGTGCGATGGGATATAGCTTCATGTGAGATACTGAGAAGCCACCCCGGCGTGTACCGCCGGCGATAGAGGTTACTCAAGACCTGTTGACAGCATTATCAGCATTAGTTCCTCCCAGAATCAAGGCGTCATGTCACGAACAATTTGAAGGCGGAGCTGACTGAACATGTCCAGGCCAACCGGGCCGTCCACCTGCGATGATCCACGCAGCTCCAGCAGCTTCGTGGCGCCGTTAACGTGATCCAACCAACGATTGATGATCGACGTGCTCTGACACGTCACTACACCATACATGGCCAGCAGAATGACTGTGGCGACGGCGGCGTCCGTTCGGCGGCGTCGCGGGTCCTGCAGCGCCGCGTTCGTCGCCGCCAGGGCAACGCTATACTCTGCCCTTGCAGCGAGCACCAGTCGGGGCGACCGATGAATGTTTGCCAGAGACGCCAATCCTAAGGCATGAAAGGCCGGCGTTAACAAGCAGCCACTGTCTATGGGTAGTAAGTGATTCAAAAAGGCCAAACTACCTGTCGGCAGGCCAGAACCTCCGCGCACATAGTGCGTGAAGATAAAGCTAGCAGCACGCTCATGAAGAGATATGCTGATAGATTTGATGTGGTCGGTCGGCGGCGACATGAGGATCGCATCGTCGTCCTCGCGCTGACGAGCTCTTTCTGTGATCCGCTGGCTCTCATCATGGAAGCGAATCGCTTCCGGATCACGATAACCGACACATTGACTGCCAGCACGCATACACTGGGAGCAAGAGGGACGTTTTAGGTCACACTCGATTTACAGTTAGCATTTGTAACGCTGGTGGGCGATTAGGGAAGAAACCACACCTTTAATCGGCGACTTCGGCACCGTCCGCAACCAGCGCTGGGCCGGCCGCGATAGACCATCACACAGCGCCGAGGCTACCTTGTTAGGATAATTCCGAGGCTTGGCTTAGATCTTGCATAAAATCTCAACAAGTTAGGCATTGCCAAACGAGGGAAATGAAGGCATGTTGGTGTCTCTGGTCACACCGAACTGCTCCTTTCATAAGGAAAAGCGTCTCGATTTGGCCCCAACGCCTAATCGGTGGAGTCGGTCAGGATCAGCCCCCTGCCTGAACAGGTCTAGAAACCCCCAAGTGGATCTTGTCTCGGTCCTTATGTGCTGACCGTGCCAGGATCTCTGCTGTTCAGATTTCAGCGTCGAATTGGGCTGTGCTCATTCGCCGGTGCAGTAGTCCTGTTCAAATGCTTTACCTATACTCAGCGTAGAAGTGCAGATTGTATATCTCAAATCGTGATAGATGGATTCTCCGGGTATAATCCTCCGAATCACGGTCTTTATCGCGCATTTCCAGGTTGAGAAGAATGCGACGGCATCAAGATGGCGATGCCGGCCAGTGTGTATAGGGCAGGCCTGAGACAGGGCGATTGGAAGCCCAGGGCCAGGAGGAAGCATCGCAAGGCTTGACGATGATCTACATGTCTTTTAAGTCCACAGTCAAGTAGTCCTTCAAACATGAAACCGCCACCCATCGGCCCATTTCTATACTTACCCCTACCCTACACTCTGTCCAGCCTCAGGCAGGAGTCAGCGTCTTTGTTTCGGCTTCATTTTCGTTCTCCAGTCTAGACGGAATTGACCGACCTTGGTCCTGCCTTTTCTTGACTGCACGCGAGGTCAATTGACGTGTAGCAAACAGCATGCCTCCTGTTGGCTCCATAGCAAGAATGCGATCGAAGTCCGGTTGTCGAACATGCAGGTGAACGTCTATCTTTCCCACTATGTACAAGCCCCTGACTGACCACCACGAACCGTAAGAACTCGGCGCGTCAAATGTGGGGAAGAACGACCCGAATGCCGTCGATGCTCGAGCACCGGCCGCAAGTGCGACTATGTCGTCCTGATGGCACTGCATCCAGCACCTCGAGCGTACTCCGTGGAGACCTCTCCCGTGCAGCGGGAACGACGGGCATTCGAGTATTACTACTATCGTGTCGCCCCCACTCTCTCGGATGCTTTGGACCTGGCATTTTGGCCAGTACCCTCAAATAATATATATAGGAATTTGCAAAGGCATGAGATAGTGTTTTTGACTGAAGGAGCTCCCCAATATTGACCAGCTGTCTCTTAGTTGGATAGCTGGAGCAGTTTGAGTGTAATTACTTGATTAGCTTAGACCTAGGCAAACACGTCTATGGGTCATGAGGTCCTGCAATGCGCACCTTGGACTTGGACTTTGCCCAGCACCTCCACATTCTATATACATTGGCTCAAAATAAATAGTGAAATGGGGATGGCACGATGGCATAGCAGACGAGTCGGTATCAACGAAGAGGATGCACAACCAATCACTCCCACGCAGGCAAATGCATAGAGGCTGGTCTCTGAAGGTGTAGATCGTACTGGTCCTGATGGTATATCATGAATCAAGAAGTGAATAACTGTAGTCATATTGAGGGTGTTCGATCATGCTGCGTTCTCCCCTGCAAGAGAAGACTGCATGTCTGCGGAAGGCATTTATGATACCTCAGGCCACTGATATACTACTGCCACTGGATTCACCACTACAATAGATAAATTCATAGGCTCTAGGGCTATATACTTATAGGTGATTTATTGAAGAAGTATTGGATATTATGCCCAAAAGTCCTGTATCATTTCAACATTTCTACCTCACCCTACTTCGAACCAACCATGATTATGTCAGACAGCGAGCATTCCACCGTCCACTATCAGGCTTGAACCGGTGACGAAGTTACTAGCCCCGCTGGAAAGAAAGATGACAGCCCCCCTCAGATCTTCAGGGGTTCCCCAACGACCAGCCGGTGTTCCCTTCACAATGAAATGATTATAAACTGAGTCATTCTCTAGCTGTGTCGTCAAAGGGGTACTGATATATCTATTTCAAATTTAGTCCTTACTTCGAAGAAGAGTCGAAAAGAGGTTGCAAAAGAATCGCGAAGGTCATTTTCTTACCCTGGGCAGATGCAGTTGACTTGTATGTTGTGAGGAGCAAGTTCATTGCTGAAAGACTTTGTCATTTGGACGACTCCTCCCTTAGAGCTTGCATAGGCAGAAACATTGTACATTCCACGATATGAAGTAACTGAACCAATGTTGATAATTTTACCAGGAAGCTTAAGCTGCAGCAACTTCTTTGCAAACTCCTGCGCGGCTACGTACGTAGCCTTGAGATTGATAGATAGAATCTGAAGTAATTGTCAGCGCTTTCCCTTAGAAAAATGAAGCCCATTCGTTCTTCATACAAGATCGAGATTGCCATCAGTGACTTCTGTGATTGGGCATCTTCTATTGACGCCAGCACAGTTTAAAAGAATGGAAGGCGTGATTCCGGCTAGCCAAATATCTTGGAAGGTTGCACGAATTGAAGATGGATCGGTCAGGTTGCATTCAAAAGTCCAAAACTTTCGACCAAGCTCTGAGATAGATCTTGACAAGCTTTCGGCATGGACATCATTTGGAATTTGAATGGAGACAATGTCGGCTCCTGCAATTGCAAGGGACGTACACAATGTTTGACCAATGCCACCTGTAGCTCCCGTGCAGATGACTGTCTTTCCTTGCAACGAGAACAGTTTGTCAGTGGGCAAGTGATGCATGTTGTGAGAAAAGGACCGGTAAGATACGCCGAGGATCGAATAAAAGTGTAAATAGGTTGCAATAAACGAAGAGCAGTCGAGAAATCCTGAATGTTGTAGTAATGCTCACTCCCCCTTATTTATTGTTGAATACAGTCCACATGTCTACAACCCAAGACCGACAGATGTAGTAATTAGGAGCGTCCGCAGAACTCTTGTCTTCCTTGCTTTGCGCTATCGACTACCGCTGAATAGGGCAGCGATTCATGATGGGGGAACTAGGCTTCTCCGGTGGGTATCCACCGGAAGGTTCTCTTGGGGGGAGATCAACCTCCGCACCGGGGGAACCTAGCTAGAGATGTAGATCTTGACCGAAACTATTGAAGACTGAGAACCAATTCAGCAGGTACCTTGAACTAGTGCTCATCATCTACTGGAATGAGGATGAAAGATGCGGGGATATGTGGAAAACCTAGACACCCGGCGGATATGCTCGATGCCTCTAGGCCAACCGAGGGAGCTGTCTGCAATTGCAGCCTTTTCCGTGCTGGAGACTTCGGAACGTATTGTCTACAATTGTAGTAATTATAGAAGTCTCATAATTTACGATGTTGTTTCGGATAAGTCCTTCGACTCACCAGCATTATACAGCCGGCCAGAAATCGGCGTACGGTATTTGAACAGAACTTGCAAGGGTCAACATGATTCTGTCGATAATGACTAGTGTTTGTATGGTTTTATCGGATTGGTACACGTATTTTTGAACGGTTTATTCTAGGGTTTCTTACACTTCATGTTGTGTTGATTAGACATCATACATGCCAAAGGCGAAAAAGGTGGATGTGTCTAGAACTGAAAAGCTGATTGGTACCTTTCAATTCAAATGGCCTTGTCGGATAGACGGATTCTATCTGCATATCACAATCTGTCGACATGTAGGGCGGTTTTGGGGTTTGCAACGCACTTAATCAAGATACACTTGACAACATAGCCTGACCTTTGTAGAACCGCAATAAATAGGAAGGTTTTTAGTATAGTGTATTATAAAGACAGGTTTACAACCTATGTTTTCATTTTCTAGTAACCTTTGCATTGTACTCACTCTGTTCCAATGCAGTATTACTAAAAATACATGTTATTTCCAGCTTAATTTGTGTCACCTGGCCGCCTGGACATTTCAACAACCTGAGCATTTATTTTGTATTATGGATACATACTATAATGTGTAATTGAAATCTCAATCCAAGTAGGTAAAGCCTTGTTATAGAGATGTTGCGCCGAGGGGGGAGGCAGGGGATACCTCGGATATCAGGCATCAACGGACGGATATTCTCCGGAGAATGCGAAGTTTCTTGGAGATATCATGGGCTTGTAAGTTCGGCAGCTAGGAAGCGACGATGAAGGAATGAACTACCTGGGCTATGGTTCTGCCTCTGAATACGGAAGGAGACCGGACATCCGCCGGACTCGGAGTAGAAAAAAGTGGAACACCAAACTTCCACCGGACTGTAAGTCCAAGAAGTAGTCTTGTGCCTCCAATTACCACAACTCTTTTGGTTTGCAAATACCTTTTGCCTGGTAGGTGTAACTGGTCCGAAACAATTTGCTGAGTATATAAGGAATCATTTTGACAGGTAGGCAATCATTTTCACGCTCTCAAATCCAATAATTTGCAAGATACTGGTCACTACTTCGTCGGCTTCAACTTCCGGTATAAATTTCACTATGACTTCTGCCTCCGCCGACCATCGACCCAAGCCAGAGGCTATCCCTTACCAGGGGGAGCCTCTACCCAACGTTCCTCAGGACCTTGTAGTCCCCAACGTTGTGAATCTTGACTTCGACGAGAGACTCTGGGTCCCCCAAGGCCAGGATGTCTGGTTCCGTCCCATCCTCTTCAATGTCACGCAGGGCTATTTCGTCAACCTCATCCGCGTGTGTCGTTCCGGTATTTTGTCCCGCCACCGTCACTGTGGACCTGTGCACGCCACAGTTCTCCGCGGTAAGTGGCATTATCTTGAGCACGACTGGTGGGCAACTGAGGGGAGCCATGCTTTTGAGCCCCCAGGTGATATTCACACCCTCGAGGTGCCAGACGGCGTGGAAGAAATGATCACGTTGTTCCACGTCACTGGAGCGTACATCTATGTCGACCCTATGGGTGTTCCTTTGGGAGTGGAGGATGTTTTCTCAAAGCTAGCCAGCGCGAAGGCTCATTATGAAAAGGTTGGGCTTGGCGCTGACTATGTGGACCAGTTCATTCGTTGAACCTGTGTCCACTAGGGCTTTCTTTACTGCCTTGAACACCAAGGTGATATTCGTTTTCGCCGTAGTCAGATCTTCTCCTCGGCATCCCTGAATATAATTGACTTGTGTTGGATTTCATTCGATTTTGTATATATTATATTCATTGAGTTTCCGCAAAATGTATGACCCAACTACCAAAACACCAAATAGTTTTTATTTTCTTCTAGTATATATTTTAGAGAAACTAGAATAAAAATATAATAATTATATTTATAATAAATATAACTTACTTACTTTAATCTAATCGGAGCAATTACTCTATCTCTATTAGATAGTATTAAATTTCTTTTTATAGTAACTTATATCTTATATTTCAGATAAAAGCAGTAAAATAAAGATCTACATTATGAATATACTTTTCGTCTTTTTTTCTATAATAATCTTACTTTTTTCTTGTTTTTTAATTAAACGCTAACAAGGTTACTTTGTCAACCTGCTCTCGGTACGCCGCTCGGGCATTCTTTCTCGCTACCGTCTCTCTGGTCCAGTTTCCGAAGATCGCATTATCTCGGACACGATTAGTGGGCCACGGAGCGAAGCCACGCTTTCAAGCCCCTCGGTGACATTCACGTCCTCGAAGTACCAGACAATGCCGAGGAGATGGTTACACTATTCCACGTGACGGGGTGTACATATGTTCTGATACGTAGGAAAAACCGTTTGGTGTGGAAGATGTCTTCTCCAAATTGGCTAGCACAAAGGTGCATTATGGAAAGGTTGGACTGGGCTCCAATTATGTCGACCAGTTTATTCTTTGAATGGTTCCTGTTATCCGCCTCGTGTCACATTATCCCAAGTGAACCGGGCTCAGTTCGTAGTAAAGTATTTCAAACCGCCTTGCAAATACGGTCTTCGTCGTAGCTCGACTTTTATTAGGAAAGGGTGAGCATAAGGCTTGAGTGTGCAAGTCATGTCAGGGCGTATTGGTCCAATTCCACATCCAGCTCTGGCCTGGAAATGATGAATTCAAATCATTTAGGCCCTCGGAAATAGGTTCCAGTGACGGAATCTGCGAGTTGAAAGGCACCTCATGATTGGAACGCGGTAGATTTCCAGGTCTTTGGTCTCTCCAGCTTTCGTCATCTGCAGGTCTATCGTTGCCGAATTTCATCATAGGATCCGAACACTCACAAAGAACTGAGATCAAAAACAGTTAATTAAGTCAACCTCTGGTGTTTGCAATGCCTGCAATTGCCAAGGGAGTGAATGGGAGGATATAACGTACCCTGTTGTACCGAGTCAAGCGCTTGATCGACACCAGCATAGAGCGGCAACGAAGAATCCGGGTAGGCACCAACCTCCGGCCCTGTTGTAGTCTCCATTTCGGCGGCAACTTGTGGTCTACCTCCAGCGCTCAGATGTTCCGGAGAATAATCTGTATTATCTCGACTTTGAGGCAACTGCGCTAAGCCAAATCTTTCATTCTCCAGACGACCGACCATATCAGAGACATGACCCTCTTGTGCGATGCTAGCTGCCAAGTCCCCTTCGGGGTTGGGGCTGTACACAGTGGTCATATCGAAAGGCGGGTGGTCTAGAAATGCTTCCATTTCTCGCTGAAAAATAAGACGCAGAAGTCCCTCGAGAACCTTTACTGTCTGTGATGGAACGATAGATGACGCAGCAAGATTTTTCTGTAGCGAGATGGAATTTGCAACCCCTTTCTTTGCATCTTGCAATTGTGCAGAACCTAGATCCGACAATGCCACCATACAAAGAGTCACCCCAGCAGTGAAGTTTTGCATTGCAATGTATGCTACTGCGTGAGTATTTTTGGCGGCAAGGAGAACTGGTGCATATCGTGGCAAGATGCTGCACGTGCGGCGAGCACAATGTCTGCATTGATCAAAACTAGTTGGTCGATTCTCTGGGCTGCGAGGGTTGGATCCCATAGTCAACTGACCAGTGTACCGTAGGAAAGGGCGATGCAGGACGATTTGAGCGTTGTCATATGCCAACTGAAGTACTAATGCCTGTAACTCGAAAAGCCGGTACACTTCAAGCTCGGTGCTAGACAAGTTGTCGATGTGCACTTCAGAACTTCTTTTCAGCCTCAGCTCCTCTGGGAGCCTTTCAAACCAATCGACAAGCTTGGTGTTGATAACTGCAGCTTGGAGTCTCACATCTGTTGATTTTGGGAGATCGAGGTTATATATGCTACCAATTATTGAAGAAGAAATGGTGTACAGCTCAAATTTGTAGCGTTGATATGTGCCCAATGTCACGCGTGCTGGGTGATTTGTTGCCGTGTACTTTAATGAGTTCAGTAACGGATGAACGGCCTGCGTATCCTCCATATCTCGTGGCATGCTGACTGAGCAATGAGCATCAACTATAGATGACGGTCGTCCATAAGTTAACGAGGCGAATCTGGTAAATGGTAAGCATTATTTTCAATTAGAGAATACCCTTTCATCGGGCCGAGGTAGAGACCTATCAAGCACATATAACGCCCACCAAGTTCGTTTGCGATCTTCAAGAACAGCCTCCGGTACATGGCCCCATAGGGACTCTTTGTGTAAGCCTTGTGCCTGCGCGCTGCCAATTCCTGCGCCAATAATGGGCAACGCTAGATTGGGTTTGCCATTGTAAAGGTCAAATGTGCTCAACAAAATGCAACATTGAACACACTCTAACCCTCCCAAGTCCAGAATCTCGAAAAAGTGTGCACGAACTTGAGCCAGCATATTGTCTTGTAAAAAGGATCTTCCTTGTTCAGTGAGGCCAATCTGTGATCCCTGTTCTTCCGAAGTATACCTTGCACCTAGGGCAAGTACCATCAAAAGCAGCACTGCCATACCTTTTTGTCGAGGAGTGGCTTCTTGTTTGCCTATGATATCCTCGTATTGCTTTTCCAAAGAAGATCGATGAAAAATCATCATGAACCAGTGCACTGATTTCCAATATGATTGCAGTAGGAAGTCACATATTTGTCGGGAAGGAAGAACCAATCCGTTGAAGTGGGAAGTAAGAGGAGTGCCTCTCTCATTTACTTGATCATGGATATCTCGAGTAGGGCGAGGTCCACCCCCAGGGAGAGCAGAGGTATTGCTGGTTTCTGTCGGTGACACTATAGATGCCGTGTTATGCATTCGAAAAAGCTATTGATCGGTTCAACTTCATGTCCGTGATAAGCCTTTCGGAGGATTTAGATTACCTCATCTGTCAGCTCGACTGCTGATACTTGCGAGTATCTATGCGGCCGGGGAAGGGATTCAGGATTGCCATCTCGGCAACTGCCCGCGCTGTGAGAAGCCTCCGGGCTATTGGCGGGTCGCTCGGGTCGCTCAGAAAGGTGAGGACTTGTCGTCGATGGGGCAGGTAGATGAGACCGTGGTTGGTTGGTGCTGCGGCGCCTTTCGGTCATGATTTTCTTTGCTTGTTTTGACTTCCTAACCAGATAGACATACGATATCAGCTCCCTGCAATGTCTCACAACCGGAGAACCCCTACCGTAATGGTGCTGACGTTGTCAGGCAATCAAAGCCAGAGCGCACGCACAGTGAGCACGGCTTAGTATATCAGACTGGATGTGAACTTGTTAGAGGGTGGATGCCGGCAACGTTTGAGAATTTTGCTACCTTCAACTTCTGTCTACGGCATCGATCGCAGGCATGTCGGCGGGTCCCCTGTTGCTTAGGGTGCGCCTGCGTGGCACCTGGGGACGCCGATCCCTGCATCCCCCGGAAATTTCCAGAGCTCTATATTAAAAAGATATCTGCGTGTCACAGCACTCACTAGTAGCACTGGTCAATGGTTTGCTTCACGAAGGGGAAGAGCGCTTGAGTCCACCGGAACATGGGCCAGTCCACTAGTTAGTGGTGGCGTCTGTATTAGTAACTGTTGAATATTGCCACTGCACTAAAAAGGGTCAACCCTTACTTAGTAAGGGCTTATTCTAGTGCATATCTCCCGCGGCCACAAAAGAGTACCACCCCCTGTGATAGACTAGTTGTCTGTTATGTGCCCTGTTCGAGGTAATTTTCGAAGTGGCTACAACTGTAAAAATAGGTGACATGGATACTAGGGATATTTCAAAGTGTCCCGCACAGCCTATTTAATTTGAGGAGAGGAACCAGGTCTGAAGATTAAATTAATTTCTGCTGGAGACGTTATCAGAATCAGCGAGGCCCTGAAGGTACTCAGGTTCTCGGGAATATGTCCAGGTAAACAGAGGTCTCTTCTCTTCAACGGGAAGAAAAAACAACAGATAAATTAAAACAAAACGTTATGTGCGAAAAAAGGCTTCCGAGGTTACTACCATATCTTCCTGAGCTGATAATGCGCGGCAAGAAATATATTCATATTGCACCCAAGTACGGCGGAAACTTGTCATGGTTACCACAACGGTCTCACGGCTCTACGTATTAATTCTTAGAAGGTCCTTTGGGACAGGTACAGATGGGTGTCTTTCTGCGGGAAATTCAGCGTTGAGGGTACAATCAGAAGCAAGAAGGAAAGAGCTGAGATGGATCACTAATTGATATGAGGCGAATCTCTCCTGGGCAATTTCAAACCGATCCCTAGTCCGAGTGGGGCCGCAGTCCATAAGTTCCCAAGGTTGTGCCCGGGTTGACAAATTGGCCTCTACAAAACGTTCCGATCAATTACAAATCACGCCGAGTGGGTTTATAAAACCGTATTGCTTTGAAGGGATAAAGAGCACAATTCACTTCATTGAGAATGTCTTTCAAGAAAGTGGCCGTTTTTCCTGCCTCTGGCGGTATCGGAGGCAGCACTGTCAAGCATCTGCTACCACGACTTCCGTCGAAAGATCTTACCTTTATCGCTCGGCGGCCTGAGAGATTGAGTGAAGCTTCGTCTTCCGGTGCGGCTATTCGGCGGGCAGACTATGACGATGACAACAGCCTCTTAAATGCTTTTGATGGTGTGGATACTCTTTTCCTGATCTCATATGCTTCGGTTGAGCATGAACACAGATCCGAAGTAAGTTCTAGGAG